TCCCTTTACCTCTCTTCCCTTTACCTCTCTTCCCTTTACCTCTCTTCCCTTTACCTCTCTTCCCTTTACCTCTCTTCCCTTTACCTCTCTTCCCTCTGTATCTCTTCCCTCGTTTACTACTGTGAAGTTTTTCAGGCCATCAACCATCACTGTGTGATCACATGCCAGTTTCTCATCTCAGAAGATGCCTTATCGCCCGAAATATTCAACCCCAAGACGGCCACCTCATTATTCTGGGAGCCAGGAACAGGATTCAGCAGAAGTGAGACAATTATGTCTCGAATGTCGTCAGTTGACGACAAAGAGACGCCTTTGCAATCCACTTTGCCGGAACTGTAAGTCCAGCTTCTGCCCAGGTAGTGGAACTTGCGATGGCTTTTGCGGTTCTTACCCATGTTGTGGGTGTTGTGACCAGACTCAGACAAATACCATTGCAACCGATGTGGTTCATCTGCCTTTAGAGTCCAATGAAAAGCAGAGTAGCCAGGTACGAACTTTGGCTGATATTATGGCTTTGAGTACTCATAATGTATATGCTCTCTAGATTCAGTTCCCAGATTTGCTATCCGTCATGCGCCAATTGATTGTTTTCATCTTCTCTGAAAAGAAACTGCAACTGGACTTTGAGCGTGGAGTTTACCGGTCTGTGATTACAGCTATGGGCGGGTCAGAGGTGTTCGCCAATTTGGTCCATAACACAGTTGACCCAGACATTCGGGCATTGAGAGGTCAAGTAATCACTGTCGAGGTGTAAGTAATAATTCTTTCTTAGCTATCGACCCTCCCTACTATTGATACACTGTTAATCATATCGATTAGGTTGCATGCAATCCGTCTCAAGCAAACCTCGAATCCAGCAACCTGGGAAGAACCCCACGGAGGCTATCTGGGTTTCGTTACACAGGCGCTCCTACCGACATACTTACGCATCTACGTTGGTCAGTCCAAGAAGCCAAAACTTCGAATTCCGCAGCACATTAGAGAAATAATGAAGGGATCGAGGCGCTCTCTGCATTACTACATCATCAACAACGGACAGGGCTCAAGGCATGCTAACTTTATTCGACTTTGGACCATCCCATTTCCCCCGAGAATTGATAGCATGATAATGCTCGTCTTTGAAAACTTTTTGGAGCTGGTTATGTGCCGAGCCTTTCAATCGCTTCCTGCGTCGAGTCTAGAGGAGATTTTTGGGCCCTGCCCAGCAGGGCAATATTCTGGAATTGGTTTAAATGTCATGTCTCCTTTACTCCAGGGAAGGTCTCTGAGTCCCTACTCTCGCCATAAGGTTGTACAGCTTCTATCTGATTCACCAGATCACGAAATCCGTGAATGGGCACTTCATCGCAACAACGAAAATCATCAGCTACGCCGGACATCAAACTCTGAGGAATTGCCCATGAGAAGTCAAATGGATAAAGAAGGTTATGAAAGCGCTTTTTCCCAAGCCATTAGTACTAGTTTGAGCCTTGAAGAAGCCCCCTTAATTCAAGCTGGAGAGAATATCTGGGGGCCCTTGCAAGTGCACCTAGTAGATCCTCAATCCTGGTTTCGGTCAACAATGGCCAAGCTACAACAATATGATTCAACGATTGAAACTGGACCTAAGATGATCAGTCCTATCGGAAACTCTGAGGCTTCTATAGGAGTTGTCTTTGAGACTACCCCGCTTCATGACTATGAGGAGAGTGGCCAGGTCATTAGCATACCATGGGGCCTACGGGAGAGTGGCTTTCGGGCCTCAAACTCATTGATTTGGCCATTTGACCTTCGAAGATACGTTTACATACCAGAGAGATTTCAAGTGCAGTCTTTCTCCGCCTATGAGCGCAACATTTTACGTGATGCCTCTCAAGAGCTCATAGCTGGTACTCGTCTCCGAGTTATCATAATTTGCGGTGATATTGAAGAAATCATAGTCCCTACTGACGCAAAGAAAGTGGTCTTAACTCTAAACAATATGGCTTACAATACATGGGTCGAGATTCAGCAAAAGAAAATCGCAAGAGTATTCATTCGTGCACCGACCCCCTCTCTCTGAACTTTGGGCTAGCCATGGAAGACAAGCCTACGAGTTGACAAGCATTTTCAAGTTTGTTTCTGCAATCACCGATATCACAATATTTTCATCCTTTTATGAGTGCTCTATGGCTCTTGCTTTAATAGTTCGACGGTGGGCGGACGAGAGAGATGGGAAGATTCTTCCAGCTAGTCCTTCCGACCTTGAGCCAGTACTGAGGGTCTGGCTCGCTGACAAAGGATTCAAACAAGATGAAAGCCTACTACGTTTGGCAGAAGCTGTTGGAGGCTCCTTGCGATACGGACTTCTTGTTCTCACATTAAGTCTGCCGAAACCAAGGAGAGAAGGCCTTCGTCCTCAGAGAATCCCACGATCAAAGGCTGAAAGACGTCACGTTATCCCAGAAGATTTGCTCGACAGTGTTCGGTTGGTTTACAATGAGTTTTGCCCATGCCAAATGCCGGATCCCCAAGTGATCCATGATGAGAGCCCCCTTATCCAGGCGATGGATAACTTGGAACTCATTGACGATGAAGAACACCAGGATGTTTTCACTACTGGACCAGAACTGAACAAGACTCTGGGCGAAAAAGAGTCGCCGACAAGTTCGTTTTCTTTCCAGTCGGGACTCAAATTGTTAGTTGGAAATAAATTCCAAATTAAAGGAAGAGAACGCAGAGTGAACAGAGCGAGTTTTACCATTCAACATTGCACCATTTCATTCGACATGGAGCATCAGCCGACGGATGAGGATTTCTTTTGGGTGAAAGCTCGGCTTTCACCCATAGGCGAAAAAAATCCCCAGGCATGGGCCACAGCAGCCCAGGAGCAGGACCCCGGCGCTCGCCTAGCATTTCGGATTTACCGACAGGATGAGAATGGGTTTGAAATTTGGTCAACTTATGCTGCAAATGATAGCTGGGAAACAATCTGTCAAGCAAACAGTCTCGTCGATAAGTTTGAAGGGAGCAACTTTATCGAGCTCTGCACTAAGCCTCGAAGGTACATCTACATTGATGATCGATACACAGGGCTGAAGAGAGAATATCCGGAACTAATACCCTTCGTTGGTGGGGCATATACCGACGACAACATGAATGTGATTCCTGCCAAAAGTTCCCGCAGAGGCGAAAAACATACAAAGCCTAGAAAACGAAGACTTGAAGATGCGGATCCGCGTGCACACAAACGGGCTAGGGGGCCGGGTGAGGAGGGACTCGAATTGAAGGACTAGGTGATTTTTGGTGTTTTGAGGCGAAAAGGCTTCAAAAGATAACGAACTTCTGCTCGGTGGTCAGGCCAGGAATACCTTATGAATATCAGTCGGTACATAGGAAATTAAGCGAAGAAAAAGTGTGTAGACAAAGCGAAAATGCCCAGTAGGAAGATATATCAAGGCTACAACTCAATCAAGCTCTCCTCTACCGGTCGTGCGGCTTGCTGCGTCTGGCGAATTTCCGATGGGATGGGTATGCAGTGTAGGCAATACAGTGCTAGGCTATTATAGTCGAGTGTCTCTGAGTTGCTGGTGATATTGTGGAATATGCCGGTGTTTGGGCATGCTCGGGAAACTGCGGCCCTGGCCCACTGGGCTGGTATTGATAGTTCTGCCGCATGATAGGCGAAGGCTGACAAAAAGAATCAGAAAATTGGAGTTCTCGGTGGATTGAGAAGCGTAGTACTGTGCCAAGCCGCTGTAGAGTAGGTTTGAAGGGAGATGGGGTCTTTATGTTGAGTTAATGGAGAGGAGCCGCTCCCATCTGTGACGGGGAGCGATATGGAGAGGTTGAGCTATTTCGAGAAGGAGAAAGAAAGCCAAAGTGTGAACTTGGTATAATGCAGGCTGGGTATATGAATTGCTTGAACTGGTATTAATCATATCACTCTTATCAACAGGGCCCCTTGGCTGTTTGCCAGAGCTACAGCTGACTACCTATATGCGGATTCTCAAGATTGAGACGCTGTAGCCTGCAATACAACAATGAATGCGTATTGTCTTGGGCCATCCTTGCAGTTTTGTGCAGAATATAATAATTAGTCTCGCAGCCGCTCTTCCAACCACTGCTCAAAATACCTTTGAGATTTGGGACTAGGCACTTTTAAGATCTTGTCCATGACCATTTGCACATGAACTTCACCAGAGGCAATCAAAACCTGGGTCTGGGGGTTATGAATCTTGACCAACTGTTAGTATCGGAAGAACTGGTGGATTTAGGTGTTGATGGGATTACCTTGACTTTATCTGCAAAGGCAATAATGTCATCGAAAAAGATTTCGCATTCAGCGGCTAGGATGCTGAGTTGCTGGGTCTGTAAGTCTTTCCACCAGTCCGCTGGGGCTTTGAGAGGCTCGTTGTACGCATCTGTCTCTGAGTCGCCCAGGAACTTCTTTGCGGATATATCGAGAAGCCCTGGGTGCACATGGTCATGATAGAAATTGTATTTCATAGATGCTGCAGTCGTGTCGAACGTCACCCAGGGTGATATCAACAACGCCCCTCCCAGCTTCTCGTCATGGAGATCAATTGGGGGGATTTCAGGATGAGGATGAGCCAGATGAGAAAGAAGAGCTAAGATGATATTTACACCTGCCGAATCTCCTGCGATGAGAACCTTCAAATGGGGTCAAGAACAAAATTCGGTTGAAGAATCACTTGCTGGCTTACATCAGACGGTGCAATCTGGGCTGTTTCGGTCAGATATCGCAAAGCACTGACTGCTTGACGAAGTTGCAATGGGTATACACCCGCGGGAGCAATGGTGTAGGCGACAATAGCCACTGAGAGCTCGAGGTTTTGAGCATGGCATGCTTTCATGCAATCAATGAGCGTTTCGATGTGTTGTGGATGGGCAGGGTTGACATAGGCCCCTCCTGTCAGCTATCAGCAATCAGCAGTTCATGTTTCAGTGAGGGAATAATATACCATGGAAATAGAGGAGTGTCTTCCCAGAGCTCCTTTGGGGCTTCGATAGCCAGAGAATATCCGCGTCATTATCTATGGCAACAATATCCGGTGTCAAGCTGTGCTTTTGGACGGTGGTTCTGTATGCTTCGGTCGTTGTTGGTCGGCGCTTCCTGTTGATATACCGTTAAATGGCTGTAGTGCAGCTGGGCGTGGATAATCGCAAACGTACAGCAGCTGCTTATCTGGATCACGGAATGAAGCTGATCTGAGAAAGCTGTGGATCATGTATCTCTTGAATTTCAGCCCTTTGGGCTTTTTGAACACGCTTGCCGCGCATGCGACGAGGCAATCGCATACTGAAACAGTCGGTCAGCCGGTCTTATCTCCAGTCTAGACTAATTGACGACTTTCAACTCACAGATTGCCAGAAATATCCCGAGACGAGCTGCCATGATGCGAAATGTTGCCTGTGGACGGGTAAGGGCAGCAGGTTGATGCGATGGAGAATAATAAAAACGCAGGAACGAGGAGATATCAAAGACTCAGGGACAAAGAAGCAGTCGATGAAAGAGGGGGTGTGCATCTGGTCTTCTGATCCCAATCCGGACTAATCATGCACCCATCGTGGCCATGCAGCCATGAAAATGGGCTATGGCGTATTTTGTGCAACGTCAATTCCAGGAAGGCGAGATTTGCTGGTCCACTTGTTCGTCACGATCGATCGAACATGGTCTGAGCATTTACTCCATGTTCTCCTCTATATCGATACCTGGATGAAAAGATACAAATACTCTTCTCAAACACCCGATTGAGATGTCTGGGAACACGACAACCTTTTATCCACGCAACTGAGGACCAATTCAAATACAAGAAGAACAAAGAATTTCTTTGAGGATAAGAAAAAGCAATATAAAAACAATAACATAAGATTGACTCCGTGGATTCCAGGTAAAGAAAGGATAGACAATTATTGGAAAGCACAACTGCCATTACTCCGTACTAGTATTTTAGATCGAGGGTGATTGACTCGTGCACGTATATTTTCCTTTTCAATAACATGTTATTGTTTCAAGCGAGCTCACGATTTCTAATTCTCGTTGATCTTGTCTATCTTCGGATATCCTTCCTTGATGAGGTTCCCCGCTATCCCTCGACCTGCATATTTAGTACGCTTGATCACGGATTGAGGGAGAATCACCAAGCCATGAAGAATGTCCTCTACACAATCATAAATATACTTCAACAGAACGCTGGGGGGGGGAGAAGAATTCATGGGAAACAGGCCAAGACAATTGATCAGCTTTGCTGAAAGGGCGAAGAGAGAAAGACGGCAGCAAGTGGGAAAGCATGAGACCATGAATACAAGAAGATCCAATGGGTTGTCATTTTCAACAATGACGAACAATTGCCTGATGAAATCCGAGATCAGAGTGATCTACATTACGTTTAGTCCTACTTTTGATATGAAGAAATGCCATGAACAATTAATTTAAAGAAATCACAATCACCACGGCCATACAAGCTGCCGCGGAGTACATAGAGTACATAATATATGATACACAGGACTCCCTGAGACTTTTTTTTTCTGCCCAACATAGCGGAGTGGAGATGATGTGGAAGATCGCGGGTGTAAAGGATAAGGTGAGGTATACGGATGGAAGGATGAGGGGGAATGGCGTGTAAGACATTAAAACAAAAGAGAAAGTATTAAAAGGAAAAACAGATAGAAAGGAAAAGACCAAAACATGCTCGTACTATGCAAGACGCGCTCAAGAGGGGAAACCTTTAGAAACAAGGGGATGGGTTATGGATGGAGGGGAGGAGCTTAGAACATGCCACCGCCCATGCCACCCATACCGCCCATGCCGCCCATGCCACCAGCGGGGGCAGGGCCCTTCTCCTCAGGGGCCTCGACGATGGCGACCTCGGTAGTACCGAGCAGGGAAGCGACACCGCTGGCGTCAACCAGAGCGGTACGGACAACCTTGAGAGGGTCGACGATACCGGCACCGATCATGTCAATGTACTCGCCGCGAGAGCTGTCGAATCCGCGGTTGAAGTCCTTGGCGAAGTCATCGGTGAGCTTGCCAACGATGACGCTGCCCTCGAGACCGGCGTTCTCGACAATGGTGCGGGCGGGGCGGGTGATGGCGCTCTTGACGATGCTAACACCGAGCTGCTGGTCGAAGTTGTCGGGCTTAAGGTGGTCAAGGCCGTTGGCGGAGGCCTTGAGAAGAGCGGTACCACCACCGGGGAGGATACCCTCCTCAACGGCAGCGCGGGTAGCGTTCAGGGCGTCAACGACACGGTCCTTCTTCTCACCGACCTCGACCTCGGAGGCACCACCGACCTTGATGACGGCGACACCGCCAGAAAGCTTGGCGAGACGCTCCTGGAGCTTCTCCTTCTCGTACTCAGAGGTGGTGGGGTCAGCCATGACACCACGGATCTGCTCGCAGCGCTGGGCAATGGAGTCCTTGGTACCCTCACCGTTGAGAACAATGGTGTCCTCCTTGGTGATGGCGATGGAGCCGGTGGATCCGAGCATGTCAGGGGTGAGCTTCTCGAGCTTGATGTCAAGCTCGTCGGTGAAGACGGTACCGTTGGTGAGGACAGCAAGGTCACCGAGGATGCTCTTGCGGTTGTCACCGAATCCAGGGGCCTTGACGGCAGCGACCTGGAGCTGGCCACGGAGCTTGTTGAGAATGCAGACAGCAAGGGCCTCACCCTCAATGTCCTCAGCGATGATGACCAAGGGGCGACGAAGAGTGGTGGAGGCCTCAAGGGCAGGGATGATGTCCTGGACAGCAGAGATCTTCTTCTCGGAAAGAAGGATCAGGGGCTTCTCGAACTCAACCTTCTGGGACTTGGGGTCGGTGATGAAGTAGGGAGAGGTGTATCCACGGTCGAAGCGCATACCCTCGGTGACCTCAAGCTCGTCCTCAAGAGTCTTACCCTCCTTCACGGTGATGACACCCTCCTTGCCGACTCTCTCCATAGCGGTGGAGATGAGCTTACCGACCTGAGTGTCGCCGTTGGCAGAGATGGTAGCGACCTGGGCGATCTCCTCACCGGTGGTGATGTCACGCTTGTTCTGCTGGAGGTAGTCCACAGCGGCCTCAACGGCAGCCTGGATACCGCGGCGCAGGTCCATGGGGTTGCATCCAGCAGCAACGTTCTTGACGGTCTCGGAGAAGATAGCACGGGCAAGGACGGTAGCGGTGGTAGTACCGTCACCAGCGGATTCGTTGGTCTTGGAAGCAACGTCCTGAAGGAGACGGGCACCGAGGTTCTCGAACTTGTCCTGGAGCTGGATGGCCTTGGCAACACTCACACCATCTGTTTCGGTCAGCATCACAATTCTTCTTCGTATCCGGTGATAGAATTTTCTAAGGAACGGGAGTCGGTGAGAGTAACGTACCCTTGGTGATCTTGGGAGAGCCGTAGGGAGACTCGATGAGGACGTTGCGACCCTTGGGACCAAGAGTAGAGGTCACAGCTCTAGCAAGAGTGTCGACACCCTTGAGCAGCTGAGCACGAGCATCGACGCCGAACTTGAGGTCCTGGACGATGTTAGCTCAATGTTACCAGGAAGCCTCGGGAGTCGCGGAAAGCCAATCTGGCATCTCAATCGACTCAAGAGGCGGCAATGGAAGAAAGAACGAACCTTGTGAGCGAATCGCTGCTGTTGCAGGTTGAATCCAGAGGATCTGTAGAAGGGGGCGCGCTTGGAAGCAGCAGAGAGGACCGAAGCCCTGGAAGAGAGAGCTCTTTGCATCTTGTGAGAGGGAGAAAAGAAGATAGACAAACAAAAGAGATTAATTGGGAAGATAAGAGTGATGAATGGAATGAATTAACCCGATCACAACTCCCAGAGCAAGAACGGGATGGGGGATGATAGGAAGGAGGGAAGAAGAAGAAGAGATGAGAGGTGAAGCTGGGGAGATGAAGCCAAAGTCTGGAAAATTTTCCAGGCGTTTCTCTATCCCCGGATGTCTTGGCGGCAGAAGCTCCTAGAAGCTCACGTGACGCGTTCCCGAGGGAATATCCTCGGGTTGTCGGAAGAGGAAATCTAGACACATCATAGCCTGTATGGAGCCAACGTGGCTGGGGCTCATCAATGGCTGTTATTGAATGCGGACAAGTATTCGTTTCCTTTTTCAATTGAAGTAGAATATACTGTAATTCACTTCCATTCTGTTCTCAACGCTCACTAAGGCTACGGCATATATATTTACGCGCTTCCCGGTAAACGAAGATAGTATTTGGCAACTCAGGCGACAACACCTTTGAACATCAAGGCAGCGAACGTCAAAATATATTTTAACGATAATGGGTGTGTATCAATATTGCTCGCTAAATACTGCCGTGTTCTAGATCTTCTATGAATGGAATGAATGGAATCCAATACGCCGCAGCTCCAACGGCCCTGGCAACTAGCTATAATGCACAGAAATGACAAATGTTCGAAAATCAAGCCATGGAATCCATGAAAAGCACAGCGTCATGAGGTCATAAGGTCATAAGGCCATTAGACGGAAAGTTCAAGTCTTTTAAAGGCATCAACGCACAAAATCAATATGAAGCAAGATCCAAGATCCTGCCAGGCTGACCAATGCTCACTTGGGCATCCTGGCAGTATGGGGGCTTTACAGCGCCGTGCTGACCCAGAAACAACGCAAAGCACGGAACGAAAGGACAAAGGCAAGGACCAAGAAAGACATGAAAGCCACTTCTTCAGACAAGCTGGCCCCATTTTTCGTCTATTGGGCTAGATACCATTGTCTGGAGCTTCGAACGATGGAAACATTTCGCCAGAGTTGACCAAATCTCCATTAAACTGTTGGAAGTCGTCGCTTAGAAATGGGCTCGGCATCATCATGCCACTGGCAAAGCCAGCGGGCTGGTCAAGGTTGTATTGCGAAAAGATACCACTCCGGTATTCGCTATATGGAGTAATGAGGTGACTCTGGTCCTGTTCAAAGGCAAGCAGAGCATTGACAGTCCCACTAGGAGCAACTTGGTATATATGAGAAGAGTTTGCCGCGGGCATATAATCTGCAGCCATGTCATGGCTTGCTGGAAAACCGGCATAAGTGTCCGTGTCCTGGAACTGCCCCAAAGTCTGTCCTGAAAAGTCCTGGTAAGAAATTGGGTAATCTCCATGTCCATGCAGGTTGAATGGTTCGGTTTTAACCAATTCGGCTTGCTGGTACTCAGGTGCGAGATAATGGCTGTAACAATCGGCTGTCTTCTTGTACTTGAGTACCACGATTTTACTTGGTTTTGGTTTGGGGCTTGGGCTTGGGCTCGTAGGAGACTGATGTGCAAGTGACGTCTGTCTGTCGTTTGGATACTCCAGGAACTTTGCACCGGGAACCAAGAGCTCATCATCATCATAGGCCTCTGCATTACTACCAATCTCGTCTGACCCAGTATAAGATTCATGTTTGATCACAACATCATCTGTAGACTGGGCATTTGACTTCTTCATTTTAGTCGACTTCTTGTTCTTTTGAGAAGTTTTCTTATTGTCATAGTCTTCATCAGATGAATGATCTGGGCATAGGTCCATGATTTCATCTTCAATATGAACCGGATTGTTTACACCCTTATGTTTGACAGGCTCGCCCTTTGAAGCCGTTGATACAGGTGTCTTGACTGAAGCTCCAATACCACCACGGCGAAGGGGTGGAGGGACGTCCTTCTTCGCAGCGAGCCGACGAGTGCGCAGTTTCGACAGATGCTGTACGATTGCCCCTTCGGTCACATTGTGCCCCATTGTATTAGCGACATCGGCCCAGGGAATCTTGATGGAGTTTGCATTGCAGACAGATTGCACGGTCAAAAGGAGGAGTTCGTCCAGATTATCTGCAGATGTTAGCTGGAAGAAATCTAATCCCGTCGAAAACGAGCCCCGTGCTTGACATTATATTGTCAAATGGAAACATGATGTCATATATTTGGCCTAAAGGGTGTGTGGTCTGTTTCTGAGGGAAGTCGAGGACAACTTCCCTAGTTTCTGGGGCCATTTTGACAGGGGGAAGCCTAAGGGAAACTCACCATCCCATCTCACAAGAGTACGCTTCTTAGGTCGGTTGGAAGCCTTTGGAGAGCCCATTATATCCACAGTGTCACCTTTATATCCTTGGTGACTGTGAGGGGAAGGAGTAGGTCTGGAGGTGGAAGGTGGAAGACTGTCAGCGCGTTGGGACGCGTCCTCGCGTCTGCTTTAGGAAGGAGGAAGTGAGAGAAAATCAAGACCAGATTGAGATCCGTGGAATAGGTTTTAAAGCTTCAAATGAGGTGAACGGAAAAATGAGGTGAATAAGAGAAGAATCAATATACTGAAGCAATGTCTTTCTTGAAGTAAGTCTTGTTCAGCTCATTCATGGAGGTACTTTGGTTGGGAAGTGTCCTCAGACTGAGGTATAAGTAGACACAAACTCAACTCATGTTACATGGTGGGGTAAAAGAGACTGGCTAATCTCTAGCGTCTTTGATATGAAGCGATTTCATTAGGATATCGACATCGATATCGGTGATACTTTCCATGCAGGCTGCCACGACTATCTCTCATATTTCGCCAACGCTATACCCAAATTTCCAGGTCTAACTATCTAGGCGGTTCTCAAATCATATATTACAATATAATAACAATATTAAGAACATTTGTCGAATGTCGAGGAGGATATCGAGATCCGTTTACTCTGTGGAGATTGCCTGTGATCAATCTTCACTACTGTGGCAACTACTTTCTAATCTATAACCATAATTTTATATTATTTAGTTTCTATATCCAGACTCTAAGAATACCAATTCCTTGTTTGTCTGTGAAGAGTAACAAAACACGTTTAGCGAAAGACAACAGTTGAATAGCATAATGGTTCTTCGCTTGGTGTTTATACAGGTGCTGAACGCTGATGGCTAAAGAAGAACGACCAGATGGTCAATATAAAAACGTCCCATAGATTCATATAGATAGATCACTGTAAATTCTCGATTTTCTTACTGATCCATCATCCCATGAATTGGTTATATGCTGCTTCAATCGCTCATAGTTCGACGTCGGGATGCAACCAAGTCACGTGTGTCACATGACCTGAGTTCCCGATCCTCCGAACCCGACGCTTTCCAAGGCTTCACATATTGACGACCGACCGCCGTTTTTCCCTCCCCAATCGAAACTCCCTCCATCCTCATTCTACCGCCAAGATGACTTACTGGAAAGCCGCTGGTTTGACGTATGCACAACTCCTTTGTCCCCGACTTCCCCGGACGTCTGAACCGGCTAGATCGCTGACCCTCTCTCTCCTATAGCTACAACCGCTACATGGCCGTCGCTGCTCGTGCGGTCCGCAACTCCCTCAAGGACGGCCCTCGCCTCCAGGCTGAGCGCCGTGGACTGATGGACTTGCGATTTGCCAAGTGGGAGGTTCGTATTTGAATGCTTTGTTATCTCCGGCCACGGGGGTATAATCGGTTGAGTGGTTTGACTAACTCATCTTGTTTGGAAAAAGAACGGCAAGCAGGGCGAAGTCAAGCACGTTGCTGATGCCAACAAGTCCGGCATGGCCGCCCAGTCCGAGTCGAAATAAACGAATCTCCCCCGCGAAGTTGACCCGATGACATAGCGAGACTGCTTTGGAGGAGACGAGAATTGCAAGTGGAAGCTTGATCCGGAGCAGGACTGGATGTTTGTAGCAATATTGGCCCGTTTGTCTGGCATACATAGAAATAGCAGTTGTCTTCCTGCGGTATCGAATATTCACTGTCTTATTTCCGCACCATATACCCCCGTAGAAGACCCGATATTCCGCCCGTGCCTGACCTCCAGCGTACCTTGGAGCGTTACTGCGGGTTGCGTTGCCGCAAGTTTCGTCGTGTCCGCCCGACTCCCCGCCTCCCCTCGTTCGGCCTTCCACCCCTTCACCGTCCATCTTCATCATATCTCGACCTACTCGTTAATAAAGGTTTGATCTGGCAGCGGGCTGCAGGTTGTCCTATTTCCTTATGCTGCCCAACAACCAAGTCCGCGTTCCGACGATGCGAGTCGTTTCGCAGTCCATCGTCCCACGCGACATCACAGACGAGTTCACAAATGCTGCCTCAAGTGAGACGACTCTACAGTTGTTTTTATATATTTTTTAACTCGGGAATTGATCTGCCTTCCTAACGCATCGATCTTACTTAGAATTACGCACCGGGCAGCTTGTCAAAGATGAATACTTTACACTGTTTGAGGCAGTGGGTGCATTGGAGGTGTGTGACGACTTTACTTATCTGCTGGCACAGGATATTAGAAGAGACTCGACCAGAAGCTGACAGTCGCTGGAAATTCAAGATCATGGACCCAAAGATGGACAGTGGATATATTGGGCCGGGGAAAAGCCATGCGCAAGCCTTGGAAGACGACTACGATGTTATGCGTGAGCTGGGTCCCGAAGAATTGGTGGGCATAATGGACCAGCTACTTTGCCACGAGGTAGGTATATGTGCTTCGTGAAAATTTATCGTTCACCCATGGAAGCTTTACTGAGAACAAATTGTTATGATAGATGGCATGGCATATGGGACACCCTCTTTCGCAGACGCTTTTCACTTCCTTATACCTCGACAAGCTACTATGGCCGGTACCCAGGACCGTTGAGGAGGCTCGTTTTGATCGCGGAGGCACAAATGGAAGCAAAGATGGGTCACCAATGGTGCGACTAGTACTGCGAGCATACTGTCTTGCACTGGTCAAAGCCTGTGACTTTGTTCATGCACGAATCGCCACCGAGTATTACTACGAGGTTAGTGATTGGTATAATTTAAAAGCTACACCGATGTGCTAATGGGTATCAGGAGGAGGACTTTGTTACCCAGCTCTACAACCGCAGCCTACTATCACAATTCGATATTGAGCAGTTTCTAAAGCTAATCGACGAGGCAGTTTCTTGGGTGGATCAGCAGGAAGGCAAAATCGATGAAAACGTGCGAGATGCGATTAAATGCAGGCTGATATTTCGGCGCAACTTTCTGATTGCGCTTGACCAGGATGTTGATGTAGTACAAACCAGGTCGACGGAACATTTTGCATCTTGTTTGTCCCAGCTATCTCAACTGACCCAGTCTACCTCTTTGGGAAAAGCTATACCGGAGGCCTTTAGTCTGAAGATCCAGCGGAAGTTAGCTAGTACGGTACCACCTCGACCTATGGTAAATATTAGCTCCGAGGATGCGCTGGCGCATCTGAGACGGCTGTGCCAGGATGCGATTGACCTAAAGGAGATTCTTGAATATCGAGGACCTTCCAATTTCAAGGTATGGTCTTCTACAAGCTTGTTCTGTCTTTCGCCTGTGCCTAACTTTTCCAGGTCGCTCTCTGGTCATTGTTGTCTCGAAAACCCCAGCCTTCGGTTTATATCAGATCCCTTGCCCAGACCTTGATTGTGAATGATATGAGCATCTTGGGCGCCGTTTCAGTCAAACAATTCCTGTACGACGACCTTGCAGAGCTAGTTCTCCCCTCCAGCATCCTTCTTCAAGCGAACATGGATGAGACCGAAATGCCATCCGACCCTCGGTTTCAGATTGCTAAGAAAATGGACGATTTTGTGAAACGTTTTGCCCAGGTGCGTTTTAATCTTGTTAGATGGGAAATGTATGCATGAATCTAATTGAAAACACAGCCTTTTGTCGACACATATCGAAGTGCCTGTCTCAACAGATGTCGCGTTCGTCGAACAGTTTGCCATACGGTTTCTGATTGGGATAACCTACAGATGGAGGTATGGTTACACACGTAGTATTTTTGGCACAACACCTCTGATTTGTCATACAGGCCGAGGATCTCGACGTCCAGCTTCAGGGTTTGAGTCAAGAAACGCCATTGACATTTCGCCATGGCGAGCCCACTTATTCGTTCCCCCTCAGCAGCTGGGCCTACCACCAGAAGCTGAGTCAATTTCGTCTTGTTCTCCAACTCGGATTCGAACTCTCTATATACTCACCCGAAGAGCTTCCTGGGATATACTGGTACCTTTCACATATTTGCTCTACTCATCTTGCCCATCTCGATCGAATTCGGACATTTACCATTGCTGCGACCAAACGAAACATACCGTCCTTGGCGGGAAAGAGTCGAGATGCTCTTGAACGCCACCTCGCTCTTCAAAAGTCACATCGTCTTCTCGAAAGGCTTACTACACAAATTGTCGCCATCGATGCCTTTGCGATAGGTCTACATGCTTTGTATGTTTTGCTTGCTCGCCACAATCTCTTGCCGACGGCGTCTTCGGCACAGGCATATTCTAGTGATCGGCTGCGTTATGAAATCCGCATGAAACCTTTTATCTCAATCACTCTACCCGAACTTGTTCCATATGAAGAGTACCGCCGTGAAGCAACACTGGACGGTGACAGCGACGCGACAGTCATAGAACGTGCCACAAAGGCTACTGCTGAAGCGCGGAAGGCTTGGGAAGCCACACTGGCTAATGGAGCATTCCTCAAAGAACAGCAAGACCAAGCCAGCAAAGCGTCGGCTATAGAGGAAGACTGGAAACGTGATGTTAAGGACACGATGCGGGCATGCATCGGCTCCAGCATTGCGATCCAGACGGTGAAGAAAGCGTTGGCCTCCCAGGGGGGGTCAGAAAAGGGTTCTGCCAGCGATGCCAAGTCACAGTCAAACGACAGTCAGTCTGTAAACTTGAAAGTGGATATCCCTGAAGTGGGCTCCAAGAATCGCTGGCACGACTGGTGGGTTGTGCCACAAGTTGCTGAAGTCAAATCGGATTTGAAGAAGTGAAGTGAACTGTCTTCAGCTCAGCATCCATTCTCAATCTTTTGGGTATTTTCCGGAGGAATTGTATAATGAAGTCATGTATAAGCTAGGCAATATAGACCAGATTTGATTAATGATGGCACAATTTCAAGTTGGAGTATCACCAAAGTAACTTTGATCAGAGATAAAGATCCTTTCCTAATAAATAGCTAGCTTGGATATTTATAGTTAGATCGGAGAAATACTCCACAGAAGTTAGAAGTGTGGCTATAATCGACATACTGTACTCCTATTAAGGAATTGACGACGAAACCACCAGTGTTCTCCTTTTTTTATATTAATATCTATATAATTCATAATTCGAATCAATGCAATCCCTTATTCAAAATAAAAACTAATCTAACACCGTATAACATGCCATTTCGGGAGTTTTTGCCCTGCCGAGAAAAACCGAGATCTCATATGATTTCTTCGCATCGTCCCCATCCAGACGGACAACGGGCAAGATCGAGTTTTCCCCTCGTTTTGAACCATCGTCATTACGGCCAGTCCATCGTGAACGGCGTTTTGATTTTCTCGTTCTGAGCAAATCGGAGGAATTAAGATGACAATCATCTTTGCTCACGGACCCTCATCGAAATAACGGCTTTCCGATCCATGGAATGATCATCGCTGCCCCATCTCTCGCATAACTTGCTCTCTCTCTTGCTCGCTTGCTGCTGTCATATCCAGATCGATCGAATTAACTTTCCCACCTGTTCGTCTTTTTTTTCCCCTTTAGCTTTCCTGCAAGCTCCTTCGTGATCTGTTCTCCATCTTCTATCCAACCCCCGAATTCACTTTTTTTTTGGGATCAAGAAACGAGCCCGATTAAACCCCTCTCGCGGGGCGGCAGAAGCGCCAAACCATGCCTACGTATCCCATCCGACGCAGGCCACGCGAGTGCAAAACCTGTCTCCCTTGTCGCGCCAGCAAGGTCCGGTGCGATCGCAATGTTCCCTGTGGGAACTGCGTGAAGCGCAATTTCGACTGCTCCTACGGTCGTCCTCCGCCCAAGCCGCCATCGTCTCTTCTCCCCGATCGGTTTCTATCGGTTCCGGCGACGACAGCAGGGACGGCGAGCTCCAATACCGCTGCAACTACACCTCAACAACCGTTATATTCCTCATCCTCGTTTCCTACGTCTCCGTACGCTCCATCGTTTCGGAATCAGCCAGATAATCACGATGTGTCTTACAATTTCGACTCGGCGGCTGCTACCCTCGATTCAGAAGGCCAAGACCCTCCGTCGGATACCGTGACGATTTCACAGGGGGAATGGGATGATATCAATACCAAGATGAGCGCGATGGAACATATCCTGGCCAGTTTACATTCGATCTTCCAAACCCATTCCGCACAGAAACCTCGCGATCCTTTTCCGGAAGACAGCCCCAACAAAGATCACACCCCCCAATCTGAAGGCATCTATGAACCGAATTCTTTGAAAACAGGGGCCGTCCACATTGGTTCTCGGTCCGCTTTGGTCGATATCATAGATAAATCCAAGGATTCCGAGGAGACAGCGCAGGCGCTGCCCAAGGATGATATTCTCGCAGAGCTGGCTCTGGGGAACGAGTCCGCTGCCTATCCGTTTGTCGACCTTTGGTCGTCAGATCCATTTACTTTTAATATTGCAGGCGTATGTGCTGTTCTTCCTGATGATGAAAAGTGTCACAAGTATGTCGCCGATCTGGGTATTTTCCCTGGTGTGTTGCCGTGATTCGTGGCTGACATTTCCTGCAGATTTCTAGATTTTTACAAAGATATCGGCGCAGTTCTGTATCCTGTTCTGAGCGATACCGACGGGTTAGAACATAATATGAAACGGCTGCTGCGAGGCAGAGTACACGCGGGTGGTGTCTACCGGCCCGATGCCAACGGGTTGGTGAAACCGTTTGGCATGAGTCTAGGTTTTCTCAGTCTTCTCTTCGCCGTGTTGGCCTCTGGATGTCAATTGTCGAATCTGACCAGTCGAGAACGCGAATTGACCTCCTGGGTATATGGTTTGTGCAACCTTTCTATTTACTAGTGGTCATCGATCGAAAGCTGACGCGTTTCTAGTTTCGTGTTCCTACCAGTGTCTGCGTATGATGAACTATGTTTCACAGCCCACGGTGGAAGTAATCCAGATTCTATTAATCATCAGCAATGTTTTATCATATAATATGAATGCAGGGTCCTCCTATACCTTGCTCGGTGAGTGATGTCGGTATTGGGGATCTCTTCAGCTGCTAACATGTGCTTCCGCTAAGGGATGACCGAGAGAATGTGTATGGTTCTTGGTCTCCATGTGGAATCGTCTGGGTTTCCGCCATTTCATCAAGCGGTCCGGAGACGAGTTTGGTGGGCCATGGCCTTTCAGAATAGTCACTTCTCCCTCGCCTATGACCGGCCATCAATCACCATGGTCAGTCAGCCGGAAATCCCCTTCGATCCCAAGTCCATGCCTGGATATCGATCATATTTTGAGACGCTCTGTCGTATCGTCTACCTTGCACTTGAAGTGATGCGTGGGCGAATGGCTTCGAATCATACTCATTTGCGATATCATGAGATCCGTGAATATAAACAACGGATGCAGCGAATCCTGGCCGAAGCCACCCCCCATCTGCGTTACCGAGAACGCTGCCTCACCCTTGCCGAACATATTGAAAGGATGGAGCTCCGGTTGCATTCATCCTATCTCCTCTCAGTCCTGTGTCGGGTATCTTTAGATCCAGATTCGCATCTAGACGACCATCGACGGGCTATCGTCCGTGACGACTGCATCACCAATCTGCTCAACACGATCGAAGCATTTGTCGAGTTGCACTCGATAAATCCCCATTGTTCGCGCTCCTGGATCAGCCTGCAGAGGACAATTGCATCCGCATTCCTCCTAGTCACTAACGACGATGGCCAACGTCGCCCGCTGACTTGGGAACTGATCGGAAAACTGGAAACTGTTCTCTCGGATCACGTATATGCCGACGGAGCCCTTGATCAGAACTCCCGGACTGATTCAGCCAAACACTTGGCTTCGTCACTTCGTGCTCTGCGAGAGGTCAGCGCTGCGTTTCACGCTAGCAGCAAACCAGGTCTGGAGGCCCTGAGTGCTGTTCCCAAACTCAGTCCGACCACGGTGTTACCCTCACCCGCATCGATGAAAACTAGTCCTGTGGCAACGGCTATGGCAGGTCAAGTCCTACCGACCGACGATTCGAGTATGCGCAACATGCTAGGCCATGTATCGGAAGTGATGATGTTTCCCAGCATGGGCATAGGCGAACAACAATAACAGTGCTGGGCGCATGTGCAGGAAGGTTCGGGGGGAAACACCTAATATATACCCTCGAGGGAAAAGGTCTTGAGGGTCTCTGTTAGCCACCCCCTATTGGGCGATCTTTCGAGGGGCAAACACTACCATAGAAAACGGTAATAACAATAATGATCCTAATATGGACATGGATCCAACAGGACGTCCATGTCTCAACTCCCCGAATCACATCGATGATTGCATCCAAAGAAAACTTTTTCAAAGAAGCGATCTCCTTTTCGATCGCGTAGGCCGTATACAGTATGACAAGAAAAGTGCGAGGCGGCGGACAGAGCGATGGGGAGAGAAACTGAGAAATGCCAATCCTCATTTCATTTTGGTGTTGTCTATAACCGACTAGATCCGGCCGAAAAATGGCCGTTTCCCCCGAAGTGGGGGGTTGGACGATAAAAGCAAAAACTGAAGATTTGGAATTATGGAACCATCGCCAGTGAGGATGCGTGATGGCGATGAAGTCGGACACTCTGACTCGGATTCACCTCAAGATCCACGGTTTGTGATCTACCGGAAACGTGGTGATGCCCCCACACGTCTATACAGACTGCATCACCTGTGTCCACAGTCTCCATCACTGCTGATAGTATACAGAATATCGAGAGGGCGTCAACATCTCATGATGCAGTAATGTCGACATTCTCATCTCGACATTACAAACAGAATGAGCCCAGACAAGTCCATCTCCAATCACATCAGAAACAAGCTAATGGCCATGATGTTTCAGTCGGATCCGGATTTCTTGACATGTGAGGTGTTTTGTTAACACCGACTTCGGTTTCTCCGAAGGCTGGATGAGATGAGTCCAACACAACCGAACCATGGTTGTTTCATTGGATATGACTACATACGAAGCAACGATGGAACGAACTGGTGATGGCTTCGGATCCGAGATGAAGCTTAAAGCCTGGAGGCGGCGAATTCTCTCTGACTCTCTCTCCCATGAGGGGTAAACCTTCGGGTCCGAAATTTATCTATCTTATCGCCAATAGGATGGACTATTCCAACTTTCTACGGAGTAACTACTTCCAAGTCCGGAGTTGCCGGAAATTGCATCGACTACCTACACTCTAGTACACTACACAAAAGTATTTTACAATATGGAAAGACGGTGAGATCTGCATTTACCTCTTCGAGGCATGATAACTAATGAGAGAGTTTTAGACCTGTCATTAAACCTGTTTCTGGTTTAGAGTGTATACATCTCACATAGGCATCCAAGTATACCGGGATCTCGTTCCTTGATCATGCGATATTTACCTATGCAATGACCGGGATTGCAATATGCGAATGAAGTTATACTCGTGCCATGGCAGCTTCTTGGTAAAGTCCACTGCAAGAGCATCACCTGATGTGCATGACTTGCCCTGTGCTCTTTGGATAGGTTTCGGCGGGGTGGCAATCTGAATAATGAACGTGGGAATGGATTGATTTGCAGTGCATTCTGGAAGTCTGGACTATGCTGGTTAGGAAGCAAGTCGACTTGTTCTGAGAAGGTCACTTGTGGTTTTGCCGTCTAATGAGTGACCTGTGAGCGTGATAATCGACGATTCTGTATAAAGGGGCACCTTGCCAACAGATGTGTCGCTGCTTCACATATCTTCGGGTCGCCTCGATCCAGGTTGGAACAGACTTAGACAATGAAAGTGCCTCATTTCCTGGTTCGTCTTTGATCATACTTATGGGAAATTAAGCTGTGTTGAGAGCAAGTACATAATATATCAGACCGACACTCTCCCAGTAACTCTATTCAGAAATATCTAGACAGAGTGCAGAGAATTGTCGCTTAGAAAATGAACGTACAACAGAGAATGCCTCTACGGTATATCGAGATGCAAAAAAAAATATAGCAAAAAAGAATCTCTCCCTCGGGGAATCGAACCCCGGTCTCCCGCGCTTATCAGGTTAATGACAAGCGGAAATCATGACCACTAGACCAAGGAAGATTCCAACTGAGTTATCTCAGTTGCTTGGCTGACAGGCTGATCGGTCTTTGAATATATAAAGCAGAATTCATTGTTTGTTGATGTAGTGTTATAAGACAATACCATCACTCTATGATTTTAATCACTTGATATTTCATATCGCTATATTGAATCTAAGCTGCCTAAAATATATAGACCCAGAATACAATTATATAAATATTTGCTGTGATTGCCTACTATTGAGCAAGTCGATATATATTTAGACGCAAATGCGACTCTGACATGCTACACCAGGACATCAATCGAATAGTGTATCACATACAACTAAAAACGCTCACAATGACCTTCTACATTAAAACAGTCTACAATCGAACCAAGAGATGTAATTTAAGCACTGCCCCAGACTCAACAAGGCTGGCAGTAGCCCATTTCCCTAAAGAGGAAATCCGCGTCCGATCATCAGGGGCCGAAATCAGGCATGCAGTCAGTCAGTTGAATCGATCCCGCACTGTTCGCAACAGGATCAAATGCGATATTTAGAATGCTGATTCAACGCAGCCTTGATAAAAAGAAGATGAGTAGATTCAGCAGACATCGAGAAGAATGAAATCCGACCGCAAGGCCACCAGTGGAAACCAAGGCTAAGATCTCACTCCATCTTACTCGTATTCAAATCTCCATCCCCAAGTTTGGATGATCTGTCTCAGTCTCATTCCTCAACCAGGCCAAAAATGGCATTTCTTCTGCGAGCTAGACGAATGCTTCTGCATGATGCACATCTTTGCCGTTTCTTCACTGCGGGTGGGTTCGTCTTCGCACTTTCGAGCCATTCACGGTTGGTGGAAATAGGATCGACAGTCCCCAAAAAGGAAATTCATGTCATCGCAATGCAGCTTATGTGCTTATTCTCAAGGGTCCAAACTGGTGTAGAGGTGCGGACTGATTGTTCGCCATGTGAGAGGCTATATAAGGCGCGCCTCACCTGATCTGCATGAAATCAGCCATCATCACCTCTCAAGTGACAATGGGAATCATCTCCAGACTCTCTGTCCTGACACTACTGTCTGGTCTCGCAGCTGCTTGGCTGCCCGAGACTGACAAGCAAATCACCGCTTCTAATGGAACCAACCTGTTTACTCCATCCAAGGGCAAGATCCGCGGCGTGAATATGGGCTCTCACCTCGTGTTTGAGCCCTGGATCGCCGAAAACGCCTGGTCCGATATGGGCTGCAAGGGCCAGAAGTCGGAATTCGACTGCGTGTCCAAGATGGGCCAGGATGCCGCCAACAAGGCCTTCGCTGGTCACTGGGATTCCTGGATCACCGAGGATGATATCGCAGAGATTGTGAGCTATGGTTTGAACACCATTCGCATTCCTGTCGGATACTGGATCAAGGAGGATCTCGTCTACTCGGATAGTGAGCACTTCCCTCAGGGTGGGTTCGACTACCTTGAGAAGCTCTGTGGATGGGCTAGTGATGCTGGTCTGTATATCATCATGGACCTCCACGGTGCTCCTGGAGCGCAGACGGCCAAGAATCCCTTCACTGGTCAATACGCCGATACTCCTGGGTTCTACCAGGACTACCAGTATGAGCGTGCGCTCAAGTTCCTCGAGTGGATGACAACGACCATCCACCAGAACGACAAGTTCCGCAACGTGGGTATGCTCGAGGTTGTCAACGAGCCTGTCCAGAATGCCGATAAAGTCAAGACCATGCGGACGAGCTACTACCCACAAGCCTTTGACGTGAGCGCTTCTATTCAGTCACCGAGAAGAGAGCTAACACCGCGAATAGAGAATCCGCGCAGCCGAAAAGAACGCCACCGTTGACAAGAAAGATTACCTACACATTCAGATGATGGACAAGCTCTGGGGATCCGGCGACCCCAACGAGTCCCTGAAAGACCTCTACTACGCCGCATACGACGACCACCGCTACCTGAAATGGGCCAACGTCGACGTCTCCAAGGACAGCTACATCAGCACCTCATGCAGCGACGAACTCAACAGCAACACCCCCACCATCGTTGGCGAATGGAGTCTGAGTGTTCCCGACGATGTCGAGTCCCACGATGACTGGAAGCCCGATGGCAACCAGGATTTCTACAAGAAGTGGTTTGCGGCCCAGGTTACGTCGTACGAGAAGCAGCAGGGATGGGTGTTTTGGACTTGGAAGGCTCAGCTTGGGGACTATCGCTGGTCTTATCAAGGTATGTGCAGCTGTGATTTCTACGGATGATGAAGCTAACTTGGATAGATGCTGTTGCGGCTGGCGTGATTCCTCTTGACTTGAACTCGTTGGCTGATATGGGAGTCTGCAAATAGATCATGAATATACTGCATGTTTACTAGACTATCTTATCGTTTGCATTGATTAATTTGTAGGATTATATTTATGTTTATTAAGGAATGCAGACCTATTCATGCTGCATTCCTTATATCCATGACTGTTAAACGCAACCAATCTAAAGCATACATCAGTCTGACACGCATATTATTAAACTCGAGACCAACTCAACCTCACTGTCTAAGTCGAATATCATTGTAATTCTAGAACTAACCTGAGTACCCAGATCGCACGTCTAAGCAGATACTCTGTACGACATGGCAATCTGGGTTGGATAAAAGAGAATCCATCTAGTGTAGTACAGAACTTATCAGTGCACTGATAATAGATGGCTCTATTTGGCTGTTGAATTGCTTCCAATCCAATATATCCATTCTTAGCAAAATTGAAGCTATTCAGTCCGGTGATTCCCCGTTACCGGCACAGATGAAGCGGAACCGGGATTCTTCATGATAAATTCACAACATTCAACATCTTCTCTTCTTCACTTCTTGACTTACTCCTTCCTCCCCTATACTGAGCCAGAAATCTGAATACCAGCACCGTTGATCTCACCATGGGCAAAACAGTTCTCCTCGTCCTCGATGTCCAAAACGGCGTCATCCAGCTCCTCAAAAACATGGACACCTACCTTGACCGTCTCGCTCCGATCATCGAAACAGCTCGAGACAAATCCATCAAAATCATCTACGTGACCACTGCCTTTCGCCCCGACTACCCCGACCTGCATCCTCGCAACCCTTCCGCCCCCCGAGTGATGCCGTCCAAGATGTTCCTCGAAGGCGACGCATCAGTGGAAATCCACCCATCCGTGACTCCAGTCCAAGGCGACGTGATAATCACCAAACGCCGCGTGTCGTCCTTTACGGGGACAGAGCTTGACCTCGTCCTTCGCTCTCTCGGAGCAGAGCATCTTGTCTTGGCTGGATTGAGCACAAGCGGTGCTGTTCTCTCGACTGTTCGTCAGGGTGCTGACTTGGACTATTCTCTTACCGTGTTGGAGGATCTCTGCAGAGATCGTGATTATGAGCTTCATGATGTGTTGATGAAGAAGGTGATTGCGAGACAGGCGCAGGTGGTATCTTCTGCGCAGTGGGTTGCTGGATTTGGAGATGAAGAGTGATTCTGATAATGGGATTCATCATTGACGGTTATTGTCTCTTTTGTGTGGGCAATTTCTCTTTCGTGTCCTTTTCGTGTCCTTGACTTCTTTGTGTCTTGTCGATATTTATTTGTTGGCTTGACGGATTTCGCAGCAAAGAGGTGTCGGCGGAATTCCATACACCAGGAGATGAAGATTTCTTTTCTCTTTTTCTTTTATTCCAATATTTTCGTATTTCCAGTAATCAAAAAAAGAGGAAAAGGGCATCTTGGCCAGCGAGTTCGCAATTCTTCTCTTTTTTCTTTTTTCTTTTTCTTAAGAGTCTAGGTTCTGCTTAGTCAACATGCAACTGCTGCACCTCGAATTCCAACCAACTTGCAATAATTTCATCCGTTTTTCCCTGCCGAACCGCTCTGAAAACTGGATTGCTGATCAAAGACTTCTCCATGAAGACGAGGCATTAAAGTAAAGCAAAGCGAAAGGCAAGGATTCTCCTTTGTGTGTCATGGCTGGCGACCGCCCCAAGAGGGCAAGGGCCGGAGCGTGCCAGAATTGTCGGTGAGTTACCAACTTTTGCTGCGCACCCTTTTTCCTTCATCCACGAAAAGGGATTGCGTGTTGAAACTAAAGCCATCCAGGGTTCGTAAGAAACGCTGCGTGCCAGGCGACCGCTTGGATCAGTGTCAGCTGTGCGAATCGCTCTCAATTCCGTGTAGTCTGAGCCTGAGCCCCGGGCAGCATGTGCCATCTAATCTCCCGACAAGAAGCCTGCAAGTCAGGGAAGAAGATGCACCCACGCCCAAACCCCTGCCCGCCAGGCCGGATTTGGTGTTGTTTCGTGAAAAGCAGCCCAGGGAGGCTCAGAGAGAGCCTCCTCGGGTGGAAATTGTCTTGACTAATGAATTGGCGCTGGAATTGGTGTCGATTTATTTCCGCTATATTCACAATGTCGCGCATACCTTGTTTCATGAAGCCAGCTTTATGATGCGGCTGAAACAAGGGAGAGCGTTTATGGTGCATGTTTACGCAATGTGTGCTCTCGCTGCTCGGTATGTTATGTTTACGCTGATTATTTCTAGGTCGTGTGGCTAATAGTAATTGGCAGATTTTCGCATCATCGCGCGTTTGATGAGATTGCTCCTCATGCGCGTGGAAAGAGCTTTGCTGCGACGGCTGTGACTCTGCTTCAGCAGCAAAGTATGTACGCGAGCTTGCAGACGGTTCAAGCTTGCGTTCTTCTTGCCACCTTGATCGGTGGTGATGGAGAAAGCCAGACCAAGCAGGTTTACGACAGACTTGCCAGGCAACATGCCGAAATTTTGTCCCTGTGGGTGATGCCGGACGGGATTGGTGTCATTGATAGAGAAGAACGTCGACGCACATGGCTTTCTGTCTGCATTGCCGACCAATGGTCTTCTGCTAACCTGTCCGTGGAGCCCGTTCCACCACCTGCCCAGGAAGTACTTCCAGCAGTAGACGATGTGGAATTTCACACATATGATCCGGAGCTGCTTCGGGAAGATTATGCTTCATCTAGATGCAATATGTGGTCTCATATGACACGGGCACTCGAAATCTACACTGGAATTCGTGGGCTTTTGAGACGACTTAGCCGGGGTATGATCTCCTTTGATACGTACCGCGTGGAGGTTTCGTCGTGGCGACAGCATTTGGATCGATGGACCGAGCGATTACCAGAGGGAATGGTCTACAGCACGGCCAATATCAAATCGTTTGCCACCCAAGGTCTTGGGCGAACCTTTTTATCCATGCACATCGGATACCATCACTTCCAACAAATGCTCTACTTTCCCTTTCTGGATGCCCGAGCAGGAAATAAAGCAGCGCAGCAGGGGTACAATGCTGCTCAGTGCAGGAGCAGTGCGAACATAGTCTCCGAGATCATCCAGTGTTCTACAGGGACCAAGGACTGCGAGCTCAACCACTTTCTTTATGGTCATATTGTTATGATCAGTTCCTGCGTTCACCTTTATACCCTATGCTTTGGTGAAGAATCTGCGGAACAGTCAATGGCACGGAGACGGTTGCTCTCGAACTTTGAGTACCTAATGCGACTCAAACTACACTGGCCGATCGTGGAACATTTTGTAAGTGCATCATTATCTATAAAAAGAAGCAAGCTAATAAATCAGGTGAAACGCCTTCGGATTTTCCAAACCCTCTGCCAAAGCTCCATGTCAGACCCATTTGCGACAGAAAACTGGATGGCCCGGTTCCTGACGGAAGAAGCATCGAAACTTTCCGAGCGACAAAGCCTGTTCCATGATGTGGATTCAGACGATGAAGCCTGTATCGCCGGACCGACCGAGAAGATTGAAACCAACGGGTCATTCCGGTCGAGACTTTCCGAGTCGACGTATCCCAAATCACCGGGGACGGAGTGGAGCACACTGTCTAGTCTCCTGAACGACCAAAACATGACCAGCGAGGCATTTGTCAACAATGCTTTGGGGTGGTTATTGGAGTAGATGGAACGCTAAAGAGCGAAGAGAGTTTGGATAGAGCCAGCAAGGGGAGGTGAGCAGAGGGATTTATGCATTTGGTACATGGCGAGAGAAAATACGTGCATTTGCATGATGCAATTTGGTGTTCCGGAGCGGATAGTAATGTTTTTGATTCATAGAACCATTTATGTATGTTTAATTAGTTGTATGAGTGAAGCAGATATCAATAATAAGATATACACTACGGCAGCTCTTTTAGAACCCCGCATTCGAGTTTGGGACGGAACAGCCATTCCATGGATATACAGAAAGATGAACGAATGGCTGATTCCATCCAAGGAACAGCATTCACCTGTCGCTCGTCAAGGTTGCCCACAGACTGCGGAACCAGATGTGCTTTTAGCCACAGACATCAGCGAGAAACTGCAGTCATACCTCAATATATTGCATCTCCCTCTTCTCTTCTCTTACCTCCAAACTATCAATTTCGATCAAATCACCAATATCAGCACGAGAATGTCGCACCCACTATTCGCACTATTCGCACCAACCAGAGCTGCTCGCAAGCAGATCAATCACTATGCTGTAGGAGAATAACATCCTGCTGAGACAACTGCAATGACAAGCCCCGAAGCCTGGCGAAACGTGCTGATAGTTGTTCCACTCCTTGGCGCTGCCCTGGCAACGGTCTTCTTCTTTCTGCGGGTGTATAGTCGTCGTGTGTCGGGGGTGGGATTGAAGACGGAGGATTTTCTGGCGGGGATTGGACTGGTTGCGTCGTATGGGGTTACTGTTTGTGTTATCGTTGGTGTGTACCTATCCTGGTTTGATGATGAAGGTGTTGTGTTGATGATGTGGTAATAGCTGCGTTTCAGGGTGTTGGCAAGTCAATATGGAGTTTGCCGAATGAGCAGGGAGGACGGATTACCTTTGTGAACACACCATCTTATATCAATTGAAGACGATAATATTAACAGTGCAGGTCTTCTGGCTCGCCCAAACATTCTGGCCGATATCCCAACTCTTCGTCAAAACAGCCATCACCACCCTCCTGCGCCGTCTGCTGGGCTCCGTCAACCGCTATCGCACCCTCACGACAGCCCTGGTCGTCTTCACCGTGGTCTGGTGCGTGGCCGCCATAATCGGGAATATCATCCAGTGCATCCCGCCGCAGTATTTCTGGGACAAGACGATACCTGGCGGCCACTGCATGAGCGGGCAGAGCGCGTTTTTCATGGCGATCGGGGCGATTTCGTTATTTGAGGATGTGGTGCTATTGTGTTTGCCGTTGCCGATGGTGTGGAGGTTGCAGATGGTGAGGCGGGAAAAGGCGCAGATTACCGTGTTGTTTTTGATGGGGAGTTTGTATTTCTCACTTTCTCTTGATATCTTCGTGTTGAGGGGGTGCTGATGAAGCTGTGCAGAGCCTGCGTGTTCAGTCTGCTCCGTCTGGTCGAATTCCACAACTACGGCACTAACAAGATATCCGGTGAGTATCGCACTCACCACTTCAATAGAAGCTGATGCTGCGTCGATATGCCACAGACCATGGCGCCCTCGAATCAATCTGGACTCTGCTTGAGCTCAACTTTGCCACAATCTGCGGCTCTCTCGTCCTTATGAAACCGATATACCAGCGCTGCATGTCCTCCCTACGCAGATACAGCAGATACAGTAGCAGCAGCGGGAAAAAATCCTTCTCCTCTAGATCCTCGGAATATGATGGAATCTTCAGGCCGTGGGCGTTTGGGACGACGACCAGCCACCATACAGAAGTCCGGGCTCATGCGTTCCCTACGCCCTCTTGTGAGCAAGAAGAAAGTGTCGATTTGAGTGTGAGACTGCCGAGTGTGGATGTAAGTAGTAGTATTATTTATGATACGGCAATTAATCAACAGGTGAGGATGGAGTCGGTGTCGAGTCAATCGATAAGATGATCTATATACTTAATAAAATAATTCAAAGATTACTATGCCCTCTTCCCATTCTTCGTATACGGACACACCGGCAACTCCCCCATCTCCCTCAAACACTTCTGCAGACCCCCCAACAACCCATAAACCTCCGGCCTCATCCCACCATGAAACGCCCTCCAAAAAGGCAAATACCTCCTCCGCATCTCACTCTCATCAATAAGACCCAAATCCTCCGGATAAAAAACCATCTGCTGCAGATTCACCAACCACCACAACCGCGCACAGTGCCCGTAGTCCCGACACGCGAGGATAATCAAACAATCGACATAATGCGACGGCGTCAGCATCTTCACTGGGAACAAGTCAGCGGGGAATGGCCCTTTTCCTCCGCCCGGGAGGAGCGCGGGAGGGAGGCGCACGGTGTTACTTGCGAGCATGTAGTCTTCGTCTGTGGAGTCGGGGATGGTCATGTCGAGTTTGGGGAGGTGCCAGAGGATTTCGGATTTGTTGTATAGGCCGATTATTTCTCGGGGGTCTTTTTGGGGGATGTGCACATGGGTGTTGGGAGTGGGGTGGTTGCGTGGTTGGGTGTGGATGATGCAGGTAGTATCCTGGCAGGGGAGATAGCCGGCTGCGAGGAGGGCGTCGTGGGCTTGAGGGAGGTGTTTGTCGGCGATGACGAATTCGAGTTCCTATATTCATGATTGTGTTAGTTTGTTCTTGATCAGATGGAGGATACGTACCAGAGTGGGATTGAGAACACCCATTAATCGCATCGCCATCGAGCCCCAGAGGATGTGGGGGATCTTGGCTTTTGATAGAAGACAGGCGACGTCTGCGGTTTGTTTGGCGGTTATGCCGGGGAGATTTGTTAGGATGGAAGATTCATTAGTGGTTGGTTTGCGACGGGATAGAATTGGTTTGGACATGATGATGTTGTGTTGTGTTGATTCTGTCTATTAGAGGGGAGTTTAAATACTCTTCTTCCCTGAGAGTTCTTTCATGGTGATAAAAGATTCTTTGCTGATCACATTGCATTCATATTTCAATGCAGCAACCCTTGAGCTTCAATGGATACAAAGACAATCTAAAGCCATTATCAGCCGAAACAAACAAAGATCATTGTGGTATCCCATGACCTCCTATTATCCAAGTATACAAAGCGAGCTTATAAAGGCATCAAGGACATAATATGATGTTTGGATAAATGGTATCATATTGCATAAACAGTAATTATAGACATGAGTTTTCAGATAGACCGATAGAAGTAACCATCATAGCCAGCAGACAGTCACATTGAGCGTTATATGGGTATAAATGGGTATAGACGGAGGTGTATTCATTGGGCGGGCACTAACAAACAATTAGAATATTTCAAACAGAATAGAATAGATGACATACCAGCTTGCTGCACCTTGGGAGCTTCAACAGGATACTGATATTGATACTGCATCGGATAGACCACAGCCTCAGGTTTCTGGACCGGACTCATGGTGGAGGGATGATGGCCAGTCCCCCATTGTTGGATGGGCGGGGGTTGGAAGCCCCTATTCTCGATATCTCGATCCTCCTTCTTGCGGTCACGGTGGCGTTTGAAGAGGAAAAAGGCCACGGCTGCCACGACGATGACGAAGACAATGGGAATGAGGATGGCTTTGAGGAGGACTTTGACGAGGCCCATTTTGACTGTGATGAGAAGAAAGATGAAAGAAGACGTGTCGCTCAACGACAAGACAGCAGACAGGTATAAATGCATCTTCACCGACGAAAACGCTGATGCCTCGACCTCTCGTAGGGCTGAGTTGATCCCTGTTTCGGCGGCAATTCGTGCATTGGGATTCGATGAGGGGAAAGTAGTGGATGTGACGATGCTGCAGCAGTGCAGACGGGGTTTCCGTCACACGATGAGCCCATAGTTTTTGATGCTTTTTGATAGGCTTGGCAAAGGCTTGAAGGAGAATGGGGGGAACTGGCCAATCAGAAGCGGAGTTTCGGCGCATCCCCTCTCGTAGGGCTGTAGGGCGGCGAATCAGAGAGCAGGAAATGTGTGCGCCTATTGTGGAGACAGAAATGCTCAAAGGAGAAGGTGCTGATTTCAGGAGATTTAGAATAACAAGCATATGTTATATGGTTATATATAGGTGGTGGATGATGGGATCAGGGCGCCAATTGTATTGATTGGATGGGATGGAAATAGATCGTACAGTGACTTTTTGTCTGTGCAGCCATCGACAGTGGATATAGCGCTTTGGGCACCGATGGAGGATCATGAGGATATTATAATTAGAGGAACTGTCTAATATTAAACTCAGTTAGCTCTCATATTGAAGATGCTAAGAAAAGAAATATACCATTTATGAAATATCTTGAGCAGTCAGAGATCCAAAGGGGAGGAAGAAAGATGGAATAGCAGTGCTATAAGCATTAGTCATTCAGATAGGGATTTGTCAACCAGAAGAGGAAGTATCGAGATATCAGAAAGTAGCATGCTTTGTCTCTGTCAATATCCATTCTTGAGGTTAGATTATGCGTGCAATCACTCTGCATTTGTGGTATCCGTATTGTACAACAGATAAAGTGTTGAATAAAGTGAGTGTGTTGATAGCCTGTGGTGAGGGGGAAGAGGGAGTCAGCTTCCCTCACTTTCTTCTTCTTCCCCTCTTTCTCTCTTTCTCTCCCCCAACAAGCGTCATCAACAACACAGATAACAAAGAAGAACATTTGGTATTTCTTTGTCAAGATAATAATCCGTTACTTTCCCATGTCTTTCCGATTCTATAGCGCTAATATGAGACATATCGGTCCAGATGACAGCACATCCCCCAGCTCTCTTCCAAATCCACCCGTTACTCTAAGCAGTTAACAGTCAACGACATCATCTATCAGACGATATCTTCAAATCCCTCATAATCTCCCTTCTGTGCCATATCGTCATCCCGATCCCTCCCGACTTAACACTTTCTCCGCCAAACCAAGCATTTTCCTCCTCAATCAAGCGTCAAATGTTAAGCCACCACAGACCGGAAGGCCAAGAGAAGGGGAAACCCTCGTGTCGGGCATGTTCCGGGGTGAGATCCTGAGACTCGGCCAATACGAGCTGGAATCCCGTATTCTCTCTGGCTCCCCGCTCGGGATTTGGGAGCTAACAGTCACTTGAAGTTCCGACAGCGGAGAAATTATTTCCTCTCCCATTGGAAGAGCGTGGGAGATTTTCCTGGTAGAGGAGGGGATCTTACCAACACTCCGTCACTTGGTCACTTGATCCCGTGGTTTGCGTTGATTTCTTGGTGCCCAAGGACGATACCTTTCCATGGATTCCGAGTGTCGTGCACGATCCCGAAACACAGTCAACAAAGCTACGGATATTTAATTTTTTGGATTGTGTTAGAATACGAGTTTGTGGTGGCGGCAGATTAAGCCGTGAGTATCAAGTCTATCGAGTGCCTACGTGCGGAAATGTCTGTCTGACTGACTCAAAAAACAAACATGACTAGACTCCCTAGGATTATAAAGCGCAATCTAAACTGTCTGTCTAGCCCTTTACGACTAAGACTGCATCATGTCATCTTGTCTTTGAAATGCCTCAGTCCTCCTCCAATCCCCTCTTTGCCCCTCCACCACAGATTGTGACATCTAGCGCCTGGGCAATAGGCCATCCCGCCCCTCGAAGGAATAAAGGAATGATACATTCAAAGCATCTGGAGCCGCGTGGCTGTCATGCTTCGCGCATGGACGACAAGAACCTCTGCCCGGGTGCTTGGCACGTCTTGGTAGTCTTGGCTGGAGGAAGATTGGATTTTTTTAGCGGGGAAAGCCGGGGAAAATCTGGGGAACAGCTGGAAAATGCGGGGTTTTGATCGAACACTCATGGGAGCGCAAGTATATAACGGGAGGAAGACGGCGCGGGTTGGTTAGGAAGCCAGGTCAATTCTTTCTGTTGACAAAGATCCCACCTTTCGAAATTGGCATCATGACCAACGAGCCCGCTGAACCTATTCCTGATGGTATCATTGCAACTGCAAAGCAGGCATGGGGTGATCTGTTCAAGTGGAAGCAGCGCGTCGTTGTGACCAACGAGTTTGGTGAGACCCATGCCGAATGGCAATCTCCCGAGCCCCTTCAGAACCCCGTCAGTCTGCTTCTACAGCTCAGTGCAAAGGACTGGCTTTTCTTCTCGGTCGGATTTTGTGCCTGGACGGCAGATGCCTTTGATTTCCATGCCCTCTCCATTCAGACCAAGAAGCTAGCCGATTACTATGACCGGTCGAAGACCGATATCACGACAGCCATCACCCTAACATTACTCCTGCGCAGCGTGGGAGCAGCTGCTTTTGGTCTCGCAGGAGACAAGTTTGGCCGTAAATGGCCCATGGTTATCAACATGATCGTGCTGGGAGTGTTGCAGATTGCCACCATCTACAGTGGGACGTTTCAACAGTTCCTGGCAGTGCGAAGCTTGTTCGGTCTTTTCATGGGTGGTGTATACGGCAATGCTATTGCTATGGCATTGGAACATTGCCCGTACGTTGCAGTCAACTGTTAATGGTGCTAATGCTGACGATTGCAGTGTCAATGCTCGCGGTTTGATGTCAGGTATTCTCCAACAAGGATATTCGCTAGGCTATGTTCTTGCAGCATGTGCCAATCTCGGGGTGGGCGGTGCTACAGAAAGTTGGAAGACCATTTTCTGGATTGCAGGTCGGTGGCTCGCTTGATTGGTAGGACAAGGCTGATGATATTTTAGCTGGAATTTCGATTGGAGTTGGTCTCGTTCGAGTACTCTTCCCCGAATCCAAGCAGTTCCTCGAGGCCAAGAAAGCCGGCAAGAAATCTACCGACTTGGGATCGTTCATGGGAGAGACAAAGAGGATGCTGGGACAAGAATGGAAGATGTGCATATACTGTGTTATCCTGATGACTTGGGTAGGCTGTTTCTTACTTGACACATAACAGCGCTGACCTTGTCTAGTTCAACTACTATTCCCACACCTCGCAAGACTCGTACACTACATTCATGTTGACACAAAAAGAGATGAACAATTCCCAAGCCTCGCGTGCGTCTATTCTAATGAAGACTGGTGCTTGCGTTGGCGGTACCATCATTGGATATCTGTCACAGTTTTTCGGCCGTCGTCGGGCAATCATCTGCGCTGCACTAGTATCCGGCTGCCTCATTCCGGCCTGGATCCTGCCACAGGGTGAACGGTCGCTGAGTGCGACGGGTTTCTTCATCCAGTTTTTCATCCAAGGAGCATGGGGTGTGATTCCGATCCATCTGAATGAGCTTTCGCCCCCAGCTTTCCGATCATCGTTCCCAGGTGGGCACTTTTCACCCAATCCAATGGCCATCAATCTAACAAAAAAAAGGTATGACATACCAACTAGGAAATATGATCTCCTCCCCATCTGCACAGATCGTGAATGCTGTCGCCGAAGCGACCATGATCACCAATCCCTCGGGACACCGTGTCCCAGCCTACGGACCCACCATGGGCGTAGCGACAGCCATTATCGCACTTGGCATTGCAGTCACCACGGCTTTTGGACCAGAGAAGCGTGGACGGAAATTCGAGACGGCGGTGGCGGGCGTTGAGCAGCGTACACAGAAGGAAATTGATCTCGAGGAGGGATTTGATGATCAGAAGGCGAGCGACGAGAGAATTGAGAAGGCGGAGAAGATTTGAATTCCTTGATTAATGTTGAGGTGATGTAAACTATCTAGTTTAGGTTATTGATTAAATGCGACATGATGTTATGGAGTACTGTACCTTCATGATACCCACGTGGGTATGGATAACACTAAGCGAGTCCGGGGAAGTGGGGGCACAAATTCTGCACCATTACTACAGAGAAAGTGAAGATGAAAAGAAAACAGAATCAAAAAGTGTTTGATAAGCCTCAACTTTATGTGGTGTAGATAGTCATCTCCATCTATCGTCCGTCTATTATATATCATCAGTGTGAAATCCATTCATCAATCAAGGCAAGATGGCCGAGTTGGTCCAAGGCGTGAGGTTAAGGTCCACCTTAATACCTAGCTTAAAGCTTCCTCATCATCATCTGATGGCGTGGGTTCGAATCCCACTCTTGTCATATCTTTTTGTTTTTTCTTTTTTCTACATGTCAATTGTGAGCGTGTGTGGATGATTTTTTGTCTTGGTGGTGATGGATGGTGATTGATTATGTGGACTTGTTGAAGTATGATTGTGGTTGATATACGAGGGATTTATCATGTCCGTATTTCATGATGATCGTCAACAACTATAGGATAGGATTATTCTCTCTATCTCTTCACCTGAGGCTATGCTGTCTGGAACATAACATCCTATTTGTCTATTTTTCACTCACCTAGATCGTATAGATAAATATCAGACGTAGACCGTAGTCACCTACCCAGGTAGGCATGCTACCTAGCTGTAATGCCCTCAATTAACCGCATCAAGTTCCTCTCAATCCACTACGCCTACATCATATCCTGGACTCTATTTGCCTCTGTTTTGATATACGTTCTGGGTGGAATAAGCTATATCGATGCGCTGCTGCTTGCATCAGGGGCTGCAACCCAGAGCGGATTAAATCCCGTGAACCTGGACCGGCTCAGCATTAGCCAGCAGGTTGTACTATGGGCCGTGGCGATGGTGACGAATGTTGTTTTTGTGAACTCGTTGCTTGTCCTGTTTCGTCTGTGTTGGTTCCCAGGACGAAGCTGGGGCGGTATCCCTGAGGCCAAGATGCCTTTGTTGGGGGGCGTCCGTCAGGACAAGGGATATGGGACTATCGAGAGGATGGGGTCCTGTGAAGTATCGAATAAAGCAGAGATTCATGGGCCTGTTCGATATCAAACACGAATCGAGTCGCCTTGGCAGTCTTTAACTGTCAGTTCCGACTGGGATGAAGACGAGCTCGACGTTGAGTATAGAGCTCTAAAGGCATTGCTTTTCATCCTATTTGGGTATTTTGTCATGTTCCATCTGATTGCAGCATCGGTCCTCGCTTTGTGGATTCGTTTCAACCCATTCTATGGCGAACTTCTCATGACCAACGGCATTGACAGATCGTGGTGGGCGATATTCACGGCCTCCTCTGCCTTCAACGATCTGGGGTATACCCTAACTGCAGATTCTATGGCGTCGTTCCGTGGAGCTGCTTTGCCCCTGATTGTAATGACCTTTCTGATTGTGATTGGGAACACTGGGTTCCCGTGCATGCTTCGATTCATCATCTGGATGCTGTCCAAGGTTACACCGCGCGGAGGCTCTCTTCGTAAAGAAGTGCGCTTTCTATTGGATCGTCCTCGGGGATGCTTTATGTTGCTTTTTCCTGCTGCAGATACGTGGAGACTTGTGGGCGTTCTTGGACTATTGAATGTGGTTGATTTGGTGATTTTTATTGCCTTGGATGTAAGTCTTTCTTGAAGTGCTTTGACTTCAATTGATGGTGGATAGCAACAGCACTATGGCACACCTGGTATTCAAATACTCAACGGTGTATTCCAGATTGCCTCCACCCGCACGGCTGGATTCACGATAGCCTCTCTGCGTGACCTTTGCCCAGCTGTGCAAGTCTCCTTTGTCGTGATGATGTACATCTCCGCATTTCCAACAGCAGCGACTGTGCGAAAGACCGACACATACAAGGGGGGTATGGGAGACGCAGACATGGACGTCAATTCCCCAAAGTCACTTATCGCACACATACAAGATCAACTGGGTTTCGACATCTGGTACATCTTCCTGGGAATATTCCTCATCGCAATCGCAGAGGGTCGTCATCTGCATGATCACACCAACCAGGATGTTTCATTATTTGCCATCCTATTCGAGGTCGTGTCTGCGTACGGGACCGTGGGCCTTTCTCTGGGATATCCCGGGACAGAGACAGGATTGTGTGCGCAGTTTGGGGTTATGTCGAAGATCGTACTCGTTGCGATGCAAGTGCGCGGTCGGCATCGGGGACTTTCCAAAAACGCGGTTATATTTCCTGGGCTGGCTGAAGGTCGAGAAGATAGTACGTTGGAAAGAGAGAGATTGCTGTTGGCAGTGCCGTAATGATCGGGTCTGGATGGCTTTCATATGAACATAATCACATGCCATACTGTCACAAGGATAATCCATCAACAGAAAAATGACAGCTGATCGTCTGTCAAAAAAGATAGAGTAAAATTAAGTTTTGTCGGCAGAACAAAAACCGAGGCGTCGGAGTCGGCGATATCACCCCGATTCCGATTAGTCATAATGAACAATGTATAAAGTTATGCAGCACATCGCGGGTCCATGGAAGAAGTGAGACAAAGTGCTATTATTTCTCGGACAAGTCCGTCATGACAAGAACGCCAAGGATAGTACAATGTACAATGCTACAAATAATAGAATTCAACCCCGTGTTGTACAAGCACAGAGCCGTGAAGTCATTTTATCTTGCAGATTGAAGAATGAAGGATGATTTGATGTAAAAAGCGGAGTTGACGTCAAGACTCGAGGATAAGATTAGGGAATGGAGATCCTGTCGGATTCGGATAGATGAACAGGCCTGCATAATAAACATTATTGCATCAGCCATGGATAGAGAAACGCCCAGACCTTGGAGTCGAGATGCCAGGCGAGTCGAGAACAGAGGATGATCGCTTCTGTTGTCCACGTTGGAGTTTCATGTTGCGACAGTGTGCGTTGTGGCGATATGTGCCCAATGTGAACGTGGGGTATATTGATTGGGTTTGTCCAGTACTTTGATGAGTGTTACAGACTTGGTACTTTGCGATTATTATCATCGGAATATTCTCATCAATGTAGAAGATAGAAAGATAAAGATACTGCCTGAAGCAGATCCTGATGGTGGGGAAGTGGATTAAATGGCGGATATAAGCCACAGGGCTGTGTTGATCTAAAATAGATAACACGGACTACATACCAATGGGAGATACAGACAATAGATACAACAGAGATTGATCTGAACGTGGTAGCCTGCCTTTGTGTCTTTCTTACGTGGAGCCAAGAGGAGCAAAATGAAGATATCTGGAAAGGAAACGAATACGGATGCCGGATGGGGAAGAACGAGATTACTGCGTCGGGAACGGAGTGGCAGTCACTCTTGGAGCCTCAGACAGGGATCTTGGCCTGCTTCTTGGCGGACGACTGACCAGAGTTGCTGATGGAAACAGATGATGCGATTTCAAATCCCTGCAATGAGTGATAAATCATGATCCAGTATTGATAATCCAAATATCAAAGTGACTCCCAGTGATCCATGATCCGTGATAACTCTGTCGGGATTTCTCTATCCATGCGGTGAGCTGAATAATACCTACCTGTATTGGGTTGATCCGAGTGCCGGACTGGGACGGCCAAGAAGGGCAATCGAAGCGGTCAGTGACTCAACCCTGGGCGGTGATGCCGGAGGGCTGCGTTCCCGTTGGTCCGTCGGAGTGGGGCGGATGGACGGCGGTTGCCTCGGCGTCCGATCGCCGTTTGACGGACTTAACTGAGTTATGAAGAAGAGGAAAAGTGGAAGTAAAAAGAAAAAAAGAAAAAGAAAAAAAGGTCAGCCTAGAGTGCCGGTGATGCATCATATTAAAGACTCTCTTCTCCTCGTCGGATTTTCATCTTCTGCAGAACTTTTCTCTCCCTCAGGTACACATAACACTACCACCATCCCATCCAGCCTCCACAGCAAACAAAAGTACCTACAGATCCAGCCAGAACATCCTTACAGCACAGCAAAGCAGCCTGATTGTCGATAACCCAACCGATAAGGCGCTCCCCCTCACCGCCCCAATCCACCCCCCCCCTGATTGGTCCCCGGATATCTGAGTCACCGAACGAGTCACTTCCACTTTTTTGGGTTGACTTCATCAGCCAAACTTGCTCATCCACCGCCTTTCCTGGATCGCCCGCCATGCCTTCCACTACTTCTTCTCCTCTTTCTTCCTCCACTTCTTCCTCCTCCTTCTCATCCACTCCGACAAAGCCTTCTCTTTCTTCTTCCTTTCAATCCGCCTACGCCAGTCCTTACTTTACTTCATTGGCTCGCAGACGGCAACAGAAGAAAATGAGCATCACTCAGACCTACTACCTCGCCCACACCGCCCGGAAGAAGCTTACCCAACAGGCTGCCCGGGCGGACCACGACCTCCGCTTGCTGGTCGGACATGCCAATTTGCTCGATTCGTTGATGTTGGAGCTGGCAGATGCAGAGCAGGAACAGGAGCGCTGGTTTAACCAGACGGTCAACGGAGCCACCAAGGCATTGCAAGAAGAGCCCCGACACATTCAATGGGCCGAGACCGTGTTTGAAGACCCCGAGGAGGACTGGGACCCTGAAGATGTTTCGGATGCAGACTCTCTCAGCGATGACTCGGACTTGGATGAGGAGGAAGTCTTTGCTATCAACACTCCCATCCGTCGACGAGCACCGTCTCCCGTCGCCATCATCACCGAGGCGGAGGTCGAGGAAGACTACGATTCGGATTCCGACTCTGATTTTGAATATGACGATGCAGAGAACTTGGAGGAACTCAGCTTGACTCGCTCGCCGTCTCGACAGCCCCCTGAGCTGTCCTCCGACTCTGAGGAAGACTCGGAGGATGAGACGATGCCTCCATCCCCCCCTCAACCCACTCTGGAATCATTTTCCGAGAAACAACCCCAATCTACCGAAATCCCACTTGCGAACCCCGAACAACCGGGTCTATTTGAGCACGAGTATTACGTTCCGGCCGAGCAGGGCACGATTATCGAAGCCTACTGAATGCTTTGATTGACCTGCATCGATGTACCATACCTGATACCGTGATACCCATTTCATGACCTGTTTGTTTTTTGAGCGAGTGATATACCATTGCAAGGCGTTTTGGAACTCATACAAGTTGGTTGCATTTACATTTACATTTATTTACATTTGATTTTGGATACGCTTTGGCGTAAGAGTACAGATTACTCATACTATGATACATAGCACACAATATATACAAATTACTCAACTCATCATCAACTTAGTAAATCATCTTAATCTTCATATTCTTTCATCTTCGTACTTTCAGTATGTTGGGCAGAATCCCACGTACTATTGAACTGTCAATCCCTGTCCCCAAGGCGGCATGTGACTGTCGATCCTTCAATAGCCCGACTACACCGCCCATGATGGATCACACGCAAATCCCCGATCACATTATTTGTCGCCTCACTATGCTACGAGAGTACGAATCCTGCGTTTGCATTCTTATTGATACATCTACAGAATGCATCTATGTACAGATAATCCAGTTGATACATGGCAAAATCAAGTAGCACAACAGACAGTACCGACAATGGAACATTCTAGGTGGTCTCGGAGATATTACGGGCGCAGCATCACTCTATCACCACTAGTCCAGAAAGAAAATTCAGTCCAGCCCACTCACGGACGTATGCCATACATAGTCATTATTACGGAGCAGAGCACATCGTCTAGCGGAGTTAAAAAAAATACACACGGACTCTGTCCGTAGATCAATGGAGATATTTTTTTTTTTTTTTTTCATAAATAATAAATTCCGGTTTTCCGTTCAGCTGGGATTTTGCTGCTTGCCGATTTTCCGTTGGATTTTGATGGATCGTGGATTATTGATCCATTGATTAGCAAATCTTTTTTGATAGAAATCTGGATGAGTCAAACGGATACCGGGTGAAAAGGCTCAAAACAAGGTTTTTTTATTCTGTCCGAAATCCCGAGTTCCGTTTCCTCGGTTTGTCATTTTCTTTATCGTCGATCTTGATGACTATGATAGATGATGACTTTTATGTGATGTGAATATGATATGATCTTATCTGCTGACTGATTTATCCTGTTTATGAATGGGACTAGGCTATTTGGTTGCTGTTTACTACTGCATTCTACTACGTGATCCATACTTCATACTCCACTCCATAATATAAGATAACAGTTCGATAGTCTCTATGGCTTTAGATAGACTGTCTACACATATTATACATGATAGATGATTATATGAATATATGAATACTGTATAATTGTACTCTGTATACTGTAGACAAGGTATTGCATCACTCCCGAAATAGGAAACCCCCGCCCTCCCCTCACCGCCCTCATCTGCCCCTCTCCTCTCCTCCTCTCTTCCTTCCTGCATCCTGAATACCTTCTTGGTCTTCCTTTCTCTTCTTCCCCTAGACATTCATCCATCTCACCCCTATCCCCCATTTCACGCCTTCTCTCCCCCCGGTCTGGGCCTCGCTGCCTGATTCTTCGGCCCAACCTCCCTCTAGCGCGTGCCGAACCATGACCTACGTCTCTCGGCTCGTGTCACTGTCTGATCTTCAGGAGCTTCATGCTGGCTAAGTTGCTGGCGTGATCCAATACCGTCTGCGAATCCTCTGCACCTTGCATATTCTATCGCCTGTCTTACTTTAATTCCCCGATCGATCGTCTTACACCATCCAATCCGACAGCTAAACCATATACATTACGCCCCAACCCTCATCGAACCACCCATCATGTCTGCACCGGCATCTCCCAAAGCATCCCTCGATTCGGATGATAGCGAGGCGGGAAAGTTCAGGTCCATCTCGTACGCTGGTGATCGTCGTGCGGATAGACGAAGAAAGTCAATCCAGTTCAACATTGGAGGCGGGGAATCCCAACCCCCCCGACGTTCGGTCAGTCTGCATGGTCACAAGCGACGATCGAATCCGGAAATCTTCCTGGATAGTAAGCCCCTGGATGAGGAGCACAAGTCTGAACCTAAACCTGTGGGTAGGGGACATTCCCCACCGCCTCCCAAGTGAGTTTTAAATGCTTGTATACTGGTTGATGTGGGTGGTTGCTGATGCGTGTTTTTTTTTACTAGGACCTACGAACGAGGTGTTTCCTTCGATACCTTTGATAACCCCGATGCGGCGGACTTCTCCTTGACGCTGAATTATAAACACAAAGGCTACCAATCTACCCGTCGGAGTCGTACGTTTCTCTGCGGGACGGACCAAAACGATTACTCTGATTTTGCTCTTGAATGGCTCATTGATGAGCTGGTGGATGATGGGGATGAGATTGTGTGTCTCCGGGCTGTGGAGAAGGATTCGAGCCTTGCAAGTGACGCTGGGATTGAGACGGGGAAATACCGGAAAGAAGCAGAGAAGCTATTTGAGCAGGTGATTCAGAAGAACAGCCAGGATGAAAAGGCGATTAGTTTGGTCTTGGAATTGGCTGTTGGGAAAATTCAGAGTATCATTCAACGCATGGTATGTTTAACGCTTTTGTTTTGTTAATCGCACCTTCTAACATGACTAGATTCGAATTTACGAACCTGCAGTTCTGGTTGTTGGAACTCGTGGTCGTAACTTGAGTGGCATGCAGAGTCTCCTACCAGGCTCGGTCTCCAAGTACTGTTTACAGCAGTCGCCAATCCCAGTCATCGTCGTCCGTCCATCTACCAAACGAGAGAAAAAGAAAAAGAAGCGTCTTGCAGACCCAGCCAGACGAAGCTACAATCATATTCTGGAAATGAGTGAGCGACGGGGAAGTCGCATATTTGACGCGAGTTCCAGTACGGATAGCGGGATCTCCAAGCTCCCCGACGAGGAAGCAGCAGTTGCTGAAGCCCTTGGTCTGCCACAATCCTATGCCAACTCACGGAGTTCTCTCTCCATATCCGAAAGAAGCAGTGTTAGCCATGACGAGCATGAGCCGGCACAATCGAACTGGGGCTCCCTCGATGCTGTGATGAAAGGAATTCCGAATGAAAGCCCGGCAACTACTGAGAACGAGAGTGTATCGGACGATGAACAGATAGATCGTCCGGAGAAGGACTCGGCTGCAGTGTCGGTAGATAACAGTAACGCCTCTACTCCACAGGTTGGCGCTATCTCGCCCAAGGATGTAGAGACTCCCGATTTGGAGCCTGTGTCTGACGTGTCAAAGCCTCCATCGGCCGTGCCCGTTATTGTCACTGAAGATACCCCCAAAGATGAGAGTGAAACAAAAGGTTGAGCTTTGACTTGGGTAGAGGTCCATTAGGGCAACTTGTTTTTATTTATTACTTATCTTTTTCATCCTTGCAAGAGCGGGTGGTGATATGATAAAGGCGCATATTCATTACACGAGCTTATCCAGATGATGATTGCATGCAGCATCAGGCGTTGGTGGCTTTGATATCTTTCTCTCGATACCAACGAACCTTGAAGTATGGTGGAGACTTGTTACATAGCGAATAATCAAGTGCATTTATTACCCCAGAGATTTTCCAATAATACGATATAGAACAGCTGAAGCATCGATTTTGGTTATACATACAACATGCTGTAGATTCAAAGGCAGAATTGATAGATACTCGATGCTATCCAAGCAATAATACACCTAGAAACTGGAGATACTAACACATCCAGAACACACCAAGGGAAAGGCTATATTGAGACAAACATGAGGTAGGTAGCAAGTGAAAAAAAAAAAAGAGAAAAAAAAAAGGAAAACTTTTCTAACACAGTTTTGTCTAAAGAGCAAGAAAAGCCACAAAGAAGAAGAATTACCACCAGCACACCGACCAGTGTAAATGCAAATGCACACAACAACAAGGGAGAAAAAAAAGGCAGACAAAAAGACAAAGACGACATCAGAAAGCTACTAAGTTTTCTCGCATGACATGAAAGAGAAGCAAGTATCGTTCGTGGCTAGCCTGAAAGTTCCCCCTCGCTTTTAAAAGAGTTCACTTTTTTTTCGTTTCAACGTCCGATGAAAGAGAAGAAAAGAACCGTTCTGGGCTCTCCGGGTATTGAAATGCAAAAAAAGAAAAAAGATGAAGACAAAAAGGAAAGAAGAGATGAAAAATGGAGACATGAAGAAGAACAACATAATCCGACAACCAACCGCTCTCGCTAAATTCTTCTCATCCCCCTTCTCCTGTTGTTCATATCCCCTCCTTACGGCTGAGACTTGAATTGTACAATATACACCGGAAGTCCCATCTCCACACAAGAAGAGAATATGAGTAACCGACCGCTCGAAAAATTCATGAAAGAGAAAGATGTGAGAATCATGGGACTGACGTGAACATGACTTTAAACGTGACGGAAAATGGAAAGAGGAAAGAAAAAAAAGTGAAAATAAGAAAAAAATCTTTCCAGAAGAATGGAAGTTTCATTATCATTCCCAAAGAATCTATGATGCTTCGCCGTCCTTGGACGGAGTTTTCGAGGGTCGGCGCTCAACTGCGGGTTGGGACTTCGTCAATTGAGGAGAGGTAGGGTTGGAGGGAGGAGAGGTGGCCATGTTGTCACGGTCTTCCAAGCTAGCAAGAGCACTATGAAAAAGTTAGCAAAAGCACGGGTAACGCGTAGATCTCAAGTCAAACATACCTGAAGGCGTTCATGGACGACGCAGCCTCCTTGTCTTCTTTCTTGCCGGGGGTGTTCGATCCGTTGCGGCTGCTGGCTGCGCTGTCGTCGCTGCCACGAACCAAGTTGCCACCGGGGCCAAGGTTCTTGCGGCCACTGTTGCTACGGGAGCCGAGCATGTTGGAGGGTCCGAACGACATGGGCTGGTTGGTGTTGCGGGCCGTACGAAGACGACGCAAATCATCGCTTCCAACCTTACTGGAGGCATAATCCGGTGGAGGAGCCTGGTGTCCGAAGCCCGAGTAGCTGCGAGCATCTCCACGGCCCATGCCGGGACGACCACCGCCGCCACGAGAAGCTTGCTGGCGGAGACGCTCCATCTCTTGCTCTTGTTGAGCACGAGCAGCCTCTTCGCGAATCTCGTGGATGGTCTTGGGGCCCTTGTCGGCATCCTTGGATCGCCAGGCAGAGGCACGCAAGTCGATGATATCCTGTAAACAACAGTCAGTGATGTTTTTTTTTATTTTTTTAATCGTATGTTAGAGGTAGATCAACTTACCAAAAGCATGAATCTCAATCGGCTGGGCAGGTCGGGAGTCTCCATCATCATGGTGATACGGACGAAGTAGGCATCCATCATCGCGTGACCTCTCTCGGAAACATCCAAGCTGGCACCGATGGTGCGCAGGAGACTGGTCAAACTCTCAACCTCGGCTTCGTCGGGCATGCCCTCGTAGTCGACAAGCTTCTTAACACACTCGTGCATGATACGCTCTGTCAACATGCCAAGCTTGTACAGCTCACCAATGAACTTGACGAGACCAAGACCACGACGCTTGGCGGCAGCAGCGATATAGTACTCGTCGGACATCATAGCAGCTTCTTCAGTAACACCTTCGGGCTTGGGGGGCAGGTTGACCTTCCATCCGCGCTCGAACTCTTCCTGGCAACGGTTAAGGAGGTACTTGCGGAAAAGACTGCCACCAGCGACAACATTGCCGTTCTTGTCGCGAATGTTCTCATCCTTAATATCGGCGCTCATACTCTCAAGCATGCGCTTGCAGAACTTGGCGTAGATCGATGCCCAGTGGGCCTCGTCAGTGGCCTTCTCGAAAGTGAGCTGGATGACTTGTCGCAAGGTGCGGCCGTCCGACTCATCCTTGGATTGAGACACAATCTCCAGAATCTGTCCAGAGATACGCTCGAAGTTCTCGGGAGTCATCTTGTTGAGAGCACCCTTGACCTTACGCTGGACAACATCCGGAGCCAGGTAAGCTGCACCACCAGGTGTAGGACCAGCAGCAGGCTGGCCAATGCTGCGAGGCTTCCAGCCAGTGCCAGATGTTTGGAGGGCCTTGACCTCCATTCCGGCGGTAAGAGGCATGGTCTTGGCCATCTCCTCTTCCTTCTTGCCCGACCTGTCGCGCTTGCTGCCAGTGCGGGTGCCGGAGCGGTTGCTGCCAACACGCGGCGAGGAAGGCATACCCATTGTGCTAGCAGAATTGGTACGGCTGAGGGGAGTGCCCATACCCATGCCAGCGCGGCCGAATTGACCAAACGGAGTAGGGCCCATCGAGGCAGTGCGAGCGGCATTCGACATGGCGAAGCGCTGCTCTGAGGTGCTGCCAGGAGGCAAGCTGTGGCGGGAGTTTGGCTGGCCGAAGTTACCCATCTGGAAGCCCTGTGAGATACCACCGGGTCGCGAGTTGTTGCGGCCGCCCATGAGCGGTGTCCGAGCAGACTGGGGACGCGACGAGTCGGTCTCACCCACGGTCTCTCTCACACGAGAATCCCAGTCAACCGAAGGCTTGTCCTTGAAAACGCTTTGGAATTGCAGCAAGAACTCCTTGTTGTAGTGGAACTTGCGGTCTGCGGGTGCGTTGGCATTGAGAGCTGGGTTGGGCGAAACAATCGACGCAGGGTAGGCGATCTTGCTCAGATCCTCGATCAAACGAGCAGACTGCAGCGACTTCATCGCAGCGGTGGGCTGAGGGGGCTCAACTGCCTTGTTGGTCTCCAGCTTGAGAGCTGCGGGCTTCTGCTTAGCAGCACCAGGCTTGGCGGGAGGACCCATTGAGGCATCGGAAGCGGGGGTGACGGTACCACTGTCAGCAGGAGTGGCAGTCTCCGACGCAGGGAATCCGCCCTTCTTGAGGGAGGAGAAAAGGTCCTTGCCATCCGGCTCCCCACCTGCACGCTTCTTCTCACGAGCCTCTTCAAGAGCCTCTGCCTCACGCTCGGCGCTCTTCATATTGGCTTCGTAGGCCTCGAGCTCTTCCTTCTCCTTGCGCTCCTTCTCCTCCTTCTCGGCCTTCTTCTTGGCGTAGTAATCGGCTTCAGCAGCGGCTTCCTTGGCCTCGATCTCAGCCATCTCACGCTCGATGGCATCGAAGTCAATTTCATCATCGTCAGCGGGAGCGGGTTCGGCCTTCTTGGGCTCTTCCGCCTTCTCCTTCAGGCTAAGGTCTTCCATGGCCTTGCGAGCGCTCTCCTCCTCGGCAGCCTTCTTCTCGGCAGCAGCTTCTTGTTCCTTACGAGCGGTCTCCTCTTCTTCCTTCTTGCGGCTGGCAGCGGCCTCCTCTTCGGCCTTGCGACGCTGCTCCGCCTCATCTTGTTCAATCTTCTGGCGAACCGCATCTCTCAACTCCTTCTTCTTCTCCTCGTCCGTCTTGGTGGCCTTGCTGTCTGACCGGGCGTGGTCAGCGGCACCACCGGTGTGTGGCGGAGGAGTGGGGGTAGGAGTTGCCATCTTGACGGGGGAAGGACTGGCACGAGCTGGGGAGGCGGGGGTCTTTTCGAAAGTCTTCACGACGCCACTGCCGGGGTCCTTGATGACAATTGGACTCTTCTTGGCCGATGGGATGATGAAGTGTGGCTTGGGAGGAGCGGGGCTGTTGGAAGTTCGGCTAGCAGAGGGAGTGTGGCCTGGAGCAGGGGCGGCTGCGGGAGGCTGGCCATGGCTGAGACTGGAGCCCGGACGGTCGTTCGAAACCTGCGATGGGGTACGCGACAAGGGTGCGGCCTGGGGAGGAGGCTGCACAGGGTACTGGTTCTGCATGAAAGGTGCCTGGGGGTTGTAGGGCATACCGGGGCGGGGCTGCGGCGAGGGAGGGGTCATGTACTGCATTTGTTGCATTCCGTAGGCGGCCGGGTTGTAGTAAGCGTAGTTGGGGTCATAACCATGGGGGTAGCCCTGAGGGTTGGATTTCATTAGCATCAGATAACGTTCAAAGTGACCACTCTCTGGCGCCAAGTCTGGGGGTGGAACTGAAACGGTGGAAGGGGAGGAGGAGGAATGGGAAGAAATACTAGGCGAAGGAAAGACACGGGGAGTGTGTTTTCTCTTCGCCACAGGGCCACGACGAGGGGGTTTGTAAGAAGAATGGTGTCTCACTGTTTGAGGACCCATGGGCTGTCCATATCCGCCGTAAGGCTGGGCAGGCATCTGGGGGGCCATGGGGACCTGGTTCATCTGAGGAGTTGTGGGGTGCGCGTTGGCCAAAGCGGGACTGCGGGCAGCCTGGTGCGGCGAGTTGGGGAAGGGAGCAAGAGGACGGCCTTGGTTAGGACCGAATTGAGGGCCCATGTTAGGACCGCCCCGGGGCTGGTTGGGGGTCGAACGGAAGTTGGGGCCAGGCGAGTAGGGGACCTGTCCCTGGTAACCAGACTGCGAGTATCCGCGTCCACGGCCACCCTGGTTAGGATAGCCACCACGACCGGGACCGCTCATATCGCTGTGTGTCGACTGGGAAGATTCGCGTCGAAGATGGGTGGATTGAGGACCGGGTCCAAGGGGTGCCTGAGGGTTGGAACGCGCCTATAGTTGAGATTGATTATTAACCTTCTTGATTTGATGGGGCACAGGAAGAGAGAGAGAAAAAAAAAAAAAAAAAAAAAAAGCGAGAAAAAGACAACCGGAGAAAACTTTTTCTTCCCCAACTCCAACACATATAGAAGATAGAAACAGTAGACAGAATGAAAAAGACAAAAAGAAAAAGAAAAATATAAACACTTACGTTAGCATCACCGGCATCACCAAAGCTTCCAAAGTTGGGAACATTTCCCTGAGCCTGGTAAGACGACGGCGGTGGCCGACCACCACTCGAAGCCGGCTGAGGAATGGGAGACGGCGAGGTCTGGGGCGAAGTCACTCGAGGGTTCGTCGTAGGGGCGACACCCAAGCCGGACTGAGGCTGGCTGGCAGGCACAGCAGGGGCACCCATATTGGGAGAGCTCTGCTGGTTGGCGAAGCCGAACTGAAGGCTGTTAGGACGACTGGCCGGGCCGCCGTTGGGGATGTAGCCGGAAGTTCCAGCAGAGGTGATGGTCACCGAGGGTTTTCTCGAGTGCTGGTCGCCTTGAGAAGAAGCCGGGGCCGGTGCACCGCCATTGACGATGGTGACGCCGGAAGGTTGGTTTTGTTGTTGCATGGGTTTGCCGCTCACAGGAGATTCTGAGGTCGACTTCCCATGTTGCGAAGAGCCGCCCACGGTGACGGGAGCGGCGGTCGAGTCCGTCGCGGACTTTTTAGTGGCGTTGGCGTAAGATCTGGCAGTCGTCGACGTGGACGACGAAGGAGCCAGGGGGGTGGTGGACGAGGAGTGCGAGGCGGCCTGGGTCGACGAGGTGCTCTGTCCTTGAGGTTGAAGGCCTGACTTCTGAGGATTCGATGTCATTAGACAGGTAGTGACGAAAGGAATCGAAAGATGAAGATGTTTTATTTGGTAGGGGAAGGAGAGAGGAGGAAGAAGACTAGAAAATGATGGGAGGTGATGTCAAGGCGTGAAGAGGGTCGGAAGGACAATCCAGATCCCGCATTCAACTTGAAGGCCACAAAAAGAAAAAAAAAAGAATCGTGGGATTCTTTTTTTTTTTTAATCGATGGCAAAGAAAGGGAAAAAAGAAAAAAAGAGACCAGCAACACACACCGGGAGAAAGTGTGGGAAAAACAAGTCAAAGCGTCGTGGTCAACGACGATGGATGATATTATGGGAAATAAAAAAAGATCGAAAATAAAAATTTAGGATAAAAAAAGAGGGGGATTTTTTGGTGGTGGAAAAAAGACGGTTTGATTGTGGACGAAAAAAAAAAAAAAAAGTGGGCAGGCAGAAAACAACGAATACAACAAAGTGGCTGAACACCGCCAGTTGCCTGCTTTATCTTTTGAGCAGGGTAATTATTAATGGGCTACAAGAGTCGATATTCTCTAATAAAAGAGAATAACTGAATATAATAATATTAAAGAATATCCCTGTTGAAAAAATAAATGAAAGGGAGAGATTCAAAGAGGCGAGTTTCTTTACCGATCGGGCTGAAGCGGCGATGGCCACGCCAAGCATACGATAAAGAGAGGCAGACAAGACAATATCAGATATAGACAGCAATGGATGACTGGAAGAAACAGAAATCTTTGCCTGATGCCTCGGATTGTTCTCTTTTGTACGGATACTTTGCTGGATTCCCATTCGACTGCGGTGCTGCCTGTGAAAGATCCGATCTTCGTACACTCGCAATGACGCCCAACGCAGCCTTCATCATCGTCCAACCATGAGGCAAACAGCTGACTGCTGTTGACTCATTCAGAAAGTCATCATGATGCCTAATCATCCTGCGCTGCCACTCTGTTCTGCTGTTCGTCGAGCTTCAAGGCTATACAAGGATATTGCCGGTCTATCAAGTAGACACCTGAGGCACCAGATATACCCAACAATATCCACCAACTGCTGGACGTATCATCTCGACTGATTTGCATCCATGTTGCTGATCATTGGCTATCTGGGCTAATTATGGATATCTGGTTGGGCTGACAACAAAGAATCCCAGCGTGATATATCCATTCTCTTCAATAGTTTCTTCCATCCAGCTCTCGTTCTTTGTCTCTCCCCTTTCAGTCATTGACCGTTTCATCTCTAAATCGAATCAACAATGTCTCACCATATCAATCTTTCTTCTGACATTTAACCCATTCAAACCATCCAGCACGGAGTGTTCCTTTTGCATCAAAGTGCCATCCAACCCAAAGCTGCCGCACTCGCCATAACCAACCCATAGACAACCGCCACGCCATACCCACCCATCGCTGCACTCTGCAGACAAGCAAATATCCCCCCTGCAACAGGTGGGCTCGACGACTGAACCAATGCGGCCACACTCCCTATAGCGAGTATTAGACTGTGCATATTATAATCCCCATAAAACTGAAATGCAAAACATACCAGCCGCTGGTCCTGCTGAGCTGAATCCCAGAAGCCCTAAGATAGTACCGGAGACTAGACCGGGTGCTAGCACGCTGACCCCAATAGCTGTCGCCTTGAATGGGTGTCGCTTGATGTACTTGGTGATACGAACCAGGGTGGGCTTTGCTCGTTGCTATGTGGAAACCATGGTGTTGCTGAGTCGGTTGAAGGTGCTTCGAAACATTGTGGCTAGATGCATAGCGCAGGGCAGGGGGCTGTTGGGAATCGTCTGGATTTGATGACAATGGAGCAGACTCAGGGGATAAGCTTGCAGTATTGACGGAATGGCGATGATAACTTCTATATAGGCTTCATCAAACAAAGAGTTCTAAAAGCAAGCCATTCTATGTAGGAAACAAGACTGTATAGAAATCCAATTCAATTCCGATGATGAAAAAATAACACTGACAACCATATACAAACGTCACCTACACGCATTCGACCATCAAGCCATAGATTCACCACCGCAAACAAACACCAAAACAGCATCTCTACTCAGTATCTGATTTGATTCCCATGAAAACACCAGATCCAGATACCTATTTACTACTCCCGCTCCCCGTCCCATTGATAGACCTCACACCCAAAACCGCCCCAACCCCACGAATAACACCATTAACAGCTAGCGTCCCATACCCTCCCATACCCGCGCTCGTGAAAATGGCATATCCTCCTCTTGCAACAGGAGATCCGATCCACGAATGAATCTGCGATGCTATGGTACCTGCTCACATCGCAGCATATTAGCAGCTTTCTCCCATTTATAAAGGAGGGTAATATTATACCAGCAGTCGGGCCCACTGCTCCAAATCCAACAGAGTTCAAGATGGGCCCGCTTACTGCTTGTGGTGTTGTAATACACACGAGACTAAGGCCAGTCTGGTAGGGATGTTCGGTGACTTGCTGAACGATGTTGTTTTTGGCGGATGTTAGTGTATTCTTCCAGTCATGTTGGATGATATCGTCTTTGAGCTGAGTGACCTGCGCTACTGGGGCGATGTGCGCTTTGATTTGTTGTAGGCGCTCGGCGGCATTGCTGTAGCTGCTTGTGATTGCTTCGGTGGGTAAGAATTTGCGAAACATGATAGATACGAAGAGCAGGTATAGGAAGAAGAATCAAGTCCAGTTAGTAGAAGCTGAGGGGGTGGCGCGGCGGGGTGATGGATTATAACAGTTGACTAGGCAAGGCTGTCGTTTGCTGTGGGGTGGATGTACGCAAGGTCACTGCGGCAAGGCGATTCTACGCGCCAGGTTGGTTGGTACTGAATCGCCAGCATTCAAAGATAGATAATTCTATATTTACTTTTGGGGGCTGTCTCTATCTCACAAAGCACGACTAACTCAGACAACCAAAGTCATATGACCCGAAAACCAATTCCCTGTTCTGTTCTTGTTCCATTGGATATCAATCGTCTTTACGATTGTCCCTGTCCCCTCGAGCGGGTAAGCTCATCCACAGCCTTCGCCGCAAAGTCCACACCAGACGATCCGGCCTGCTGTCCAAACAATCCCCATCCACTGCTGCCTTGGTTTCCGGGGGTACGGGTGTCCTCATGCTCGATGTGGTCAAACGAGTTCTCGCTGCGGTTTTTCTTCAAGGGAATACCGCCATACGCCAGATGATCTTCGGTCTGACCGTGGTTGCCCAGGTTGCTTTCTTCCTTAGCCAATGCGGTGCGCAGCACTTCCAACATATCGCGCTGGTTGGTGATGAACTTCTGTTTCTCGGAGGGGGACATGGAGGCCATTTCCCGGGGGAACAAGTTTCCGCTTGCAGAGAGCTCATTTGCTCGGTCTTCGTGGCTTTTACCAGCAGATGCCATAGAGGCTACAGCCGAAGTCAGAGTGGAATACCAATCGTTGGTAGCGGGTGCTTGGCTTGGAGCAGCACCAGTTCCGGTGGGGATGTTGAAGCGGGAGAGGAACGACTGGGCGTAAGCAGCAGGGCCAGCGGCCTGGGGAGGGGCTGCGGCACTCTGAGCAGGCAAACCAAGAACCTTCTCTCGGATCAAATCGATGGCCTGGTAGAAGTATTGAAGTCCCATGGTCTTGGCACGCTCGTGGCTGTTAACAATGAACTCCTCAATTTCACGCTCATGCTGCGCGAGGAAAGGATCGACATATTGCTGATATAAGACCTTCGCGCCTTGGGTCTGAGGAAGAACGAGATAGCACAAGAAAAAGAGACGAAACCAGCTGTAGAATGGGAACCTGTATCAAACGGGGAATAAGTTAGTTTTGATCAGAACACGAACGGTTTCTCTTCGGACACGAAAGGCACTGTCATACCATCCGACAATAAAATAAGTCCACGACTCAACCAACAACGCGATAGAAAGGATCACCCAGTAGATCAACCATGGTGCCAGCTGCGAGGGGTCAGACGAGCGGAGTGCCTTGTAGGAAGCAAAGATAGGAAGCAGAATAGTCAGGCCCGAACTAGATTAGAATCGCAGAAGTCAGCATGGGACACCGCTTCTTCTAGGTGACGAGAGATTCATTGCATTGCCAGCAACTCCCGGCGCTACCGGCGGTGTATGTACTTACGACAGCAAGTCTGCGAAAATTCCGAACATGGTGAATGATTTTGAAGTCTTAGTTCAGTAATTCTTGAGATGTTGATTTTTTCCTCGAACTCCTTTTTTTTCCGGTAGAAAAGCGGAAAGGTGAAGGATCAATCGAAGACAGTATCTTATCGCAATGAAAGACTGCAGTGCGGGGTGAGGAGGAAAAGCTTCACGCGACCAACAATGCAAGGGAAACGGCCAACCGCAGCGGAATGTATTCCTGATTGATGGAAGGTTCTGCTGACAGGTTTTCAAGCACAGAATCCTCAAGGGATGGAAGGGAAAGAAGAAAAAAAGAACCAGTGGATGTTTCAGCTCGGATTTGACCGCTGCCTGGGGAGCTGACGGACGGACTCCACGGCAGTAATAATAGTTCGCAGCCCTAAATCGAACGTACAGCCCCGTGGAGCCACCGCCGCTCCGCACCGCTTTCGGTAACGCATCAGGGTGTTCTTGATGTCATTTCTCCTGAATAGTCCAGGGCAATACGCTAGTTGCTACGGAGTAATCCGTAAAGTGTGTACTATGTAGATGTTTATGGTTTTATTATTGGAAGGAATTGAGATCAATTCCATAGCGGCAGTGAGATGGGAAAATCTGCTATGATGCATCATAGCTCGGTTCGAAGATCGACACTGTACCTTACCCTGCCAGATCACATTCGACTGGGAGCCATGGTACAGTAGGTTGAATCTATCAGCATGCGGATAACGTCCCATCATTATCATTCAATCGTTGACCTGCACAGCCAGTCAAGGATCGTCCATGCTTCCAAAGATACATCCCATACGGTGAAGGACAAGTCATTCTCATCCAGTCTTTAAGGGAATTATGCAATGAACGACAAAACTAGCGGTGGGCGTCCCAGAATCTGTGCTTCAATGAGCACAGGTACACCAGGGCCGCTCGAGTACATTCAATCGCTCTGGCTTCTTCCAATGACCACAGTATTATGCTTAATTTTCCTCTGCCAACCTTTTGATGCTTCGCTCATGTCCTATTTGATGCCTTGGGTATATCGCAGCTCTCATGGAAGTCTACACGTGGTTATTCGGTGGGAAACGACCTAATTAAGCTAAAGATCTTGTACATATGTCAGTTGAATTTCAGAAAGAGTACTGTTTCTTTTGCGCGATGAACGGACTTACTGGATCTGTTCGGTGACGCTGTTGAGCGGTTAGCATATATTCCTTGAAAGTCCCTCGCATTTGATAAACGCCATAATGTCTCTATCCCAAGCAGCGATTCATGAGTAGCTGTCAACTGCAGCCAATCTTTTCTGATAGGCCTTGAGAAATTCTGGGTTTGCAATCCCTGAATCTGACGACAGAAAAAAGGAAGCGGCGGGAGGAGATACAGAGGGCGGTCAGATAAACTGCCGGTTGTTTCCCACTCTTGATGACCTCAGGTGTCAACACTTCTATTTCCATGCACAGCAGCCCAACAATCATCTTTGATAATACGAGATCCTGGGCAAAGTAAGACGACGACGCTATTTTGTACACGTTGCTCACGATACCTTGAACGTTGCTTATCTGACAGTGGTACCCTATTTGAATTTGGGTGACTCAACCGAAGCCCCGACTTGCCACCGTGCTTTTGCATCATAATTGGACCCATTTGTTACCTCATAAACCACATTCTAAATACCATTTCTCTTGAGACTTTTCTGTCAAACCTATTAATAAATATTGTTCCTGCGCTCGCAAACTAATACATCAAGATGTGTATCGCTCTGATATCAACGGCCCACCCGTCCTATCCTCTGATTATAATCGACAATAGAGATGTATGCGATGAGACCATTTAATGACCATATGGTCAGATGCACCTTGAATTAACAATTATTAGGAATATCTTCGTCGTCCAACATCCTCCGTCGACTGGTGGGAAGCACCAAACTCTCATGTCCTGGGGTCGCGCGATCTAGCTCGGGCTACGCAAGGAACGTGGATGGGAGTCACCAAAGACGGCAAAGTGGCAGTCTTAACGAACTACCGGGAGACTGCATCCGACCAGGCCCAGGGAGTACAAAGTCGGGGTACTATCGTCAACAGCTGGCTCACCTTGGCCCCTGACCACAAGCGAACCACCAGGGATTTTGCTCACGACATGATTGAGAACTCCATGATCCAAAAGGTCGGCGGCTTCAGTCTGGTCTGTGGTCATGTCAATGAGCCACTGGCTATTATATCCAACCGCTCGAAGGACATCGACCACATCTCATGGGTTGCTACGGAAAAGAATCAAACGCTCGGGCTCAGCAATACGTGCTTTGACGACCGTTCGTGGCCGAAAATAATCAACGGGGAAAAGCTTACAAAAGAGGCCATTGATGCACACGTGCTGGCTGGCGAAGACGAGGATGGGCTTATCAACCGACTTCTTGAGGTTCTGAACACAGATACGCTCCCCAGGCTTCCAGAGGATGCACCTACCGAATCCTACATTCATCTATTCAGGAATAGCATTTTTATTCCTGTCATAGGGTCTCAGGATGAGACCAAAAAAACTGCCGATGAAGTGGAGGCTGCTTGTCTTGAAGACAAGGTGACGGATGGCACCTCGAAGTTGACTCCCGGGATAGACCCAAGCTATACCCAGGGCGCTTACGGGACCCAGAAGCAGACGGTAATCCTTGTGAGTGAGGGTGGGCGTGTGCGATATTTCGAGCGGACTCTCTACGATAATGACGTGAATGCTATTCCAATCGGTAAAGGGGATCGATCAATTGAATTCACAGTTGGTCAATAGCAGTACAGCGTTCGTTGATATTTATCCTACTGAATCCCCATAGTGCCTTGTTAGAGAGATTTGTTTTGCCTACGATCTTTATGAGTGATGATAGCAAATATTTCTAATGATTCTCGGACGTTGCTCGATCGTCATGACTAGCGAGTACGAAACCCAAGCTTTAATATAACCAGATTAGGACTTGACTCCTTATTCCCGTCCTGTAGATTCCCTTGCTCTCGAATATCACATGGAAGTCAGGTGGTTGATCCTAATTTGGCAGGCAAGATTTCTTCTGGCGGATATTTTCCTCCGTCCCCAATCCGTTTCCAACCAACATCTCTCCAGGGCCAGGCCATCGCATTCTCATTGAAACTCATATCCAATATTGACGAGAAATCGACCCATTCCATATCTTAAAGAGTGTCTACACAATTCATAGCAGCTACTGCGTTAGTCGAATCGACCACGAATATGGCGACACATGCGGATAACACCCTCGCTGCTTTTCTTCGAGACTCAACAAGGATCCTTGACTGGAAGATTCTTCAATACCGAATCGAACTATATCAATGAGGGTCATGATATGCCCTACAGATTCCGTTGTGACCCTTCCTTAGTGGGGTCTTCACGAATCGTTGTCTCAGTCAAATTCCTTCTGACTTCCAGCACTGCAGATCTTCAAATCGACTTGATCATGAAATATCATGATCAGCAATCTCCAGTCCACAAAAAAGTACTTTAGCTTCCTTCTTGTTCATGCTAATTCTATTACAGTATCGATGTCAGGAAATGCGCCATGTTTCTCCGCCACGGAGGGCGATTTTTGAAACCCCATTTTGTTTCATCTTGATCATATCAACTGCCCGGCGTTTGAATTTGCCCCACGATCCTGAATACGTCGCGGAATGAAATTTTCCGTTCAATATGGATGAGAGAGGACGGGATCTCTTTCAGTTCAAGATTGGCTGTTAGTTAACTGCTTGAGACTGGTCAGGTCACTGGAACAACTCACACCGCTGCAATTGTTTCCACAGCCCCTCTAGGTTATTGCATCGATAATTCGAGATAAATTGAATATGTCTTAATGGAAAACAGCGCCAATACCCCGTGAAAATTCTACAAGGATTTCCTATCCCGCTACGAATATGCTGCTTGAATGAATGGGGCCATCAAAACGGTGCCTGTTCAGCCCATCTGGGTACTGGGCCCAACTTGTGTCAGGAACACGGAGTTTAGCCCTATACGGAAGATTGAAAAATTAATATACTACGATAGTGAAGTGGGTGGGTTCTCCAAGGCTATGCTCTGTAGTCTGTATTCATCTGGAGTGTATATAAAGACCACAGCCCCGACATACATCCACGACTGTCCTTTCTTCATTTGTATCTCAAGACTGGCTTCTTGTTTTCCCACTCCCTAACTTTTGATTCTTTTTTTCTTTCTTTTACCTGACAAACTCAACAAACATTCTTTTCCGTCAACATGAAGCTCGGCAGCTTGATCATGGCGGCCAGCGCCGCGAGCCTGGTGCACGCGTCGTCGTCGTCTTCTTCCACGAAGCGTGATGCCGTCAAGAAGCGCGCTAATGGGTTCACCTGTATGTCAAGAGACTGGATATCTTGAAAATTTGTCCTAACCGAATATAGGGGTCGGCGCCAATGAATCTGGTGCCGAATTTGGCGAGACTAACATTCCTGGAAAATTGGGAACCGATTACACCTGGCCCAACGCCAGCTCTATCCAGACCCTGAGAGATGCGGGTATGAACATCTTCCGAGTTCCATTCCTCATGGAGCGCTTGGTGCCTGATGACATGACCGGCACTCCTGACGCCACATACTTGAAGGCGTTGAAATCGGTAAGTGGCCATTGCTCCGGTGCAGCTCAATGTGGCTGATAATATTGCATAGACTGTCCAGTCGATTACCGAGGGCGGTGCATACGCTGTCCTTGATCCCCACAACTACGGAAGATAGTGAGTTCACTGGCCTTGTGCTCGGCTACCATAGAACTAATAATGTGAACAAAGTTCTGGAAACATCATCACTTCCACCTCCAACTTCCAGTCCTTCTGGAAGACCGTTGCTGGTGAATTCTCATCGAATGAGAAGGTCATCTTCGATACCAGTATGATCACCAAGAAGCGTGATATCTTGGGATAAGCTAACGTGCATTTGCAGACAATGAGTATCATGACATGGATCAGAGCCTGGTCCTCAAGCTGAACCAGGCCGCCATCAACGGTATCCGAGCTGCTGGAGCCAAGACGCAGTATATTTTCGTCGAGGGCAACTCGTACTCTGGTGCCTGGAAATGGGCCGACACCAATGACAACCTGAAGGGTTTGACCGACCCTCAAGACAAGATCGTCTATGAGATGCACCAGTACCTTGACTCGGATGGCTCTGGTACTTCTGAAACCTGTGTCAGCTCGACTATTGGTAAGGAGCGTCTGCAGACGGCCACCAAGTGGCTCAAGGACAACAACAAGAAGGGATTCCTTGGTGAATTTGCTGGCGGTGTCAACAAAGACTGTGAGACGGCAGTGGAGGGACTTCTCTCTTACATGTCCGACAACAGCGAAGTCTGGATGGGTGCCGAATGGTGGGCTGCCGGTCCCTGGTGGGGTGACTACATGTACAACTTGGAGCCAAAGGACGGCCAGGCATACTCGACCTACCTGCCCATCCTCAAGAAGTACTTTGTGAGCGATTCGAGCACCAGCTCCGCGAGCAGCGCCAACACCAAGGTGAAGATTAGTACTCCTACCCCATCCAGCCAGCCAGCGTTCCCCAGCACCACTCCGGCAGTCCCAACCCCCAGTGTTCCGTCTTCGGCCTCGATTTATGTGCCTACTACGTTCCTCACAGCCTCGAGCTCGTCCATCCCATCCTCGACCAGCAGCGTGCCTGCTGCGAGCAGCTCGGGTCTTGTGAACCGCTACTATCAATGCGGTGGCCAGGACTGGACTGGACCGACTACTTGCCAGAGCCCTTACACTTGCGTCAAGCAGAACACCTTCTACTCCCAGTGCATGTAAGGCATAGCTGAGTCGAACAGAGAGATTGGTACAGACGGTTTGTCTTTGTTGTGAAATTTATTTTTTTTCGATTCATGTATATTACTTGAGAAAATAGTTTGACTTGATTGAATCAACCTTGGTTTTGAGTCAGGTGCATATGCGGAGAACCATCAAGTGATTAGCTATGACATATCTTGAACCCCGCACCGGTCTAGATTTATCGGTATGGCATCCGAGGCTGGAGGTTTGTATATCGATATGAGATGAGTATCTGTATAATGCAGTCAAGGCCAATCTATATTGATGTCACAGTTGACCTTGTTCCTGATACACTCCACCATGCTGCAAGATGAACCAGAATATAATCTCATAGCACGATTATATCGTTGGAGATGCTTAAATACGAAATATCCCTAACCAACCCTCACAGATAGGTCACCAACTCCTTACCCCGATAGGGAAAAAGATCCGTTTGACACTTCGTATATAACAAATCTATCCATCCAACACCCCCTCCCTCACATTCCACCATCACATCCAGTATCAAAATATCTTCGAATAAAGAAAAGTGATATCCAAAACACCATCCTTATCAAGAATAACATCCACAGTCCCAGAAACCTACTTTCTCCCTCCCACAAAATACGCACCCAACAGTCCCCTCCCGGTGTTGGTCTATCGAAATGTCCTCCCCGATCCGTTGACGGAGGAATCGTGTCAGGCGTTTATCGAGGACCATGGATGGGAGAGGAAGGTATTCACTTCATCACCGAATCTCCTAAGTACATACATATGGGTTGATTTATTAAATGTGACCGATAGGGCCCTGTCTGGAAAGCAATCTACAAACGACATTTCCATCCAAATGTCCATGAATGCTATGGTTGCTACCTACCTACCAACCCATACATACCACCAAGTACAGTGCCTACTGACAAATAAAAGGAATAATAAGCGGAACATCCCAAGTCCTCATGGGCCTCGGAACAGGAGACATCGAAACCCCCAATTCCGGTCTCCGATTCACACTCCACGCAGGCGATGTCGTTGTCCATCCGGCTGGGACTGCGCATTCGAATGTTGCTGATGAAGGGGAGTATCGATATATGTCCTTTTTTCCGGCTGTAAGAGTTGTCTTTCTGGTTTCTATGTTTGGGCTCGGTGTTGGTTCTAACGAGGCTTTTAGGGATCGCCGCGTTGGAAGTCGGAGACTGGGAAGGAAGAGGTGGATTTGGAGGCTGTTCGGAGAGAGACTGGGGGTGTGCCGATGCCATTGGATCCGGTTTGGGGAGGGGAGGGATATTTGCGTTCTCTGTGGAGTATGACTGCGGAGTAGCTGAAGGTGTTTTAAGGTAAGATGATTGATTGTTGTCATTTATATATGCGTCTATATAGTATTTGATACGAAGTACAGGCAATACACAGATTGATTCATAAGAATGCAAGCACAGGAATGAAAACTTTTGAACAGGTCTATTATCATAACTCATACTGATGACTTTACATATCAAGCCGCATGTAAGCGGACAGTCACCAGGTCAGCTGGGCAGCTGGTCAAGGTCAAACCGTGACGAATCTTCTGTTCCGGATGAACATCTTCGATTCCATCGAAGCGCTGCAACAAGCGCACCAGAACGTATCCAGCCTCAGTCAAGGCGAACTGTTGGCCAATGCATATGCGCGGGCCACCGTTGAACGGAAGGTAGTCCCAGGTGACCTTGCGGTTCACCCAGCGCTCGGGAATGAAAGAGTCGGCATCTGGGCCCCAGAGGTCCTTTCGGCGGTGTAGAATATGCACGTTGTACATGACGGCCTGGCCCTTGGTCACATATACTGGCTGCGAGCCGTCGGGACCTCCGCCCAGGGGAAGAGTGGTATCCCGCACGGCGGTGCGGCGGTTCATAGGCACAACAGGGTACAGACGAAGAACCTCGTTCATACAGTGTTGAAGGTACTGGCAAGACTTGAGAGAAGCGAAGGTAATGTTCTGGGGGTTCTCGTAGGTGCCGAATTCCTCAACGATGATCTTACGGAGTTTCTGGAACACTTCCGGATGCCGGGCCAGAAGGAGCACGGTCCAGCTGAGCAGCGAGGCGGTTGTGTCACGACCAGCAAGAAGGATGTTGAGCAACTGAGAGCGAAGTTCGATAGGATCCTGAGTGACAGCAGCCAGTCCGTGAAGGAAAACGTAGTTGGAAGGCTTCTCTTCGTCTTTCTTGGTCTTTTCATCCTGCACGCCCTTGAGAGCAGCGTCAACGAAGCGGTCGACAAACGAGTGCACCTGCTTATCGGAGTGACGAGATTCCTTGTTGTTCACGATCCAATGCAATTTTTCGAAACGAACACGTTGTGCGGCGTACCACTGGGACCGATCGAAGTAGAAGGGGAATTCTGCAGCCGACTTGTCTCCCTTCAGGGCAGCCAGTTGACTATCAACGCTCTCTCCAAATAGGAATTCGGTGGCAGAGTCCATGGTAAGGCGGAAGAAGATGGTCTGGATGTCAATCTGGCCAGACCAGCCATCAGCAGCAACAGGTAGTGCTTGCATCGCATTCTGAACATGACGTTCCTCCAAGTCCAAATCACTAATCTGATCACGGGTAAACTGAGGTCGCAGCAAAGCTCGCGAACGGGTCCAATCCTCGCCATCTGCTGTAAACTGTTGACGCAGGGTTAGAAGAGTAGGAAAAACACACCAGGGGACCATAGAGTACGTACAATACCAGTTCCCAGAAGATCGTTTAGAGAGTGCTGTCGAATAGCACCCAGATCAAAGTCTTTGAACTGAGTCGCCAACAATGCCTGGATGTTCTTGGGGTCACAGGTGAAGAGATTCTCGCGGCCCATAGTACGCACGCGGAAGGTCGACACATATCGGTTCTCGCGGTCGGACATGAAATCGACTCGACGTTGGGTATACATAGGAATGTCCTTTTCCTTGTCTGCCTTCAGAGACTCCTTCAGAGTGCTGATTCCCAATGGATCACTGGGATAAAGCAAGGTTGGGCCACAGCCCAGCTGACGAGCGCGTCGCGCATGCTGAATCGAAGTCACAATGGACCAGAGCAAGCGAAGGACGACCGCAGCGGCCGCGACGACCACAAAGAAAGGGAGGGCCATCTTGAACCACAGAAAGAGGTGATGTGAGAAACGACAGAGAAGACGGCCATCATGTTCATAATAAAAAAAAATTGTGAGGTTACAGGAATGGCTGCTAACGGGTTTCTAACCCTGAAGAAGACTTCGACCGAGGCCCATTGCGGCCGCAGGTGGGGAAGCATCAAATGAAACGCAGATGATTCGATGCATGTCAGTATGGGGCAGGGGCTCCTGGACGATGGAGCTCAATAATTTAAGGTCGATGCAGCTAACAGGTCACACTCAAAATGCCATCTCGGAGGATATTGAGGATGGGGGCAAAGGAGCAACGATCATCTCCGTCGTGGGGAAGCGAAAACTGGGAAGGTTGGCTCTTGGTCGTTCTTGGGCGACGCGAAACTGTCGGACTTCGGCGTGACCGACGGCCCGATCGAGGAGATCGAGAACAGCTTCATGTTATTTGTCCGGCAATACGAGCCTCGTCGCCACGGGGGCCGAGGTTCCATTTTGCGGATTAGTGATCGCCAGGTCCATGACTTGTTTTATCTCGCCCACATCAACCACATGCAATCCTCTTCCTTCGCGGTGGGGTTGAACCTAGTTATCAACCACCTTCTTCCTCGGCCAGATGACATCTCCAAAATCAGATAATCAACAGCTTCTGCATATCTTGTCGGCGCGCTCGTACCTGGACTCTGGGCAAATAGCAAGGCCCCCTCCAGCAGACAGTCATGATGTCCCTGCCACCCCGTTGAAACGAGGTCTGATGACTCGTCCATCAGACTCTTCGGCGTCCCCGGACTCTCTAGATCACGAGCCAAGTAACCCTGTCAAGAAACGTGGCCGTCCACGAATAGAGGCAGATAATCCCAATCCAAACGAGGTATGCGAGGAGAACTCTCTACGCAGGCGATGGGAAGGGTGGACAATATCTGGAGAAGAACCGTCCTGATGGATCATGTCACAGGAACGCCGTCTGCAGGTCCGGCGAGCCCAACGGAAATACCGACTCAAGAAGGAAACAACCATTCAGAACCTCCAGTCCCGTGTGGCAGATCTCGAACATGCTTTGCAAAACGTGTCTGATCTCGTCGTGGACTTTCAAGATACAGTGAGGTCGGATCGAGCGCTAATCAAATCAAATATGACCCCGTTGCTGTCGCACACGACCGACCGGATACTGACAGAGGTGGAGCGAGTAGCACCGGGTTCTCGACATGAGAGTCACCTCGACCGTCTTCCGTCTGGGGAGGATGTTCTCGGACAAGATGAGTTTATCCTGGATCCGGGCCCTCGGACAGAGCGGGATATGGTCAACGTGTTTGGATATCAGATGTCGAAAGACGAACTTGATAATAATAGGGAAACGCCATTATCCCCACTCTTCCAAGCCACCGTCCACAGCTATAGCTTTCAGGAAGCTGGTTTCTATCGAAAACTGCAACGATTTTGCCTCGAACATACCTACCGCTGGCTGATCGATCCGCAATCAGACCCCAAATTTATCATCCGCGTGTTCGGGCTACTGCCCTGCATCGCAGAGAAACAAGTCGTAAAAAGAAACTTTCAGAAAGTCCTACGAAGTGAAGTCAGTGCCCCACTGGAACTGACATTCATCCCGTTTTACTGCATCGGTGGTGCCGGGACGCATTATCCCCGGACAGGTGACGACGGAAGACCGAAATATCCAGACAATATGCGAGTGCCACGACGGATTCTTAGGCGCGTGTTGGAGTCGATGTTTGGTGCATCAGCATGTGACACCGATGAACGCATAGAAAGCCAGCTGAAAAGACTGGATCTGGATGGGGATTGGTTCGACTGTCATGATGTGCAGGGTTATCTCGAGCAGATGGGGATTATACTTGACAAATCGTCAAACCTAGTTGAGGTTCCAGCATCGACAGTCCCCTTGCTTTATGGTCCCCATCGATGGTCCAACCGACGCAGCTCCAGGGCTGCTGACCTTTTGGATGAAGCCCTGCTTGATGATCTCATAGAACCCTGGGGAGGCAATGGCAATACAGAGGCGTCGGGTTACGTCCTAGATGTGGAGCATTTTTTCAACTGTAAGTTTGGTGGTTTCATCCTTGCTGATACCTGAAACTGACTCTTACTGAATAGCACTTTTACGGAATGTCCGACTTCTCGGACGTGCCCCAGGTTTTCGACGTGGTGACGTTGATGCAGCTCTCAAAACGGCCTTGCGAAAATCAGACCCTTGCCTCGGTGATTAGGCTCATCATAACAGCCTTGGAAATATAATCATAATATGACACGATAAATAATGCCTACAATATCCACAATATATATCCAAATTATCCGAAGAGGGTATCCATTAAGTTATAAAGAACTAGACAATGTAGGTATAGCGACATGGACCATATCAATTAAATCCGTCAAACATTATCCGGATCGCATTTCATTCCGCATTTTCTCGGTAATCATAAACTAGCAGCAGATTTCGCAGCACTCGAAGCAGGCAAGACCGGCGCAACTATTCAAGTCAGTATCAAACTGGAGAAATAGAGTAGAGTCGTTCTATCTTACATTCCGCAGCAAATGCCACCACCTTGACCACCTCCACGGAGCTGCATCTGTTCCTGGGATTGCTGATGTTCATTAGTTTCTCTGGATCGACAATGGGTATAAATATATCACAAAAGACATACAGGCTGCTCGGAGACGATCTGCTGGTTGGTAGGATCTGCAGGGCTGGAAGGCTGCTCCATGGTAAGAGTGTTGGGGTTGAAGGTAGCCTCGGTGGGCTCCTCCTTGGAAGACTTGAACCAGTTGCCGAACATTGTGATAGATGGTTGGTAGGTGTTTGAAGGTGGATAAAGAAGTAGTGATTGATAGTAGAGAGATGAGAGAACTTGTCAAGCTGGAGATTGGGGATGCGGCGGCTTTTTAACGTCGACTGAAACGAACCATCGGCAAAAAAAAAATAAATAATAATTAAAATAATAAAATAATTAAAAATAATAAATAACAATAATGGCGCTGCCTGGGGTTGGAATTGGATGGATGGATGAATCGGCACACGCCCGGGTTCACTAGTGTATTACCGGCTGAAAGAAATGGGATGGGTCAGGAGACCTGAAGGGCTGAGAGCTGAAGCGGTCAACCGTTGAGCGTTAAGTGATCTATCTATCTACATACTATGATACAAGGTATTGACTCTATTCAAATCTGTGTCTATTCCATTATTATTTCTTCCATCAATATCGTCATGATACTATTCATGGAGTCCTATCAACCGCCACGTACCCCCCGAGTCATCACCCACGTTGCCCAGACTCAGCCCTGTTACTGGGTCCCCCAGCCAAACCGCCTTGGCAGATCTTAATTTAGCTGTCTTTGTATGTGTATCGTACCGGTATTGTGGCTGAATCGACAGGGGGACTGAAGAGCCAAATCAATACAAGCGGTCTTGGCTAAGCCTTATCTGGAAAAAGAGACTTTTGGCGGGCTTCCTGAAGGATTATTTGCCTAGTTCAGGCGTCAGGGCCGGCGGTTATGCGTAGATCTTCTAGTTTATGTAGATGCATTGTTAACTACTTATTAGTTATTACGTATTCTTTTTGTATGTCTTATTTATTAATTTATGATTGTGGCAGAGTAGATGGGTTGCACTCAATTGGCCAGCAATCAACATACTTCGATAGTGCTTATCATGGTTTTTTCCAGGTGTAGACTAGCGCGGCCGCCTGATTCATTACCAGCCACGTACCTGACCGTACCGAGGATGCGAAGCTCAATGAAGCCATAAAAATTAGGAATGGAACCACTAGAACATCCACGGAACGGCTCATACGCATTCATCAGCCATCAGTCATGCCTCATTTCTGGTATATACTATCGACTATCCACGAACTATGTATCGTCAAACTCCAACTTTGAGTCTATTATGTTCAAATCTTCCGCTTTACCAACCCCCGGAAAAAGTCAAAGCTGTTACTGTCACTCTGCAGCTGCCACACTCTCCCCGTGGGACGATCGTTCCACCCCAACTCTTCCGCCAGCAATAGTCCATAGTCCCGTGTGATTCCCTTGATCCGCGCTCTGGCTCCCCCTTCTTCCTCCAACGTCACCACCTGGTGCATGTGCAGCCAGTCGCTGTAGTAGATATCCTCGAAGCCTTTGTCGAATCCTGTCCGGAGGAACCGGATGTACATTTCCTCAAACGTAGTGAGGATTCGCGCAAGCAGCTTCTCAAGAGTGACGGGTGCTGGTCTGTTCGGAAGGAAGCGAGAGACCAGCGCGTTCAGAGATGTTGTGGGCGATGTATTGGTGGCATTGATGCCAATTCCCACCACGGAGATGTATTCATTTCCAGAGAAATGCGAGTTGATCAGGATCCCGCAAATTTTGGTATACTTTTGCTTCTCCGGGTTTTCCGGGTCCAATGCATCTGACACGAGTTCATTAGTGTTCCATACTTCCATGTCGTAAGAACCTTAATTCTGACTTACAGACGTCGTTGGGCCACTTGAGCTTAACCGGTAAATTCTCGTAGCCCTTATCATAACTCTTGATCCCTTTCACAATGGCCATTGCTGCCAAGTACTGGATGAAAATGACAGGTGCGGATTGTAACTTTTCGACCGGATGGCGCACCACCGTTGAGAAAATAAGAGATCCTGCTGGGGACACCCAGACGTTGGAGCCTCGTCCTCTTCCAGCAATCTGGGTTGTCGCCGTTGCTGTGAAGCCATTCGGCAACCGCCGAAGCAACTGGGCATTCCTAGAAAAGTCAGCCGGAAATGATGAAGCTGGCGAGCGAAAGGCCTTACTTTTCTAGAATAGTATTCGTGCTGGTGATGACCTCGCCGTACATGATATGCGAACCGAATTCTGAAGCCCCCTCCCTTGATTGGGATTGGTATTGCTTCAGGTTAGAGTAAAAGGAATGGTGGTTGAAATAAGGCGTGATTTTCGAAGATGGCAGCTCGTCGTGAACGACAAGGCGTTTGAGAATCGCGTTGTAATCCACAATCCCTGGTTCAGCAGCGTCCTTTGGGCTTTCCTTCGAATCATCAGGAAGGGATTCCTCCAGTTTTTCCATACTCCACACTCCATATTTCTCGATACGAAAGGTATCGTTTTCATCCTTCAGGTACTTTTCTTTTCCATCCTTGGTAATCACATCATCAAGCGATGACAAGAACGTCTCCGTGTCAGCCGGATCGGCCGCAGACAGGTGCAAGGAGGATAAAGAAGGGACAGTCGTAGTATCCTGGCTGACTTGTAGGCCCAGCTTGGACAAGCAAGCCTTCAGAAAGTCGGTCCTAGACTTGTCGTCGGCAGCCAGAGCGTCCACCAGTTTGGCATATTCCGGACCATTGGCGTTCCTATCGAGATTGGCAGCTGCGAACCTGGACTTTGTCAGCTGCAATCCAACACAATTATACAATTCTAGAGCAAACGAACTCTGGGTGTGGGCTGGTCAGAATAGCGGCTCCCTCCCCAATCTTGCGGTAGATAACAGCAGCAGCGCCTTCGCCAGGGTCAACGTTGAGTTCTTCTGTGTAGCTGGCAAGAACCTCCACTTTTTTATCGGCATATTTCGATGCATCGACAAACACGCCACCTCCATTGTAATAAGCCCGAAAGACATCCGGCACAGTTCCAACACTCAATGCATCCTTGGATACCTTGAGCTCGGCCGCTCGCGCTCCACCCTCACTGTGGTAGACGAACCCCTCGAACGCCCCTCCTCGGCATGTCCCGGGAAAGAAAGAAAGCTCCCGCTCCCCAATAACCTGCATGGTCTTGTCGCCAACCTCGAACTCACACCGATGGCAGCCGTAGTAGCCCCCCGCGCAGAAGCCCAAGTAAGCGCCTCCTCTCTGGACGAACTGTTCAATTCTTCTATTACCAACGCCATTGAGTGTTCGGCAGTATCCTAGATCTGCTCCGCCGGGGATCACAAGTAATGCGCAAGTGAGCGTCCATGGCTCTCTGATGAGCATGTCGCCCGTGACGGGGATCACGGCATAGTGGGGGGCAAGAAGGCGGCGGAGGGAGTAGAGACAGTGTCGGACGGATTCGACGGTAGTTCCATTGCCTGTATAATGATATCGGTGGTTAGAAGGAGGTTTGCTTCAAGAGAACTGGATGGTCAAACCGGAATAGACAAGGACGTTGACCTTCTTCCCGGTTATGTTGGGTGTCACTGTTGTCATCTTGCGGCGGGGAATGAAGAACCTCAAGTAGAAATTCCCCCTCTAACTTTCACGCTTGATCTCCGACACAACCTGGTGCAATATCGTCGCAATGTCCAAGAAAGAAGACAATCCCCCCGTTGTACCAGAAGTGGATGACGATGAGCCGGATGACTGGTAAGGTGTCTTGGGTGTTGGGAAGAATTGATCGTGTTGGGACGCTGACGGAATCAACCTGGTCTAGGGACAAGCGGATCTTCAGCACCGGCTGCGCAGGTGAGTAGTTGGGGGTCTTGGACGAGTGGGATGATATTCATATTAACTATGGCTAGCTGAGAATATGAAAATGAATGACTGCTACTATGAAAAGAAGGATTGGCGAATTTGCAAGAAAGAGGTGAGTTTTGTTCTGTCGTCTGCTGTCTGCGGGCTGGACGGAGGTGCTCTTCTACCGGGCATCGCAGTTCAATATTGAACCGACCGTTGCATTTGAACAATATCCCTGGAATTGAATAGCAATATGAAAGTGAAGAATACACCTCACTAACTTGTCTGTTCTAGATGGAGGCATTTCGCGAATGTTGGAAGCGCCAGGGCAATGACCAGCGAACGGCGACAAAAGACGTTTGAGACGCATTGGAGATACCATCCATTACGAGTGTCCAACTGCTCTATCTGAATTATTCCTCTCTCTACTGTACTTTATGTAAAATAGACATCTTTTCCTGGATTTCGGGCAATGTACCAGCTATGGCCGTTGTTTTAATATCACGTGACACTATACGGACTTCTTGGTTCTTCTTGCTCTCAGCTCCCACCAGCATCATCTTACAGCTCCAAAATCCACCAAAAAAATGTCTCTCCCCCGTCTATCTCGCTCATTGCGAACGGCAGAATCCCTCCTGCCAAAGACAAACACCGTCAATCTCGCCTCTGCCTCGCGGTTCAGCTCGCGACGAGTCCTCCCCACCGGCTACAATGCGTCCAACCTCCGTTTCACACGATCATTGAGCAGCTCAACTCCCACCAGACAAAACGGACAAACAACACCCAAACCCGCCTCTACTACATCCACCTCATCAACTACATCTACACCAAAAGCACCAACCCCAACTCCAGCCGCCGCCCGCGCCGCCACCATCGCCTCCTCAACCCCCAACCAACAAACCACACCCAACATCTCCAAAACCGGCCTCTCGGACAAACCCCTCGAGCTTGACTCAACCCCCGAAGAGAAAATCGACTGGACTCGCTCCTTCCACGGCCTCAGCGCTGCCCCCTTCCCCAAAGAAGCCGCCGATATCCTCCTCGCCGAGACAGACCCCGAAGAAGTCGAGATCAAGCCCGATGGGATCCTCTACCTGCCCGAGATTAAGTACCGGAGGATTCTGAATAAGGCGTTTGGACCAGGCGCGTGGGGGCTGGTGCCGAGAAGTGAGAGTATCGTTACACCCAAGACGGTTACGAGGGAGTATGCGCTCGTTTGCCATGGACGGTATGTTGTCACCCATCCTTTTCCAGGATAAAATGAAACTAATCGAGTGGCCATGTTAGACTTGTCTCGGTAGCCCGCGGTGAACAAGATTATTTCTCGCCCGACGGTATCCCCACCGCAACGGAGGGATGTCGATCCAATGCCCTGGTGCGCTGCTGTAAGGATCTCGGCATCGCCAGTGAACTGTGGGATCCACGATGGATTCGCAAGTTCAGGGCCCAGTATACCCGCGAGGCATTTGTGGAACATGTCGTGAACAAGCGCAAGACGAAGATTTGGGTGAGAAAGGATGATCAGGTGTCTTATCCCTGGAAGGAGACGAAATAATATTGTGCACTATCCATTTCACGACTATGACTGTCTGTCTTGATGGGTAAATGCGATACTATTGTACCATAGATTAAGAATCAAACATAGATGTCTTATAATAATTCACTCTCTTCTTTATTGAAATTTAAAGTAAAATTATATAGTAAATGTCCCCACCCAACCTACTATATACATACAATTAACCACACGCACAAAAACCCAAACTCTTTAATTTCCCATAAATATATCCCAATTTCCCTTTTTTTTTTTTTTTTTTTTTTGTTTCATATTACTCTCGCGCTGGCCGAGTCCACATCTGTTCTCCGTTATTATGCCGATGAGCCGGAGGCAACGGCGGCACCTGCAAGCCACTCGGCGAAGACAAAATCGGCGAAGGCTGGCTCTCCTCCAACGGGACTGTAGTAGTGGGTAACTCGTGCGTGTCGGCATTAGCATACGGTGTCTCCTGGGGAGGGTAGTAACTAGTGTTGGTGGGGTAGTTGAAGAGCCCTGCGGGAGGTTGTGGTGCGTTCAGGGCTGTGTTTGAAGCAGTTGGGGTCGCGGACATGCGCTGGAGACGAGGAGGGATCGGTCGAGCGATGATGGGGACACCAGCGTAGGTAGCAGGGCCGGGAGGGGTGGTGCCGCCCTTACGACGGCCGGTTGAGGGCTCGCGAGCGAGTAAAGGGTTGGCGCCGGAGTTGACGCTTAGCTGGCGCGAGTTGCGGGGTGAGCCGGTGGGCGTTTGGTAGTGATCGGGTTCGGTTTCTTGCTCGTCGCGCGACTGGTCCATGGCTGGGGAGCGAACGTTGAGTTGGTCTGCGTAGGCTGCTTCGGTCTCGTGGGTGGGTGCGCCGCGACGGGAGATGGTTCCGGTTGAAAGGCGGGTGGTGTCGATGCTGGTGGACTTGCCCTGGGGTTGCAAGGTGCTTGATGCGTTGGTGCCGTTTCTGGCGAGTAGACCGGAGGCTGCTGCTGGACCGGCTGCAGCTGGGGTCTTGTCATTGGTGTTGTCAGAGTCGGGCTTGTCGTTGTTGTTGTTGTCATCATCATCTGCCGGGGCCTCCTCATCTGCGCCAGGTGCACGGATGGGGATCTTGCGCACGGCCAGAACCAAAGCGCACATGAACTTGGATCGACGAGCAGCACGGACGGTTTCGTTGGACCAGTTTGATTTGTGGCGGATATCGACGGACAGTTGGAGTTTGTCCATGTCGCCGACACCGACCATTTCGATGTTGATATCAGGTTGGAAGTCACGGCAGTTGTCCTTGTCGCGGACAAATTTCTCCATTTCCGCTTTGAGACATTGGATGTCGGCGAAGGTGGTTTCGAATTTGACGGGGATGGTCAGCTGCTCGTGCATGGCGTTGGCACGGGTAAAGTTGTCAATCCAGAGTCCATTGAGAACGACGTTTGGCACTTGGGTCATGCGATGGTCGGTGACACTGCGAAACACACTGAACAGGAGGGAGATGCGCTCCACGACATAGGGCTTGTCGCTGACTTCGATGCGGTCACCAACGTCAAAGGGATGCTTGACGAAGAGGAAGATACACGAGCCCAGGACTTCTTGCGCCGTGGTGGAGAAGACGAAACTCAGAGACAGCAGGGAGGTAGCACCAGCAGCGATGACGGTGCCAAATCCACTTGTGACAAACGAGACAAAAACCAAAATGCTGATGATGAACGCTACGGTGAGCAGAAGATTGTCCAAGACGTGGATCGCCTGATCAACATCGTGCATACTGTGGTTCAGAGCCTTCCTCGAACGCCCAAACTCAGTCACTGCCAGGATCATTTCATCGAGAGAGATATCGCCATTGCCATCGCGATCCAGAATCTGGAAGCACTCTTCGGCGTCTGCATCCCTTCCAGCACCGAGCACCTCGAGTATATCATCGTAGTAGAGGGCCTCTCGACCCTCAATGACACACGACATCCAGATTCTACGGGCCAAAGCCTCAGATGCCTTCTTACGTTCCAACGCATGGGTGACAACCGAATGCGCCGAAGTCGGGTTGAAGACTTGCTTGCCCGTGAGTTCCTGGGCGACATTTCCAAAGGCCGCAGTCACCTTGTCTCCAAAGCGACCAACGTTTTGACCAACGTTTCGAATCAGTCTCAATGGGACGCCGCTTCCAGACCGCTCAAACCCTGGTCGCTTTGCAGTGGCGGCACCGAGGAAAGTGTCGGAGATGATGGCATCCTCGTCGCGGAACTCCTTGCAGTACATGGGAAACATGTTGCGCGAGGCTTCATAGAGTTGGCCAACCAAGTAGATGTTGCGCTTGGACTCTTTGATCTTCGCGTCAAACTGTTTCCGGTGGTAGCTGACCGAGATGAGCTGCACTATGGTCTTTTCTCCAAGGAAAATCAAGCTACAGACGAGCAGGGCGAACAGGATGTTCTTCACTGATTTCTCCCAAGACTTGACGGAGGTATCACCCTCTGCTTTGTTCAAGGGGTTCATAGTCATGATCTTTACGAATTAGCTGACAGATGCTCCCTCTTTCCAGGAAGAAAAAGATCAAACATACCGGTAAAAATGTCACCAACGACACAACCAACCATGCCACCAGGGAAAGGGGCATCTCCAAAGCCCTAAGCAGCAGCGCATACTTCCGCGTCCCTGAGCTGACAATACCGCACAGGAATTGAAACACATAAGGCACAAAGTGAGCGAATATCTTCGAAACCCACAGACTCAACCACACGACCTCAATCCAAGTAAAGAACCAGTGCAGCGCGACGCCTCCAATCTTGACGTCCTGCGCAACCGTCGCACCCACGATAATCGGAATCGCAATCAACAGCCCAATCGGCGTCACGTAAATCATATAACGAGTGATAATGGAGAAATTGAGAATAGCCTGATAGATGCGTCCCATGCGCGTGATAGTCCCATCCTCTGGCTCCTCCAACGACCGTCCCTTGTCCTCATCTGTCGCTCTCCTGCGTCGACCAGGCCCGTGTCCAGAACCCAGACCAGAGCCAGCAACCAAGCTGGACTTCTCCCCGCTCTGCTCGGCCATGTCCGCCATTGGGGGCTCATAATGGTTTGTAGAAACGGGTGTGACCCCGCTGCCCTTGCGAGCGCCAGTTTGGCCTCGACTCGAGACACTGGTTAATGGGATGTCGATCGTGGCATCATTAGGGTTCCCCATTTCCTCTGGAGGGGGATCAGGAAGCGGTTGGAAACGGTGTATAGACAATCGCTTCTCAGTCATACCTGGGCGACCAGACATAAGGGAAAAGAAAGGACAGAAAAAGTGGGAATCCGGGAAGGTTTTAAATAGAGTAGTAGTTAGATAGTGCGTGCTCTAACTAGCTGGCCGGCAGCCAGTGGCCACAAACACAAAAATGAGCGATCGCAATGAAAAGAGGGGGTTTGCGCGATGCTCAACACAATTGGAGGATCGAAGCTTTTTTTTTCCTGTCCTGGTTGTCTCGGTCTTTTAGTTCCAACTGTCAAGCAGGAATTAAGGCTGGACGCAGTGGAGAGAGTGGGTCGAATAGAGGCAAAAAAGAGGGACAAAGAGAGAGTGGAAAGCAACGATTGACGATGTTGAAATGAATGAATTCAGTCAAAAAAAGAGAAATAGAGAGAAAGAATTAAGGAAAGGAAGAAGAATCCGGGATAAAAAAAGAAAAAGATGAAGAAGAAGCGAAAGGAAGCGAAGAAAAAATGTAAGACGGGGCGAAGAAGGACGAAAAGGCCTCGACGGACCCTCTCAATGTTTCACAATCCCAGGAACCAAACGCCACGCCATCCTGGATAATAACCAGAGACGCTGTTTGGCATCGCGTTACCAGGGCGCTGGAATGGATGAAGCTGGCATTCTTGATGATCGAAAGAATGGACTATGGAGGAGGAGAGATGGTCGATCGACTAGCAATGTTGATCGTGGCGATCGATCTTAACGGATAACGTTGGACATCATCATCTTCTTCTTATTTAATATTAATTAATATCAGCTGATTCTATTTCTATTTCTATTCTTCGTCATTATCTTAATAATAATTCTGTATATCAATGAATATTGCTGTTAACTGAATACCAGCCTGCATACCAGCTTATCACTGTCTATCATCGTCATTCTTGATCTTCACGTCTATATACCTTACTCATAACCATCCAAATCACGCCTTCGAATCCCTAATCATCCTCTCCAACTCCTCCACCACCCTTTCTCTCTCCCATCCCCCCTCCAATCCCCTCATCACAATCTCCTGCTCACTCTCCGGCGCCATCCCACTCGGCGCCGGCGGTCTTCGATCCAAATTCGTAGGAAACGGATATCCCTCCGCCACGGCCTTGACAAAATCACCCAATCCCCCATCCAACCCCCCAGCAGTACGATACCTCTCCCTCATCACATCCCAGCACGCATTAATCAACGGAACCGTCTCCACCGTCTCCATCGGCTTCCCAAACGCACTACTAATCTGCAACAGGTTCGCCTTGCGATGGAAGTCATCTTCGAGCGCCGTCTCATTCGCCCCAGCCGCATGGAACAGCGCCGGGTTGAAAAATACCCCATCGCCCAGCGACAACGGTAACGCGACGTAGTTCTCTTGAAAGTACGCGCGGAACTCCTCCCGCCGATACGCAAGATACCCCGGCGGATATGTCTGGCTGAAGGGGAGGAATCGCGTCGGCCCACTCGCCAGCGGCATATCGCTATGTGCCACGGCCCCCTGTAACGTGAGATACTGCGAAGCGATTTGCATCGCGGCGGGGAATTTTGAGCAGCTGTCTTCGACTTGAAAGCCGAGATGGTAGTCGCGGTGGCTGTCCTGCGCGGCGCCGCCTGGTTTGACGATATTCACCTGCGCCGTGACGCGGTACGCTGGGCCCAGCCAGGTCTCGCTGACGAGACGCAGCCACGGGTTGGAGTAGTACTCGACGAAGGAGGCCGGGTCGTCGAGGGCGTGTTTGCTGAAGGAGTTCCAGATGCGGTTGTTGCGGCCGCCGGCGGCGAAATGGTCGCCTTTGACTGCGCCGGTGATCTGCTGTTCGTGTTTGATGATGCGCTGGAAGGCAGCGTCTGTCGAGGCTAGGATGGTGTCGTACTGTACTGTGTTGTACATGTTTTTGAGGACGAACACGCCCGGGCCGCTGGCGAGGGCGTGATGCCATTCATTCTGGACGGCGTCGGGAGAGGATACATCCAGTGCTGAGGCGTCGTAGATGGGGATGTTCCTTTCAATGGATGCAGCTAAGGGGTAGGTGGATGTGTTGGTGGTTTGGGAGCATATTTTCTTAAAGTCGTCGAGTTGCGGTGCGGTGCTGGCGAAGAGCCGGTTTGGCACGGCTTTTTGATGTCCGTTGACTCCGTTCATTGTGTGATATATATTGACGGATGGTCAGACTGGATAGATGAGGAGAGATGGAGGGGTCGAATTCAATCGACGTTGAAGCCTTTTTTTAAACCTCAACGCATAAATAATTCCGAATCTGTCGATAATGCGGGGGAATACGGAAAACCTTCTCCGTGGGGTAGTTTTTGATGCTGACAACATGAACACTCATCACAGATCAGATGGAAGAATGGATGAAATCATAGAACATCTCTAGATCCTTCCATCTCGCCCATCTTTCATAACTTTATCCTCCCCGTCCTGCGTCGTCGGTATATCAACCCCTGTCTTCCCCGCGCCGGTCTCGATCTGATGATGATTTCCAAGGCACAACACGATAATACCATCACAAACACTCATAACACTAGAATGATATCTCCATTTTGAAACTATGGCTACATAAAGTATTCAGGCGTCAAGTATCCCCACGGGAAACCTTTTCCGAAAACAAACTCGTAGAACCCATTCCACAAGGAAATATCATTACAAATATACAATCGAATCAATCCGAAAGGCACCAGCCCAGAGAAAAGCATGAGATGAGATGAGGTGAGGTAAAGGTGAAGACGAGTCTCATTGTCGGTTCTGTCGTACCCATGATCATCGTGAACGAATCCCTCAAAAGTGCCCCCCAAGAAAAGAAAAAGAAGTAAAAAACATGTTACTAAAAGGAATATGACACAATTCCCATCCCATAATGATATCCATATGTCCGTCGCTAATCAATGTTGTAAGTATCCAAGAACAGCCTGCGCGTAATTCTATCGATGAATCGATCCGTGAAAAAAAATTAAAATAAAAAGCAGGAAAAGGAAAGAGAAAAGAAAACACCTGCCCATGACAATTGTGTGTAGTTTTATATATTTTTTTCATGCATTCATCATGACGGCCCCGAGATCCGAGGTTAAAGCTGAGTCTGCAGTGGCTGGTTTGTCGGTCCGATTCGACTCGCTCAGGATGAGTTGGTTTTCCGATAAAGTCTCCACGAGTGAATTTGGTCGTCCGGCGACAGTGAACAATACTTTGAGCAGTACTCGCTGGTTCTTTTGCCCACCCAGATTCGGAACAGCCCGATGCCTGGTATGGGTCAGAAGAACTCGCACCAAGGAGCGGATATGTAAATCCGTAGACGAATCTTGAATCACATCCAGACCATCAACCACGCAGACCAGCAGCGGTGGTGCATATTGCAATAGTATATCCACTAAGGATAGAACCTCTTTCCAGCTGGTAAGCGTGCCGTCCAAGGCACGGAACCGTTCAGGATTAAGGCCACTGGTGATGTCGCAGTTGAGAACCGGCGGCAAACAATCAATCAGTTGTCGAATCAAACTGTAAGTCAGGGCTATCAATCCCTGCTCGAACAAGCTTATCCCTTCGACCGTCCGGGTTGGAAGAGAACAGAAATGGGAGATGATCGGTAGCTGGGCCTGGCGAGCGAAGCATGCGTAACAAGCCGAGATAAGGGCGACAGGACTGGGAAATGCGGTGGATGGTGACCCTCCAACCGCCAGAACCTGCGAGTGTGGATTGGTGGCCCATTGCTGTAGCGATGTTACGACACTGCCTTCAGCATTGACCTCGACGTCTGACTCAAAATCGGCAATTTGGTCGTCACTGTCAAAGTAGTCTTGGAGATGTTTTGAGGCTAATTGTAGCTCGACCCGAGTGTACTTGCGCTTGGAGCCTTTGGATTCGAATCTAGACGTGTCTTGAATCAGACTGTCAGCCGAGTCTGCCAGTCCATCATCCGTCGTTGGCGAGTCCTGCGTACCTAAGTCTTGTGCAGCTGCTGTCGTCAAGCATGCAATTCCGCTGTTTTGTTCGCTAACGGGATGGAGTTGTTGGCTTGCTGACTCTAGCATTTGTGAGAGGAGCGATTCCCTTTCCTGGGTCATCTTGAGTCGTTGAGCGGCGTTGTGCTGGATTTCCCAGATGAGCTGGCGGGTGATGGTGTTCTGTGAGGCGATTCGACGTTCGTAACCTTGCAGGCCGACCTGACCCAATCGAGCCTCCTCCCAGAGATACGATTCATTCTGTTGCATGATGCAGCGTTTCACCTCGGATTGACGGTCGTCCAGGTCCATTCCATCGGCGAGCCAGCGTGCAATTTCCTTGGCGGTGCTTCTGATGCTGCAAACGAGGTTTTGAAAGTCGAAGTAGACATCTTGACTGGGGCTCTTCAACAGTTGGCACTTGGACCGTCTGATATACCAATTCATGAATTCCCCCAGGAAAAAGAATGTCAGCGAATAGAATCTAGCAATGGAAGGAATGGCGTCTTGGACGGATACATGGGTCTCTCTGATGGGCAAGCAAATGGATTCATTCACTTCCACGAGAGCTTTGACCAGACCTTCCATGATCCTGGGGTAATTCGCGGATGCCTGGGACGGCTATTTAGTATGCAGGGAAGTCCATGAGAAGACCAGGCATACCTTAATGAGAGACTGCAGAGAGCCGTAAAAGAGAGAAATATAGAGTTCACATTCAGGAAGAGTCATCAATAAGATCGAGTGAGAATCAAAGGTAGATAAGAAACGGTCGCAGAGAGTCATGGAAAGGCTGAAGACCCGTTGACGGGGAGTCGACATCCAGACGGTCTGCACATTGCGCACCAGGCTCAAGACATCTCGAGCATCCTGCGGGCGTTCTTGGAAGTCAACTTGATCTTCTGCGGGGAGACTGTCTTGGAAGATCTCCCAAGTCTGAGCCAGTTCATTGTATTCGATGTCGAGTTCTTGAGTTACAGAGTCACTGCAGAAGTTAGCATCACAGCGGTTCCATCGATCTGATGACTGATCATAGATTCGATCAAATTTCGATAGTTAATCGATAATCGATGAGATGACCCGGTCGGCTGGTTGACATCCGATAGCGGATTCTACAGCCGAACAAAGAAGAGGTAAGGCAGCAAGAAAACCGAACCAAAGGACTTACGAAGCAATGCACTTCTTCTCAAATCGCTTGGACCAGATGAACTGGAAGTCGGGGCACGAAAGAGTGGTCGCGGAGGCCATGATGCCGTCCACCGAGTCGACTGCTGAACGGCTGGGGTGTAGCAGGACGAGGACGATCTCGTCGACGGGGTGGAAGCATTCATGTCAGGGACCAGAAAAGAATAATAGAGAGATTAGAGTGGACGGGCGACCATTTTCCTCTCTTATTCCCTGCGTTGATTATTATTTTTTTCTCTCTTCTCTCTTTTCCCTTCTTCTTTTTCTTCTTTCTTTTGTATTCGTATTCGGAATTGTATTATTGTCTGTTTATTGATGATTAGGTAGTTCTTTTCGTCTGATGTTGTCTGTGTCTGAGTTGTAAGAAAACAGTGCACGGGTCTTCGCAGGAAACGGGGAATCCCGCTAAGAAGGATTTGGGATGGAGGAAAAGAGAAAGTGGAAAAAGGAAGAGAAGAAAGAGGAGAAAAAAGAATGAATCGAGGTGCTTTTGGAGGGGCGCGAAGGGGAAGATTGGCGGACGACGGGGCAGATTGCATATATTGTGGACACTATCCTACAGTACAATGCGACTTTTTGACTCCCTACAATTAATGATGTGAATTATTCTTTGACAAGTGTTGAGGTACTTTTCTGGTGGTCGCTTGTTTCTCTGTGTGTTTCTCTTTCGGTCGCTTTCTTTTCTCTCTCTCTCTCTCTGTCTGTCTGTCTGTCTTGCATGTCTCTGTTCCATGAGAGCCTCGGCCTTGTCAAAGCGACCCTCTCAGCAGGGAACCCTCTGCGCCTCTTTTGCCATTCTGGCCAATCACATCTCCGAAATCCACTGGGGCGGTGGGGCGCCGGGTGTTCGAGGCCTCGAATGGAAGCGGGGAGACGCAGAAGGATAAGGCTTCCAGACCCGGTTGGCCTATGGGACGGGCAGAAGCCAACCGGGGGGCCGATGCAGCCTTCCCAAAAGATCTGTTAGTATCTGAAGCAGAGCAAGAGGCAATTCCATCAAAAGCCTGATATGATACAGAGTCCCCGTACTAATTGTCGCGCCTTAGTACTCGATCCGTACCTTCTGACCGGACATCTGACACTGTCACCAGCCACTGCAGCCAGGTCATCAATCAGCTCACTCTGGACTTTAAACAAAGCAGTCGATATTGCCGAATAGCCAAGCCTCGAATCTCTCTCTCTCTCTTTGTTTGTCTCCTGCCTTTATTCGTTGTCAGTCAATTCGTCATCCCACCGACATGCATATCAATGTACATACCGAGTACATATAGGAGCTACCCCCCCTTCTTTGTTGTTCACCTTGTTCACCTTGTTCACCTATACCGACTCGTCTTTGGGTAGCACACACATCCACACAACCTGCAGGATTAATTATGTTTGCACCTCCAGCTGAGACGGTGTCACCCAGCAGATAACCTGATTCTGTCGCCACTCCATCCCAAATCTGACAGAGGTTAAGGTTTCAACTGGGTGTCAGTTGGACATGATGGGGATTGGATTTCAAGGAGAGCAAAAAGAGCTGAGGTCTAGAAAGACTCACGGGCCAGGCGTTGGTGTTACACGGGGTCTCGACCGTGTAAAATCTGCCAATGAGAGGGTTGGTATAAGGCTGGCTATTTTGTCCGCATGGAGAGATCAGCTGTGAGGTGGTCAGGTACAGTTGATGCCAGATCAGAGCTAGAGTATTCTGCTACTTTATTCTGATTACTTTTATTTATATTCACTGGAGTAATTACTTATTAGGAGAATTAACAGACAATTCTCCCAGATGTCGCACAATCCCTAATGCTGTAGGTATTCTGATATCCACTGAGGATTAGATTTCCCCTGACAAGAACTACTGATTCTATTAATTCATTGGGATGCCTGGAGTGCCTGAATGACAGGGCAATACATTCAGCCTCTCTGCGCATGGATGAGTATTCCTGGATTACTGCTGACAGGACTTGGCAATCTTACTGTGATGAGTAGTCAGCATCTACCTACTCTGAGAGATGTCAGTATGAATATCTTCCTGTCGAATGTGAGTTAAGCTACTAGGTACACAATAGAGTAAATATATAAATACACCATGAATGTTCCATGTTCCATGTTCCATGTTCCATCTATCCTCTTCCATTCCAACTGTCAACAGCAACACACATTCCACGGAAAAGTATTCCACCACAGACACCGATAAGAAGACGGCAGAATTATCGAAGAATCTGTAGCACGGGGTCCTACTACGGAGTTCAAAAACCGTCAAGCCAAGGTGCCAACGAGCAGGTATTTATACCACTGTCGATCAAAGACGTCATGGCGATGGATATGCAAAAGAAATCAGGAATTCCCACCCCGAGATCATCGGCTGTTAGTCAGTCTGGGGTTGTCAGTTGGCTACTTGGCAAGGATAGCGGACTTGGCTGCGGAGAGAGATGCCAGTGCGTTTGCCTATTAGGGTATTCGCTGATTTAGAAGGTATTGCGAGTTGACACTGACTGACACTGACACTGAGTGAATGGCTGTTTTGTATAGATTCTAGTGGAATATATAATCAAAGATGGAACAACGGAGGAACGAGAAAAAGATGACAATCAGCAGAAAGTGGATTCGATATGCAGACAATGGACAAACCTGACAAACTTTTCTTTTCGTTTAATCTGGACGGAAACCGGATTGACACATAACATGATCGGCATCCGGAGGACAGTAGATCTCCGACTGTCCGCAATACGAGTACGACTACTTACGACTGCCTATGAATCACGGAGGAATATGTAACTATTTAATATTTCCCGTACTCTGTTAAGTAGACAATGGCATTGTTATCAATCATCCCCAGATTACTGCAACAAGATTAGAAATAGAACTGGTTTGTACCGTGGAGCAACGCAGAAATGGTGAAACTGTCCTCCGGAATCGGAGGCCGCATCTCCACCTGCCGCACGCGGAGAATCACCGGGAATTCATTGACAGTGTGACATCCCCATGCAGAGATCATCGGTTCTCATCAATCAATGGGTTAATTGATTGATTGAATTGAATTGATGCCAATTGCCAAGTAGAACTACAAGTTCATATCTGGGCTACTGTCTATGATAATTGATAATACTTACGATCACCTGCTCTTATCAATCCCGTCCTAAACTTGAGGCGCCATCATCTCTTGGATCGACGATCGTCATGACCTGTACTCCGGCCCAAGGATCAACCCCCGCACGGCCAGAGGATGGATTTTCCCATTGGGGATAGACGAGGAATAATTATGTTGAACACGATCAAATCGCATTGTTTTGTGAGAAATCGTGGTGCATAACTGGGCAGACATGGTTGAGTTTGGACGATCTCCTTGGAGTCTCTCCAGACGGCAGGTTGGCCGTATCTTGGAATCACTAATAACTAATTGATACTGCTGATACTGATTGATTCTTATCATTTTGATATTATTCTTTCCTTTACTCTTCCCATCTGACTTTGTACGGAGCAGTATCTATCTATTCAATCCGAGTACTCCGTAGTGTATCTTCCCAAACGCATCATCCTCACTTACACTCTTTTCATCCACTTTTCTTCAATCGGATCCTAATTATCATCTCAATTCTTCATCTTCAATCAACCCCTCTTCGTTCAATCACAGTCGGATTTTTTCCCGGCCTTTCCGGGCGGCTGGTCGTTTTTCTTTTTTTTTGCCTTCTCCTCTCTGTCATCCATCTTAGCCTCTGCCATCAAATCACCTTCTCTCCACTACAACTCCACCAAGACTCCATCGTGCTCGCTATCCTCGGCGATCCTTGGATTCAAGCGATTTCCATTTCCACTTGTTCCCCTCCATCTGGCATTCTGGTTCCCCCGGTTGCCCTTTTTCCCTCCTCTCTCTGTACTACTACTGCACCGGCTACTGTATCCCCCCTACTACGCTCCTACACTACTGTAGCCGCCAGTCACATAACGATCCACCTTTTTTTGGTCTGTGATATCAGTCGCCTTCGGCTTCCCTGCTGGTCCGGTTTTTGAGGGTCTACAAGATCGCCTTTGCTTCTTGTCTCTCTTCCCTTGTGCTGACCTGACTAATGATCCCACGCCCATCCGATCCTCCGCCCTGAAAGGTTCGTCATCATCGTGGGGAATCCCGGCTATTCTTTTCGATGGGTTGGCAACCTTCTTCCTTTTCTTTTTTCTCCTCTTCCTCCACCTCTTCTTCCTTCTCTTTCCCCTCAATCCCCTTACTGCTGCTTTTGGCTCTCTGTTCGTCAACCTGGGCAGCAAGTTCATGTTGTGTGGTTTCACCGTCGAATAGTTCCCACGATCTGTCGTGGACCAGCCAGAGGTTTCTGCTGCAGAGCGGTCAGATTCAACTTCCCTCTGGCGTCACTCTTGCGCCTCTCACCCAGTCTCTGGTCAATCAAGACAAGCCCCAGCTCAAGGTGCGTTTGGTAATCCGTCATACTTTTTAATCTCTCTTAGGCTGTTAGCTTGCTCCGCCCCAGAGCCCCAAGCCCGCTAACCTCTATTCATAGAAATTCAATGTCACTGGCTCTCCCGTGAATGTCGACGCTTCCAACGCTCTCTCTTTGACTACGAGTGATATCGCCTTGATCAGTTGCGACAGTTCTGCATATCACGGCGAGTTGGATGCGAGTGCGACCGTCGCCAACGTTCTCACCTCGCAGCAAAAGGCTTCCGCGGTGCTTCTCTATAGCTCCACCGCTACCCACTGTAACTTTACGGCGAATGACGACAACGTCCGTCAGTACAACAACGTCTTTACTCTTGTCAGCCCACAAACCGCAGACACTCTCAAGGACCAACTCAATTCAGAGGACCACGATAGGTCCGCTAGCATCGTGGCGGAAATGTACTCGCCTACCCCGGCCCAGGGCGGTTCGGGTGGGGGAACTGACTCGGGATCAGACAGTCCCAACACTGGTTTGTCTCATCGCAGTATCTTCCATGTGACTTTAAGTTGACCGCTGCGTTAGCTATGATCATCCTGTATACTATTACAGGTATCATCACGGCGCTGTTCCTCGGCATCATCATTACCGGCGCTCTCCGGGCTCATCGCCATCCGGAACGTTACGGACCTCGATATACCACAGGGCGCCCGCGGCAAAGTCGAGCGAAAGGTATAGCCAGGGCAATGTTGGAGACGATTCCGATCGTGAAATTTGGGGACGACCACAACCCGAAGGAGGCAGCGATGAAGGGCGACGTGGAAATGTCGATGAGCTCCAGGGAACAAGTGGCCGAGCACTCTCCAGAGCAAAGAGAGGCTGCCGCTGCCGATGAGACCACCGCACCGCCATCGCAACAGAACGAAGGACATATTAGTTCGGAGCCTAACCAAAACCAACAAAACAAATCGTCGTCGGGAACGACCACACCGGCTGCCGGTCCACCGCAGGAGACGATCAACTTTTCATGCCCCATCTGTACCGATGATTTCATCAAGGGACAAGACTTGCGCGTCTTGCCGTGCAACCACAAATTCCACCCCGAGTGTGTCGACCCGTGGCTTGTGAATGTGTCTGGTACTTGTCCATTGTGGTATGTACCCTTGTAGATCCATGGATAGGGTTAGTTGCTAACGTTATCTCTAGTCGTATCGATCTCAATCCATCTCAGCCAGAGGGTGAGAATGAAACGGGCGAGGCAGAGGATAATACCGAAACCACACAGGACAACAACCCGGCCGGTGCGGCCGAACAACAATCGGAAGCAGTGCAAGGCCGCCAACACCACCGTTTGACCAACTACCTGCACGGTACCTTGAACGCCCGGCGAATGCGCGATGCGAGTGTCGAAGAGCGCCTGGCCGCGCTACGGGTTGTACGCGCAGAGGCAAACCGCGAGGATGCGGCTGAGGACGCGGAGGAAGGGCAAAACCGACGGAGTCGACTGACGACACGACTTCGCGATCGATTCCGGATTCGAACTCGTCCTCATGAGAATGAGGGAGAGGCAACGCAATCGTAATCCACGAGCTGAGTTTTTATCGCCAGCCTGTACATTCGTGTTCGATTATACGATACGAAAAGTCAATTTTCTGAGAAACTTGGCAACTTCTCTGTGTCATATTTGGGTATCATATTTGACATTTATATTGCATGACCTGTGAATAGGTCTTTTTTTCCGGTTTGGGGTATATTTTCCATGATTTGATGATTTTCAGGGATGACATTGGCGAGCACTACAATGGGCGATACAGGCGTTTGGGCAAGGCAAATCAGGAGTTTTTTTAATTGAAAGCGGCTGGAACGAATGAAAATGTATGGATGGTTTATTTTTGTTTATACTTGGATATACATACAATGTTTGAATGATTTGAGATGATAAGCATAAGCATATCAAGTGAGACCGGAGGAGTAATCCCGACATGACAGGTCTATCCCTACGTGGTACTGCAAAATTAAGAGAAAAAAGAAAGGAAAAACCTCCGAACCCCATGGGGAAGAAGCAGAAGCGAGCACAGACTGAGAAGGAAAAAAAACCATAAACAGTGGAACAGGACGAAAGACTAGAAACGAGAAGAACAAAACTAAGACGGGAATTCGAATTCCAAGAATCCATTCTCCGGCAGCAATCGCCCGTTGCAGACGGAAATACCGCCGATCAGGAACAGACAGGAATCAGCAGGCCAGCAGCGGTTAATAATCGTCGGGGATGTCGCCGAGAGAAAAAAAATAAAACCAAAGACAGACCGGATAATTATCGTCGATGTGTCATAAACAAGAGGATAAAAGATAACTGACTATACAGAAGAAGCAGAATGAGGCATTAACGCGCGCCACCGATAGTGGTAATTCCGCGGTTGTGGTTGGCTCTCCCTCTCCTGCATATCATGGAGAAGGAGAATCCGGAGTAACGTTAGTATATGACAGTCAGACAGGAGGAATCAATTGCTCGACCGAGTATAAACATGCACACGAGCATCGCATCATCTAATGATATCCACAATGCGTCTTTTAAAACGAGGGATATTAATAAACGGAACATCAATCAAAGACTCGTCAGGGAATCCAAATCCCAGAGTGGCCAGCGTGACACACAAAAATTCTCCGCATGGGGTGAAGTTCTCCACATTGTGTCTGTTCCAAGTCGACCAAGAACCATTCCGTGGTGTTGTTTGGGGTTGTTGGGGTATCTTGATATTCTATTATTCAATTTAGATGATGATGAAGAAGATGATGATATAGGATTAAAAATGAGTATAGAAGATGATCCAGAAGATCAACATGTGAAACCACATGGACGTCATCGGGATCCCACGGGCAAAAGATTCAACTCCTTGCGATCGGATCGTTTGTTCCTCGGCTGAATGAAAGATCAGTTGATGCCGTTCAGGGGAATATAAAAGACTGAATAGACTCATTGTCTTGGAGTATTTTGGATTTCCATTTTGGTCGAGTAGATCCTCTGAGGCAATTCCCTCCGCATTTCCCCTCATCTGACTGCTGCTATTATCCTATTTACCTGATCGCACGGGTTTGTTTTATTAATAAATTCGTTCCAATATCGATTTGGAGTAATTTAAGCGTGTCTAGACTTTCTTTCCTCCTTGTCCTTTCTGTCATCCCAGTTCCTCTCGTCGGTGAACGCAAGCAGCAAGGGAGTGTGGTGTGACCTTCTGATCAGCCGTTTAAAACCCTCATCGCTTCATCATGTCGCCGCCTTCGTCTCTCTCCCATCCCTCTCCATCTCCTCCATCCTCTTCTTTCTCTTCCATCGCTCGAGATCGTCTCGCTTCCCTGACTTCCCATTTCACCATGGGTTCTTCCAGCCCTTCTATCTTTTCCACGCGCATCGTGCCCGCCGCTCCGGAGGATCCTCTCTTCGGTCTGGCCCAGGCTTTCCGTCAGGACCCTTCGGATAAAAAGGTCGACTTGGTCATCGGCGCCTACAGAGACGATACCGCAAAGCCTTGGGTACTTCCTGTCGTCAAGAAAGTGAGTCCTTTTTTCCGTTGATTTTCTTTTTTATCCCAACCATTTTCCCTTTTTCTTTTTCTTGTCCTGTTTTAGTTCGTTTTACCTTGATGAACTCCATTCTGACATCATCCCTCCAAACAGGCAGACGAGGCCATTCGCAATGATCCCAACCTCAACCATGAATATCTGCCCATCAAGGGCTTGGCTGATTTTACCGCTGCCGCTCAGAAGCTCAGTCTTGGGGCTGATAGTCCCGCAATTCGAGAAAAAAGAGTGCGTCATTTTTGGTCCCTCCAGGGCGGAAAAAGCAAAAAGAACCATCAAAACTGATCGGCACAAATAGGTCTGCACGCTTCAAGCTGTTTCTGGCACCGGTGCATTGCATCTAGGCTCTCTCTTCCTTTCTCGATTCCACCCCAACACTCCCCAGATCTACCTCTCCAACCCAACATGGGCCAACCACCACCAGATCTTCACCAATGTCGGCCTCTCCCTCGCCAGCTACCCTTACTTCTCCCCCAAGACCAAAGGCCTCGACTTTGATGGCATGATCAGCGCCCTGCGCGCCGCACCCGCCGGCTCCATCATCCTCCTCCATGCATGTGCCCACAACCCCACCGGCGTCGATCCCACCCAGGAACAATGGAAGGAGATCGCCGTCGTCATGCGCGAGCGCAATCACTTCCCCTTCTTCGACACCGCCTACCAGGGCTTCGCGTCTGGTGACCTCGCCCGTGACGCCTGGGCAATCCGGTACTTTGTCGAACAGGGCTTCGAGCTCTGCGTCGCGCAGTCCTTCGCAAAGAACTTTGGTCTGTACGGCCAGCGTGCCGGTGCCTTCCACTTTGTCTCCGCCCCCGGTCCCGACTCCGAGGCCGCCAGCCACAACATCGCCTCTCAGCTCGCTATCCTCCAACGCTCCGAAATCTCAAACCCCCCAGCGTACGGCGCCCGCATCGTCAGTCGCGTCCTCAATGACCCCCAGCTCTACGCCGAGTGGGAAGAAGACCTCCGCACCATGAGCGGCCGCATCACCCAGATGCGCTCGGGATTGCGTCAGCGTCTCGAGGCCAAGGGCACCCCGGGCTCCTGGTCGCATGTAACAAGTCAAATCGGCATGTTCAGCTTCACAGGGTTAACAGAAGCCCAGGTGAAGGTATTGCGAGAGAAATGGCATGTCTACATGGTAAGTTTTGTTGAAACTACATATATCCCCGTACACCGCCTCTCGACTCCACCCGGTTGTGTTCTTTTCCCCTATCTCGGAACTCGGCCACGGCAAAACACAATTCAACTTTTAGTGGTCGATCTTTCTGATAAGGCTGAATTTGAAACTTGAAAACTTGAAACTAACATGCTGGTGTCAATTTAGACGAAAAACGGCCGTATCTCCATGGCGGGCCTCAATACAAATAACCTCGATTACTTTGCCGATGCGGTTGATAGCGTTGTACGGGAGACTTCATGATAGCGTCTCTGTCTCCTCTTGTGATTTTTTGAGCTTTTATCTGCCTTTTGTCTTTCTGCTTGAATGGGAAAATGAATATGCATCTCCTGGGTAATGGGTGTTATGTTTTAATGAGGGTTTCAAGACTGTACAACCGGGTTAGTCAGTCAAATTGATACATGCTATATGTATTCAATTAAATGGAATAAGGAATGGTCTTGTCTATCTTTTCAAGTATGCGAAGCGTCATTTTTATGTACTGTACTGGTATAGTAGCAACAGCAATGAGCAAGATATCAACTTTCGCTAAATAACAGCTAACAAGACGACCAAGTATCGAGTGTCTAAAAAACCAAATCCCAAACAACCAACCACGTACACAATCCCACAGTTCCCCAAAACACTGCTTGGGCTGTACTCCGTGACTCAGTGGCCCGCTTTAACTCCTTATTTCCCTGGCCGACATTCGTCTGCGTCGTGGCGGCGTCGCTGACCAGCTGGCCGATGTATTCCTCTTGGGTCGCGAGGTGGGTGACGAGGGTTTGTTGGAGGGAGGAGATTTCAATGAGTGATTTTTCCGCGTTTCTATCAAGTTAGTTAGTTTCATCAGCCGTCAGAAGGGGGAATAGGAGGAACATACTGTACTTTGCTCAAGGTATCTTCGTAATGCTTGAGCATAGTATCATTCTCCTGAGCGAACAATTGCAATTGCTCCGGCGAGAGCTGCGACTCGATCGCCGCAGCCTCACCCTCACTCATAGCCGTCGCATCATACCCTCTCATCGAAGCATTCCCAGCACCACCAGCAGCACCCAACTCCTCACCCATCGCAAACGCCCCAGCAGCACCCCCAGATTTATAAAGCACGCTCTTCTCCTTCTCCCTCACCCTCTCAATCCTCCTCTCCACCATCCCCATCTGCACCTCCGCCGCACTCTCCAGCCCCCTCCTCAAAAACCAAAGCACATTCTCCCTAACCGTCTTCACCGTCCTCGAAACCTCCTCGTCACGCACCTGCTCCGCAGATTTATTCGCATTATCACTACTATCATCCTCAAGCGCGCCTGTTCCCCCCGCCCACCGGAAAAGGAGATTCGCGGCCGTAGACGACGACCCGTATTTTTTGCGGAGGAGCGACGTCTCGGTTTCCTGGCGGAGGGATTCGGCGGAGGAGAGGTTTGCGATGGAGGAGGAGAGGTCGCGGAGGAGGAGCGCGGTGGAGGAGTCGATCGAGTCGCGTTCTGTGTCGGTTAGGTGTTTGTCAGAGTCCTTGGGGGTGTCTGTTGATGGTGATGATGGGGCGGTGGAGAGGGTGCGCCGGCGGCGCGTTGAGGTCGGGTTTGTGGATAGGTAGGAGTGGCGGATTGATTGGAGGTAGTGGAGGAGGGAGTGGATGTGGGAGTTCTGGGTGTGTTATTAGAATGTGTATTAGCTTGAATGGAGGAAAAGGGGGCTCACGATTCGATATGCCTCTTTCAGAAATTCGTCGGCTGTCTCTGTAGATCGGAGAGATTCCCGACTGGGGACAGGCGTTGCGGCATGCTTTCCCGTGAGAAGCTGGTTGATTGCGGGTGTAATATCGGTCATCTTGGATGATTCATTCGGTTCAATAGCCTGAGTTGGAATTGAAGCCGGCGAGGTTGGGGAAATTGCGTGAGAATCATTGTAGAGAAATGAATGCCTCGCTGTCAACATCCGCAACGTCACTGCGTCTTGGGCTGGTCTGGGTTACCGGACTGTCTCGTGATCTTACTTGCCCTACCTCCTGTAGGACAGCTACAATGGCTTCATTCTTGTATACTAGCTATTTATATTGCTCATATGCATAGCTGTTCATAGATACATTAATAAATCAAAGCGTTATTCGTCATGGCTGAACAAAATCATAAATATGGGTATAAACCTCCAACCAAAAACCATTCAATGCAAAACCGACAAGCCAAACACCAACTGCCCAAGAGAGAAAATGAGACTGCGGACGCTTGAGTTCAAATCATCGTCCTCTCTTCAACCCAGATCTGAGAGAGAAATTGTCAGCCTCATCCACTTTGAAATAGGTCAAAATCCCTTACCTCCATCTTGCCCATTTCGCTCCCTTCCCGTCGTGCCCCTTCTTTGGCAGATATTAAGAGCAACTCCAGGTCTTCCTGGTCCACCATTGTGATCATATCACCATCATCCTGCATCTTGATCTTCAACAGCGAGTTAAAACCAAACTTCTCGCGGATTCTTCCCACGAATTCAGCAAACTCGACGGTAGGTCCAATCATGATGTATCGTGTGTCTTCGAAAGCGTGCACCTTGATCCGGAACTTGCGAACTTCAGGCCGGCGTGAGTTGGCGCGTCTCGAGTGCCGAGGAGGCGATCTTGTACGTCGTTGGGAAGCTCCCACAATTTCAAACTCACCGTCATCGAAACCGTCCTCGTCGCAGACATCACTGCCATACTCCTCTTCCTCGTCAATATACCCTTGATGGTGGCGCGTCGGGCCTCTTCTCCCACTATTCCCTACAGCTATAGATCGAGGCCGCATGTAAATACCATACTCCTCTTCTGCGTATCCATCTTCTGCCACAGGCGCAAAGCCAGTATCACTCATGTTTCTTCGATGGCCACCAGTGTTTTCTCGGTACGGCATTTGACGACTATCAAACCCTCGTTGAAATTGTCTTGCGGGTGGTCCCCGTGGCTCTGATGCCGTTCGTGTCGTTCCAATTCGCGGCTTTTCAACTGGTCCTGGGAATGAATCCGTGCCAGCCCGATTGTTCAGGTTGGCACCGGGCCGATCAAGATCAAGACGCGGCGGACGGGCTGCACGAACTGAGGCTGACCGGCTCGACACTCCTAGACTGCCACCGGATGAGCTATTGGTACTTGACTTGTCCGCATCGGGTGGGGGCGTGGGAGGGAACAAATTGCGATTCAGCGGTGGTTCCGACTGCTGGCGGCTGCGCGTCGTCAAGCTTTTTTGGGCTGAGTTGGCTGCTCCATACGGGATACTCTCAGCAGACTGTTGATCAATCACTCGTTTGATATCGGCTCCTTGGAGCACAGGCGTGTTGCTCCTATCAGCAGCGGCAACAAGTTTCGCTTTGCCTAGGTAATCCTTTGTTTTCAAGTTCTTGACCTTAGCCTCATTCGGTCGATAGATGACTCCAACTGGGATGGAGAAGACAGTGTAGCCCTAGAGACAAGGTTAGCGAGCTCGAGCCTTTGTTTTCCTGATAAAAAACATACCTCGGCCCTTTCTCGAATCGCATCGTGGATCACGCTGTGGTCCACCGTGACCTTCTCCTTGGCTGCAAATTCGAGATCTTGCATACCAGGACCCATCTGCCGGAGATAGATATAGCACAGGCCACGGTTGAAAAGAACCTCACATGAGAAAAGACGGAATTTGAGGCCTAGCTGTTCATAATCGATAGATGTATTGCCTCGAAGGTATAGCAAAGTATCGTTGAAGTTGGCCAATGCCTCCTCAAAGTCGCCAAGAAGGAAATTGGAAACACCCTCCTGAAAATACGCAATTGCGAGATACTGATCTAAGCTGACGGCACGCTGATAGTACTCAACCTATATCTCATGTCAGCAAGTCCACTCCTACAATAGTTATAGGCCAGGCCAACCTACTGCTCTCTCATGTTCTCCCAGGGTAGCAAAGATGACTCCACAGTTGAAGAGAATCTTCGACGTGTCGGCAATAGTACCGAAAACCCGGAGAGCCTCCTCCAGGTCCTCATTATCGTAGAATTCGAGTGCCTGCACCCAGGTTTCAATCTCCTATTCAGATCATTCCCGTTAGCATTCCTTTCCTTCATGACTGAAAGCAGCATGTCCATTCTGGGAACATACCTGTTTCAAGGACATTGTGCCTAAATTCTGTAAAGAGGGAGTCTCCTAGGGATCTTGATCGGGGTCGGAGATATAAATTGCAATAGGGTCGATATGACTCCCCGTCCGATTCACCCTAGGGCACCAGGCTCAGAATATGTCCCTTACTCTGTATAATGGCCCGACGTAAGTGAGTGAGGTGACCGGTAGTGGCGAACCCCGGTACGAGAGACGAGTCCAATGCTATATGTATACGGCGGTCACAAAGCAGGTGACCGGTTGGGTATTACTCCGTAAGCAATGCGGTCAATAATATGCCCTGCACGGTAGAAGTGGGACTCGATGCTGTGGGGGGGCTGGATTATCGACAGCTAACTAGTAGCTATGCCGGACGTCCTGTGTGTCTTGTCTCCGCGATCTACACAGTAGAAAAGTAGAACAGAGCAATGGCACGATAGAGCCCAAGCGTCCTAGTCGTCTTTAGTTGCGAGATAGATCCAGAGTTATTATTAGATCACTGGATCCCAAGGCTGATAGCCGCTAGTATTGGCTGATGAAGACGGGAAGTCCGTCCCTAAGGAACGGGATGGTTTGATGCTCTTCGAATGCTGGTCCGGCGTTTCTGTCTCTTCACAAAGGAGCCTCTAGGGTATCACTGTGGGAAAAGAAAAAAAAAAAAAAGGAGAAAGATGAAAAATCATAAATCCAAAATTGGAAGAGAAAAATCAAACTTTCAACGAACAGGGAACGTCAAGAGTGCTAGCCTGCAGCAACGATGCAGCGACAGCAAGGAACGACAGGGAATATAGATGCAGTCGTAGCACAATTCCGACCAGGGCGGGGAGGGAAGCGAATTAATTATTGGAAGCGCCCACCAAAGAGGGGGGGGAGTATCCTCGATGTATATAAAAAGAAACCCAGCCAAGGAGCGACTGCAGCCTTATTTAGTGATTTCCCAGGAGTGGAAAAGAGAGAGAGAGAGAGAGAGAGAGAGAGAGAGAGAGAGCGAGCAAAAAACGGCAAGGAGAGCGAGGGGTTGGGGTGGTTTATTGTCGGTGATCCTGGATGGGGGAGTCAATCAGGATAGTTAGTGTCGAATGGGGCTATCGTGAGAAATAATAATCTCCTCATCCCCTGCACGAGAGAAAAAGTAAAAGCCATCGAGACTGAACTGCGAATGGGCGCTTGCAGGCCGTGGGACAGCAACACCCCATCCTGCCATCGCATCCCAGCCGCGTTATTCGACGAGGGCTCCTCATGTGGAATCCATCACAATCCAGCGGTCGACAGGCGATCAGCAACGATGGTTGGCCATCCACTCGAGTCGAAGGACCAACGGGCCGTTTTTCTGGGAGAAGTTGAGGAGTTTTTTTGGTCGGATGAAGCGAACGAAAGGGTTGGGCAGTGATGATCCTGGCTTCTCTGGAGTGAGGAAATGAGGCCCGTTCCGAAGGCGGGGCTGATTGTGTCGAGATGCGTCGAGAGATAGATATCTCGACAACCACGTCGTACTTTGGGACGATGTTTGATTCTCCTATAAAAACATGAAATCTATTTTTCTTGGGTTATTACATCTTCCAAGACATCCAAGAAACGCCGTGCGTATTCAGACAGAGTTCTGCCACGCCCAGGTGGAGTGGTTCTAGTCAAAATGTGAGTCCCCGCCACGGCGCTTGCAGTGTGATTGTCGAGATCGGAGAGCCAGAGAAAGACTTCGGCATTGGTTTCCTGGATAAGTAGGAGTCGATACAAGAAATTGACGGAGATGACGTTTTTGATTGGAAAGGTAGCAGAAAAAAATGAAATGAAGGCGGAATACTTCCACCACTGTCCGTCATGTTTATTCTTAGATTGTGGTCCTCACATGGTTCTTGCATAGGGTATGAGGGACCAACAGGGGTAATTTCTTTTCTCGATCATCCATGAAGTTAATCAAAGGACACTACTGCTCCATAATATTGCACGTAAAGGCCCTATGTTGGGTTGACGTTGACTAAACCGTGAAGCTAGACGGACTTCCCAAAGGAGCAATTCTATGGTTGGACAGACGTTGACATGGGAATATCGTAGCCTGGACTGGCCCTTTGCCTGGTATGCCCTTTCATCTTAATAATGTCGATTGTGCCATGTCCCTGCTGATTGTATCCAAATGGAATGAGTATTCTCTGTCAGTACTCCGTACAGCAATTTGGTATATAATAAAACAGTATATATCTCCCATAGCTAAGCCAAGTATCAATCATGTATCATCAACACCATCTCTATATGATCAATGCACACGTAAACCTTTTTTTTTTTTTTTCCGTTCCATTTTCATCATCATAGGGTATAGTGATGGCCCAGCCAAGCTGCCATCAGTAAATATAGCAAAATCAACGCAGTCCCTACCGCTTAGGACATTCCGTTGAGGACCTGCTCTTGACGCTCCTGCCACACATTCTTGCCCGAGCAAGAGCACACCATCTTGTCATTATCCCAAACTCCTGCACTGCGAGCAATCACTCCGACCAATGTATCCGGATCCTCACGCTTGAAAGGACCTTCCTTGGTCTTGGAAAGCACCATACTCCGTCCAATCATTTCCCAGATGGCCACCGGCCGGTCAAGGAAAACATTCCCCCGTCCACTCTCATCGACATCCACCGAACCAAATACACCCCGAGGCTCCTTGGGTTTTTCTGATCCCAGCACCTGAGTCTTGAGTGCCTCCCAGATACCACCTGTCGAGCTCGCACCCTGCGAAATATCTCCTGCCTCACGGACGGTAGCCCAGTATCGTCCTGGGGTGAGTCCGTTGATTGTCAAGTCGACAAGGGTCATGCTAGAAGAAACCTGGACCATGCGCGCCAGCCCTCGGATCTTGTTCGAGACGGTAGTCGAGTGCGTTTCTAAGATGCAAACACCGGAGCCTATACCACACTGTTTTAGTATGATTTTGCGATATTCGATATGGAATGCACGTACTGTTTGTTGCGCCGCTTCCACGAAGAATGGCATCCCGGCCTGTCCCTTGGATGGCGGTCACAATAGAGCTAGGTGGCGCAGTACCCTCGATGAATACTAGCTGGTCCTTGAGGTTTGCTTCGACCTTTTTAATTCCTGACAAAGAGAAAGACGATCAGTATTCCATCTGTCCTGGCCGCACATGACGGGAATATGAGCACCTTCAATCTTCAGCAGAGTGCTCGACACATCCTTGACACAGCCATCACAGGTCATAGGGACCGCGAAGGTCGTCTGTCAGAGTAAAAAGAAGTCAGCGACAGAGGATATACGATATCCAAAAAACGACAGACCTGGAACGGTTCAATCATGGTCGCGAACTGGCAATATTATGATTCAAATGGGGAGACGAGGAAAGGTATGTATAGCAGTTAAATAAAAAGATAGACTGCCCCTCATAGTGGCCTTATATATTAGTGATGTTTCCGCGGGACAAGGCGGGGGATTTGAAATCGGAGTTGGACATCGGCCCTTCGATCGCAGAAATTCCCGATAGCGTCATCAAAATAACCCTTCCGCAACCATTCATCCATTTCATCGCCATCAATTTTCCCCACACTTTCAGAACTGCTTGATTTCCTCACCAGATAATGTCCACGCAATCCAAATCACGATGGGCAGACGATGACCCCGAAACAGAAGCCATCATCGCGCAGCAGAAACGAGAAAAGGAAGAGAAACGACGCGCCAAGGCAGAGAAGCAACGCAAACAGGAAGAAGCTCAACGTCAAGCAGCCGCAGCAGCCCAGAACCAACCAGAGAACGCGCCGCTCAATGGCGATGGCAAACAAGAACCTCCCAAGAAACGTCGACGATTGTCGAATGAGCCGTCGTCGGCCGCAACTCCAGAAGCTGTCGTCTCCGAACAAAAGCCGTCGGCTTTGATGCGGTTCCCTGCCCAGGAATGGGGTCCTTGTCGACATGTGGATAACTTTGAGCGGTTGAACCACATCGAAGAGGGCTCTTACGGATGGGTCAGCAGGGCCAAGGATATCACAACTGGCGAGGTGGTCGCTTTGAAGAAGCTCAAGATGGACAACTCCCCCGACGGGTTCCCCGTGACGGGATTGCGGGAGATTGAGACACTGCTGGAAGCAAGACACACAAACGTCGTCTACCTGCGTGAGATTGTTATTGGAAATAAAATGGACGAGTAAGCCATCCCTATATTTCCCCCCTTCTACCTGAAAAGTTCCAGATGGCAGTGGAGGCATTAACCGATTTTGTCCCGGGGCATTCTTGGGAACCTATTGATATAGTGTCTTCCTCGTTATGGATTTCCTCGAACATGATCTGAGAACACTACTGGACGAAATGCGCGAACCCTTTTTACCCTCCGAGATCAAGACTCTTCTTCTGCAGATCACCGCCGGTCTGGATTTCCTCCACTCGCAATGGATTATGCACCGCGATTTAAAGACGTCCAATCTCTTGATGAACAACCGTGGCGAGATTAAAATCGCTGACTTTGGCATGGCTCGATACTATGGAGACCCGCCGCCCAAGCTGACCCAACTGGTTGTCACGCTATGGTATCGAGCTCCCGAACTGCTCTTAGGCGCCGATAAATACGGCACGGAGATTGATATGTGGAGTATCGGTTGTATATTTGGGGAGCTTCTCACCAAGGAGCCCCTGCTCCAGGGCAAGAACGAAGTCGATCAAGTATCAAAGGTACGATACTTTGCAGAAATAACATCTTTTTTACGCAGTCTATTAACCTGGATCCCGGTAGATATTCGCCCTGACGGGTCCCCCAACACCACAGACATGGCCTGGGTTTCGCTCCCTGCCAAACGCCAAATCACTTCGTCTTCCATCCAATATCTCGCCGGGACCCGGGAATCCGCCTCTACTCCCCCGTTCCAAATTCCCTTTCCTTACTAATGCCGGCCTGAACCTTCTGTCTTCTCTACTTGCTTTGAATCCAAAATCGCGCCCAAATACTCGGGACTGCCTCTCACACCAGTATTTCCGTGAAGACCCCCGCCCCAAACCAAAGGAGATGTTTCCCACGTTCCCATCCAAAGCAGGGATGGAAAAACGGAGGCGCCGTGCGACCCCAGAAGCCCCAAAGCACGGACAGGAAGCCCCGAGACTCGACTTTGCCGGTGTTTTTGGCGGTGCTCCTGGGGGCGATACTGGCGAGGCGGGGGCAGGGTTTACACTGCGATTGGGCTAGGTTGATTCTTAGCCTTTCTCGAGAGCTATGCGGGTGTAGATATGAAATGTCTGTATATTCTTCATCTCAAGCGAGATGAAAAGATCATATCCAATTCTTCTAGTAATAGTTTCTTCTCTTGGTACATCCTCAGTCAAGGGATCGTTAGTTGTAAAGGAATGGTATTGAAAACAAATTTCCAAGGACGCTTAATCAGAGATTCCACCCGTCGAGTTTGTTTCTTGTCTTACACTTGTAAATATATGTATCCTCATAGCAATACAGGTCGCGACTCGAAGAAAATGGGGCGTCAGAGTACACGAAGCCCAATAAGTACGGCATGTGCAGGAACTGAGCAGCAGATAAAATGGTTTGTTCGCATCGCGAAACATCAGGAGTAATGGCGTCTTTCAAACACAGGGTAGGTAGCGATGTATTCATCAGTTGAGTCACTTCCATCCCGTTCGACTCTTAATCGATTTCCAGGGTGTGAAACGTGTCTTTGGAGAAAGTCTCCCGGGCCAATTATTTCAGGGATATCTTGTGCCCTAACGTTCCGGTCAAGACCTGGGCCACTGTGAAGACTGCCATCACTGATAATTCTTCTGTCTGTCTTAATCGGTGTATCGCCTCGGTCTGGCCGGAAATCGCTCGATTTGTCAAGGAGGAAGTACTCATCTCTGACGGACGGCAGGGACACGAGGTCATCATTTCCAACAGGCGACCAAGGATCCATTGATACTGATGATATATCTGTAGCTGTGCCGTCTTCATTGTAGTCACTGAAGCGCACAGAGTGGTCAACATGTGTGTTGATATTGTCCTGCTCCACGAAAGAAGAGCCGCCAACCCAAGCTAGCCCAGAGTCTGTGTGATCAAGCGAAGGGAGCGAAGCATTGGTTCTGCGCTCCTGTTGTGTCTCTACATTATTTTCAAGTATTTCCTAATTGATTGTTAGGGTATATGCAATAACCTGGCCCGAGTATGCATTCGACACTTACAGTGCTCAATGCGTCTTGCTGAGTTTCAGCCAATTGATACTCCTCCACACTCGGCAAGTCTTCAACGATTTCTGTGATTTCTGTTGAGGAATCCCCCAGGGTCTCAGCAAGAAAAAGTTGCGGCTGATGCGGCTGATGACCAGTCCCATTGGTTTGACAGCGATCCGTGCTTGTGCGATCAAACATTTGAAGAGGCTCCATGGCAAATTGGATGCCTGTTATCTGAGGGATACTCGACCTGCGAGGACTTTGAGACGGTGACGTGGACGCGATGAAATTCGGAGTCTCATTATACAAAGCCGTTCTGTCGATTAAGCCATCATGTTGTTCTGTAGCTTGCTTTTGTGGTGACTCCTCAGATTTTTCCAGATCAGCTGTGTTTTCCTGGCGCAAATTGTTGAGTGTATTTTCCTCAGAGACCAAGCTGCTTGGACCGTAAGTCTCCATATTTAGTTCAGGAGGGAAAGCAGTATCGGTTAGTGTGATGGAGGAGGGCGGATCAAGGAGGTATCTCTCAAGGGAATAGCAGTTGCATTTCGTCCGTTCAAGATCGAACCCGAAGTCAAAATCTTCTTCAGTGCTGGCTTCCGATACAGTAGATGAGGGTCGATTTTCTGGTTGATCGAAAAGCGCTCCCCCCCAGTCAGACGAAGACCAAATACTGGGTATATCGCGCTGGAAAACTTGATCATGAGAGAGCGGACGCCGTTGTATTCCAGATCTGAGAGCCAAAAACCCCGAACGTGCCTTTCGAAGAGACCGCTTGGGTAGACTCTGCATCCAACGGACTGAGTTTGGAGATCTGGACGGTTCAGAAATGTAATAGCCATCACGGTACCATGGAGATGCTGTAGGGTTATGTCGAGGATCTTGCGGGTCGAAGACTGGATAATGGACCCTTTCCTCGCAAGTGGGTGGAGGAGTTGGAGGCCTCATGATACTGTAACGAACCCATCAGTATGATGACCAAGAAGTAGCATCCAAATGTATCCTACCCGATTCTCTTCCTGCCTGGAGAACGTAGAGCAAGAGAAAAGGACAGTGCCTGACGGCGCTCACATCCTTGTTCGTCTGAGGCCATGTCTCCTATAGACGTTGGTGTATAAGCGTTCGATGCTTGAGGGGCAAGCAGGAGCGCTCAGACAGATACCAGTTGGGACACAGAAGACAAGAAAAGCTTCTTCACACGTCAGGAGAGCAACTGGTGTGCCCATGAGGGACAGCAGTGGAGACGACGAACAGTAAAAGGCAACACAGCAGCGAGAATCGCCAATTGTCAAGCCGGCCAGCTGCTCTTCGACTGTACGATGCTTCTGCAGGGTTGGACAGAGGAAAGAATCGTCGACCAGGGCAGATGGAAGAGACTCGATTCCAGCTTCCTCTTTGGTGGCATATCGCCAGAGCGCAGTTGCCATTGTGGGAAGACATCGCGCACCAAGTCTAGCCTATAGAAAGTAGCCATGATCATTACTGTGAGAAAATCCAATGCAATCCAATTTATGTATACTTATATATATATATTAATTAAAATGATGGGTGTTACCAGACCCTAGCTGGGGTGTTGGTGAAAAGCAATATGCTGCGGGTCATTTGGTGGTGTTGCTCAGCTTCGGACAGCTGCATGGGAAAAAAGGCTGCGATCAAAATCCCTCCTCTTCACTGTTTTGCTCTCTGTGCTTATCTCCGCGGGTTGTCAACTAGTCTCACGCCTCCATCTAAATAAATTCGCAGAACTTGATTTTCTGACGTCTCCAGTCGAGTGTTACATTATTTCCTTGGTCTTTGATTCCAATCCATCCGCGTCATCCCCCTTCTCTCGCCATGGCCGCTGGTCAGGAAGCTGTCTCTTTTGACGCCATCATCCAGGCTGGTAAAAGCTCCGACAACTCCGACGACCACCTTTTTCTGGGCTTCTTTTTCTAATTCCACGTGTTTAATTTCTAGGCCGTCAAAAGAAGAAGAACGAAGAACTTGCAAGCAAAATCCTGGGAAAGAACAGGAGGGCAAGCGCACCTGCGACGGCAGCGCCTAGTAGCAAGACACATAATGCGAGTCTCGCAAGCCGGATTGGTGTAACAAAGGTACAACCTAATAATCGCGTTGTGTCTTTTTGCAGCTTTAGTCACAGAGAATTGTGCCGCTGATATTGTCTCCTTGATAATTAGCGCTCTGCATCTACCGCCATCAAGCCGACCAAAAACGTCCCACCCAAGAAGCGCAACCAAGCACAACCTGCAGCACCTGTACGAAATGGACCTGCACACCAAAAGCCTGGAAATAGGCGTCGCCCCAATGAAGAGCGCCTTGTGGCTGCCCTCAACCCAGCGAGTGGACAGGCAAATGTTCGGGATAATGCTGTCGGAATGACCATCAAGGGAGCTAGCGCAGGGCCCTTTGTTATTATTGGAAGCAATTTCGTACCGGGAACCACAGCCGCGGATATTCAGTCTGCTATGGAGCCTGTTGCAGGAGAAATCTTGAGCTGTTGGATTACCTCTCAGCATCCCGCTGTTACTGCAGAAATTACTTTTGCAGAGAAATCGGCGGCGGAGAGCGTCATCGCCAATTTCCACAACCAAAGGGTAAAGTACTTCACACTTATACTACTTTTGTCTGAACTAACAGAGATAAAAGGCCGATGGTAGGATACTTTCGATGCGGTTTAAACCAGCAGGCGCGGATTACGATTCATTCAACCCTTCAAAGTCAATGTCGTCCTTTGACAGTCTCCGAGAGCAAGCAGACCGTGAACGTCTAAATCGGAAAGCAGATCCTGCATTTCAGGATGGAAGATATGGGTTCAGTGAACAGGGTGATCAAGCTTATGGTCGCAACAACCGCGGGGGGAACGGTCGCTACAACAACAGACAGTCTCATAGAGGCAATCGGTCTTTCCCCAGGGGTAGACAGGATGCGCAAGATTCGGGACTCTACAGCGATGAAATGATGGTTGATGCTCCATCCCAAAACTCACGGAACAGGGGCAAATGGCAGCGCTAAGCTCTATGCTGTCAAGTCGACTCGTGTTATGTCCCTGTGAAGAGTTTCTCGAGAAAGAGGAAAAGGAGCCACACCCTGCAGCAAGGGAAAAAAAGCGGAGTGCATTGCTTTTCCAATACTTTCCAATGCTAATATGTGATTAAAAAGACGCATCTGGCTATTAGATGTACCCTTTTTGCTATAGGCCAGCCGCAGGTTTGATATGTATGAATAATAATTAGCAAAGCTTTTGTTTCTAGTAATCTACTTTTTTGCTCTTGTATCGATATGATAAGGATGGAATCACGTGCATCGGAAGTTTTGCGGAGATCGAGAGAAGCTCCGAATGATGTAGATGAACTCGTCTTCATACGGCGTTTAACTTTTGCCCAGTTGGTGGCCTGGAAGAGTCCACGATTTTTGATTGAGTCTTCTTGTCCTGCTCTTGAATTCCTTCATCGAAAGGCCATCTGCCTTTGGCTGCTTTTGCCTTGGTCCGAAAAGATCAGTTGAAATGAATCACGGAACTAGGCGCGCGTTGGCGCAACTCGCCAGAAAATACCAAAAGCAGTCCTTGGTAGCAGGATCGCGGCGATGGAATTCCACATTCGAGACAAGAAAGTGGTCTACACCACTTGCCCGGACGCTGGCTGAAGCGATGAAGGTGCGTGACTAGCAATGATCCTGAAGCTCCTTCCAAGCTCTTGCGCTGACAAGGATCTCCATGATTTAGGTGACAGGACCAATTCCAATTGCAGCATTTATGCGTCAAGTTCTCACATCCCCGGACGGTGGTTACTACACAACACGTGAAGGCGGGGAAGTATTCGGGAAGAAAGGAGACTTCGTTACGTCTCCTGAAATATCACAGGTGTTTGGGGAGTTGGTCGGTATATGGACAATTGCGGAATGGATGTCCCAAGGGCGAAAGAGAAGTGGTGTGCAATTGATGGAAGTTGGACCTGGAAAGGGTACTTTAATGGACGATATGCTGCGGGTAAGTATGCGACAATATGGCAATGGGCACGAGTACCGGCAGAGTTGCTTACTTGTCGGAATGCATAGACATTTAGGAACTTCAAGAGCTTCAGTTCGAGTATCGAGGCGATTTATCTTGTCGAAGCTAGTCCTACCTTGAGACAGATGCAAAAAAATCTTCTTTGCGGTGATGCAGCAGCCATGGAGGAAACAGACATTGGACATAAGAGTACCAGCAAGTACTTCGATGTTCCTGTGATTTGGGTTGAGGATATCCGTCTGTTACCCCATGGTAAGTTCTAAACCAATTTCGATAAGAGAAACTTGAATTACAGTACTAAGGCGCTGGCAGAGGAGGACAAGACTCCATTTATATTCGCCCACGAATTCTTCGACGCCCTTCCAATCCACGCCTTCGAATCCATCCCACCTGCGCCAGAAAACCAGGTCCAGGAGCAGGAAATTATGACGCCCACCGGGCCTCAAAAACTACATCAACCATTGAAACCCGCCAACACACCTCAATGGCGCGAACTCATGGTTACATTAAACCCCAAGGCAGTGGAGGAAGACCTGGAAGGCGAGCCTGAGTTCAAGTTGACCATGGCCAAAGCATCAACACCGTCTTCTCTAGTGATCCCAGAGATATCAGAGCGATACAGGGCACTCAAGTCGCAAGCAGGCTCGGCCATTGAAATCAGTCCGGAGAGCCGTATCTATGCATCCGACTTTGCCCGCCGTATCGGGGGCTCATCCCAGCCTCCCCGCACAGTTGCACCGAAGGCAAAACAGGGCACAGAATCCTCTACTCCATCTGCACTGGCGAAGAAGGTGCCATCGGGTGCAGCCTTGATCATGGACTATGGAACGCTCTCAACCATCCCAATCAACTCCTTGCGCGGTATCAAGAATCACCAAACCGTGCCCCCACTTTCGTCACCTGGTCAGGTTGACGTGAGTGCCGATGTGGACTTTACCTCCCTTGCCGAAGCAGCCATCGAGGGTAGTGAGGGCGTTGAGGTCCATGGCCCTGTGGAGCAAGGTGATTTCCTGCAGGTTATGGGTATCACGGAGCGTATGGGCCAATTGCTCAAGGGCATCAAGGATGAAGAGAAGCGAAAGAACCTGGAAACGGGGTGGAAGAGACTCGTCGAGAGAGGAGGCGGCAGCATGGGAAAGATCTATAAGGTCATGGCCATTATTCCTGAAAACGGAGGACAACGCCGACCTGTTGGGTTTGGTGGAACAGTCACGGTGTAAAACCGGTGGCCCGATGCCGACGCTTGGATAATGGCGCCGGTTAGTATGAACGAAAAGGATTTTCTATAGACAGCTGTACGATAGATGTACATATAATGACCAAACAAAAAGAGGTATCTCTATTCTCATCAAAGTTCATGAAAGGTATCCGTCGCAGCTTCTGCGCCGTCACATGCAATGTTCAAACTTCCAGGGAGGCGAAAGTAAAAGAATCTAGTATTCCCTCCAAATATCCTCAGCATACGCCTCTGTCAATCGTGTATCCTTGCCATATTTCTCCTGCCACTCAACGAATCCACCCTCCAGGACGTAAACCTGCTGCTTCTGGCTTTCTTCCGCCCCGAGAGCACTCTCCCGCTCACGCACATAACGGAGGGCAGCAGATGGACCACGCTGTTGGCTCAGAGCACAGTGGAATACGACCTTGGGCTTATCTTTGAGAATGCGGATAAGTTCTGGCATGCGGACGTCGAGAGTCGAGCTCGGGACCCAAGTGGAGGAGTGGATATGGCCGCCGACGTGGTCTATGAGGAGAAACAAAAATTTCGTCAGAAAATCAGAAAATCAGGAGGAAAACAATTTATGTGGGTAGTATTCCCATACCGGAGTCCCGAACATCAACAACGGCAACATCATTTGGTGAGCTGCTGGTGGAAAGAAGAAGTGCGGACAAGGCGTCTCGGTTCATGCGGGGGAGGGTTGCGATTGTGATGGAGGACATTTTGGAAGACAGTCGTTTTCGGCAATATTTCTTGAAATCCTGGGGTCTTTGCTGTTATGTTCAAGGTTTGATCAGAGTGCAAATATCTGAACGTGTTAGTTACGCTAATATATCTTCATGAAAGGTTCATATAAAAGTTGTAGAATTGATAATGGTTCTCACGCCGCAAAAGACGCCGTGTCACGTGAGTGCAGATTTCCGTCTGGAGAAAGTCGGCGAGATTTCCAACGATGCAGCAGAGCTTCAACCAAACCCCGTCTCCAACTTGATCTCTGTCCGGATTTCAATCGCCAATAAGCGCCAACCCTATCCGAGTCCAATTGGTGTCTTTGTTTAATTGTCCATCTCACCCACCAAGATGGAGGTGCGAACTCTGGCCCGAAGCCTCCGTGCCAGGCCAACTGCGTCTTCTCTGCTCTACTCGACGCAACCAACCGTCTTCCGTGGCCAGTCTATCCTCGGATCGAAGTTCTTGAGATACAACTCGTCCTCCAGCGACTCTTCACAAGCTCCCCCCAAACCCGAAAGCCAACAGCCCTCATCCACCCCCTCGGTCACCAACCAGAGCAGCAACAAAAACAACAGCCAGCCGCAGCGATCATCTCCCTCCTCTGATTTCGACCAAATCCTCAACAAACTCGACCTCGGCAGCCGAAATGCATCCCAGACCCCCAGCGAGTCGTCCCAGGGAGGCCAGACCCGCAACCGACCCCAACAGCGTGTCTTTTCCGACGCCCTCTCCCTCTCGCGCGCGGTAGGCGTGTCCGCAGAGACCGAAAATTACAGACAGCCCGTCCGTCGGGTGGAGTTGAAATTGGGTCCCAGCTTGGGTCGTCAGGTCCACGTTGAGCCGGAGAAGGGGATGGACCTTGCCAGTGCGCACCGCGTTCTTGCATCTTCAATCAATGCCAACGGTATCCGGAGACAGGCCAACAAACAGAGATTCCATGTCCGGAGGGGTCAATTGCGCAAAGATCTGCGGATGGCGCGGTGGAGGAAGCTTTTCAAGTTCTCGTTCGACAAGACGGTGTCTAAGATTCAGCGGATGAGAGCGCAGGGTTGGTAAGCGCGATAATATGTTGGATGGAGATTACTTGCTTTTCGATGCCATGATAACAGTGGAACGGAATGTATATACTACCTACACTCAAAATGGGTCGTGTACGAACTTTTTAAGGGTTGATCCTTTGTTTTGAAATCATGGAGGAAGCTCCTCGCCAGACCACCATCACTGAAAGGGTTCTGGCTATCTATCATGTATAACTATTTTCAGTTTGGTTTTGTTTCCTACTCGGTGTTTTGCTTGGCCTAGAATAGAAAATATTGGTTTCTTTTCTATCTGTACTATTGTAAATTTCCAGAAAAACATAGATCCAGCTATCTTAACCATATGATATGCATGACTCCCATATTATCCTGGTATAAAATGATATACAAAGAAAGATATCAACCAAAGCCACCTGCGTGTACGTGCTCATAGAACTTTTATACAGAACCCACAATAGACAGAACAATCAGTCTCTCTTGCCAGTTGAGAATCCTCCGTATCCGTATCCTACACCGTTGCCGGGCATGGAGGCGCTACCCGCCGAGTAGCCTCCATATCCATTTATCTTCCCTCCGTTTCCATAAGTAATACCAACAGCTCCGGGTCCGCGAGAAGGAACACCTAATATACCATCACCTCGCCATCTCTGCTGTCTAAAACCACCGTTCCGCTCATAATACAAAGCGGCCATGGCACCAACCGAGGCAGCAAGGATAAAGAAGAACAGCTTAGAGAAGAAGGCACCGCCAGACGAGCCATCCGCCGAAGAGAATCGCGAAGGCCACCCGATTCCGCCTCCCCCTTCAACCCAGCTAACGTGGAAGGTGAACGTGAGTGGCTCACCACGGACTACTTTCGTCCCATGGCCATCAGTCCATGGGTCGCGGGCCGCTTCAGCAACCGCAAGATCCTCTTTCTCCTGGTTACTGTTCGAAGAAGACTTCTTTTCGCCCTGGAGAAGGGGCACATCGAACTCGGGGACTGAGTACGCTGTTCCAGCCACAATGTAGCCGGGTGCTTTCTTGCTTTGCTTCTTGTTCTTCTTGGCAGATATCGACGGGATGTTGTGGGCTAGCACGTTCATGTCGGTCCAAATATGTAGATGGCTGAGCTGCAGGGTTCCCTGTAGGGCAAAGGTAAGAGGGGTGTAAGACGGTCCTCCATCACCTAGGAGGGAAATATCAGCGCCGCCATTTGTCTCGTCGCTTCTCTTGTTTTCGTCCGACGCCGGCCCAGAGGGTACTAGTGGCGCGGTTGGTACGCGACAAGCCAATGGCACATCCGAGTGCACATAGTATTCGAGGAGGTGGTAGAGTTCATCGGGGAGGGAGTTGATGGTGCAATTGACCGTCTCCGTCACACCGTATCGAAGGGCAAGGGGGAGGAAGGTCTCGTTGCAAGTCGGAAAGGGAATGTATTGTAGTTTGCCGAGATCATCTGTAATCTAGAGAGATGAAACTTGTCAGATACTTGATTCATCGATTGTGGTATGGGAAAACAATAGCTCAGGTTATAATTGCAACACGCCACATGGGCATTAAGGGAGGGAGAGGGTCCATTACATGTTCGCCAGAGTCACTAAATAAGCAATCAGCACCGCCATCATCAATCTGACATGTAGAATATTGGTCCCAGAGACCCGGAACTCCACAATCGATTCTCAGTTTCACTCACATTGTGCGATTCAGGCAAGTCACTGGCATGGGCTGTCCATAAGTGTAGCCCACCCTGCCACCGGGGAGGTCACTCTTCCCCGCGGCCGCGCCCTGCAACAACAGGCAGGTGATTAACACATAACCATAATAGTAGACAGAATTGGGGATAGAATTAGCTCCTCCGGTAAGAAGCGGCATATTCAATAATTGCACTCCGCCAACAAGGCGGATGGGCTTGCGCTGTGGCAAAGAGGATTGGAAATTTGACGGACAAGAGACACGGGGGCTTTTAGCCGCGGCGATCTGCGCCTACTACGGACGGAGCAATCAAGGTGCTCTGGGCTTGACAACATGCTCGCATCCAAGTTTCTATCAACATCGAGTTGTCTTTTGCTTCTCTGAAAGAATCCAGATGAAGTTCTATCTGACCATGTCAGACAAGCACAGAAATGTACAATTACTTCTTACACTATAGGCCAAGTACTCCTTGATTCCTTAATTCCGTCGGTGTGAAAAAATATGTTAAAATCATGCTCATTTCAATTAAAGCGCCATTGAAAGAAAAAGAAACGGTCATTTATCTCTTCGTCAAGGTACAAATTCCTAATTTTTTTTATAATCGTGTCCACCCAATTAGTCCCCATCACCAGTCTATGCCAGGTTAGCCTTCTTCTTAAAGGCAAGCAGCAGACCACTGGTGGAAGCATCGTGGTCAGCGCCAGCATCGGCAGTCTCGAGCTCCTTCTGGATGTTCTTGGCGAGGACCTTGCCGAGTTCAACACCCCACTGGTCGAAGGAGTTGATGTTCCAGACGGCACCCTCAGTGAAGGTGAGGTGCTCGTAGTAGGCGATCAGAGCACCCAGTGTGGAGGGTGTGATCTTCTGGGCCAGGATGGAGGTTGTGGGTCGGTTTCCGAGGAAAGTCTTGTGAGGCACCAAGTTGTCGGGAGCACCTTCAGTCTTAACCTGCTCGGGGGTCTTGCCAACCATCAGAGCCTCTGACTGAGCCAAGAAGTTGGAAGCAAGCATGCGCTGGTGCTTGCCGCCTTCGACGGGGTTGTGGGACTCAGCAGCCATGATGAAATCCGAGGGAATAAGCTTGGTTCCCTGGTGGAGCAACTGGAAGAAGCTGTGCTGGGCGTTGGTGGCGGGCTCACCGAACAGGATGGGGCCTGTGGTGTACTTGACGTAATCGCCAGAGCGAGTGATGGCCTTGCCATTGCTCTCCATGGAGAGTTGCTGCAGGTATGCGGGGAAGCGGTGCAGGTACTGGTCGAAAGGTGCCACCAGGTGAGTCTGAGCGCCAAAGAAGTCGCTGTACCAGACACTCAACAAACCAGCAATGGCCGGGATGTTCTGTTCCAGGGGTGCCTCCCGGAAGTGCTTGTCCATGGCGTGAGCACCGGCAAGGAACTGGTGGAAGTTGTCGTAGCCAATGTAGAGGGCGACGGAAAGGCCGATGGCACTCCAGACGGAGTAACGGCCGCCAACCCACGATTCGAAACCGAACATGTTCTTCTTGTCAATACCGAACTTGGTGACCTCCGCCTCGTTGGTAGAAAGAGCAACGAAGTGCTTGGCGATATGAGACTCGTCCTTGGCGGATTCGAGGAACCAGCTCTTAGCGGTGTTGGCGTTGGTGCATGTTTCAGCGGTGGTGAAGGTCTTGGAGGCAATCAAGAAGAGGGTGGTTTCAGGGTCAGACTCCTTGAGGGCCTCTGCAACGTGGGTTCCGTCGATGTTGGAGACAAAGTGCAGCTTGAGGTCTCTGGCGCCGTATGGCTTAAGGGCCTCCGTGACCATAACAGGACCACTGGTTGCAAATAATCAGTACATTATCCAGAAGGATGAACTTATAAAGGGATTGCAGGGCCAAAACTTACAGATCCGAACCACCGATACCAATGTTGACGATAGTCTGAATCTTCTTGCCGGTGTAACCCTTCCACTCGCCGCTTCTCACCTGCTCGGAGAATTCCTTCATGTGCTCCAGCACGGCGTTGACATCCTCAACAACGCTCTTGCCATCAACCTGCATGGGCTGGTTGGTGATATTGCGGAGAGCAGCGTGGTAGACAGCACGGTTCTCGGTGAAGTTGATGGGCTCACCGTTGAACATGGCATCACGGAGCTCCTCGACACCTGCCTCCTTGGCAAGCTTGACCAAGAGAGACAAAGTCTCCTCAGTAAGGAAGTTCTTGGAGAAGTCAAAGAGGATCTCCGAGTTGTCCACTGTGTTGTTAAAGGTGCGGCTGAACTTCTCGAAGCGCTGGGGGTCCTTCTCGAAGTATTCCTTCAGGACAATGTTGCGTCCAAGGGAGTTGTGGTGCTCCTGGAGCTCCTTCCAAGCACCCAGGTCTGTAGCCTGCGAGAAACCAGGCATTGTGAGAGTTTCTGGTGGTTGTTCTTTTTTTCTTCCTAGCAAAGCAGAAGCTGTTGCGTCAGTGCGGGGCAGAAAGAACGGGAGGGAAAGAAGGCAATTGGAAAGGAATGAGGGGTTCCAACGGGATTAAGAGTGATTTCATACCTTAAAAGTAGATCGAGGCAGGCCAGATACCAGTTATATAAAGACAGCAAAGTACCGGGGACGAGTAGCAAAAGGAAGAGAAAGAAAGAGCACGGAAAGCGGCGGGCAGATGATGATGTTTTTGGGACCGGCAGGGAAAGGAAGAGCCGTCGTTGTTATGGCGTCAATCCGGCCTGTTGGGGTCCGTGGAGGGGCACCGCCGTGGGGCAAACCACGTCCACCGGTATACTCACTTGGACGGGCATTTTTCTTGTGTTTGACTGTAATTAATTTCCCGACGGCATTTGAAATGGAGCTAGTTGTTTTCACGAGGTCATCTGGACGTTCAGGTTTCTTCGCGATGGAGTCTTCTTCGTAATCTGGTCTGTTCTAGACTCGGTGCTTTGGATTGCCGGTGGTGAGAGGACTCGGATGAGAGTCGCAAGTGTAATGGTGATCAACAAACTGTCATACACAGGAGATTTGCTGCTTTGGGATATCTGAATGATATGAATGATAGTGTTGGTGACTATTATTATTACTGATGTCTTTATCTATCCCATTCTGCCCTCGGAAATACCTGACGCAAAGCCAGTCTTGCTCAGAAAGCAGAACCTTCAATGCCTTCATGTCACGTGTTTTCTTCCACCTCCCAGCACTGTTTTGGATAGCATCAAATCAAACCAGCGTCATTAACCATGGATATTAGGTGCCATCTGCCTCCAAACAGGCAGAACCCCCAAATTTGGCAATGGATGCCTGTATCCATCTGCCCATAATGCATCATCTATCATCTTTTCTGTCTTTCAACTCATCATTCTGCAAACAAATACAAAGAAGACCAAAAACGTCAACGTGATAAACATTATACGGGAAGCAATGGAGATCATCCTGAAAGTACTGCAGAAGCTTCGTTTACCCAAACGCAAAGACACTCTAAACTCCAAAAAGACTCAAACAGCCAAGGCTTGGAAGCCCCAACGTCTGACTGAAACGGAGATACAAACCATCAAACAGAGATGGCGCGACTGCTCAATGCAGGAATTCGTTGATCTTGCAAAGCTGGGAGCGGAAACTTTTCGGCGGCTTCTTTTGAGGAGCATGGATACCCCCGAACCAACCTATCGAGATCTCATGGACGAGTCATACCCATTGCTATTTAAAGTGAAAATGCTGCTGCGAAATGAGGAGATGTTATGTGGTATCCAGTGGCTCCCGGTCTGTATCTATAAATACAGCAGGAGTGATTGGGACGAGCTCATCTACGTCTTTGTGGAACTCGCCAAAATCAATGACTATACTTTGCAGTGTTGATCCCCAGAAGTGCGATGAATATTTTCTATTTCTCAGACGCCGCTGGCCAGCTCCCAAACCACGGGTTCAATATGAGATAACCCCTCTTTATCCAGATGGTCGACCGATTACAGTTGAGTGATGCCCATGACCATGCTATACCTACAGTATACCGGGAGAAGCATATGCAGATAATCTATCCAGGAGCTGGATTACGGATGGTATCCATCTATTTTGACCTATATTTGCTATCAACGATCATCACTTTACTTTAGTATTGATATCTTTAATAGGATATTTTTCATATAATTTTCTACATAAGTGCACCTAATCTCATCAGATATATAGGCTAGGTTCTTAAACAAACAATTTAAAGTAGCCCTAATCTTTTAGCACGCAATACGTGCTGCTCTCTGTTCATGAATGTATGCAATCCTCTGTGCATACAAGTCCTCTGAGAGAATGCCCATCATGTGTTCTCTGTGTTTTCCGTGGTTTTATATAAAAAAGACCATACCATGCTAATAATTTAGATCTTCCTAAGACTACAGATATGTAGGTGTATTGGATGCCAAGATCGAAAATGCACGGACCAGACCGACTCTGAGCATCAAATCCGCCTCTTGCGACACTCTCCGACCAACACAGGGAGAACACCTCGCCAATCCAGCTCTGAGGTTGTTTCTGGTCGCATGGTGTGCTGAATTTTTCAATCCTACTCTAATCTGTACTTTACTACGACTACATCCCCCTAGGACGGCGGCGGCTCAGCTCTGCCTGCTCCGAATAATTTTCTCCAGCTACCCGTCCGTTGTCGCTATCAGAGCTACCAGATCATCATCATGTACAATCCCTACCAAGGTATGCCTTTCCACTACATCGGAACCTATCTTTCTCTGGCAATGAAAAGCATTGGTCTAACGGTCTATAGCTCCGGGCCTTTATGGCAGAGCCCCTGATTATGGTGCCTATCCAGGAGCGCCACCAGGCATGGGTAAGTCTATCACCAGTTTGTCGGTTTCTCTCTCCCATCGCACAATCCTAATAGGACTTTTTAGCACCTCCTCCAGGAATGGCAGCCCCAGGGACAGCCCCTCCCCCAGGGATGCAACAAGCGAACGCCCAGCAACCCGGCCGACCTGCGGGCTTCCCCGCCAGCTTCCAACCGCCTCCGAATATGCCTAACATCAATTTCTCTGCTCCCGTCATTCGATTGGGGACTTCAGGTCCTGCAAAGCCAGCCGCGCCAGAAGCCGGGAGGGAACGTGGCGGTGACGCGCCGGGAAGACGTGCGGGCTTGGGCTCTACGGGTATGGAGTCTCAGCGCCAGAATGTCCGTGATGCGATGATGCAACTTCAGCCGCCTACAAAGGAAGATATTGTGAGGACTATTTTCATAGGTGGCATCACCGAGGGTACCGGAGGCGATGAAGGCGTGGAGAGGATATTGCGATCCGCAGGGAATCTGAGACGCTGGATTCGCGCTACGGATGCGGATGAAAAGCCATGTAAATTTGGTTTCGCAGAGTACGAGGACCCTGAAAGCCTAGGTACTGCGGTGGAAGTGCTAAAGGACGTGCAAGTGCCTGTAAAGAGACAGATGCCGTCTGAGGGCGCTGACAAGGAAGAAAGCGAGGTGGAGAAGAGCACGCTACTGGTAGGTTTCACAACTCTATAACTCTGGACAATGTTGACCGCGCAATGCATAGGTGGTCGTTGATGAAAGCTCTTTGACATATCTGGAGCAATACGAAGCCAGCAGAGGTGACCAAGACCCAGCGGAGCGCCAAGCTCTGCTAGATTCTGCGCGTAGCACTCTCGCCAGTGTTTTATCTGATCTATGCCACCCTACATCTCCAACCCAGAAAGAAGATGTTTCTGCTATTGATCGCGAGGGGGATACCGCAATGAGGGACGCTGAGGGTCAGAATGATGGAACTCCGGCTGAAGTGGTTACCATTCCCATCACAATTGAAGATGAACTATCGGATATCCCCCCTGAGCAGCGTGAAATCGTTGCAAAGGAGATCGCCGCCTTCAGAGAACGGAGCAACCGCAGGGATATTGAGCGCCTCAAGAGGGAAGAGGAAATCGAATCCATGGAAAGAGCAAGAAATGCAGGCTTCCGCGCCAACAGACTTGCTTCCCCCCCACTATCGGCTCCTAGCGGCCCTGCTGCTGGTGCTAATGGTGTACCTATCGGACCTCGTGACCGTGGCATGCCAAATGCTCCTTCTGGACCAAAGGGATTCGGGGTGCAGATTCCGAAGGACTACCAGAAGGGTGTATCTTTTGTGAACGGAGGTGCTGTCAATGGTGCCACAACAGTGTACTTTGATCGGGAAGATGAAGAGTCGGAGGCAAGCGACGATGAGCTGGAGCGTCGACGTCAAGAGAAGAGAGATGCAGAGCTGGAAAAGCAGTCTCTTGACCAAGAAAGACGCTGGTTGAATCGTGAACGAAGCAGAACGGCAGCCTTGGAGCGCGAGAAGAAACGAGACAAGGAAGAGGAAGATAGAGCCCAGGAAGCGCGCGACGATATGGATAGACACTTCCGGGAGTGGAACGATGATACCGAGGCTAGCCGAAAGGTTGTGGACTATTACGCTGACCGTGGCGCGTGGCTCCGAAGCCGTGCAGCCTTCCGTTCACGCGAAATCAGCATGGACGAGGCAGACCGCGCGGCCGAAGAAAAAGAAAAAGCGAAGTCTGTCCAGCAACGGGAGCAGGCACGTGGAATGGCCGACGACTTCCTTGCCCGCCAGGCAGAGGAGCTGGAGGCCCGGAACCAAGCACCCAGGGAGCCCCAGCGTTTCAAACTCTCCCTTGGAGCTGCGGCACAGAAAGCACAAGCTGCAACCACCCGCCGAACCGTGGCCGAGGTGGAAGGGTTGTTGGAAGACGAGGAGGAGCCCGAAGCAACCGCGAGACGACCTCTCATCCCGATCAAGTTCGACAGTGCTGCCGAAGCTGCCGGGCTCACCGAAGAAGAGCGAGCGCAAGCGGTGCGACAGTTGGCAGCGGATATTCCCTCCGACAAGGAAGGATTGTGGAAATGGGAAGTCAAGTGGGAATTTGTGGACGAAACCGTGCTCAGCGATCAACTCAAACCCTTTGTGGAGAAGAAGATTGTGGAGTATTTGGGAGTCCAGGAGCAGATGTTGGTGGATGTGGTGGAAGAGCATGTTCGAAAGCATGGGTCTCCTCAGGAACTGGTAGAGCAATTAGAGGAGGTGAGTCTTTTTACTATCCTTTTACATTCATGGCACTGGCTAACCCTGTTGTTTTTAGGCTCTCGACGAAGAAGCAGAGGTGCTGGTCCGGAAGTTGTGGCGGATGATCATCTTCTTCTCGGAAAGCGAGAAGAGAGGTCTTTCGGCATAGACATCTTGTGGAGGAGCAGAGTATCTGGGACCAAAACGATATTGGACGGTTTTCGACTACCCATCTGTCTTTGTATGAAAACAGACGATGATTTTGATATCCGCTTCTCTAGGAGCAAATGCATATTACTACCATCCACTATGATGGATGGGATAGTTTTATAATAGTGCTCTTTGCATGGCGTAATCCTCTCTTATGGTATCCTTACACGGCGTCTCTATAAATCGAGGTTACTAAGTCACCTTGTGCATATCTATGTTACTCTATAGTCGCATCTATAGCCATATCGCAGAGGTATATTCCTAATCTGGAACTGAGATAGGGCTGTAATATACTGTATCCAGGTACGATACACGGAGGCAGTCCGATATCCCATCCTCCACCGTGACTGGTGGAAAAACCGGGAAATATGTCAGGAACAATTCCTCCGCCAATGACGCATTGTTCCCCCACATACAGTAGGCGTATTCACTCTTCCGCGGGGCATAGAGAGAGGGGGAGCAATTTGCCCGTGTCTCCATAGACATTCGTATATCTTGCTTGTCTTTTCCTCGTGATCCTTGAAAAGTGTTCTTTTTTCTCTGTTGTATTTTTCTTTTTTTGGAGAGTGAGTGTCGTTTGACGAATCTTTGAATTTTTGGATATCCCGTCATCTCTATCAGCGTAGGAGTTTTCCCCGCATTCAACAATACCCCGCCAATACCTATACTCCTGTCTTGCAGTTTTACTATTGAATTGGGTTAGAAAAGTCTTTCGATAGACCCAATTGATTATAAGCTGACGTCTGATTTGATAGAAGAAGTTGCTGGAAAGCGGAGACACCATGGTTAAGATAACTGGGTTCACCACACGGGACGTGAGGTTTCCAGTACGTTCGCTGATTTCCTGGACGAGAATACCATTCAGACGATATTCTAATTAAAGAGATAGACCTCCCTCGACAAGACCGGCTCTGATGCTATGAACGCTGCGGGTGACTATTCCGCAGCTTATTGCATCATCTACACAGACTCTCCGCACGCTGGACATGGAATGGTACGCCCTTACTCCTTGATACAGAAATAGAAGAAACTAAACTAACTGATGGTTAATGTTTTAGACCTTCACCATTGGTCGCGGAAATGAAATCGTCTGCTCTGCCATCTCCCTCCTGGCTCCTCTCGTGGTTGGAAAAGACTTGGACGAGCTCACGGCCGACTGGGGCAAGACATGGCGATACCTTGTATCCGACAGCCAGCTTCGCTGGATCGGGCCCGAGAAAGGTGTCATCCACCTTGCGCTGGGAGCAGTCGTTAACGCTCTTTGGGATTTGTGGGCCAAGACCCTCAACAAGCCTGTCTGGCGGATCGTGGCCGAGATGACACCCGAGGAGTATGTTCGCTGTGTCGACTTCCGGTATATCACCGATGCCATTACCCCTGAAGAGGCTATTGCTCTTCTGAAAGAGGTCGAGGCTGGTAAGCAGGAGCGTATCAAGGAGGCGGAAGAGAGTCGTGCTGTGCCTGCTTACACCACGAGTGCTGGATGGCTTGGATACAGCGAGGAGAAGCTTAAGGCTCTTTTGAAAGAGACTGTTGGGCAAGGTTACAGACATTTCAAGCTCAAGGTTGGAGGGGATATCGAGGATGACAAGAGGAGATTGAAAATTGCCCGCGAAGCTATTGGCTATGACAAGGGTAACATTCTGATGGTTGATGCCAACCAGGTAAGCTAACTACTTTCAGGATAAGCATTCGCTATCCTTTCTATTCAGTTACTAATTGAATTACCTACAGGTCTGGTCTGTACCAGATGCTATCGCATGGATGCAAGAACTCGCCGAATTCAAGCCTTGGTTCATCGAAGAACCCACCTCCCCCGATGACATCCTCGGCCATGCAGCCATCAAGAAGGCCCTGGAAAATACCCCATACGGCCCCATTGGCGTGGCCACTGGCGAGATGTGCCAGAACCGCGTGATCTTCAAGCAACTCCTGCAGGCAGGGGCCTTGACAGTTCTCCAAGCCGATGCATGCCGAGTCGGTGGTGTCAACGAAGTCCTAGCCATCCTGTTGCTTGCTCGCAAGTTCGGTGTGCCAATTGTCCCTCACTCTGGTGGTGTCGGGTTGCCAGAGTACACCCAGCATCTCAGCACCATCGACTATGTGGCGGTTACTGGTAAGAAGAGTGTGCTCGAATATGTCGACCACTTGCACGAGCACTTTGTGCACCCGTCCAGCGTCAAGGATGGCTACTACGTTACTCCCATGGAGGCTGGATACAGTGTTGAGATGAAGCCTGAAAGCATGGATGCGTTTTCTTTCCCTGGTGAGGAGGGTAAGAGTTGGTGGAAGTCCGATGCCGCGAAGCCAATCATAGAGGGTCCTAGGATATGAGAGAATTCATGCATTTTTGTGTTTATTCTCATGGGCCTGTATTTCTTTTCGAAAAAAAAAAGATTTTCTGATGTGGTGTGTGATGTGATGTTTATGTTTATGTACCAAGTACCTTCTAGGTACCTTCTTTGTAAAGATTACTGGTTTTTTTATATCCTAGATATTGACATTTGATGCTTCATGGTCATTCTATAATACAACATCGAGTGACTTGCTTAAGTCTCAAAGGAGTGGTACTGGCCACCCAATTCGGTCACGACAATGGGCTTTTTACCCGTACGTGAGGCAGAGAGCTCGTATTGTCTCGACTGCCTCATAGTCGTCGAATATAGTACAAAAAAGTTTGGCAGGCACATATGCTGCGTGGCTCAATGCCCAAGTATGCAAGGCTGGGAATCTTCAAAGGATCCAGCTTCAACGTGGTCCTGCAAAGCTATACATGGGTAGCTTTTTGACAGGACTCGATAATTACAGGACAGCGTGGTTTACTGCACCTATGATAGCGAATACTAGCGCAGCTGTTTACCGCCATTGAATGCCCAAAAGTTTCAATGCGCTTCCAACTCCGGGCTTTTCTGACGCTTTTTCAAGGGTGACGCGAGAATGGCCTGGCTATGGGGTTAGCAAAGATCAACAAACTATGAAGGCTGGTACAGACCCTTGACATCCAATGCAAGAAGTTGATATTCCCATTCACTCTTGCCGATCGGTTTGATCATGTGCACGAACACGATTCCGGAGTTAAGAGGTCCTTCAACCTAAGACATGGTCAATATGATACGGCTGTTGCTTTCTTGCCATGGCGACTTACGTGAAAGTTCATCCTAAGATGCTCACGGCCGACACGATCCTTTTCGATAGATGTGCTTGATATAAAGTTAGCTTCGGCATTCACCAAGTGAACCATTTGCAGGCAGTCCTTACGCAATGGGTCTGCTCCGTGCCCATCGGCTCCAGGTACTATCTCCATATGCCTTGATCTGTCGCCGGTCACCCAGTAGATCCGTGCATCGCGTATCATCAAGGATGCGCTCAACCGCCTTTTCGAATTGCCATGTTTTGCTGTTCGGAGAGAAGACTTCGAGGTAGAGTAGAGTGAAAACACCGCCCTGTCCCATCAATCAGAATCCTGATTTACTTTTTTATTGCCTTGTTACTCTCACCGTCAATACAGCTCCAGCTAGTACAACCGCAAAGTTGATCGACTGTTGCGTAGCCCGCGCAACCTTTTCTTTTCCGCTTAACTCCGCCCACTCATATCGGCCATCATCAGACAACACAGTGACATTCCTTCGTTTCGGAGTCGCCTTTGGTCCGGATCCTCCGCCGATATTACTCTGAGTTGCATAGAAACGATCTAATTTCGTCGTGCGGGGAGAGGTAGAACGGAGGAGGGCAGATGCGGCATTGGACGTCCGGGGGAGGAGGGGGTTGCTAAGTCGAAGAGAGGGATTCATTGCGACAACTGATCATGACCCAGGTGGTCGGCATGGGATCATGTAGTTTGGCGGTATTTAAAACCTGGTATAGAAAAATAAAAGATGGATCTGATTTCTATGAAACCGTGTGGGGATGGGCCTGGAATTGGATATTTGGTCACGTGGAATGACGGTTTGGGTGGTTTCAGCCTCTCGGTTTGAAAGTTTCATGCAAAAGTGTGGAGCGGTGTATTCTCAATACGCATTGTTACATTCCATCGCTTTCAGAAAATGAGTCTTCAGACCTGGATATATCCATGACTTTTACTAAGGCTCAGGGTCTGCAAGTAGGGAATTAGATGTAACTCTTGTTTCTACTTTCCTATTTATTTCAGTCTAAAACATCGAGGCACAGCATGCGGCCCCCAATTTAGACTATTACGAGAGTTCTAAAAATACACTGCAAAACCCGTAATTGGCACAAGCGCCTCCGACCACGTTCCCTGTCCCGAATCGATGCTTTTTGGGTTCCTTCATCTTCTCTCTGTGGACAATTCGACATCCTTTTTGAGCCTCCTGGCCGGCATCTCCTCTTATATACTCGGCTCTGCCTGTCTATCCGTCTCAGAATGAGTGCCTCCAAGACGGAGTCTCAAAAGATCTTTGAGAAACTCAAACAGAAACCCGCAAACAAGGTGCGCAGAACCCCTCCTCCCACCTGTCCACTCTTGATGACCCTTTTCTGACTCTCTATTAGGTATGCTTTGATTGCAACTCGAAGAACCCGACCTGGTCCTCTGTGCCTCTCGGTATCTACCTTTGTCTCGACTGCTCGTCCAATCACCGAAACCTGGGTGTTCACATCTCCTTCGTTCGTTCCACAAACCTCGACCGTATGCATACTCTGATACGAATACACTTTTTCCATGGCAATACTAATCGGTCATACTAGAGTGGCAATGGGAGCAACTTCGATTAATGAAAGTCGGCGGAAATGAGTCGGCCACCAAGTATTTCCAGTCGCATGGTGGTTCTGCCGCTCTTGCCAGCAAGGATAGCAAGGTGAAGTACACCTGCAATGCAGCCGTCAAGTACAAGGAAGAATTGAAGCGACGGGCTGCAGCGGATGCACAACAGTCAGTAAATTCCTGGTGTTTGCATAAAAATGCAAAATGCTGACCCTCTGATTCCACTCAGGTACCCCGGAGAGGTTGTCATCACGGACGTCCCCGCCGCCGCCTCCGATGGCTCGAACACCCCTGCTGGTGATGCAGATGATGATTTTTTCTCCTCTTGGGATAAGCCCTCGATTAAGCGACCCAGCAACCCTCCTTCTCGCACAGGTACTCCCCCGGTGGTGAGTCGGACCGCATCGCCCTTCTTGAACGCCGGTGCCAACGGAAATGGCCGCTCGAAATCGCCCCTTTCAGCCTCGGAGAAGGAAAGCTCTCCTGCCCCCACTGCTATCAGGACCGGAACAGCTGTCCGAAAGGGTGCCTCGGCTGGTAGTGTGAAGAAGGGTAGTGTCTTGGGAGCCAAGAAGGCCCCGAAACTCGGAGCCAAGAAAGTTGCCGGAGCGGAAGTGATTGATTTTGATGAGGCCGAGCGTAAGGCCAAAGAAGAGGCCGAGCGCATTGAGAAATTGGGATATGACCCTGAAGCAGAGAAGGCTGAGGCTGAAGCTAAGGCCAAGACGGCGAGCGCTGCGGCCCCAGCTGTTGCTTCTCCTGCCCCAGTCAGCTCCAGCAAGGGAGGTTTTGGTGCTACCAGCAAGCCCAGCGAACGGAGCTCTAGCGATGTAGAACGTCTCGGAATGGGCATGGGAAGACTAGGATTTGGTCAAACTGCCAGTTCCAAGCCAGCTCCTTCGAAGCTTGGATTTGGCTCTGTTGGCCCCGTTGGTCCCACCAGGACAGCTGCTGATGGTTTGTTTACCCTCATCAAACCAGTTTATCCAATTACTAACCCTGTATTGCAGATGAGGAAATCGCGCAGAACAAGAGCAGATTCGGTAGTCAGAAGGGTATTTCGTCCGATGAATTCTTCGGTCGGGAAAGATTCGATCCCAATGCGCAAGCAGAAGCCAAGCAACGTTTGAATCAATTTGATGGTGCCACCTCGATTTCCAGCAACTCATATTTCGGCCGGCCCGAAGATGACCTGCCCCCTATGGACGATGGATACGGGGACTTGGAGAATGCAGCCAAGGACTTTGTCCGTCGTTTTGGAATCACGGCTGGCGATGACCTCGAAAATCTATCTCAGATTGTTGGAGAAGGAGCATTCAAATTGCAAGGTGAGATTCCCTTCGGTTGTCCTTGAAGTCAACCTACCTCTGAGATATAATTAGATTGCTAACTCAAAACTCCCCCAATATAGGCGCCATCCGCACCTACTTGAACAGTTAGATGATATATTTCTCAGAATACATATACATCTAAAACGCAGACAATTTTGCCAGATTCCTGTTTCGAATGGGATTGTGCGCATATCATTTACTTTTTTTGTGACTTTGTTGATGGGTCTTATTGATTCCACTGGTGCTCTGACGTTCTAAATTATTTATCCTCTTTTCTTGTTCTATTACATTTTGTCGATATCCCCTATGACACAGCAATCGAAGCCATGGTATCTTTTATTCTCTCCCGTCATGTTGGTAGCTGTGGGTGTTGTTGGCTTTTGTCGCCTTCTCAAATTGTGGTTCGTTCCCATATCAATGAGATAGCCTAGTCGGATTTTTTTTCCCCCTTGAATTACTTTTCTTATTTTATAGTTGAGATTCTTTAAAATAGTATTTTTATTTTGGTGTTTTTCTTCTTTATTTTACACTTCTTGTATATCGTTTTGAAATCAAGTTCTCGCTCAAAAAGCGAGTGTTGGGAGTTGAATCTAAAAGTAATTCGTGATAGCCCATAGAAGAAGAAATGGTAGTAAGCTATTTATAAAACATGTAATTTTAATTTTTCTTTCAATTCTGCTATTAGCATTCTCTTTTGTGATCTGACAGTTAGAAGTGCCATGCTGTGATATTGTTGAGAATATACAAACCAAACCAACCAACACCAGTTGATCAAGTGTTCGATTGTTTTACACGCCCGAGAAAACGTGTTTATGATTCTTCTACTCGGTAAATCGCATCCGCCACTCTGGACGCCTGCCACATCTCCTTGACATCGTGAACACGAACAATGTCCGCACCGCCGGCGACACTAGCGGTTACTGTTGCCGCAGTGCCCCAGCCACGGTCACTTGCTTTATCTACTCCCGTGAGACGACCAATGAACCTCTTGCGACTAGGCCCCATAAGCCAAGGGAAATTATCCAGCCCTTCGACACCAGTGCGGAGTTTCTGCAAGTCTCGCAGGATGGTCAGATCATGGCTTTGGTTCTTTGCGAAGCCGAGGCCCGGGTCAAGGATGATACGCCAGCGACGAATCCCTGCAGCTTCGGCGGCCGAGATGCGCTCGAGAAGCTCCGAGCCGACGTCGGCTATGACGCCGTTCGGGTAGTCTGTCAGTTTGGTCATGGTTGAGGGGGTGCCCCGCATGTGCATCAAGATGACGGATTTTCCAGTCCGGGCCATGGTGGAGAGCATGTCTGGGTCAAGCGAGCCGGCGGAGACATCGTTGATGATGTCTGCGCCGGCTGCACAGGCTTCTTCCGCAACCCGAGCACGATATGTGTCGATACTGATGGCTATGTTTGCGGCTTCGGGGATGGAGGTGCGAATGTGTTTGATGGCGGGGATAACTCGAGCGAGCTCTTCGGCCTCGCCCACGGGGGCTGATCCTGGGCGAGTGCTCTCGCCGCCGATGTCAATGATGGTTGCTCCGGACTCGATGAACTTACGAACGGTGGCAGTGAGGTTGGAAAGGTCGGTTGGGGAATGAACACCGCCGTCAGAGAAGGAATCGGGAGTCAGGTTTAGAATGGCCATGATGTGAGTTGGACGTTGGGGGTCGGTGGAATGTAACGACTTGAACGAGGACGAGATGTGGGTCGTGGCCACAGGTGTTGGGACTGGTGGAGGAAGTGACTTGAGGTGAGAGAGGTACGTCAGGTTCTGCCCAGGAAGAGGAGATCGTTCGTGAGGGATCAGTCTGATTGTATTTCTATTAGCTCGTGTTTTGTGAGACCCATCTCATAGAGATACATACTGGCAAAGCGGCCGTAGAACAAAGTCTCGTTCTAGCATAAGGTTGTGAGGGATGTTGAGACGTTCATGGGAAAAAACCTCTTGGTCGTACAAAAGAATATCGAGATCAATAGACCGCGGGCCTTTCTCGATCAGTTTCTTCCTCCCCAGCTCAATCTCAATAGACTGAAGAGTATTAAGCAGCTCAATGGGAGCTAAGCTGGTTTCAACCTGGATGTATTTGTCAGAATAGATCACGGCAGCTGATATAATTAGGGACAGAGAATGGGTAGTAACTAACTTCGCAGACCCCATTAATGAAAGGATCCTGATCGAGGACATACATGGGCTCGGTCTCAAACAGTGAGCTTGTTCTTTTGACTTTGATATTTGCCCTCTCCATTTCAAGAAGTGCGCTTTCTATCATTTCGATCCGGTCTCCTACATTACTCCCCAGAGCAATGAAGGCCCGGTGAGAGGAGGCGTTGACAGCATCCATCTTAGCTTTAAGATTCAACGGGCTAGTAGAAAAGCCCCGGTTGAGTCGGAAAGGCGTCAGTGGCGTTCCATTGCAAGACAGCCTGGTCTGCAGGGAAGTTCCTGTGAGATGTTTAGTTCCAGGTCTCTTCTACGGGCGAGAATACAAGATTCTAACGGAGAAGACTGCGCTGGACGCACATTCAAGAAGTACATACTTGAATTAGAAGATATCAAGGTGCTATATAGTAAGTTAGACTAGAAGATCAACCACAGAGGTAATCAGAACGTAACCTGCCTCTTCGTCCGACTCGCATAAAAGCGTCTATGGATTGGCTGATGTGCAGAAGCCACCAATTCACCCGAAGCGGACGGTGAGCCTGTCCTGGAAGACTGCCATAAACGATGGATGCAGTAGGCAGAATTCAGCGATGCTGCACTGCTACGCCAGCCAACAGCTGGTCTACAGCTCATCATTATGCTTTTGTCCGTGAACAAAAGAGTGTCATGGATAACGTCACCGAAAGCAGACAGACGCGAAGTCAGCTGATATCTTCCCACGTGACTTGACTTCATACCTGAGGTATCAACAAGTACTTAACCCCGCCCTTAGTCAGCAAGGGCTTGGCGTCGGCAGTTTCACGCCTATTCCAGCGTGACCAGCTGCAGGTCGTGGCCTCACGCGGCCTTGTTGGGCCGAGGCTGTTTTGCAGTAATGTGAACGTCGCCTCCTCGGTTCCCAGGCTGCTCAGTGCTATATCTTCCCCGGATTTCATCCCCTTTTCTGACATCTATCTTTAACCTTGACTACGTTATCTTTGACTTCTGGAGCGTCTGTTGAATCTCATAATACTCTGGTATCATCCTAGCAATCATGGCCTCTCCTCGTATGTTTACCCTTCCATACAACTCCGCACTCCGTCTCCTCACCGATGAGGAGATGAGAAATTGGGAGAACATCTTGTACTAACCACATCCGTGTATAGAGCAAATCCGTACTACTGTTACCGATCTTCTCAAGATCAACCACCCCGTCCTGCTGGCAGGTATGAACGTGGCCGCTGGGCCCAAGCTGGCCGCAGCGGTCACCAACGCGGGTGGTCTGGGTGTCATCGGTGGTGTCGGCTACACCCCCGATATGCTCAAGGAACAGATCGCAGAGCTCAAGAGCTTTTTGAATGACAAGAATGCACCTTTCGGTGTTGATCTTTTGCTTCCCCAGGTTGGAGGAAGTGCTCGCAAGACCAAGTAAGAGCCCTGCTTGGTATACCGCTCGGTTGTTTCGGAAATGCTAACCTTTGTTCTTCTCTCTCATCAGCTACGACTACACCAAGGGAAAGCTCAATGAGCTTGTCGATATTATCATCGAGAGCGGCGCTAAGCTCTTTGTCTCCGCCGTCGGTGTTGCCCCCAAGCCCGTTGTCGACAGACTCCACGCTGCCGGTATCCTCTACATGAACATGATTGGCCACCCCAAGCATGTCCAGAAGGCCCTCGACGCTGGCGCCGATATCATCTGTGCTCAGGGTGGTGAAGGTGGTGGACACACTGGTGATGTCCCGACTACCGTTCTCATTCCTACCGTTGCCAAGCTGTGCTCAGGCAAGAAGAGCCCCTTGACCGGTCAGCCCGTGCAGGTCATTGCTGCCGGTGGTTTGTTCAACGGCCAGTCCGTTGCCGCTGCTCTCATGCTTGGTGCCTCTGCCGTCTGGGTTGGTACCCGTTTCATCCTGTCCGATGAGGCCGGTGCTCCTGTGGCTCACCAGGAAGCTGTTCGCACTTCTGGCTTCGATGACAACGTCCGCACTATCATTTTCACTGTGAGTTCTCGCTGAAGTCCATTATATTATAGCATGTTACTAACGTATTTTAGGGTCGCCCTCTCCGTGTCCGCAACAACGCCTACATCAAGAACTGGGAAGAGAACCGCGCCGAGGAGATTAAGCAGCTTACCGCCAAGGGTGTTATCCCCGTTGAGCACGACTTTGAGAACCTGTCGGATGACGTTGATGACGAGACCTTGGACAACGCCCGCCCATACCTGATGGGCAAGGTTGCCGCTGTGGTCAACGAGAAGAAGCCCGCCAAGGCTATCGTCGACGAGCTTGTCACAGATGCCGTTGCCTGGTTGCAGAAGGGTAACAAGATGATTGCTAAGCTGTAAAATGTGTTATGTCTTGATTGTTACGTATATTATATCCATCTTTGGTAGACAGAAGATCTATTTGTGAATATACCATTAATTTCTGTCTTGGCCCATCCATTGCGGAGCAGTATTTGCACTGGTAAAGGTCGCTTATCCTAATTCTTCTGATAACAATATGCTATCCACAGAAAGTCTCGCGCATGTTAAAATAGAATAATCCCTTCAGACCAATGTTCTCGATCTTCTGAATCTTCATCTGGATATTCCCAAGCCTCATCTAAACATAGGTCAGCTAGTCTCAGGAACTTGGCCAAACCGGGTCCACATCAGTTGACGAAATCCCTTGGCACCGAATTGAAGATGACTCGGTATCCCGAACGTCCGATACTTGAATAACAAGTACTACTAACCAGGTAAATCATGGATTGATAAAATCCTGTGTAGCCTGTTTAGATAAAACTTCCTGTCACCTTCGTATGGATCTATTTAGCTCCAGTCCTAAATCATAACTACATCATAATTCTGCCCCAACAATCTCAATCTCAACTTGATTTATTGTGAACACCTGCGTCATAAGAATAATATTAATATAGTATGGATGTAGAGTAGTGAAGACACGACACGACAGCAAAAAAAAAAAAAAAAAAAAACTCTTCATCCAATGTGGATAGCCAACCGATGGATTTGCGGTCTGGTTATAGTGGAGTCTGCCATGGACCGGATGGAGTTTGGCGATCCACCCATATCCAGCCACCGCAGGGGAAAAGGAACGAGGAACGAACCATTAGGGCATGTTCACGACATGACTTCACCAATGTACATCATTAGGGCTGGCTACTGGCAAGATGGCCTGTATATACATGCATACATGCAAGTCATGTCTAAGCTTCGCAGTTCGTATTCTTCCGGCCTAGATAATGAAGACTCGGCCATCTCCGCACTGTGCCTGGCCTGACCCTGAACGCCGGACGTGGGGGGTGGGATTTGGGGATTGCGGGGGAACGTAAGGAAGATAGATAGATAGGTAGATACATACTATGCGATAGGTTGAAGCTTAGGCTTTTGTCTAATTATTAACAAACGTGGGTATACTCTGGGGAATGATAGGTTCGTATAGGCTTTCCGACAATTTTATCATGATACAAGACCTGCTGACTACCTAGGTAGGTAGATCTAGGAAAGTAACCCCAAAAGGGCTTTCGATACTGAAACATCGCAATTCGGCGTCGGCCGCTTCCTGAAGACGACTCCTAGATAAGATATTGGGGGTGACGATGAGAAAGACAGGGGTAGATGCTACTGATAACGTTGTCTGTGGTGAGATTGGCTTTTGGATAGGAGCGGAAACAGTTGGTTGCTTGGGAAAGCATGATAGATTAAGCTGATGATGGCATTTGATAGTGTCCACTACAGGCAATAACAGCTATCTTGTACTATCAGAGGCTTGTTTTAGAGCCAAGCAAGAAATAACTTTCGCATAAACTGTCAGTCACAGTCAACGATCATACAACCCCTGAATGGTAGAGTACTAAGGCAAGGTACCAGTCTAATTTAATCTCATGATGCTACATTCAGGTTACTCCAAAATAATCCATTTGTTTTATCAATAATAAATCAATAGAAATATGGCATTGGAATGTTCTGATTATGACTTGGTCTTTAACTCCCTATATTCTTCCTAGTATCTGTGAGTATACAGTACTCAGATATATCAGCTATGCAGAGTCACCATATCTTTAGCATTAATCTTACAGACAGTCATTATCAGTTCTTTGCCCGTATGCTGTAGCTTAATGAGGTAGCATCGACCAGTGGGAGATAATGCCTTATCAATCCTCGTTGCCACCGATCCAATCACCGCTTTTACCCACCCACCCACGCGAAGTTCTAGGCTCCACTATTCAGCCGCTATCCTCCCCTCTGATTGGCCATAGCACCGTGGGTCCCCGGGTTGTCCGATGGGCGAGGGCTGCAACGGATAAGTGGAGCCTCCGAGGCAGAGTTTTCCATTGGCGGGCGATATCAAACCGGCACACGATTGGCCGAATCTCGAAACAAGAAATTGTCAAGCCTTTTCTGTGACTGGCGAGGCAACACGCGACAGTCTCACCCCTTGAGTCGCACGAGAGAGAAACGAGGCCGGGTTTTTACGCGATGGCACGAACGGGGCTTGTCCGAGTCTTCCTTCCGGATGTTCCAATCATAGGCATGCGTTTCCTTTTCCAGAACACGCTCGGTGGGCCAGGCAAATGTGGGAAAGAAATTGTCGCGGCGCGCGAACACATATTTGAAGCTCCTCTCCCCATCCCTCTTGTAGAGAAAAAAAAGAAAAAGAAAGAAAGATGTGACGTCCGTCCTTTTCCCTTTTCTTCCCCCTTCTCTCCCTCTTCCAATCTTGCTTAGTCGCTGAGCTTCTCGAGCTCTTCGATTAATCAATTTTCACACGCCCCCATAAGGATTGTGTCCTCTCCTCTTGACTGGCGGGGTTCTGCACAAAATCCAATAGCTCCGTTGAGAAATACGGTGCACTACCCAATCGGCACAATGTTTGGCGGTAGCGATCACGATATCGAAAAGGCCCCCCAGGTGGGCAACGTGCCTTTCGTCGATGACACCAGCGATAATGCAGTGCGCGGAGAGAGCTTCGTATATGGCAACTCTCTCTACGCCAAGATCCAACGGCTGGCCGGGAAGCTCAACATTGAGCAGCGAGGTATCGAACGTGTGCCAGCTGAGGAGCAGACGGACACCTCGTACTTCAATATTGGCAGCATGGTACGTCTCTTTTTTAAGGATGTTGTTCCTGAAAACCGTCCGCTGACAGCGGGAATAGTGGCTGGCGGCCAACATGGTGGTTAGCTCTTTCGCAATTGGTGTTCTCGGAAAATCCCTCTTCGATCTCGGCTTTGTCGATGCTATCCTCGTCTGTCTCTTTTTCAATCTGCTTGGTGTGATGACGGTTTGCTTCTTCTCGTGTTTTGGACCTGCCTTTGGCTTGCGCCAAATGGTTCTTTCGAGGTTTTGGTTTGGCTGGTATGGAACAAAATTCAGTGAGCATTACCCGTATCAGCCTATTGTCCCAGCGAGCTGTGGCTGATGATATGCCTTCCTTCAGTTGCCATCCTCAACGTCCTTGCCTGCGTGGGCTGGTCTGCTGCAAACTCCATTGTTGGTGCCCAGCTCATCCATGCGGTAAATACCGACGTACCTGGATTTGCCGGTATCCTCATTATTGCATTTTGCACTCTCTTCATCACCTTTGCCGGATACAAGGTTGTCCATGCCTACGAATATTGGAGCTGGATTCCCACCTTCATTGTTTTCATGATCGTTTTCGGTACCTTTGCCCACTCTGGTGCATTCCAAAATCTGCCCATGGGAGTTGGAAAATCGGAAATAGGTGGTTGTTTGTCTTTTGGCTCGACTGTGTACGGTTTCGCTACCGGATGGACTAGCTACGCCGCGGATTACACGGTGTACCAGCCCGCAAACCGCAGCAAGCGCAAGATCTTCTTCTCTGCCTGGCTCGGACTTATCGTTCCCCTTATATTCACCCAGTTCCTGGGAATTGCGATCATGACAGCAACAAGCATTGACGGCGGGGACAACAAGTATCAGCAGGGCTATGCAGCCTCTGGAAACGGAGGCTTGCTGGGTGCTGTTCTTGAGCCTCTGGGTGGTTTCGGCAAGTTCTGTCTCGTCATTCTCGCTCTTTCCATCATTGCAAACAACTGCCCAAACATCTATTCCGTCGCCTTGACTCTTCAAGTCTTGAGTCGCTATTCTCAGCGTGTCCCTCGATTCATCTGGGTTTTCTTGGGTTCTTGTGCCTCCATCGCCATTGGCATTCCCGGATACTCCCACTTTGAGACCATCCTCGAGAACTTTATGAACTTCATCGCCTACTGGCTGGCCATATACTCCGGTATCGCACTCAGTGACCACCTTGTCTTCAAGCGTGGGTTTTCGGGCTATCGTCCAGAGCTGTATGACCAGCGTGAGAAGCTCCCTGTTGGTATTGCCGCCGCCGTCTCCTTTGGTTTTGGTGTTGCCGGCATGATCACAGGTATGAGCCAGAGCTGGTATGTCGGACCCATTGCACTGCATGCGGGTGCAGCACCCACCGGCGGTGATATTGGTTTCGAATTAGCCTTTGCCTTTGCGGCTGTCATGTATATTGTGTTGAGGCCCATCGAGTTGAAAATATTCGGGCGGTAAATACTATGATTCAAGGAGTTGTGATATATCGTTAATGAGCTACCTTGGGTCTCTGCATTAGAGAATATAACTGTTGCATATATGGATGACGATAAATGTACATAGAAGTTTTATGAGCATGCTTTTTGATAGCACTTGAGCTTAATTTATTCAATTTTGATCAAGATCTGCGCTTCGAAATCCGGGGTAGAAGTAAATAATGACTGGAGACTTAAATCTTGCCCAGTGCCAATGAGTGTGTTGATAACTCCAAACAGGGCAGTTCCACTTATCTTCAAAGAAAACTTGTCTCCGCGCAGTCTCATCCCCAACCGTGCTCCGTATCGTATAGACCAGTGCCGGAAGTGACTATTATCTCCTATCGAGATGAATAAATTAGGGAACTGCGCAGATCTGACTGGTTGTAACGCGTACATGATCCCGTCCGGTGCCCATTTCTCAACCCTGATTCTAGGCGCGCGCTTTTTCATAAGGGACAAGAGCCTTACCCAATGAAAGAGATTTGTCCTCAGTTGAATTCACTCTCGAGCTGCATATATCGTGAAGCACGACATAGACACGACAGTTGATCTGCTGGTGGTGTATGATTGTACGGTGCGAGTTGTCCCGGTATCATGTGAAGTACATCCTAGCAGATCTTCGAGAAAACGTCTTCTTCGGATTGGCCGTTCTGCTATTCGTTAAAGGCCGTCGTCTGTTCTGCTCTACTGTTGTTGTCGAGACAAAGGTAGCCATGGTGACGCTATAAGACACAGCCCTAAAGTGATTTCGGAACCAGATGTCAGAGCAAAACTTGCTATTGATATGCTCAGGGTAGAAGAACTATGATACCTTGAAAGGACTTTTTCAGGCCAATTGATGTTGGATTTCTGGGAGCTTCAAAGTCTGTTATTTGGTAAAGCTTGTGTTTTCGCAGCAGGGCTGAGACAGGAGTATGCATGTGACTTGCTTCCTTCCCCATCTGCACCCGGACGACTTCGTGTTCGCCCCTTTCTACCGCTACGAAGACCATATCCGTGTCTTGAAAGGTATCTGATTCGACTAAACTTCTTTATTTACTGAATATCGCATGAAAAGCAGACTTGCAATTGACATTCTGGTACGAGGAAACCCGCGAAAGGTCTGTTGTGCTGGGCAAGAAAGAAATCAGAAAGCAAAAAATAAACAAAAGAAGAAAAGGAACCTTGGACTAACGGCCTTCTGATTTTAGTAATTGTTGTGAAAAGAGCATGTTGAGGGGCAATGGACTCCAATACTGTTGGCTCTCCACTGCCTCCTGGCTTAGGGCTTTTCCTGACGAGGTCCATGCTTCAAGGCGCCGTTGCCAGCACTTGACTAAAGCAGCCAGTATTGTTTATTTCATTTTTGATCTGATGTGACCGATCCTTAACACGAATGAGGATGACAGCCTTTGTGATCCTGATATTACGCCGTCCCTCCCTCCCGTGTCGATACAGCGCCGGGTAGAACACCATGAAAAGCTTGCCAATTTTTGCATTGTCTGGAAGGCTTGCAAATTTGGAGCTTGGAACCTTGTTATGCGTATGAGCGTCCATGACGATGAATCTCTCCATGTCATGCTTTCTGATAACACCATGTGAGTACCACTCAGCATCGATGTACCACTCCCAGATGTACATTTCGGTAGAGCAATGCATTTTGGTGGATAGTTCAGCAGCATGTACTGCGATCTCCTCTTTGAATCTATCCCCCTTGCGGTCCCAATCGATAGTACCCACGGGATCCACGAAGGCAAAAAATTTCAGGATACCGCAGAGGTGAGTCGCAAGATCATGGCAACGCGTTTTAACTTGTTCCTGGTATTGCCCGCAAGATGTATAAGCCCGAATTGTATCTGACCTCCATAGGTCGATACTTTTGGAATCTATAAATCTTCGGTTAGCATCTAAGCTGACCAAGCATATTTTAGATAGTCGACCCTTTCTTTGGCTCCAAGCAACACATTTGGCTTTGGAGAGTTTCAAAAAGCCTTTGGCCTGATGAATTTCCCTCGAAAATGGGACTGTTGAAAGTTTTGCTCCAGATTAACTTGAAGGTCATTTGCATCAAGATCTCTGTCTGTGCAGCATCACATTCTCCTGGGAACAAAGTTGCGTCTTTTATCGTCGGATAATGATTGTAAATTACACGGAGCTCCTCTCCGTGACGGTTCATAGGTATCAGCGAATCTGGTGATGTCTGGAAGCCCTTCCATCCAATTAGACACATTTTCTCGCAGTTGAATGTACTCGTTCGAGATCGTAGCATCGCTGATTTCGTAAGTAGGAATAAATCTGAATATCTGAGCATGGCAGTCATCAAGCTCATCCTCCAACTTTAGAATGCGTCGATTCGCCTTCCGCAATTCTGATTCTTTCTGGGCCAAAGATTCCCTCAACCAGGAATGTTGTTGTGCGACAAGTTGGTCAACAGCATGTTGGAAATTCTTTCCTAACTGGTTCAACTGCTCATTATAACCACGTTGCAGATTATGGGCTTGACCGTTACGAGATGACAGTGTGTCTTGGCTCTATGCAAAACAGTCAGCGGTTAGCCAATTCCATATATCAGAGAAAAAGTTATGGCAAAAGTTATGGTTATAACCTACCTCAATTTTGATGTCCGAGTCCATTGTGAGTTCCGGGAGAGAAGAAATGCACTGATGGCTTAGGATGGGGATGGCTGGATGTAATATCTTGGATAATTGCTGGAAAGATGAAGAGAGCGAAGAGAAAAGTCAAAAGCAAAACAGTGAGAGGGCGAATGAAGAGAAAGAAGATTGAGTAGAGGCTGAGATAATAATCTCGAGGATGTCTGTAAGTTGAGAACCTTCATCTTAAAAACGCCCTGACCCTCTCGTTGACTTCTGGGCAGTGAGGTATAAAACGACAAAAGCAATTCACTTTCACCTCACTTTGAATCGAGCTGTTACTCCAATATAAAAAACACTCGGAGACCTCACGCTTTATTTCCACAACATTCCCTCTCCCCCTCCTCTCTTTTTTTCTCTTTTTTTCAAAGACCTCCGCCTTCTTCCTTCGATCCCAACACTTCAACTATCGACCGCAATTCTGGAGACTTTTCGTTTGGAGATCACTTTTAACCTTTGAACAGCACCAACTCCAAACAGAATGGCGAGACAGTCTTCAAGAAGAAGTATTGTCGTTGCCGTTGATTTCGGGACCACCTATTCTGGTGTTGCATGGGCTCAAACGACAAATGTAAGTTATCTTCCTCTCTACAGTCCGAAATTTCTGACACCATTACAGCCAAGTGCCCAATATGCCATCAAGTAATGGCCACAAGGCTCTTCTGACTTTCACGATGGAATGACAAATGATAAAGTACCTACGGAAGTCGCCTACAAATACGGGCAATCAGGACCGGTATGTGTATGGGGGTCCCAGATTCTCGAAAGCATGCCGCGTACTCAATGGATCAAACTCGAACTCGATCCTGATCAAAAGCCTGGGATAAATTCAAGCCTTTCTTCTACTTACAGCGATTGTCGTTCTATTCCCACGTCCCACCATACGTCGCCAGAAGGAATCGTCACTGACTACCTCCGGTCTTTGCGAGAGCATACACTCAAAGTTCTGAAAAAACAAGTCGGTAAAGCCATTGAAAAAATGGCATTGGAATTTGTCATTACAGTTCCAGCAGTGTGGTCAGACAAGGCCAAAACGAAAACGCTTTCTTGCGCTGAAGAGGCAGGGTTTGGGGAAAGCGCGAAGATTCGCATTATTTCAGAGCCCGAAGCTGCTGCGATGCATACCCTACAAGCATCAAATCCCCATGGGCTGGATATTGGGGACACTATCGTTATATGTGATGCAGGCGGTGGGACCGTTGATCTTATAACCTTTTCAATCATTGAGTTTAAGCCCAATCTACGCCTCAAGGAGGAGGCACCAGGAACTGGGTCACTCTGCGGAAGTACTTTTCTGAACAGGCGGTTTGAGGAGTTTATAGAGGAACGGCTATCCTCCTGCCCTGGCTGGGGGCGTGACACGTTGGAACAAGCAGTCGATCGATTCGAGACCGTCGCGAAAAGAACCTGCACTGGAAACCCAGACGATGACTTCATGTTTCCAGTCCCCGGAATTCTGGATAACAAAGAGAATGGAGTTTGTCGGGGTCGGTTTCATGTGACTGGACGTGAAATGAAGGGCATTTTTTTGCCGGTTCTTCGGGATGTCCATAACCTCGTAGAGGATCAAATCCAGAAATCTAAGAAACAGGTGAAGGCTGTTTTTCTGGTCGGTGGTTTTGGGCAAAGCCCGTACCTTCGCAAATATCTCCGCGATTGGTTTCCTGATATCGAGATTTTGGTTCCAGTTGACGGTTGGACTGCTGTGGTTAGAGGAGCCCTAACCAAAGCAATTGGGGACATCTCTACTCTAGCACCCCAAGCCTCGGTCGAGTCACGGGTGGCTAGAAAGAACTACGGAATGCTGAAATCCACCAAGTTTATCGATGAACTACATGACGAGAGAAAGAAGTGAGCAACGCATCTTTACTTTCATATACTAGGTCTAATGCATCTGCCAGGTATTGGGATTATTTCAGCGGCGAATACAGCATTGATGTGATGGATTGGTTCATTCAGAAGGTTCAGGCATTCGACTTCATAGCATAAAATATTAAACCGTCGCTTACAATTCCCAGGGAGATGCAATCAAAGAAGCAGAGGCTATTGAAACAAGATGGTTGCGGAATCAGCGTACGAGAAGCGGCACTTTTGATTCTATCAGTGTCACCATCTATGAGCTGGATACTCCACTGGGTGAAAGTGCGCCTCTGTACTTCAATCGCCGTGAGTATCTCACAATAGAATGATAGGAGGAAAAGCTAATAGGAAGCTCTCAGGCATGAAGCAGCACGCCTTTTTGAACCCGAGCCTGGGCGTAATTCAAAAGGCTCGCATCCCAATTTGTCTCGGTAAAGACGGCAAGAATTACAATCAAATTCATTTCCAAATCCATGCAGCATATTTCTCTGCCCATTGCGAATACACACTTTGGTACGAAGGCAAGAACCATGGCAGCGTGAAAGTCGACTACGTGTGATATCCTTATCTTATGATCTTTTCGGTCTGCGGTGGTTTCCTTTCAATGCCGTTTCCACTCATTGCGTTTTTTTGGAAAAGGCTTTTATGATCTTGAATTTTGGTTTAGTGGCAGATAGTTTCAATTAGATATTGCGTTTTCTTTTGCCAATGCAATCGAGCTATACCTACCAAGAAACCAGTAGATGTATATGATGCCCATCGTATGATAGATCCAAAATAAATTGTAGATGAATATAATTCAGTATAAATGAAACTTCTTGAAAATATTTTCATATTGAAACTTTCTATTTCCTGAGAACTCGATGAGATGTGGTTGTATAGACCACGTGACTTCTCACACCAGCCACACACTGCGCCACAGCCTTCGCCGCGCCGAACAAATCCACAACGGACTTTCGTTGAAATCCAGAAAGAAATTCAGCAGCATTTCGCCCGATCCGCACAGCATACACCATGTCCAAGCTAGCCAAGTGAGTCAACTCCAAAATCAAAATCGCCGCTGAAGATATTCTAACCAAAATATTTTATTTTCCAGCCGCGCCGCCGACTGGGCCGACGACGAGGAGTTCGATGACCCCTCCGCGCTCCCCGCGCAACAAGTCACAACCAACAAAGATGGCACCAAGACAGTGATTTCCTACCGCTTCAACGACGAAGGCAAGAAAGTCAAGGTCACCCGCCGGATCAAGACCACGGTCGTTCGCGAGCATGTCAACCCCCAGGTCGCCGAGAGACGGTCGTGGGCCAAGTTTGGTCTCGAGAAGGGCCACGCTGCCGGCCCCTCGTTCGACACCACCTCCGTGGGTGAGAACATTGTTTTCCGACCCAGCGTGAACTGGAAGGCGCAGGCCAAGGAGGCCGAGAAGGATGGTGGCGAAAAGGGCAGCATGAAGGACCAGCTCAAGGACAAGAAGGTCAAGTGTCGTATTTGCAGCGGAGAGCACTTTACTGCTCGTTGTCCGTTCAAGGACACCATGGCTCCTGTCGACGAGGGCGGAGCCGCTGCCGAAGGAGGCGCCGAGGAGCCCGCTGCTGGAGGTCTTGGTACTGGCACCTCCAGCTACGTGCCTCCTCATCTACGAAAGGGTGCTGCAAGCGGTGGTGAGAGAATGGGTGGCAAGTACGAGAAGGACGACCTGGCTACTCTGAGAGTTACAAACGTAAGTGTTGCTGCCTGTTGTTCTAAAATATTTCTATATATATATGACCTATGGCTGACGCAATTTTTTTTTTCTCCACGACAGGTGAGCGAGTTGGCCGAAGAGCAAGAGCTGCGGGATTTGTTCGAGCGTTTCGGTCGTGTCACCAGAGTCTTCTTGGCCAGAGACAGAGAAACCCAGAGAGCCAAGGGATTCGCATTCATCAGCTTCGCAGACCGGGACGACGCTGCGCGTGCTTGCGAGAAAGTGGATGGCTGTATGTTTCTCTCCCAATCCGTGGCCCAATTACAACCAAAGAATGCTAACACACTTGTCTCTCTTTCTAGTCGGTTACCGCCACCTTATTCTCCGCGTCGAGTTCGCAAAGAGAACCACTTAAAAAATATTTCCTTTGCTTCTTTAGTCTTTTTCTTACGGCACGACACTTTGGATTCTTTTCTTTTCGTCAGGCGGGCTTAAAAAACTAAACTCACGGCTGAGGATCTTTTCTTTGTATTGTATGATCTGATCGATAATGATGATTCTTGAAGACATCCAACGTGTCATTTATTTTTCCTTTTGCGTTGAGTTCATACGGAGAAAAGCAGCGGTTTAGAGGTCTATATTATTATTTGCTTCTCATGTCTATAGTCTAGATTCTTCCTAAAAAAACAAAAAGCCTATCACGACTTCTGATTTGGTCTCTATAATGCATACGCACCCGAAGAGTATCGACGATAGGGTATAGAAAGTCGTCGATCCGAAACAAGGTCAAAGGACGACCATTGAAATAGTCGTTGAGGGGGTGCATGAAGGCCACCCACCACAACAGGACCTACACCACCACACCCGTAACAGTATCAAGCGACGCTGAGCGCATTTGCCGCCCGGGAAATCAGAAGCCGGGAAAGCCAAGACTAGAGTCCTTGATTTTGTTCTGGATACTTCAGCTTCATTTGGATCTAGTCATAGAAGGCATTGTAGCATAGCCCCCTTCCCCTATGTCGAAACCCGATACGAAAACAGCAAGAGGAAAGAAGACAGGCAAACATGTTGTCGGCATATTTGACGTGTTCTTCTCGAACCTGGATAGATGGATTCCGGAAGCCCCTTCTCCCCTTGAACAAAATCATGATATGGGCTACTGCATAATCGTCCGATACGATCAGAAGAGAGGGAAAGGGTACTCCAGTAAAATGATGGCAATATACATTGTACCATCCTGGTTGGGGGGGAATGGGGAGGGGAGGCTGGAGGCAGATTTCTCTTCGCAATTGATATGAAAGGGTAGCATGTGGAATTGAGGTTTCGTCTGAGAGGGGCCATGGAGAGAAATGAATCAAGCAGCTTTGGGACTAGTCACCTTCATATTAGCCAGCAGAAGTCAGTAAAGACCCGATAACTTCGTTTCGCCCATAACGGTTATGGAATCCAGTACACGGTCGGGAGAGCATGTGAGAGGCATTCCTGAGCATAAGCTCCAGTTGCATTGCAGGTGACAACGGGCAATAAGGTTTTTCGACAAGGCTTTCTTGTACCATATCGTGAACCGGACCAAATCCCAGAGACTGGACAGTGGACAGTGGGCCTCTCAAGCCGTTGAGCAGATTTCTGAGCTCTTTCCATGCACATACATACATGGTTACTCAAACACGGTCTGGACTGATTAGGTCTGTTCACTCGCCCACGAAGGCAAGTTCTGGCTCCTATCCCGGGAAGAATCACAGCGATCCAATAGATGGCTCTCAGGCGCTCATTTGGTGCTTTGATCAACGCCCAGAAGAGAATTCGATCCACACGCATCTTGTTGTTTCAGTCCATCCAAGTAAGTCTTGATTGCTGCTCCAATGATGGCTTTCTGGCTCCCTTTTGGTTCTTATTCGCCCCCATCGGGAGTGTTCCGCCCCTTCCCCCCATTGTCTTATCACTGTATTGGTGCATGTCTTGACTGAGATTACTGGAAGGTAAATCTCAAAGCGAAATCTGGAAATTAAAACCTGTCAGAGATCATCAAGACCGTAAGCTTACGTTATCGGTCGGCCTCAGCACCACCCACCGCAAAGTCTGAAATGGACATATCTTGTCTTAATCCACTCAATGGAGACTCAATGGTTATGGGAATTAAGTTCCATAGTAGATATATCCCAGTCCAATCATCAGCTATAGCCATCATGGCATTGACATATGGATGCTGTACGAGTTGCCCACAGAATCACGGGGGTTAGCAGGTGCAGGTGATCGGATCAGAGGCAGCCACGAGGGCAGGAATCGTGTAGCCCAACATTCCCTGTATCATATGCAAAGCACATGGGAGATTTCAGTTGCCGTTAGTAGAGATAGATGTCTCTATATACCGATCGGAAGCTTCAACAAAAGTCGGTTCGGGTGTACTTGTTGCAATCGCGGTGTTTATCCTGGACATACAGTCCTGTGTGGCTCTCTGCAAACTCAAGGCAGAGAAATGTTTAACGACTGTTAAAAACTGAAGTTCCCCAATTAGTAAGAATAACACTCAGTCACAGGGCGAATACTGCAGCAAGGACATGGCTGGAGCAATTCACCGATGCAGCGCCTCTAGATACCAACCACGTTTGGTAATCTCCAGTCAGACACCATCTGAAGCGGGGTAAACGCAGGGAAGTTCCATGACCTTGCAGTCTGATACTTGGTCGGGCGGCTTTCAACCCCTTTTCGGGGCATAGTAGTAGAAGTTCCTTGCCCCTAGTCTAAGAGCACTTGTTCTCTTGATCGGCCAGTCAGGGCCTGGTCGGGTGCCGGCAACAGAACGACTAGTTGTAGATCCAAATCCACGCAACTGACCGAAGCTCTAGAACAACATACATGTCTCTCTTGCGGCCATGCCAAGGATCGCACTAGATGTCAATCGTAATTTAGAAATCCATACACAGTGTAAAGATCCCGGAAACTTTAACCGACTGTTCTGGGCTTCTGGTGATATCAGAACTTTGAAAGTTGATTTATTAAGAGAATTTGCTGCCCCTGTCAGGGGAAGAAATTCTGCCATCCTTCGACGGCTAGGTGCAGCATTGAGAATACGATTATCATCTCTGACTCTTGGCCTGCTTGGAGAAGATGGCTCCTTAGCGGTTGTACAAACCACCGTTAACGGGGGTAAACAACACGAGAAGGTTATGACCGCGTTGTGCACGGGACAGCCGCACGAGTCGATCCGGAATACTCCATGGTTTCCAAGAGGCCACGGTTATTAATAATAAGGTGCGAGAGCATCATCCAACGGTCCACTGGGGTGGTGATTGGAAACCGAGCACATTCCCACAAGGGTAAACGGACAAAACAAAGTGGAGTATAGTTTCATCTGTCGAGGACGACAAGGTATGTACCGCTGTAACTTAATCCATGGTCCTTTTGCCAAAGAGGATATAATTAGCACTGCTCCATGGTAGGCAAAAGGTACATAAATAATGATAAACAATGACCCCATGTAGCCCATCTATTGAGACCAGGATGTTGGTACCTGCAGTAAGCCTGAGACCTAAGAGAATAATGACCGAGACTCCATGCAAGCGTAGGATTTGCGAGAATTTCCGAGACACCCATGCGATTGTATTATGGGCGGGAGGGCAATGAAAGCTTGTTTCTCATTTCAACCACGAACCAGTCACGGTAATTTCGTCTCAGTAGCAATAAGCAGAACCTTGATTGATTTCTTCGCGATGACTGTCTTGACTGGATGTGTGGGTGGTTGTTGATGATATTATGCTGGGGCGTGTCGCTAGTCTTGCAGTGACAAGCGGGGGCACGTGCCCCATTCAACCGGATTTGGAATAATGAGTCTGTTGCTCTTAGCGGAAGATCCTCAATCTTCTTCTTTTCTCTCTGACTTGACTTGGTCTTCGTCATCACCATCACCATCGCCATCATCATCGTCATTATCATCGCCTTTGAAGAATCTGGCATCTGTTAGGAGTCATGCTGATTAACGTTCTTCACATTCGCCATTTCCCATTCGCGGGTGGTCAATCCAGTCTCTGGCCTGCAATGCAACCTCTCCCCCCACCACTACACCCACCCCCCTGTGCAATGTTACGGCGGGATTTGTGCTGTAGCCCGCGGGCATGTCCTGCATGACATCGCTCCGTCAATTTCAGGCGTTCCATCGACTGGTCCCAAATGGATCGAAAAACTTTCTTTTTTTTTTCTTTTTTTCTTTTTTTCTTTTTCTCTTCCTTTTCTTTTTTTGACTTTTACCAATCATGAACCCTGGTCTTGTTCCAGCATGGTGCATATCACATCTAGGCCAACTAGCCTGCTGCATGATTAACGACGATCATCCAACCATAACACGATGATCGTTCAAAAGGAGATTGTGAGAACCAGCCCTGGATGGAGGGATCCACTTATGGATGGCAAGAGTCCAGAGCCTAGAATGCTTGAATATTACTAGTTTATCGACCACAGTACGGATTGCCATCTCCGATTTGGCAAGAGCCTAAGAGGTTCTTTGTCTTGTCCCACCCACTATAGCTGTGGACCAGAGAAGCGAGGTCGATTCTGGAAAATATGCAAGAATATGCTGTGTATTTCCTGTGCACATACTGTAACAACAATACACAGTACATACATCCATACATACACTCGCCCTACACCAAGACTCCACCTATTCAAACCGCCGAGGTATGACTGTGGGGGCTGTTTACCCGGGGTGTTCTCAGACTCACTGCCCCCAAGTGACTTCATTGTCGGAGCCGATAGCAGTGAGGTTTTCCTACTAAGAAAAGGCTCATCGTCAGTGGTTGCCCTCCCTCCATGCAACTCTTTCAGCTTTGTCGGTGAGCAGGAAAGCAGCTTAGTTTTTCGCGGCTGTTGAATCGAGGCTTGTCGATCGCCTGATCTTTGATTCATGCAAGAACCATACTGCTCGTGCCTCGAGCGCCCGACAGGTTCTCTGGGCCGACCTAAGATGCGTCACATCTCTAGAACAAAAATTCTTTTTCTGGATGCCGCATACCTTGTCTAGTCCATTGCATAGACTGTTATTCCATGTTCTGTGCAGCCATTGGTCAACTATCTGCTGCCCCAGTAGTTTCGACAGCCTCCCATCATGCGACTGGGGTCTGCACAGGGTTCCCGGGTGGGTATTTGATCGTCATCAACTAACTTGTTTAGCGCCATCTTATTTGGGTTTACTGCACAGTCCCGTTTACCGATTGTTAATGCTGGGACAGCTGACTTCATCGGTAAATGTGGTTCTGTATAGAACAATCCACCTATTATCGGCAATTGGTTTGTGACAGTATTCGGGATCTCCTATTTGCCTGGAATCATTCGAAAGAGTCCGTGCAGATTTCTTGGTCTGTCTGAACTGGGCTGGGAATGTAACATCGAGCTCGACCAATACAGTGTCTTTCTAAATCTCTAACGCCCTGGTTTTCTTGCCATATGGGATGATGCAACAGTACATACACACATCCTATCAAACCGCATACGCTACTTGACTCCATTCAGGACGGTGACAAAAAAAAAAAAAAAAGGCAACGGTCCTAATGATCCGGGGGTCTTATGGTTGGACCCCTTTCTGCTGCTGCCACCCACTGTAGTCCTTCCTTGTACACCCAATTTCATGGTCTTGACATGATCTAATTTCGCAAACTGCTCGTGGCAAGAAGAGTGATACTTGTTTCCCAAGTCCAAACCGGCAACATGGAGCCGTCAAGGCCTGTGCACTTCAAGTCCTGCAGACACTTCCGCATGCCTGGAGCCTACCAAGAGTCTTTCATTGGATGTAAAACAACCCAGTTTAGAAGCGGATGGAGAAACAACAGGCAGTGATGGAGTCTGTGTGTTCCGCTGTTTGTGGATGAGAAAGGGAAGAAAGGGAAAAAAAAAAAAAAAAACAAAACAAAACAAAACGACAAGACAACCAAATCGGTAAGATGACAGCACAAGGGGTTTTGCCATTCGATCTGGGATCAAATATCAATCGACCGAATCCCTCAGCGCATTTAGCCAACTCAAGAGCTGCCATTCTCGGACATTGCTTGTTTGTCATTTCTTCTCAAAGAAACCCGACAGGATTCGAACGTCTGCCAAAAGATTGTCCAGGATCTGCTGGACTGGACCAACCCGACCAAAGGCAAGAAAGCCAACAGTTAGATGAAATAAAAAGGGCTGGCCGTCATCCGCTTGACGTGGAAAGGGAGAAATACCTATATGCTTGCAGCTTACTCGGTGGAATCTGCAGTGGTTGATGCAAGATACTGCTTCGTGCTGCTGTCTTCTACCATTCTGTTATTGATCTGCCTTTGACATTAGTAAGTCCCATTACTCTTTCTTGCTTTCTTTTTTTTTTGAATTGTTCTGTCATTGTATCTTACTTTCCTGTTACCACTTCCTTCCTTCCAAGCCCAATCCTTTATACTTCTGAAGATGAGCCTTCTGTATGCACGAGAATTTCACGGGATCACTGTATACCTGTTAGGCATACTAAATTATACCATCATCACAAATTCCCTGTGATTAGCCTCTTTGATTGATATATTTACTTCTGACGATCAGATCACTCTTGTTGATTTTTTCCTGTTTACTTCACTGCAACGCCGAGAACAGAAACACACCATAAATCCATTGTGGAACGTGCCATGTTTTCTTTTTCCTCCTTTGATTTCTCACTTGTCTTTGCTTTTCTTTCTGGCTATTTTCTACCCCCAACGATCTCGGCTCTCTAATCTGATCTTTTCTTCAAATACCTTTGCTGCCTCAGTCCAAATTCCTCAGTGACAACTGAAGCACACGACTCTTGCCAAATCCTTGACCCGATTACCTGACAAGCCCTCCCAGATACCTATCGCTACTTTTCCCCCTCGTCGCTTTGTTTGCCTTTGTGGTCGCTTTTAATCGAGAGACTAGCCAGTTCCACTTCTGGCCAGGCTGAACTGTGCTTGGAGAGTGAGCTTTGTTGTTCGAGTACAAGGAGCTCTCAAGACTCTGGGGAGAGATCTATCACCCCCAAATCTACTTCCCGGCCCGTGAAGTTCAAGGATCCGATGAGAGGATCGTCCACGCATCTGTCACTGGCATCGTCACTACTCTAATCAGCGTCTGGCCGATACCGTCGACAGTCTAGTGCTGGTTGTGTCGCCTTAGCGCCCATTCTATTGGATTTATCAAATAGGGCCTGAAGGCGCCCAATCGTGTTCCTCGAGAGGGAAAAAAAGAAAATAAAGGCATTCCGTTTGTTTGCAGGTCAGCTTTCCAAATGAATCACTGTAAGTCTGATTTATTTTATTTTGTTGTTTTATTGACAGTCTATTGCTGTTGTTGGTGTTTTTTTTTTTTTTTTTTCTTCGTTTTCCCTTTCATGATGCAGCTTCGGAGCCGACTTGCGCCCTCGTGTCCCAGCAGCAGCAACTTTATGACGGGCGATCTACATGATGTGACGTTTGATTATTTCCATTCCACTGGGAATCCCAACTATCTTCCTTTGTTACACAGTCCCCCAAGATCTCCATCGTGCTGTGTCAAAATGGCATCGAATATTAAGGCACCCTTGGCTGACAGGGGGCTGTTGGATTTCGGGACTGCGAGGGCGCGATACTTCTTTGTGTCTTTGTCTGCTGTTTTCATGCTTTCATGTTACTCGTTTTCTTTTCTTTTTCTTCTCTTTATTTTCTTTTTTCGCCTTTCCCTTCTTGATTTGTCCCTATTTCTAATTAGTTTTTACTTTTTATTTTTCCTGTCTCGGATCGCCCTTTTTTCTTCTTTTTCTTCTTCCCTTATTCTAACCAAGATTCCTTCTCTTCCCTAGCGACAATTTTGCAGAATTCCTTCCTAGAATGTCCGGTTACCACCGACAGTGATTATACCGGAGCACAACGGCCGTTCTCAGGTCCAGCCGGCTTTTCTATGGATGAGGAGGAGGGAAACCGGAGAGTTGGTGGCCTGGGTCATCCTTTGGCTCAGCCGGCTTCGATATCGACCGCCACCAACGGCCTGAGGTACAACACACAGCCGCCTGCGATGCAGGATGTACCGTAAGTTGTCCCTTTCAATTCGGGCTGTCCTGTTACTTCTGCTGCTGGTGCTGCTCCACTTGGCCCGCTGGCAGCCACTAGTCACATCACTCCCTTCTGGTCCCGGGCAGGTTGATTTGTCTGTTGTTTTGTTATTTCATTGTCAATACCAAACCACTGCAGTGCATGCGCTTAGCTCTTACTTCCTGGGCTTTCCATTGGGGATCTCAGCATGGCCTTGCAGTTGCCGACCATACATAGGTCTTGCCTCAATTTCATTATACATATTACTGCTGTTTCATGATGCATTGGAAATCATCTGATCTACATGTCTATTTTTTTGCCCTGTCCAGCCCAACCAAGATTTTATTCGTTGTATATTTTCTTCTTCCTACTGAGCCTGACTTGCTGACCTGGACTGGCCTTTTTCAGCTTCGCGACTTCTCCCAATGTCCTGATGAGCCCTGCTGATTCATGCTCTGGTTCGTCCCGCTTCACCCTACTTCGAGGCTCAGCCTCGTTAATTCATGGCGTTGTTTTGTTTGCTAACTTGTTTCCCAAATAATTGGAACGGTCTTCATCAGAGCCTTTTTCTCCAGCATCAGGTTCTTTATACTCGCATTCTCCAGTTCTGCCTTACGATCGGATGTCAGATTTTAGAGCTCATCGAGTACCTCCTATGTAAGTTCTTCTTCTTTTTTTCCTCTCCTTTTTCATCCTCTTCTTCCTCTGCGAATAGCGCCTGACGATACATTGGTGCGATCGATTCAGACAACCCCCTTCCGGCATGTCGCCTACTATGCAGTCCCAGGGCACGAGCGTTGCTGGCAGTTCTGGCATGATGGGTAGGGGAGATAGCTGCCCAGGAGCATACACACTCCATCGAGGTACTTTTCCGTCGTTATCAGGCCTGAACGACATGTCGAGAATGTCTACATATACAAGCACGCCACGAGCGCTCGATAGCACTATTGATCGGTCTCAAAGTATGATGTTTGGACAATCCGGGAACATTTTGATGGAACCTGTGCAGCGTCTATCTCAACCGATGACAGATGCCCCTCCCTTCCACGAGACAGATATCATTCACCCCGTCTTTGCGGGCAGTATTTCGGGACAGGCTATCAAACCTGAAATCCAAGCGAAAATACACAAGGGCTTTTTTCAAGTCGACGACAAGTGGACCTGCTACCGACGCAATTACTTTTCTGTCTCGTGCTCGTTTTCGTTGCATCCTTGGACGAATACTCCCCTATTCCTCAAATTCACAGACCACCCCGCTGGCGATCGCATTCGGGCATTTTCCATGTCAATTTCAGCAATAGTGAACTCGCAATTTGCAGAGCCCCGAGAGTTGGTTCAACACACCCCAAAACGCGACAAACAGTCGGAGTCGAAGCCAAAGAAAGTTGTCTTGCAGCCTTGCCAGCCACCACCATTAATGCTGGGTCATGGTTCAGCATCCAACGGCAACCATGGGTTCCCATTGGCTTCACAATCTGCAGGCATGCCAATGGACTACCATTCATCTTTCAGCAGCACGGCCCAGGCTTCACAGCCCCCCACTCAGTACACATTCGAGCGGATTCAGTTCCAGAAGGCAACGGCAAACAATGGAAAGCGCCGGGCCCAGCAGCAATATTATAACCTCGTTGTCGAGCTCTACGCAGATATTACGCCGGTTGGTAGCAGCGAACAACGGTTAGTGAAGATAGCGAGACGGTTGTCACACCCAATGGTTGTCCGTGGCCGTTCTCCAGGGCACTACAAAGATGGTCGGAGAGACAGCTCAACCAGCATGGGCCCCGACAGCGGAAGTGGTGGCTCTGGGGATAGCAGCGGGGGGGCTGTCTTACCTCCAGGTATTGGACACGCCTCGCGCCCTCACCTAGGTCTCATGTCCTACGATCACTCCCAACGTGGGGGTGCGCACTATGGTCGACCGGACTACCATCAGATGGCGACGGCAGATCACTCTCCATTAAGCGACAGCCCGCATGTATCCTCGTCGTCTTCCTCTGCCTTTGATATTGGCATGCTGGACGACTCCATGGACCCAATGAATACTATGAAATGCACGAGCAGCATGGGGTCCTATCCTGACTCCACGTATGCAATCACGTCTCCGGGCCACAGGAAGACCGAAGGTCCATTCCGCCATCATTTGCCACCTTTTGAGTACGACACGCTTTCCAAGGGGAGTGACGATTCTGGGAATAGCTATCCTGACTCGTTTGATTCAATGGTCTCGATGCTTCCAAGCGACCAAAATGATCACTCTCTTTTCCTGAAGCACCCACGGATGACACTCCATCATTCCAGCACAACTGGATACGACCCTTTTTACCCAAGTCGACCAAGTGACCCTGGCCCCTACGGTCGGTTCGACCCCGTTCAACACTCACACGGGTTGGTCGCTTAGAGTCTATCGCCTACACTTCTATTCTATTGCCCCATGACTCCATACGTTCATTTTCTTTGTCTCATTTTTATCATTCTTTTTTTTAACATTTTTATTTATTCTTCCCCATTAGAATTTCTTTCCCTTTTCTTTTTCTTTTTTGCGGTGAATGGGTTTGGTTCTAGCGAGTGACACTGTATGCACGAGTCCTACGTTTCTTCTTTCTTTTGTCTTTTTCTTTTTCTTTTTTCTTTTCAGAAAGAATTGGTCAAAATTGGCAATTTCCTTTTTTACTTCCTTTCTATTTTCTATTTTCTTTTTTTTACCCCCCTTGTCTATGCAGGCTAGACAGGCCAGGCAATAGTTCTATTGATCACCAGGATGTGTTCAAGCTGAAAATATTGCATGAATATGCTTCTCCACTTTGTGATCTGGTCTTTTTGTTCTTCTGTTCTATCTGTTATTTGTTTTTTTAGCCCATCCTCCTTATTTACTCCGTGTCCCTTGTTTTTTTTTTTTTTTTTTTTTTTTTTTTTTTTTAATTCCAGTCATCTCCTCAGGAAGGATACATTATGAGAGAATTTTTTATTTTGCAAAGTCCAGTTATGTATGGGAGTAAATGTTTAGAGATTTGTCAACAGGACACTGATTGGGCCATATCCTCAATGCAGACGCAGAGTGGATGGGCGCAGTACTACAAGGTGCAGAGAAGCAGGGGAAAAAAAAGCAAAAGAAGACCCAGAGAGAAAGGAAAAGAAAGGAAATCAGTTCCAAATGAATGAATAAAATGGATAAATGATGCTATCATCTATTTGTTTAGTTATTATTGGCTTGGGCTGTCTCCCAACTTGCTGTTTATTTCTCCGAATATTGAATAATTGGCTTCTATACCCGCTGTCAATGGATTGTCAACAAAACGACCCCCAAAAGGGCAACGGGGCACTTTCCGATTCCATCTTATCGAATGAAAGATCAAAAAGAGCAGGAAGAGTCTGAGAGAGCAAGGAAAATCCGAAAATCTGCAACTATGTAAACTAAACACCACCCCCCTCCCCATCGAGGCCCATCAACCGATCCTCAAAACCCACTCTGATCCCGTGTTGGTTCAAACTTGTTGAGCCTAGAGCGACTTGAAGACTTGCCTTACTCCGTAATGATAATCGCGCACGAAAGAGAAAGAAACACTGGATCTCAGCGCCAGGGCTGAATGACGAGGATCGACGACAGGCCAAGTGGAGATCATCAGCCGCACCCCTTCGGAAATCGGAACTTCGGGGCTTACACTGGTCACTGGGTGTGGGACTGGGTATCGTTTTTGCTCACCTCCTTTTTGCTTTGCTTGTTAGCTTTTTCTTTTCTTTTCTTTTCTTTTTTTTTTTTTTTTTCTTTTTGTGTGTTTTTCGTTTGTTTGTCCTTTTTAGTTCGCCTCGCTCTGGGTCTATGACTAGGTAGCTAACTAGGTATCGATCGATCTTTATTTGTCTTTCTTTGTTGTCAAGTGGGCTACTAGTTCGGGGCTGGCTGAAGATCGAATCCTCACCGCCGTATTCGTACTTTGGATCTTCTAAGCATTCATTCACTATTTCATCAGGCTACATGCATACATACATACATACATACATAATATATTACGGAATGACCTTTCAGAATGCAGACAATGACATTTCTTGATGAACACTGAGTAGATTCGATCATAACTAGACAGTAGATTGGAGAATGGAGATGACTCAGCATGATCCACACTCGGCAAGATCCGATCGCCATCGGCGATCCTTCCAGATTGGGATGTATGTGTATGAACTGTGTATGTAATGGTGTATTTCGCTTATAAAACATACATACAGATTACTTACTAGGTATGATTCAGCAGAATGCAGACCAAATAGTCCAAGAAGAAGAAAAAAAATATAGCTTCTCAGATTGCTCTTGGAGTGGAATGAGAAAAGAGAGGAAGAAGAGAGAGAAATGTGCAGTAAAAAGAACAGCGCATCCATACCCAAATAGGACCGGCATGCTTGGAGAGACAAAAATCCCAGTCCTTCCTGAAAAGTTGAGTCTTCACTTATGCAGGTAGTACAAGGGAGGGGAGCAGGATATACATGCATCGTCCCTTTGGTCATAATGACGACTCAGAAATTTTAGCCAGCCAACGAGGTTTCAATGGGTGTATGTCAAGGATGGTAGCCCTTGCAACCGTTGCATCTGATAATCCCAGCTCGAGGTTTCACGGCAGGCAGGCAACCATAGCGATGGATAAACGCGGGTCTATCGAGGTTCAAGGCAAGATTGGGTTTGGATTCATAAAACTACCAGAGATAGCGCGAGTTATCAAGAGCAGACCCATTGCGTAGATTCAAAGATTGTGTCGGCACTGGCTGGAAATTTCCTCAGAATTTCTCATCCTTTCGCATTAACCTCACATGCTGTCGTGTTCTTTCCTTTCTCTTGTCGGTACAGCCAGAGAAGCATTTTCAACGTTGTGGACCAGACTGACTGACTGATGGATAACGGCCCATCCTCGGGAAACCATTCTTGTGTACTCCGTGTTGCGATTCCAGTCTGTCCCCTGTCCATTTTGGAAACAGATCCCTCATGTACAGGCCTTGAATACTGACTTTCCATACAGACCCCGGTATCCCGAAACCCCCACGTCTCCATCCTGACATGTCGTGCGTCGAAGAATGCTTCTGTTTCACGAAACGGCTCGAGAGCGTTTTTGTGTATATGTGCCACCCGACCCAACTCCTGACATTGCCACACCATGCCAAGAGAAGAAAAAATAAAAATAACAATAAAAAGGGAAAAGAAAAGGGAAAAAACATGGAACCTATGACGGTTCCGCCAAAAATCTTTTTTTCTCGAGATTCCTTCCTGGTCTCCACGACTGCAGTGTCTCCTTCCGTTTAGAGTTCTATCATCCAGTGATTCATACCGGTCATCGCCTTGTCGAGAAATGCGGAAGTCGGAATAGTCACAAGGACAATGAAGACAAGGCAGCAAATAATAAACTACCAGCACTGTCCGTTCTAACCCGATCTGTCTGTCCGCCATATGTACAGCACAGTACATACAGGGGAGGAGGGAAGGGCGTAGAAAACAGGTGGAAGCAGTGCGTATAACAGCATTTCGTACTGCCTATACGGAGTAAAGCCTGTACTTTTGTACGTACCGCCAGCCAGTCTCAATGCCAATGCATCCAGCTCAATCCAATCGAATTTCAATTCCCCTCCTTGTCAACCCTGGAGACGCGGATCGCCATTTTACGGTCCAATTCTTCCTGTTGTTCTTTTGTCGCTGCCATACCCAATGCACCTTCTACTTGCGGCGAGGTCCAAAGCCCGACAGATGCCCAGGCCATGAGACCGATTCCGAAGAGGACTCTCGTTTTCGGCGCGAGGGAGCGGTAGGTGCTGTTGGTTGGGTTAGCTAAGTGTCTTATCCCAAAAGTTGGGTAGCTTTCTATGAACTTACCTCCAGAAAGACATGGTTGTTTTCCAAAAAAAAGTATTTTTCCTCCTCAAATTTCAGGGGACGACAAGTTGGTGGAAGAAAAGAATGATGCGGTCGTTTTTGAGGCCGAATCGCCGGATAACCTCGTCTTGGCGGTTAATCCTACTAGACCTGGAACGGTTAGTCAGGTACACTCCTGCCTCAGGCAAGCATCGTCTACTACCATCACTCCATTAGGTTCACTTGATTATACTAAAGATGCAAGTAATAAAAATAAATACTCATCCCAGTTCGTTATTCTCTCTAATCGTGACATGAGACTAGATAGCATGTAGTACTGACAAAACAGGGAATTCAATAGCTGCTAACAAAACAAACACATACAGGCAATTAAAACACGGCCAAATGCCAAAATCAACAAGGCCAGCGTCCAAATATCAGAATAAAACAATGGGGTTTTCAGCGGAATATCACTTTGCAAATCAATCAACTAAATTAAGGCATTTGCTCATTTCTTGCCGTAGGCACGGTCGACGTCCTGCTGGTGCTTGGTGACAATCTTCTTGCGCTGCAGCTTCTGAGCAGCAGTCATGTAGCCCTGGTCGATTAATGTCAGTTTCTAAGAGCTTCAAGGGGGAATATCAGGGAACTTTACATTTTGAGGAGTCCATTCCTCATCAGACATCACGACACCCTTCACAAGCTCAATGCCCTTAAGACCGCCGGCCTTTCCGGCAGCTGTGAGCTGTGTCAGAACAATGGACTTGAGGTCCTCGTTGTGGACAAGCTGCTCAAGGGTGTCGCCCTTGATGCCATTCTCGCTAGCCAGCTTCTTCAAAGCAGGCTCAGCGGGCACAATGATGGCAATCGGCTTGTCCTGGTCCTGGGCAGCATAGACGCAGATGTTTCCAACAACGGGGGAGGAGCGGTAGACCGACTCGAGCTTCTCCAGGGCAATGTACTCGCCGTTGAGAGTCTTGACAAGGTTCTTCTTGCGGTCGATGATCTTCAAGTGTCCGTACTTGTCGAATTCACCAATGTCACCAGTCATGAACCAGCCACCCTCGGCGAATGCGCCCTTGGTTTCTTCTTCGTTGTCCCAGTAGTAAGAGCTGACACTGCCACCACGGATGAAGATCTCACCCTGTGGGGGGTTGTTTTTCGCCAGGTATCCAGCATCGGGGAAGTCGACCAGCTTGACCTCGACCGAGGCTGGGATTTCACCGAGCGCATCCGGGTTCCAGGCCATCGGATCGTTCAGGGCACCCATGGCTGCGGTCTCAGTCAACCCATAGCCGCTAATCATTGGCGCAATGGCCATGGACAAGAATTTCTGGGTTTCCTTGGAAATCGGACCACCACCGTTCATCACAATACGCAGCCGGCCACCAGTGGCCTCCTTCAACTTGCGGAAGACGACGGCATCCAGAATCGAAGCACCCATCTCGGCACCAGGGATTCCAGTTGCCATCAGGAAGTTCTTGGCGGACATGGCTCCCCAGAACAGGCCCTTCACCAAGAAGCTGGCCTTGTTTAGGTTGCTGAGCACACCCTTCTTCACTGTCTCCCAGACGGCGGGGACACCGACGAGAATAGTGGGCTGCAACTCGCGGATATCACCCTTGCAGTTGCGCATCGAACCTTCCGAAAGGGTTCGCGGGTTTCCGTAACCCATGGTACCACCCCAGAACAAACACAAGTTCTCGAACATGAACTCGAGGATATGCGCTTGGGGAAGGTATGTCAGCAAAGTATCGGATGGGCCGATGTACGGACCGACGATTTCATTGACACCCGCGGCTATTTCGCATTAGCTCAACCATTTCTACTGATACATAAGCGGCACAGTCGACTCACTTGCGGCAATGACGTTCTTGTGTGTCAAGGGCACACCCTTGGGGGGACCGGTGGATCCAGAGGTGTACATGATGCAGCAAAGATCCTCTGCTGATGGTGGCACAGGGTCCACAGGGTTCTCCTCGCCGAGCTTACGCAGGTCCTCGATGCTCATGATGTTGAGGTAGTCAAAGTCGGCCTTCAGCTTGTCCAGATCCGCCTGCTTGGGCTCCTGGTCGGTATTCCAGATGACGTGTTTGATCGACTTGACATCCTTCAGTACGTTACCGAGCGAACGGACGAGGCTGGGGTCGAGGAAAATGGCGGCACTGGAAGTTTGGACCAAGGAATGCTTCAAACCCTCTTCACCGAGAGTGTCGTACGCGGTGACGATAGTGAAAGACTGAGATGCAGCTCCTAATTCCCCCATAAGTCAGAAAACAAGAGATGTATTAAAGGTAGAAAACGCAACGAACCGTGTGACATGGCCAGCCAATGTGCACTAAATCATAAGTCAGCATTCCCTATTTCCCGACACCCAACAGCTCGTCGTAGCACACCCACCTCGTAGCACCATAAAGATGAATCTTGTTATCCTTCTCCAAGCCCAGCTTCCGCAAGCCACATCCCAGCTGGAGCGCAAGCGCCTCGTATTCGATGAAGCTCTTGAAGGTGTACCCGCTCATCTCAAAGTACGTCCACTGCTTGTCAACCTCCTGCTCGACACCATCCACAACCTTCTTGACCTTCTTGTTCTCGACATGGGTTTTGATCAAACGACGGCTACCGACAGCCTTGGAGTTGCCGAACATGCGAGCGGAGCGTCTGAAGTTATCGTAGGTGGTCGCGACATCCTCGGAGGGTCGCAGGATGAGCCCATCCTTGGACTTGGGCAAGCGACGAGGAATAGTCTCTCCCTCTACGGGTTCGCAGCCAGGGACCTCGACGGTGAACGGAGGCTTTTTGGACATGCGCGGTTGCAGGTGAATCTGTGACTTGGACATCTTGGATGGAAGGGGGCAAAGAAATCAGGCGCTAGAAACACTGTACAGGATTATACGAGCTAGAAGAAAGACAGATTGAGGTCGTAACTATTTGGAAAAACTAAATCAGTAGCTGCGCAAGGAAGGCCTCGGGGAGAGGAATGGTAAATAAAAAGGCGGCAAAGAGGCAAACAGCTAGCTTGCGGACGGAACAAAAGCTTCACCGAGGAACCTAGGAGCAGGGGTAGTCATAAAGAACGAGGGAAAGCATACAAGAAGAATTGTCCTCTGGGAAATGATGATCGGACGAGTCCAACGACGGAAAGGAGGAGAGGTGGAGAGCCGGAGAGGGGAAAAGGGAAGAGGAAGAGGAAGAGGGGAAGACGAGCTGAGCGACGAAGGGAAGCGCAAACGAAGCTGTAAGCAGCGGGAGCCGATGAAGTCAGTCTGTGGCTGGTTCCAGGGCGGCTCCAGCGAATGACGCAGCGATGTGGATATCTTCAGATGGGTGTTATTTTCTATGATATGTGTCTATTATACAGCAATATTGAAGTTAAACAGGAATAAAAATATGATAGACACTGATAGAATGCACCGTTGTCCATTGCCTCCACCGCTACCAACTCTACTGCAACATGGCCAACAGAGCACAACAGGTGCATCCAGAACCCAATTGCCGCGGCCCAAGCACCCAGATATCTTTAGAAGAACAAGATCAACAGCTCAAGAGTCAAGACTCAAGTCGACGATATTCGCTAGATAGTAGATACTATTTTGCCGACGAGTTCGCGGGATAAGCTCCGATCCGCAGCTGAAAAGAAAGTCAGTCTAGCAGTGTTTTTTTTGTTGGGAATTCCGCCCAACAAGGACTTGGTTCCTGATTTTTGAGGACATCGTATTTCTCTGAGTGTTCTGATACGTTCAAACAAATGTGATTTTTCTTCAGGAGAATGCCATTATTGGAATATAGCAGTAGAATAAGATGCAATAGTCGATGTTTTTCTGTCACAGTCAGAGTGCCAGTTCTGCTTGATGTACGCTGGGTCTCGTGATCTCCGTTTTTTTCTTTTTTTATCTTGTAGAATCACGAACCAATCATTTTACATCTTTCAATATCTTTGAATATCTTCACTTTCTTTACTTCAGTAAGGTCAACTATAATGGCCTAATCTATATTAACCAGCTAATCTATCCAGACTGTACATATATACCATCCCTAATAATGGACCTAACACCCTTTCTCACCTCCATTGGCCACGAAATCGACGATGTCGAAGAGGGTACGTCCAACGTTCCCAATAAACAGTATCATTTATAAATTAAAAAACACCAAGTAATAAATGAAATAATCTATAGAATCCTTCCTCCTCTTCACCCAAGACATCCCCTCTGGAAATCTGGGCTTCATCGACTCCCGCGCTGCATCCATCGATGCGACGATCCACGGACAAGATTACTCAATTCATCAATCGCCTACAGTTCTTTCTTCGTCGCGAGCTGGGGGGACAACGGGTGCTGGTATGTCTTTTCTTTCTCTCAATTTTCGTTCTTTTCTCTCGTCTCCACTGTCATGGCGTTCGCAACGGTGGGCCAGGATAGCTATCGGATATGAATCCCTTTAAGCCTCGGTTCTAATCCTTGTCTTTTCCATCTGATAATACCTACTGCCATAGTAACCAGAAATCCTATACCGAAGAAACTAACAAGAAAAACAGTCCTCTGGAAAATAACCCCCCTCTTCGCACAATGGATCTCAGCCCAACAGTCTAACCCGCTATGGACTCACTCCCTGCTATCATCAACCTCCACCGTCGTCGAACTAGGCTGTGGCATCTCACCCTTGACAGCGCTGGCTCTATCCCCGCTCGTCTCGCAGTTTATCGCAACAGACCAGGAATACGTTCAGAAGCTGTTTCGGTATAATCTTGACGCAAATGCAGGGGCTTCGGCTTCGGTGTCTTTGTCTAAGGGGAAGAAAGGGCGAGGGTCAGCGTCAGCGTCAGCGTCGAAGAAAAAGGGACAGAAAAAGGGAGGAGATGCTACGCCTACTTCTGTCTCTGGGTCAGAGGCAAACTCGAACTCGAACATCACCTTCACATCGTTAGATTGGGAATTAGACGCCCCGTCTACATTGAAAGATGCACTTACATCTTCACAAACGCCAGATGACGATCACGAAGAAGAAGAAGATAAAGGCTTCGACCTCATCATCTCCTGCGACTGCATCTACAACGACGCCCTAGTAGCCCCCTTTGTGCGCACCTGCGCGGACATCTGTCGTCTGCGGCCCGCATACAACCCCTCATCCTCATCCTCATCCTCATCCTCACGCAGTAAACGGAATCCAACAATCTGCATAATCGCCCAGCAGCAACGCGCACCAGACGTGTTCGAGGAATGGCTGCAGGAGACGATGAGGGTATTTCGGGTGTGGAGGGTGAGCGATGAGGTGTTGGGGGAGGGGTTGAAGTCAGGGACGGGATATCTGGTGCATTTGCTTATGCTGAAGGAGTAATGTACATACTACTACTCCGTATGTAATGTGTAAATGTGGTGCGGCCAGTGAACTAGTCAGGCTATGGGACGTGATAGGGGGATACATTATCTATTGTAATTATTGCATTATTGAATAGACTACCTTCTGCAGTACACTACATGAGGACGGGAGTTGATTGATTGATTACTATTACTATTACTATTACTGGAAATGGAAATGGATATCAGGTATGTAGGCTAGATTCAATATCCCGCTAGCTTTGAGCATATATTTATGATCCATTGGAAGCCCCTCCCTTGCGCATGCAATAGTTGCAGGAAATATCAACCAAGCTACCCTTTTTAAGTAAGAAATACCTGTCTATCTTCTTCATTCGGCATTTGTTTACCGAATGCAGGTTGTTACAGAAGCAGAAAGTAATAAACATCATGTAGTTTGATTATGCCCATCTTTAGGTAACCTGCCAAGATGAATCCCAAGCCAAGAGTCAATATCAAGCTCGTTTAGAAAATGCATCATGCAAGGATCAATTCAAAGTATAACAATGCATTCCAATGGATAGATGACGTCTGTGTAAGCGGGTAGTCAAGGATATTCCAAAACCAGGCGGCATGTAAATCGTAGCTATCAGTGAATTAAGTAGCCAAGTATACCAAATAATAAGCACGTAAATATGTTCAGATTGATACAGTTGGCAGGTCGATATATGACAAGGCCTCGATGCATGAATGGTCAACCAGAGTACCTGCCAGTTCAGCGGTTGCCAGCAACGAGGCACATTGAAACATTATAATATTAAGAACATACAAGTAGCCACCCAAGAGTACAGAAGAGGGTATTGAAGAAAAATCTGCAGAAAAAGGATAAAAGGCGAAAGCATGCTCATACTATGCAGCGTGTGAATGCAAGTTCCCCACGGTCAAATCGCGAGGAATATAAGGTCTTCAAGTTGGTGTATTATATTAATAGGTAGCGAGCAATATTATCGGGCCTCGACGGCCTCTTTGGAGGGCTCGCTGTGCTCCCTCTCCGACTTGGGAGTCGTGGAGTGCTCAGGTCTTTCTTGAGCAAGTTCTGTACGCTCCGGCGAAGCACGAGCTGCTGTATCGTTCGGAGGTAGCATAGGTGCCGCATTATCTCGGGTTTCGACGTCTGGATTACGATCGATGATTGATGAAATCGTCTGTTTGGTCGACCCGTTTGTCTTTGGTGCCGGGCTGGACTCATCCGCTGCCGGCAAAGACACCTGAGGTGCGGGCATGGGCCTCTCCGTCGATTCCGTCTTGATTTTCTTATAAGCACTTTCTCCATCGGCCTCATCCTCAGAGGCGGAGGAATAATCCATTTCTTGAGGGTAGCCTTCAGGGTCCGTCGGTGCCGATTCCAGTCGGCTTTCTTCCGTCGACTCACGATTCGAGTTTGCAACTGGAGGAAGAGGAGCATTAGGATCATACACAATACCACACACCTCGAGAGCTCTGGATTGGCTGCCCAGACTGCGGTCCTTGTGCTTCTTAGTCAAATGGCACATAAAGCCATGAAGAGTCACAAAGTCTGCTTTACCACACCCGGGAACTGGACAAGTGAGATAGACCAAGCTGCCATCCGACGGTCGTTTCCACAGAGCACGGCCCGAAGGATCATGAGCAGCAGGTCGACCATGACGTTCCCCCCAAGCCTCGACGTTCTTGATGGTATATTTTTGTTTCCGTCGAATTGATCCAGCACCAGAAGGATCATGCGTGATATGGTGATGAGGCGGCGGAGGATGCGGGTGAGAATGAGCAATAGGATGAGGTTGAGGGTGGGGTTGAGGGTGGGGGTGAGGGTGAGCTTGCGGGTGCGAGTGCGGGTGTGGGTGCTGGTGCTGATGCTGGTGCGGGTGCGGATGAGCAATCGAGTGAGGATGGGGATGAGGATGAGAATGAGGCTGCATCTGTACAGGTGTTGGAATCGGACGAGGTTCTGGGGGGCTCTGCTGTTTAAAAAATGCAAGAGTGGTGGCAGCGTTGGTTTCGGACAAACGACGAGGTGGTGTAGGACGAAGAGGCGGCGAGTCGACGTTGCCATTAAGCCCGAGTCCCATAGACTCTCTCTTCATTCTTTTCCGTTGCCTACGAAGCTCCTGTTTCAATGTCATTAGGATAAAAAGCCCAGATAAAAGCCCAAATAAGATCCAAGTAAAGACCATACCTCTTCCTCAGCCTCTGCATGCTCAGTTACCCTACGGAACTCTTCATCCTCACGCTTTCGAATCGCTAGCAAGTGGCCTCGGGCCGCCATACGGGCTGCCTCTTCTTGTTCCAATTGCCTCAAGCGGTTTTCGATGTGATCTATGTTGACGGGTTGCGGGGGGCCACTGGGAGGAGCCTGTTCCTGCATGGGAGGAGGGGGGAAAGGACGAAAGTGATGATGGTTCTGCATCATGGCCTCTGGGGGCATTTGATTTGGGTTCATAGCGATTGGATGAAACCGGGGCAGATTCATATTGACATGACCAGGGACAGCACCATTAAGACCATTTTCGTGGACTGAGGGAGCGACAGGTGGAGGGGCAGCGACAGTCATTTTGGGATGACTGACTGTATACTGTTAGATATGAATCGAGTTGGACATGGGGCGATAGGGAAATGAAGGTGAAAGAAGAGAGAAGAATATAAGGTGGGGGAGGCAGCAGATAAAGGCGCGAGGAGAGACAGCAGGAGGACTGATTAAGGCGGACAAGGATATGTAGGAGGTGGGAGGGAGAGGAGAGGGAGGAGGAAGAATGATAGGAGGAAAAGCAAGCATGCAATAAACGTCGAGCAAGCAGTGGATCAAGTCAACTTACACACTTGAAACAAATATTAAGTGGATTAAAGTGCAGCGAAAGAGAGGGAGAAGAGAGGAGAGGGAGAGAGAAGAAAGAGAAGCAGCCAAAATGTAATAAAAAGAAAAAGACCAACAGAATAAGAAGAAATTAAAGTAAAAAAAAAGCAAGAGTAACAGGAAAAACAAACCGCTAGCGTGGCCCTTTGGCTGCACCTTGCCCGTTTTTTTCTTTTTCTTTTTTCTTTCTTTTTCTTCTTTAATTTATTTGTTCAGGGAAAATTTCCCGCAGAAGAGGGATGACGATGTGGGCAGTTGCTGCAAGTGGTAACGGCCACGCAAGGGTGAGAATAGAGAGAGAAGAGAAGAGAGAGAGAAAAAGGAATAGTGAAAGAAATGAAATGAAAAAAAGAATGAATAAATCAAGAAAGCAGAAATGAACAATTGGGACGATCTCCAGTGAGAGGATCTAGCTGGGGAAACTAGTAAAACCAGTTTGATTTTGCGGTCAGTTGGAAACAAACAAGTCAGTCCATGGATAGAATCTGGCACTTGTGACGCGCTAGTCAGTGTAATATATGATGACTTGCTCGCAGTGATATTTCAGACTTCTGCAGCCGAATCAGATCCCCTACACTTCAGCCAAGTACCTCTGGACCTAGGGACGGAGTACCTAGGTATCTTCTACATATGGCGTATGAAGAAGAGGATAACCAATGGAAAGAAAAGGATCTACTGATCTGACGATTGACCAGATACCTCAATTATTTGCATCGATAAAACCATGACAAATGGGTTGCTGAAAGGGGTGCAGAGAAGGGAAAATGGACATGTAATACTGAGAATACCAATCAATACACAGTGGGGACAAATCAAATCTCCTCGAGTCGAACTAAAAAGTAACAGGAAAAGTGATCGGCCAATCAGCACAGCGCCTCGTCTGCGGGTCAGGCACAAAACGAAATCCTCAAATTCGGACGTGAGGGTCTTCATTCTTTTTTTATCTTCCCTATTAGTACTGTTCATATTAATATCACTCAGAGTATCCTTTTATTCTTATTCTATGCCAGTAGGTATATAATGTATAGTATATAGTATCCTAATTCTCACTCATAGTAGTACTCTGTAGTCGATCGCCAGTTATTGTCAATCCTGCAAATCCTGTTCCACTTTTGTATCACTCCTCTCTCTCTTAGTCTTCCTCATAGCTTGATTCGTGCGCGGTCAAGCCCCTTGCCCTGGCTCAGTCTAATAAATTCTCTCCAGTTCCCTGCCGTCTTCTAAACTTCCAATCGTATACATCTCCGTATAATCACCAATCACCAGTACATCTACACATTTACCTGTACATATATACATACTGTACTACCATATCAACAATGTAACACTCGGCGCATGAGATAACGCGATTCTAGAAATAGTGGCATAATATCGTCTGGCAGGGATTTTGTCTAATTTTGGAATCTTCAGTGTCATTTGACAACTCCCATAAGGCTATTTATTCCATTTACTATGTATCAATAATATCATCGTAGCCATCTTATCACATCTGGCCAATCACTCAGCTGACTGCATTAGTATGATGCTTATGAATCCCCTATCAATTTATAGTCAGAAATTCTCAAAGATCAGAAAATTAAGGTAGAATATGCTCAAATCACATACCCTCGGCCCATCAAGCACATGAAGTTAGGTCTGTACCGCTCTTTTTCATGCCGAATTGATCAGCGCTGGATGGATATACCGATCATGTTTCATAAATCGAGACCATAAGATAATTACCTATTCTTTTCACCCAATTTCAACTGAATAATACTAGCTGAAATCCTGAATAAATACAGACCACTACGGAGTACATACTAACTATAATAACTAGAGCTAGGAGTCAACGCACTTTATTTAGCACACGAGACTACGAGCGTTAAGAACGTTGAGGATACAATAGTAGCCCAAATTTGGTGCGCCAAGAGAAGCACAGAGAATTCGATATCATCAAGGCAGACTGTTTAGTTCCATAGCACCCAGATAGCGTCCCTCGGCTGTTTGTTCTGATTCGCTGCCCAGCTGGATTAATTAAAAACCATCTGGCGAGGATCAGCACAAACTAGTGAACAGCTGGCAAATCCATCCATGCTCCATCGTGCAAAGAGAACCGCCGGCTTGCTGATTGGCCCTGCTAGAAATTACGATGCGACGACAACAAATTGACCCACGGCGAGATTCCTCACGATTCCAGAAACTGGAAGTCCTCCTCTGACTGTTTCAGTCGGAAACTTGAGTCGTCACGCCTACTCCGACTCCTCACACACACACCAAGTACGAAGCTTCATCTACTTGATCCACACGGCAATCGTTTGTTACATCGAGAGGAGAATTTTCCTATTCTATTATCACATGCTCCATATAGCCAAGCCCACCACGTCCTTTTTTTTTGTGGTTCCCAGCCGTTAGGTCATTAAGTTACAATTGTAGACAATCCTCGCTCCAATCCAGCGGACCATCTCCCATGAAAAATCAGATCAAATCTGCTCATCCAACCTCTCAAGAGGTATGAAGGCAAGTGGAGAGTTAGAAAGAGGCTCACAAGGAGGAAAAAGAAAATAGATATAATAAAAAATCAAAACACCCCATACACCGAAACATGGCCACGCAAAAGGTAGTAGGTAGTATGTGTACAGATCATGCGCGTGTTAAAACAATCAAGAAAGGGTAAAAGGCTTCTAGGAAAAGAGATTGTGACATGAAAAAAATACAGGACTCTTTGTTACCCGGGTGTCGGGAACAAATTCGTCAATAATACATTTAGGCCTTGTTCTCGCCCTCACCCTGAGGAGGCTGCTGCTGCTGCTCAGACTGAGCCTTGTGCATCTTGTCGAAGAGGGTCAAGCTGGCGTTCTGCAGCTCATCGGTCTTCTGCTTGAGCTCCTCGGCGGTGGCGCTGCCCTCACCGGTCTGGTTCTTGACAACGAACTCACGGAGGGTGGCGATCTTCTCACGGATCTGGTCAGCCTCGGCCTTGTCGAGACGGTCCTCGAACTCCTTGAGAGCCTTCTCAGTGTCGTTCAGGACACTGTCAGCACGGTTAGCAGCCTCAATGGCGGCCTTGCGCTCCTGGTCCTGAGCACCGTACTTCTCAGCATCGTCAACCATGGACTGGATCTCAGCGTCAGAGAGACCAGAGCCGGAGGCGATGGTGATGGACTGGTCCTTGTTGGTGGACTTGTCCTTGGCACCGACGTGGACAATGGAGTCGGCATCAATGTCGAAGGTAACCTCGACCTGGGGAACACCACGGTGGGCAGGGGGGATACCAACAAGCTGGAAGTTTCCGAGGAGCTTGTTGTCCTTGACGAGCTCACGCTCGCCCTGGAAGACCTTGATCTCGACAGCGGTCTGGTAGTCAGCGGCGGTGGAGAAGGTCTGGGACTTCTTGGTGGGGATAGTGGTGTTGCGGTTGATCAGACGAGTGAAGACACCACCCAGGGTCTCGATACCGAGAGACAGAGGGGTGACATCGAGCAACAGAACGTCAGTAACCTCACCAGCCAGGACGGCACCCTGGATAGCGGCACCAATGGCAACAGCTTCGTCAGGGTTGACGGACTTGGCGGGCTCACGGCCGAAGATGGACTTGACGGACTCGGTGACCTTGGGCATACGAGTCATACCACCGACAAGGATGATGTCCTGGATCTCGCTGGCCTGGAGGTTGGCGTCCTTGAGGGCCTTGCGGACGGGCTCGACGGTGCGGCTGATGAGAGGGTCAACAAGAGACTCCAGGTTGCTTCTGGTCATCTTCATGTTGATGTGCTTAGCACCGGAGGCATCAGCAGTGATGAAAGGCAAGTTGATCTCAGTCTGGAGAGAAGAGGACAGCTCGATCTTAGCCTTCTCAGCAGCCTCACGGATACGCTGAATGGCCATGCGGTCACCAGAGAGGTCGAGGCCAGACTCCTGCTTGAAGTTGTTGACAATGTGGCGGACAAGGTTGATGTCAAAGTCCTCACCACCAAGGTGGGTGTCACCGTTGGTAGACTTGACCTCGAAAACACCCTTCTGGATCTCCAGGACGGAGATATCGAAAGTACCACCACCAAGGTCATAGACGGCGACAACACGGTCGGCCTCCTTCTCAAGACCGTAGGCAAGAGCGGCGGCAGTGGGCTCGTTGACAACACGGAGAACGTTGAGACCAGCGATCTGACCAGCGTCCTTGGTAGCCTGACGCTGGGAGTCGTTGAAGTAGGCAGGAACAGTAACGACAGCGTTCTTAACGGGCTTGCTGAGGTAGTTCTCGGCGGTCTCCTTCATCTTTCCGAGGGTGAAACCACCAATCTGCGACGGCGAGTACTTCTGGCCGCGAGCCTCAACCCAGGCGTCACCGTTGGTGTGCTGAACGATCTTGTAGGGGACCTCCTTGATGTCACGCTGAACCTCAATGTCGGTGAACTTGCGACCGATGAGACGCTTGGTGGCGAACAGAGTGTTCTCGGGGTTGACAACAGCCTGACGCTTAGCGGCGATACCAACTAGACGCTCACCATCTTGAGCAAAACCAACGACGGATGGTGTTGTTCTGGCACCTTTGGGTAAAGTTAGCACAATGACTCATGAGTGGCTGCAAGGGCGATCGCAAAGCTCATGTTTTGGTGTTTGAAGCTCTGGCCACCTGGCAGCAGAAAGAGTTTTCACATACCCTCGGTGTTCTCAATGATCTTGGGGGTCTTGCCCTCCATGACGGCAACGGCAGAGTTAGTGGTACCTAGATGTCATGTTAGATTCAAGTTCCATTGAACCCCTTGATGTCAAACAGGAATACATACCAAGGTCAATACCAATGACCTGGCCCTTCACCTTCTCCTCGCCACCCTCTGTCGAGTTCCATCTTCTGAACGATGTGCTGGGGACTCTGAAAGTGGGAGCGCGAGCGTGAGAGGCAGCGCGAGGGATCTGATGAAAGAAAAGTCAGTTTCGAAGCTCGACGCGTGATGACTTTCCTCAAGGGAAAAAACCTACCGCGCGGGAGAAACGGGAGGAAAGCATTGTGGTTGATTAAAAGTAATTAATACAGAAATTAAAAAGAAACAAGAGAAGCTCCAGTCGATTCAATCGAAAGGAGAGAGGGAGAGGATGGATATGGAGGGTATAGAATAGGATGGGAAGGAGAAGAAGAGAAGGAGATGAGTTTTTTTCCTGGACTGGGGAGAGGCGACGTAAAAAAGAAGGGAGACGCCGGGTAGGAGTAAAACTCGGAGAGCGTCGGCCCGTGATACGGTCATCGCGCCTTGGAAGTATCGAGAATCGCAGCCTGGCCAATGATAGCCGAGCAGCCTGCAGACCGCCAGGCCCAGTAGCCGAACCAGAGTGTGCAGCCAATCAGCGGCGCCGCCTTTGAGCTCAACCCTTTGAAGCTGTTTTTTCTCTCTCCGGTTCGGATGGGAGGATGAGGCGAGGAGTGGCGATTCTCGGGAGATGAAGTCAGACAGCGGTCAATTGTTGGTGTAGGATGACGATGTCCATCAATTGAACGGATTGTGTGTTTACTGGCTTTGTTGTTTGCCATAGTGAGGATATGTTGCCTTTATGCCATCCTACCTAGGTACCTTTGTTTGAAGCTCTCATGATACCTATGCCAGTATTCCTAGTAGGTAACTAGTTCATTACCTAGGCTTATCACTCCAGATACCAGAGCACAGAGCCAGAGCTTTATATGTTCAATCATTATATCGAAGTGGCACTGTTGTATGGCTGCCGGCCATATATATTACTGTTTGGAGCAGTCTATCTATGGGCAAGATCAATGTCCATATAAAACATGCAGAGTGGACACAATCCACATACACGTACTCTAGGGTGAAATTTAGCTGGAATAGTCTCCTGAAGTAGGACTAATAGTCGAGCTTGTACGGAGGGGACAGCCATCTGGAAGTACATCCCACTGTTACAATCTGCATGGATCAACTTAGAGAACAACTGCCACCTTCAATATCAGTCATCTCTTGGGTGTTATCATGTATTTTGAATCGAGCTACTTGACTACCCAGTAGTTGTGATCGTAATGCATAACCCATTCATGGCGATATAAACAACCCTTGGGAATAGCACCATTCTGATTGCAAGGGGCAAACGCAATGCTTAAAAAACCTTTAGAATATCAGATAAAACAACCGTTTCTCCTGACCGATCAGACCGGAGAATTGGCAATGATTTGATATTATTTTCCCCGTCTGATCAGTACTACTGTGTAGAATTCTGTGGTAGACTGTCGATCACAGCAATAGAACACTGCATGAGCAATGAATATATGTAGGTGCCCGACAAGTCGAGAGTGCCAGAGTTGGACCCTCAGTTCACCCATTCCCCCTCCTCAACCCACCGCTTTACGCCTAATTATTATTATTATTATTTTCTGGATGCATCTTCCTCGCTGGATTCGGCATTGATTTTGCCCAGCTTTTATCCGCATTCGCCGCTGGAGGTTCCCCGGATTGAACAAAGCCCTGTGTCAAGTCTTACGTCATCCGTCGCCCCCCCCAGCCTTTGGTAGGGCCGCGAACAACAGCACTGTTAGCAGCAAGCAAGCAGCAGCAGCTGGCACAGCAATCTCTCACTTTGCTTTTCTTTTCAATTTGACCACCCTGGATATCCTTGTCAAGTCGCCAGATCTTTCGATACCTGTTTCCCTCTTTTCCCTCCCAGTTTTCGCATCAGTTGTATATCCTCGTCTTCCTCTACCCGAACAATGTCACCTCGGCCTTAATCGTCCATCATGACTTGGGATTCCGCACTCTTGTCCGTCCCTCCCATCGCGTGATGTCTGCTCTCTGCTAACACCCTCTTGTTTTAATAGAGACCGCCCGACCGAGTCCCTGATCCTTCCTACAAAGCGACGATTCTTCCCGTTCAAAATCCCTAATTTGTCTGTATCTCTGGTCTCAGGAAGAGCTACCGCAAGTTTGATGCGTCTATGCTAACGGCCACATAGCCACCAGCAACTCCGCCACTATATCAGCACCACCGACCCCGACCGGATTTACGTTGTGGTCGATAGAGTCATATACTCAATCCATGTGTCATCGGAAAAACGAGAGAGCATAGCCTTCATTCCGTTTGAACCAAAATGCCTTGTCGCTGGTTATGGTTGGATCGCGGTGGGGGGCTCGGACAATGGAGAGTGTGCCTTCATAAAAATGGCTGATCGGAACGTGCGCATGCACCCTGATATGCCAGACTACGGGCAGTCGGATGTGGACAGCGCATTGCCCATTGATCTCGAGTCCTCGAGGCTTTCGCCTTCCTTGACGCAGGGGGAGGAGTCAAGCTCACCTCGCCGTGCGGACAGGATGCAACTGCCGGAGGTGCAACTCTACAAGTTCGGCGGGAGCATTGTTAACTCGGTGACTATTCATCGTTTACCCGGTGACGGGAAGGGCTTAGCAGATGAAGATATCATTGTTCTCAGGTATTACCCAGGATGACGGGCCATCTTGTACCTACAGCACTAATTGCTTTCACAGTAACAACGACAAAACCGTGACCATTTATTCCTTAACACAGGCAAAAGTCCTCAAGGTCCTTCATCATCAAGCCTGTATGAACTATGCGATCGTGTCTCCGGATTCGAGTTTTCTTACTGCAGTCGGCGACGAAAACCGTGCATATTTCTATCATATGACCCGCGATCCGGACCTGACTACCGTGACAGAAAATGGCGAAAAGCTTGGCGACTGGGATTGGAGTCTTCACCGGTGTATAGAGATGGACATTAGCACACGTTCTGACGAAGCATGCTTCACAGTCGCGTTTTCCCCTTCAAGTCACTTGTGTGCCATTGGATCGCAGTCCGGAGTTATCATTGTCTTTGACGTTGATATAATCCGTCGAACCCTTGATGGGCCATACGACAAAAAGGCTATTATCTGCCACTTCCACTCTTCTAGGTCTTATATTGAGGGTGGCGCCGTGCGCTGTATGTTATTTTCTCCTGACCCATGGGACCTTCTGGTATGGCTTGAGGACAATGGTCGTGCTGGAGTTGCAGATGTTCGCCAGGCCTTTTCACGCAGACAGGTTCTGAACCTGGATATGAACGACCCGGGAATACAACAAGTTCGTACACAGCCCGTCCCAGAAGACTCCGAAGGGTTGGGATTCGACTTTGATAGCCGATCCTTTCCCGAATCGCGCAATGAATTGGATCCGACGCAGCGAGAAATGCTTGATTCAATTGATGGCTCATCAAATGAACCAGGTAGAGAAGGGCTCGACCGTTCATCATTGCGGGAGAATCTGATACAGGACCTCACTGAGCGAGAGAGATTGATTGTGGAGTTTCTGAACACAGCACGCTCAACATCAAGATTGGATGAGAGCTTGACAGATCGACGAACGAGACCGAACGTCCACCTGCCTCCTACAAGCCGTTCACGACTACCAGGTTTCACAGATGGGAACGGTAGACCCTCTCGTCCTACTTCCCCTCTGCGTTACAATGATGCACTCCATGACTTATTTCGGGAAAGCTATCTGGGTCATGTGGCTGCTACCGATCGCAATTTTAATGCCAGGCGTCAGGACTCTGTTGTGCTATCCCAGGGCCATTCTGGGACAAACAGTAGAGCATCAGAGATGGCAGACACCAACGTAGAGGCACAGCCGAGTATCACGTTGAGTTGGACAACTTCGCCCTCGGAGCTGCAGTCTGCCACATTGGATAATCTGTCTCGTGCTGCAGACCCAAGTACAAGTAACACCAGTACTCCCAGCAACGAATCAGGCACGGGCAATCGGCCACAGAATGCAGCAGATCGTCTATCTGCAAACTTTGACCCTGGTAACAACACAACTAGCATGCATCCACTCCAGAGATCCCATCGGTCAAGTTCGACTCCGCGGCGATCTGAGCGGCAAGAGTCCACGGCACAAGAAAGTAGACACGAACCTCCGCGTCTATTGACAGCGGATTTGAGGAGTAATGTAGCTGCAGAACGCCTGCGGCGGCAGCGACAGCTCATTAATGAAACCCATTCTCGAAACACCCAGCGGGAGCCACGCCATCGGCAACAATTGCTGGGGTTTGAACAGACTCGTTCGCCTCGGTGGATTAGAAACATTTTAAACGAACTTCCAGATCGAAGCTTACATGGACACCGAGACCAAGAGCCAGGTGGCACAGCTGGTATTGGCTGGGGCACAGACGGCAGAACACTGTAAGTGTAGTTTCCTCACTGGCCGAGCTTAAACTGACTTTATAGATACGTTGCAACCGTGGAAGGAATCTTTGAATATCAAATCAATATCCATGATCGGAAGACCTTCCCTGTCTTTTCCTATCGATAAAACCAATCCCATGTTCAACGTCTTTTGCACTGAACAGCAGTGTGCATTTGGTCCGCTGGAATGACGATGACGACGCTGCAAGGAACAACTTGATGCTTAACTTCATTCTTCTTCTTCTATTTCTTTATATCTTCCGCGGAGTATTATATGGTCTAATTTTCTTCGATGGGTTTCTTTCGGCGATCGGGGATACAGTATGCTGCTTATGGGTTTTGGAGATACCACTTTCATACCACAAATTTTGATATCCCTTTGCATGTTGTTTTGTCCTTCTTTGTACTCGTTTTCTCTTTGTATTGGATGAAAATTGCACATCATCTCGGGGCTTTTTTATGCATATTTATCTTGGGTTGCCTCAACTACGTTTGTTTCTGGGGTGTTGGCGATTGTACATGGTCATTATCTACGCCCGGTGATTTCTCGTACCGTCATGCTTTAGTTAAGGCATAGGAGAAAAGTTCCTTAATTTTCACATTCTGCATGCTTGCGATGAATAATTTGACCTGAAGAATGATGTACAGAAGACAGATAGCTCAAGGACTTGCTCCAATTGAAAAGTATATACTCTATTGCCTTAAGTCGTAATCGATGAGATGAGTCTGTTCTCCGATGTCGTCGTCCCCACACGACGTCAGCGAAAATGTGTGTGGCTTTGGGCGTTACTGCCGCTAATCGCCGCCAACAATGATGTCCCGCGCTCTGTGCCTTTTGCTTTGAAGCCACTACTCCACCACCTGGTGAATGTTGACTATACCGACTCGCCTATTGTGCATTAAGCTTTATTCCAAAAGACGTGGCTCTTTGGAATTCACTATATCATTTCTAGCGGCTTGGGGCAGCCCGTACAAGTACGGGCCTCGATAATTTCCCCTCCGTCACTCCGCACTCAGCATTTCATCTCAAACCTATAGACAAGACAACACTCTCTAAAGACTTGTTACTACTCTTTCCAATATGGCAGAGTCTCTGGCTTCAACTCTGGCCGAGTTGAACCTGAATGCCCAGGGCTTGGACGGATCTGCCTTTGATGCTCGGATCGCTGAAGAAGAAAAAGGCACCTACGAGAACCACAGACCTCGCAAGAGAACTCGACAGACTGCAGAGGACCTGAAGACTTCGCTTGAGACTGAATTTTTAACTCCTTCATCTCAATTCAGCCCAGAATGGCTAAATCGCTTGCAAAGGTAGGCTTTAATATGAGACTTCATTTTTTGATGATGCTTTCCTACAATCTCTCTTATCGAGCCGAAAAACCATTCTCATTTAACATTGCTAACTGTAAATAAAGGCGATGGGATGTCTCAACGGATTATACAGATCTCTTTGAGCTTGCTGCCACCCAGACCCGGACTATCACCCGTTTCACGCGGGAAGGTTTGGAAGGACGCGTTACCGGCTACCATGAGGTCACAGTTCCTGCTACGAGTGCAAATGCCAAGAATTCGACATCGTTACTTCGTCGACCAGCCGGTCGGGCTGATTTTGTGAGAGGCGCGGCGGGGTTTTTCCCCTTTGCACCAGGTGGACTCGATGGTGTTGAAGCCATCGCTGCCATGGAGTCTGATGAAATTATAGAGCAAACCCGACCTGGAGGCAAGCAGACAGGCCTTGACCGGATTATCAATTTTGGAGCCGAAGGAGGCCTGTTGGAGATTCCTCCGGGATTCTCCCGTGGATTGAAGTTCGAGGAGGCCAAATCTAAGGAAGCAACTGAGAATGACCAGGAAGTTGAGCATGCTCTTCTGCAAGAGGAGAGTGAGCTGCATGTTGAGCAAAAGGAGGAAGCGCTTTCGGACACTGAGGGTGGGGTGAAAATTGAGGATGAAGGGGAGACCAGTGATGAGGACGAAGAAGATATTGATTCTCTCCTACCTGTTGAGTTTCCGTCATTGGAACCGCGCAACCCACTCCTCGGAAGTGTTCAAAGGAAAGGTGGTAAAGAATGGGCACATGTGGTTGATGTCAATAAGGATATTCCGAATTTCCGTGATCTTGTCCCTGATATGGCCAGGGAATGGCCCTTCGAATTAGATACTTTCCAGAAAGAGGCTGTTTATCATCTCGAAAATGGCGATTCGGTGTTTGTTGCAGCCCATACTTCGGCCGGAAAGACCGTCGTTGCAGAATACGCTATTGCATTGGCTGCGAAACATATGACAAAGGCAATTTACACGTCGCCTATCAAAGCACTGAGCAACCAAAAGTTCAGAGATTTCAGGAAGGAATTTGATGATGTTGGTATCCTGACGGGTGACGTTCAGATAAACCCAGAGGCAAGTTGCTTGATCATGACTACCGAAATTCTTCGAAGTATGCTCTACCGGGGAGCAGATTTGATCAGAGATGTCGAATTTGTGATTTTTGACGAAGTGCACTATGTCAACGATCTTGAAAGAGGTGTGGTTTGGGAAGAAGTTATCATCATGCTGCCGGAGCATGTCACATTGATCCTACTATCTGCCACTGTCCCTAATACTCAAGAATTCGCCTCCTGGGTTGGCCGCACAAAGAAGAAGGACATCTACGTCATCTCGACTGCCAAGCGACCCGTTCCGCTCGAGCACTATCTTTGGGCGGGTAAAGACAAGTACAAGATTGTTGATTCCAACAAGCGATTTCTGGAGCAAGGCTGGAAAGCGGCAGACGAAAGCATTTCTGGTAGAGACAAGATTAAAGCGCAAAAAGCAGCAGAAGCCCAAGCTCAGTCCCAAGCACAACGAGGAGGTCCCCAGGGCAGAGGGCGTGGCCAACCACCAAGCAGAGGGGGTCGAGGCAATGCACAGCGTGGTGGTCCCCAGCGAGGTAGAGGACAACCAGCAAACAGAGGAACAGGAAACATTGCTCGTACTGGCCGAGGAGGTGGCCGGACTAGTGCTGCGCAAGACCAAAACGTTTGGGTGCACCTTGTTCACCACCTTCGCAAAGAGAATTTGCTGCCAGGCTGCATATTCGTGTTCTCTAAGAAGCGTTGTGAGCAGAATGCCGATTCGCTGTCTAACCAAGACTTCTGCAATGCTTCAGAGAAGAGTCTCACCCACATGTTCATTGAAAAGTCACTTACTCGGCTGAAACCAGAGGATAGAAACCTTCCTCAGATTCTTCGACTTCGTGATTTGCTAAGTAGAGGTATTGCTGTTCATCATGGAGGTCTTTTGCCAATCATGAAGGAGATTGTCGAGATCCTCTTCGCCAAGTCATTGGTCAAAGTTCTTTTCGCTACTGAAACGTTTGCCATGGGTTTGAACTTGCCTACACGTACGGTGGTCTTCTCTGGATTCCGCAAACACGATGGCAAAGCGTTCAGGGATCTGCTGCCTGGTGAATACACTCAAATGGCTGGACGTGCTGGACGAAGAGGTCTCGACACGGTTGGCTATGTCATCATCGTCAACAGCGGTAGAGATGAGGCACCGCCTGCGGGCGCTCTGAGAAAAATGATTCTTGGGGATCCTACGAAACTCCGATCGCAGTTCAGACTTACATACAACATGATTTTGAACCTTTTACGTGTAGAAGCTTTGAAGATCGAGGAGATGATTAAGCGAAGTTTCAGCGAGAACGCCACCCAAGCTTTACTTCCAGAACACGAGAAACAAGTTCAGCTTTCAGAAGCCAGTTTGGAAAAGATCAAACGAGAGCCTTGCGAGATCTGTGATATCGACATCGCCGCTTGTCACGATGCGGCTGTTGAGTATGAGAAACTCACCACTGAGCTCCATCTTGGACTACTTGCATCCCCTGTAGGAAAGCGTCTCTTCATGCCTAAGCGACTCGTGGTGTATCGAAAAGTAAGCTAACATGTGGTATTTGATATTATTTATCTCACTGACCTCTTTATAGGAAGGGTATCGGACGGCTGGTGTTATAGTCCGGGAGGGTATTGGAGGTGGTTCTGCACCTACTATCCAGGTTCTTGAAATCGGTAAATTGGGCAGCAAGCGGCATCCAAGCGATATTCTTCCCTTCCTACCAGGATTCCGTCACCTCCTGCAGTCCCTACCAACCCGTGCTTCAGACATGGCCCTGAAAGTATTCAAAATACCGCTCTCGGATCTCGAGTGTGTCACTAACACAATGGTAAAAATCGGGGGACCAACATGGTACTTGAACATCAAGAAAGGTACACTGAAAGAAAACCTTCTAATTCCACGATTTCAGCTGACACCTGGGATACAGAGGCAATAAAGTTTGCAGACAAAGAGCTGTCTAAACATACCTCTTCTTGGACGAGTGCTGTTTGGGATGAGATGGATTGGGCGCGCATTAAAGAGTTGCAAGTGAGAGATATACTTGAACAGAGGCAGGCGCAAGCGGCCATCGCCCAGTCTTGTCGATGCTTGGAGTGCCCGAACTTCTTGAAGCACGTAAGTGACAGCTATGGATGAAAATTAGATGTGAACTATGCTTACAATCAGCAGTTCGAAATGCAACATGATGAATGGCAGGTCAAAGAGAACATCTCGCAATTGAAGCAGCTGATGTCGGACCAAAACTTGCAGCTTCTGCCAGACTACGAGCAGCGCATCCAAGTCCTGAAAGAGCTTGGCTTCATCGACGAACAATCTCGCGTACAGCTGAAAGGAAAGGTGGCATGCGAGGTATGATACAGTTGATATCCGGGAATTGATTGTCTCAAGTGCTAACTATGCGACTAGATTCACTCTGCCGACGAACTCGTCCTGACAGAGCTTATTCTCGAGAATGTTCTAGCAGAATACGAACCTGAGGAGATTGTCGCGCTTCTATCGGCGTTTGTCTTCCAGGAGAAGACAGAAAATGTGCCTACCTTGACGCCTCGCCTGGAAAAGGGCAAGGAGGCTATCATCAGGATTTCCGACAAAGTTAATGACTTCCAGGTCCAACACCAGGTCATCCAGTCCAGCGAAGACACCAATGACTTTGCTAGTCAGCCGCGGTTTGGACTGGCAGAGGTCGTGTACGAATGGGCCAAGGGAATGTCTTTCAACCGCATTACGGACCTTACAGATGTGATGGAAGGAACCATTGTCCGGACTATCAGTCGACTGGATGAGACATGCCGGGAGGTAAAGAATGCGGCCAAGTTGGTGGGAGACCCATCATTATATACCAAGATGCAGCAGGCGCAGGAGCAGATCAAGAGAGATGTGATATTCGCAGCATCTTTGTACATGTGATGAGTATGCATACAATACATAGCTAGTGAGAAACTACTCCATAACTATCTAGAGAGCATTGTGCCCTTGTGGGCTTAGTGTGTGTTTTTCTTTTTCTCCTTTTTCCACCGCCCCTCACTAGCAAACCCAGTACGACATCGGATTTATAGTTCATCTAAAAGAGGGATACAGCCCTTAGTGACCCCAGTTAGAGCCAGTTCGTCCCAAAGATACTCGTGCAAGTAAAGATTTGCGGCCGGAGAGCATTCAGGAGACCTAAAAATTCTCTTACCGCGCGGGGCGGGCTGCCCTCTGATACGCTGCGATAGCCGCGGGGCGGCGCTGGAAAGAAAATCCACCGAAAACCACCAATGTTTCTCTGTGTTTGCCAGTGCACTACTTTTTTTGCACTTAATCTGCACACTACCTACCCTCTCTATCAACACCCGCTACACTTATCTCTTCCTCCATCACCGCCCTCCCCCCTCCTCGCCCTCCATCTCCCTCCCACCACTGCCTAACGGGGTCTCTTTTTTATTTGGAGTTTGCTTTCTAGCGCTGGGGGTGCGAAATGGATGTGACAGCTCTTCGGGACCGCATACAGTCGACTTTGGACGCAAATGCGGATAATCGACGCCAAGCTGAATTGGATTTGAAATATGTACGTGTGGATGTTCAGGATGGATCCGACTCTGGCCTTTGCTCACCACCACCCTTTTTTTGGTGATTTATCTAGGCCGAAACACAGCCCGGCTTCATAAATGCGCTCTTGGATATTTTGCAGGCAGAGCAGAATAATGCGGTTCAACTTTCGGGTAGGTCAACCCCGCTGCCCGAATTTTTTTTTTCGATGATCACTCCCCTCCACCCCCTTCCCCGACACATGCTCTGCCTGGGCTGGATATTCCAGAATCTAATCGATGAATAATTACTTGCAGCCGGTGTCTACTTGAAGAATAGAATCAACCGGGGGTGGTCGCCTGTCGAAGAAAGTCCGCTCCGCACACCGATTCCCGAGGGGGAGAAACCAGGCTTTCGGGAGCGGTTGATCCCAGCATTGGCGTCGACGCCCCCGAACGTTCGCGCTCAGCTTGTTCCTCTTCTCCAAAAGATTCTCCAGCATGACTTCCCGGAGCAGTGGCCGGGTTTTCTCGATATCACCCTTCAGTTGCTCGCAACACCCGATGCAAACTCCGTCTATGCGGGCCTGCAGTGTTTGCTGGCCATCTGCCGCGTATACCGATTTAAGGCTGGGGATAAGAGGGATGAATTCGATAAGATCATTGAACATTCGTTCCCCTTGCTGTTGAATATTGGATCGAAGCTTGTCGATGAGGAAAGTCTGGAGGCCGCGGAGATGCTCCGAATTGTCGTCAAGTCGTATAAGCATGCCATCTATGTGGGTGATCCAAAAGATAGAACAGGATGGGAGCATGAGGAGCATGGACTGACTGGTGGTTTAGTTCGAACTTTCGCCGCATCTGCAATCCCACCAAGCGACTGTCGATTGGTGCACTCTGTTTTTGAGAATCATCGCCAAAGACCCTCCTGCCAGCTCTATGCTGGAATCTAAAGAAGAGAGAGAGCTTAACCACTGGTGGAAGTGTAAGAAGTGGTCCTACGCTAACCTGAACCGTCTCTTTATCAGGTGAGTGAGAATCGCGATTTTCCAACATGGGCGACAAACGCTAACGTTTTTTTTTTTTTTTTACATAAAGATACGGTAACTCGTCCACCGTCACCAAATCCAGTACTCCCGACTACAGCGGCTATGCCAAGACCTTCATGGCTACCTTTGCCCCCGAGATTCTCAAAGGGTATTTGCAGGAGATCGACAAGTGGGTGTCCAAGGGCCAATGGCTCAGCAACCCTGCACTCGCCTATACCATGGTTTACCTGGAAGAATGTGTTAAGCCCAAGCCGATGTGGGATCACCTGAAGCCGCACATGGAAAACCTGATCGCTCACTTCATCTTCCCGATCTTGTGCCAATCTGATGAGGATATCGAGCTCTTCCAGACTGACCCCTCCGAATATCTCCACCGGAAGTTGAACTACTACGAAGAGGTGTCCGCGCCGGACGTCGCAGCCACAAATTTCTTGGTAGCCCTCACCAAGAACAGGAAGAAGCAAACTTTCGCCATCCTTACGTTCGTGAACGGAATTGTCAGCAAGTACGAATCTGCGCCAGATGACCAGAAGCTGCCAAGAGAGAAGGAAGGTGCATTGAGAATGATCGGTTCCCTGGCCTCTGTGATCCTCGGAAAGAAGAGCCCCATTGCCGACCAGGTTGAATACTTCTTCGTTCGACATGTTTTCCCCGAATTCCGCAGCCCTCACGGTTTCCTGAGAGCCCGTGCCTGTGATACCCTCGAAAAGTTCGAGCAGCTTGATTTCCAGGATCCCAACAACCTCATGATCATCTACAGAAATATCCTCGAGTCGATGACGGATTCCGAACTTCCTGTCAGAGTCGAGGCGGCTCTTGCTTTGCAGCCTCTCATTCGTCACGAAATCATCAAGACTTCGATGCAGCAAAACATCCCGCAAATCATGCAGCAGCTCCTCAAACTCGCCAATGAAGTCGACGTGGATGCTTTGGCCAATGTGATGGAAGATTTCGTTGAGGTTTTCTCCGCCGAACTTACACCTTTTGCCGTGGCGCTTAGTGAGCAATTGCGTGATACCTACATGCGTATTGTTGGTGAGCTTTTGGAAAGAAATGCCGCCAAGGGCGAGGAAGATGCGTATGGCGATTTCTTGGATGACAAGAGCATTACCGCTCTGGGTGTTTTGCAGACGATTGGAACTCTCATCCTCACCCTCGAAAGCACTCCCGACGTGCTCCTGCATCTCGAGACTATCCTCATGCCTGTGATTAGCATCACCCTCGAGAACAAGCTTTATGGTAATTATATTCCCAGAATGATTTGCTGGTTTAAGCTAACTTTATTTCCCCCTCAGACCTTTACAACGAGGTCTTTGAGATCATCGACAGCTGCACCTTTGCCTCTAAGTCGATCTCTCCGACTATGTGGCAAGCCTTTGAGCTTATTCACAAGACTTTCAAAGCTGGTGCTGAGCTCTACCTGGAAGGTAAGCATATCTCTGTATTAAACATTTCGAATTGCACCGGTTCTAACGTTACTTCCAGACATGCTACCCGCGCTCGACAACTATATCTCCTATGGATCTCAGATGTTGGTCCAGAGCCCGAACTATCTTGCGGCCTTGGTTGGCATGGTTGAGGACATCTTCCGGGACGAGAAGGTCGGTGGTGTGGACCGGATATGTGGCTGCAAGCTCGCAGAAACTTTGATGTTGAACCTGCGTGGCTGTATCGACCAGTACATTCCTGTCTTCATTGAGCTCGCGATGCGTGTCATTGATGCTGGAGAGGCACGAACAAAGTCATACCGAATCCACTTGATGGAGATGGTTATCAACGCCATCTACTACAACCCGGTTCTGAGTCTGCAGGTTCTTGAGGCCAAGGGCTGGACAAACAAGTTCTTCAGCTCCTGGTTCTCGAACATCGACAACTTCAGACGGGTCCACGACAAGAAGTTGTCGATCGCAGCAATCAGCTCGCTGTTGACCCTCAAGGCTGATAGTGTTCCCGTGAGTGTGCAGCAGGGCTGGCCTAGGTTGCTACAGGGAGTCACCAGACTTTTCCAAACCTTGCCTGCCGCCATGAAGCGTACGTCTCCAAGCAGCCCCTCCCCAATTCTTTTTATACCGTCCATCTAACATTCTATGTAGACCGCGAGGATGCCACCAAGGAGTCAGACTTCACCTTCGATGATGAAGAAGATGAGGGTGACGAAGACAACGACTGGGGTGGTGAGATCGAGTGGACCGAGGAGGAGACCGAAGCAGCGCTTGATGGAGATGTTCCTGACGAAGGTGCAGCATATCTCGACTTCTTGAACCAAGAGGTGAGTCGTTCGCTCCAGGAGACTTCTATACTCAATTTATACTGATGGATTCTTTATAGGCCCAGAAGTTTGGATCTTTCGCCGATGACGATGATGACGAGTTAGACGAGGAGAGCCTCCTCGAAACACCCTTGGACAAGGTCGAACCATATGGCCTGTTCAAGCATGTCTTGATTGGTATGAAATACCCTGAGCTCCATGGGCTGTCTTGCTTGCATTTACTAACTCCTACAATAGGCCTCCAACAAGAGCAACCGCAGCTTTACGACAACTTGACCAAGATCCTGAACCAGGAGGAGCAGCAGGTGATCCAGGCTGTTTTCCACGAAGCTGATAACCAGGCCGTGGCTGCTGCAAACGCCGAAGCTGCTGCCGCTGCCGCTGGTATCCAGAACGGTGCTTAATAGGCATAATTATGTTAAACCCTTGGAAGCTACCCGCAGGTGAGTCGACGAGATGAGTCAGTCGATTCTACTGCTGGCAGCACAAGAACTATCTACGATTTAAGACATGCCATTTAAGAAAGAAAAAAAGCCATCCCATTTTGGACGCAAGTTTCTTGGGAAGCCCGCCGACTCTGAACCCCTTATCTTGGTGTTTGGATCGGTTGTAACGCGACGTATGCTCATATTTTCCTATCTTGTTATTTAGATCTTTTCCTTTTTGTCTTGAGATGTTGTTTGGTCCTATTTCCTTTCCTACTTGCTCCTCTGATGTCCCCACAAAAGTCCTACATATTTTGCCATGCGACTCTGCAGTCACGCAATGCACAGATTCCCCAATTAATCTTGTCAATCGACATCTAAGTATTGAGTTTTTGTCGTTTTTCCATTCTTCTACGTTATGACACGGTTCACAAAATTCAATATTTGCGGAATGACCAATTGAAAAGAAACTTTTTTTGAAAAGAAGAACATTATAAGACGAAGAGAAGCCATTTTTAGACGTTCTGCATCTTTGCTGAGGCAATCATTGCCATTTATGATGTTAGAAAGAAACCCCACGTGACCAGATTTAAAGATATTCCGATGACGCCATGATTGAAATGATCCTGTTGGCTTCAAATTACAAACGCCCTTCGGTGTAGAAAAGACACACAAAGCAGAAGATCAAGTCGATCGTACTGTACTATACTCTGGCCAGACCTCGGTGCGAGACAAGTATTGGCCTACTTGATTCTAGAGTCCAAGCCAGTATGGACCCAGGGCCTGTGGAACCGAAGCCATCCCAAACGTCATGATGATGAATGTAAGGAAATGACCTGTTTGCATCTCTGATGGCGATATTGGGACCGGTAGATTGGAAGTATTATACTTAAGAGCCGTCTTTCGTCGTCTGGAACACTCTTCTCTTCCCTTTAAGTTATCATCATCTAACCTGCCTACTACTCTGATATCACCCCCATCCTCCTACATACAAGGTTAGTTCTCTATACACTTCTACATCAACCTACCTCCCCCTCACAACTAACGTCTACAATAGATAATCGTTTCCCCTATCTTCTCAACCCATTAAGTGAAAAAGAAATCCACCATGTCCGCCCCGTACCCAGGCCGTCAATCTCCCGAACCCGAAACCCAGACCGGCGCCCAGCTGCAGGATCCTCCATCCTGGGGTAGAACAGACCCCGAGTACCGTGGTGCTCCTCGACATTCGCAGGATGAGTCGGAGGAAACCAAGTCAAAGTTAGAAAGTAACCCGCCGCCTTCCCGCTACGAGCAGATCGAGGAGAGCAAGTATGTGAAATGAAGTGGGTGTGTTGTATGAATGTGGTTCACGAGTTGTTGAAATAATGTAGCTATATTTCATGAATTAAAAGGTTATGATATGTCTCTTCAAGAGTGATATTTTAGTAGTCAAATGAGCTGTTTGCTTGATTAACTACAGTAGGAAGACGATCCATATACGTTCTGGTCGAATGTTTCATTATAGCACTAAAAACGCGTGTCCCAGACAGCTTGTAGGAAAAAAGAAAGGGCAGGCTCTAGACATCATCATAATCATAATGTAAATAATCAAACAAGAAAGCAATTTCCCGTAACCCTCTCAGTTTCCGTGCATATTATATCTTTGCTTTAGTCCTTCTTGACATCAGCATGAGGGGCGGCGGGAGCCGCAGCAGGAGCAGCAGGGGCAGCAGGAGGGGCAGTTCCTGCTGGCTGCGAGGCGGGGACGGTTCCAGGGGCGACATTGGCCGCCTCTGCGCCGGTGGCAGTGGGAGTGGGAACATGCCCCGCGTCGGGAGCCACCTTGCCGCTCTTCAAGTCCGCCAGTCTTCTAGCCTCACCGTGGATGTCCCGCACCTGCTTGTCGGTCTGGACGTAGAAATCGCGGAGCTTTCTGCCAGAGGGGGTACCCATGGCCTTCTCAAAGTAATTGTGGAGTCCGCGCCAGCCAGAGGTGGCCTTGTCGCTCAGCTTGTAGCTCTCGTCGATGCCCCGGGCACGCTCAGTAGCCTGGTATTTCTTGTCAAAGTTGCCCAGTGCAGAGGTGAAGCGCGAGGTGAAGCCATGCTTCTTGTCGAGAGCGATGGCCTTCTGGATCGCGCTGTCACTGATTCCGTAGCCATGGGCAAGGTATTCGGCCACGATACGAGATCGGGGCTTGTCCTCCTGCTCAATCTCATGGTGGTTCTCGTTCACAGCCTCGGTGGCAGTCTGGGTGCCTGCGAGGTCCTCGATGGTCTGGGCAGCCTCGACGTGTACGGGGGAAGGACCTAGCTGGGTCTGGTCAAGAAGCAAAGCAGTCTTGGCGGCACTATGAGATTTTTTTGGTTAGTATGGGCTGATCTGAAATGTGTCGACGTGTCGACACGGGAGACGGGAGGGTGCGGGGTACTAAGACTTACGCATCTTTCTCGAAGGTCACCGTGGCGGACTTAGGAGCACCAGGCTCACTAGAAACTGGGGTGACAGAGATAGAGGTGATCTTTCCACTAGAGAATATGTCAGTATGCTATTCCTGATGAGCTGGACGTGCTGGTCATACCAGAAGCTGAAGAAATCCTGGACCTCCTTATCGGTGGTCGACCCGGCAATGCCTGAGACGTGAATAGTGCTGCGCTCCGACATGGTTGATAGATAATAGGATATTATTAAGAAAACGAGTAAAAATAACGATTCTTGTAAAAGAAGACTCAGGGATGAAGAAGATTAAGTTCGACAGAAAAAGGAGGCCAACGTGTATTTATTATTTATTTTTCAAGTAGTCGCAGCCCTAGTGATATGGCGCCACAGGTGACGTAGATGAGGGGTTCAGTCGCACAGCCACAGTGGATGTTTTCGTCATTCTGGACCGCATGTGATGGAAACATAAGGATGTATTCTGATGCCTGCATCAAATAAGAATAAGAATAGATACGACTAGTATCTAGTGGAGAGCCCAAGAAAAAATAGGGTAGTTGTTAAGAGTCAAATGTGTTTGCCTTGCAGAACCGTATCCATCGCCATCGTAAACAATATCCGTTAAGTGATAGCCCAATGTCAAAAAAGAAAAAATAGGGGCGAAGAATTAAAAAAAATCGTGTCAGATCATGAAGTTTCTGCAATGGAAGCATCCTTCATTGCATTTGTAAGAGCAGAGGTACTGCCATGTGCCAAATCATCCATTTTGGGTTCCCCATCTCGGTGCTTCTTAAGGACTTGCTCGAGATCACGCACACGGCGACGTAACGCTTCGTTCTCGCGTTTAATTGATTCGTATTCCGCACGGTGGTGGGCTGTTTCCTCATACCGAGACATAGCTGCTGCTGCTGATTTCCCTGGCTGGGTGATCGAATTTCGGTGAGGATACGAGCTTGGAACGGTAGCGACATGAGGGAAATAATCTCCTTGTTGCTGCAACGGGGGTGATAGCGATGACAGAGCAGCATCAGACTGTCGAGGTGACGTGATAGATGTTTCCCGGCTTCGACCTGGCCGGATTGGTAGACCAGAATCTCGTAAGGGTGCAATTCCAGTGACACTGTTTGTCCTCGATCCTTGAACAGCTGGAACATATGAAGAACTCAGACTTGAGGAGGAGCGATGGCGCCGTGATGTGCTATGGTTTGTAGAGCTATTCAAGTAGGGAGACGAATGCAGTGCATCTAAAGAGTCATTAAGCGTGCCCGAAGTCGATGAAGTTGTTGATGCAACAGAGGTTGTCTGTTGGCGAAGGAGGGAAAGCTCTCTAGATAGACGGTTGACCTATTGAACAGTTCATTAAAATCATAATTCTCAAATTCAGGGGCTATCCGGAAAAGACTTGCCATCGCTTCTTGTTCTTTTTCGAGCACTGAGTGAAGATCAGACGGTGTAAGAGGCTTGGGATGCCGCAACGGGCCTAATAAGCTGTTAGGACTGCTGCGACCTCAAACCTATGGGACTTTTTGTCTTGCACAAGAAACATACCGGATGCTATTCCCGCAATGCCATGGTCAGGTGGGCTCTCAGCATATGTAGTTGGGCTGAGAGCGATCAAAGGAGGGCCATTGGCTTCCGATGGGCGTCGAGAAATCACACGTGGGGAAGTGGTTGTTGGCTGGACGGCTGTCGCAGCACGAGGTCGAGCTGTTGGAGCAGAGAGAGGAACGGAGCTCAGGTCTGAAGCCATATTGGCAAGGTAGTAGCAAGATAGCTATACCGTTGGGTGTGTATGCGGTGTGGAGAAAGCAGAAGTAATGGAGTCGACGGAGGAATGACAGGATAATATATCAACGGAGGTGAGGACAGCCAACGCTAAGCTAGAAGACCGAGGTACTGTTAATGTTACTGAAATTAAGAATGGCAAAATGAATGGGAATCCACAACCCCTTGATTGAGATTCCAAGGGAGACTCAAAACATACCAGACGGTGCTCGTGGGGATTCAGGTGGCAGCCTCTCTCGCCATCGTATGTACGTACAACAAATATATGTCCGGAGTAGAGAGGGATTTTTTCAAAAAGATGAGGAGAAGAGAACAGTCCTGAATATAGAATGATGGAACCTGGGATCTTCGACGATCCACAATTACGACGCAGCTCCATCAAGACCCCATTTGGACCAAATGCGCTGCAGTGTCCCTCTTTGTGCTAAGCATCGCCACTGATTGGGCCGTGGTCGTAAGCCGATGGCCAGGCACCTCAAGCTGACTGCTCTTCTTCCACCATTTGATATTCTTTAATCAGCATCAAGAAATGATGTCTTATATTGCTGATAAACATTAGATGTTACTGAACACTGCTAGATTGGATTAAGGTCGATACCCTTACAAAGCAAGGGAGAGTGTTCCTAGGTTTCAAACTACTACATCAAAAAGGCATACTGGATGTGCTGGGTCATCCAACAGTCGTACTCGTAACGGCCACAAGTAATAGTTGCTATTTTGATTCAGAAAGAAGCCCCTTGCTGCAATATCTGCACAATTAATCATATCCACCGATGAAGTGTTTCCCATCTGCTTTATCACAATGAAGCTATCCAACCCCACACTTCACTCGAATACGTCAATCATCCCGAGGCTGGTTACATAATCCAACCCTCTCCGACCCGCTCTAAAGCAGCAAAACAACAACAATCCATCAATCAGCCCCCCTGTGAACGAGGGAAATTGCAAGGAGCATTGTCGAGCGTTATTATCCGTGATCTTCGCATGTCAAGTTTCAGAGTGATTTGAACCCTGCCTTGACGTCAAGAAGTCGCTGTTTACAGCTGAAGAACCCCGGACAATGGCCCATCAGAGTGACCTTCCAGCTACCCACATTCCCCCCTTTGCCAAACCGCTCGCTCCTTACATCAAGAGCCGGCAGGAGGCCCTGCGCATTCGACAGGCACTAACCGCTTATCTCCGCTCGCAAATTGTCTTTGCCGATGATGACCCTGACAATCCCAACTGTTATGCCCACTCCCACCTCTCCCTTTGTGCGCCCCACGATGCCGTCGTCGAGGTGAAGCGTATCTCACCGGATTTCACCGATTTGAGAAAGGAATACCTCCAAGCACTCCAAGCGAATGTGGCTGCGAGAAAGGAGTATGAATCCATATCGGAAAATGTGGGCTCAAAGATCCAGGGAAGAAATGCCAAAGTCGAGACGCCCGCCCAAGATTCCAATTCCGAATTGCAAGCATACCTTATGCTCCTCCGAGACCGTAGACGACATGCGAAGCTCCAGACCTTTCAACATTACCTACAAGAGCTTAAAGGTCGGGATGAGGCCAAACCAGAATATATTGATGACAAGGAGGGCCGCAACCAACAGCTTTTGCAGCCCGAAGAGTTTGAAGATGGCGAGCAAAATGCCTCAGGAGCAGAGGGTGGGATTGAAGGACTGGTTCACAAATTGGAAAGGGCCGTGATACGCGCAAAGTCTCAGCTGGATAGAGAGAAGAAACTATTCGACGAGATCAAAGCGCAACACGAGTCTGCTAAGCACCCCGACGAAGGCTATTCTACCACCGCAAAAGTAATTGCGTTGCAGAGGACACGAGATGAACTAGTACAATGGGTAGAAGAGAAATTGGTGAGTGTCGGGGGCAACGATGAGGGTCCTGTAGAGGATCTGCCCCCCGAGGAGCTCGAAGAATCTGCGAAACTACTGGAAGAGCGCAAAGCACAGATTGCGAAGCAGTATGCCGCCTACATTGATGCTCGCAGGGATCTCCTCGATGCGGCTTCTAAGGCTTGCCAACCTGTTGCAGCAGCGCCCGCCAAGCCCCAACCACGATCTTTAGACCACGGCCAGAATGGAACAGAAGAAACAACACCACTTGAACCGCTGGACGTCTTGCTATACGCGAGTCAAACGCTGCTTCCACTATCTAAAAGCCAGCGGGCGCTGACCCTCCAAAAGTCTTATATGGCGGGCTTGCTCGCCAAAGAAAAGTCTACGGCTCTTCGTGTATTAAACCGGTTGGGTGACGAGAGTCTCCTCCTGCCCGAGTATCCCATTATGGCCCGCCAACCCCGTGTCAACCCCGGCGCAACGGCCAGGCATTCGCGACAATCTTCAACCGCAACTGAACAGATCAAACCCGACGAGGTCGTTAACTTGGCCGAAGCGTGGGCATTCGCGTCGGAAGCGGCAGGGACGAAGGAACGAGAGCATGTGGAAGAAAATGTTGCGATGGGCGAAGAAATGGCGCAGGATGCACAGCAGATGTTGCGAGAGGTGTACAGGATGCTGAATCAAGATCTAGAGGGCGCATTGGGAGACGACCAGGACGTGGAACAGGGTAGCGGTGACAATTGGTCGCATGGAGCTCGTTCCACCAGATCGCAGACAAGACAGAGACGAGAGGAGAAGCGATCTCAAGGGCCTTGGGCGGCACTGAATGGAAGAGTGGGCGTAGCAGATTAATAGGTGTGAGGACGAACAAGCCCTATATTATGAGTAGTGAGTGCTATGATGAAATGAACAAGAAATGCCGCTTTCCATTGCAAATAGAGTTATGATACCGGGACGGAACGATTGGACACGAGGCCATTGACTGGTCTATCTACCGTGGGGGCCCTCCGATATCCGGTGAAGACGGCATATGTTCGCAAGACCTTGAACTGTTGAAGCTGCTCCAGTAAAGATCATTTTACAGTGTAAAGTGTAAATTTGTTTTCTCTCTCTGGAGATACAATCGAGATTCACCTTGCTCAATTGACGCCCCTGGGTAGTTTTTAGCCCGACATCTTCCATCTTCCATTGCAGCGCAGAAAAAAAAAAAACATGGCATGAAAAAATGTGTGAGCTCTAGAGTGGAGCTCCCAAGCATGATTGACGCTTAGCCTGCTGGCTCTCCACCAATAGTCTATATCCTAGACGTAACTACCGACCACTAAGGGCTTAGTGCCTGGCTTTTGAGGATTGAACGGTGACGCACTAGGCCGTAAGGGGTTAAGGCGGAAAGACTGGGCACAAATAACCGATTCCCGTTGGCTGTGCTTCTAGGCGGTGACCCTGCCGACTGCTGAATAAAAGCGGCGAGGACCAAAAAAAGCGACGAACAGAGAAAAAAAAAAAACCCCGTCCGTTCCGCGCACCGGAGCTCTTATCGGCCCTTGGGGACAGGTTTTTGTGTCGTTTGGGGTTTCCCGGCCACTGTACTAGCATCTCCATTTTGTGGTCCAGGTGCATTGACTCATCGCCGGTACCAAGTCTTTTTTTTTCTTCTCGACTTCCCCGTCTTCCTGCTTCCTTTGTTGAACGTCAGGTCATTCATTTATCCTTCCTCTAGTCCTCCCCTGGATCCTGGGCGTGCGGCACTCAGCGGGAAGTAGGGACAGAAAAAAAAGCCATCAAGGTTTTTAAAACAGACCAAAAACTACCGGGCTGGAAGTCATCACTACCTCACCTGGGTACACCTCCAAAAAGAGTCATAGACTCGGTCAATTGACTCAATAAACTTAATTCTTCCTCTCCTCTACTCTTTTCCCTCCGCGCAGTACACAATGGTTCTCGCAGCTCGTTGTGGACAGGCGGCGTCCTCCCTCCTCCGCCAGCGCGGTTTGGCACAAACCCGCCCTGCCACAGTTGCGCTCCGCTCGTTCTCCTCACAGACTACGGCCCGTTCGACGGCATCGGCTTTGCGATTGCAACAGAAGCTTCCTTCGACATGGCGATCGCAGCAGCTGCGTTCGTTCTCCAGTGCCATCAGCCGATTGGCCTCGGAGACCTCGAACACTCCCTCCGCTGAGTCGTATCTCGGCAGTGGTGTCGTGAAGCCTAGCGAGTTGGTCGATGTGAAGAAGGTTCTTGTCATCGGTTCTGGTGGTTTGAGCATTGGACAGGCTGGAGAGTTTGACTATTCCGGTAGGTTGCGGACTGCCCTATAGATATTTGATACCTCGCCCTCAGGTATAACTGCATCGACTAAAGATGCGGATGCATATGAATAAAGACAAGAACCGGGGATGCAATTGAGGTATATTTTATGACAAAGTCACTGACTCATATTCAAACAAACAGGTTCCCAAGCTCTTAAGGCTCTCAAGGAAGCTGGTGTGCAGTCCGTCTTGATCAACCCCAACATTGCGACCATCCAGACAGACCACAAGCTTGCCGACGAAGTGTACTACCTCCCAGTCACACCCGAGTATGTGACTCACGTCATCGAGAGAGAACGCCCTGACGGTATCTTGCTCACCTTCGGTGGTCAGACTGGTCTGAACCTGGGTGTGCAGATGAACCGCATGGGTCTCTTTGACCGATACGGCGTCAAGGTTCTGGGAACCAGCATCAAGACCCTCGAGACCAGTGAGGACCGTGATCTCTTCGCCAAGGCTCTGAACGAGATTGACATCCCTATCGCCGAATCCATTGCCGTCGGTACTGTTGACGAGGCATTGAAGGCCGCTGAGTCCGTTGGTTACCCCATTATCGTCCGTTCCGCTTACGCCCTGGGTGGTCTGGGATCTGGATTTGCCAACAACCCCGATGAGCTGCGTGACCTTTCGTCCCGTTCTTTGACCCTGTCTCCCCAGATTCTGGTCGAGAAGTCTCTCAAGGGCTGGAAGGAAGTTGAATACGAAGTTGTCCGTGACGCTGCTAACAACTGTATCACTGTCTGCAACATGGAGAACTTCGATCCTCTCGGTATCCACACTGGTGACAGTATTGTTGTTGCCCCCAGTCAGACTCTGTCTGATGAGGAGTACCACATGCTCCGTACTGCTGCCATCAAGATTGTCCGTCACTTGGGCGTTGTGGGTGAATGTAACGTCCAGTACGCTTTGCAGCCTGATGGACTTGACTACCGTGTCATTGAGGTCAACGCTCGTCTCTCTCGTTCCTCTGCTCTGGCCTCGAAGGCTACTGGATACCCCTTGGCCTACACTGCCGCTAAGATTGGTCTCGGCCACACCCTGCCTGAGCTCCCCAACGCCGTTACCAAGACCACCACTGCCAACTTCGAGCCCAGTTTGGACTACATTGTTACCAAGATTCCCCGATGGGATTTGAGCAAGTTCCAGCACGTTAACCGTGACATCGGAAGTGCCATGAAGTCGGTTGGTGAGGTCATGGCCATTGGCCGTACCTTCGAGGAGTCTTTCCAGAAGGCTATCCGCCAGGTTGACCCCAAGTACATTGGTTTCCAGGGTGACAAGTTCGAGAACCTCGACGAGGTTCTCAAGAACCCCACTGACAGACGTTGGTTGGCTGTCGGTCAGGCCATGCTCCACGAGAACTACTCCGTGGACAAGGTCCATGACTTGACCAAGATTGACAAGTGGTTCCTCTACAAGCTCCAGAACATCGTTGACTGCCAGAATGAGATGAAGGAGATTGGCAGCCTCTTCGGTATCCAGGAGGAGATGATGCTTAGAGCCAAGAAGCTCGGATTCTCTGACAAGCAGATCGCTCTGCTTACTGGTTCGACCGAGGACGATGTCCGCGCTCGCAGAAAGAGCTTCGGTATCAGACCTTGGGTTAAGAAGATTGACACCCTGGCTGCCGAGTTCCCTGCCGACACCAACTACCTCTACACCACCTACAACGCTACCTCCCACGATGTCACCTTTGATGACCACGGAACCCTTATCTTGGGAAGCGGTGTTTACCGTATTGGAAGCTCCGTCGAGTTCGACTGGTGTGCCGTCAACGCTACCCTCTCTTTGAGAAACATGGGCAAGAAGACTGTCATGATCAACTACAACCCTGAGACCTACTCTACTGACTTCGACACTGCTGACAAGCTCTACTTCGAAGAACTGAGCTACGAGCGTGTCATGGACATTTACGAGCTCGAGAGCGCCAGCGGTGTTGTTGTTTCTGTCGGTGGCCAGCTTCCCCAGAACATTGCTCTCCGCCTTCAGGAGACTGGTGGTGCCCAGATCTTGGGTACTGACCCCCAGGACATCGACAAGGCTGAGGACAGACACAAGTTCTCTCAGATTCTGGACAGCATTGGTGTTGACCAGCCCGCCTGGAAGGAACTCACCTCGGTTCCCGAGGCTGAGCGCTTCGCTGAGGCTGTCGGATACCCTGTCTTGGTCCGTCCCAGTTACGTCCTGTCTGGTGCTGCCATGAACGTCATCTACAGCGCCGACGAGCTCAAGGAGAAGCTCCTGAACGCCAGTGCTGTCTCCCCTGACCACCCTGTCGTCATCACCAAGTTCATCGAGGGTGCTGAGGAGATTGACGTTGACGCCGTTGCCTCCAACGGCAAGCTTCTCGTGCACGCCGTCAGTGAGCACGTTGAGCCCGCTGGTGTCCACTCTGGTGACGCCACCCTGGTTCTCCCTCCTGCCAACCTCGAGCAGTCCATCATGGACCGTGTTAAGGAGATTGCCGAGAAGGTCGCCAAGGCTTGGAACATCACTGGTCCCTTCAACATGCAGATCATCAAGGCCGACATCGAGGGTGCCGAGTCCCAGCTGAAGGTCATTGAGTGCAACCTCCGTGCCTCTCGTTCCTTCCCCTTCGTTAGCAAGGTTTTGGGAACCAACTTCATTGACGTTGCTACCAAGGCTCTTGTTGGACGTGACGTTCCTGAGCCCGTTGACCTCATGAGCGAAAAGCGTGACTACCTTGCTACCAAGGTTCCTCAGTTCAGTTGGACCCGTCTTGCTGGTGCCGACCCCTTCCTTGGTGTCGAGATGTCCAGTACTGGTGAGATTGCTTGCTTCGGTAAGGATCTGGTTGAGGCCTACTGGTCTTCCCTCCAGTCCACCATGAACTTCCGCGTGCCCGAGCCTGGTGAAGGTCTGCTGTTCGGTGGTGACATCAACGACCCTACCCTGTCCAAGATTGTCGACTACCTTTCTCCTCTTGGCTACAAGCTCTTCGCTGCTAGCCCCGAGGTCAAGGCTCACCTCGAGTCCGCTGCCAAGGGCAACGTTTCTGTCGAGGTGATTGAATTCCCCAAGACCGACAAGAGAAAGCTCCGTGAGGTGTTTGAGAAGTACGACATCCGCGGTTGCTTCAACCTTGCCAAGAGCAGGGGCAAGACTCTGCTCGACGAGGACTACGTTATGAGACGCAACGCTGTCGACTTTGGTGTGCCTTTGTTCATGGAGCCTAAGGTATGAATTTCCTCCCCAGTTAATCAACTTTATTTTGGTTCATGATTGCTAATTCTCCTCCAGACCGCTCAACTCTTCGCTCAGTCCATGAGCGAGAAGCTGCCCCGTGGTGACGGCATTCCCTCTGAGGTTCGCAGCTGGTCTAACTTCGTCGGCGGCAAGCTGCTGTAAACCCGACATCCAAACAAACACACAAAAAGCAAACCTTCCGTATAAATCTAATTTCCCGATCTTAGCTTTTCATTTTTTTTTTTTTTTTACCCCAGGCAAACAAAAGCTGCCTTGTTTGGCGTAGCGGATAAGGCTTCGTGTTGATAGACTATTTGTTTTTGGTCCCGGCATTCGAGCTTCCCTGCTTCGGCCGGAAAAGGCGAAGCAATATCAAAAATAGGGTCACGCACCCAGGAGATCTATCTGTCTTCATTTATTTATTGTTTTGGTTTTGGCTCCTCTAGTAGGCTGGTTGGCTATGTGCTTGAGCGAGAAGAATATTGAAGCCGGTTTCTATTCATAACTTGTTACTCAATGATTTTCTTCAATTTATGTATTGTATCAGTATATTCATGTTCAAATCTCAACTTCCTTTGCCTCTATTTCTCTGTTTCTACGTTGTAAGTTGAATACATTGAAGACTTGGTGATGTGGACATCACCACTGGTTCTGTTGCAACGACATGGATCAGCTTCCTTCAAGCTCATATATTCAAATAGTATATCATTGTCAATTCTACAAGCCCATTATTTTACAATTTTAAACCCAGAGACAGAAATAATAGAGCCCGATGTTTTCGGATTTTGGGCTCGACAAGATATTCGATGACTAATCACATGATCACGTCCATCGTCTCTTCAAGATCCCCAAAACAGAAACTCTTCAATTAATTCAGTTTCAAGATGTCTCTTGAAAATCCTCTTCCATCAGTCCATACAAAGACCACCCCAGGACCAGCTCCTAATGGCCTGGGAACTGGTATTTTCGCCTCTGCAGATATTGGCTCCGGGCAGGATGTTTTGAATGTACAAAGTCCCTTTGTGGCTGTTCTTGATACACCACGACTAGAGGATACCTGCTCTGGGTGCTTTGGGAAGAGACACCTGGAGGTTCCAGTTGATCTGAAGGCATGTACTGGATGCCAGGTTACGAAATATTGTGACAGGGTTGGTTTCTTCATCTGCTCCCATATTCTTCTAGATTGCTGATTTCCTCGCCAGACTTGTCAAGCCAAAGACTGGAAGTTCGCACACTCCCTCGAGTGCCCAATCTACCAAAAGCTCAAACCGAGAATTCTTCCAAACAATGCGAGAGCAATTCTCCGCATGGTTCTGCGCAGTGGACGTCGAAAATATGCTGCGCAGGAGCTCGACCTTTTTGTCCGGCTAGAGACTCATGTTCGAGAGATACTAGACCAGAACATGAAACAGTGGGAGCGTATCGCTCTGTCAGCGAAGGCAGTGAAGGCATATTCTGGAACTGAGATGAGCGAGCAAGCTTTATCTGCTTTTGGAGCCAAGGTAAGCCCTGGCTTTCTTTCCTGTATATCTTTATGCTGAGCGAACGGGCTGACTTTTTTTCATACAGCTTGACATGAATGCTTTCAACCTCACAAATGCTCAATATGATCGTATTGGGCTATACTTGCACCCATATGCGGCTTTGATAAACCACGGCTGTGATTATAACTCTGTTGCCGGGTTCGATGGCGATGAGCTCTTTGTTAAAGCCATCCGGCCAATCAAAAAGGGAGAACAGATTTTTATCTCTTATATCGACGCAACCAACCCACTTGAATATCGCCGTGGAGAGCTTTCTGAGAGATACTATTTCAACTGCCAGTGCTCCAAGTGCGAGAAAGGAACAGATACAATGGAGGACCGATTTTTACCTACTGCGCCATCTGACTGTTCTACCCTGGATGCCTCTCATAGGAAAACCCTGGAGCTAATGGAGTCTGCTTCTGACCCTGATACTGAGCCATTGAAGGCAGTCAATATGCTCGAGTCTGCTATGCAGGGACTGCGCCAAACCGGTTCATGGCCCATCGCCCGACAGCCATATGTTTCCTTGCGTGATGAGTTGATAACATCTTTACTTTCGGCAGGAAGATTCAAGTCAGCATTTATCCACGCCGCTATCCGCTGTATACTCATCGACCCCGTCATATATAGCCACGATGCTCACCCAATCCGCCACTTACATGGATGGGCGCTGGCAAAGCTCGCCATACACCTGTCACAAGGGATGGAGGCGAACACCGACGATCCTTATGCGCTTGAAGCCCACGGACTGAACTTCAATTTCATCATTTGGTTTATACTGAGTAAGCTTGTCAGTCAGGAATCGGAAAGTTGCACCGTGCCTAGTTTCAAGAGGCTAGTGAGAAGCGCTTTCAATGATGTGCATAAGGAGTTTACTGCCAATGGTCTGGACCCTATGGATATGATAGATAACATACGGAAAGAGTGGGATAAGCTTGAGAGAATTGTGAGGGAATCAGATAGCATATTGTGATTTTGTCATCTTATATCAATCAATCATGTTCGAAGGACCTTGAGGGAGCTTTTCGAGTCTTGAGTAGGAATTGGAGTTTCCCACTGCGAGTTGACATGCGCGTAGGTATTGAATGAGGCTATCATTGACCAATTAATGGAGCTTGTGAGCTTTTATGGGTTATGACTTAGGACAATTCGATACTCAATTAAAATCTCGCAGGTATGTGGTAGGTACTTGCATAAATACCAGACCGGCCACAAAAGAATAACCTTTGCAGTACAGGCTACGGAGCAGAGTGTGCATTGACACGAGGGCAAGGCCATAAGCCGGAGCTAAGTGGATCTACGGGGTACATACGAGCTGCATGACCTCACAATCAATAAATGGCCAGAACCAGGGACGATTCACGAGGATACAATGCGCCAGAAAAAGATAAGACTTCGTAGAATTAGACTCCTTTCCCCTAGCTAAAAAAATTGAACAGAGGAAAATGGTTAAGTCTTTTTGTCTCCATCTGATCGGACCGAGAGACTCGAGTCCTTTTCATAGGAGAAAGTAGATCCCGTTGTTTTTTTTGTTTCATGCCGACAAGATCTTTATATTGAGATTGAAACAGCTGACCCGCACTTGACATACAAGTTGATGAACCCAAAGATATGAATATGGATTCCATCCATTTTTCCTCCCTGAATCCGCCTGACCGGTACTCCACGCAACACTCCAAAAGCCTTTGTTCGTTTATTTGAGGGGAATGAAACGGGAAGAGTGGGTGGCACCGATACCGGGACGACCGTGCTTGACGGGCTTGCTGTAAAGTTGTTAGATCATTGGCTTATAAGGATGGGTGAAGTACTCAATAGAGGGAAACGTACTATGAGATGGAGAATTCGGCAAGGTAGTGGCCAACCATCTCGGGCTTGACCTCAATCTGGTTGAACTCCTTTCCGGAGTAGATACCAATGACGGAGCCGATCATCTCGGGGACAATGATCATGTCACGGAGGTGGGTCTTGACGAGGTCGGGCTTCTCGTTGGGCTTGGCCTCCTGCTTAGCCTTACGGAGCTTCTTGATGAGGCCCATAGGCTTGCGCTTCAAGCCGCGGTTGAACCTACGGCGAGCGCGGGCGTGCACGACATCACGGAGCTGTTCAGAGGAGAGGTCGAGGAGCCTATATAAAGCGCTCAGTCAGAAATGCCATTCCTTCATATTCATCATCCCACACCCGACTCCAAAGAAACTTGTCGCCAATGCTTTTCGTTCGTTCGGAGTCGGGTGCTGGGAGCCAGGGGATGCGCGAGGCGAACGTACTGGTCGAGGTCAATACCACGGTAGGTAAACTTTCTGAAGGTTCTCTTTCTCTTGAGCTCTGTTTGGCGATGACAGTCAGCGTCTGATTCTTGTCCCTGGTCTGCGTGGCCCCTTCAATCGCGACATGTCGGCCCCTCATAAACCATCAAAACTCCGTCACAAAATGTCGTTCCATTCCAGTTTCCATCAAGACAAGACTCCAACAAGTGTCGCTTAAACCACGGGCATCAGGAAAGGTTCTCAATGATAACGTACCGGCAGCCTCCTCGGCGTTCTGTATTAAAGGACAAATGTTAGTTCAACCATCCTTTCATCTCACTAAAACGGGATACATGACGGGTCTACTCACGTATTCGTGGTCAGCCATTTTTGCGGATGTTCCTCAAGGTCGCTTTTCGAACGGGATCTCGAAAAGCGAATTGTCGTGGCGTGTCGTGTCGCTGAAAAGACGTTCGTCGGGCGGACCTCTCGCTTCTACGCTTCGAGTTTGGAGGTGGGCTGGAGGGCTCGCCTAAGCGACCGGGCTAGGTCAAACCCTAACAAACTAGACCGCATCGGTCGATTACATATTAGGGCTAATTATGTCTTGGCAAAGATTGCGATAGACAGCATTTAGATGGATAAGCAAAGGATAGAGTGATAATTATTGGGCTAGATTTGACTGCTTTCGATTTAATGGATTTCCATAACTGGTGCTGTAAAGATCCACAACCATGTAATCTACGTGATGGCAATCTTAGGTTTAATTCAAAACGCTTACACACGAGTCTCTACAGAGAATGCGGATGCAGATTTGCGGAGGTCAGATAATCTGTATTTGCTAAAGGCTTTTTTTTCCAGCTCACGTATGCATAATTCGTAACTGCATCAGAACAACCTGAAGCATGCAGGTTTGAAACCCATGGGCGAGATCACTCCCCATTTTGAAAACAACTGCCAGACTTCTTTCCCCCCACGGATTGCGATTTTTTGTAGCCTCAGATAGGTGAAAGCGCTTAGTCGAAGAGACCGAAGCCCATGTCCTCGTCGGACTCCTCCTCGGCCTTCTCCTCCTTCTTCTCCTCGGCAGGGGCGTCACCACCGGCGGCGGCACCGGCGGCGGGGGCAGCGGCAGCAGCACCGCCGGAGGGAACGGAGGCGAGCTTGGTGGTACCCTCAGCGATCAGCTGTAAAAAAATGTTAATTCCGACTCTCGCATTCCACTGTAGAATTCAGCGCATATCACTAACCTCCTGGATGTCCTTGCCCTCGAGCTCAGAGATGAGCTTCTGGAGACGCTCCTCATCGGCGTCAATGCCAACGGAGGAGAGGACAGCCTTGACATCCTCGGCAGAGGGGCTGGCGTTACCAGCGAGGGTGATGAGAAGGTAAGCGGCGAGGTGCTTCATTTTGATCTGTATGCAAAATTTTTCCGTTAGATTTGATCTCCGATTAAGTTGAGTGCGCCGTATGACGATAGGTTTGAAAATGCAGCTTTTGAGAAACACATACCGAAGTTTTTATGAAATGTATCGAAAACGAGAATCAATCGATTTAACCGCAAGTTGGGCGGAGACTGAGACGTCGATTCCGGGGGAGGTTGAGCGATGTGAGAAGTAGAAAGTCAAGATGGAATCTCCAAAATCGCAAGAAAAGTGCGGTGCGGCTGGTTTCTGTGGCTGGTGCGCGCCGTCGGGCTCTAAGCGAGAAGCTGTGGCGCAGGCGATTTGGATTCGCAGTTGAATGTCACGTGACACCGTGCCTTCTAGAAGACAGGATGGCGTCTTGCTGCTGCTTTTTCTCCCCGCTTCTCTCGTTCTTGTTGAGTCAAAAGGTCTTGTTTCGCTCACATTCACATATTCAACGGTGGTGAAGTGGGCATTCTTCACTCGCGAACCTCATTTTGGTGCACTAGGACGCAGTTCACGTTATCTGGCGCATCTGAAGATCACTTCAGTAGTGTCGTACCGAAGTCATGAAGTTACTCTGTCATTCTAACCACCGACGGTGAACACATCTTTCTTTCAGCTTCCCCTTTTCAACTGTGTTCTGGGACTATCATTTCACTGAAAAGCAATATGAGTGTAAGAGATTTTTGCGGGTGTTTTCTCAGTGACATTGTCTGACACGTCTGCAGTTCCTCGATTCCGTACTCTCGTCCATCGAGACGGGAAAGCCGTCCTCAGTTTCGCCAGCAACGACCCCCCGACCCCCCGCATCCCCCATTCCATCTTCAACCGCCAAGTCCGAAGTCCGCAAACCTAGCACGGGGATTCGCGATATTCCTGAGCGGAAAAATGTCGCAGCAGGGACGAAGCGAAAGGCTGAGGAGCAGCTGCGCCGTCCATCGAACCCGAATACTCAGTTACCTGGAAGGACAGCCGTACCAAAAACAAATACCCAATTACCTGGGAGGCCAGCTGCGTCAAAGCCCGCCACTACATCTACAGCGGCTTCCAAAGCCCGTTTGAACCCGGCTTCTGGTGCGGCAAAACCTACATCTGGCAGCAGTGGATCAACGGCCCAGAAACCTGCAGCGGTATCCTCGAAGCCTCCTCCTAAAGGATCTTACGCAGATCTTATGGCGAAGGCAAAATCATTGCAAGATAAAGCACCGACACAGGTTGGCATGTTCAAGCATCATCAATCTACTCCCAGAGAAAAGCTCAGCAAGGCGGAACGCAAAAAGCGAGCGACGGAAGCTCTGGCAAAGGAAAAGAATTCACGTTCCGGAAAAAAGGCCGCAACCCCTGCTGGTGCAGCAGGCGCAAAAGCTGGCGATGGAAAACCCATCAGAAAACGAGAACCAGAGGAACTTTCTTATAAGGGCACTGCAAGACCGTCGCAGCCTCTGTCCGGATACCGAGGAACGGCCGGTATACCCAGCCGGCGTAATCCGAATGATAAAGCACAGTCTCGCGCTGGCAAACGGAGAGTGGACGAATATCTTGCAACAGACGAAGAGGACGAAGGGGATTATGCGGACGACTACGACGACTACTATTCGGAATCATCTGATATGGAAGCTGGCTTGGATGATGTGGAGCAGGAAGAAGCATCAGCACTTAAATTTGCCAGGAAAGAAGATGAAGAAGAATGGTTGGCAGAGCAAAAGGCTAAGCAAGAGAAGCTGGAACGCCGTAAAAAGCTGTCTGCATTGGCATCCAGGAGTAGATGATTCACTACTTTTTATCTCTACTCGAGTTATGACATGACTCGATTCCTTTCCTCGACATTTTTTTTTATTTTTTTGAACGCACAGCATCAGCGAGGAATACCCGTTGGGTCCATTACATACCAGTTTGCTTCTATTACCATTCGGTCATTGTATCTCCTTGAGTTTTTGCTTAACTTCTTTCCTTTTTTTTTTTTTTTTTTTTTCTTTTTTTTCTGGTGAGCATCAGCGTGCGCCAAGGTGTCGATATTTAGATGGTGGACAACTCGTCCTTTTGTTCCATTTCTTTTCATTGGTCTACTTGCGAAGAGCGGGCGTCATTCTTACACTCTTAGCTTCTGGATAGATTCAGCTAATGCAAATTTCATGAACAATATTTCTTGACATCAGCACATCTTTGATATGGAGAATATACTTGTTTGCAAATAATACTAAGGCCCCACCTCGTAGGCGGTGACATCACCCGGTGTAATCTTCGTTTCCCCATTCCTGTTCCACCTCTCCCCTCATACAACATCGTCTAGCTATTTAGGGGTTCGGGTCCCAAGTCCTCATAATAGCTATCCCATAGCTCATCACACCATATCAAGCAATCCAACATGGAGTCAGTACACCATGTGTCGGCCTCCTCGAAGGCTTTATTCAACAAAGCGCGCAAGATAGTGCCTCCATTGCTGGAGAAGTTTCACAAAGGTCAGTACGTCGCAATTGTGTGCATTCGAAGGTCTATCCAAGAGAATCCGCCACTATTAATGATTGGTATGTCTACGGCCTCCATAGCTGACAGAAGATGCAGGGCAACATGGGCGTGTTGCTGTGATTGGGGGTTGTGCGGAGTATGTCCCAATTTCTTAGCACTGTTCGACGTGAATAATACTGAGAAACTTCCAGCTATACAGGTGCCCCATACTTCTCCTCGATGGCATCTGCGAAACTAGGTAGGTCATGCAACCATTTCTTCAGGGCCTTATTGACTGAACCTGTACCACAGGGTGTGATATGGTAAGATGACTGTTTTGTATCCGCTGTTTATGTTTTGTGCTGGCCTAACATGTGACAGAGCCATGTTATTTGCGAAAAATCAGCAGCTACGGTATTCTCACTCTCCCTCGAGGTAGCCCGCCGAGCTCGTACTTATAGCCATTCAGGTCATCAAAACCTACTCTCCAAACCTTATGGTCCATCCATTGCTACCGAGCAGCGACAGCGTTCCAAACCCCAATTCGATAGATGCTCCCGCTCTTGCCAGTCCAATAATTGATATGCTCTCGCGTCTGCATGCGTTGGTTATAGGACCAGGTCTTGGTCGTGATGGGGTGACACTCCAAGTCGTTACAGAGGTGATGAAAGAGGCACGGTCACAGTCAATACCCTTTGTCTTGGACGCTGATGGTCTGCTTCTTGTCACGGAGGACCCAGGTTTGGTAAGAGGATATAAGGAGTGTATTCTCACCCCCAATGTGAACGAGTTCAGTCGCCTAGCGAAAGCATTAGGCATTGAGGTGCTCAGCCAGGCTCAAATTGCATCTCAGTCAGATGGAGATAAGACAAGCAAAGAAACGGATGCTTGTGAGAAACTTTCAAACGCCTTGGGTGGTGTGACAATCATCCAGAAAGGACCACATGATGTGATCTCCAACGGCGTCACCAGTATTGTCTCCGATATTCAGGGAGGGCTCAAGCGCAGCGGAGGCCAGGGTGATACACTCACCGGATCCCTTGGGACGCTTTTGGCTTGGAGAGACGCATACCATAAAGGTCTCTGGGAGAGTGATGAGAAAGACAACCCAAAGGAGGCACAGACCAAGCAAGAGGTTAAGGAGGAATTGGAGACCGAGGGCAAAAGGATGTCTCCTGTAACAACACTGCTTCTTGCTGCCTGGACAGGCAGTGGAATTACGAGGGAGTGTTCTCGACGTGCCTTTTTAGCAAAGGGAAGAAGCATGCAGGCTAGTGATTTGACTGATGAGGTTCATGAGAGCTTCCTGGCCTTAATCGGTGAGCCTGAAGGATCCAAGGTACATCTTTAGCCTTTAGGCTCAACTTCTCCTTCGAAAACGGCTTTCATGTATAAAAAACATCGCGTACAAACAATATAACGCCCAGGCTTTTTACCCTTTCACCATCCGCACCTTCGGTTAGGAGTGAACATCACAGAATATGCAACCGACAGCGACTGCAGCTCTGATACCTAGTAGGTGTATTGATTGATGCGGTACCATGGCAGGTCGTATAAGCAAGAGAGCCCACGACCCAGAAGCTTATGCAGAGTGGTTGACCGCCAATACGGTAGCCGTAGCATAATCCCCATCATGACTGATTGAGAGCTGTGCCACTTGTCTTCTCAATGGTGGTAGGTCTCCATCCCCCTCGTTTGTATCTGCAGTTTGAGGTGGCGGTACATGTAAAACCAGGACTGGCTTCATCTTGCCAGGGACCGTCAAGATTTCAGCTTGATGCCAACCCAGTCTGTGAGGATATACTGCCTTCATGGCGGCCTCCTTGGCCGCGAACCTAGGAGTTTTCAGCTCATTCCTCGGATTTTGTCAGAGATAGGGCACCTTACCGCCCAGCCACCCAACTTGACAACTTCCAAAACGCTCGCTCGTATTGAGTGCGCTGCAGATTTTTATCGGTACCGGACTCATCCTGGCCATTATCTTCGTTATCGGCCTTGTCTGCGATATTCTCTCTTAATTGCAACACCTTGTCATATTGCTCCTGGAAAAAAGACCGCTCTGCCGGACTGAAAATTCGCTGGCTGAATCTGTCGACTTGTTTCTGGCTATTGTCAGTCAGAAGTCGCTGGATTCGAGGAATATGGCATATGTCGGTGCCGAGGGCTAATGGGTATGGGAAAGGAAGAGCATCATCTGTTGCCGCCATTTTGCGTTCTGAAGATCAAGTAAAGTCTGGTTGGGATGAGATTGGGCTCGGCCCGCTTGAGAATCATAATTTTAGCGGAGACTTGGGTCGGTCTCGAGGGTACAAAAGAGAACGTGGACTACTATTCTACTTGGCTGGATTGCCTTGCATTATTTATCTAAATGGACGATTTCTTGTTTTATGATTCCTGTTGCTCGTTGAATCTAGTGCTACTATGTAATTCCCAAGCCTACTCAACGTTGATATGAGCTTTCACATAGTCGATAACAGCCCCAACTATCATGTTGTTAGTTATCCTCCCATGCCATATTTTACCAACGAAAGTTCAAATGTTTACCTGTTTGTAATTTTTGTGCTTCTTCATCGGCAATTTGTAGATCGAATTCCTGTACTTCTTATTAACATATCCATGCGTAACAGAAGCCAACATTAATATCATACATTTTCCACGGCCAAAATCAGCTCCACAAGAACCAGGGAATCGGCTCCCAGGTCATTCTCAAAACTCTTCTCACTGGTAACCTAACAATAGTGAGTCAGATGCTCATAAAGAGAGCTTTCATGCGTATTACTTCTTCCTGCTTCACCTCAAGCTGCTCCGAAACTATTCTAAATACTTTTTCCTCAACAGACATTTTGAGAGCTTGGATGGCAAATGCGGGGTGAGAATGTGTGCGGATTTGTGAAATTGCAAATCAATCAGGCAAACCACGGGCGCCAGTGGGTTTTATAAACCTTCCTTTTAAAGCCTTGGCCTGGAAGCGAGTGTTCTGTCGAAAAACTATGACGTCAAGTGGATTTGGGAGGAAAGATGAAATTATGCAAGATCTACTTTACACTATTAGATATCTAAGCCATTAATCTACTAGTTCAGTTTTTTATGACTCATTAAGCCATTTTAGAAAATACACATGACTTGGCGATCTCGCAGTTCGTGAAAGATCGTGCTTAAGAGGAGACCGTGGCTCCACCAGTAGGTAATCATCCACACCGCTCTTTTACCGATGAGATCTCATCTTTTATATCCTGATACCTAGGAGTAGGTGTTTGGATTAAAATTGCTTGCAGTGGCCTAAGAGCTTGCCATCAGCCTCTGTTGTTCTCATACAGGTCGAGTCGACTCGGTCAATTACGCGACTTGTGTGACCCGCTATACACAGGAATAACTCGATGAAAATGGAAGATTTGAAATCGAATACGAGTAGAAAGATCGAAGTGGGTTGGGCTTCTCGAGTCTGCCTCTCGTTGCCATTATTCGCCTGGTTGTAGAATCCGATATCCAACGCGTGAATGGCAATCCAAGTTACACCTTACATCCTGGATGAGAGCCAACATGCAACATTGTTAAATTTTAAATAGTTACTACTAAGAGCGATGCTGCTTCCACCACTCCACAGTCCACAGGCTGGATCTTCACGCCTATGCCTGGTGAAGAATGCTGCATGCGGTGAGTGTAACGTGAAGAATCACCGCGATGGAAGAATCGGATCATTCCCAGACCCAGGACTCAGAGACCTTGATGTTTACTCGACGACGGGAGGCATGCTCCGGATCTAGTATCCTTGGTGTACCTGGATGCCAGTGCCAACTCAATTTTCTCCGCAGGGGAATCTTTTCCGGATTCATCAGAGACATGCTGGATGTCGGGTCTCGGCATGTTGCTTTCTGGGATTGACTTTTTCTCTCGCAGTGACGCCCTTGTCAGTCAATGAGGATCTACACATCTGTCATGCTCAGACACCTTGCAGGGTAATCATCTGCCCTGCCAGCCCTGCCAGCCACTGTGAGACAGAGGCATTCAAAGTCAAGATGGGGAATGTAACAAATGAAAGGGTATAAAGAGAAGGAATACCCTCGACAAGTTGAACCCTCCACTCCAAAGCAAAACAAAAACCCAGTATCATCACTTGAATCCATTCCTACAAGCCATCTCTCCCAAACCTCCATCCACCATGCACACCTTCCACCTCGTCTCTCTCCTCCTGGCATCCGCCTCCCTTGCTGTCTCCAGCATCGTCCCCTACAAGCAGTGCGGCACCTGCAATCCTCTATCCGGCGAGAACCACTGCGACCCCAGCACATCCTGCATCAGCACCGGCACCCAATTCCACTGCGCCTGTCGAGCAGGCTACAAGGCCAGCAAGCACGATTTCGACGCCAACAAGCAGTTCCGGCTGGAAATCCCCAACTACGAATTCTTGGTCTTCACACCCGAGCACACCAAGTGCGACGTTCCTTGCAAGAACTCGTACGGTGCTGGTCCGGATCTTTGCGCGGAGGTCCCCATCCACAAGGAGTGTGCTGTTTAATCTTCTCTCACCTTGTTGCTCTTTTCCTTAATCGATCAGGGTAGCCCTTGAAGGGCTGGGTGTTGATCCGCATTCTCACTACATTCATCGCCCCTGCGGCCTTTAGATTAATGCTTAATCAATGTAATATCTCTCCCTTATCAGGGATAATGTACCAGGTTTATGCTGGTTGTTTCAAAAGTCTTGTCTTCTATTGAAAAATTGTATTTAGATCTGGTGTTAGAATTCTAATCTCACGCACGTCTTGGTTGAAAAAGAAAAATGCTTTGCACCATAAACACCCACGCCTATACTCTACCAATTCTGAAGGAATCTGACGTAAACAACATGCACAACTCATGTACCAAGGGAAATATGGCCAACATCGAACAGAAATGACTAGTGATAGAGGAAACAACCCAGGAAAAGAAAGATAAATAGAATATTCATGTCAACAGTGCTATAATTAAGTAGTTTTTCATCGCAGATCCATGTCCTCGTCATCACCGGCTCCGACGAAGAGAAGGCGTGTTCCGTTGCCAGTGACTTGCCAGACCTGAAGAACGTGTTAGTAGGCGCCAGTGTCAAAAGAAATACAAAATCAAAACTTACGTCGAGCACAGCGTATTCATCGACTGCCATTGCCAGCTGATCCTCCGTGAAACCCTTGGCCAATACCCTCTCGCGCACTCTCTTCATGCTGAGTTCACCCTCTTCGCCATCACCCACAGCCGCAGCGCCACTTTCCAGCATACCCCGGATCAGACTATAGATCTTACTGCTAGGGGTCTGGTCGGCACCAGTATGGCTATCGTTGTACAGGGATGCCTTGCTGACCTCAGTGAGACGCAAAGCCTCGTCAACATCCTCCGTGACCACAACATCACTGAATCGAAGACGCGCAAGGGCCTGTGAAAGACGGACAACACCGAGCAGAGTACGTGGAGTAACGTGAGAAAACTGTTTCCTGTTCTCCTCATCGCGCTTCTGCTGCTTTCGCATTGCCACGTATGCCCCAACCATGTAGTCGGAAATGGTCGAGGGGACAACAGGTCGGTAGGTTCGTGCCTTGGCAATATATTGACGAACTTCATTGGGCGTAAAAGCAATACCAGAATCCTGGTTCTCAGGATGTTTGTTATGCATATGCACATAGGTGACATGGTTGGCCAATTCCTCATCACCATCGGGCGAAGGGGTATCGAGAATGAGGAACATTACATCGAAACGCGAAAGCAGGGCGGCGGGAAGGTTGATATTCTCAACAGGAGAAATTCGCGGGTTGTATCGTCCGTAGAGCGGGTTTGCTGCCGCCAGGATAGATGTACGTGCGTTAAGGGTGGTGGTGATTCCAGCTTTAGAGATCGAGATGGTCTGCTGCTCCATTACTTCATGGATGGCTGTTCTGTCCGCATCATCCATCTTGTCGAATTCATCAATACAACAGATACCGTTGTCCGCCAAAACCAGAGCACCACCTTCCAAGACCATCTCATCTGTAACGGGATCTCTCATGACTGCAGCAGTAAGACCAACACCACTGCTTCCTCTACCGGTTGTGTACACACCTCGGGGCGCGACCTTCGTGATATACTTCAGCAATTGTGATTTAGCCACACCAGGGTCACCCATGAGACAAATGTTGATATCTCCACGAATGTGCATGCCATCGCCCATTTCCTTGCTCACACCTCCGATGAGGAGCAGAAGTAGAGCCTTCTTGACGTCAAGGTGGCCGTAAATCTCAGGGGCAATAGACCGCGATAGGTATTCATACATGTTGCCGGACTTCTGGTGCTGCTCAATCTTGCGAAGGGTTCGGCTGTCCATCAACAATTCATTATAAGCCTGCTTGTGCTGCGTGATGTGCTGAGCCTCCATGTAGGTGTCTGTCAGCAAACCAGCACGGATGGCTCTAAACCCTGTGTAGGGAGTGGGCAGAAAAATGCCCGCAACATCAACAATGTCACCAGGGTTGAGCTGTCTTGTGAGACTTCCATGGCAGTGAATGGTTAATGTTCGTGGAATATGGCCAACAGGCACCTGGTCTGCCATTTCCTGGATCTTCACTTCTTGGAATGGAACAAACTTGGACGCGCGGGTAGAAAGGAAAAGCTGTCCCTTGGAGTTGTTTTGCTTGCACTCATCTGACATACACTCCGTCATAGGCTGGAACTGCTTGGTAGTAACCGGCTGGAACACTTCGCATCCGCAACGATCACAGGTGTACGCGTTGATCTGGACAGCAGGCTTGACATCGGAAACACGAGTAGTGATACCACGGATTGTAATGAGGCTGCCGAGGTGCTCTGCTTTCACATTTCGTACTGCGAGGGCTTTGGAGTCGCGCTCACTGCTGGACCCAGAGGGGGTAAGCGGCTTAAAGTTAAGAGTGTATCGACGGGTCAATTCGGGGGGAAACATTGAAGGAGCAGCCGCTGCATCCATGTCCGCCTCCATGGCCATGGTCATTGTCTCGTTTCGTTTCTCGCGTTGCGACATGATCACATCGAGCACATCATCTTTAAATCTGCATCCAGTTAGCTGCAAGCTGTTTCAATCAACAAGAACTACATACGTCATCTCTTTGGTTTCTTTGGGCATCACATCGTCCACTGCCTGCGAAAAGACATCGATGTAGCGCTTGGTGTTCTTTTGGACAGACTCGACGAGTTTCAGGTCTGTCTCCTCCGGCAGGGTTTTTTCGAACTGTACCCACGTTAGACATGGCCACTTCAATTGAAAGGATGCCGTTTACATACGGTGATCAAGTCGTCTAGTTCAATGAGAACGTTCGTCCGTTCCCGATCTGCGACATCCTGGAGCATCTGCATGTACTTGAGCTTCGGTTCCCGGCGTCTGCGACCAGCGCCCTGCGCTCCGCCCTCATTCTCGGCATCCTCCATGAAGTCGTATTCATCGCTAGTGCCATCTCCATCAATGTGCAGGTCTTCCAGAGCTTCGGTTGCGGCCGATTCAGAGGCGGACTCGAAGGTCTTGAAGTGCTTTAAAAAGTCCTTGAAAACATCCAGCTGTGCCGCGTAGTCGACAGGGGCGGGGTATTGGAGCAAAGCCATGATTCAAGGAAAGAAGGAGCCAGTTCAATTGACTGTTCGGCTGGCAAAATAAGGGTTGATGGCGATGGTGTTAGATTCCCATCGGCGGGCGAAAGGGTTATCGTGGGATGCACGGTGTGAGGCTTTTCGGACAGAGGTAGTTTTAGTGGGTCAACAGCTTTTTGGCCTTTTTGGCGCAGAAACACGTCGCGACGCGAAAGAAACGCGCTGCCCATTCCTCAGATTCTGCTAGACCCAAAGGGGACTAGCGTGGGAATACGTGGGGCGGAGCGGAATAAGTCTCGGCCCGAAACACCTTGAGGCGGGCCGGCTCGGCGAAAGGCGCTCGGCGGGCATTTGATTGCGGAGTCAAGTCCGGGGAGATGATCTGGTCTTCTCTCATTCTACCGTCAAGAAGCCTCAGTCTTTCTTTAACTTGCTTGTGAACGCAAGATTCTGCATATCTGCGCCTGAGAATGGCGCCTAAAAAGCCCTCTACTACGGCGGAAGTCGCCCTCGTGCCATTGAAGAACTGTCTGGTGAACTTGCCGCCATCGCTGGTCACACTGCTGGTCAATGCCAATGCTGTAAGCTATACTCCTTTCCTTGATTTACTTTGTGGTTAAGTTCAATGCTGACTCTGGTTTCAAGACAGCGCAAAGTGTCATTGTCGAGCTACAGTACCGGGGTTCTGCAGGAAAGACCAACGGCAGTCCCGCACTGCGGTCATGTTATCTAGGATGGTCAGGAATGCCAAGCAAGCGAAAGCTTGCACCTGTTGTCGGCAAAGATGGAATTAGCAGTAGCTCTGGCTCTAGGGAGCAGGATATGTCAACAGTCGAAGTTGATACTACGTTTGGGCGGGTGCTGGGTCTTGCGGAGGGGCAGAGGGTAAGCTGGTATTCCATGGCCACAATGCATTATGCGATTCTAACGGGCTTTTAGGTTGGGATATTCATACATATCGACCCCCCGGTTGCGCATACTATTAACATTGAACCGTTGACTCCAGAAGACTGGGAGAGTATGGTTTATCTCTGCGATCTCTATATGGCGCCTGCTAACCTTGTCACTTGTAGTCATCGAACTTCACGCCACTTTCCTAGAGCTCAACCTATTATCTCAAATTCGGGCTTTACCCAATCCTACATACAGCTCGACAGAAGCGGAACATATGCATCCTCTCACACTGCATCTGTCTCCCACGTCCACAGCTAATATTGTCATTACGTCGCTTACGCCCGCTCCGCCAAATACTTCTCCATTCGCGAAGATAGCTCCTGATGCAGAAGTAATTGTGGCTCCGAAGGTTCGTCAGAAATCTGCGAGGGGATCTCGAGGGGACAGCCGAAGCGTTAGCGGCAGCAGCAGGAGAAGTATGGGGGGCAGAAGCAATGGAAGCACAGTGCGACCGAAAAGCAGCCGGTCAGACTCTACAAGTCGCGGTGCTCTTTACTTGAGAGGTGTCGATCGCCAGTTTTCTGGTCAGTGGTTTGACGGAGAGTCGGAGGACGATGGCAATGAGGGCTTCCGTATCTGGGTCGACCCCGATATGCTCGTCACCAATGAGCTCCGTGGAGCCGGCTGGGCGTGTGTCACTGTCATCCAGCCCTCCGGTCTGAAGGCGCCGCCCGATCCCCAACAACAGTTGAGTCAGGCAGAACAAAAATCATCAGAAGTCGGGCTTCCAGCAACAAAGCTTGTCGCTAAGATTTTGCCGTGGGAGGATGCACCAGACAATCAACACGTCGCCTTGTCTACTCTCTTGTGCGCAGCGCTGGGTGCTGATTGCATTGTCGGTGGCATTGTTAGGGTCGAAGCGGCACCTCCGCAACTGCAACGATCAACTGTGAAGTCACTGAAAATGTATCCGTTCATGTCCGATCCCTCGAAAAAGAAGGATGGATTGAAATTTGGGGCTGACACTGCGGCGGCCAAGGATGCGTTGGCGGAACGTGTCAAAGTTATCTATGGTAGCTCTGGAACTGAAGGACTACTATCAGGACCCTTGACTGATGGCATGATTCTGCCAAAGGTAGAGAATCAAACGTCAGTCTCTGCATTCGATGGTGCCATCCTGCGTTTTGACCCGCCATTGAAAAACAGTCCTGAAGCAACAAGGCCGGCACTCGGATGGTTATTGGGGTCAGAGGCTAAACTGAGCCTTGAAGTGCAATCTGAAATACCTAGACCAGCAGATCAAGGGTCATCCGCGCTGCCTACGGATGATCCCATCTCTCCTACTATTCCCGAAATGGTTGGTATAGATTCAATCATTTCTCAGTCAATTGACAACTTAACCAAGTCATCGTCTATCCTGGTCACTGGCGGCCTCGGGGCTGGAAAGACCGCTTTGACTCACCTTCTCGCGCATCGTGTTCGGAAAGATTATCTTTTCAACGTGAAATATTTCTCTTGTCGAAAACTTGTCACTGACGAAACTCGTATCTCCAATATCAAGGAGACCTTGAATCGCCTTTTCATGTCTGCTTCCTGGTGTGCCAGACTCGGTGGACAATCGGTCGTGATCTTGGACGATCTTGACAAGCTATGCCCTGTTGAGACAGAGCTACAAGTCGGGGGAGACAATGGCCGCAGCCGGCAAAACAGCGAGGTGATTTGCTCAATGGTGCGAGAGTATTGTACTATGAATTCTTCGGTGGTTTTGCTCGCAACGGCACAATCCAAAGAATCTCTGAATAATGTCATTGTTGGTGGCCATGTTGTTCGCGAAATTATCCACTTGAGAGCCCCCGACAAAGAAGGAAGACGAAAGGTTCTTGAAAAGCTCACAAGTCAAGACCGAGGCGCTAGCACAACTAATGGGCATGGGCATGTACGAAATGAGAGTGCATCCACTCAGGACTCGTGGCTGGATCCTTCCAACCCTGGGAGCCGTCCGAGTTCTGCTGGAGCTGATGGCTTTGTGCTTGCGCGGGATGTGGATTTCCTCGAACTAGCTGGCAAGACGGATGGATACATGCCGGGTGACCTTGTCTTATTCGTCTCCCGTGCACGGAATGAGGCACTTATACGCTCCGTCCAAGATCCTCTAGCCGCATCAAGAGCAATCAGTTTAGCAACTGAGGACTTTGAGAGTGCTCTCAAAGGCTTTACTCCAGCCTCTCTTCGCAACGTCACCCTCACATCCTCCACCACAACATTTGCGGGCATTGGTGGCCTGCACGGGACCCGGCAAACTCTACTGGAAACATTGCAATACCCCACCAAATATGCCCCCATCTTTGCACAGTGTCCTTTGCGTCTGAGATCCGGACTGCTTCTGTACGGCTTTCCTGGGTGCGGGAAGACGCTTCTGGCCAGTGCAGTAGCGGGCGAGTGTGGACTGAACTTTATCAGTGTCAAGGGTCCTGAAATTTTGAACAAGTACATTGGCGCCAGTGAAAAGAGCGTTCGTGATCTATTTGAACGAGCGCAGGCTGCAAGGCCATGCATCCTTTTCTTCGATGAGTTCGACAGTATAGCACCCAAGCGTGGACATGATTCCACTGGTGTCACAGACCGTGTGGTTAACCAGCTTCTCACCCAAATGGACGGTGCGGAGGGCCTGTCCGGAGTTTATGTTCTAGCTGCTACGTCACGACCCGACCTGATCGACCCTGCGCTGTTACGTCCAGGTCGTTTGGACAAATCTTTACTGTGCGATATGCCATCTCATTCCGACCGGGTCGACATTATCCAGGCCGTGAGCAGCAAATTGAAAATGACGGATGAAGTACTTGCCCGTCTGGACGAGGTGGCAGCACAAACCGCGGGCTTCTCTGGTGCCGATCTCCAGGCTGTTGTTTATAATGCACATCTGGAAGCCGTCCACGATGCCCTTGGGGACAAAACTACCAATGACAAGGGGAACACCAAGAATGGCGTCAAACAAGCATCTACGAACTCTAGCACCAAGTCATTTATCCAGTTCCTCTATTCCGAGCAAGGGACCGGCTCAGTGTCCATGCCCCCTCCAGCGGTTGTTGCCTCGAAGCTCGAAGCGATGAAGAACTCCCGGCGACGTCAACGGCAAATGGAGCAAGGAAACGCCAACAATGCAGCACCAGCACCGACCACGAATGGGGCGTCCGAGGAGGAGCCACGCGAAGAGATTTGGGTTCGCTGGGAGCATGTTGAACGATCCCTTGCCACCACTCGTAGCTCACTCAGTGCGCCTGAGAGGAGACGACTTGAGGGGATTTACCGGGAGTTTATCGATGGACGTGACGGAGAGATGCCCACAGGCGAAGGGGGGAGAGAAGTTGGTGGACGGACGAGCTTGATGTGATGTGACTGTTGTATCTATATAGTGTTTATATATTTGCATCCAATGTATTTATTCGGGATTAAGAATTATGATAAGATGGATGTATGAACTACGACTACAGCGAATGGAAAAGAAAAGAGAGGGAACTTTAAAAAAAAAAAAAAAAAAAAAGGACGAATCCAGTCCGTTTCGAACGCACGCCCTTGCGATAACCGCAAAAGCACTCCTACGCTCCTACCTCCAATATGGACTTGTAAAAGGCAAAAAAAAACTGGTAGCTTCTCTTTGATTGAGCGTGTCATCCTTAGTGCAGGGGCCATGCTAATCTTCTCTGTATCGTTTCAAATTGACCAAATGCCCGAAGGCGAAAGGATGTCTTTTCAATGAATTATATGTCTATCTGGCGGGGATTTTGGGGCCTCTGATTGGCGGACAAGCGAGGTCACGGGGAACACCAAAACTGCAGTGTCAGTGTGGGAAAACCGTCGATGGAGGGGGAAATGAGGGTAGATGAGGTGCTGGAGTATTGAGTTGAATTTCCAAGGCATTTTCCGGTGTTAATAGATGATAGATATTGTCATATATGTTAGGAATTTCCTAACTTGCGACATGATTATTGAGTTGGCGTTCAGTGTGGTACTGTAGGTAGACTTGGTCAATGCCGCAGCAGACAGCACAGGCAAAGGGGTTGAAGCTGAAGCACGAAGAGTCAAGAAAACAAAAAAGAGTGAGAATGAGAGAAGAACGAGTGGATAATCAAATCATCAAGAAGAACCCCTCATCCCCTCATCTCCCCATTTCTCCACCGAATCAAAAAGAAACTAAGCCTTTTAGTCGTCTCGTCGGGGCCTCAGGCACTAACTACTACTACGTAGATGGGCACTATGTATGTATGTATGTACGTTATAGATTAGCACAAAGATGCAAGATATACCTATAGCACACGTGCTATTGACAATTATTGCTGTGTATATACTGAAATGTGATATTTATTATGAACAGGCCGGCTGTTTACAGCACCACTCACCGCAAAGTTCCCTTACGTGGATATCTTCTCCTCAGATCCGGGTATTCCATGCATGGAGGCAACCGAGGCTGAACGACCGAGGACCGACGCCACCCTTTGACCTCTTTTAAATACTATGACGATCGGTAGGATCTTGTTCGCTGTTTCATATCACATTCTCGAAGGATAGACTCGTCGGAGCTTTTGCTTTCTGTGACTTCTACTCCGTGCTTCTGATCTGCTGCCAACAACACCCCTACCTTTCCCCGCATTTACGATGCCCGTCTCCTCGACCTATCCTCCCATCCAGGTTCCTAATGTCGACATCTGGACGTTCCTTTTCGAACGAAACGATAGACCCTTCCCAGAAGACAAGAGTAGGTTCTTAGTTTTCATTTCAAGCTCCTCAATAATATCCCCCCGTACTGATTCCTTCAAGTCATCTACCAGGATGCCGATACCCAGCGATACTACACCTACAAAGGCGTGAGAGATGCCGCGTTATCCTTCGGACAGGGACTCAAGGCCATCTTCGACTGGCGAAAAGGAGATGTCCTCGGCCTCTTCACCCCCAATTGCATCGATACTCCGATCGTGACATGGGGAGCCCACTGGGCCGGTGGTGTCGTGTCCCCAGCCAACCCAGCATACACTGTCGACGAATTGGCTTTCCAACTTGGAAACGCGGGTGCCAAAGCACTGATCACTCAGGTCTCTGCTCTCCCAGTGGCCGCGGAGGCTGCCAAGAGGGTTGGAATAACTGAAGACCGGATCATCCTCATTGGAGACGAGCGCGATCCCAACGCCAAATTTAAACATTTCACCTCCATCCGAAATATCTCCGGTACGACCAGATTCCGCAAGACCAAGATTGTACCTGAGAAGGATTTGTCGTTTCTGGTTTATTCGTCGGGGACGACTGGTGTGCCCAAGGGAGTGATGCTTTCCCATCGGAATATCGTCGCCAATAACCTGCAGCTTGCTGCCGGAGAAGCTGGCCAACTTACCTGGAACGGCGGAGCAGATGGAAAGGGTGACCGAGTATTGGCATTTTTGCCTTTCTACCACATCTATGGTGAGTTTGGTTCGGAATCGTCGGCGATGACCCAATACTGACTAATCCTAGGGTTGACTGCACTCGTTCACCAGAGTCTGTATAAGGGTCTGCATCTAATCGTCATGCAAAAGTTTGACCTTGAAAAGTGGTGCGCACATGTTCAAAACTACCACGTCACTTTCAGTTACGTCGTTCCTCCCGTGGTCCTCCTGCTAGGCAAGAACCCAGTAGTCGACAAGTATGATTTGTCCAGTCTCCGCATGATGAACTCGGGTGCTGCACCACTCACGCAGGAGCTCGTCGAGACAGTCTACGCGCGTATCAAGACCGGCATCAAGCAGGGCTACGGCCTTAGTGAGACCAGTCCAACCACACATACTCAACCATGGGAGGAGTGGCGTACGTCGATTGGGTCCGTGGGCAAGCTGCTACCCAACATGGAAGCCAAGTACATGACCATGCCTGAGGATGGCTCCGACCCAACCGAAGTCGCCGTCGGCGAGGTGGGCGAGCTGTATCTGCGCGGCGACAACATCTTCCTAGGCTATCACAATAACCCGTCCGCGACGGCCAATTCGCTGTCCAAGGACGGGTGGTTCCAGACCGGCGACGTTGGCTATCAAGACAAGAATGCCAACTTCTACATCACCGACCGCGTCAAGGAGCTCATCAAGTACAAGGGTTTCCAGGTGGCGCCGGCCGAGCTCGAGGGAATCCTAGTGGATAACGAAGCCGTCGACGATGTCGCCGTGCTCGGCATTGAGAGTGAAGCTCATGGCACCGAAGTCCCGCTGGCGTATATCGTGCGGAGTGCAAAGAGTAAATCCTCGGGCCTCAGCGCAGAACAGGAAGCTTCCAACATTGTAAAATGGCTGGATGGCAAGGTTGCATACCACAAACGCTTGCGTGGTGGTATCCGATTTGTAGATGAAATTCCCAAGAGCCATAGTGGAAAGATCCTGCGACGAGTGCTCAAGAAGGCAGCCAAGGAGGAAGCCAGCCAGGCACTGGGTGTTGTCAAGGCCAAGTTGTAGATATCCAATTCCATATCCATGTATATAGATAGTAATTCCAATGTCCAAATCATGCATAGCCCGTGCTATATCCATCGTAAACACGTCAATCATAAACAGGCAGACAGACAGACAAAATCTACGGGAAAAACCGCTTAATCATGCCCTGAACATCCTCACCCTCAACAGCATCAACCTTATCCCTCACCACCCTCTCAACCGCCTCATCAACCGGCTCCTCCCCATTCAACAAATCATACCACCCCTCCGTATCCCCCCTCGCCAACAACTTATCCGCAACAATAGCCACATCCTCCCTCGTCACGCTCCCCTGACCCCCGGTCTTCCCCAGCGCCACTTTCCGCGTCGCACCCGTCTCAGTCAACAACCCCGGCCGCAGCAAAATCGACTGGAACGGTCCAGCGCTCGCATCCTGCTTCCTCTTCGCGGCCAACGCAGTCAGATACTCGTCCGCCTCGAGCTTGGCCTTGGCATACACGGGCAGAACATTGGTGTTGACGTGCAACGGCCGAGCCCAGTCATCATCACTCATCCAAGGTGGTTGGTGTCGTCGACTGCCAATATGCGAGACGAGCAGAAACTTGGTAATGCTGGGTGTGGCGAATGTCGCGGCAATGAAATGCTTTGCAGCTTTTTCGTCAATGGCGATGGTTCGGTCGGGGCCGCCTTTTCCTCCAGCTCCTGATTTAATCAGCCAAACAAACATTCATGTAACATCATATAATATCAAACCTAGATAGACATACCAGCCGACCAAACCACATAATCCGGACGCACATCATCAATGATCTTCTTCGCGTCCGCATCACTCTTCACATCATCCAGACTCGACAGCAGCACATTCAGTTTCCCCTTTTGGCCCTTCCCCAGCGCCAGGATCTCATTTTCGTGCGCGGGGTTGCGGATCACGCTGGTGACGTTCCAGGAGCGGGCGAGGAGGAGGGGAGTAAGGTGGAGGGCGATTTTGCCGTGGCCGCCTAGGAGGAGGACTTGCATTTTGCTGTTGGATTATCGATTGATTGATTGATTTAGATGAGTCTAAGGTAAATGATAAAGAATATATGTATTTTGTGGAAGGGAATGAATATATATCGTTGTCGTCATTGGAATTAATAATGGTCGGAGACTTTGGGGACACTGCGGGATTTGGATGGCGTCATGCATGGCGGGGTTTATGTGTGCTGTATGTGGTGCATATCCATCACATTGTATTTGATATTGATTGATGGGAAGAATTGAATGTGATAGTAGGACTCTGTATGTTGTTAACAGTGTAGTGTATATTTTATTATATTGTCAGATTGCTGTAGATAATATATGCAGTGTGGGACAATATATCTCGGCAGTCGGTGCTACACAGTATATAGAACTGATCGAATCTCAGCACCAGTAGTACTTTGGACATGAATAACTGACATAGATGATACGTATGAATTAAAGCCCACTATTGTAACCGAATATTCCCAAGGATAGCATAATAAGCACTAATTAACATCAACCAATAGAAAAAATACATAATAGTACTCAATATAGATAGCACTATATCTGACAACGTATAAGAAAAAAGCACTCCATAACCGATGAGATCCATGCCAATAGTCGATCTATTCTATATCCCATTCTATCGCATACAGATCATTTAAATGATTTCATGATAGATCAATATACCTAGATAATATGTACGGCCATGACGGATGACGTGCACCTGCTCCTTGCCATAATTTCCGAGACAGTGGATAACAATTGTACTCACAGCCTCACTTGAGGAAATTAACCATGTCTCATTACCGCAAGGGATATCTCAGTTGAAATCAGTTGCTATCAGTAACACAGGGGTGGTGTTAGACTATGTCTTGATAGAAACTCGAGAATTAGAAATCATCTTTGTATCAATCACCGTCGCAGAGCATCTGGGCTTGGAAAATGCTAAAGTCTCAACGGTTGCCAACGCCTCTACACCGATTGATCGAAGCGAGTCAGTCAGACAGACAGAAGTTCAGAAAAATGTAGGACGATGAAACAACGGTGGATGGGACCTGGAGTCATCTGGATGGGACTGTCCAGACCGCCATTGCTGAAACGAACTCGGCCTGTGCTTTCGTTCTGTCTGTTTGGTATGGGATATAGCGGCCATCCTTTGCCATAGATCTATATCTTATGCTTTTAATTATCGCAGTGAAATATAATAAAAAATGAATTAAAAATAAATTAAATAAATTACTGTGTGTCTGTGGAATCGTGACTTTGTCCTCATCTGGCCTAGTCCAGGGGCACTAGTCCAGGCACGAGTACGGTACTGTACGGTAACAGCCCCCGTCGACCAACCAAATTAAGTTAATAACCTGAAGCTTCTTCTTTTTAATCCAATTTTATTTTAAAAATCCTCTCCCAACGGCTGTCAAGAAATTATAAATTAGAAATCAGAAAAAATGAATAACCGAGTCGCGGTGAGTCAGTCGACTTGACCTACTTTTCTTATCCACCCAGAAAGAGATTTTGAATGGCATCTAGTTTTCCCTTTCTGGTCGTTCTCTGCGTTCGTCTAAAGATCTTTCTCTCATCTTGATGAATGATCTCATGGCCCACCTTTCTGTACTATGTACCTCCCACCAAACCGGTTTGACTCATTCAGCCTTAACTGATACTTCGGCTTCCGGCTTTTAGTGCTGAGATATATTAATACTGTGTACTTAGACGAGGTGGCTATGGATACTATGTATGAGATCGGCATTATTGATTGAAAAGCTGTGGCTAGTTATTGGCAGACTGACAGATGGAGCTGCCATGAATTCCAAGTTGTACAGATGATAGATGATGTCACTCTGAATGAAGACCGTTTCCAGCAGTTATCTTGATTTGTATGGTGATCCCTCGGCTAAACCGTGAACAGTTCTGAAGACTAAATGATGGTACGAACGCTCTATCGACAATCCCAATAAGAGAGACTAGCATAAGCCAGGCATAAGATCTCGATGAACAGACAGATTACCAGTAAGAGGGGCACGGCAAAAGACGGAATCTGATGATTGCAAATCGGAGAATAATCAGATCGGGGAGGTTCCGCAGCCAACTGTAAATATAACAGAGAATGCATGGAAATATGGAAAAATGCATTATTCATGCCAGATTGGCTGTGGAATGAATGACCAACAAATTCAGAGCTGAAGTAGCAACGGACAACGCATTCCGGATGGAGCCAATGAATGCAAGGGGCCACTGAGAATCTCCAGCACAGCTGAATCGTTGAAGGCTGAAGCTGAAGCTGAGGCCTCAAACTGTGATCGGGGCTCCGCTCGTCCAAATTTCCGGAACGATATTGACCCGTACGGAGTCAAAGTTTAATAGATGAACTGTCATGGAGTCTCTTTGTTGAGAAAGTCCTCCGTTTGTGTAATAATGAGAGAGATGAAACGCGATCCAGTGTTGAGTAAACTCAATACTGCAGATGCTGAAACTGGACTTTTGTAGTATCACCATCCACCACCTCCATGTTGTGTTGTGCTGTGTTGACATTGACCCGACAGTATGACAGTTATGGAGTAGTACCAATACATACCGTTATTTCAGCCCCAGATTGGCCCACTGGCACATTCCTCTACACACGCGACAACTGTCATATTATGATAATCAAAACAAGAATCACCTTTAAGTTCTGGTAGGTATGCAGTATATACTCTGTAAGGACAACAAGATGCCCAGCACAGTAACTCCGCATACCTGACACCCTGTTTATGGGTGCAAATGGCCCAGATATCAGCAGTACCAAGGGACTGTCTCCTGTTCCTGAGATGACTAACCAGCCCCACTGCCACCGCCACCTGTGATTCGCCCCAGAACGCCTCGCCTGCAAGGGGCCCTGGACCGGTGGAGGGGCCCCAGTCCGCGGTACCGTACTGTATCCGGGCTGCCAACCATGGTTCGTTCTATGGCTTTCGATCTTAAATGACAGTTTAGGTTGTATTATTGTTTGTTGTGACTGTATCATTCTATTCATGTGTATTGTGTTGTGGACGGTACCTATACCTACTGTGTAGATAGGTAGTACACTTGATGAAAGCATTGTTAATGTGAATATTGAAGAATAAAGACGAAGATCAGAACATTCTAGTGAATCCCCAAAAAACAGTCGGGTTGGACAATCAGGCCAAATAATCCCACTGTCTGCCGATCTTACACGACTAACCCTTTGGTCCCGGCGTCTGCTGTTCTCGCCCAATCGGAGACCCAATCCCAGCAGAAAAAAAGCAGTCAAAAAGAACGAAAAAAACAGGTCGATCGAATCCAGATCCTTTCTCGTTCTTTTCGTTGTTCATTTTCTTTCGCTCTTCTCTCTTCTCTCTTCTCCCTCTTTCTTCGGCTTCACCTAGTGTCGTTCTCTTTTCTCACCTTCGTTTCATTTCCTTTTCTCATTTTTTTTTCTTGTCACTCGTTATCCAAAACAACATCCCCTGTAGTTTCACTGCAGCTGCCACTCTTTTATTACTCCCAACGCATCCCCCGCCTACTATTGGGAACTGCCGTGTTGATCCGTCTCCATCTGATGCAGCTGCAATTGACCAGTATCATCGACCATCACCCGACCATTGCTTTTCCGCCTCCTGCAACCTGCGATCAGTCAGATCCTTAAGCTCTCGCTTTTGCTTCTTCTGCGCCCAAAGCCACGCCTTTTTGCCGCCACTATTGGCCCTCGCTGGCTGAACTACTGCCCTTTTGTTCGAACCGCAGGTTTCGGTTCTGCTACGGAGTCTGCTCAACTCTCGCTTTCACTCGTCTCTCTATCTCTCTCTCCATGCATAGGGGATGAGCCGCCGATTTGGATAATCATCAGATCACTATTGTTATTGTTCCATCGTCTTGGCTACGGCATTCGTTCTTTTCGCCATTGCCCCCTCCCTCTTTCTCTCCTCCCCCCCTTTAATGTTCATTCCCACTCTCGCAATCGAGTGATCTTGTGATCCCGCTCCCAGTAAGTCGATCTCGCTGTATACGTTTGTCTCGCTCTATATCTAGCCGTCGATCATTCTGACTCGTAGCTACTTAGTACAGTATTTAGTCGCTTCTTCCCTCTTTCTTTCTGCCTATTTAGCATTTCTTTGCTATACGTCGCTGCGGTTGTCTCCTGTCTCATCCGCAGCGCGTTCTCGCGACCCCGGCTTTCGCGCCTGTTTTATCCCCCCCCCCCCCGTTTTCAAAATTCCGTTATTCGCGATGAATCGGTTTCGCAAAGCCAAGAAGGAAAAGGTGAAAGAAGTGAAGGAGACCAAGGAGGTCAAGGAGGTCAGGGAAGAGACCGAGCCTGCTGCGGAGAATCCATTCACACTCCTCGGGTCCATGTCGTCAAAGAAGAAAAAGGAAGAACCCGAGGAGGAAAAACCTGACCTCGATCTATCTGCTGCCCTGCCTTCCTCCGACGACTTCCGTACTAGTTTGTTGATGCCCAAATTATCCGCGCGGTTTAGTATGTTGAGAGAGCAAGACGATCCCGCCTCAATGATCGGCAAGGCAAGCGACGACAGTGTTTTGTTTCCCAAGCGCGCCTCTCGATTGAATCTCTTTGGCCATAACCCAGGCTTTCTTAAGGATATCGATGAAGTCTCCATGGACGGCAGTCGACCATCGTTTGCCCTCAACCGGGCAGACTCTTACGTTTCCAGTGCAGACGGTGGATATGGCACCGACGACGATCGCTCACAAGCTGGTAGCATGATGAGCAGGGGCCGTCGAACGGAGGGAAATAATCTGTTTGGTGGACGCCAGAAGGTTTACAAAATCCCCGCGAACTTGCCGTCAAACCCTGATTCGGGGCGTTCGGGCATGGGGGGTCGTGCTCTTTATGACCATGACGTGAATATGTCGGCTTTTCAACGCTTGAGGCGCAAGGAAAAGGAAGAGCGTGCAGCGGCAGAGGAAACCGCGCTTGACTCTCCTACCCAAGAATCCGAAGATGGCCTGTCGCGATTCTCCTCCGCCAACCGTACTACTTATTCTTCAACCATGTCGGGCCCTACCGCCAATGCCCGCACATCGACAGCAGCGACCTCCGTCGATGAACAATTCGCACCCCCTCAGACACAGACACCCTCCCTGGGCCAGAACCTTTCGCCCAAACCCTCATTGTCCAACATGGCACCTGAACGCGGCTCGGCCAGATCCCGACGTTTGTATGGCCAAGGATTGGCGCAGTCTGTCCAGAACCAGCAGAATTCGACATTGCACAGATTGGAGAGTCTAAGCCGCCAACGAGCGGGGACCCCTGAATTACCTCAGCTCAACCGTACCTACTCGCGAAGTGCGACCAATCTGCGCGACAGACTGCAGAAACTTGCTATTGCTGAACCAGGGACCACGTCTCGGCCGACCAGTCCTCCGCCATCGGCGAGTTCTCCCAACCAAGTAACCATGGAAAGCGAAGCCAAGGGTTCCAAGCTGTCTCCCGGCCATGGGGCCCCGCCGTTGAGCCCGCCTATCAGTGAAAATGAAGAGGGGGCGGCATTGGCAGCAGCTTTGCAGCCAGAAGACCACGGGAAAGCTACGGCTATGGGTCTGTTCAATAAGCCTCGGACCCAGTTTAACGAAAGCCAGTTCACTCGTCGTCAGCTACAGATGCACCAAGACCAGGGCAGAAGCACGCCTCCATTGAGTCGCCCTTCGCCACCTCCAAACCGGCCGACCTTCCAGGAACGCTCCAGAGGTTTCTCCGACGCAAGCTACCGCTCGAGAACCAATTCCGCTTCATCGCACTACAGCGAAGCCCAGCGCACCGTCGACTACTTCAGCCTGAACGCCTCCCCTGCAAGGGCGGCTAATGGTACTTTCTTTGCCACCTCCAGCGCTAGCGAGTCTGGAGACGACGACCGCGACTCGCGCGACATTTCACTTTCCATGAATGGCATCCACCCTGCACTTCGCGATAACCACTCTACTCCATCGAGTCTCACCGAAGAGCCCGAAGAAAAAGAAAATCCGTTGCCCGAAGTCCGTTACTCTGATCTTGGGGATCTCAAGCCAATAGCGGAAACTGAAAGTGTGGAGCACACCGACGTTCCCGATGTCAAAGAGCCTATCCCGGAAAAGCCCGACTCTCCTACCTTGGGACCATCCGGTCTGGGTCTCAGCGGATTGGTGCGTACTCACTTGCGACACAACAGTGATAGATCCTCCATTTTCCTGCCACCTTCCCCTTCTTTCCCACCTCAGCAGCCAGATGCGCACCCAGCCAACTCGACTATGGAACCCGAAGCATCCAGCCACGGCGGCGAGACAACACCATCGGCTGGGGAGAGTGCAAGGACCTCGGAGGATCTGGCTTTCCAGGAGGAAATCAAGTTCGGTCATCGACGTGAGGCAAGCACTGAGACTCAAAAGGAGCGTGAAGACTTCGAGAGGGAGCTCGCTGAGCGACGAAGAAAAGTGCAGGAGAAGCTCAAGGGCTTCGCTGAAAGCGAAAGCAGGTCAGGGAGCCCTGTTCCCGGCAACCACACCCCGGAATTTCCCCACACGAAGCCTGGAAACGCATTTGCCCTGCTGAAGAACAAGTCCGGCAAGAACAACCTGCATAAGCCTGAGCAGAAGAACGGGAAGGTCCTTGGGCTTGGAAATTCCTCCACGCCCGCCCTGGTTCCGGATGACCCCTGGCACGAGGAGGAAGAAATCATGCCTTTCAACCTTGGAAAACACTCGAACTCTAGCTCCCCGCAGATTGCCCCAGAGAAGACTTCGATGCGTTCCAGGCTCGCAAGTATCACTCGTGGCAGCAACGATGATTCTCGTGAGTCCAGTCGCAGCCGCGGGGCATCTCCCCATACAAGCTTCAGGCGCAGAGATCGGTCTGGCTCGGATGCATCTGCATCTGGTCGCTCCAAGAGCCGCAACAGGTACCGGGAGAAGGACCATCTGGGAGCATTGGACGAAGGTGCTGCCGTGTCCCATGAAACATTTGTATTCCCTGATTTCAACGAAACTCGGGGCGCCGCATCGGTGCCTGCGTCCACCCGCCCATCAATGGAGGCTAGCGAGTCAGGCGTCTACGATCGTTCATCATCTGCATCTGGAAGGCTTCGCAGCGGCAGCCGATCCGCAACATCAAGTTACCATGATAAACCACCGTGCCCTCAACAACCCGCAAACCCTCCCCCTGTGATCGGAGAACTGCCCAGGCCTTCACCCATCGCTCCTTATTCTGCCAATGCGACTCCACCATTGTATGAAATCTCACCTGAGCCGTCGACCACCCCGACTCCTACCTTTGCGGCCGCTGCAAGCCATGTTGTACCCCAGCGGGCTCCGGGACACCATGCTCTCCCGAAGAGACCAGTCAACAAGCTGCAAATTTCCGAGCCAACATTTTTGTCCTGCACATCGAACGTGCCGACAGTTGGACTTCCTCCCGGGGCAAGCCTGAGCAATGGCATGGAGACACCCCCGATTCCTCCCATGAACCCTCGCCGACGGCGCCAAACCACTACACAGACAATCATAAGCACCCTCAAGGGCGGAAAACATGATTCGTATTACTCCCACACCTCCGATCAAGCCTCTACTGCAGAGCAGAGCTCATTTGAGGATGAGAGCGACAGAAGACCAAAGTCAAGGGCTAGGCTCCGCAAAACCTCCAGTGAAGGGGGCAGCCTGAACGCAAGAGCTCGTCAAGAGATCATGGCAAGCCCACCACCGGGTCTTCCACCAAACCCTCCCCAGAATATCCGCATAGAAGAAGGAGGGATGTTCTGATTCTTTCATTCTTTACTTTGGGTGCATTTTCTTTTTATCTCTTTTTTTCCAACCTTCCTTTTTCACGCTTGATACCTAAATTTCCTTTTTGTTTGATTATACCTCGACGATGATATACCATTTGCATTTCTTGTTGAGCGGGTGGGATTTCTTTGTTGGTGTAAAGTCTTTCCTTTCGACTTTCTTTTCTTTTTTCTTTCTCTATCTTCTGAAAATCTTCACTTCTTGCCTGAATTACTAGGTTAGATTCTTGGATGTGTATTACCATCTGTCTACTATTTTAGATAACCATCAATTCCACGCGGGATATAATTTATTCTTGGAATACTTGTAAATGTAGACTAGCTACTCCCCATAAAATTGTATCTTCTGGCCACGAAACCAAGCCCTTCAACGTGGGTTCCCTACACAAAAAGAAAAAAAGACCAAGCCCATCGACATCTACACCGGGAGCAAAAGCAACCAACAACAATAATAATATCGAAGCCGATCATCCCGCACAACGGAAAAAAACCCTCCCCAGCCAGCCCTAATTCCCTCATTTTCCCTGTCCATGATCCTGACAGTCTGTCCTGGTGATGCGTTCTTCATTCACTGCTTGACTCTTATTTTTTGATTGGCTGGGTGGCTGAGATGACCCACTCACCTGTATTGACTGTCACGTGCGAGTAATATCACGTGTAATAATGAGCCCTCACTCGGGATAGCATCAGGAATGGCCAGAAAGAGAAGAGGGCGGTGATTCTATTCCATGGACTGGTTTATAGATGTGAGAGGATTCATAATTTTCTTAGTAGGGAGATGGATATGGCAATAAAGAGAGGTGATTTTCAAATTCACTAGCATAGTAGAATTTAATCTGTAGACTCAAACAAATAATGAATAAAAACTCATGCTATCGTGACTGGAGTTGTATTGCCTCAATGACAGTCAATACGGCCACTGTTTTCCTCTCTCTCTCTTGTCCCTCTTTCTGCTCTTTTTTCTTTCCTTTCTTTCTTCTTTTTTCTCTTCTTCTGCAAACAAAGCGTTAGACAACTGATTCTCTCTAGCTTCACCACAAAGCTTTTTCGTTTCGTCTCGCTTTATCATCCTTTTTTTTTCGGATCCCTTTTAAACAATATCTCGTATCCTTTCCAAAAATTTCCCCCCAGAAATGCACAGAAGACACTCAATCTGTCAGCTGGGACTACCCTCTGTTGTCGACTCTTTGGACGACTTCTTTGGATGTCAGGAAAAGCCTCGCAACGTCGATGACATGTACGTTCGCAGAACTCGTTCTTCGAACCCCATCATGCCTTCAACCAGATTCCCGCAGGTTGATGGCCCGTCTGAGCGTCGTAAGGCTGTCAAGAGAAGCAACAAGAAGAAAAAGAAGAATAAGAACCAGAGCAACGGCGAGGTTCAGGAGAGCGATAGCGTCAACAACGCCAACCACAGCGACTCACCTCCGTCTTACTCCAGTGTTGCTGAAAATACTGGGCCTTCCAAGCTAGCGGGAGTCAACGCATCCATGCCTCTCATAATAAATGGGTCTTCTTGGAGAGCTGGCGTCGATAACAGACCTGACCAGGGCCAAGCTTCCAACGACGATATCTTTCCCTTTGAGATGGGCGCCGGAGCCTTCACTGACTTCTCAATGGCCGGGGCTTCGTCATCTGCTGCTCAGCAGCCGCACCAGATGCATCCTAATGTGTCACAGGCCTTCGCATCACTTCAACACACCATGCAGGCCACGGCTCCGGGTGCACCATCACCAAACCATTTTCAAAGTAGTCGCGCTGAGACCTTTGATCCTTCGAAACCACCGCAATACCTGTCAAGCAATGATTGTGTTGGTACCCAAAGCTCAGCCGTTACCTTTCGTTCCCCTTCAGCAGTTACAACTGAAGATACCATTCACGCTTCGAGCGCCCAAAGTGAGATGGCTAAATTCGCTCATCAACCTCACATGTCCCACGAAGGACAGTCCCATCCGCTATATTGCCAAGTCCACGGAAGAACGGCGTGCCACTTCAACCATGGATGTTGCGTGCATCGACCTGAAAATTGTTCGGTTTGTCCGCAAAAGCGCTCCTGCTGCTGCATTCATCACGCTGGAGATTGTTGTCACTGCCTGTTCTCTCGGCCACCTGGATACCCTAAGGCAAATGACAAGCCACAGGGTGACATGTTCATGCCCGCATACCCACCACCGCCAGGCCCAGTTGTTGCAGGCCCCATGCAGGGAGCACCTAGCATATCTAACCACAGGCCCGGGCAATATTCTACCAGCACCGCTGAAATGAACAGAGCTCATGGCGCAAACAAACAATGGGGCACGTACCCTGAACATCGAGCTGTTCCCATTGGGCTGAATGTTCCCCCAGGTTTCAATATTCCTCAAGGTCCAATTCCAAGCCAGATGCCACCAGCGTTTGCGTTCACAGATCCGTCGAACAAGAATACACAGGGAAATCTCGAGCATCTTGCAACGCATACCCTTGGTCTTTTTGAAAACGAGCAATTCAGTGACTTTCAGATCGTACTCAAGTCAGCTAAGGGCCTATTTTTCCCAATCACGTTCCGCACCCACAAAACTTTGATGGCTCGTAGTCCACTCATAAACTCCATCCTGAAGTCACCAGCTCCCCAAGAAGGACACAGTGAGGTCACGGCGATTGCGGGCGAGAACTTTTGTATGTTTAAGGCGTTCCGTATCGTGCTGCAAAATTTGTATGGCTTGCCTGTTCTCGACACAGAGAATCTCAGATATGCAGCTATTTCGTCTTTAGGGTACACCGAGGAGAACATTCAAGCGTGCCCGTTCTCAATCAACTTGGCAGTGGCGGACTTTGCTCTATGCTATGCTGCAGCTGGAGCTTTCTTCGAACAGAGTGAAATCGTCGAGATTGGTATCAAAATCGCTATTAGCTTTATCAGCTGGGAGAACATCGAGATGGTTCTCTACTTTAGTTTGTGCCTGTGGAAATTCGCTATTGTTTCTCCTAGTGACGCAGACACCGAAGTCCCATCAGCCCACGACAAAGAGCCAGCCGGGGCCATCCAAGGAAAACCGGACAGCCAGGCTTCAATTGGAGAGCTTGAAGAAGTGTGGGTTCCGCGTCTGGTAACATCTGCAATTGAGTTCGTTGCCCGTCACGTCCAACCGGGCTTCAAGTTATACACTCAGGCACAAACTAGGGACATGCCGGACAGAATCCCAAAAGACCTGCGAGTGCCAAAGCAGCCCCTTTCTAACCCAAAGCTAGCGGAAGTGAAATTCGGGTCTCTGGAGTCTCTCGAGGAACAGAAACCGAGTCACGAGGTTGGAATTGCCTCTGCGATCTTAATCTGCTTGCCATTTGAGAAACTGAAGGAAGCATTCGCAATTATGGGATCTCGCCAGGTCTTAACAAGCGCCCTTGCCCAGGAAATTGTCGTTGAGCGTGAGACGCGTCGTTTGCATGCACTCCAGATTTACTCCAAACAAGGTGGCGAGTACGACGACAACAAAATTTCTGATGAGATTCGGCCCTTGGGGTACCGGGAGTTCTGTACCTCTAAGGGTGTCCTCTCAGGAACGCGTGAGCCTGCTTTGATGGATTTCTCACTGGAAAGGGAGTGGGTTGGGCTTGCAGTGGTTGAGATCACAGTGGTTCATCACAAAAAGGTCTCTCAAAGCAAAAAATAAGACAGCCATGCAGTCTTAGAGCCCTCCCTCCTTCCCACTTACTTTTAAGTCTTTGTCTGAAGTGGTTTGAAGTAGATTTTGAAGAAAGAAGATGTCTGGTTGTGGTGCGGGGGAATGTTTGTCTCTGAGGGGAAGTGACAGAAAGTCTTGGAGAAGCGAAGGCGGTGAAGAGCTGTTTTTGCCCCTCTGTTGTGATCTTCAAATTGAATATGAAAGTGATTTGGAAGAAAAAAGAAAGGAAAAGAACCTGGATGTCAATCGTGGATTGGGTTGTTTTTGTATCGAGTCTCAATTTTCTATTTTATCTGGCATGAAGCAATTGGAATCTTTTCTATAGACAAGAATGTCTCTCCGCTAGATAGTCATACTTTTAGTCTTTCATGCGATGGATTTTATTTTGACACTCTGGTATATATATATATATATATATTTTTCCATTCGTAAGCTATCATCTATATTCGTGTCTTGCTCTTCAAGTCATTTACAAATATCGAGTTTTCCCCCCAATCGTGAGTCCCAAGTGTAAATGTCCCATCGTCCAACGCTGTCTATCTGAAGAAAAAGATGACCCGTAAGGGTTCCTGAACAATGATCATATCAAAAAGCAGCTAATCAAACACATAGAGGTGTGGTATCCAGCTTATTGCTTGTCGGGGAATCCAAAGTTTACACCGAATGGCGGGTAAACGAATCGCTGGAAGCTATTGGTAGCAGCAAGGCCATCGGTGTACTTTGCGATAGTAGCCATGTCCGATTCGTCGAGCTTGATCAGGCTGTTGCGGTTATCTTCGATACGAGAGGGTGTCACAGACTTGCCGAGGACGGATGAGCCACGGGCAACTGTAATGATGTTGTTGTATTAGATACGATTCAAAGAATGTGGTGGACAGGAAAAACGGAGAAGAGCATAAGATAACAAGGAATAAAACATACTGTGCCAGCTCAACAGAACTGATGCCGGGCTCACACCTCTCTTCTTTGCAACCTCGACAATGGGCTCTGCGGTGAAAAGTGGGCTTCCGGTGCTACCCAGAGGGCTGTAGGCAGTGATGTGAATGCCCTTCTCCTTGCAGAAGTCGACAATCTCCTGTTGTGGGAGGGATGGGTGGTTCTCGATCTGGTTGACGGCTGGCACCACGGTGACATGAGGCAGAAGCTCCTCAAAGTACTTGACACTGTAGTTGGAGACACCAATTGCCCTGACCTTGCCGGTTGCAGGGAGCTTCTCCATGTCTTTCCAGGTGTCGATGTGAGAGCGGGAGTGGTCAATGTCTCGGGAGCCATCGGCGAGCTTAGGGAAAAGAGGGTGGTTGCCTGTATGACTCATTAGCTTTCTGATTGCCAAATGATTTCAAGAAAAGAACGAACCATTTGCGTTCATGGCCAAGGGCCAGTGCATCAGGTAGAGGTCGACGTAGTCCAATCCCAGGTTCTTAAGACTGAGATCCACAGCCTCTTCGACCCGAGTGTGGTAGGAGCACCAGAGCTTTGTGGTCACAAAAAGGTCCTCGCGCTTGACTTTGCCAGACGCCAGTGCCTCTTTGATTCCAGCGCCGACCTCCTGTTCGTTCTGGTAGCAAAAGGCACCGTCGATGTGACGGTATCCCACAGAGATAGCATGGCTCACAGCCCTCTCGACCTCACCGGCCTTGGATTGCCATGTTCCTGGAATTTATGAGCATGGAACTCCCAGGAAAATGTCACAATAAAAGAATAGCATACCAAGTCCCAGCGCCGGGATCTCCGCACCAGTGTTGAGCTTAAAACGCACGTCCGCAGCAGACATTATGAGTAGTATGGGAAATGAAGTTGGACAAAAAGAGGTATCGTACAGTAGACAAGAATTGGATAATTAAAAGAGGAAGAGAAAAAGGATGGAGAGCAGAAAGGCGCAGATAATAACTACATAAATACCCCGCATGGCTACGGCAACCCCCCACCTTCGGTGACAGAATCCCCCGAAGACGACGGCGATGTTCTTTGATTTCCCCGTCAATCAACGACGGACGATGGTTTCTTTTACTTATCTATTACGGATGATGATATTGATGATTATCTCTTTCTACTACGGAAATAATTAACCCGAGCCAGACAACATTCCCTTCAAGGGTTGAGATATAATACTTTCTGCTCTCTCTTCGAATGACCGCTACAGTCCCATCCTCAATTTCCACCCACAGCCAAAAAGCAATGGGCCAGGCCCAGAGACTCGATCTGAAATCCGATTATGATCAAGGGACACGGTCTTTGATTGACAACCCAAGTGGATCGTCGGATTATGTGAGCCAAATCGTAAGAGCCAATACTGAGGCCCAATTCCACAATGCAGCCACTGACCATGACGCTGATTATCATCACCCAGCAGGAACAGGAGCACAAGACCCTAACTCAGCCTAGATAAACCGGGCCGTGTACGCCAGGCCATGGTTCCTATGAGAAACTAAACATCCCACCTTCGGAAACCAAAATCCTTTGCCGGTGCCCCGCGGACAAAATCCGAAACTCCTAACGCCACTTTTCTGGATGCATCGAAGGTTTGTATATTGACGATCCTAGCAAATTATTTTATGAAGGGGAGAGTGCAATTTTGACGGTTGGTAATTACGATGTTTATTAATCGTACAATCTTGCAGTGATCAAGGGAATTGAACTCCCGATGCTGAATATTACAATTGAGAAGACTATCCGCCGCCGTGACTGAGCCGTTCAACCAACTGGGACAACAATTGGGGATTTTTTTTTTTGATCTTCCTATTCGGATTACTACACAGAAAATGACTTTATATGCTTGTTGTTGGAATGCCTACGGATTCACATTCGTACTCCGGTAAGTGTATGCCCCTCTGTTGTTTTCGGGAAAGTGATTGCGTGTTGGCTACCAAGGTTCCTTTATTATACAGAGAAACCTCAAGATGTCCAGCAACGACAGTTTCTCATAACAATGACACAGTTGTCTAAATCAGAAATGTCGTCGCCATATGGACGAAACAGCAGCACTCACTCATGCGATACCCCAGCTGAAAAGAATCGCCAATCCTGCCATCCTCGCAAGTGATTACAAAATATCAACGACATCACGCAAGAAGCTCAGATAAATTCGACTATATTAGTGACAATGGTTTCAAGCCCAGCTTAAGCTTAGGCGGCGTCAGCCATAGGAAGTGGGCCAAGTATCATTAACGAAGAGAATGAGATATTCGTGGGGTATAGATAAGTGGCTGGGGTCACCTCTATCTCCTAAAGGGCCCCTCCCCAGCGTAGCAAGAATGGTTATATCTATCGACTTACCACTAGACTAATAACCAGTGAGAAATCTAGATTCAGGAATAGCTCCAGCTGCAATGCCTGATCAACTTGGGCTCAACGCCCTTCTCAGAGGAAACCATCACCTACTATGCTAATGTCTGATACTCCAGTCCAAAGAAAGCCCTGGTTTTCTGTATACTCGTGTCAAGGTTTAAAGCAGATAGCCGATAAAATGTCAAGATGCTCTACAAATGATCTACAGATATCGCCCATGCACCACATTCTATAAGACAATTGAGACGAGATCAGTATTGCCACGATTGTCTGTACGTAGACAGAAATAGCCGGTGACTACTCCGTACCACCACCGCTATATTTAGTCTACAGCGAAAAGGCTATGGGTGTATAGATCTCCAATAATCAAACATGTTAATAGAAAGACAGATAAAATACACGAAATGATACTGATGCTGGCACAAGAGAGAACGCGCAGAAACAGTCAAGAATACACTGCAAAAATACATGTATGATCTGAAGTTTGAAACAGTCATAGATCCATGAAGGCATTTATCTCCATCCATCATCACTAATTTACCTTTTTCCCTGGTGTGTATTTACGTTTGTTTTTCTTGTCTTTCCTTTTTTTTCTTCCAGCTGTTGTGGAGCAAAATGCATGGACCATATTGCTGATTGTAAGCGTTCGGTGGCATTGATGAACATAGCTCGTTAAGAGTGGAACCACTGGTTTCGTCTTCTCTTTTCCAATTGATGACATGCAGCGCAGAGGATTGGAGTCGATTAGTGGTCGAGAACTAGATAGGACCAGCGATAGAAAAGCAGAGTGTTTAACACCGGGTTGGCAAATATTCCTTGCTCATCAGCCCCTGTTTTTATCAAGCGAAGTCCCAGCTTCTTTCATTAACATTTCTCAAGGTGCGGCGCTGCGGGGGAGCAGCCTTGGTGGGCTTGGGAGATACATCATAGGTATCCCACGAAGGCTCCATCGCCTTGACAGCCTTCAGTCGGTCCGTGCCCATAGGTTTGTTCTCGTGATCGACCTTTCCATCTACAGGTGAAGAGTCGCCCACGGTGAAGTGGCTGTCGAAATCATTCTTGCGGCCCGCACCATTTCGATTTTGGGGGACAGTGGAGAGAGGCGCCTTGTTTTCGGACTCTGCCCGTGCAAGCTCTTCCTCAACATCATGGAAATGGGTCTTGTAGAGGCCCATGCCCCTGTTTCCAAACGAGCTGATGATGCGAGGCTGTTGCTCGGAGTCCTCATCAGCCATTTGGAAATGAGTCTCTGCATCACGACGAGACTGCGCCACACGTGGCCTGGCTGGAGGGGTCTTGTAAAGTTCAGGTTCTTCATCGCTCCATCCGAAATGACGAGCCTCCTGCTGAGGTTTGCGCTTGGGCTTATCAGGGGTCGAAAAGCTTTCAAAATTCCATTGAGCAGCATGGGTAGACATGGGGCGTCCAGACCCTACCTTGATCTCCCGGTCAAGGTTGTCTCCTCCAATCTCAAAATGATCGAATCGATTCGGGTTGGTCCGGTAGGCAATTTGCTGTGTTCCCCTTTCGGCAGCAACTGTCTCATCATCGTCGAAGATACGAGACGGCAAGTAGTTCTTACCAGCGCCTACTTTGGGGGCAATGTTCTTCTTCTTCGACGGAGTGGCTGCCAAGGTATCATCATCGACATCATCGTGATTCACGAAGATTTCGCCAAGATCACGGGGGGGAGGCTTTGCAGCTGAATGCGCACGAGGGGCACGGACAGGATCACTTCGGTCCTTCTCAGGGGACAGCAGGTCAACGAGAGAATCTGCGGCATGTGGGTCCTTGATGTGTTTCTTTCCAGGGGATGCGAATGCGTTGTTTTCCTCCTTGTGTTCCTCCTTGGCCGGTGGCAGCGAAGATGCAGGAGCTGGCTGCTCTGCGACGGCAGATTTGATAAGTCTGGTCTGTTCTATCGCATCGCGAATGGGCCAACCGCGGGCACGGGAGCCGATAACCTCGACCTGCTTCAGTAGCGACGCCTGTTCCCAGTAAATTCTGACCTGTTGGATTTGTTTCTCGGAATTGAAGCGAACGATGTGAATCTAAAGGGACAATTGGAATTAGCGATGCAAGACATTGATGGCCCAGGCTGAGGTAGGGACGACTTACCGTGGGGAACGTCACGACGCGGTCGGCCAGGAAATTATCGTCGATTGAGGGGAGATAGGCCCCGCCACCAGATAGAAATTCCAATGTAGTTTCGACATCCAAGCAGAGAGAGTCCGGTCCTTCAACGACATCAATGACCTTCTCAGACTTCTTCTCGACAACCTTTTGTTGCTGCTTGATCAGATGGTTGACGACAAAGTCGGCCTTGTCGACTCTCGTGGTGGTGGTGACATAGATCAGAGAGATGTCGGCAGCGACAGGCACAGATCTGGGGTCTGCCAGGAACCTCTGGTACAGATCCTTGAGAGACATAGTCGCTAATGAAGGTGCTCTGGTTCAAGAAATAAACGAATGTAAGGGAAAGACGAAACGGGTGGCTGGTGGTCGTGAATCGCAGTCGCAAACCACTCCGGGAGAGAAGGGAGAGAAAGTGTGGACTATCGCGGAGAACCACAGTTGGGGTATCTTATTCTTAGAATCTCGATCCAAGCATTCAGAAACCTGGGTGACGGCTTAACCACCCGAGAAAGAGAGACAAAACAACGGTACAAAGAGTGAGGAATTAATTGAAGAATGTAGGCACCGGAGAGATCGTGAACTTAATAAAATAGAAGGGTTTCAGGGGAGAGTTATGTTATTTGGGAGCCTGTCTACGCCTCTTTCTTCTACGACAATGCGAACGCGCAACGGGGTTGGCCGCTTATCCGGCTAGATCCCCCTGCGATTCTGGCCTAGACAGCATCTTCGCCTAATAATAATCCATCATCATAATCCCAGCAGGACAATCACAATATCAAGAGAAAGACTGTTTTCTCCGTTTGTCTGCCAAGTGATGGCAATTTTAATTCCCGACAGGTGGTTGATAGACGCACCAGTGTTTCACCAGTCTGAGCCACGGGGCCGTGTCTCTCGGGCAACTACTGTGCTATGGACGCCCAGCACAACTCAAAGTAAATAACTTCTTAGACCTATCTCATTGGGATATAGGCCATGGGTAGGAAAGATGGGCATTGTTGATTACACGGAAATGATGGGGAAGTGCAGTACTGTAGGCTCAATCATGCCCGGTGTATTTGTTTTATATATCCAGAGTAGTTCTTCATAGATTGTCATTTCTCAGCCAAATGTCTCTTTTTAGAGTTGATTCAAGTCAATACATGTCTTTTCGATAGCCGAGTTTTAAGCAAGCAGACGATTATTTAAGTTTTAAATGTGCAGCAGTTATTGTGTTGTGTGACCTCCAGCACCTGTGTAAAGATAAGCTAGCTGCATGCGACAGCATTATGGCACGAGGAAAGATAGTACCCAGCAAGTGGTGAGACCGCTCGATGGAGCCTTGCAGCTATTTTTTTATGCTCACATATTATGGGAATTTAACCCAATTCATATCTAGCATGGTTGGTATCGTTAAAAAAAAACCTTCCCCAGTGGACTTTATGGCAATGATATAAGAATGTGTCGTGAGGTTGGGTTGTATGATAGATATTTTGTGTTTTGCTCGTTAATATTTCATTACAATGGTCTACGGCGTGGAATCACACAAATTAGCTATCATGGCATCCAAACGTTGCAGTCGAAGGATTACTTACCCAAGATAATCTTCTTTAATTGTGCCAATAGCGTTGATTGCGGCAACGTCGGGCTTGACACCGAGGATCTTGAGTCGCAAGCTGGTACCTTTCTCGATAACCTGGTCTGCATGGTCTGTATATTGGGGTGGCACTGTGTTTGGTTCCCATTTGATATCCGAAGGAATGTTCTTCCAAATTGGTAAGCAACAAGACTTCATCATCCAGGATGTTCATTCTTCAACATACTTTTCGCGCAATGAAAACCGACAATGGCCCGGCGAGTGTGAAAATACCGGTAGGCTTGACGGAGGTAACAATGGCATCGACCTAGTGCATTGCAGTGAGTAAAGGGTGTGCCTACATATCTCGAGTCACGTACAGTCTCTCCCCGAAAAGGTTTCCAGATAATCGCTCGATATTTAATCGTGTATTCGGCTTGGCCGCCTGAAGGGAGAACTCGTCCTTCGCCAATATCCACCATGTCCATCACACAGATCACGAAGTGATCACCGGTACACCGTCCCTCTTCCTCCTCGTTCAGTCTGTTGATGAGGTATTCTCGTACATTGGGTCCAAAGTAGGATGGGTGTAATGTGATAACCTTGGTTTCTTCTTTAAGGAAAAACATGGCGCAAGTCTGGCTGACGACTAGACGCCAAATTTAAAATCGAAGAAAGTGTATGGTATGCACTGAAGGCTCGGAGCGGGGAATATAACGTCGTCGGTCAAGGAAGGCCGGTGATTTGCACGGTACTATGGATGGGATATTGTATCCAACGGTTAAGGAGCAGAAGCTTGAGGTTGGTATAGCGATCGTATTTGCGATGGACTAGGTTGGCTCCGAATGCTCGGGGTTTATGTTCAGCAGCGTCTTCAACGAAAAAAGAAGCTGTCGGCAGCAAAAGACAAAACACGCTAGAAAATACAATAAAGAATGAGGTCGCAATAAGATGACAGAGTATCTGCCTCAAAGCACAAGGCAGATACAGAAGCTGCAGGTACACAAAAAACTTCGCCAGGAGGTCAATTGACTTCTCGCATCAGCTTGGCCCGTCATCGAGCTTTCCATCGTGCTGGATAAGGTCACGTGAGGGGTTCTCTGGATCTCCTGATACAGTACATAACATGTCATCCATGAAAAACTGTAAGAAACCCCGTAAATAATAGTAGATTACTGTATTAATACACGACAGACGTATCCTCGGCCTCATCCAATCCCTCCACATGACGATCGCATCATCATCCCAGTACTTTAGAGCCGTAGACTACCACATAGAATAGTAATAATACCCAACTTCCCCACCTCTTGGCTACCCTGATCTGGCATTTTTCTCATTTTTGTCCTGATAAATTATCTGCTTACCTCAAAAGAAAAATCTTTTCTGCATGCAGTCATTTTATATCTGGTAAGCGTGCGTTTGTTGAAGCTCCCCGGGCGGACAACATCCTCAAAATGCCTATGAACCTCGAGAAGCAGCTTCTCTTTGTAAGTCCTCTTACCTAGACACCCTCACGGTATTATAATCGCCGAACAACTGCTTACATTTTTCAGTATGGTGCTTATCACAACAACCCAGTCAGTGCTCTGTTTTATCTTCATTTTGCATAATCACTCATCGCTCTTCAGGTCAACATCGCAATTCACATTACCTGTGTTCCGGTTCTATTGTTTACAGGAATTATCTTGGTATAGTCTCTCATTGGCCCCTTGATTTGGCGACATGGATATGTACTAACCCAGTGCGTTCTCATTAGGCTTCGAACACCCCGGCCTTGTTTGATCTACCAAATGCCCTGCGACACGAATACCTTCCGGCAAATCTCGGCACCATTAGCAGTTTTATCTATGCTACCTTCTATATTCTCCTAGAACCCGTCGCAGGGGGTCTTATTGCGCCGCTTCTGGTTGCTGGTGCAGCATATTCAAATTATTTGTTGAGCATATACGGGTCGACCGTCAACTACTGGGCTGGTGGGATTCATATCGTGTCTTGGTTGGCGCAATTTGTCGGTCACGGTGCTTTTGAACGCCGGGCACCTGCTTTGCTGGACAATCTGGTCCAGGCAATCCTGCTGGCACCTCTCTTCGTTTGGATGGAGATCCTCTTCTTCTTGGGATATCGCCCCGAATTGAAGGCCAGATACGACAAGAACGTCGAGAAGGAGATCGCTGCATTCAAGAAGCAGAAGAATGCCGCTAAATAAGCAATTGGCGAGAGCTATCGGTTGTACGGTATCGTGCCGTGTATGAATAGATTGGTAGAGTGTTGTCACTGTCACCGCTTTTTTTATATGTTTAGCGTTGTTTTCTCACCCAACCTCCCTTTGTTGGTTTGGTAGTGTTAGGCTTATTAAGAAATCCATCGGAGAAATCAGTCCAGAGGCCATTGCTCTATTTATGGACTGCTATGGAGGTCACGAAGCCCACTCGCGATGTGTTGTTTTGATCCGCAAGTTTCGACTCTGCAGCAATGACATAACGGGTCATTCCGGGTATGCATCGTAGAAAGGGAGGTGAGCAGAAGGAAGGATCTCAAGGGTGGAAAGGAAAGGGGAAAAAAAAGCAGAGTGAGCTGTCTTGTTATAGAGGAGAAGACAATTGTAAACAACATTTCAAAGCTATTCCTACGTCGTTACTATCGAGCGAAGCAACAGACCGTATCCGGTTGGCATGGCCTGCGTACGGTTGCTGTGACGAAAATGGGCCATGAGTAAGCTAGCAGTATCCGCAGATCCGAGAAAAGGAAAAAACGGGATTGCCAGGTGTCCCGGATCATGCATCCCCAAGACAGGGAAAATGGACAACCCCAACAATACCTTCGATTATTTTTTTTACTGTTGTAGGTGTATCTGATAGATAAAAAATAGATAAAAGAATAAAAATTAGATTTAATGACACGTTTGATGTGGGAAGCATTAACAGATGCCTCTTTTCCTTTGGGGGTGGGTTGGCGTCCCGTGAACGCACTAGGGCGGCTTCGGAGGTTGGTGAGGCTCGGCAAACTAGGATTAGTGGCAGTCTTGAGAAACCTCCCAACCCCGACGACAAAGCTCTCCTTCCGTCCATCCACAATCCTTTCTCCTCTTCCACCTTCTCCCCAATTACATCTCTCTTTCAGAGAAACCACTCTCCCACTCCTCTGAACCCCCATCACAATGTTCAGAAACGCTTTGCGGCAGTCTAGCCGCACCGTTGCGGCCGCCTCTGCTACTGGCAGGATCGCTTCGGTGAGTCCATCCCTAACGAGGCCAACCTCATCTCATCGACCCGGACCATTTCCATCGCAGAAACTACGTCAATAAGTGTTTGGATGGCTTCAGCAGAGGTCGCAATGAGTCTCTGGGCCATTCGAACGCGTCCCAGCTGGATTGTTCTATTGCTAACAAAATTTGCTTCTCGTTTCTAGGTGCGCGCGGCTGCTCCCGGTCCCATCGCTGGTGCCTCGAAGCAGGTTCGTTCGTACGCTTCTGAGGCCAAGGCCTCGCCCACCGAGGTTTCTTCCATCCTTGAGCAGAGAATCCGCGGTGTTCAGGAAGAGGCTGGTCTCGCTGAGACTGGACGTGTCCTTTCCGTTGGGTACGCTACCCGCCCGTCCCTAGTTGAAAATTTCGGTTTCTGGTGCAACGGCATCAAAATCATCAGAAATCATCAAAACAACGCAACACACATCTTCAACAACATGAGCTAACTTGTTTTCTCGACAGTGACGGTATCGCCCGTGTCCACGGTATGACCAATGTCCAGGCTGAGGAGCTGGTCGAGTATGTAATCCTGATATAGCATTTGATATCTGAGTATTCGACGTGAATGATGACTGACATATCTCTAGGTTCGCCTCTGGTGTTCGTGGTATGTGCATGAACTTGGAAGCCGGCCAGGTCGGTGTTGTCTTGTTCGGTTCCGACCGTCTCGTCAAGGAGGGTGAGACCGTCAAGCGTACCGGAGAGATTGTACGTGTTTTATCCTGATATCGAAACATAATACCATAGAATTCGAGCTAACTGCGTCAAAAGGTCGATGTTCCCGTTGGCCCCGAGCTGCTCGGCCGTGTCGTCGACGCTCTCGGTAACCCCATCGACGGCAAGGGTCCCATCCAGGCCAAAGCCAAGAGCCGTGCTCAGCTCAAGGCCCCTGGTATCTTGCCCCGTCAGTCCGTCAACCAGCCCGTCCAGACTGGTCTTAAGTGTGTCGACTCCATGGTGCCCATTGGCCGTGGTCAGCGTGAGTTGATCATTGGTGACCGTCAGACCGGTAAGACTGCCGTCGGTCTTGACGCCATCCTTAACCAGAAGAGATGGAACAACACCTCCGACGAGAGCAAGAAGCTCTACTGTATCTACGTTGCCGTCGGCCAGAAGCGTTCCACCGTCGCTCAGTTCGTCAAGACCCTTGAGGAGAACGACGCCATGAAGTACTCCATCGTCATTGCCGCTACTGCTTCCGAGGCTGCTCCCCTGCAGTACATTGCTCCTTTCACCGGTTGCGCTATGGGTGAGTGGTTCCGTGACAACGGCCGCCACGCCGTCATCATCTACGATGACCTTTCCAAGCAGGCCGTCGCCTATCGTCAGATGTCTTTGCTGCTCCGTCGTCCCCCTGGTCGTGAGGCCTACCCCGGTGACGTTTTCTACCTCCACTCCCGTCTGTTGGAGCGTTCTGCCAAGATGAACGACAAGCACGGTGGTGGCTCTCTCACTGCTCTGCCCGTCATTGAGACCCAGGGTGGTGATGTGTCCGCCTACATTCCCACCAACGTCATTTCCATCACTGACGGTCAGATTTTCTTGGAATCCGAGCTCTTCTACAAGGGTATCCGTCCCGCCATTAACGTCGGTCTGTCCGTCTCCCGTGTCGGATCTGCTGCCCAGGTCAAGGCCATGAAGCAGGTTGCTGGTTCCCTGAAGCTTTTCTTGGCTCAGTACCGTGAGGTCGCCGCTTTCGCTCAGTTCGGTTCCGATCTCGATGCTTCCACCAAGCAGACCCTCGCCCGTGGTGAGCGTCTCACCGAGCTGCTCAAGCAGAAGCAGTACTCCCCCATGTCCGTTGCCGACATGGTTCCCTTGATCTTCGCTGGTGTCAACGGTTTCCTCGACGCCATTCCAGTCGCCAAGATCCTCCAGTGGGAGTCTGACATCCTTGCCCACCTCAAGAGCAACCACCCTGAGATCCAGGAGACCATCGAGAAGGAGGGCCAGGTCAGCAAGGACCTTGAGGCTCAGCTCAAGGAAGTTATCGGTAACTTCAACAAGTCCTTCAGCGCATAGGTGAGCAAAAGACAACTGGGTTATTAGTCTACCGTGTTCAGTTTTTCCTGACTCTATGTGTGTAGACAAGACAGTTTGTACAATTTGAGACCACTATTTCCTTTTTCTTCTATATCGGTGCCTCGGGTTGGTCAGAATCTTCCGTCGGAAAGTGTACGATCCAGACCTTAGGTCAAGCGTTGTACTATGATCTCTCTGTAGCTATGAAGAAGAGATAAAAATGGTGGGACACAAGAAAATACGATTAATATCCTGTACGTTTAGATCTTTTCGCGCAATAAGGGGACGCGACTAGAGAGAATGATGGGATGTATCGGTCATTTTGAAAAGGACCCAGATACTCTCCAGATCATTTCTTTCTATCATGACTCTTTTGTCCATCCATATATGCAGCCAGAATATGATTTCCTTTGTTACACTACTCTCGCTATGACACTTGTAGATTTTCTATTCATCACGCATTTTTCGTTCCAATAATTTAGCAAGATATAATTCTAAGTTCCCAAGCCATCACATTCGTCTTTTCTGTTCTGCCCTGCCTTGATAGTCATGCTTTCATGAATGTCGGTGTAACATTATTACTTTTTACTTGACAATTACCCATGGTACAATTCTCTCCACTATCATATGAAGTCAACTCAAGTAAGAATGTGATCTAAATAGCACTAGAAGGAGCTGTACCAATTCATAACCAGTAGTTCAATAGCAATTGACAGTGTTGTATTCTTCTCTTCTGCTCTCATGGTCCCTACTTCGTCCGGTCGTGCGCCGAATGCGGCATATGTTTATCGATAAGCGAGCAGCCTTTTCCGTACCAAAATTTCTTCCATACCCCTCCGCCACTCTCCGCAATAGCATCGACGTCTCACTCTATTTTTGCTATAGATCCCCCTCCTTTCGTTGCAGATATGGCTTCCGCTCCAGAATCAGCTCCCTCTTGCAAAGTGATGCTCTCCAAGCATGTCGCAAATGGCTTGCTTGCAGAGGTCCATGAAGGCTTGAAGACTTTGGACAAAGCCCCTCATCTCGTGGGCCTTTTGGCCAACAATGACCCTGCGGCGCTCGTGTACGCCCAGATGACAGAGAAGACTTGTCAAGAAAAGTGAGCATTTGTCTATCCTTGCTTCTTATGTGCCAATTGCCCCTCTTGGACTTTTCCTTCGAGGAGAATGTGCATGCTTTATATCCTGCGATGTCGGAGCTGAATGTCAAACAATGCCCGCGATGTCCATATACACCTCGTAGCTAACGTAGTTTGTTTCCCTCTACAGTGGATTCCGCTACTCCCTCCGTCAAGTCGCCCGTGACGATATCGAAGATGCTATTCTAGCTGCCAACGCTGATCCCGACGCCGACGGCATCATCGTATACTACCCCATCTTCAACAACCGTCAGGACCAGTACCTACAGCAGATTGTCGACGTAGGCAAGGATGTAGAGGGTCTCAGCCACCGCTACATCTTCAACATGTACCAGAACGTCCGATTCCTAGACACTGAGCAGCGACAGAAGTCTATCCTTCCTTGCACACCCCTCGCTACCATCAAGATCCTTGAGTACCTCAACATCTATAACACTATCCTGCCGTACGGAAACCGTCTCTTCGGACACACAATTTGCGTCGTGAACCGATCGGAGGTCGTTGGTCGACCGCTCGCCGCATTGTTGGCGAACGATGGTGCCTGCGTCTACAGTGTGGATGTGACTGGTGTCCAGAAGTTTACACGCGAGGGTCTCAAGAAGAAGAGACACGAGGTCGTTGATCTGGAAGGAAAGACCGTGAATGATGTAGCGCCGCTTTGCGACGTGGTCATCACTGGTGTTCCTGGAGACAAATACAAGTTCGACACCAGCCTCCTCAGAGAAGGTGCTGTGTGCGTGAATTTCTCTAGTGAGAAGGTAAGATCCTTAGTTATTTACATGAGGTCTGAACATTGAAGGGGATTCTAATTCTTGCCAACAGAACTTCGGACCTGAAGTGAGAAGCAAGGCCTCAATCTTCGTTCCCTCCATTGGAAAGGTGACCATTGTGGTCCTGCTGAGAAACCTTCTGGTGAGTTTACATATAAAGTTTCCCTTAAGCAAGAAATTTCTCATTGAAATCGTATCTTACCATCTCCACAGAGACTCATGCAAAACCGGAGATTGGATGATGTGAAGCCTGCCGCAGCTACCGAAAAACCCGGAACCCTCGAGGCTGCTTCCTAATTACGTTCTACGATGCTTGATTAATACGCATGAATGGGAGATGATATCAAAAAGAGCCAGATTAAAGCCATAGATTTCTTCAAATTGAGTTATAAGCAATGTTTTGAGTTGTATATTCTTGTGTATTCTTGACGCAGGTTGTGTGATTTTGAATAGCCTCTTATGTATAGTGATAATTTAAACTACTATGTAAAACAAACGAAAAGGGTGTTTGTATCACAGGGAATAATATCAACCAGATAGATGTAGTTTACTTTTGTACTATTCAACCCTCATTCTGTTTTAACAGGATTGCCTCCACTTTCTTCTTGTGCTCTGATTGACTAGATACTCTCCAGCCTTCTGCAAACACATGGTATCCCAATTCCTTTTTGTTTTCTGTTTTCACTTTCTTTCCTTGGCGGCAAGGCGCAAGACCTCGACCTCATTTGCCAGCCATTGTCGAAGAGGCTCCGGGTGGAAGGCTCCATTCGCAGAGAACCAAGTGGTGAACGGTGCCTCGGCCTCCTTTTCCTGAAGGATCTTGCTTGACGATGATTTGTACTGGACGCGAATCTTGTAGAGTGGGGAGTGTTTCTTGCACGAGGAGCTGATGGAAATCTGTTTAATAAATTTATTAGCTGTATATTCTGTCTGTCAATGGGAGCACATTTGGGAAAACCATACGGTTTCGCCCGACTTTCTCGTCCCTCTGAAGACCTCACCGGCCTCCACAGCCCAGATCCAGTATGTGAGAAAGGTGTTCAAGATAAAGTATGAAGCCACTGCAGCTAGGACCCATGTTGATTGTGTCGCTTCCCACCCGAGCTTGCGGTCAGCGTAGAATGTGAACCCTGCAATTATGACTGCTGAATATCCCAAGATGAAGCGGACGTTGGTCTTCGAGTGGTCCTGAGCAAAGGTGTAAGGCTGGGGAAGGGTAGTCAGATATGGTGCCAGGGCATCGTCTGTTGTCGATTTCAGGTCTGTAGAGAGATAAACAAGTTAGCAAACGACCTTATATGATCATCGCAGAAATGAAAGGCTTCAAGTCGCATAATAATCAACGAAGCGCATGGTAAAAGAGACCTAGAAAACCCGTCATACTAACCATTGCCAGAATAAACAGGCACATTGGGTGCCGCTTGGGATGCCATTTGGGAGGTTTAGCAATCTAAAAATGATAAATTCTTATTCAAGAATCTTGCGAGCAAAGAAGCGATAAAGATACAAATGCAAAATTTGGATTGAGAGGCTAAAGACGCTGTCTGTTTGTCTACCACTGGGGCGTTGCGGCGAGCTGTCCCTTTCGCGGAGAGAGCTAAAGCGGCATGCGATCCCGCGCTAGTCACGGTCCCCATCCAAACCTCTGGAGAGTCGATATCGGGAGCTCTCTCGACCCAGTCCTGCGACCACATCTCATTGCACTCAATTATTATCGCCCATCATGGCCTTGCAAGGGGTAGAGCAGACTATCCTTCGGGATCCGGCTCTATTGTGAGTTATTTCAAATGATTTGATCAATTGGTGGATGTGGAGAGCTGACCCAAAATGCAAAAAGCTATTGGATCCTGTTTCCTATCAGTATTGTTATGGTACGTCTCTTTAAACTGCGCGATTCAATTCCGAATATCAAGGAAAACTAACTTATATCTATAGATATTGACAGGTATCCTCCGCCACTATGCTACGGTCTTGATGAACAACCCCCCGAAACCCCCGTCAACTGCGGCCGAGTCTCGCGAGCGTCTTTCCATCCTGCGTGGTGTCAACCTGCGTAACAATGCTTCAGCTGTCCTTACGAAAGAGTCTTTCGAGATGCGAAAGAACTATCTTGTTTCCGCATACCAAAGTGGCGCTTTCTTGAAAGACCCTGCCAGCCGTGGACAACCACCCGCCAATCCGATGACGGACCCCGCCGGTATGGAGGCAATGATGGGAATGATGAAAGGAAACATGATGATGATGATTCCTCAAACTCTGATCATGAGCTGGATCAATGCTTTCTTCTCGGGATTTGTCATTCGTATGTCCCCTCGTTGGAGCATAGTTGCTCTAAAGGACGGCTTTTCAGCATACTGACAAACTGGAATAGTGAAATTGCCATTCCCGCTTACAATTCGCTTCAAATCAATGCTGCAGTCAGGTGTCATGACTCGTGATCTTGATGTCAGATGGGTGTCTAGTCTTTCATGGTACTTCCTCAATCTGTTTGGCCTTCAATCGGTCTTTGGATTCATCCTTGGTAGCGACAATGGTTAGTGGCCCCTCCGACTTCTTCAAATACACCGAGATGGATGTTCGTCTTTATGGTATATATTTACTAACATTCTTTCGCTTTCAGCCGCCAACCAGATGGCTCAGCAAATGGGTGCTATGAACCCCGCCGCTGGAGTCAACCCCTTCCAACCCGGCCAAGACCCCGATAAACTATACATGAACGAAGTCGAGAACCTTGAGGTCATGGAGCACTTTTGCATTTTGGACGGCATTGAGGAGAGACTCTTGCACAACCTTGCTTCGGAATAGAGTCTCTACGGGGACGAGCCTGATATACAGGCTTCTCCGCGCCTTCTTTCCCTGTCTTATATTGCTACAACTTTATAAACTAAGAATTAGTATTCTCTTTTCGCAAATTCTACAGGTGAACTATCTACATGTTAATAAGTAGCAGGGCACTGGGCAAATAATTACTCTTTGCATTGGACGAAGGTGCCAGTGATTGAGAAATCTACAAAAGTGACCGAAAAGAAAAGGGCATTTGATACACTTCTAAGCCATAAAACTATACATATGTCGTGAAATAAACCAACCTGAAAAACGCTCGCAAAATACACAAAACTCACAAATCAGTTGCACTATGATGCGTAGTTAAGTTTTAACGGGAGTTGATCACCCCGTTAAGGATCCAGACCTCGCCGTTCGACACCTTCTCGGCGATGCTTTCAACTTCGACAGTCCCAGGCTGGATCTATAAGATATCAGTATGTCACATTGTGGTTATATGAGTAGGTGACCCAACGCACAATGATCTTATCTCCGTCTTTTGACCACTTCAACTTTTGTCCACCAAGGGTTTCTACTTCCTCGTCCGTTTCCCAAGGACTGGTAGGTATTATATGGGCCTTCACAAATCGTTCTAGATTGCTTTTGGCGCGGTCGTGCCCTTCTTGCCCTGCATATGCTTTCATTTCCCCATGCTGTTCATAGTCTTCCGGATTCTCCCAAGGCTTATGTGGCAAACCCATAATTGCGCTGTTTCGAGGGGCAAGGACCGTTACATTACTTGATGCGTCGTCAAGCCGAGAAGATACTGACTCGAAATCCCGGGTAAGGGAAGCAAATATGTTGACACCGCGAGCCTTGGGGAGAACATCCGAGATAACAGGGCCGCCTTTACGGCTAAATGGGCCACTGCTATCCCTATTTGAAGCCGTAGATGAAGGAAAGACAGTATTCAAAAAGTTATTCATCGTAGGCTGCTGGTTTTGAAGCCAATCTTGAAGTTTGCGATTACCTTGTAGGCGCTGTTCGTGCCGTAAGTGAGGTACGCTGGCAAGTGGACGAGGTAGACGCTTGCGAACAGCGACAGTTGGAGACCAAATTGCAGAAACGGTGGAAACTAGTAAGAGTGCAATAATAGTAGATACGAGAAGATGATATCTCATCGTGGCTGGTAATAACTATGTATGGCATCCCACCTTGACAAACTACTGCGCTATCACTTGCCAACACACCCATGACGCAAATGACAATTCATGCCTTTTTCGTGCAAATCTCCCACGTGATGTGGAGAATTTTATATCACGTGATATATCTATCGATAAGGGTAGCGGCCACAAAAGGCGTCATGTCCCGGTCGCGGAGGAGGGGATCTGCTTGCCCCTCGTTGATTCTCGGACGCCAGTCAATTGGGATCGGAAAATGTCAGCCCTGCAGACATTTATGCTGGTCGTGGACCACGACAAGCAAGAAGCTAAGCAGATCGCTGAACGAATTGCCCATGGTGAGCTTCCCTGATGATTGTAATGGACATGCTCTTATCTAACTTGCTTTGGAAGATGTTGTGAACAAGAAGACAACCTTGATCGAGGTCGTGCAATCTCTAGGAGAATATATCAACGATGAAGATCCAATCATACGAGGAAAAGCAGTGTCCTATCTCTCAGCCGTCGTCAAACCCCTCCCTTCGAACTTCCTCACAAGACAACAAGTTCAGGTTTTGACAACCTTCTTTTGTGATCGTATCGAAGATGCAGGTGCTATCCCTGGATTGGAGACATTGCAGAACGCAGATAGATTTTACAAAGAACTGGCCGAAGAAGTGGCGCGAGCGTAAGTGCATACCTCTGGTGGGACTATTGAAGTACTGCATGTATCATTGGAAGATTGCAGAGCTGACAGCTGCTTAGAATATTTGAGCATTTTCAAGATCTACAGTCTCGGTCACAATCCCAAAGATTCCAGGTCTATCAGTTATTAAATGATTTGATGTCCAAATATCGAAGCGGTGCGCCCATCAAACACAATATCTTTCTCTAACGTCCAAAAATTGATGATGATTAGCTCTAATCGGTATGGGTGATGAATCGCTTGTTGGGATAGTCGACCTTATGACCGGGGAGAAGGACCCCCGTAATCTCATGCTCATATTTTCGATACTGAAAGTGGTGATGCTAGAATGGGATATCTCAACTCATGTCGAGGTATGCGTTTCATTATTCAACATCCCAGTTCAATATCTAACAGTAAAAGCTCCTTTTCGATGCAGTATACAACTATTTCCCAATCACCTTCAGACCCCCGCCGAATGACCCATATGGAATCACTGCGCAAGACCTGAAAGACCGTCTTCAAGATTGCGTATCCTCAACAGGGCGCTTTGCTCCACACTCCATTCCAGCTCTTTTGGATAAACTCGACTCCACTTCCCCGAATGTTAAGGTATGTCTTTGATTAGTATTTCCACAACACGAGCTAACCAACTTGCAGAAAGATGCACTTAATGCGTTGATCGCCTGTATCTACTCTTATGATCCAGACTCAGTATCCAAATACTCGATCACGATCTGGGATACTTTGAAATTTGAAATTCTCAACGCCCAAGAAGAATTTCTCTCCGAGCTTTCCCTGCAAGCTTTGCAAGGTATTGCTAAAAGACTCTCGGAAGGAGTCACGGAAGTCACACAAGAACTGCCACTTGCACAATTCCTGAAGCCCATCACAGCGGAGTGTAATGACCAACTGCGAGAACCTCAGCAAAAGCAGGCAAAGCCTGCCCAGCAAATTTTGAGGTCTACGTCAGCGTCTTCCACAGCCTCGTTCACCTTGACGGTTCAGACTGTTGTTGCGCCACTCTTGACAATCTACCAGGAAGCCGATGGTATTGCTAAACAAAGAGCTATACTAGAAACGCTTGTGGTCTTGTTTGATTCGGCTATTGAAGTGTTTGGGGAATGGACAACGCGCGAGCCTATGGTTGCTGCTCTGAATCCTTTGCTTGAATTCAAGGACCAGTTCTCAGATGTTTTTGGTCAGGCCTTGATGGGGGCTGCAAAGGAGGAGGTATCTTTCCGAGTTTCCGCCCTGAAAGGCTTTCTGCGCCTTTCCACCTTGCGTGAATTCTTCCAAGACAACGAAGTTGGATTATTCGTGCAATATCTTGATGAAATTCTGCTCAAAGAAGAGTCTGCGGGTCGGGATGATTTGAAAAAGGAAGCGATTGTAGCTTTGGCTGAGATATCGAAGCACAAGCCGCGACTGATCATGGATATAACTTTCCCTGCATTTGTGGCGACTCTTCCCGATAGTGATGAGGAGGGAAGTGCCAGCTACATGACAACACTTGAACATCTTGCACAGATTAGCGTCGAAAAAGACATCTTCGAGACATTAGTCCGTCGGCTACTCAGCAAACTTACTATTTTGCTGCAGAAGGAACAGCCCGGATCTGTCGCATACCCCAGAGCCATTCTTCTGACCATTCTATATGTTATGGACCAAAGGAAAATGGACCAAGATCCAAATTTGGATCTTTACTACGAAAAGATCGTGGTCTGCCTCTGCCGTAGCGTTGCAGTTTCGGCTTCTGGGAAAGCCAGCAACAGAATATTGAACGATTCGACCGTCTTGGATACGCTGGGAAGACTCTGCAATCTCATTGTTAGGTCTCTTTCGAGGGAAAAGCAGGATGAGGTTGCAAGGAATGTCTACAGGCTGTTCACTGATGATTTTGCGCCAATTCCGTTTGCACAATCCCCAAGCGAAGATCAACAGCGGTCGATGATTATCTCGACGTATTTGCTTGCAGGACTGCCAAAGGATTGCACAAACCTGCCTTACGCTGACCCCGACATGTCGGGTTTGCTGTCAGACCTCATTCAACGATCAGTCGCAGAGAGCGAGCCAACAACTCGTCTTGCTTTCCTTCGCCACTTTTCCTTACTAGTCAACAAGTACCTTTCGAAGTCCGATCTGGGTCTATCAGCAAAACTATTTGACTCACTTCTGCCCCCCAGTACAGAAGATAGGAAGCTCAGCCCTAGTGTCATAAAAACAGTATTCTGGCTTTCCAAAGCCACAGTTCTACGCCTTGCGCCAACAACAACCCAAGTACTGACTTCTATCTTGTCTCTTCTTTCATCTTCGGACGAAGTAACAAGTACAACCGCCGCTCGTGGCTTCGCTATTCTTCTTAGTGACGACGACGTACTTTCTACTACAAATGGCGCTAATATCCGATTGTTGGCGAAGCAACGTGTTTTTACAACAGTGGTGCCCATTATTTCTAGCAAGATCCGCGAAGTTAACGTCGCTGGTGGTGATTCTTCTGCACCAGACCATGTCAAACCAGCATATCTGACCGCTTTATCGGGAATCCTCTCCACCATTCAACCGTCTTTGGTGATGCCAGAGCTTCCAACCTTGCTCCCTCTTCTACTGCAAAGTTTGGACCTCCAAACAGCGGACTCCCAAGCCGTTAGGGCTGCAACCCTCGAAACCCTCGCCGTCATCATACGCGATAATGGTGTCGCAGTGATCGACCAATGTGGCCATGTTCAGAGCCTCGTCACCCGTTTGTTAAACACAACAGCATACTCCCCCAAGGCTACTAGTACCGGGCCTGTGAACGGACCGCGGCTGCGTGTTGATGCCCTGAAATGCCTTTTCTTGCTGGCCCAGACCCCTAACGCGGATGCGCCCGCGATCGCCAGGGCCGGCAAGCTCTCCCCACTTCTACCAGTGAAGAACCAGGTCTTGCGTTCTCTACGGATGGTCCTTGACGACCCTAAACGAGATGTTCGTAAAACTGCTGTTGACGCTCGAGGAGCTTGGCTCAGAGGCGTTGATGATGCACCTGAGGAGGAGGATTAGATGAATCGCATCTCATGTGGCTTTCCATCTTTTTTCTCCTTTCTTCCATGATTTTTGATAATGACAAGACTTGATGGGGTTTCAAGATATATAGATATTTGGCGTTGGTCTGAAAAATAAAATTGGTCGCTGTTTTGTTTATATCATGATTATTGGTCATGCAACCAAGATTAGCATATTCCAATAGATTTATCAACTTGGGCAACAGGTTTCTTCTTGATAAATAGGGCTGAAAAGCCTTTTCATTATAGGTTTCTTATGCGTAACAATAGTAACTGGAAAGCTGAAAAAAAAAAAATTGATTACGGGCCTAGATGTTGTCAGGCAAACAACTCGAAATTCTAAATGCATGATGTGGCCTAGCAAGATGGCATAAACGGAATGACAGCGCTGCAAGCAGCCTAGATAATTGATTATAGACTCCTGATCTAGGTTCCCGACACATGATGGCTGGAATGACTTTTGAGAACATTTTTCAAACGTTGGAATCCTCCACATTTTATCTCTAGTTGCTCCAGTCCAAAACGCTTCCCATAAAAGATTGTCACCACCAAAATCAAGAGAAGAAGCATTCACCAGAAATCCAAGTCTCCCTGCTCTACTTCAGCAGAAGATCCAGAGGGTGTCTTGACCATAGGGGTGTTCACAATTGCACTTCCTACGTCCTTGATGCTCTCCAGATCCTCAAATTCCAGGCATTTCTGCTCTACCCTGACCAAATTACCCGTGCCAGACATAGCGGGATTACCAGGAAGAGTACCTGTCATAGGAACTGGACCGGCTGTGGCGGCTGCCGCCATCCGAGCAGCTTCTCCAGGGCCGCAGTTTCTAAACCCGATGCCATCAATCTTCTCGACTACTGTTTTGGCAAGACGGAGGAGATGCCCAAGACCGGTGGCTCCAATTGCTGTTGCAACAGCGCTCAGAGGTGAAGGAGAGGGTGGAGAACTATCCTCTCCGTCAGAAAGGATGGCGGCGTCATCTCCGAGCAAATCAGCGCTGCGCCAATCATCCGTACGCTCTCCGACTTCGACATTGGCATTTGATTTCAGCATGGCTTCAATCGAAGGGCTGATGAGAGAGGCCTCATACCACTGCCGGCCCTTTTTTTGCATCTCTGGCAGTGAAGCACAGCGGGCTCTCACGGCTTGGGTGTCCGATAAACTGGACCCAACGAAGAGATCTTGAACTTCCATTATTTGCAGAAAGATATCCTGGTTCTCGGTAATTTCACTATCATGAGTCGTGCTGTTTTGATCTCCAGTATTTGCTTCACTCCTCGCATCATCTGCTGCTGTTGCCAGATCACGGTTACTTGTCACCGAGACCACAGTATCAGCGGCGACTTTGGGAGTAGTATCACCAGCGCGGATATAGCGATGACGGGTCCAACGCTTCAGAAAAACTTTTTCAATGACAAACTTGTTTCCCTTAGGAGTTCGTGTAAAGATTCGAATATGAGACTTGTCTGGCTGAACCCAGAGACTATCGACCAGGTGCTGAACCGCATCTTCAAGCTCCTGATCAGAACCGACGACATGATCTGTGATACCGTTGACCACAAAGCTGGCATCCCAAGTTTGTCCAGGGAAATGCAGGTTGACTGCACCGAGAGCTGTAGTTGGCTTCTTAATGGAATGCCTACCCTGCTCATCAATTGTGATAACGAAAAGCTGGTCAGCATTGGTCCGGCAGTGGTATTCGTAAAAAACGCTGTATTCTGTGTAATCCTGCTCGAAAAGGCGGCGTTTTCCTTCTGCTTTGGATGTTTTCAAGTCCACGATATGATCGACATCTGTGCCAGATGTGGTGAGCCGATTGATGAATTTTGTTGTCGGTGCTGGAAGGCCATTTCGAGGTTGGAAGATTTTTGTCCATTCGTTTAAAGATAACAGACCTCCGCTATAAGTCTTTGGGAGAAGTGGTATCAGAATGAGACCCATTTGGACTTCCAAAGTTAACCCTCCAGGAAAATGTTCAGCAGCATCCAACGTCGGCTTCAACGCTTCGAAGAGACTTTTGATGAGTCCATTCATATGCATCTCAGCCTTCACCTGTTGTGGGTTTTTTGAAGGCTGTTTCGTAGCAGCAGACGCTTCTTTCCCGCTCTTGAAACCATCTTCTTTAGATTGTCCGTTGGGCAATTCTTGGTGGCCAATGGGTTGTTTTGTCGATGTCTTTTTGGGAATGCCCCAAGCGTCTTCAAGAGTGGCCTGTCTTTTGGCTTTAATCTCAGCTTTGCTCTTTGCCTTCTGGCTTGGTTTGGCCATTTTATGAATCATGGTTTGGTAGAACTGTCGAGTGGCCGATTCATCAATGGATTGCTGCTCCTCTGGTTTATAGGGATTCTCGAGCTCCCAGAGTCTCCCAGCGTACAGTTCCCTTTTCACATCACTGTGAGATCTAGAATTATGGATCAAGTTTGCAAAGGTTACTTCTTGCTTTTGCTTGTCCAGTGTCCTTTTCAAAGCCATTAGCCTCTCGTCATTTTCTGCATCCAGTAAGTCCGCTTCACTGGAAGATTTCGTGTCTAGAATAGACAGAGGTCTGTCGGAGCTGAAACCCATGCCATTTCCAATTTTAGGCTCAAGAAGATCAAAAGATGGTTCACTCTTATGCACAGATTGCTTTTGCGAGCAACTCCCAGCATACTTGGAAGAATTGGAGGGCGGTTTTTCCGGGATTAGAGCAGGCTGGTTGAAAGATATCAGGGGATGAGAGTTTTTATTTGAACTGATTTCTGACTCAAACACATCAATGAGTTCGTTCTTCCTGCCAGGTCCTCTCTGGGATTTTGGCTGTTCACCGATATTAGAGCTATTCGAGATGTTCGGAATAGTCCGCCCATTCGTCTCTGCATATTTTGAGCCCCATTTGAGATCATATTTGGTCTCGTCAAATATCGTGGGAAGTCGATTTCTTTTCGCTGTGATCTGAGGCTTTGCTACTGCGGAAGAATCGCGAAAGGCATCAGCGGTACTCCCCATGCCAGTATTGGAAACTGCATGACTTGGTATCTCCTGCGGGGCGTTTAAGATATCGCCAGAGTCAGGTTCATAGGGGATTATCAATCGCTTGCGATTCGTGGCAGCATTTTCGCTAAGATTAGGGTCTGGATCCTTGGCAGACTCGGGCTGAATGGCCGGAGTCTTAGTCGATGGTAATGCTTGGTCTTTGGCCGTTTGAGCCACCTTGCGTGTTCGTATGCCACGAGGTCTCTTTATCACTGGAGCAAGCTCAGATTGCTCGCGAGCAGTTTTCGGGTCAGATGGGAGGCTAGGTTCAGACTCTGCTTCACCTTCCATCTCCGCCCTATCAACAACCCATTGATTCACCCGTTTGGCCTTTTCCGCAGTAAGATATGGATGCAGAGGCGCAATCCCAGACGCTAATACTTGAGGATTTGCAGGGTCCTTCTCAACAATGGATTCCATAGTAAGAAAATCTTCTCCTTTTCCAATCTCTTGAAAAATGAAATCGTTCCAAATACGTGATTTTCCAGCCTCATTGCTGATACTTGGAGGGTTGAGAAGTGTAGGAGGTTCATGGAAGGACTGAGTTTCGGTATCAAATTCAAGCAATAATGTGACGAACACCTGGCAGAGGTTCGCGTTCGAGCTCAGATTTGGATCTGAGAGTATACGGCTCAAGGCAACGGAGTTCAGGTTGCTGTAATTTTGGATACGGAAACGGGCCCCTTCGTCTTCTGGGGCAACGATCATGTTTCCCACGCGGGGGTTGTTGATGAACGACTGTTTACAGATTGTCAACTTCTAACAAGGCCTTTGTGAGGTAGGTTTGACAAGATACCACACTTACCAATGGTTTTTCAATTCGAGTCAGCTTCGCCAAAGCATCATCTACGTCTCCTTGGTTTTTACCCGAGACTTGAATGCCTTTGATATCATCTATGATTGATATCTCCGTGCCGGTCATGGTTGCCACCTCAGCCAGAACCTCATGAAAATTGGCAGAAAAGCAGCCCAGGCCACCGCTAGATGACAACCAGTATTTGGTATCATGATTGATTGAAAGAGGAATGAATTCCTCATTGGAACCATCATCCAAAGCCAGCAAATCACCTTCTTGGTCTTTCTCAACGCCAACTGGAATATGGGACATCTCATCGTCGAATATGACAGGGATTTCCAGCTGGGAAATTCGTGGCATCTATAGACTCGGCGTTAGGCATGCATTTCGTAGATTATGCGAGTATAAAGGCTTACATCCAACAGGTCCTTGTTTTTTTGCTCTTCGATGAAATCCGATACCAACGACGCGTATTTAGAGGTAGAGCCCTCCGGGTTCCCTTTGATCACAAGCACCTGCAAGATGATCCCATTAGCTAGAGCAAAGAAATTCTGGGCCGTTGTGTTTAAATACTGACATCATCTGTTTTCGAATACTCGCACAGAAAGTCTGGCTGGTCGTCGGATTTCCTGAGTCGATCGAGTTAGTAAAGTGAATCAATATGCAATCCAAGGGAACAAACTTGAATTTATCTTGAATCTCTTGGACCTGGATTGTTTTTTCAGTTAGCACGTGTCTTAGACTTCGTAGATTTCAGCGACTACTTACTCCAATGTCCTCAAACGCCCACATCGACGCAAGCGTCAGCCGTGGTTTTGCGGCCATTGCTGCTTCCCACCAGCGACTTTGTGCTGCTTGACAGGCTTTTGCAAAGCCAAATGAAACGAGACTCGACGTGATTGTGGCCGGTACCAGTGGAGGGGGGTGAATTGCGCGCGAGAGGGTAGAAAATGTTTTAAAAGTGGGATGTGAGAGAAAAAAATTAGGGTAGTGAAAATATGTATTGACAAAACAAAAGACGTCAGACTAGAGTCCTTGAAGACCGGGTTGTGATGAAGATAGTCTCAGCAAAAGGGAGACTGAAAGAAACCCGAAGCGTCCTGGAGAGGAAAAGGGGAGGGAAAGGAAGAGAAAATGCAGGCGAGGAAGGAGGGAGAGGAAACGGGGGTGGAAACCAGCAACAGTTGAAATCACCAGAGCATGGAGCGCAGAAGCCAAATGCAATCAACATACAATCATGATAGATAGAATATGAGGATTCCTGCAGCCCAGTCACTTGTCAATAAAGAATAGACGGGTAGATGCAGATCATAGTGAAGAAAGGTATGCCAAGTCACAGGGATCCATTCAACGGGATATGACAGTAAGTAGAATAATAAGATAAAAGTGAATTTTAAAGAGGAAACACTGATGGAATCATACCATCAGTGAATATGCCAGAACAAGAGGCAAAGTCGATAAGGCATTGGAAAAACCAGGTTCTTGTCGATATGTTCCTGAGATAGCTGCACAAGTGGATTTGTGTATGTCAATGTAAGACTCCGGTCTTATTATATTTCTTGATATTTATGTTCAATGGTATCTCTCAGGGTCTAATCATCATAGCCATCATGGTGTAAACTTGGAAATGAAGGAACAACAGTGTACAAGGGTAGTCTTCTTCCCAGGGTATCTTAACACGCCCAAACTCCACACAACCTCGAAAGAGCGTGGGAAGATTATGGGAGAAAACAAACAAGAATAAAAGAAGAATAGTGGAAAAGAACTCAAGACATATACCCTTAACATTGACTGGCAAACATCAAGGTTGATCAAGAGGCGACCAGTCCAGTAACCCGATATCTACCAGAGATTCGAGCGAAGAAACACTTCTGTTGCGGTTGAGTCAAAAAGACAATCATGCCAGTTGATATGACAGCTGCCACTTGCTTGTGTAATGAAACCAGGTTCATGGACCCAGTATTGCCGGCCCACAACAATATGGTGGTTCGGTGGAAGCGAGTATCGCATTCGCGTTTTCACTCGGAGGCTTTGGCATCAGCATTGATCCGGATGGCCCATTTCATTTGCCCTTCGGTTTCCTTCAGCGAGGCGAGAGCAGCGTTGATCTTTGCCTCGCCCTGTTGACCTTTTTCGATCAAACCCCTCAGCTCCTCGTCGTTCGCTTTCTTGTACGCCTCGTAGTCCTCAAACAGCTTTTCGAAATTCTCTCTGCTAGTCTCAATTTCACGGTTCTTCTGGGCCATGACAGCATCTAACCGTTCCAGCTCCACGTTTTTCGATTCATGTTTCGCTTTCAAAGCAAGAACATCGTCGCGAATTGAGTTAAATTTTTTCTGCTGATCCGCTCGTTCTCGCTGGTTGGATTTTGCAAGAACATCGTACTGGGTTCGCGCATGGGCGGCCATCTCGTTGAGTTCCGCGCATCTTCGATTATAATCATCCCGAGCCTCGGCCATCATTTGGTGGATTTTACTTGTTTCTCCCTGGGCATGGTTCCTTCTTTCTTTTTCAGTCTGGGCTTCCGCCCGCAGTTCCTCGATTTTCCTGTCTTTGCGCGAGATGGAATGAAGGTTTGTCTCGTTCGCCTGTTCAAGATTACGGAGCCGTTCCGACATGTTCTGGACCTGTATTTTGAAGGCCTCGTTTATCCGCTGCGTCTCTTCTGCTCGCGAGCGATATACACTGCATTCGCGGGTCAGGCGTGCAATGTCCTCCTGCAGATTGTGTATGACTCGACCGGATTTGCCAGTAGCTGCGTGCCCGACGGCGGACCATTCGGCTGTGGGGGCATCGCCGTTCGTAGGATTGGAGAGGGAAACCATGGTTTCTGTAGATAGGATTAGAAAACGAGCAGTTAGCATTTCATAAGCGTGCTGGGGAGTTGACAGGAGCAGTCGATAACGGAGAAATAACCAACCCGAAGATTCAGTGGGCGCAGACCCGTTTTGCTGCTCCGGGGAGCCAGCATCAAATAATCCATTGTACTGATGCATATTCAAACGTGTTTCCACACGGGGTAGACTGATGCGCGGGGGCCGGGGGGGCTCTGACGTGGGTAACACAAGCATATCCAGGTCAGCCTTGGTATTTTCCGCCTTGGGCTTCTTTTTGACCCGACCGAATCGTACCATACCGAGGGTATGGAATGTCGGAAGAAAGAAATCAAACGAATCGCGGAAAGATAGTGGAGAAGCAGCGACCAGACAAAGCGACCATAGAAGATGCAGACAAACAGCAGGAAGGACGCAGAAAGGCAGGTAACATGGGCAGTTAGTAGTCGGTGCCTTACCAACACCACCTGCAAACAAGCTACCTAACCCACTGCCAATGACAGCTCACCCACCTGGCTGTTTCTGATCCCGATGAATCCGCGAGGTCCAAGGCAAAGAAGTGGAGGACGCCAGGGCTGGTGGTGATGCATGGGAAGGGGGAATCAAGATCGAGGGAAACACAAAAAACATACGGAGTGGATCAAGTCGCAATGGCACCTAATCTGCAAGAAAAATAATGCTTTAGTGCTTAATCATCGCCGAGACATGATTTAATAAAAAGAAAGTTGCGGTGGCAGGAGCAAGGCGAGCTGATATAGCGAACTAGTGAGGTGTGGGCTATCACTTACAGCCGGCTGGGAAGATGTGCAGACGACAGTCGATTTGCAGCTCAGGATAGGAGAAATAGAAGCAACCACAGAAAGAACGGGCAATCAATATATCCAGATGAAGAGAAGAGAAATAAAAGAGCAATATATACAGGCTAGAGACAATGAAAACGGAGCTGATGTCATGCAAGACGCGATGCGAATAATGGTGTGTGGTGTCTTGCTTTTCTTTGACGACGGAGGAGGATCACAAAATGCAGCGCGAAACGCTAGGGGCGGGCGCTAACAGAGGATCTCCTCCCCGCGGTTCGCATCCCAGGCGGCACCACACACCAGGATCCGGCTAGACAGGGCCTTTACAGGAGGGTATTGGCCAGACGGAGATTAATTGGGAGTGTTTTCGAGTTGATTGGTATTGTGAATATTCCAGAACACGAGGTCAGCGTCAGGATATATTGATTGAAAGACTAACACTGATGCAAAGAATAAAAAAAGCGCCGAAAGCGTCAAGGCAGGAAACCCACCAGGTCCGCCTTCAAGGCGCGTATACGTTTGTTATATATATATACAAAGGAAGAAATACCAGGCAATCTTTGCAGACTGCATTAAAAAACTCGATTTTCCCACACAACGCCTTCCGTTGAATTCAATACAACATACAAAAACCAACGATAGACTGTTGTTGCCGCATTCATCTGGCCCTTTTTATATACCGATATAGAAGATGATGGCAACAGCTCCTAGGACCCAGCGCAATGAGTACTCATGAAATGATGCACCGCCAGTTTGCGCCTCGGTGGACACCTTGTTCTTCTCAATAGGGTGCGTCGATGTCGGGGTAGAAGTCCTGCTGCCGGTAGTGGTTGTTGCATTGCCGTGTGTTGTGCCATTCGCCTTGGAATTCGGGGAGGTGTCCAGAGACTTGTCCTTCTTATCATCATCATCTTTGTCGTCCTCGTGGGCAGTACCATTGGACGGCTTGGATGGAGGGGGTCCCTTGGAAGGCGGAATCTCTTCGTCGGCTTTGGAGAGTTTCAGCTGAGAGGAAAAGTTGATTTTTCCTTCCTGCTTGATCTCGAACGCGTAGTCCTCCCCCTCAGGAAGGTCTTCTTCGGGCGCCCATGTGAACTCTCCGCCAGAAGCGGTGTCGGTCAAGGTCTTCACATCGTGGAGATTACCAGCGTCTCCTTTTCGCAGGGTGATTGTCGCGGGCTACGGGTCGCCGAAGTTAGTTGGACATACATCATTACTGAGGATATGGAAACATACAGCGTCTGGGTTGCCAACCCACTTTAGGGTGACGGGGTCGTTGTGCTTCAGCTCAGATGGCCATTCTGTGAATGCTATATAGTCGGCGGCAAGACCAAGAGGGACCAAGAAGGCCCAGGCGGCAAGAATGGCTTTGTTGAAGTGCATCGCGAATGTCTCGAACACCACGATATCAATAAAGTGACAATATTGTTATGAAGGTGTTAAATATGCGCGGGGATAATGCAGAGAAACCGATTAAGGGGTAAATGCCACGAGGTTCAGATCACGAATGATATATCACAGGGAAATCCGAGACTACAAGATGATTAGAATCGAGGACAAGGAAATGCTGACAGCGACTTCCTCGCGATGCTCATACAGCAGAAGGAAAGTGCAGTCAACGACCACCCGTTGGATGTTATTGATGTTATCTCAATCAGGTGACAATGACTTACCACGACAGCTCCTTTTTGCTCGGATAATCTCTTGAGAAATGAGATGAAGTATGAAAGATCTGGTGGTTAACCCCGTCTCAGTTGCGAATCCAGAGCCATTTATTCCCCCCTGGGGGAATCTCTCTGTCAACATCTGTTGCCTAAACGATAACATTGAGTTGACATGAATAATGAGGCATGGGGTTGTTGTGTTTACCATGGTGCATTCCTGGCAAGTATGTCGCATTGTTGCACTGTGGATGTCTATGGAGGCAGCACGACGGTGCAAATCTCCTGGGAATGCACTCAAATCACTCCTGGAAAGTCCATAAACCATGATTCAGCCATTCAAGTATCCCCAGGATCTCAAACTCTCATGTCAAGAAGTTATTATAGGTCGGGGATGCTGAAACAGCCGGGCTGGTACCACAAGTTTCGACAACGACTGACAATGCTCGCAACCAAACTACAGCAGAAACCCCGTGGAATTCTAATATTTGGAAAAATTTGGCATTCTATCTCTAATAATTCTTGTCCCTTGTCGATTATTTCCTGGATATCGACAAAGCTAACTGAACAGCAGCACTGCTGGCCTGAGACAATAAATACTTCCATCCACACCTCTTGGTCAAGTCGTGACAGCCAGAAAACATTATGATTAAACCAGGAATCTTCATCTCCAGTCCTAATGCAACATTCTCTAGTGTCTCCTTTGCATTTTCGTGGAAGTTCTATCCTCTGCAAGGGCTATCAAGATATGAGATACCATCAGCAAGGGGTTCAGGCACTCATATAGAGCTCCCTCGGCTTCATCTTGCACATAGTGTACAAGAGCTAACAGGAATTAGTCCTTCCAATGTGATATATATGCTGTGTAAACTACTTCAATCGAATATCACATGTAGGAGCGCAACTTTCCTGGCTGGAGTCCGGCAAACCGATAGCATCGTCGGCCACATATACCATTCATATCCGGCACTGTTCTAATAAAGTGAAAATAAATCTACGATAAGAAAAATTAACAGAGCTTTGTAAAATTAGCATATAATTAAAATTATCTTCTGCATCTGCAACAACCCACAAAATCGTCATCGTCGAAGTACCATTGCATGATTCCGGAAGCGGAAAATAGTGCGATGCCCCAATATACAGATCCCCTCAAACTTCCCGCTTCCATAGATCTAGTTCCTCAAAGGATGAAACGATAAAGAATATTCCCGAATGCATCGCTTTCAGGGAACGCGGGTCACGGTTGCTTCATCGTTATCAAGGACAGCTCCCATGCGCTCTTTCCTGCCCACTTCTATTTATCGATCAAGACACAGGATGAGTGAGATGTACGCTTTTCAACTTCTTCTATCATGTACATTCGCTCACTCGAGACTATTAAATAGTCGGAAGATTTATTATCATTCATATCTCAATTATCCTATTCATTAGATTACACTCGTTGCGCAAGGATTCGTCCGGCTTATCTCCCGTTTCTTCTCGTCTCTCGAGATCAACGCCAGCTTCTCTCATTCTTTGGATTGAATCTCTTCTATGATATCTGCTGTTATATCTCACTAAAATGCCTGAGAGCGACGTGACCACCACATCTCGATGTAATGAACATCCTTCGCGGATTGAAACACCACGTGTGGCACGTTCATCAACAAGTAAACCGCCACAGCGATTTTACAGTACCAGAGAAAGCCACGGGGAAGCCAATAATAAGAGTCATGAGGAGTCTATTGCGGCCAGATATCAAGCCCAAGTCGCTGTGAACCAAACCCGGGCTCAGACTCTGCATACCCTCACGTTGTGTCGAACCGTCATCACTACACTCGAAGTGACTCGTATGGCAAAGTCAAGAGTGGGATTTGCTTTCTGGCGAGCATTCTGGGAGCGAATCTATTCACGAGATTACGCCCGTTTTCTCATCTGTCACGTCCAAAACACCCTGTCCAAGGTCGATTTCCTCTTTCGCAACATCGCTCGAGAGCTGCATGAGATCACACTAAACACGGTGGTCCAGGTAGTGCAGGCTACCACCGAGGAGAAGATCCTCAGGGCCCTCGAACAAATGGAGCAGCAAGTGGGCATACGCCGAAGGCGAAGACGCAAGAAAGCCCGGAGCATGATTGACAAAATGCGCGCCAATATCGAAGCAGTCCGCGTTACCATTAGCGATGAGATCATTGACGGATTGAAGCGCGTTGTGTTCGCATTAGATCCATACTGTGACTACTATCCGGGTGATACTGAGGAGGAAATGCGCCAGTTGTCGAACTCAGAGCAAATGGCACGCTGGCGTCATGCTGAGAGAAACTTTCCGGGTCTTTATCGCCATTGGCATTCTGCTGCCTCTGGGGCGATTCGCACGGTGGGGATGTACTATTTGGACCAAAGTCGCCATCGTCGTTACAGCTTTATAAGGCGGCCGATGACCCATGACGAGCTTAGGCAATGGCGAGGATAATTTGTCTGTGTGCTTGTTTTAGGTTATTTGTTGGTTGGTTGGGATAGGCAATGTGCATTTAAATGTTATAATCCCCCCCTTGCATTGAGCTTGGGGGAAATATTGGCCACTCGTTAGCTTATAGATCAGACTGCGTTATTGGGTTTTCTTTGCTTGGAAGCGTGGGTAAATTGGTTTAAAGCATCAAAGATAGAATAATAGATCATGATTTTCACTTGTATGCGCTGAGAATTTTTGATATCTACCTGAATATCCATATAAACACCATCCGTTGAAAAAACATCACGCAAAGTCCCATAACCCTCTTATGAGACTGCCAGGAGCCGTATCCTGGCCACCATCCTCTTCCAGACCTCGGTCGGTGAATATTCGCTTGGGTATCTGGTATTCCACCACCGGAGTTCTTTTGATCGGCTTGTCCTCGGTACCAAGTTCACCCTGCAACATGCCCTGGTACGTATAGTCGAGGAAGTCTTCTAAGCTATATGCTTGCTTTGTGAATTGCTCCGATATGATACGAGCGATGGCAGCAACGTTGGGGTGATAGTGAGACTGGAGCGTTTCAATTTCCCATAAACTGCTCTCGATGGCATCTGTGAGAGTGGGGTCCGCCTCCTCGGGGTCAAACGGATCGTCCATACCCTCAGCTTCGAGGTCTGCCTTGAATTCCTTGTCGTAGACGACACGGTGAAGCATGAAGGTACATGTTGGGTGGCTCTTGAAGAGGTTGTATGCGAAGGGGACTATGGCCACGATAGCGGCGGGGGGCGCATTGAGTGCGAGACGAGAAAGTCGTTTGATGAAGCTGGCGATGAGGGTGGCGGGAAGATGGGTAGAGGCGAGGAAGGTGTTCATCAAGCGGAAGAATCGAGACCGGTGTTTCGAATGTAAGAGGTCGGCGTCTAGGAGAGAGTAAAGCTTCTGGTAGAACTGGGGGTAGTCCAGGTTCTTTTCCTGGATGAGGTAGAAGAGACCGGATAAGGCGAGAAGCGATGTGGCGCCTCCGACATTGTAAGAGTCCGTTAAGAAGTCCATGAGCAGTTCGGGCCGGTTGAACCATGGCTCAATGCTGTGGACCATGATGCGCAGCAGGGCTTTCCGCTGAGATTGCGAGAGGTTGCTTCGAAGAACGGACAACCATGCATCCTGCGCTCGCTTCTTGTGAGAGTTGACTGAGACCACCTTCTTGCTGTTTTTGCTAGTCTTTGAAAAGAAGTTTTCAAACTTGTGTTGGGCTCCAGGCACAGAGTCGCATTCCGAGAGGATGGATATTAATGTTTCGAGGATTTCCGTGCTTCTTGTCGTTGATGCGTAGTCACTGTAATTTGTTATTATCAAGCCCCTTCATATTCCAATGTGATTGTGGTAAACATACGCAAGCTGCATGAAGGTATAATATCTCACGTCTTCGTATGCCTTTGCGAACTTCTCGAGAAACTCGGACTGCAGTGCCTGTCCATTACGAGCCTCCACGACGGCCTCAAAAACATTTTTGAACAATCCGGACGACCAAACTTGGATATCGGCACCGGGGATATGTGTCGCACGTTCATTGACAAGGCGCATGCATAGGGTGAGGGCCGTAACCTGCTCTTATCAGAGAAACTCAAATGCGATATATATACACTGGATATACGAACCTGAGAGGAAGCATCACCCTCACGCATAACAGTGATCATCGCCTTCTGGTACTCCGAACATCTTTCTTTCAACCAAGCCACAATTATCTTCTCATTCTCCGCTGCCCGGTTTGTGTCCGTCAAATTTCCACCAACAATCAATCTGCTGAATACTCGACAGAGGGATACCGCCACGGCCAGATTTGGTTTCACGCTGGATTCGCCAACACCAAGCATCGAAATCAATGTTGCGATGTTGTTGTAATACTTTCGCGACTCAGAAATCTGCTCCTCCAGCTCTAGGACCTTAGCCATCGCATCTTCGCCTTCATTTCCGGTGACTGCTCGGCGCTTGGACGACGGGACACCGCTTTCTTTAACTTGCTTTCGTTTCTTCGAGCCCGCAGCTCGGTCCGTAGGGGTAGGCATTTTGTTCAAAATTGGATCGAACGTCGACAATGTCCGATGATCCTCGTCTTTACACTTTTCGTCTTCCTCAGTCCATGAATTTTTGGATATCCCTCGGTAAGCGGTTTTTCCGCCCACAGCGCCATACCCAATGCGGCTAGCGTCTTCCGCACCGCCCAAACCGCCATCCCGACCTCATTCTCGTCAGTTCCGTTCATCCATCGTATCCGTCAAGGTCTTCTCATCGTCACAATGGCTTCGCGTTTGGCTAAGAGCGCCCTCGGTATGCCGCAAATGACTATTCAGGACTCATCTGAGCACCTGATTTTAGTTGCTAACACCCCAACCAGGTGCTACCCGGCTCCGGCCGACCCTCCCCTCGCGCAACGTCGCTGCCATCACCAACCTTACCGCATCTCGTTCGAACTCGAGCGTCCCTACCGAGGACCCTAAGAAGAAGGCTCAGTCGATCGTCGACTCTCTCCCTGGAAACTCCCTGGTTTCCAAGACCGCCATCATCTCCGCCGCTGCTGGTCTTTCCGTGGCCGCCATCAGCAACGAGCTCTATGTTATGAACGAGGAAACCGTTGCTGCTTTCTGTCTTCTCAGCGTTTTCACTGCCGTTGGCAAGTACGGTGGCCCCGCCTACAAGGAGTGGGCCGATGGTCAGGTTCAGAAGCACAAGGACATCCTGAACGCTGCCCGTGCCGACCACACCAACGCTGTCAAGCAGCGTATGGACAACGTCAAGGAGCTCTCCGGCGTCGTTGAGGTCACCAAGCAGCTCTTCGCTGTTTCCAAGGTAAATTAATGGCCCCTATTGTCCTTGTCGAAGGGGAGTTTGTTGACGTTCCGATAAAGGAAACCGCCCAGCTCGAGGCTCAGGCCTACGAGCTCGAGCAGCGTACCGCTCTCGCTGCTGAGGCCAAGCAGGTTCTTGACTCGTGGGTCCGCTACGAGGGCCAGGTTAGACAGCGCCAGCAGCGTGAGCTTGCCGACACCATCATCGGCAAGATCCAGAAGGAGCTTGAGAGCCCCAAGGTGCTCCAGCAGATCCTTCAGCAGAGCGTTTCTGACGTTGAGCGTAAGTTAACCTACAGCATATTCTTTTCGAGCTGAAACTTATCATTCAATCCTAGGCATCATGGCTTCCAAGGCCCAGTAAATGGACTACATGACTAGCCTCCCCGTCAGCATCATGTACAAAACCAACGAGCTGTTTACCTCTGTGCTAAATTAGACAATACCATCCTGATTAAACAACGTGGATCAATGTAAACCTAGTTATATTCTTGTATTATCTAAACATCTGATTCCCGGAACCGGAAACCCCTGTCCATGGATCCTAACACCAGCTCTTAAAGAATCTTCAACAGCCCCGTATCGTACCTACCCTACATTGTGTAATCTTCTGGCTTGTAGTATGAGAAAGGTGAAGAACTTCGCTATAATAAGTTAGATTCGTCAATATTGATATTACTGCTCATGTGTCATTTTCCCTGGCGTGGGTCTCGTGGGATATTTATATATCCAAGCTGCACTACGATGGATAAATCATATTGGCTTTATGCATATGCATGAATTTATGTAATATAGAGCTTTGTCTCATATATCACCGAGTATACAACATCGACTGTTTCATATCTTCATTTTTATATCTTGCTTGATGAAAGTCAGGGGTACAATTCTACACCTCCGAAGATCGGCTGCATAAGTATAACCGGGGAAAAGACAAAAAAATACCATGGGATTTCGACGAGAGAACCAAAATAGACTCATCCTGACCAAGACCTCAATGATGGCGAAGTTTTCTTCCTCTACTGTTGCGACGACAGTCGATCATGGTGGTGAATAGGTGGCAGCCAAGACAATAACCAACCATGGGAACGAACCAGGCACGAATAGTCAGAACTGTTCTTTCAGCCTTCTATTTTGACGACACAGCCCCGACGCTGTGCTTGAACTCTACCAGAATTAGAAAAGCCACAAGGCTGAGATCCTCGTATTCTCGAAGATTTATCAAACCTGCAACTGCCTCCTATCCATCTCCTTTTGATGAACCTCCTTTGTGATTGACGCAGCAACTCGGTTAGCCTTTACCGAATACCCACCCCGCAAAACCACTCCCCGCGTCACCGTCGCGATGCCTCTACGAGAGATCATTCAGAAAAGGGATCATATCAGTGAGACAGATAGCCAGTATGCGGCGACTGGTGTGCCTCCTGCCTCCGTGAACACTGTGCCTGAAATCAGATTCGTGCGATCCGACACATATTCCCACGAGATCATCAACCCGCCGAGCTATCATGATGGCCAGGTTAACTTCCAACAGCACAATGACTTTCTAAACCCAGCACCACCTTCACCAACCTCGCCGCCCTCGCACCGAAAGTCACTGAACATTTTCCGTCGATCCTCGAAAATCCCGCCCGGAGCACCAGCAGCGCTGGCTGCCCCCCAACCGAAAGAACGTCGACTATCGCAATTGCTGCATTTTGACCGAGGAAGCTCCCGACGTTCCAGCGCGCTCTCCATCAACGTTCCCACAGACCTTCCACAGATAGACGATGGCAATGATAATGAGCAGGAAAGGGAAGCACAATGGGAGAAAAGAGCAACTATGTTGGTGCAAAGCCCACAATTCAGGTCTCCTGCGTCACCAAGTCCTTCTTATGGGAGCAATCTTTCGCCATCTGGTGAGCGATCGCGTTCGAGGAGTTCCAGTGCAAGCCGGTTCAATGCACCAGAAGAAGATGTAAGTTGGGACGGGATGCGATATCTGTGGTACACCTTCATCTGACAGAGGACATAGGTCAATATCCAAGAGGCTATTCGGCTCCATGAAAGTGGAAGTGAGTTTTACTCAACGTCGCGCTGCATATATGAGAATAACTAGCTTACATTTCTGGCTTACAGGCTTAGAACAGTCGACAGAAATGTTTGGTCGCTTAGCTGACCCGAATGGGGCAAACAATGCACTGAGCCAAGTGCTTTACGGACTCGCGCTTAGGTAAGGACTGCAATCTCCCACATTCCTGATATTCTATGTCTATTCCTTTTCGCCTTTTCATTGTACGGTCTAGAATTTTGAAAGTGTGGTTGATGCTGACAATTTTTGCTTAGACATGGATGGGGATGCACCAAAGATCCAGAACAAGCCATAACATACCTTTCGGCCGCCGCCTCGAATTCGGCCTCGATAGAATCCGAAGCTCTTCGAGCGGGCATCAAGAAGGGTGGTTCCGCTAAGGGGGAACTTGTGCTTGCCATCTTTGAATTGGCCAACTGTTTCCGCAATGGGTGGGGTGTAGCAAAAGACCCGGCAGCAGCTCGGCAATACTTCGAAACAGCAGCAAACTTGGGTGATACAGATGCCATGAACGAGGCTGCATGGTGCTATCTGGAGGGGTTCGGGGGAAAGAAGAACAAGGTGGGTCTCTCATTCTTTTTGCATTCTGCCTCGCCTTCGACCTGAGAACCAATCTATGGTGTGATGTTCCTGAACCTCGACACGTTCATCTATCCACTGAAGAGCCCGTGGAATAGGCGAGACCGTGGGATTCTCAGACATCAATGCTTTCGAGCTTCAGCATCACTTTTCAGGCCATTTGTTGATCCATGGTATTAACTCGAGACCTTCCTTTTAGTTCATGGCCGCGAAATACTACCGGTTGGCCGAAGGAAAAGGTAATAAGCTAGTAGGAAATTCCTGGTATGTTGATCACCCTTCCCCGACCATACAATTCCTTTTTTTCATACCCACGCACCACCCCGCTTTATCTCGACCATGGAAACCGTGTGATGAGATCAATGCATTTGTTCAACTGCTTGTCATTCGCTATTTGGTATCAACGCCGTTTCATCACTTGCAGACAAAGTGTAGGGGTGAAATGTGAACGGTGTTGAATCGATAGGCTCTCGCAGTGTTGTTGCAAAATGCGCTATGCGAACCCCCCGTCGCGGTCTCAGCCAACCACATTGGCGCCCACTCCAACCCCGTTTGACTCCATCAGGCTGACATCCAACTTATGATGACAGGATATGGAAGGACAAATACAACCCCAAGTGAAAATAGTACCGTGCATGATGCGACTATCCGGCAGCCGATGTCCGTCAGGACTGTTCGCAGCCCTGTCCTGGCCCAACCTCCAACCCGCTGATCAGATGACTAGTGGAACTGAGATAATCATGAGATGCTAGGGTTGAAGACATTGCCCTCCCATCAGCTTGGGATGGATGCAAGAGATACCTGAGTCATCGTTCTCTGGTGTATACTCGGTATTACGTCTCATTACGTCTCAGGCCAGTACTTACACAGTATTACGATCTTACACTACCCAGCTTATCCGGGCGATGATGACCAGGTGTACAGTTATTATGGAACGTTATGACCCAATACAGCCTCGTCTTTTTTGTTCTTGGAGCCCAATGTTTTTTACTGCTGTACAAACTTTTTTCATATTTGTCATGTTCTTGTCCCCTTGTCTTTCGATACCCAAGCGATGGGTGATATTCGAATCTACTTCGAGTGGAATCGGATATTGAACATTGCTAAAATACATTCTAGCCTATCCTAATGTGAATAATCTTAGTGAAATTGATTCTTTACGCGTACTATTCAACTTGTGATGAGATTGCTTCTTTTGGAATGGTCAATTAGCTTAAGTAAATTGTAACTATGGATTTTATCTATTATTAATGGCAATAATGGGTATATTTTAAAATGCTGGCGTGAGTAACGAATTAGAACCATCCAAACGGTCCCTGATCGCCTTGTCGATGGCACATTTAGCCAGCCGATTCAACTCGGCCACGAAGTCTACGATATGTTTCAAATGCATGGCTTCGTTTGACGGAGAGTGCTGACGAAACAGTTTCTGAACCATCAGCGGCATTGTGCTTGATAGCTGGTGATCTTTTTTTGCCTGTGGACAAAAGGGATTTTGCAGAATATTGCAAAAGACAGTTAGCAAAGCTGAAACAGGGTAAGAGATGATAACCCTAGTTGAAACAAAGTATGTTAGCCCATTGTAAAACGTATCAAGGAGAGTCTGTCTTCTGAATGTAGATTTAATTGGGCGAAGCTCATACCAAAAGATCTCATCTACAAGCGCATACTCTGCTGCTTGCAGGTAGAAGAGAGTTGACCGACTGGCCTGGACGGACAACACAAGACTGGAACTGACACCCTCGATAATCCCACTATGACCGTAAGCCCAGGCCCGACAGCGACTACTTGCCTGGTGGATGGCAGCCATGCAGTGATGGTAGTCGAGGCGCAACATGACCGAGCGCATGCCCATGCCTGCGTCAACAGGTGTATCGTGTAGGAAGGACAGCGTTGGTCTCCATTCGGGTGGAATTGACTGTCTCCATCTTTCAAGGTCGTCGTCCAACTGACGTATATCTTGTGATAGCTCCGTGTCGTCCTTTTGGAGGCCACGCATGGAGTACAATGCGCTGTAGGCTCGGGATTTGATCATGCTTAATCGGAGATCGACGGGGAAATAGGGCACGGGGGGTAGGTCGTTTGGTAGATAAGGGAACGTGTCACATGTATGAAGCTGATCCAGGTATCCGGGTGGTAAGGTCAGGTCACAATGTTCGTCGTGCAGTAATGATGGCTGTCCGGTTTTGAGAGAGAGATCCTTGTCGATGGTATAACAGAGCCAGAAGATGTTTCGCAGGTGATTTTGGATTAGTGACGGGATATCATCATCTACTGTTTCAGCCTGGGCAAGTGAGCCTGGTTGGGTATGTGCGCCTAGCATGAATATGTAGTGTGCTTTGAGGGAAGCTAGATAGGCAGCTGACGGCATATTTCCCGAAGCAAACTCGAATATCCCCTGCATAACCCAAATGTATCAGAAAAGGAGGTTTCGAAGATACCTTTCCTGCCTAAAATTCTACTTACAAGCATTACAAATGCCTGCAATCCATCCAAAGATGGCCCCTCCTGCAGCACACGGGGGATCATGGCATGAACTCTAAGAGCATATGCTTTGCTGTCAACGAAAGGCGCCGATCCTTTGTGGACGCTGCAGATACTGGCAAACGCCAGAAAAGAAAATATACACGCCGTAGCGCTGGCATATCCAACGTGTTCAGTCTGAGTGGATTGATAGGCCGAATTGATGGTCGAACGGAATAAGGTAGAGTGTATAGTTGGGTAGACAAGCCGAGTACAGGATAATTCATATGCATTGAGATACTCTTCGACGATTGACACGTCAGGGGGTTGGGTCTGGAAGAGCGATTGACAGAGACAATCGGTTTTGGGATTCCGGTAGTGGCTTGGAGGCCAAGTAGTGGCGTTGTTTGTCTTTTCGAATATAGATATCTGACCGGTCAAAGACTTGATCCACTGCTGCCCCTCATGTGAAAAGAAAGGGATTCCATTATACGAGCTGATGTGGCCTAGATCTCGCCCTGCGAAATGTAACTTGCCAAAAAAACGTTGTTGTGCTGCAGTCGCCACAGTTTGATTCGTAATGGTGTTCAAGGTACCGGTATCTGAAGCTTCGTTAGAAGAAAATTAAGTTGAAGAAATCAAGTCAACCGACTTTGTGTTTGGGGAGAGCTCTCATTTGCCCTCGCAGAGGAATTATGTGGTGTTCTGAAAAGTTTGTATCAGTATTTGGAGACTGAACAAGATATCATTCAGCATCGTTTGGCCCACCTTGTACTTGGATCCCTGGATGTCGCAGGGTCGTGTTGATTTGCAAACGTGCACGGGATATTCTGATGCTGACACCAGTCACATCGAGGCTCTGCAAGATCACATTTGATCTTTATTCATCAGTACGTAGTCTTTCAGGATGACAGAAGTCTACTTAGAGTACCTTTCTTTGACGACAAGTATCACATGCTTTGGGCTGTCTTCGCCGTCGCTTTTTTCGAGGTGTATCATCTGATGACAACGGTGGCAATATGCGAATTGGGGGCATCTTGATATGAATATTCAATATAGTAGATAGTATTTATAAATGACGTCAACTCCTTGAAGTTTCCATGCCATCTTGCGATAGAAGAACGTCTTCGATTAGTCGGTCATAGTGGTCCTGGTAAAGTAGCAGATTTCAGAGTATTCGACCGATTGAAGCTACCTATAATAATAGTTAAGAGTCCTTGTGACTGCATAACCAAAACTCTGTAGTTGTGATGTCAAAAGCTGTATAGAACGAAGTCCGATGTGGAGAGCGAAGATGATTTTGGCCAAAGTCAGTTGCGTGTCATGTGATTGATCTGATAATGTCCAAGCAGAGCATTTCATATCCATCATCTATAGTGCTATGTAAAAGATTGATTTGTCTAATAAGCCTGCATTTGTTAGTCATTCCATTTTACTTATAAAATAAAGACCGTGGAGGTGCAGTTATGAATGTAATGGGGCGAGGCAATACTCCACGCATATGTTCATGCTGATTCCCGGTGAAATTAACCCATCCAGCCTTGTCTAGTGAGCCAATTATTAAGTGGATAAGCTAGATACTTTCTATTTAACTAACTTATGTAATAATGAAAACTGATAAATCATAACTATTGATAAATCTTTCGCTCTAAACCAAATATCACTATTTCTCGCTTACCATTTAAGCTCAATGACTAAGCGCACTTGATACCCGTTTGGGAAGAGATCCACGTGCTTTCCGCTGAGTAATCGCATCTAAGAAACGCCATCTCCAGACCCTCGCAGTCCTCCATTCGCCAATCATCCAGAAGCCCTTCAATCCAACATCGAATCAGAATACGCGAATCCTCTTTTCGTGGCCATGTTCTCCTTTGATTCATCATGCCGGGACCCCAACTTTGGGTCCAGTCTCCGCTCGAGACCAACTCTACAGTCCCGTTTGGTAGACAGGACCTTATGTCTATTTCCGATCCCGGGTTCTGTCGGCCGGTGGAAAGAAATTACTATAAATTGAAAAGCATGGCAGTCAAAATTTTTGTTGACTTTGCCTTGGAAACAATAAAGAAATCCGTGAGCGTTACAAACGACCTGCAATCAAAGGTCTCATGGAGCAGGAATACAGTTATTCAATGGATGATGTTGCGGTCGCCCACACCAAATGTTTCAGGGAGTCAATATCACTGGAGAAAAGTCAAAATTTCTTGGCTGGCGAACAGTTTACAGTCAGTCTTGTATAGCAGACTGCTGCATGCATCATTCAGGCATACCAGATTCTATGGGGAGATAAAGCCACCTTTGTCCCCAAACAGGCCCTTACTCTCATCCAGGCACTGGTCGCCGGTTCCTTATTCTATAACGTATTGAATGACTCATCTGGACTGTTTATTAAGCCTGGAGCCTTGTTCTTTGCTCTGTTGTATAACAGCCTTCTTTCCATGTCTGAGGTAACTGGGTCTTTCATGGGCCGTCCTGTTCTTGTGAAGCATAAATCCATTTGCATTCTTCCATCCAGCGGCTTTCTGAATTGCTCAGATAACCGTGGGCATACCTATTCTAGTTGCTCAAGTGATAATTTTTTCCATTGTGTTGTATTTCATGGTAGGTTTCACTATGGATGCTGGGATCTTCTTTACATTCTGTAACCATGATATGAAACATCCCCCCTGCTTAACTAAACAGAAGCTGACAACTTTACTTTGTACACAGTGTATGAAAGCGATGTTCCACGCTGTTGGAGCTGTATTCAAAACATTTGACGGTGCCTCGAAAGTCTCAGAGTTCCTGATGGCTGCCCTTGTCATTTATACTGGTTATATGATCAAAAAACCTTACATGCACCCGTGGTTCAGTTGGATATTTTGGTTGGATCCATTATCGTATGGATTCGAGGCACTTCTCGCGAATGAATGGCATGGGAAAACTATCGACTGCGTCGGGAGCAACCTAATCCCCAACGGAGGAAACTACAGATCCTGCACATCAATCATGCGCAGGGGTCGGTGGTGCGATTCAAGGTGATGTGAGTCTCACCTGAGATCAATACTTTGAATCATTGAGTTAAAGTCGTTCTCATGTCTGGAGGAATTTTGATATCGTTTGGGCGTGGTGGGCGTTTTTTGCGGGTATCACGATGATGCAACGAGGTGGCGTGCTGCTTCGGAAGCTGGAGGGTTGATGGTAATCCCACGTGAAAAGCTGAACCAACCATTCAAACCCTCTGGTGATGAGGAATCTCAGGATATGAAATCTGTTTCGACCCGATCCCGTTCTGGCAAAAAAGATGGTGATATCAATGCTTCCCTCGTGCGCAACACGTCGGTCTTCACATGGAAAAATTTAACATACACGGTCTCAACCCCCTACTGGAGACCGGGTGTAACTTGATAATGTCCAAGGATGGGTCAAGCCAGGTATGCTCGGGGCACTTATGGGGTCATCTGGGGCGGGTAAAACAACACTTCTCGATGTGCTAGCCCAGCGGAAAACAGAAGGCACTATAAACAGCTCAATTATAGTTGATGGACGCCCACTCTCAGTATCATTTCAACGGTCTACTGGGTATTGCGAGAAACTCGATGTCCATGAGCCTTCCGCAACCGTCCGGGAAGCACTTGAATTTCTGCACTTCTTTATCAGCCGTGAGAGACGCCTAGAAATGAGAAACCTAAGTACATTGATACAGTTATTGATCTCTTAGAGCTTCATGACCTGGCAGACACCCTCATTGGCAAAGTAGGGGCTGGACTTTCAAACAGGGAAAGAGAGTGGCAATTGGCGTGGAATTGGTTTCCAAACCCAGTGTTTCAATTTTCCTGGACGAACCTACATCTGGCCTGGATGACCAGTCTGCTTACAATACTGTCCGGTTTCTTCGCAAACTGGCTGACGTTGGCCAGGCAATTCTGGTCACCATCCACCAACCTTCAGCACGGTTCTTCGCCCAGTTTGACACATTACTTTTGCTGAGCAAGGGAGGGAAAACCGTCTAATTTGGAGATATCGGAGAAGGGGCCCGAACCATAAAAGACTATTTTGGCCGTTACGGAGCTCCTTGTCCAGATAGTGTAAACCCTGCCGAGCACATGATTGATGTGGTTTCAGGGAATCTGTCCCAGGGCAAGGATTGGGATAAGATTTGGCTCCAATCGCACGAGAATGAAAATACTGTCCAAGAGTTGGACCGGCCCATTGAAAAGTCGTCGCAAGAAGAACTCAAACAGACCGATGACTCTGGATATGCAACATCATTGTGGGAGCAGACCAAAGTCGTGACACAGAGAATGTCAATTGCTCTCTGGCGCAATAGCGACTATGTGAAAAATAAACTCATCCTACATATCGTCACGGCCCCTCTTCAACGGATTTACCTTCTGGATGATCAAAGATACTGTCAATGGTCTCCAGGAACCGCTGTTCACCGTCTACAATTTCATATTCGTCGCCCCGGGAGTAATCAACCAGCTCCAACCTCTCTTCATCGAGCGCCGCAAAATCTACGACGCGCGCGAAAAGAAACCCCGCATCTATTCCTGGAAAGCATTCATCACGACCCTAATTGTCTCTGAATTCCCATACCGCTGCATCTGCGCCGTCCTCGGCTATGAATTCGTATACACTGGCCTGGAAAATTTAGGGCTATGTTGCCTCCTAAGATGGGGAATGTCGGGTGTGTGAGTATACCCGGGGCAGCGATTATCTGCGCACCCTCAATTTGAATGCGTATTACTATGGCTGGAGGGATGCGGCTCTTGTAGTCCTCTTTGCGATTGCGGGGTATGCATTGGTGTATCTGCTGATGAAGCTGAGGACCAAGGCTTCCAAGAAAGCGACTTCTAAGATTTAAATCATTTTCAGTCATCTACATTTATTAAGAAGAAGGATAGAATAGAATGGAATCATCAAGTATGTCATCATAAAGCGAGTAAACTGTCCACGAATTTTTTTTCAGAGAAAAAAGTATATACAGTACAGAAAAATAAGGCCAGCTGAGCAACCTTTCATATATATCCCCATATTTCAGAAGTGACAAATGAAATTCCATCAAAAGAGTGAAACGGGCTATATAGCCCTAAGCCCAAGACCAAGACGACAACGGCGGCCTTTATACCCCATCTGTTCGTCTGTCCATGAAGGCCAAAGTATGTAAGTAATGAGAGAGTCTCCCAAAAATAGTCATCAGCACTGTGCAAGATGACAGACAAAAGAAAAAGTGTGTTCAAAAGAATGAAAAAAATGCGCAGAAAAAAAAGCCATCCACAAAAAATGGCAGCTCAGCTGGCCAAAAAGAAGAAAGAAAAGAAGGGAAAGACAACCATAAAAAAAAAAAAAAAAAAAACAGCAGAGAACCAAGGACATTAGCAATCAACAACAACGCTTCAAGGTCATATAACATGCCAAAAATAAATGTCAAGTCATATCGTCAATATAATCATAACAAGGATTGCCACCCATTTGCCCCAGTCCCAGTGCCGACTCGCATGATGCATAACAAAACTGAAAAGCAGAAAAAAAAATATAAGCAGAAAAAAAGGCGAAGAGAAGAAAATAAAACCCGAACCCTAAATACAAGAATAGATAGTATGCAACGTTTGTCCTGTTGTTCCATAAGTGTCAAATCCAAGTGATCATGCCACCCGTGAAAAGAAAATGAGAAGCGGAAAAAAAAAAAAAAAACCAAAAGAATAAAAACAGAAGCAGAAAGAATATACACAAATGCAACCTGTTCCGAGTGTTGTGAGGTGATTCATTTCCCAAACCCAAACCCATGAGAAGAAATAAAGCACATTGACGCCGGTAGTCAAAAAAGCCCGAGTCGTAGATGAATAAAAAAGATGAGTAAAAGTCGCTAAATCGTCATAAGCAGCCAAGGATAGCTGTAAAAAGGAGTAGTAGAAGGTCGAAAAGATAATATATGGCGAAGAGAATGGTAAAAAGCTGTCTATGCATGGATACGCTAGTAATCTGATGGCTAAAGCTGGGCCAAGAGGTCGTGTTTTTTTTTTTCTTTCGGTGGGCACAAAAAGCGCTAGAAAAAAAAAGTGTTTGAAAGAAGTTTGGTTGAAGAAGAGAAGAGATGAGAAAAGAGCCGAGAAGAAGAATCAACACAAGGAACCGGATCAGGATTGCTTTGCTGGAAGGCAGGCAGGATAAGGAAATGGCTTCTCTGGACGTAAATGGTGGAAAGAAAGGAACGAGATAAGCTGTACTGCGAGAAAAGAAAGGACGAATCGTATATACTACTCAAGCCTGACTGAATCCAGATTCTTCTTCTTTGACGGGAGGGGCGCCGTATTCTTGGACCATCCGTCTAAAGTCACGGATCACCTTTTCAGGGACCCGATCCCACATGAGGGATCGGGTGTAGACGTCCGAGGTCACCCGGTTGGGCACTTTATTCTGTGCCGCGTTACTCCGCATCGAAGCCAAAGCTTGCTGAAGATTGGAAGCCTGCTGTGGCTTGTAGTCGACGCCAGATTCTTCAAAAGTCGTCAAGGCATTGTACTGGTCAGCGTTGAGAGCGAAGACCTGCTCCTGCTCCTGCTCCTTGGTCGGCATGGCCAAGCTGTCGTGCAGCTCATCCAGAGTCGAGGGGGCGGCGGCACCTCCTGTCATCTGGGCCATCTCTGCTCCACTGATGGTGGTGGGCATCGGGCCGGTAGCCGAAGAAGCAACCGCAGGCTGGCTCGACTGAGCGAGCTCCGGCGGCGAGGAGGCGAGGACAGCCTTCAGGACGTTGGCCGACTCAGCACGGTATTCTTCCGACAGCTGAGGAATAGAACGAGAGGGAAGCGACGGGCTGTTGGAAGCGATAAAGGCGCCAAAAAGGAGGCACATGTAAAAAGCATTCCAGCTAAAGGGAGAGTCGCTGGAAACAGCCTTGTCGGATCCCTTCTCGTTCATAGCGACCAGGGCGGAAGAGTGCGCAGCAGCGGCAACAGGCTCAGACTCGAGAGAAAGACCGTTGACCATGGTGAAGTCCTCCCACGGACTGTTCTCCATGGTCAGGTTCTCAAAGTCGGAGAAGTCGTTGGAGAGGGGGGCAGCAGACGGTTTCACGCGTCGCTCCAGCCTCTCCACGGTCTCCTTGAGGATGTTGTTCTTCTTGCGAAGGTCGGCAGTCTCGAGGGTGTGTACACGGATGAGTTCATCCTTTTCCATGTGCATGCCTTCGACGTACTGCTGGACCCGCTGCTGAGTCGACATCCATTCGTTCTTTTCACGAAGGAGTTCGGTCTCACGCATCTTCATGTTCTGAAGAGCTTCCTCGAGGTCACCGATGACCTGGGTAAACTGCTTCTTTTCTTCCTCCAACTTCTCAGTGTGGAGCTTCTTTCGCTGACGGGAATCCAATCTATGGTTCAGAAGGTTAGCCCGACCCACGGGTCCAAGAAAAGTTTAAAAAAGGTTATCAAGACTTACGCAGCTTGACGGTTTCTCAACAAACGTTTTTGTTGCTTCAACTCTTTGATCTCTTCCTCATTTGTGGACTGGCCGATGAGGTGGTCGATGTTGCTCAGGGTGCGCTCCGCCGGGATTTCAAACCGGGCGTTCTTCTTCCGGATCCCATCCCGTCGAATACTCAAGGGGGAGCTGTGGCGGTAGGAGGGACTCTTGTTCGGACGAGAGACAGCATCAGGCATGTCTGTAGAGGCAGGCATCCAGCCTTGACTCGACTGGGGGGACATGGCGACAGCACCGTGGGGGGCAAAGGGCATCCCGGGACGGTACATGGAAGAGAGGTTGATGGCACTCACAGGACCAACGGCACCGCCAGAGAAGGGAGCGGAAGAGCTGTGGTCGATGTCGGAAGGAAATTGCTCATAGATAGCGGTAGGGGTACACGAGCCGGAGTCTCTCGACAACCAGGGAGCGTGCTGAGCATATGAAGAAGGGTGGTGGTGGGCGCCATCGACCCGCATGAAGGGGTTGGGAGCGGAGTCAAACATGGTATTCCCGACTTGGGAGTTGTGACGGGACTGAGAGCTAGAGACGGAGTGAGAGAAATCGGACCAGACAGAACCACGATGCGAATAGGCATCCGGCGCATGGTCATATGAAGGTCTCCGGTGGTCGGCAATGGAGGAGAGCTCTGGGGAGGTGGTGGAGTCAAGGATCTTGTCGTCTAGCACACTCATCTCGTCCTCTTCGGTGAAAGCAGGTTTTGAGTCGAGGGTAGAAGGAGATTGATGATAAAAGTCAAAAGATGGTTGAGAATATCTTGCCATGATGGCTGTGAATGTGTGTGAGAGAGAAAGAGGCGGTGTGTAAGGAAAAAAAACCACGAGATGCGGGGCTTGTGGTTGGAGGAGGGATGAGACAGGTCGTATCAAATCGTAAGAATAGATGGAATAGAGGATAGAGGAATAGGGTAGAGAGATGGGATGATAATAGGATTTAGAATAGAGGAGGTAGAGGATAAAGTGGGAGAAAGAGGAGTAATAAGTGGATGTGGAGAGGAAGAGGTGGGATGACCTCTGGGTAAAGTATAAGTTATAGGGAAGAAAAAAAGGTGATGTGATAGAAGAAGAAAGAGATCAGACTTGCTGAACTGAAGTTGTACCAGAGCGATGGATGTGTGGATGGAAGGACAGCATTGACGTCCTGCAGAGGGGGTCATATATCGTGAAGCTCTTCTACAGATGCGAATGAATCATTCGAAAGCGGTCACTTTGGCTTGTCAAAATGATCCGGCGGTCTGGCGGAAGTCAAAAGACGAGGCGACGATTTCTGATCCTTCCCGAGTTTGGCGAAGGCAAGTCATTGGATGCTTTGCGCGTGTTTGGGCAGACGTGCAGCTGTGTATTTACTGCGTACGATACAAAGTACGTTCATACCCAATCTCAGTGTGAGCAGGTATTGAATGATACGGGTAATCAAGCCCCTCCCAGACCCAACGGGATTCCAGTTCAGGCTGACTCAGGCCAGGACTGGTCGGTGGATCTGAAGTGATTCGATCAGATTTCCATAGTGGGTGTTATTGATTCTAGAAAGTAGAGCCTTGGCCATGATGCCCAAAAAAGGGTCATTTCGGTACGCATTGACGGCCCCGAGAGCCCACGAGCCCATGATCGACTCCTGGGATGTTACTTACATACATCCGTACGATACGTGACTGTACGGTACGTATGAGGGGTCAGTTGACATCCATACAGATACTCTACCTACCTTATTATATCTAATATTTTGATACCATATAACATCATATAATATCATTAATAACTCCTCTTATAACTACTTTATTCTACCATATTCTATTATACCTAATAGTTTCTGGTCCAAGGCCCGGCCCGTTAGATCCACATTCCACAGCGTTCGGCTAACGACCCGTGCTTTGTGTCTTTTTTTTTTCTGACATTAATTAACGCACATACAGCAATGCACGGCAGATGCAGGAAGCACAGACAGATCAGATTTGGCAGAGACCCCATGCAGTCTGTAGATAATTCTGATTAAGCGTAGTCATCGGGATAGAATGAGATGGAATGAGGCTGTGACCAAGGTTCTCGTAATTGGCCTCGTAGGGCATCTCTGCTTGTGTCTATCAGATTACATAGTATACTACTTTTCGAGATCCGAGTAACTTCCTAGTTAGTGCATCAGTTAGTAGTTAGTAGTTAGTAGAAGCCCTGTTTTGGTATCAGGGCATTCATACCGATGCTGGGTGCTCTTATTCGACGACTGCAACCAATGACTCGCTCGGAGTTGGCCTTATCCCCCCGGATAATGTCATCGATGAGAACATCCCCTGAACAGCTGTCTCTGTCCACTAAGGATTGCATCAATAAGCAGTGCTGCAGTCGCCTTATGTCCCCCTCCAACCTGAAACAAAGCCAAGAACATCCCCAAGGGGCATTGTCAACAGTCTGTCTATAGAGAGAGTATGACTCACTCGACATCTTCAAAGCTGATATCCTAATCCGGTAACACCACTGCATCATTATCGTGTTTCATGTTCTGCTGCTCACTCTCGAACAGACCATCTGCCACGTTTCTCCTCTTACCTCGAGCGAATACTCCAACGGAGATTGCCCGCCCAGTATGGTTCATCCAAGGACAGCATTACTTCGGAGGACATCAGATATGACCTCACTGTACTCTTCCGACAGAGAAACCCAAAAGTAGCATGCCATGCAGACTCTGATACAAAATACAGACAGGCAAATCACAACCAGACAGCAAAGTCAATCGATGAAGCAAGCCTGGAACAAAACACAAACAGCAAATCGGATTCCATTTCGAAGGCCATCATGAAACAAGACAGCTATCTTCAACGAGCAGGTCCTCCTCATGCAGGATCAAGCCATCATACCATCGCAGCGGTCATCATGGAAGGCTTGCATCGGCTTCAGTTCCACCACAGATACGCAGTACTGCTACATCTTACAGATACATAATACCATGTCGATGTATACTTACTTTCTTACTAGGCACAACATTTCTTGTCTGACACGTGAAGGAAAGAAAAGAAATCAGACCAAAAAAAAAAAGTCATCAAAAATGAATTCATGAATTACTCGCATTATTTGCCATCGGGGAAGTCTTTTCTCAAATCCGAATAATAATGGATAATAAACAAAATAATTCTCCCCAAGAGTCGCCATTCTAGCGGTGAAAGAACCGGGCCCGGTCCAATTGTGTCTGTCGACCGAGAAGCAACCGGTGAAGGGGGACGAATTTTTTCAGGGGAAACTCGAGTCCTTGAGGCTATCTCATGATTCTAATTGCGATGTGCAATTCTCTCTCCGTCGTTCCCGTGATTGTTGACTGTTGAGTGACTCCAGACTTGTATAGGCTAGAGGGGGTGTAACAGACTCGGTATACACACGGCCTCAACATCCGAGTACTACACCACTCCATTTACTCCATTATACTAACTAGTATATCCATCCTAACCGCAGCTAAAATAAAAACAAATCTCAGTCCGCACGAGCAGTGGGTCGCCATAACTCGGACTCAGATGCATCCCGAGATTGTTGCCCAACACCACGGGAATTGTGAATATAGACACAACATGGGCCAATAGCATAGCCCCAAATGAACTGGATTTTCTATAAGCTGAGTAGGACTGACAGAATATCTATTATCAGATGTCCGTGTACTCCGCGCACGAGGCGTAAACCCGTGGCTGTGGATGTTGAGATTGTGGAGTCAGAATATGGCCTTCTTTTTCATGTTTACTTTTAGAGGCGAATGGAATGGGACGATCTACGGCTGGGTGTATGCAGCGATCAAATATAGGAAAGGTGGATCTTCTTATCTTCAATTGCAATTATTTGTATAGTATTATCATTTTTTCTTGGATAATTACATTCACTTTTTATTTTACTTTTTACTTTTATTTTCAGTTATACATCATCTGTCTGTTCACTCAAGCCACATGTACATACATACATGATTGGGATTGTGCCATGTATGTACCATGTCGGTACGTAGCACAGCACCACGTATGTAAATAGCATCCAAAAAAAAAGAGTTGAAAGCAGAGTGCGACACCAAACACGTACCCCAATCCATTCTCATGGATTCAACTGCATCCCCGATTCGTCCGGCCATCAAACTCCCTCCCCTACCTTACCTTACCTTCCCCCTTAACATTGTCAACTATAGTTCAAGTCCTCAACCCGGAATACCTACTAACACGTTAGGTAGGAACACACACTCCACTGGATAGAGCAGCCAATGGCCAGGGGGCAATCGCTGTCTGTCAGATGCCCAGGGTTGGCTGTCGCATTGCATTGCAGCTGCATTAATTTGGCCTGCTAGGTTAGGTTGTTTAGTTTAGTTTTAGACACGATTTTCATTCCAAATGGGATGCAGATCCGGTTGTGGGGATTTGCTGCCTGGGTTTTCAGGTGTCGACGTTGCTATGAGTCACACCCGTGATGCCAGGACGGATAGTTGCTGCTGCCCCGGGCTTGGGGATGGTGAGAGGATTCTTCAGTCGATATGGATGATGATATCATCGATGCTTATGGTTGGATAGACGGCTATTCAGGATAACAATGAATTCATAACGATACAACAGTAAACTACACCCAACGCTTCCAAGTCCTATCCAAGTAGAACATGGATACTCAAAAATGATTCATCGCTCCTAGACGGTCGAATTGCGCATGCAACATGCTGTACTGAATGGGTATCTTCCTTCCTCCGTTCGTTTCATAACGCATTTCATCGCAACATTGAAAAAGAAAAAAACAAACCAAAACCAGCTGTCCCGTCTTGGGACGTGGCTCTGTCGGGTCCTGCTTATCCTCATTTACAACCTGTTCCCTTTTGTGCATGCAAAGTTAGTGGGCTTTCTTTGTACTTCTAGAACCGGACAAAGTCTTGCTGCTGCAAGAGCTCGCCATTGCCCGTTCCTTCGATGATGAATTCCGGTTCATCGTCAAACTCGTCCGAGTCGACATCATCCGAGTCAATCGCATCGTATTCCTCTTCCTCGCTCGACGCGTCAGACTCTTCCTCGTTGTTATCTGCCTTACTAGCAGCATTCTTCATCTGTCCTGCCCGATCAACATGAGGAAGGTGGCAACGTTTCTTATTGCAGACTCCGGTGTTGGCATAATCAGGGCACTCATGGACATGACGCTGGTCGCACTCATCGCCCCTTTCACAGTAGCCTAAGGTCGCGAATTCTCTGCACACGGGCGCGCCAGGTGTCACCCGAATATGGGCATATCGGCACTCTGGATTGGCGCAACGGCCCCGAAGGAAATGCATACAAGTAGGGGATCTGTGGGACGATGGCTCATGGGAAAGATCACAACTCAAACCTGCCGCACATTTACCAGTCTGGACGAAGTCCTTGCAAATCGCGACTTTGTTCGGATCGTGCACATAGAGACAGGACGGTCCCTTGTAGCAGGTGCCTAAAAAGAAAGATGCAGTGTCAGTATCGCACACTGAATGGATAGAGGGCTAAAAATCGGGCAAAGACTGTATGTAAGCCTGTTCGAGGGAAAGTATCGGTACCCGTCGTAGAGAATCTTTTGCAAGGTTCGTTTTTCTTGTGAATCGCGTTGGGTTTCCTATATTCATCGTGAGTTCCCAATCACATCGCGGGGTAAGCATAACGATCACCTTTTCGAGGTTACCGCTCCAAGACGATGAAGATTTCCATTCTTGCTTCGGACAAAGGTCACACCGGCGACTGTCACTCGTTTCGGCGTATTGGTGGCAGTATTCGGATCATCTACTAACGGTAAGCCAGCCCTCGAGATTGACGAGGCATCAAAGGGAGTCGCACTGGATACTCTGATCAATTTACTACCACCCTGCGCAATCCGGAACGGAATATCATTGAAGAATATCTGATAACCTGCCGATGGTTGCGCAACAGTAGAGGCCGAAGGTACAGAGCTAGGAGGGTACTGTCTAGACACGCCCTGCGCGTAGCTGAGCACCTTAGCCTCCTCGCGCTGCGCCTTCTTCTGCGCCTTGAGTTTGCGACTCTCCTCCATCGCCTTGGTTCTGGCCTGAGTTTCCTTGTCGTATACGGCCGAGTTGATCAGTTGCATATGGCGATCGCGTTTCGCAACCCAACCACTCGTCGATGGCGTCGACCGGGCCTCACCGTCATTATCAGTCACGGGGCCAGGCGAGGAAGTCGAGCTCGGAGTAGCACCAGCCGATGCCGCATTATTCAGGACGAGGGTACGGTGGCGATGAGGAGCTACGGCACGGCCACGCGCGTGGTGTCTTCCCCGGTATGGCGCCCAACCAGGACGTTCTGCTCGCGGGGTAACATGTCGTGACGCGTAATGGCCAGATTGAAACTGACTACTGTTGGGGGCTGGTGACTGGGAGCTCTGGTTTTTATGCCTATTAATCTGGCCTGAGTTATGGTTAGCATCTGACGAAAGAGAACTGCGGCAGATACTATCAAGTATCTAACAGCTACCTACCAGCAAGCTGACCGATTTTGGCCAGAAGATGCTGTTCCTCTGTCATGTTTTGTTATAGTGATATCAGATGAATGTTAGCTAATTCACATAGAAAGAGAAACCTTCTATTTCTTATCCTGGGGAAGCTTTGATGAAGAGGTGGGAACCAAATGGTAAGGAGACCGTGATGTGATCGACCTGTGGCGGAAAGTGATCACGTGAACATCACCAGCTATCGAGAAATCAACTACTGAATGGTTTACAAGGATAGTTTTTTGTAGTTGTATATATTTGATATGAATTCAATATCACTCTTGGTTTATTTAAACAGAATAGATAGCCCAAATGTCCATGTATCGCCTCACCCAAAAAAGCCAAAAAAAGAAACGCCATAACCGTGCTTATGCTACATGGTAGATTGACTTTTCTCTAGACAACACTCTCGAATTGTGTATCGTCATTGTCCGTCATCATTCCAGACGCCGTTGGGTCCTCCTCTGATGCATCGTCAAAGTTGAAGTCGGCTCCAGGAGGAAGCTCCTCCTTAGCATTGCCGTATGCCAGCGCATTCATATAGTTACTCTCCTTGGCCTCCGGCTTGAGTTCCCAGGTCATGGCGAAGTCGCCGGACTTAACCAAGTGTGCAACCATCTCCAAGGTCTGCTTAAGATAGGCCTCGGGCTGTTGGAGTCTCGCCCTGAGGTTCTTAAAAGGCCAGTACTTGAACTCGCGAAAACATTGGTAAATAAGATCCAGCAGTTCGTTTTGCGGCATACGCGTGGTTTTGTTTTCTTGGGGACGAAGTTTGGTCGGTTTGGTTGCTTGCTGTATGCAGTATGAGCATATGATAACAACGATGCCAGGTTGCGAAATACTCACCACGAAGGCTCCCTTCTCTCCGGGCAGGGCATTCCGAGGCTGAAGTAGCTTGCCTGGAACTTTGTCGATGAAGACAGTTTCGCGCTTGGGCTTTAGTGCTTCTAGCGCTCGCCTTTCCGATATCTGTGCAAACTCCTCGTTTTCAACAGGAAGACAGTTAAACTCTTCGCTGATGCTTCCCACGAGCGCCGTATGTTCTACCAAGATGTCAGCACCATCTCCTCTTTGCTTCGGACGAAACAAAACGTACTAGGTATAGTCTTCCGGACGTAGGGCTGCCATTTCTTATTGCGCTCTTTTCTCTTTGCTTCACGCTTCACGGATTCATACAAGGCAGACCGCTGCTCTCCAAAGGCTATTGCGCGATTATCCGCGCCAGGGACATCTTTTTCGGTGAAAAGGTATGTATTTTGCGTCGAGTGAGATGTTTCTCCTAGAGTGTTGTTGCTTTGGCGTTGAAGGGTATAATCTTTGGGGATCTCGGAATTATCTTCACGGTCGTTGAGGCGCAAACTAACCTGCAATCCCAAATCATGATTAGCATCCTTCACTCATAGCAGGTTTCCCATAAATGGATATTTTCGACTTTCGCACATACCCGCTTTATATCGTTGGGCGGTCCCTCAATCCGAATCGTGCCAAGCTGGATTTCTTCATCGTCGTCGAATTTCGACCAGTGCTCCCACAGCGGCCGGGGGATACGTGAGAGCCAAACGTTATTCGCGGCATTTGTAAAATCAAGATCCCCCTCATCTTCGTAGATATCTTCATCGTCCAGAGAAGCGAGGATCGCCTCTTTGCTCTCAGGATCCGGCTTGATATAAGGCGATGAGGCGTCCGGATCCTGCTTGATCGGGGGAACCATGGTGCAGGTTCTGATGCAGGTACGCACGGTCGAGACTTTAGAAGCCTCCGAACACCACTATCCAACGATGCGACCGTAAAAAGATGGGTTTGCGTGGTGATGGTGTTCTGGACAAGGCGAACGAGTGACGTGATGTGGAAGCTGTCGCCGCTGAGAAGGCAAAGAGAGGCCGAGGAGCGGGTCAAAGTGTCTCTGCCTGAGGCGGTGGGCGGAGAATATTGTTGATTCAGCCTCGACAGTCGACAAAGAACATCACTGACGATAAAGAACCAAGGTGTGATTTTCTTAGATAAATATAGCAGTCAATAATCAATATCTGGGCTGTCTACAATGAAAATCAATTAATGGGATGATTGGGATCCAAGGCTCTAGTCAATGTTGCATGGTATGGGATGGCAGGCATCTTCTGTATGAACGACAATGACATCTCATGCGACAGAATAGCTACAGTTATTTCTTTTCTTATACCCAGTAGTATTACTCGTACGATATAAGTATTTGTTTCACCAAAAAACAGATAACCTCCATCCTGTATAGCCACTTCAGCCTCAAAGCTGTTCTTATCGATAAGCCGAGCTCAACCCCCATCTTCCGTCCCGCAGTTTCTCTCCTCTGACGTACCATCCACCAAACACCATCACCACCGCGTCTGTTCCCTCAGACGACGGCATACTCTTGACTGCTACGACTCCTGATCTCGATCCCCCCCTCCTCCCAACATGGCCTCAATGAAAATCACCTCCGCTTTGGCGGCGATCGAATCGTCCTCCAACCCACAAAACAAGCTCCAACAGTACAACAGCGTCCTCAGCGACATCGTCTCGACCTCCTCCGAACACGAACTCGCCCAGGACCTCATCTACTACCTCGACTCGATCTTAAATGAAGACCTCAGCATCGTGGCTGCCCGCCCCCTCCTCGACTCATTCATCACCGTCCTCCGCAAGCTGACCCCCGAGACCCAAATCAAAGTGGGCCAGCACGCCATCACACTGCTGCAGTCCCGCTCGGCATCCGTTGAAGAACAGGACGCTCAGATCCGCGAGCTACTCGCAGACGCCTACGAGTCGCAGGAGGATTACAACGCCGCAGCAAAAACACTGCAGGGGATTCACATCGACAGTTCGCAGCGTCTGGTCTCCGACTCGGCCAAGGTGCAGTTATGGATTCGTATTGTCCGATTGTACTTGGAGGAGGATGACACAACCAGCGCAGAGGCGTTTTTGAACCGCATCAAAAACCTTCCTAGTAAGATCGAGGACCACGAGCTCAAGTTACATTTCAAACTCTCCCAGGCCCGCATTCTCGACGCCCGTCGTCGGTTCCTGGATGCCAGCCAGGAATACTTCAACGTCAGTCTTGCCGTCGGTGTGGATGAGAGTGATCGTCTCCAAGCTCTCGCTGCCGCTATCCGATGCGCCGTTCTGGCCCCCGCCGGTCCTCAACGTTCCCGTACCCTGGCGGGCCTGTACAAAGACGACCGTGCCCCTTCAGTTGAGGAGTTTGGTATTCTGGAGAAGATGTTCCTGGACCGACTATTGACCCCGGAGGAGGTAGCCGCATTTTCACAGCGACTAGCACCACACCAGCTTGCTCAGACCGCGGACGGAACTACAGTGCTGGATAAGGCCGTTGTTGAACATAACCTAGTAGCCGCCAGCAAGCTATACGAGAACATCACCACGGACGCCCTAGGCGGTATTCTGGGCCTGACAGCAAGTGGAGACATGACAGCGGGGGAGAAAGCAGAAGCCTACGCAGCGCGGATGGTCGAGCAGGACCGACTCAAGGGTCGTATTGACCAGATTGACGGGGTGATTTTCTTCGATTCAAGCTCTGCCGCGGCCGGGAGACATATTCGACAGTGGGATGCGGGGGTTCAGGGGCTGGCAGAAGATGTGGAACGGGTGGCGGCTAGTATATCTGATGATTTTCCGGTGAGTATCTTATCCTTTGACATAACTCAAAAGTTCTAACTTGGTGTGAAGGAATTTGCTGCCGCGCAAATGGTACACTAAATGCCTCATGGAGATGCTTTATGAAATTTGAACGATTACCTAGTATAAAACAATGAAACAATTTACATGAAACAAAAACCAGCATCACTACGATTACTTTCGAGTTATCAGAAATGGCATAAAGTTCGATCTTTGAATTATTCTTCGGTCGTGAGAAATGGGTATTCGCACTGACACATGCAAGAATGAAGTGATATATATACAGTAAAGAAGAAAAAAGTAGGAAAGATAGTAGAAAGTAGACATGAGTGGGTATAATGACATGACAGTAGTAAGTGATAAAGATAGTGCTGGGATGATAAAAAAAAAGGGGGGCATGACATGAGGTAGAAAGTCGAAACTCGAAAGGGGTATGTATGATATGTTCGTGATAGCCGTGATATAGCCATGGCGGCTGGACGGGCATTGGGTTTGGTTGACATCAATTCATCAAGATATGAATATCCGTGTGGAGGATTCCAGTGAGGTATTCTGAACTGTCCTTGATCGTTATCAGGGATCCAACGAGATGTTGGGTTCGAAGGAGTTGAATTGGCGGGTGCAGTATGATCTGACTCGGGTGACTCGAAGTGGTTCGAGGTGTCTCTCGGCTGGATCGTCGTGATGTTATTTAGAGCTCTAGGCGCATCCGCCAAATGGCTTTATAGAGAATGCATGGATGTGTTGGTTTTATCAAGTGTGAGATCTCATAGATCTCATCGAAGCGGCGTCTTGGGTAACGTCGATATCCGTGCGGATGGTAATGTCCATTGGACCCAGATGAGTAGGTTTGGTAGTTGAATCCTTGTCGCTTCCACGAGAAACCAGACCATCCTCCATCTTATAATACTCGGAAGCAGGCGACTTGGGACTGGAGACGGCAAAGTGCGAGGTGCTGACGTCGGTGTTGATATAGTAAGGAGCGGTGGCGTACTTGCGAGTCGGGGTCAATTTGATTTTGGGGAAAAGACCGCGGATGACGGGGAGACAGGAGCAGATGAGGCCGATGGCGGGCTCGATGTGTGTCCAGAGAGTGGCCTGGTAGACGGTGTAGGTGGGGTCGCTGTCGCTGATCCAGAAGAGCACGACGACACGGTAGATACTGGCGAAGCAGACAAAGGCACCGAGGGCGAAGACGCCGTTCAGGGCGAGTTTATCCTGCCAGGCACGCTGCAGGTTCCAGATCATGGGAATGGGCAGGCCCAGAATGATAAAGTCCATGAGGATGTTGAAGACCTGGTTGACGATGAAGAAGGTGTTCTGGTTGAAGCAGTGGCCGTCGATGCTCTTGTCCCAGTAACCTTTGAGAGGGCGACATTGCAGAGCACATGCAAGGAAGATACCGACTCCCCAGGTGGCGATCAGAGTGTTGAGGCCGAGTGTTGCCCATTGAAAGGTGCGAGTAGAGAAGAGTCGACGGTAGAAGCAGATGATGGAGATTTTGATGGCGGGGCAGAGAATGAAGTAGGTGAACTGGTTTGCAAGGAAGATCTTATAGTGTGTGAGCATATTGATTGATATTCGAGTGTTGGGTTGGTATTTACCTTGCTGAAGTTCATCAGGGTCTCCATATCCAGGCTGTCTTTGTGTGCTCCATCACCACCGATGGTACACCCTAGTTGGGTCAGTTGATGCTCAAACATGTCACTGTAGAGTCACTGTAGATGAACTTACATAGAATCAATTCGATAAGCATCGCAAGCAGCAGAGTGATGGAGAGAAAGCAGAGATAATCATCCATTCCAAAAGGCACTCTTCGCTTAACCCGAGCGAGGACACGCATAATGACACAAATGAGCGACAGACCAACGAGCACCGAGATGATGCATATCATCTCCCTTCCCCTTGCGGTGGCACCCATGATGAGTGATGGTAGTATGAATGAGCAAAACCAAAGGAATGACAGAACAGCAAACGATCAGATATGAAAGAGTGCGGGATATAACAGACAGAGTCACCGTGGCATTGGAGAGCCCCGCTAAGAAGGACCCCAAGCAGGAAATGCGGGTTTCAGCCGGAGGAAGAAAGACTCTGGAGGAAAGAAGAGGAGAAAAGCGATGATATTGGGCGGACGTCTAGAAGTAATATGTACACTACGGCTGTACAAGAACTGGCGAATTAGGTTTATTGGAAGTTTGATTCATTCCTCAATATTTCGAATCCCTGTTATTTATTTTATTTATTGGAATTTCTGATTTGCAAGTGTCTACGAGGCTGACCGACTCTGCTGCGCTGGTGGTGAACATGCTGCTGTTGGCTGGCTGTCCCAGAAACCTGGACAGACGAGCACCCTGTCTGCGTGCTGTGATTGGCCGATCGCCAGAGGCCAGTGGGGCACCAAGCCGGCTAACCGACCAGGATGTGACATAATCCAAGGCAGGTACGGATGCTGATTGGACAGGGGAATTCCCCACTGCCAAATGCATGCGGAAACTCGTGGCGCGAGACCCACTCGAGAGCCGATCTCCTGCACAAGCGACAGCGGCGCCAAACTCTGTCGGCGCTGATTTTTAGTATTTCTTTTTATGCAAATTCTGAATGCCAGATGCCATATGGCGAGTGGGGGGCTGGTAGTGTGATAAGATGACAAATTAATATGATATGCACAATATCATAGGAGAATAAAAATGGGCGAAATACAGACATCGAACGGAGAAACCCGAGGAGAGGAGCTGCAAGAGCTGAGAAAGACTGATAGAAGTAGACACGCAAGCTGAGGCGGGGGATTCACAGCAGAATTCCAGAAACAGAAATTTACCGGCAGATATTCTTAGGGGCCATGTGGGATCTCTCCAAACATTGCCAACCAGGGTTCAAGGCTGAACATCAGACAGACAAAATCTCTCTAGCCGAGGCATCCGATGTCACATATGTGGGAGAACCAAAACGTTAAGTTGCTGTTTCTGCTTTCTGCGTAGTGGATGAATCGATACTGATAGATAACCCAAATCATCATCGATCTTCATGCCAATTCAATAGTTTAAATTCCACAAGACCCTCAAAGGTTTAACTAGACGATCGCTATGGATCATGTTATTATTCTCGACTTGACCTTCTCCAACAACGATCGAAGTTACCTCCGGACGTTGACCGGAGTACCACGGATGAAGAGTGGGAATATCCAGCCTGTCAATTGCGAAAGTGGATTAAGTGATACTATCCAGCTGACTCTGAGTCCAGCGGTGTGCAATGGTTAACTCAATCAACTATGGTTCTTTTTTTCTCTCGGTGGGCCATCGGCCTCAAACTATTGTCTCCAAGTATGGATCGTCGCCTCGCGATGCCTCAATGAGAAAAGTTCCCTCGAACTCCCCACTAGCATTTCACATGGCACCTCTGACATACAGTAGTCCAGTAGTTTGGTCTATTATTGACGTTGTCCCAAGGTTGAAGCTTAATAGTGCAGTCCGACTACAGAGTCTGAATAGTCAATAATATACTCAATACTCGGTAGTCTGATTAACTATGATCCTACGAGTCAGGTTATGCAGCAACAGCCAGGAGCATAATTGATGACTTGCATCTTACCCAGCATTTTCTGCAACGCTGCACTGGCCAGTGTCGGGGTATATTTGCCCATTCTTCAACGGCGATCAGTCGACCGTTTTCCGCATTCCGATACCCCTGAACATCAGACTGCCTATTCGATCCAACTGCATTGACGGTGGGATAGAACCCTGGTCAAGTCGCTGTGGTCAAGGTGTAGTATTCAGTAGTGGTTGAGCCGGTGCGGAGTGATGCTCTTGGATAGGGGTTGAACTCGTATATTGCAACATACCAGGAGTAGCACCAAGCCGAATAGATTAAACTAGACAAGACATGCATATTCAACAGCCGTGAAGCCACACCCTGTCAAGTGCCGTTAAAGCTACTAACTGCCAGCTGTAATCATTCTTAGAATGACTCGCGTGTGGAGCACAGCCAAGGGTTTTTTCTGTTGGAGAAGCAAAAACTACAGCCAAACCGGCGCTTTTTAAATCCACCTCCCCCGCCTCCTCGTGTTATCTCATCATAATCACCCCCCAGCAACCCCTCACTCTCCCATCATGGCCTCACAAACTACCGAAAGCCAGAATGACACTACCCCTTACGTCCCATTGATCATCAACGGCAAGGAAGAGCGCGCTGCCTCATCTTTTGACGTGATCAGTCCCTACACCAACGAGCCCTGCTGGTCCACCGCATCTGCCTCTCCCGAAGATGCCATCCGCGCAGTCGAGGCCGCCGATGCTGCCTTTCCAGCCTGGTCGCAGACGAAACCCACTGTCCGGCGAGATCTCCTACTGAAAGCTGCTGATATCCTCGAGAGCCGTCTGGAGGAATGTGCTGGATACATGAGGACGGAAATGGGTGCCGACGTGGGCGCGTCGCAGTTCTTTGTTGTGCCATTGGCGATTCGCATGCTGCGTGAGGTGGCGGGGCGCATCACTTCTATTTGTGGGAGTGTGCCGGTCGTCGAGGAGGAGGGGCAGAGTGCCATTGTCTACAAGGAGGCTATGGGTGTGATTCTGGGAATTGTTCCTTGGTGTGTATTCAAATTTTATTTTTTGCTGCTTTATGATTTGCTAACTGTTTAGGAACGCGCCTTATGTCTTTGGTATCCGATCTGCAGCTTGTGCGTTGGCTGCCGGTAACACGACCATCCTCAAATCCTCCGAACTCACTCCCCGCTGCTATTGGGCGATCGGTCGCGCCTTTGAAGACGCAGGCCTGCCCGCAGGTTGTCTCAATGTTGTCTCGTGTCGGCCTCAAGATGCTGCTGCGGTGTTCAATGCCATGGTCGAGCACCCCGCGGTGCGCAAGGTCAACTTCACCGGTAGCACGGCGGTGGGAAGAAAGATTGCCGCGGTCTGTGGCCAAAACCTCAAGCCCTGTCTGATGGAACTGGGAGGAAAGAACAGCTCGATTGTCTGTGCAGATGCGAATCTCGAAACTGCAGTCAAGGGTGTTTTGGCTGGTTCCTTTTTGAATGTGCGATTCTCCCGCCCCTCTTTCCCCGGTACACTGCTGACAATGATTAATAGTCTGGTCAAATCTGTATGGCTACCGATCGGATCATCGTGCACTCGTCTATTGCGCCAGCTTTCACGGATGCGCTTAAAAAGGGACTCATCGCCGCAGCCGATTCTAAATCCCTACCCCCGACATTGGTGAATGCCGCTTCCAAAGCGCGTGTGGAGGGACTCATCTCGGAGGCTGTCTCCTCCGGTGCTAACAAGATCCAGGGATCTTATGACCAGACTAACAGCGGTGTCCGCATGGCTCCCGTTATCCTGGAGGGAGCGAAGGAGGACATGAGAGTCTGGCAAGAAGAGTCCTTTGCCTCGCTGGCTGCATGCATGGTTGTCGACAGCGATGAAGAAGCCATCCGCATTGCCAATAGCAGCGGATACGGACTGTCAGCATCGGTGTTCACAGAAGATTTACGCAAGGGATTGGCCATGGCCAAGAAGATCCAATCTGGGTGAGTTTCCCCCGGCATTGATGGATAATATGGAATGTTCAAACTGACGGAATCCTAGTGCCGTGCATATCAACAGCATGTCCATCCATGACGAGCCTGTTCTGCCCCACGGTGGCGTCAAGAATAGTGGATGGGGACGATTTAATGCTGCCGAGGGACTTTCAGAGTTCCTGGTCACCAAGAGTGTAACCTGGATGGATTAATGAGATATGATAATGTAAATAGTTTGATTGTATATAATGGTTCGGCCGAGAGAATAGAAGAGAACCCAACGACAGTTGAGGTAAAATGCCCTCAACTAAGATCTAACCGATCTCAATTTTATTACAGCACCCTTGTAATAGTATGTGAAGAGATATCCATGCCAGATCTCTCGGTCGAGAAAGACACGAACCCTCAACAATTCGGTCCGAAATGTCAATCCCGAGCTAAGCTTCATCTTCACTCGGGATAAATAGTCCCGAGCTTAATTCACTGTCTTGTACTGTCCTGTTATTTCATATGTACATAGACATGGGGAGCATTCAACATTTATATAATCCAGAATGAAGAAAGATCAGATTAAGCTAGCCAAGTGTAAATAAGATCTATCAACACGGAAAAGTACCTGAACCGGCTATTGCCACCCCCAATCTGGCACGTCAAACACCGCAAAAGGGACCAGATGTGGTAGGACGGCAAATGGAATTACCAAGTTAGGTCATGATGTCACGTATTCTTTTCCCCTGAGTAATCGAGATACGGGGGTAAAAAACAGCGGAATTTTGGAATATTCCGATGGGATGGCAATTTCCCGTTCTTTTCGGTATATTATATTGCATATATTTTGCTAATAAAAGCGAATTCCTACGAGTCTCGACCGTGTAGTAAGCACCTGACATGCGAGGTGACACGAGTGCATTTAAATACTCGATGAACAATAACCGGTACACGTGATCAATTGCCGCGTATTGAGCGTGTATGGACTTTCATCTCCCCCGTCTTTTTTGTGAGTGTCTAAATTCTGGGATTTACACTTTAGGAAACTCTGGAGTAAGTCTGGAGTTGTGGGCTTGGAATATCCGGGGAAATGATAGTCAGAGTCGAGGCGTGAGTGCGCGTTTATTATTAAACCCTGGTTTGCGAATGGCGTGGTTGCATCCAGGAATCTCGGTCCGAGGTTCATATGCCACATAGTATTCAGGGTATCTGCAGATTACCCTGCATTGCTTGTTATTATCATCATATTGATATTGTGTTTGATGTATTGAGATGTTTCTACGGAGTACAGTTTGTAGTATTTATTTAATCAATCCTTAATATGAAGTTGTTCTGACCACTGTGAGCGCTGCGATTAAGCAGCGGTTAGTAATAGCTTTTCTCCTGAGGATGGAATCATCTGAGCATGACGTACAGCTGACTTAACTCTGGAATCTCATTTGACCGTCCATGGCATGTGAAAGGTCTCGAGCTGTGGATGGCATGTGAAGGACAGGGGAGTGTATACAGATGGATAGAAAGAAAGAGGACACAAGAGACAATGATATCGATGCCTTTCTGCGAATATTCGACTGTTCTGGTCGAGATATATCCCATCTGAAGCCAGCAGTCACTCGGTGCCACTCATCGAAAATGAAGACCAAACGTTGAATAATACCCAACAATACAGATACCGTAACGGAACTCGTCCAATCGAGCCTCGGCCGATAGACCGCAAAGTTTCGCTGCTCTTCGTCGGCTTCTGAACCTCCCCCGGATCCTTGCCTCCCCCTCAGCCCATCTCTGCTTTTAAGATCTCCTGCTTTCCTGTTGTTCTTTGATTCCCCATCTCTTCCCTCATCTTCTTTCTTTAGAACCCTCTTTATTCTGTTGTGAAATTATTCCTCTACGATGGCCACTCCCCCCAGAGTAATTGTGGTCGGCGGTGGATGTGCGTTGCTACAGCTTTCCCCGCATTTTCTGTCCTTTGCTGACCATTACCTCGCTCCTTAGTGTCCGGTCTCAGTGCCGCCCACACCGTCTACCTGAATGGTGGTAATGTGCTCGTGCTTGACAAGCAAGGTATGTTGGATTTTATTCGAGCTGCATTTTATTTGCTTGATCCGGGGGTTCTGACTTTCTTCAGCTTTCTTTGGTGGCAACTCCACCAAGGCCACCTCCGGTATTAACGGTGCTCTCACCCGCACCCAGGTCGACCTGGGTATCGCCGACAGCGTCAAGACTTTCTACGAAGACACACTCAAGTCCGCTAGAGATAAGGCTCGTCCTGAGCTGATCAAGGTTCTCACATACAAGTCCGCCGCCGCCGTCGAATGGCTGCAGGATGTCTTCAACCTCGACCTCACTCTTGTCTCTCGTCTCGGGTGAGTTGCGCCTTTGCTACTCTTGTCTTGTACATGGCTAATATCGCAAAAGTGGTCACTCCCAACCGAGAACACACCGTGGCCACGATGCCAAGTTCCCCGGAATGGCCATCACATACGCCCTGATGCAGCGGTTGGAAGAGCTCTCGCAGGCCGAGCCCGACCGCGTGCAGATCATCAAGAAGGCTCGCGTCACATCCATTAACAAGAACGGAAACCACGTCAGTGGTGTCACATACGAAGCGAACGGCGAGACCCAGTCCGCCGACGGTGTGGTCGTTTTGGCCACTGGTGGTTACGCCGCCGACTTTGGTGACGGCTCCCTCCTGAAGCAGCACCGCCCAGACACCTTTGCCTTGTCGAGTACCAATGGTACTCACGCCACTGGTGATGGTCAGAAGATGTTGATGGATATTGGTGCTAACGGCATTGATATGGACAAGGTCCAGGTTCATCCTACGGGTCTCGTCGACCCCAAGGACCCTGGAGCCAAGTTCAAGTTCCTGGCTGCCGAGGCCCTCCGTGGTGAGGGTGGTCTTCTCCTCAACTCCGATGGACAGCGATTCTCCGATGAGTTGGGTCACCGTGACTACGTCTCGGCTCAGATGTGGAAGGAGAAGGAGAAGAACAAGTGGCCCATCCGTCTTATTCTCAACAGCAAGGCCTCCAACGTCCTTGACTTCCACACCCGCCACTACTCTGGCCGTGGCTTGATGAAGAAGATCTCCGGCAAGGAGCTGGCCAAGGAGATTGGCTGCGGTGAGGCCGCTCTCCAAAAGACCTTTGATGACTACAACGCCATCGCTGAGGGCAAGAAGAAGGACCCCTGGAACAAGCGCTTCTTCCACAACCTGCCCTTCAATGTCGACGACACCTTCCACGTGGCTCTGATGGAGCCTGTTCTGCACTTCACTATGGGTGGTATTGAGATCAACGAGCACGCTCAGGTTCTCAACTCGGAGCAGAAGCCATTCGACGGCCTCTACGCTTGTGGTGAGCTTGCAGGTGGTGTCCACGGTGCCAACCGTCTGGGTGGCTCTTCGCTTCTGGGATGTGTTGTCTACGGACGTGTGGCCGGTGACAGTGCCAGTGAGCATCTCTTCAAGAAGCTGATTTCCGGCGGCGCCTCCACTGCCCAGAACCGTCTGGGCCAGATCTCTCTGCACATTGACCCCTCAACACCCGGCAAGATCTCTGTCGAGTGGGGTGGTGCCAGCGGTGCTGGCGGTGCTCAGATTCCTGCTGGTGCTGCAGCCCCTGTTGCCGCCGCCGCCCAGCCCGCTGGAGCTCCCTCGGCTGCTGCCGCAGAGGCATCTAAGCCAAATGACATCTCCAAGTTTGAGGTCCCTGCCAAGGAGTACTCCATGGAGGAGATTGCCAAACACAACAAGAAGGATGACCTGTGGATTGCCGTCAAGGGTTGTGTCTTGGACGTGACCAACTGGTTGGATGAGCACCCCGGTGGAGCCAACGCTCTGTTCAACTTTATGGGACGTGATGCAACTGAGGGTATGTTAACACTATAACCTACCATTTTACGCTTTTGCTAACTAGATGACAGAATTCGCTATGCTCCACGACGATGAAGTCATTCCCAAGTACGCCGGCCACACTGTCATCGGCCGTGTCAAGGGCCAGACCCCTGATCTGGAGTACTAAGGAGTTTCGGATGAACTGCGGGATATAGAACGAAGGAATGAAAAGAAAGCACGAAAGGAACCTGTGATTAACATGCGGCCGTTTTGATACATACCCCATTTCTCATGTTTGCGTTTTGTCCATGTTACTGTGACGATATACAGAGCTGAGATCTCTGTTCATGTCTTCTTCCAAAGGGAAGGTTATGTCTGTAAGATATAAATTCAATCGATATTTCAAAACAATCTCCAGATTTATGGTATAGATTAGATCTTGTAGATAGAATGTTTATACATGACTAGTACTATTACACGACCGGTCATATATCCAGCACCCAACTCGGCCTTACCTGTACCCATAGTCCATATGTACAATGACTCAAGCCTTCATATGCTGCAAAATCATCTTCAACCTCCTCACAGCGGGCCCATCTTCAACCCCTCCCTCCCCAGACTCCTGCTTCGTCTCCATCTCCTCCTTCGCCGCCTCAAGTGTAGGCCGCAAATACCCCCAAACCTCATCATGATACCTCTCCTCAACAGCAACCCACTCCGCCGCCCCCGGCAACCCCGTCAAAACCGCATCCCGCAACGCCGTAGCATCCGACTCCGTCGACACCGGGGCAGCACCGTCCAGTATGCTGTTTATATCCGGCACGAGACTGAAGGAGGTAAGTCGGTGCGTCTGCGGCTGCTGCGTGGATGTGTCTGGTTCTGCGGGTAATTGGCGCCGGAAGGATTCGATCATTTGGATCTCGGCTGGGGTGAGGGGTTGAGGGAGGAGGTCTGTTTCGATGGGTTCGAAGGGTTCATCGGCTGAGGGGGGGAAGTCGGGGTTGAAGGATTTGGAGGTTAGGAGGGAGATGACTTCTGAGCCGTCGGAGGGTTGGGGTTGGGGTTGCTGGTGTTGTTGGCGATGAGGCTGGGAGCTGTGTTGCCAGGCTGTGCTGAATGCTGATGGTGCAGTATCATGGTATTTTTCGCTGTAGTCTGTATGCGTGAGGTCTACTGCTTTCCCTTTCCCCTTCCCTTCTGAAGAAACGTCATGCAAGGTATTATCTCCATCGTAGACATGCTGGAATTCCTCTTCCGTCAACGGGGGAAGCTCGAATCCACCCTGCTGCTGGTGCTGTGCTGATTCCGACCGGAACGATTCCGCAGGAATACTCGACCCAGATTGAGCTCTCGAAGATGTAGAGCTTTGTGCGTAGTAGTCCGCCGTTGAGGGTGCCGATGACGCCGACGAAGATCCAGTTGCTGCTGCTTTGTTCCCGGTAGACAGAGCGTAAGCTAAATCTCCGGACGGGCCTGGTGTAGTCAGGGCATTTCGAGCGAGTCCTGCGGCGGAGTTCTGAATTCTACTTGCGAGAGAGGGAGATTTGCTGTCATTGTCATTGGTGGTGCTGCTGCTGTTTGGAGTTTCTGGTTGTTGTTTGGATTGTGAGGGGTTGGGGTTGTTGGATGTCGTGCCCCGCTTCTCGGTATCTTCGGGCATTATTGAGGTGGGTGAAGCTGTGCAGGCATCAAAGTGATGTGATATGAGGGATGTCGGTGATTTATTTATTTATATATATTATTGGAGGGACAGGACTTGGAGGTTAGGAGATGATTTTCCAAGATTCTTTTTCTGGTTGATTCATCATTGCCGGAGCTGGTCGGTCCAAGGGAGTCGTCATTCGGAATGAGTAGGAAAGCATGTGAATTACTTGCTAGGGTTACAGTTCTGCTGTCGATGGATATATTTTCTATATCCTTGGATTAAATTGTTATTAGAAGATTGTGATGCTTATATTTAGTAGAGTATTTCCTTCTATGCTGTTGCAATATCAACAATGGTTGATGTATTCAACCGAGCTTGCCTTTGGGCTTACTAGTTAAGTATCACGAGGTATCTCATTCCTCGGCTTGGTCCAATTGCATATTTCATCATTTACGGCTGCTGTCTAGACCAACTTCACCGTCTCGAGCATCAAGATATTGCTATATTCAAGATCGATGTTGCCCAGCATTTCCGCGATCAGCTTGACTCTTTAGACCCTGCTGAAATAGACCGATATACCTGAGTCTTTGAGGGTATTGTTGAAGATTCCAGAAGAGGTCCTCATACCATGCCATACACTCAAGCCTGGTTATAGGCTAGACGCCTTGACTGGTGCCTTCTTGGGAAAGAACCAGACTGGCCGAGTAGTAACTGGGACGACAATGCCATGAAGATGCCCCTCATTGTTAGTGGAGTGGATTGGCCATCGTTTATTTGATCTGCAAGGCAGAGATTGTAGATGTGAGATGTCGATAATTACATACGGTAGAATCGACATGAATTGGAATTGCTAGATCTCTTTTTCCGTATCATGCTTTATTCTTGATTGAAGGTTAGCTTGACTCTAGGCTCAGGGAAGTAGGTTGAGCTCACGATATCTTACAATACATTGAACCAGCAATTTATGCTAGTATATTAAGATAAAAATGCAATTCTGCAATAAACCAGTCCTAGACTTTCTTAAGCATGGATATCCTGTGGTGGAACCATCTAAGCCAGAGAGCTGTAGAGAATATCGATTAACTTGTATCCCTGTTGACTAGAGCATCGCTGCAAGTCAGCCCTAGCTTTTGTAGAGCAATAAAGTCACAACAATAATCCCATAACATAAATATCCAATGTCACAATGGTTGACATGCTTATATCACAGCCTTTGTGGAATTTCCGGCGTCGTCGAGCCAACAGCCATTGAACGGTCTGGATGATGTCAGTTGGATAGTGGGATCATGGAATTACCCGCCATGTGGGCTGGGACATGGAGGAAGGAATAAGATGGAGGAATGGATATCATTTAACCACAGTCGAATCGATGGCAGCTGGCGCCAGAAAAACGCAGTCCCTGATGGACGCCAGCCAGGGCTGATGTTGCAACCGCGCCAGTGGTTGATGTCAGCATCTTACTGACTGGTGGTGGTGATTTGGCTGTTGGGTGTTTCTGCGTGACGGGCAGCAACTCCCCACCACCGACGGTTTCTTCCAAACCGCCTCACCTCTTCTTCTTCCTCTCTTCCTCTTCTTCCTTTACCCCCCATCCCGCCTTTTGCCAACAACAACATTCCCCCCCGCTCCCCACCCACAACAGACATTCAGTCATCCAGTTCGACCTGTCTGTCTGTTGTTGCTTGTTGTGGCTGCAACTCATTTTTACTTTCCCCTCTTCAATCACACAAAATCAAAATTTATCTCTTCCATCCCATCATCTCAGGCTGTCAATCATTTGTCTCAGCCTGCAAAGTGACTGATCCAGTCTCTCTGCCTCACCTAGCCTTGTTTGACGTCGCAACCCTTGATCCTCTCTCTTCCCTCTCAATACCTCTCTCGGGTAGCCCTCATCTCTTTTTTTCTTAATTCCCACGATCTCCGCTCGTGATTTATTCCTATATCGGCCCTGGTCGCCCAGCTCCGTTATCATCCTCCACCGTTCAACTCTTTACCGCCCTCACCCAAAAAACGCAAAAAACGCAAAACCCTCCCTCCATCGTGCTACCTTTTCTTATCACGACTCCGGCTCATTCCGGCTCGATTTCCCGTCAGATTCGCAATATAGCTTTATCGCTGTCCGCTGCCCCAGACAAGGGTGGTATCCGAAAGAAAGATGGTAGACAGGGACCCACCTACTTGGAAGTTCACACAGTGAGTCCAACTCTTTTCGACCCCGTGATAGTCTCTGGGAAGGATCAAAGATTGCCGTCGATGCATCATATTTTGGGATGGTGATATTTCCTGTGGCTTGGGCAGAAGGGATGGATTGGGACCGATACCCCGCCTTGGATCATTGTCCACTTTCATTGATTTTGGCCCAAGAGACTCATTTAATATTATCACCGGGATGCTAATTGGTTGTAATAGATGCTTCGGTGATAAGGGTGATGTGGAAGATATCACAGAAGGTATGTTGGGCAATTTAAGCTATTGTGCGGTGCTGTTATCTGCTGTATTGGCAACAGTATGCAGTACAACAAAGAACCTAGCTAATGTTTTGCCTTTCTACTTCAGCGGATATCATTTCAACCGTCGAATTCGACCATACCGGTAACTATCTGGCTACGGGAGACAAGGGTGGGAGAGTGGTCTTGTTTGAGAGAAACGAAACGGTAGCAATGCCCCCTTGCACTGCTGAACATACCCGTTCTAACGGCCTCGGTAGAAAAAAACCTGCGAGTATAAATTCCACACCGAATTCCAGTCGCACGAGCCAGAATTCGACTACTTAAAATCGTTAGAGATCGAAGAGAAGATCAACAAGATTAAGTGGTGTAGAAGGCAAAATTCATCCCACTTCCTACTATCGACGAACGACAAGACTATTAAGCTATGGAAGGTGTTCGATAAGTCACTCAAGGTCGTTGCAGAGAACAACTTATCCAATGAGCTCACACCTGCCGGTGCTGTCGGTGGCGGAGGAGTGCCCCGAGCCCCTCGTTTATCGTTCAAGGACCCCTCAGCGTTGAAGCTCCCACGGATGACACACCATGATACTGTCGTGGCGGCTGTTCCTCGAAGGACCTACGCCAACGCTCATGCATACCACATTAACAGCATCTCCGTCAACAGCGATGGCGAGACCTTCATAAGCAGCGATGATCTTCGGGTGAATTTGTGGAACCTCAACATTCAAGACCAGAGCTTCAACATTGTCGATATCAAACCAGCAAATATGGAAGAGCTCACAGAGGTCATCACGGCAGCCGAATTCCATCCGACCAGCTGCAACTGGTTTATGTACGCTAGCTCCAAGGGAACGATCAAGCTTGCCGACATGCGACAGCGGGCACTGTGCGATGAGCACTCCAAACGTATGATCTCATTTTATTTACGTATGAGTTCAAATAACTGACAATACCTTCACAATGTAGTCTTCGAGCAAGAAGAAGATGCCTCTTCTCGCTCATTCTTTTCCGAAATCATCTCGTCTATCTCTGACGTACGCTTCTCGAACGACGGCCGGTACATTGTCTCGCGAGACTACCTAACTGTTAAGATCTGGGATGTAAACATGGAAAAACAGCCGGTCAAGACAATCCCCATTCACGAGCACCTACGGCCACGTTTGTGCGACACATACGAGAACGATAGTATCTTTGATAAGTTCGAGGTGGTCTTCTCGGGCGATGCTGAGAATGTCATGACCGGAAGCTACAACAACAACTTCATGATCTACCCCACCGACCCCGCCAAGGAGACGGAGATAGTGCTGCAGGCAGACAAGTCTGCCTTTAAGGCGAAGAAGGTCGGCGTGCCGACCCCGATGAACAAGGGGGCCAATGGGAAGAAGAACGGTTCCAGGGCGGGCAGTCCTGCTGGTCCAGGCAGTCGGATGAAGAAGGAAACCGATGCCGATCAGATCGACTTCAACAAGAAGATATTGCACATGAGCTGGCATCCGTACGAAGACAGCATTGCAATTGCCGCCACCAACAACGTGAGTTTCACATTCTATATTCTATTTTTGTCAGCAATAGCAGGATTCGCTAACCTCGATTGTTACAGCTCTTTGTCTTCTCCGCGCTGTAGATTACCGAGTGCTTCATAATCACAGTTGACCACCGAGGGTCGTATCCGAGACATAGAGAAACGAGATTTCTAGCAGCAGTCGCAGCCGCAGATTCCAAAATTCAAATTACCCGTTCAAGTTCTGATACGTTTGTGTTTTGTTTTTTGTCTTCCTTGGAGTTTGATGGTGCGGTTTCTTGGCCCTATTCCTTCCTTATTTTCCCCAAACTCTCCCCCTCCCTTCCTCTCTACACGTGTATCCCGAGACAATTTTGTCGTTCTCCTCTTGGTTTAGCCCGGTGGGTTGATTATGATATTTTGAGGCGTTGTTGGTGGGTAGTCGGATAGAGAAGATACCGAGCCTTCGGAGGACTATCTTTTCCCTTTTCCCTGCCGGACACCTGCTCACTGAATCTTGTTTCCTCTACGATTGCGATTTGCAGGAATCATTAAGCCAGGCCCATGGGCTCTGGTATGGGTGCAGTCCCGGCGGCCGATATCTGAAAGCCGCAGTTAGATTATGGTCTGGAGACCCTGAATAACTATTTAGGTGTCTACATAACGTTACTTGAGGAGTAGATAATAAATTTAAGAAAAGAAGTTTGAATTTGTTAATTTTGGTGTAACCATCGGTGTCACTTACTTTATTCTTTATTCCCGCGGGGGTTTGAAGTTGGAGTCAATCGGCAGAAACATATTTGACATCTGAACCTGTCATGATTCAAACGACAGACAGAAAATCATCAACCAAAAAGTCCCCGACCACGAACAGAAGCAACTGTATTGCTCTTGATCTACGTCAGTAAAAGTCCCGCATCCTATTATACCAGCAGCGAGCGTAGGCCTGCAAGTGTCGTATGCTGTGTCCCCGGATCCATCTGGTCGATGACGAAGGCGGTGCGCAACATCAGTGGCCCTTCAGTTTTCCCCTTGCCAGAGCCAATCAGAGCGTGTGCGCAGAAAAGGATGGGCAGTTCGGAAAAGCATGAGGCCGATGCCAGGGCGCTAGAGCTGGAACAGGGATAGCGTAGGGTGAAAGGCTCTCCGCCTTCTCTCTGGAGACCAGCCGTGATCGGTCGCGCGCAAACCATCATCACCGACTGATCTGAATTATTCTCCTGCTGGCTGGCTGTGTTTCTTGTTTCTGTGCTTTATTTCCCCCCTCCTTTATTCTCTACACTAGAGACATCTCTTTTCTGTCTTTCTTGGGGTTCTTGATTAGCTGTGTTCTTTTTCTCTTTCTCTGTGGTTGGCAAGAATCCACAACACAGTGATGTCTTTGTGAAATGACTTGAAGGACCAGAACCCAAGAGTGCGAAAAAGAACAACAGACTCAGAGCTTGCTTTGAAGCCATCCAAAGCCCTCGATTAATCCCCCAGATCATTCGTCCCCTTATCTACCACCCCCCATAGAGCAGAAATCGGCGTTGCGGAGATTCGGTTCATGCCCAGATCATGAACTCCTCTGGGAACGATAACTGGCATCCTGCTGGTGGCCCGCCGTCGCACCCTGGCATGGATCAGATGAATCAACAACCTCGGCCTCTTGGCTCGTTTGGGTATGTCTCTCAAGGCGTCGTGGTTGAGGAGCACTTCCGTCTTCAGGAGCTTAGAAGCTAACCCTATCATCTTCAAATTAGTCAAAACCCCCCGCCCCAACAAGGCCCATCCTCTCAGTCCGCGGGACCAGTTCTCCCCCCTCCAGGCGGTTAGAAACCCTTATATGACATCGGTACATACTATGGTTAGTTGGCTGACGCTTGCGTGTGTGCTTCAGGTCCGTATCATCCAGCAAATCAGCCAGCCGGACACTCCTTACCTGGGCTGGCAGAGTTGAGCCAGGCTCATGGTGGTCCGCACCAACCCCCCGCATATGCCCAGCATCCGTCGGCTGCCTCTCATAGTGCTGGGCATTCGCTGCCGGGAATCGGGCAAGCGATGCAGCACCCTTCTCCTCAGTCGATCAGCCGAGAACGTGAACGGGATTCGAGAGAACGAGAGTTGATTGAGAGACAGCGCCAGGAGGAGATGGCTCACAGAGAGCGAGAACAACGTGAGCGCGAGCGAGAACAGTTAGAACGACAGCAACTAGAACGTCAGCGGGATCAGCAGCAACACCACCCGGTACAAAGCCATACTGGGTCGATTCCTTTGCACCAGCCTGTGGCGTCTAAGGTGCCAAATTCCATTCATGGTCCGAATGGTCTTCTCTCCAACCTTGGCGGGAACCCCCCGAATGGCCCCCAAGGCTCCATGCAATCTTCTGGTGGCCCTGGTGGACTTTATGGCTCGCAGATGCAGCATGGCGAAGGAACTCCGAGATCATACATGCAGCATCCTGGAGGACCACCGGGACAGCCTTTATTGGGGTTCAACGGCTCTGGTCCTCCAATTCCTGGGAATGTCGCGGCCCTTGCTCAAGGTCAGCAGCCGATTTTGAATGTAAGTGTATTTGAATATCATTGTATCGCTTTCGATCATGGGTTTTGTTTTGTTTGTTCGTTTCCAACATCGTGCGAAGTCTGGGATACTGGGGGGTTGGGCATATCCATTTGTCGCAATGCCTCGGAGCTTCCCGATGGGGCAAGAGCTTCCAAGGCAGTTGCCCATTTTCCTGGGCACCGTGTTGCTGGTTGTGCGGCTTGAGAACACTATTTTCTGCCCTTTTCACACCATCCTTGATGTGACCTTGCACTTTGCACACGTCGGTTCCTTTCAGCATGTGGAAATTTTACCACTATAACCCCCATTCTCCGTCTTGGAGACCATACCAATATCGACCACGATTGCCGGAAGTTCCTTTGCTAACGCGACGACCCTCTGATCAGGATGCGCTCAGCTATTTGGATCAGGTCAAGGTTCGGTTCGTTGATCAACCAGACGTATACAACCGATTTCTTGATATTATGAAGGACTTCAAAAGTCAAGCGTAAGCATGAGGTACTAGTTCCAAACGACGTTCTCTGACCATTAAGTAGCATCGACACTCCCGGTGTAATCCAACGCGTTTCAACACTTTTCAATGGCCACCCTGCTCTTATTCAGGGATTCAATACCTTCCTACCTCCGGGATATCGGATCGAATGCGGTACAGAGGACAATCCTGACGCGATCAGGGTGACCACACCTTCGGGGACAAATACGCTGAGTATGCCTCGTCCTGGGCCTCCACTGGATTCCGCTGAGATGGGTCCATCTGGTGGCATGGGCTCTCATGGTCGTCCTGATTTTTTTGATCAATCTCGACCTGGTTGGCAGCAGCCTCAACATCAGCAACAGCAGCAACAGCAACAGCAGGGTGGCATTCCAGGGTCATACTCTCCTGGAACTCGGATGATGGGCGCTATGTTTGGCCAGCAGAGCGGGCAAGGCCAGCCGCAAGACCATCACTACGAATATCCAACCCAGCAGGAACAGCAGGCTGCTGCTGGCGCTGCGGCCATGGCTCACCAGCAAGATCAGCGTGGTGTGTCGCAGCTCCAAGGTGCAGCATCCGCCGCGTCTGCCGGCCTTGGGCGCCCCTCCATGATGCAAGTATCTCCGGCCCCCGGGCAAAACCCCAACCTGAACCAACCCATGAACAGTCTGGCCGGAGTTGGATCGGGCATGCTCCAGGGACAGGCAGACTTGAATAAGCGCGGACCTGTCGAATTCAACCACGCGATCAGCTATGTGAATAAGATAAAGGTTAGTATCCATACTATCCCCCAACCTTCCCCCCTCTTTGTTATGCTTGACTCCAGTGAATGAGGAATACTAAAGTCGTGTTCTTTATTTTTCTAGAACCGTTTCGCTAGTGCCCCAGAAATTTACAAGCAATTTCTCGAAATCCTGCAGACCTACCAACGCGAGTCGAAGCCTATCCAGGATGTGTACGCCCAGGTGACCCAGTTGTTCAACACCGCGCCCGATTTATTAGAGGACTTCAAGCAGTTTTTGCCAGAATCTGCAGCGCACGCCAAGCAGCAACAGCAAGCAGCTGCCGCCGCCGCCGCTCGTCAGGCCGAGGAGGCAGCACCGATGAGCAACCTTCGTGGGGAACCCAGCGGCTATCCCAACGCTGGTGCACTTCCCTCGCAGACTCCCAACCGCGACGTGAAAATGCCCCCTCTTGGTCAGTTCAATGTCAAAGACTCGGGCAAGGATGGCAAGAAACGTCGAGCAGGACCTGGTGCTCCATCAGCTCTGGGATCCTCTGTTTCTGGGCCTTCTGCAGGAGCTGAAGCGGCACGTATGGCTGATTCCCAAGCTGGTCGACCCCCGGCATTGCAGGTTGGCAATGTCAACAAGGTGAGCTCAGACTCTGATTGTCCTTTCCATTGAAGGCCTGGACCTTCAATGCAATACTTCTTATCGCCATATATGCTGACTGAAATCCACAGCGAGCCAAGGTCCACCATGGAAAACCGTCGCAAGCAGATATTCCTGCCGTTTCACCCACTCTGATTCCCGCTCTCCCAGAACCGATTCAGCCAACCTTCTCCCTAACACCCACCCAAGAGGAATTTGCGTTCTTTGACCGTGTCAAGAAATACATTGGAAACAAGCAGACCTTCAGCGAGTTTCTCAAGCTATGCAATCTTTACTCGACTGATCTTATCGATAGACATGTTCTTGTAAAGAGGGCTGCTGGCTACATTGGCTCCAACCCGGAGATTATGAGCTGGTTCAAACGCTTCATGCACATTGAAGAACCGGAGGACAAGATCATTGACCTTAAACCTAAGCAAGAAGCCGCAGTCGTCAATTTGTCGCACTGTCGCTCTCTTGGTCCTAGCTATCGTCTTCTCCCGAAGCGTGAGCGACAGAAGCCTTGCAGTGGCCGTGATCAGCTCTGTTATAGCGTTCTTAATGATGAGTGGGCTTCTCATCCGACTTGGGCTTCCGAGGATTCTGGGTTCGTAGCTCACCGGAAGAACCAGTATGAGGATGCTTTGCACCGTATCGAAGAAGACAGGCACGACTACGACCATCATATCGAGGCCTGCACTCGTACTATTCAACTCATCGAGCCTATTGTCCAGCAGTTCCTCGTCATGTCAGAAGCGGAGCGAGCGGCATTCAAACTCCCACCAGGCCTGGGTGGCCAGAGTGAGGCCATTTACCAGCGCGTTATCAAGAAGATCTACGACCGACAGCGCGGTGAGAAGATCATCCGTGAAATGTTTGAGAGGCCTTGCCATGTTCTCCCAATTGTTCTGTTCCGGCTGAAACAGAAATGCGAGGAGTGGAAAGCCAGCCAGCGCGAATGGGATAAGGTCTGGCGTGAGCAAATGCAGAAAGCTTACTGGCGTAGTCTGGACCACCAAGCCATTGCCAGCAAAGGAACGGACAAGAAGCTATTTGTTGGAAAGCACATCCAGAACGAAATTCAAAACAAGTTCGAGGAGAGCCGAAATCTGCGCAAGAGTGGATTTCAGGTCCCCAAGCACCAGTTCGAATTTACTTTTGACGACCCTGCTGTTCTCATCGATGCTACTCACTTGCTGTTAATATTTATTGATCGCAATTCTGCTGGGTTCGGTGCTGATCCCCAGAAGGTGATGGCATTCATCAAGGACTTCATACCGGTGTTCTTTGATATGGACCGCGACACGTTTCATGTTTATATGAATGAGCTTTCTAGCGAGACTCCCCCAGCCGAGGAGGGTGATGACGAAAGTATTGCCGCAGAGGAGGCATCCACTCCCCGTAGTCGCAAAGGCATCAACGGCAAGAAGATGGATCTCCTTCGTGATGTTTTGGAGCGTCGAAGCGAGAAGGCAAATCGGAGTGATAAACAAAGCAGTGCGCCCGCCAGCCGGGATGGCACACCAGACGCTGTTCTGATTCCTTCGACGCCAATTCCTGACCCTACAGAAACCTTCGACGTGGCGGAGCTGAAGTGGATGGAGCACCCAGGCCAGGGTAACTTCAACCTTCAGCGCGAGTACACGCTCAATGAGACGTATGAGAAGAAATTCCATCACTTGTACGCCAACTTGAGCATCTTCTGTTTCTTCCGCACCTTTGAGATTCTCTATTCCCGTCTGCTCCGCATCAAACTGCACGAAAAGGATGCTCATGAGGATGTGCGTCGTGCCCTGGTGGCAAAACCAGCCCAGGAGCTTGGCCTCATGGACAAAATCCCAACCGATTTCTTCTATGATTGCGACCCCAAGGCCAATCTGTATAACCAGATCGTGCGGATGTGTGAGGAAGTTATTAAGGGCGACATGGAAACTTCTCATTTGGAGGAGACACTACGTCGCTACTACCTGCGAAGCGGCTACCAACTCTACAACCTTGAGAAAATGTTCACGGGTGCAGCCAAGTTCGCTGGTGCCATTTTCAACGGAGATTCTAAGGATCGCAGCTCTGACATCATGAATCTATTCTTCAAGGAGCGGGACAAGGATGATACTACTCACAACCAGGAGATCCAGTACCGCAAGCAGGTAGAGAGGCTGGTTAAAGATGGTGATATTTATCGCATTACCTACGTAAGTACCAGATCTCTTGAGAGACGGCTTATCTTATCTAACCGGATGATGTTACAGCACCCTTCCTCGAAGAAGACTTCTATCCAGCTTTTGACGCCCGAGGACTCCACCTTGGAAAATGAAGAGCTGAGCCAGGAGGCACGCTGGTCGTACTATGTTTCTGCGTACACCATGCGCGATCCGACCGAAGGGGTTCCATTTTCTCAGATGCGCATGCCATTCTTGAAGCGGAACCTGCCTGGTAAACTGGACCAGGAAGAGGAGTACAACCGCTACTACCGCCCGCTTGTCCACCAAGACGGTCTCATCATCCGCATTTGCGCCAACAGCTATCATATCTTGTATGAGCCTGGAAGCTTGGACTGGTGGTGGCGCCCGACTGGTCCCCCGGAGGAATCGGCGGATGAGGCTGCTAAGGAAGAAGCGGCTGTCAAAGAAAGGCGGCGGGACCGCTTTACGGAGAAGTTTGTCAACAACCCCAGCTGGGCGCACGGGCTTAGCAAAGACCAAGTGGACGAGTCAAATCAACGTTTCCGTTCCTGGATCAAGGGTACTGAAACCGACAGTGGGGCTGGTGCTGCCGAGAAAGCTGCTCCAGAGACGAACAATGAAGACGCAGACATGCCTGACGCTGAAACGGGTACTTCGGAGCAGAAGGAAAAATAATGGCATTGCATTTGAGGATTTGCCGTGGCTAGGATTTGGATATTGACATGATATGAAAGCCTATCCATGGAGGTATGCGACCTGTCACAGCTTTACTTGGGGGTCAGAGTTTGATGGGACCTGCTGTTCCTCCGCCATGCTATCCACCTATTCTGCACAATTTGCCTGCATACTTTATGTTTTATTTTTCTCGATTTTCATTCTATGCTGTTCTTTTCTATGGTCATGTCTTTTTTTTTTTTCTTATTCCACAGCAGTGATTTTAACACGGCTGCATGAACAGCAAGCAATGTTAGGGTTGCAAATATGGGTTTACTGCTATTTTGAATGTCTACGGCTGACGGGGGATTCTGGTTCTCGTGGGTTGATGGCCAGATCGACCTTTTGACTTGAACAAAAACTCCGTCGAAGGGACTGTTTGGGCTGGTGTAGAGGGGGAACTGGAACGGAAGCACTATGGATTTTCTTTCTGTACTTGTACTTTAGGGAAACAAACGATTGATCACAATGTTGTTATCTTGATGGTCTACAAGACTGTATGCTCGTCGTCGTACTTGTCCCACAAATTCCCACTGATTCCCACTGAATCCGGGGTAGTCTTAATCCGACCCCACAAAGGGGGGATTGTATCAATGCACAGATGCCTGGTTTCCCCTCAGATTCTCTGCGACCGTCTGATGAATGCAGGGGCTGCCATTTGTCTGCTGTGCTTCATCTTGATCGAAAGCTCCAAAGCTCCGTGTGGCCGAGCAGCGATAACCGATACAGCCGAAACTGGGCCGTTGGTCCAGACCCGGAGAAGTCTCGGGATCCGCAGCGCCATAGAGGGGAGCTGGAGGTGAGTCGGGTTCCCGATCAGAGGGAGGATGGTGGCCGCAATTCATCAGAAACAGAGGAATCCAGGGATTGTTAAACTACTGGTCTCATTGACTTCAGATTTCCATCATCGCCAGAAACAAACAGGGAAAAATAGAGCAGAAATGGCTGGTTGTGGTGAAGGTGAAGCAGAATCCCGAGAATCGTCCGACATGACGTCAGCATGTTTTCAACTGGCGCTAAACCCAAAAAACCCCCACCCAATTCATCATGACTTTTGCTTGAATTGATTACAGGTAGAGTTACACTGAATATATCCGACATGCCATGGCAAGAATATCGCAGAATATAAAGAATGTAGAGGTGAAGATAGAGCTGTGGTGGTGCCAGTTCGTCAGTGTCGATCCCTCATCCATCGCATCCATATTCCATTGCTCCGCCCGAGGATAGTAGCTGGATGGCTTCGAGTGTCAATAATTACCTATAAGAATCAAAATTACTCTCCATTACATCCCCTTATCCGGCTCGAGAATCCCCACCTGCTCTTTTGCCCACGGGGCGTTGCTTTCTTTTTCTGCTCGTCCTATTTCAATCCTCTGGCTTCCCTCTATTCTCCCCAGATTCTTTCCCTTCTTTCTTTCTTCTTTCAACTCTCCTCTCCTTCCCCTCTCCACTCTCCACTCTTCCGTCATGTCTGCTTCTGCTCTTCTGAGAAGCCGTGTTAAGCGGCCTTCTTATCTCAGCAAGCTAGCCAAGGCTGAGGACCTCATTAGCCACTTCCCTCATGGCTCTTACATCGGCTGGTCCGGTTTTACGGGTGTTGGATATCCCAAGTACGTCTACTTCTTCAGTCTCTGCTTTTAATCAATGCTAATGCGTGCTTGCTCTATAGGAAAGTTCCCACGGCTCTCGCAGACCACGTCGAGAAGAACAACCTCGAAGGCCAACTCAAATATACACTGTTTGTTGGCGCCTCGTCCGGTGCTGAAACAGAGAACCGATGGGCACGATTGAACATGATTGAGCGCCGAAGCCCGCACCAGGTCGGCAAGGAGATTTCCAAGGGTATCAACACTGGTCAGATCAAGTTTTTCGATAAGCACCTGAGCATGTTCCCTTCGGATCTTACCTATGTAAGTATCGATAATGCCTATGACATCTGGAAGGAAGAACAGTTCTGATTGTTTGCTCCAGGGTTGGTACACATTGAACAAGCCTAAGAACAAGCTGGATGTTGCTGTGATTGAGGCTTCTGCCATTACGGAAGAAGGTGGCATCATCCCTGGTGCTTCCGTTGGTGCCTCGCCTGAGCTCATCAAGATGGCCGACAAGGTCATCATCGAAGTCAACACTGCCAGTCCTTCATTCGAGGGTCTGCACGACATTGCCATGCCTGAGCTTCCCCCTAACTCGAAGCCATACCTTGTCATGGCCCCCGAGGACCGCATTGGAACCCCTTACATTCCGGTTGACCCCGAAAAGGTTGTTGCCATTGTGGAGTCGGACTACCCCGACCAAACCCAGCCCAACTCCCCCGAGGATGAGGGCTCGCAGGCAATCGCCACCAACCTGATTGAGTTCTTGAAGCACGAGGTCAACCACGGCCGTCTGCCCAAGAACCTGCTGCCGATTCAGTCTGGCATTGGTAACATTGCCAACGCTGTCGTTGGAGGTTTGAGCAAGGGTGGTGCCGACTTTACCAACCTCAAGGTGTGGACTGAGGTGCTGCAAGACTCGTTCCTCGACCTCTTCGATAGTGGTAACTTGGACTTTGCCACGGCTACTTCAATCCGTTTCTCTCCCGATGGATTCAAGCGTTTCTATGACAACTGGGAGAAGTACGCCGACAAGCTGCTTCTGCGATCCCAGGCAGTGTCCAACTCTCCCGAGATTATCCGTCGCTTGGGATGCATTGGCATGAACACCCCCGTTGAAGTGGACATCTACGCCCACGCCAACAGTACTTGCGTCATGGGCTCTCGTATGCTGAACGGATTGGGAGGTTCCGCCGATTTCCTGCGCAGCTCCAAGTACAGTATCATGCACACACCTAGTACCCGGCCTAGCAAGACCGACCCTACTGGTGTCAGCTGCATCGTGCCCTTCTGTACTCACATTGACCAGACTGAGCACGACCTTGACGTTGTGGTTACAGAACAGGTAAGATATCTGATCATCGTGTTTAATGCTCTTGCTAACTTGACTAGGGTCTCGCTGATGTCCGTGGTCTGTCTCCTCGTGAGCGTGCTCGCGTCATTATTAACAAGTGCTCGCACCCCGACTACAAGCCCATCCTGGAGGACTACCTGGACCGGGCTGAATTCGAGTGCCTGAAGAAGGGCATGGGCCACGAGCCTCACCTGCTCTTCCAGGCCTTCAAGATGCACCAGAGCTTGGCCGAGAATGGCACCATGAAGATCAACAGCTGGGAGTAAATTAGGGATGACACATAAAAAAAGTTCTCCTACGTAAATATACCAGGGAATTGATACATAGTCTCATGGACTGGCGATACCGGGTTCGTTTGATTGGGTTATTTATTGTACGTCTTATTAGCGATCTGTATTTAATGACATCAAATATCACTTCATTATTCATCGATGATACTCAAGGAAGTAGTAGACGGCGAGTATAGGGATAAGCTGGCGGGAATAAGACGGGGATAAGCAGTCGCGGGATAAGCAGTCGGGGCAACAAACCATCCGATCAGCCATTAATAATATTGAAGATGGCTATAAATACTGTGCTTGCTGGATGAAAGAAAAAGAACAAGACAAAAAAGCAATAATCCAAAATGACTTCTCGATTCACCTCGATCAACAAACTGGCCGGAACCCGCGTGCTCATCGTGGGAGGCACATCAGGCATTGGATTCGGAGTCGCCCGGGCAGCTCTGGAACACGGCGCATCCATCATCATCGCCAGTTCGCAGTCGACCAAGGTAGAGGCAGCACTTTCCAGACTACGCGAGACATACCCAGAAGAAGAGTACACGAACCGGATAGCAGGGTTTACATGCGATCTGGGCAACGAGGAAACAGTCGAAGCAAACGCAGTGCAACTACTCAAGAACGCAACATCACCAAACATCTTCCCATCCACAACCTCATCATCACCATCATCAGATATAATCCCCCTCGACCACATCGTCTACACAGCCGGCGACGTCCCGGAAGCCCACCCCCTCACGTCCCCCGCGTTGAACGTCGCCTACATCCACAAAAACAGCACCACCCGATTCCTAGGCGCGCTCTTCCTCGCCAAACACAGCATCCCCACCTACCTATCCCCATCTTCAACCTCCTCGATAACCTTCACCTCGGGGACAAGCGCCACCAAGCCGATAAAGGGGTTGGCCGTGCCCGCCGCGATGCTGGCAGCGGTGGAGGGGCTTACGCGCGGACTGGCGGTGGATTTGGCGCCGGTGAGGGTGAATGCTGTTTCGCCAGGTGCGGTGATGACGGAGTTGTTGGAGAGGTTTCTTGGTAATGATGACCAGAAGAGGGAAGGGCTGTTGGGGATGTTTGCGAGGGAGACGCTGGTTGGGGGGGTTGGGAGGGTGGAAGATGTGGCGGAGGCATATTTGTATCTGATGAAGGATGGGTTTGTGTCCGGGGTTGTGCTGGAATCGAGTGGGGGGAGGTTGTTGAAGTGATTTATTCATTAATATACAAGTTTATATTATATTCATTGAATGTTCATGTTGATGCTGATAACCCTAACTCCAATCATAACTTATAACATATCATTGAGTAGGAGGCCGATAACTCCCCCAGAGCAATCTACATCATCAGCGTCATCATCATATAATACAATACTCAAGATATATGGTAACTCACCGACTCACAACCCCCCAAAGACCAGCAGATTCCTCTCCTGTCCGTTTCGCCCAGCCATGGTCGACGTTGTATTGTTTGACGTCTTGGAGACCGGCGAAGAGACCTCGTCCGGATGTAGCGTGCTGAGTAGCAGTTATTAGTTAGTAATACATATAAATATGTGACTGATAATGACATACACGATGTTGCTGTTCATTCCTGACCCAGAGATCCGAGCCGAAGTCATTTTGGGGTCGTGATGTTTTGGACATGGTTGTATAGTATATATTGCAGATGAGATGTGATGAGATACAGTTGTTGTTACATTCTACCACTTTATATACCTATATCTATAACTATACTATGCAGATATAGATATCATGATACAGGCAATCCAGTATCCGAATCACCTCACCAACACCAAATGCCATATTGAATTGACTTGAGTGTCGGTGGTGATGATGATGCTGCTTACAGTGGCTGTCGGTGATAGCATGACAACCAAACACCACCAATCAAAACAAATGGATTATTATTGCCTTTCCGATGGAATCAAAAACTACGAATCAAGATGAGATGTTAAACAGTGGCTGTGAAGAAATGGCGTGGTTTTGGTGGGTGAGATCGGGGATGTGGTGTGGTGTGATGGTGGCATGATGATGGTATGATTGATGAGGATGAGTATAAATATGCCACTCTTTCTCTTCTCTTTAGTATTATTTATTTCTATATTATTTTATAGATAGAAATGAAAGACGTAGTAGTTTCATCTTCAAGAAAACATACTACAGTGATATTTTGCAGAGGCATCTGCTCATTTACAGTCTACACTATGGAAGTAATATCCAGTCTGTTGCAGTATCTTTAGAACTCCAGATCTGAAGATCTAGACACGCACATGACTTGGTCCAACTCCTGGAATAAGGAGAAACGAGTCATTTATCGATTTCCTCAGATCGATAGAATTGATCTCGATATTCAGCCTTGAGAAGTACCGAAAAAAAGACATTCTTGATTAAGGGGCTGGCAATATCAGATTCAGACCCCCACTGAATAATAATAACCTCATATCCCCCCCTAACAAGTAAGACATGTTAACCAGATGCATCCAACTCCTATTTAAACGCGCATCTCATAGACTCAGGCTAAGCCTTGTATCCAGGGGCAACTTGGCCGACTATCACGGTCTGTTCGCCCGCAGTGGAGAGCGGCGAACATTGGCAGCCATGGAGAAGATTCAATCAGGGAGGGATTGGCAGGTCGAGACCTTTCGACTCTTGGCTTCATATTCTGGCTCGTATGGAGATGGTAGAGATTATTATTTTGATTCAGAGCACGAGGAAATTAGGTAGACTACGGAGTCGATGGTTGTATTGATTCGGATAATCGGAGTCTCAAAGTCTATACAGTGTTGCCTACAGAGTACAGACAGAATACTCTCTGTAATAGACAGTAGAATCATCTCCACGACATCCCACAGTGGATCAGCGGCTGTCCATGGATCGATGGCGATGATTATCGAGAGCTGACGAGTTGTGGGATCGCCACCGATGCGAGATAACAGTCACACTCGCAGTCAACGGCAGATGAGGATGTTCGAGATGACGAGTCCATCACAGTCGACATATATTAGGTAGGTTCATCCCGGTTCTTTCAGGGGACTCGAGCTACAACTACATTTTCAACTGCAACTGCAACGTGGACATGACATCCTGATTCCTGAGGAACGATACTGCCGGCCAGAGCTGACCCAGTTTATTCTTGATTCTGATTTCGACTCCATCGCAATTAAACATTCCAAGATTGACTGTCTTGGACTCATTCCGACAACCGAAGAAACAGGAAAATAAATACCACAGCGGCTAGCAGGCAATAATCAGCGAATCGTCTAATAATATTGGTTTTGCGACCAGTTCGGTCACCCCAAAAGTGGGAGAGTGGAGCCCCGGAAATTAAAGCTCACTGCGGCAAGCCAATCACAGTCACGATTAAAATTAGGTGGGTCCGGGGCTATACCGTTCCTGCAATAGATTGGGACGGCGGGAAAGTCTGGGCTCCACCGGGGCTGCAGCGGCGGAGAAGGGTTTCCCTTGTGTTCCAGTCAAGCAGGGGCAAATGCAGTCTGCAGTGTGAGAATGCCAACAAACAGACAACAAACTGACACGATGGTTGAATGGGAATGGAGTGAGGAGACAGTCTGAATCAGATGAGTTGTAAGTGACTTGGGTCGAATACTGGTGGAAATTGGGCGAGAAATGGAGGGTTCTTTGTTGTTGTTGGCAAGACTGGGCAATCTAGTCGTGCTAGTACCACAATAATACTGTCGTGGCAGACATAGTCTGGATAGGAACAGTTATCCATGGTCTCTGGCAGCAGATAATATTATTCAGGACTTGTCTGTACCCTGGCTATCTGGTATGCATCCTGTGACTTCATTGTTTATCCTGTTCCGTGGTACAGATGATATTCAGGAACAGTGACTTCAGATCATACTACAAAGATATACCTACACAAGATAGTACCTAGTAGAGAGTACCTACAGTATGCTGACAACAGTGGACAACCCGGACAGGAGTCTCGTATTGTAACAGACTGACTCTCTCAGTACAGAGTCCAGTACTGAGCCAGAGTGAGACAAATCAACTCTGTTGTCTCTGTCCAATGGATTCTCTCCCCCACCCCTATCCGAGCCGTGCGGGACAACCACTGGATAAGCCACCCTGGGCGGACCCAGGAGGGGCTCCAGTCTGCCAGCCAATAGCCACTCGCCGGTGCCTGACTTTTACACCGCCAGCAGCTCCTGTTCCTGCGCCCATCCACGCAGATGCCCCTTTTAGGCCGGCTTAGCCCCGTTTAGGCCCTGCTAGCCCTGGGCCAGACCCTCGCCGCCGGCCAATCACAGCTTCAGGGGCTGCGAATCGCCCACGATCCCGCCGGCTTCTCGTTTTTGTTACGCCCCGTTTGGGCCCTTTTCTTCCCCCCGTCGGTCGCCTTTTTCTTCTCTTCTTCTTCTTCTTTCTTTCCCCCGGTTTTTTTCTGTCTATCATCTCCTGGTTGAACGCGAAGCAAGAGAGAAAAAGGCCGTTGCGCCCCCCCCTTCGCCTTTTCATTCTTACGTCGTTCCTTACGATCATCCATTGACCACCGCTTCACTCGTTCAGCGGGCATTCATTCGTTTAATACTTGACAGAAAAGAAAACATCAGAAAACCCTTTCTAACCTCCTTCCCTTCTCAACCAGCATTATGAAGGGTGCTATCTTGGCCACCGCGGCCGCCCTCGCGGGCACTGCCCTCGCTGATGTCGCCCACATGCGCCGCCACGGCCACGACTCTTTCCACCAGCGTCGTGCTCTCGAGGCTTCCAGCTCTGCTGCTGCTGCTGATGCCACCTGCGGCTGCTCCACCGAGGTCGTTACCTTCTACGGCTCTCCTACCTGTAAGTAGCAATTGACTCAATTGGATGGGAATAGCTTCAAGAATACTAACTAGTTCAGTGGTGCCTGTCTCCTCTACCGCTCCTCCCGCCCCGTCTCCCACCGAGACTAGCAGCGAGACTCCCACCCCCAGCAGCACTCTCACCTCGACTGCTGTGACCACCCTCCACTCCACCAGCTACAGCACCGTGACTGTCCACGTCACTCCTTCTGCTCCCGCTCCCGTGGAGTCCTCCGCTACTCCTGAGGTCTCGAGCTCCAGCTCCGTCGAGGTTTCGACCCCCGAGACCACCTCGACTCCCGCTCCCGTGGCTCCCACCACTACCTCGACTCCCGTGGCCGTTGCTCCTACGACCACCCCTGAGCCTGAGCTCCCCACCAACCCGGTGACCAGCTTCTCCTCGACCGGTGTCTACACCATTCCCGCTACCACTCTGACTGTCACCGACACCACCACTGTCTGCAATGCCAACAGCGCTGAGCTGCCCAGCGGTTCCCACACCATCGGTGGTGTCACCACCGTCGTCGAGACCGCCACCACTGTCACTTGCCCGTACGCCACCGTCAAGCCCACCGGTTCCACCGTGACCAGCGTTATCGAGACCACCACCTACGTTTGCCCCTCCGCCGGTACCTACACCATTGCCCCCATCACCACCTACGTGCCCTCCAGCACCGTTGTGGTCTACCCCACCCCGGCTACCTTCACCCCCGGCACCTACACTCGCCCTGAGCACACCGTGACCGCTACCCGTACCGACATCACCTACATCTGCCCCACCAGCAGCTCTAACCTGCCCACTTCCACCCCTCCTGCTACCAGCTCCACCGTCCCTGCCACCACTGCCGTCCCTGCCACCTCCGCCGCCCCCAGCAGCTCTAGCTCTAGCTCTGCTCCCGCCCCCAGCTCCACCGGTGAGGTTGGCGGAACTCGCATGGGTATGACCTACTCTCCCTACACCAACGGTGGTGACTGCCAGTCCAAGGACGAGATCGCCAAGCACGTCGCGGAGATCAAGCAGAAGGGCTTCACTCACGTCCGTGTCTACTCCACTGACTGCAACGGTCTCGAGTACATTGGTGAGGCTGCCAAGCAGAACGGTCTTAAGATGATCATCGGTGTCTTCATCTCCAGCACCGGTGTCTCGGGCGCCCAGGACCAGGTTACTTCCATCGCCAAGTGGGCTCAGTGGGACCTTGTCTCTCTCGTCGTTGTCGGTAACGAGGCCATCCAGAGCGGTTACGCCGATGCCTCCAGCTTGGCTGGTCTCATCTCCTCCGCCAAGTCCACCTTCAAGTCGTCTGGCTACACCGGTGAGGTTACCACCACTGAGCCCATCAACGTCTGGGAGCAGTACAGCAGCACTCTCTGCAATGCTGTCGACATCGTCGGTGCCAACCTCCACCCCTTCTTCAACGCCGACACCACCGCCGACCAGGCCGGTACTTTCGTCAAGTCCCAGTTCGAGCTCCTGAAGAAGACCTGCCCCGGCAAGGACATCCTCAACTTGGAGACCGGCTGGCCCAGCGAGGGTAGCGCCAACGGCAAGGCCGTTCCCGGTAAGGAGCAGCAGGCCGCCGCCATCAAGTCTCTCGCCCAGGAGGTCGGTGACAAGTCCGTCTTCTTCTCCTACGCCAACGACCTGTGGAAGGACGCCGGTGAGTTCGATGTCGAGCGCTACTGGGGCTGCATCGAATCCTTCGTTTAAGAAGTTCACGGCTCTTTAAACATGTACAGATGGTTTGGAGTTTGATATCATTCTTCTGTCGCCTTGGGTTCTTGAATGCGACAGCACCTTATGTTTTTTCTTTTTCTCTTCTCAGTATACTTGAATGTTCATGTAGTAGATATAACTTTTATTATTTCATGTGTGTCTACTGATCGGGTTGCATCCATTGTTTTCTATGTTTGATCTTAGTCCTTGTATATGTGCTAATTCCATTGACGGATTTCTTACGATCAACCTGTTGTAGAGTAATCTAATCATTCCTTAATCTGATTCTCTATCTTAATTCACTAGTTTGATATGATCACAATCAGTATAGTAACTCAGCAGTATGAAACTTTGTCTATGAATATCGACGTGAATTTCTCTATCTGACCATGATAATTCATCGACTTTTATATTCCTATTCACACAATCCCACAACATATATACTGCCATATTCTTCTCTTCCTCTTCCTTTCTCACCAACCCTCCAAGGCCTTTTTCATGGCTCTACAAATCCATCAGCATAAGCCCTTTGCAATACCTTTTCATCTCCATAACATGACCCACCCAACTGCCGTCATGACTTATCCTCGCTCAACCAGGGCAGGTGGAGGTTCCCTGTGTCGCGTAGTTTGCAAACAAGCATTCAAAGTTCTGGAACGATAACATCGAACTCTTTCCCGACGACCACAGCTTCCCACGAAGAGCGAGAGAGATCCTCTGCATGGAGCGTATCTTCCCTCTCCCTGAACCCTTAACGATGGTCTCGTACAGTGCAGTTAGCACTTTCTTCGATAAGTCCGTGTCTTACGGCTCTTATTACAGTGTCCCTGAATCTCTCTCGAGATACGTGATAGCAGTGGAGGCTGATGTATGTTTCCCCTCCTTATCCTTTCTATATGCTGCTTTTGCAAATGGTAGATTTGGGTTAATGGTGCAGACGATACGATACTTCGGCCTCTGCGGACTGAAAGTTCAATGCTGGTTTTGGAATGCACTCCAGCATTACGCAAAGCTATGAAGGGTCAACCTGATGGGATTGGGGTTCCATATATATCGCAGATAATGAAATGTGTTGGGCTGGATGATGGTATGTCACGTTCATTCTTGGTATATTCGTCTGCTTTGCTAACGATCACGAGATGCAGCGATACCAAGACGAGACCACCGAGCCATTAGGTTTTGGCTTATACAAATCGCCGAACCGATGTATCGCAGATATCAATTATATTGGACTTCTACAACGGGATTGAATCCCACGCTCACGCTACTCGTGCAGGGGTCGATATGGCCTGCTGTGGAATGTAAGGCTGGATAGCCTACATTAGACGATAGAGATAGCTCTGCACCATGTCATGATGAGAACCTGGTTCATGAATTTCCCAGATTGGTATTGATTCCTTTTCTAAACTTACACTCTAGTTCTGTGGGGAAAATACTAACTCAGTCAGGTCATCTTATTAGATATTCTCGTCGATTTCTTTCCCCGAATATGGGCTTATGCCACACAACGAGACGTGGTTCTTCATGAGGGAAGACGCATGGTACTTTAAAGTGTCAAAAGCTATACCAGCAACTCGCACAACAATCAGGAAACAGCCATCGTTACGAAAATGCTATTTGTATCTTGCCACCATGGCAAAGAGCACTAGGCATGAGCATGACCTAAATGAAAAAAGGGTACAATAGGAGTCAATACTCCCTTGGTGATCGACGTCACGGAGACGGGAAACTTTGATCGACAGAACCAACGACCTGGCCATGGAGGCTAGCCAGCAATGCCGCGAACATAGCACATGCATGTTTCTTGCCTTCGAAAGGCCCCGAACCAGGAAGGCCATACTATACCGTCATCACCACGACAAGCGAACACCCGGAAGATGCTTCCCAAAGGCCCACACCCGATCTTCATGTCCTGTCAATGGCCACCATACGAGACGAGCTGACGTATAACCCTTGGGTATCTCGACAAACGACAGATCGATAAAGATAGACTTTTTCAACGAAACTGGAACCAGACGGTGTGGTCTGCCTGCCCTGACAACAACGAACTGCTACAAGGGCAAAAGACAAACGGCTAGAATTCAAAGCCAAGGACCCAAATATCTTCTATACGCCATCGAAAAAGCGAAGAGGAAGAGCAGCTAACTCTCCGAGAGAAAAAGGTGTTGGTTGGATGGCTGTCGCTTGCCAGCCATCTATCGAAGAATATCCAGCAACAGAATCCCATCTCGACTGGTTTTATTCATTACCAGCTTAGTTCGAGCATCTTCGTTCAACAGTCTGACTGTCGCTGTCATGCTGCGTGCCAAATGGTATTGAAAAGTCAACCTTTGAGGTCCAGCTCAGCAAAACAAACCTCATCCAGGCCAACGATTTGGGGGTTGGAGTATACTGCCCGAAGGAAGCGTGTGTGGCTGCCGGTGCTTCGCTCTGTATGGTCTGATATGATGATCTGATATTAGTTTCTTTCATTCTCTACTTCTACTGTAATACGATCCTGGTTTAGTTTTATCAAATGGAGATCTGCATTCCTTTTCTCGCACGGGTCACATTCCATCCATTGACATCTGATGATCTGAGACAGTGGGTATTTGAATAGAATAGAATAAGATAAAATAAAATATTACTCTGTGCAGATCAATCATTGCTCTATCTATACAGTAGATGCCATTACCATGACAGAGAAATCGACCTCATTAAGAATGATAGATAAGTTAGATACATACATACAAGGCGATGAATAAACAAAGTCAAGCCTTTCTCTTTATCCAGTTTCTTCGTAGCAGGCGTGTGATTGGAACCCCCGCTATCGCATTATTGTTTATTTATCTTGTCTTCCTCCTCGCGACCGACCGATCAGGTATCGAATTTACTTTCTCTGGCAGGTCTGTTTATGGTCAGTTAGTATATTCAATTCTTTGAAAGAAAGGGAGGATGATTGAAACATACGTTGTCAGCACCGCAGACCAACCAAGGGCAGCAGAATTTCTGGTCGGGGATCATGGTAAAGTTGCTAGGGGTTGCGTTGCTGCACTTAGCACCGACCTGTTTATTTGATTAGTCTGGTTTATGTTGCTTTGGGTAGGAGGTTGGGGATGTGCTCACGCCGACGCAGGACTTCTGGACAGCGTCAGTGCCGGGGTGGGGGACGGCCATGGCGACGCCGGCAATGAAAGGGAGGATGGCGAGGAAACGCATGATGATTGTTTATTATGAGTGGATGGGTAAGATCTGAGGAAGCCAAGTGGTTAGAATTTTGTTGATTGATTGATTGAATCCCTTGATTGGGAAAGAAAAGCAAAGAAAACATACCTGGAGATGGAGGGAAAAGCACGAGGAAGAGAGGGACAACGTGGGGGAGAGAGAAAGGGGAATCAAAACAGTCTTAAAGAGGAGAGAAAGCGAGTTGGTGATAGTCAGGCACCCTTATTCTTATTTAAGAATCACCAAGAAGAGCTCCTCTTTTTCTCCTCAATCGTCGGATGGAATATTTTTGGAAATATGACAAACAGTACGCACAAAGACCGACAGCATACAATCTGAAACGCAACCGATGGACCAACAGTCGAGCCGAAGTCGCGATTGGCCCTGCTGGAGAGCTTCATGGAGAGCTTTTCCCCATCGCGGTGTCATTCAGGAGAACGATCTGCAGTGGCGATGGATCAGGGCCATCTTGGCAGGACAATTGTCCAGCTTGTTGGAGGCGTAAGGGATACGATGCCTAGGAGTTGCCGCGATGGGCAATGATTGACTCGCCTGATGGAGCCAATGCAGGAACCATGAGATCGTCTATCAGTCCGCTTCTCGCCAAAATCAAGATGGTGGATGGATCAGGAGAGATGAGGGGATAGCAGTGTCCCCCATGACGTCGTCGTAACTCTTCACGTTGCACAAACGCAGCCACTGGTTAAATTTCCGAATCGTCAGGTTAAAACAATAATTTGCGAGTTTCCAATATGATACAAATGACTGATCAATTCAACTCTTGCGGTCGGAGAATTGCTTCGTCTGACCCTGAAACTCATCCAATATGCAAGCCATGCTCAAACCAGGGAAAATAGGAAAATATCAAAACCAACGCCATGATTCCACCCGCTGTGTCCATGCACAGGATACCCAAAACCCCAAAATGAGAAACAATAAACAGAAGACATGATGAATGAATGTGATGCAGATGGAGATAGCCCGGCTCAAAAATCCATAATGAAATTGACCAAGAAAAATGCAGATGGTATGTGTTCCTGGTATCGAACAAATGAACGAAATCAACAAATGACTCGTAGATTTAAAAGATGAAAGAGGGCCCAAATGCTGAAAACCCCGACGGCGCTGTACAAGAAATCGCTCAAAAGATGAAATGGAGAAAATATGATGACCACGATGGAATAGATCTGATGATACGTATTAAATCATGGCGAGTCTGTCGGCCACGAGGAAGTGGTGAGATGGAGACGAGAAGCCGTGGTGTCGTGGCAAACTAGAAAATGCTAAACCTTTTGAATTTGCTGCCTTTACCACACTGTCAGCTCAGTCTACGCAAGAAATTGCTCAGAACGAACATACCTGACTTGCGATTTTGTTTCTTCCCTTCACTTACAGCGCCCGCTGCAGCCATGACCGGGTTGGCACCATCCGCGGCTGCCTGGATCGCGGCAATTCGATGCATCGCTCTCGCATCGCCTTGATCGGCTGCTTTGACATACCACACATTGGCTTCCAGGGGATCACGGCGACAGCCAATGCCCATCTCGGTGAAGTATCCAACGGCGTACTGCGCCTTGGCCAGTTCTACAAAACTTCAATCAGTATCGACTCAAAATTGACCATCAGGGAACATACCAAGTTCTGCCGCACGCTTGGCCCATTCATATGCTTCACTCTCGTCCTTGTCCAGAATAGGTTCAGCACCTACCAAATACCACGCACACAGAGCCATCATGGCCAATGGGTGTCCCCGCTGTGCAGCGCCAGTGTAGAAATGAATGCTCAGTGCAGGGTCTCGCGGGCAATTCAGCTTGCCATGTTCGTACGCGTCTCCCAGGCGGTAACAGGCCTCGTCGTGTCCCAAATCGGCCGACTTAGTGAACAGCTGTGCTGCATAAGATGGATCGGGAAATACATCGTCACCATAGCCCGCCTCATGCAGCAAGCCTAGTTCGTACGGTGCCGAGTTGTACTGCATATCAGAGGATTCCGTTGCGCGCTTCATCCATTTCAAGCCTTCCCGGTAGCGCTTGCCCAGGCCCATGTCTCCTGAGAGACAGGCCTTGGCCATGCGCATCATGGCACCTGGATGGTTCTTGGATGCTGCTTGACGGTAGAATTGCACAGCTCTGGCAGCATCAACCCGGTTTCCCCAACCAAACTCATAGCAAAGAGCTGCTCTGTAGCACGCTTCGATATGTCCATGTTTGCTTGCCGCGACAAAGAGAGGAAATGCTCGATCATAGTCTTCTTTGCCCTTGCTGAATAGCCCCGAAGCATAGCCGTCACCCAGGTAGTACTGCGCGAAAGGATAGCTGCGATCGGCAAGGCGCTGGAGAATGGATCTAGCTTCTCTCAAAAGACCGGCTCGGGTGATCTCAGACTGATTCTCACTTGACGTACTCTTGCCTTTGTCAAGCTCATCAGCAGGCATCTCCAACATCGCATTGAGCATGAAGATCGCAAACTCGTACTGGACAGCGGGGTCATCTGTTTTCTTCACATTGGCCAGATACATGTCAAACGTCTGCTTATGGCTAAGCAAGGATGCGTTAGTTCCAACCGATGATCGAAGATGGGCATTGCCCAATTGGACCGGCGCGGGACCGGGCTGAGGATACGGGGCACTGAGGAGCTCGGCAAAGGACAGAGGGCGAGTATCGGGAGATGAGGTAGAATGTCTAGATGCCGAGCGAGCATGCAGACGCGGAGATGCCTGGGGCGAAAAGTTCCGCCCCTGACGACCAAGATCCGAGCCAGATGAATATGGAGAATGACCGGGTCTTCGTGGACTAAGATAAGGGCTGTAGCCGGAGGAATTATTAGCAGGCGTTGCTGCAGATACTGATAGGAAGCCCTCGGAGTTGCGGTAGGGCTGGTGATGGTACTGCAGAGGTTCGTAACCATCCGATCCGTGAGTTGTGCTATCTAGACTCCCACGAGAGGAGCTATTGTGACTGCCACTCTGTGCATCACGCTCGGATGATGAGTCCCTCTTCTTTCCAAGGCCTGATTCATCCTTCACTTGTGAATCGCCGACCGACCACGAGCCGCTGTTAGCAGGTGTATGTACATACGGGACGGAAACCCGGTGAGAGTCATTGCGCTGTGAAAACCCAGCATCGGAGGCTTGTTGAGGCGTCGGCGCTTGGTCTTCAAGCGACATGTGTGAAAAGGCAGATGTGGGAAGCGGTGGTATCTCATAATCGGAGGGACCATCGATCTTTGGCGGCGAAACGAGAGAATTGCCTACCACGGGAAGATTTCCTGACTGCGATGCAGAGGAAGGTAATGCCTTCCGTACAACGCCCAATCCCATGGGTCGTTTTGGATTTGATCGGGATTGTGAGACGGGCGGAGAGGATCTTAAGTAGACCGGAGGAGGAGATGAGAGAGAGTGGCGGTGTTCTCCTACTACCGGACCAGCCATCTTTCTCAAAAATAGTGTAAAACGAGTGTTATTGGGACTCTATCCTCCTGAGCCAAAATAGGTATCGCAAAGCGAGTGTCGGGTTATATGGTTGGCATGGAGAGTTTGTATGCGGTCATATGTGCGGAGTAGGAGGGAGAGGGCTGGGAGGTTGGAGGGGATCTGCGACTAATAACTGAGGCGCGTGGAAGGAACGGTATTAGGACGTCCACAGCGGTTGGCCAGTGATATCAGAGGAATTGAGGGGGTATCAAGGTGCTATCAGGTCGTGGAGAAGCTGAGCAGATCGATGGGTCGTTCGGATAGAGGGTCCACCACCTGTAGCAAACATTAGACGGCTTTTGTTCCTCCCGAGCTGCCTTGCAGACAGTGCATTCCATACCTGCGAGTGACCAAAATCATGAGAATGAAAGAAAGTAAGAAGAAAAAAAAAAAAAAAAAAACGAATGATGGATGCCTGGCAGATCCGATGAAGCCTCAATTGCCTGCTGGACAACAAGAGAGAATGGGCGAGAGGAGATTCGTCTGTGACAAAGATTTCCCCCACTTTTTTGCTGGTCCCTTCTTTTTCGTTCTTAGTTTTCAACCGATTGGGAGAAGATGGACGGAAAATCCTCGCTACTGTGGCAAATAGACGATGGTCAGCAGTGATATCATTTCTTTTTCTTTTGACGCTTTGCTTTTAGTTGGGAAATTCGAGAAGAATGGTCACATCGCACGAGGCTAGCTCGACGTACCACTGTTTCAGCTGAAGAAGGCAAACGAAGCGAAGGAAAGAGAAGGGGAAAAAAGAAAAGAAACGAGAAAAGACAGTCTTTCTCTGACGATTGAGGCAACTGAGGGGAAGACGAGGAGCAGAAGCGAAGGTGTTTCTTTTTCAACTGCCGTGGCTGAGACCGACGCCAGACAGACGATCGATGGACGCTTCTTGGCGGCCACGATTTGAATCTCAATCGACAGGTTCCAGCGCAGTCAGCTTAAAATAACACCGAGGATACGGAGCGTTATTACAGCCGACTGACTTTTCCCCATGCCTGCAATATTCGATAATGCATATCCGATGTTGTTCATCCCGGTCTATTGAATCTTCCTCCATCCGTGCGCTCGAAGCGGGCAGAATCCCGACTATCGCTAGGCTGGGCCAAGGGAAACAAAGAAACGGTGGCCACCCGCCATATTACGATGATGCTATTGGCACATATTCCGCTCTGATGCCTGTTGTCAACATGGAAATTCGAAGCGATGGTTATGACTAACAATAATACCATCGTACGGGGTTCTCCGGGTTGATATTTGGCATCATATCTCAAGCTACTATATCAAGTTATCCACCGCCCGTCGACTGCATCGCATTCTCCACCTCCAGCATACATACACATCACATATAATTCCAATTCCAATCCACCGGCACCTACAACGTGGCTGACCAGGATTGTTGGAAATGACCGGTCTGACGATTCATGCCCATTGCGAATCCTCACTTCGATTGAGCCTCACCGTATCGATTTTTCGTAACAATGAGATCTCCGGTTTAGATGCAGGTCCCGCTATCCATAAAGTTCACCAGCATGGACGGGGTACGATCTATCAGGGCGGCTGGATATGTTGATCAGTTTCTTTTTTAAATCAGGTCGCAACATCGGATGGAAGATATTAGGGCAGAAATGCATATTTTAGTTGTATGATCGCCAAATGAATTGTTCTCGGGGATCTCAGATCGTCGTTGCCGACTGTCTGCTTACGAGGACCAGCAGAATCAGGATGGATAATCCTGGATGGCAGATCTGCTTCCTTGCATATGCTTTTCGCATTACATCATCAGGCTGAGGATGTCGCCATTCTTGTAACAATGCAATTCGTTATCAGAATCCAGCTGTACCTTGTCCTGAAACTGGATTCCATCCGCATGGCCAAACGCAATGCTCTATACTGTACATGATATGTAGGTGTGATACAGAAGAGACGCGCGTGGAATTGCCAACTAACCGTGTTTCTTTTTATTCCTGGCCCTGGATCTACATCTGCCTGATAAAATTAGCAATTTTTTTTGCCTCTTCTTATTTTTTCTTAATTCCCATCGACTTGGAGTGAGCTTGCCTTACCCCATAGTATAGTGAGACTGTCAGCATATATGCACAGTATACCTGAAGTGTGGCGTAGTTACAATGTGGTTTCCCCTCTTTTGGTGGACTGAAAATAGAACAGAGGAATTTAGCTTTGTCGAGATGCATGCATGCTGTATGGAGCTCTTCTAGGCCACCATAATCGTATCTCGGAAGTTCCTGGGTCATAATATTTAGAGCCTCATATTACTCTGCCAGCACCTACTCTGTATGCTCTTTAATATGTAATACTGTTATTGATGATATTATCCCATTTACTGTATCTGCATGATATCCCCTCGTGGATGAATAGACTCTGTAGCTTAACGTTGAGATCTTTTTGGAGGGGCGCAAATCATGGATCAAAAAATGGAACAGCGACAATGCCTAAATTATCTAATTGGCCATGTTTCCCCACAACCACACCAAACAGTGCTAGTGGCTGTCATGTCCCGGGTGGGCTGGCCAATTATAAATTACGTGACTGTAACCTTCCAGGATCGAATCAACCCGTGGGCTCCACCAGCTGCTGCTGATTGGTGGAAAGCCCGGTCTTTTGCTCGGCCGGGCAGACCAATTGCCCCTAGCGACGCACATGGCCGCGATGATGGTATTGTTTGTGTATGGCATGATTTGATACAGCGTTGGCCACCGGCTCGATTCTTCTGTGACACTCCAGAGGCAAAGCAGCAGAGGTAGCATCGCTCTGGCATAGCACTAGCTGGCGAATATCCATTCCTGCTGATTTATTTCATACAGACAAAGGCAGCTTTTTTAGCTCAGTTGCAAACCCCGTGATGCCTCTGTTTTAGGCAAGGGACTGGCCATTCTTCCATAGAGTATCGCAGCTTATCTCCACACAAACATCATTCGACTCTGTTGTCCCGCAGCTTTTTCTCCCCTCAGATCCCATCCCATCGCGGATTTTCTTCATCTGTTTCCTGTTGCTCTCTGGGTTTCTGCGCTGGTCGGGGATAATCATTTGTGAAGCCGCTTTGCTTGCTTTAGGCTGTCTCAGAGGGCTCTCTAGTCCAATCACTGAATCACTTCGCTGTTCTCCTCCAGCTGATCCTCAGCGCCGACCATCGTTTACGACAAATATTCTGCGAGTTGCAACCGCGCGACTGTCGTTTCGGTTATTTGAAATTATAGCGCCCCTGTATATTCTATCGTTATCGGAAGACTCGATCGCATAGGCCGGGGTTGGAGAGGGTTTGTTTCACCTGGAACAGAGAAATTTACGTCGCATCGATCGATCAGATCACTCGGATTCCGACTTACGACTTTTACGCTGTTTACGAATTACCTGATTTATTGATTATTCTTTCTTTCACGAAATTCTCCTGCCATTCATGGTTGCATTGTTTTAATTGTGAGTGTACATGTTTCACATCTCCGCGCCATCGACACTAACATTGTCTCTTTGGTATCGGGTAGCAGCGTCATGTCTTTGCCGCAGAGGCCGGGGAAAATATCCCCGCGGCGCGATGAAGAGCGCACGGTCTTTCGAGAGCCTTCTCGGCGACGACGTCGAGATAGCGATACGGGAGGGTACAGCGACGACCCTTTGAGTCCGTCGTCGGGCCATCGACACCGCCGTCATCATCATGGCCATCATCATTCGCACAGTTCACGCCGGAATCGAGATCCAGATGAAGAGAGACAACTGCCGGAGGGGGAGTTGAGGCGCAAAAGGAGTTTGGTGAAACCGGAGCGCAGTCGCATCGATCGCGACCATCCGAATTACCACTACAGAAAACGAGCCCAGAATATGCCCACGTACCCTTCGACGACCGGGAATGAGCCGATCACTGAACCACTCACTGAAGCGGAAAACGAAACCGACACAAACGGGCCCAGGAGCGCGGAAGTGAGAACAAAGGACGTATTGTCGAGCGAACCAGGAAATATCAACAAACCCATGGAGCGGCTGCCGAATCGTCGTCGTTCGAAGAAAAGAAGATCATCCCGGAAGATTTCCAAAGCAGACGCGGAAGAGAGGAGGCGAAGAAAGGCTATGGAACAAGTTCGTCCACCCAGTCCGTGGAGCGCATACTGCGCTGTGATTACTTTTTGGGCCCCGGATTTTGTCTTAAGGTGCTTCGGAATGCCGCAGAAAGAGCAGCGCAGCGCGTGGCGTGAGAAAATGGGCCTCATCAGTGTCATTCTACTTATCGCAGCGTTCGTCGGATTCCTCACCTTCGGTTTCACAGCAGCAGTATGTGGGACACCACCGGTTCGGCTTAAGGTCAACCAGGTTAGTAGCAACTACATGATTTTCCATGGGAAGACCTACGACCTAACCAAGTGGACACACCCGGCCGCTGCGGGTATTCCCGCCGATTCCAACGTATTATATGATCTATCGACAAAGTATGGAGGGGAGGATGGCAGTTTTCTCTTTCAAAAGGTCAACGGGGCTTGCAAGAACCTCATCACTCTCGCCGATGGATCCGACGTGCCTTCAAACTCCAATGGAGATTTGGGCTGGTATTTTCCTTGCAATACATTTAAACAAGATGGATCTTCGGATCCAAATATGACCATGCCATTCTACCCTGGCTGGGGTTGTCACACATCTGGAACAGCTCGAAAAGATTTCTATGCCTTACCAAGCTCTGGAGATGTGTACTATACATGGGATGATACCAAAAACAAGAGCAGGAACCTGGCGGTTTACTCCGGAGATGTTCTGGATCTTGACCTTCTGCGTTGGTTCAACACTTCGCAGGTCCAATATCCTGCCAAGTTTGATGAAATTCGCCAAAACCCCAACGTGCGTGGTGTCGACTTGACTTATTACTTTCAGAGCGGCGAAGAAAAGAAGATTGGCAAGTGCCTGTCGCAGATCATCAAAGTTGGCAGTATTGATACCGATACCGTTGGGTGTATTGCGTCCAAGGTCGTTCTTTACGTGTCTTTGATTTTCATCTTGTCCATTGTCATCGTCAAATTTGCCTTCGCTTTGCTGTTCCAGTGGTTCTTGGCCCCTCGTTTTGCTGCGCAGAAGACGAGCATGGGTACGGACTCCAAGTCCCGAAACCAGCAAATCGAGGATTGGTCGAATGATATTTACCGACCTGGTCCTCGTCTTGCGGATCCTTTGTCGGATCGAATGAGCAAGCGGGCTAGTTTCCTGCCTACCACTTCTCGGTTCTCCAGCCCTTATACTGTCAGTGCTGGTGGTAAGCAACGACCTCAATATGTTACGATGGCGAGTCAGAACTCTACTTCTCGACTTGTTCCAGGTGGTGCAACTGGCTCTATATACAAGCAAAGCCAAAACAGCAGTGGTGGAACATTGAGTGCAGAGCAGTCCCGCCAAAACCCTGGTGCTAGCAGGACAAGTCTGTTACCCCCGGGGCAAGACTCTCATTACTCAAACGCCGTAACAAACTCAGATGGAATTGGACCAGCTGGATTTATTCACGAATCAGTCGTTCCTCAACCACCGCCCGAATGGCAACCGTACGGGTATCCCTTAGCTCATGCTCTGTGTTTGGTGACATGCTACTCCGAGGGCGAAGATGGTATCCGCACCACATTGGATTCTATTGCCATGACCGATTATCCGAACAGCCACAAGACTATTGTCGTTATCTGCGACGGTATGATCAAGGGAAAAGGAGAAGCATTTTCCACTCCGGAGATTGTTTTGGGCATGATGCGCGACCACGTTGTTGCCCCCAAAGATGTTGAGGCATTCTCTTATGTCGCCGTAGCTATAGGTTCCAAGCGACACAACATGGCCAAGGTCTATGCTGGATTTTATGACTATGGCGAAACATCGATTATTCCACCAGAGAAGCAGCAACGTGTCCCGATGATGATTGTTGTCAAGTCCGGCACTCCTGCGGAGTCAACCCAGGCTAAGCCGGGAAATCGGGGCAAAAGAGACAGTCAGATTATCCTGATGTCCTTTTTGCAGAAGGTCATGTTTGATGAGCGAATGACGGAGCTGGAGTTTGAAATGTTCAATGGCCTCTGGAACGTGACTGGCATTCCGCCAGATTTCTACGAAGTTGTCCTAATGGTTGATGCGGACACCAAAGTCTTCCCTGACAGTTTGACCCATATGATATCCGCGATGGTCAAAGACCCTGAGGTCATGGGATTGTGTGGTGAGACCAAGATCGCAAACAAAACCCAGAGCTGGGTGACTATGATCCAGGTTTTTGAGTACGTTTCCTATATGCTGATTAGATATTTAATCATTTGCTAACTATACTCTAGATACTTTATTTCTCACCATCAGTCCAAGTCGTTCGAGTCGGTCTTTGGTGGTGTAACCTGTCTACCCGGATGCTTCTCCATGTACCGGATCAAGGCTCCAAAAGGAGGCCAGAACTATTGGGTTCCCATCCTGGCCAATCCGGATATAGTGGAACACTATTCAGAGAATGTGGTGGACACCCTCCACAAGAAGAACTTGCTTCTTCTAGGTGAAGACCGATACTTATCCACTCTGATGCTACGAACCTTCCCCAAGCGCTCGCAGATCTTTGTACCCCAGGCCGTCTGCAAAACGGTGGTACCAGATCAGTTCATGGTTCTTCTGTCTCAGCGACGTCGCTGGATCAACAGTACCGTCCATAACTTGTTCGAACTGGTCCTAGTCCGAGACCTGTGCGGAACATTCTGCTTCAGCATGCAGTTTGTGATCTTCATCGAGCTTGTCGGTACTCTGGTTCTCCCAGCTGCTATTGCGTTTACATTCTACGTTGTCATCTCTTCCATCGTTAAGAAACCAGTACAAGTTATTCCGCTGGTTCTTCTGGCGCTGATTCTCGGTCTTCCTGGTGTTCTGATCATTGTGACTGCGCACCGGTTGGTGTATGTGCTTTGGATGCTCATATATCTCATATCGCTGCCAATTTGGAACTTTGTTCTCCCCACCTACTCGTACTGGAAGTTTGACGATTTCAGTTGGGGAGACACGCGCCAGACCGACGGGGCGAAGGATAAGGGGCATGAGGCCGGTGAAGGAGAATTCGACAGCAGCCAAATCACGATGAAGAGATGGCGCGATTTTGAAAGAGGTATTTGCTCACTCTCTCAGCATGAGGAAACCCGCTAACTCTGTATATTAGATCGACGTCTGAAGAACCAGGCCGGATGGACAAAAGCTCCTCCAATGGCTGGATATCCGCCTTACGATCCACATTCGGACTACTGACATGCGTCATTCTGAACGATTATTAATGAGTATGATGTGCTTTATTGTATCATGTCGCACACCTTTCTTAGCAGGCGTTTGAAAAAATTATAGTATAGCAGTGTCGACTAACAGGAGTCTTTTGGGGTACTTATGCGATCTTCTGTTTCTTTACGCCCTCCACACGAATGACGCTTCGCTTTTTATGTGTGATAATATTTCTTGTGTACCTAAGATGTTGGGGGGATTTTTGTCAGGCTATCATGTATGTACAGCGACGATTATAGCGAGAGCGACTGCTCCACGCCTAATGCGGCAATGAATTCGGAATGAATTCGGAATGTGCTGTTCAAGGTGACACAAGATCTATCAGTCTAAGATATACATCACATCTGTTATATCAGTTAATTATCCCCAATTAGCCATTCCAAATCCCGGCCTGCTGTGCTGCGACCCTTGCCACAGATCAACGTGGCTGCTGGTCATGAGACGGGAAAGATCTGCATTTGACATGTTATGCTTCACATTGCCATCTTCGGCTGCCTACGGAGTCCGGAGTACAGCGAGTTTTGTTTTAATAATGTGTTTCTTCGTGGCTGATATTGAAGCTAATCGCGTGGTGGTCTCTCTGCTGCTTTGGCCTCTCCTCGGTCTTTTCTTGGCTGCTTCTGACTAAGAAAGCCTCATATCTTCAACCTCATTTCTCCCTTTTCCTCATCCACCTCTCGTCTCCGTCCGTTATTTCGTTTCTTTTTGTCTCTTTTGTTCTTTTCCTTCGATCCTGTCATCGTCTTATTATCCCACGTCAAATTCCTGCGCTGGTTGCCTGGCGATCTCCACTTCATGTGACGGTCGAGAATAACTCTCGCCTGTCCCGATTGGTCGTCTTGCATCTCTGCTGGATCATATTCCATTCCGTTTCTCTGCCATTCTCTCTCTCCCTCCCTCCTCTCCGTTTCTCTCGTCTCTTTCTCTTCTTTGTCTTCTTCCTCGACCTCCTATCCAGCTTCGTCATCTGGCCCGAACGCTGCGACCACCGGACATGCACGATCCCATGTCCCGGAGGCTGACCATGCAAAACTGCGCTTCCCTGCGCCCACGAGTTGAACGGAACTGATCCGATCCGCAGCGTCATCGTCATCTCTCCACGAGCAAAGACACCTCTTTGATTAACCGCCACGAGGCTGTCAGTAATAATATTCCATTTTATTTACGCATACACACCTCTAGACTTACCGCTTATTATTATTTGGGATCCGACTTGCGACAGCCCCGCGCGGTTTGCGTGTTCTCTGTACAACAACACCACGCTTCTCTATCATTTTATTTCTATTTCCATCATCCCCGCTCACACCCCTCCCCCCATCTTGCATCCCGCGCAGAGTCGTCTTATTCGCCCTTGCGCTTCATTATCACGCAACATAGACTCCCCTCTACATATTTCGCCTTCTCGGCCAGTCCATTTTTGTTCGGACCGACTTTGCAGCGTCAGAACAGAGTATTTGCCTCAGTGGGGGTGGTAGGAAGTCCAACTGCGGGGTGGAATTTGACAGTTGCAGGGGGGGTCTATTGTCCACGATCTCTATCTGTTTGAATCCCCGATCGATTTCGAGGGCAACGTGGTGATCCGATTCTCGGTTTGTGCAACGGCCGCTTGATTTGCCAATCAGGCTTGTTTGTCGGAGAGGGGGAAATCGACTTGTGTTTCTGTCAACCGGGATTTCAGCATTCGGCTCGTTTTCTACTCCAGCCTTTCTTTTTCTTCTTGAACTTTCTTTTTTCTCAACTATTCCTATCTGATATCGTCAGCCGCATTCCATGACAGGGATGCCTGGACAGGGTAACTCTGGCCCATCTGCGTATCCTCGGGATCGCAATGATAGGACGTCAAATGCAGTGTGCGATATTCCAGGATCATCCCAGCCTCGGTATTCGAATGATTTGTCCGGTCAGACTCACGATTCAGCACACGATACATGGCCGGATGAGATAGATAGTTATGTTGCCCCTGGTGCCCCGGGATCGTCATCGATTTCAGTGCCCCCGGGTGTCAGCATGGTCGCAGAGGAAGGCATGGACCCAAACGAGAGCGTCTCCGCATTCACCGCAGTATCGCACTACCCGAATGTGGTCAACACCGATTCAAACCCCATAGCAGTTTCGCAAGTCGTCAATGCAGTTTTTGAACGAGAGCACTTCTTTCGACATGGAAACGTACACAGTTCGGGGACTGCGGAACTCCATCGTTCGTCCTCCCCACCGGCAGATCTGTATATATCCGATTCAGAAATGACCGATGCCCTGGCAGACATTGGAGGAGTGTCTCTTGGAACATATGCGACTAGCGGTGGCCCTGATCTTGACAACATCTATCAGCAAATAGTCAGCAACCATGCAACGGGCAACAACATCTCGACCATCCCCGAGGATAGCGAAATTGGCGACGGAGGTAACCTGATTACGGATTATGAGCCATCCATCAGTGCGGAGCGCTCGACACCTGTATCTGTACGAGATGATGATCCCGACGACACGCGGAAATTCTACCAGGATAATGAGGCCGACCGTAGACATGAGGAGGATTACATCGAACTCGATTATCGGGATCACCACGAGGGGATGGGTCGTCTGTCCGATGTGGACATTGATGATTTCTACCAACAAAATTCCGACTACGATTCGTTCTCGCAGTCAACCGATATCCCCTTTCCACCCGGTCACGATGTTCATGGGAATTACTTCTCGGATAGCGAGGATCCGGCTGCAGATTTTGAAGCTGAGGCACATTTTCCTTCGTCTGTTGTGCATGGGACCAGTATGTTATTCAATGCTCTTTACGGTTTGGGGATATGTTGAAGTATGATGGCTGACTGATTTTGATAGCCTACGAAAGGAACCTCACCATCGACCAGTTCATTAACCAATGGCTTGTTCAATCGAGTGCAGCTCCTGTACCGAATCTTCTTCCCGTGCGAACGCCGTTTCCGCCACATCCCATAGCGAGCATCCTAGGCTGGACACCACCAGAGAAGGTCGTTCGGCCTAGCCGAGTCCCGGGGGACTTCTTCGATGTTCAACAAATTCCCTGGTGGGAGACATTGCGAGTCAAGCGATCCGATGCCCGTGCACTGCGAGATCATTGGTACACATCGTACCACAACCTAGAATATTTGCATCAGCGGACGGCGAAACTGCCTCTAGAGGAGTTCTACTTCCGGGAGAAGTCCATGCACACCAAACACAAGGCGACAATCAAGCATTTCCAGCTTCGGAATTTGATGTCCGTCGTCTCGTACAATACCGTTCACTTCGCTCACGAGTCCAAGTTGCTGTCGTGGGCCCCTGGTTATGATGACTTGAACTGCCTGGTGGATTTGACGAGACCGGCCGTTGAAACTGGTTTCCAGGGTCCGGTGAAATTCACCACCATGAAATCCGCTCATGACGTGTCCATTGCTGGTGGATTCTGTGGTGAATATGCATTGCGACCATTTGGTACAGAAGGAGAAGGCGTGCAAGGGCTTGTCACGAACAATCCTAATGGGATCACCAACCACCTTGACATAATCCAACATCGAACAAACCGAACACCCATGGGAATCTTTGCGTCGAATGATCGACATCTGCGGGTTTTGGACTGTGAAACCAACACCTTTGTGACAGATCACGAACTGTCTCGCGCCATTAACTGCACGTCGACCTCGTCGGACGGACGTCTACGCGTCGTCATTGGCGATTCTGCAGACGCATGGGTCATCGAGGCAGACACCGGCCGACCAGTTCATCCGCTCCGGGGTCACCGCGATTTCGGGTTTGCCTGCGCATGGTCTCCGGACATGCGACATATCGCAACGAGCAACCAGGACAAAAAAGTGATCATCTGGGACGCTCGTATGTGGCGCATGCTCGAGAAAATCGAATCCGATGTGGCAGGATATCGGTCGCTACGGTTCTCGCCGGTCGGAGGTGGTCCACGAACGCTGCTATGCTGTGAGCCGGCAGATCGGATTTCAATCATCAACGCGCAAACGTTCCAGAGTCGACAGGTGCACGACTTCTTTGGTGAGATTGGCGGAGCAGATTATTCACCAGACGGCAGTGCGATCTGGGTAGCCAACACGGACCAACATTTTGGTGGGTTCATGGAATTTGAACGACGACAGTGGGGGCAGCGCTTCAAGCAGCGAGGACTGCCGAACGAATGGGCTCGAGAGTCCGAATTGGACGACGATGAGCGATGTGTGTTGAACGAGCGAGAACGGCAGATGAGATTCTGGTGGAACATGAGCGATGAAGAGCATGAGGAATTGATGCTGTAGTTGAATTATTATATTCCATTTTACCTTTGAGTAGATGGATTTTTTGTATGTACATAGGGCCAGGCGTCTACGGAAATTTGTTTCGGGTTGCATATTGATTGACTTGATATGGCCGGTGGCGATGATTGACGCGAGCATTTCACAGCGACATGATATCCATTTGTTGAATCGACTCGAGTTATTTTTTGTTTTTTTCAGCTGCTGTTCAGCTCGCCTCTCGCTTTCAGCTCAGCTGAGGGATCTTCACCCACCTTGACGACACACAGCACCGTATTTATCCACCGTGGCGGTGATGCGCCCACTTGAGCCCCGCCAGATCTGCTGCGATCTCACCAATCGCAACGGCACGCCTCGTGGAAGCCACGCTGCCCCTCCTCTAGGCGTAAATAAATACCTCCCACCCCTTCTCCTGCCCTGAACACTCCATCTCCCACATTTCTACATTTCTACATTTCTATTACATCTTCATCCCATCCTCCCCAAAATGGCCTCCAACGACTACTACAACCAAGGCAACTCCTACGGCGGAGGCCACGGCCACTCCTACGGCGACGACGACTTCTCCTCCGCCGCCCACCACGCCCAGGCCCACCACGAGTCCTCCGAAGACAGCTCCCTCTTCTCCTCCGCCATCTCGTTCATCAAAGACCGCCAGAGCCAGGGCTCGCATCATGAGGAGATCGACGAGAACGAAGTCTTGAGCTCGCACCAGTCGCTGTACAACAACGAGGACGACGGCCGCTCCCACGACTCCAAGTCGCTGGGTTCCGGCGCTGCTTTGCAGGCTCTGAAGATGTTCACTGGCGGTGGTGGTAGCAGTGGTGGTAGCGGTGGTATGGACAAGAATGAGTTGATTGGTTTGGCCATGTCGCAGGCTGGCAAATTGTGGGAGCAGAAGCAGAGCAGCGGTGGTAATGTGGTATGTTCTTTTCCCCTTTCCTTCTATTATATACTTGTTTTTTGTTTTGTTTTGATAGATGTGTGCTAATGATAAGGTACAGAGCGGTGACAAGCAATCCGCTATCAACAATGCCGCTGAGATGGCCATGAAGATGTACATGAAGAGCCAGGGTGGTGGTATTGGCGGCACTGGTGGCCCTGGAGGTGGTGCTTCTGGCTTGTTGAGCTTGGCCAGCAAGTTCTTGTAATCGGTTGAATCCTTTATTCGATTCTTGGACATACTTTCTTGTCTGTTTATAGCTTGTTGATATGAGAAATGGATGCAACTTATTCTATGTATTCAACCATTCAATCTACCTACACCAACTCAACATATATGTATGCACTGACATCCGTCAATGACACCGGGTATGCAAGCGCCAAACAAATGTACGGTCCGCTCCTGCTGGTATCAAAAGTTCAGACCATTTTTCAAACAGCAAAAAAAGAACAGAATGAAGAAAAGAATAAACACTCTATGATTATAAAACGAAAAAAGAATAGAATAGAAATCACCACTCGTCGTCGTCATCGTGCTTCCCCTGCATCGCCATTTGGCGTGCCTTCAGTGCCTCTGCAAGTCCACCAGCTAGACTTGCGTTCGATGAACTGTTTGGTGTGCCCCGTCCACTGCCACCAGGCGAGTCCTGCGAGTTCATGCTCACTGCACTGTCACGAGGGGCTGGCGGAGGGGCTGGCTTCCGACCTGCCATGTTAGGTCTCTTGGCTGGTGGTGCCGGCGGGGCCGGTTTGGCCTTGGCTGCCGCTGCAGCCACTGCTCCATTTGGCACCGGGCTAGGTGTCGATCGAGGGGCAGCCGGTGGTGGAGGTGGCGGTGCGGGCTTGGGTGTAGGAGCGACTTGTTCTTCGAGGTATGCTTCGGGCGTCCAGCCCTGAATCGAGCTTGTTGGGTTCATGCACAACCACCACCCTAGCGTCGGTTAGCAAATGTGTAAGAAAATCGTAGGCTCATGACACATACCATTTCCTTCCTTGGACATAATCTGCACGATATCACCCGCTCGGATGGACAGCTCGTTCGAGCGGTCACTGTTAAAGTCGTACAAGACCTTGGCGGTCGCTTTCTTGGGCGCCGGAGGACTTGCCGGGGGTGGCGGCGGTGGCGCCCTCATGGAGCCCGACGAAACGTTCCGTGAGTGGGAGGCAGCAGCAGAAGCAACAGGCTGGGGAACAGGCTGGGGGACCGGCCTGCGCTGTGCCGCCGGCTGGGGTGCCGGCGGTGGTTGCATGGCAGCGGGTTGTGGTGTTGACGTTGGCAGAGGTCGAGCCGCAGGAGCCGGCCTAGATGCCAGCTTCGAGGGTCCGCCTCCAGGGCCACCAGGACGAAGCAGCTTTCCTTTAGTGACGGGTCTGGCAGTGACTTGCTTCCCCTTCGGAGTGGGCTTCGAGACCGACGTGGCAGGCTCGCCAGCTCCAGTGTGAATTGTACCACTCTTGTAGGAATCGTCTCGTGGAACAGCCGGATCCTTGACAACCTTGACTGTAGCCAGCTTGCCTGGCTTTTTGTTGTATTCGATGCTAGTAATTGTCAGCTTTGAACAAATTCAACCTGATAAGGAAGCATACTGGTCTGCTATCTTCAAATTCAACCCGCGCAAGGCAGTGCTGAGATGAGTGAAGAACTCCGTCTTGAAAATACAGGAGATGAGAGGATCCGGCTCCTGGGGACTGCCAACCAGGAGTGAGAACCAGTCATCCTTCAAGTTGGATGTGCTGACGGATTTGATCGCTCCAATGGGGATTGTTCGCTCGGACGCGATGACCAACTGGTTGTTGACAAGGGTTTGTGCCACGATGTACACATGTCGATTCGTCTAAATTCTGTTAGCGGGTAACAATCAATTGAGAACCACCTTACTTACCAAGACAATCATCCGAGGAGATGGCTTGCTGGATCGGCCAAATTTGGAAATCAAAACATCGCCACGGCAAGAAAAAAGAACATCCTCAGATCCTATTGAAATTGAGGGTCAGGTTTGGATTCAACAAGAAGACAACAGAAAACTTACCATTGATGCCTGCACCGTTTCGGATCATTTCTCCAGGGCCGCCCTTGTTGCCAATGCCGAGATAGTCTCCAAGGAACCGACGAGATCCAAGCAAACTCATTCTGCGACGCTCCTTGCGGCCCTGTAGCAACTTATGACCTTGGTCTCGCACCTTGATCAATTCAATTCCACCAGTGGCACGGCGCCAGAAACGCTGGATGCGAATGGCACATTCTGTGCGGTAGCGGAGATAGTTTCGCCACGCTCGCTGGATTCGGATGGCCATGTTGTGCCAGTAACGATCGCGCATGGCCTCGAGGGCGAAAAGCGTCTCAGGTGTCTTGACGAAGACCTTCGAAATACCCATCTGGTACTCTTCCGTAGGGATGCTGGTGTCCTTCAAAATCTGGCGGGCTCCAGTCTCAGCGTCTCCTGTCCATGTATAGTCACCGGCATAGGAGGTCTTCGGCGACAAAAGGTAGAAACGCTCCACGAATTTGTCAAAGGTCTGACGGTAGGCAAAACCGGCACGACGAATGCGGACGTTCTCCTGGAGACCCAGATATTTGATCTGGTGCAGGACGTTTCCAACGTTGTACTCCTTGGGCGCCTTGTTGTCGTTGGGCTTGATGGTTCTGATGTACGATGGCTGTGCCTTCATCAAAGTGGCTACCAAATCATTCGCAGAGGCCTTGATCTTATCACCGGCAGTGGGTGGGCGTCTCTTGTCATCCTGGTTCACCTGGTTGGGGAAAAGCGTGTGGACAAATGGATTGGCACTAGATCCGGCAAGGTTCAACAAGTCTTTCAACAATTGATCCTTGTTCTTGTCTGTCATTCCTTCAACTGCGTAGCTGACGTCACCAGCATAGTGCTTGACAATGAACTGGCCCTGGCGGCTTTCGAAATTGGGGTTCTGGCCAAGGAAATTGAGTCTGCCAACAAAGGTGTTGTCTGCCGCACCAGAATCGGCGTGTGCAGTTGCACAGGCATCATTCAGGGCCGCAAACACACCAGGCGGGCGCTTGTCTTCAATCAATGAGCACACCACCTTGTTGTCGAAATACTTGATCGGAGTCCATTGAATCTGCTCGCGGGCGTATTCATCTTGCTCGGCCTTCAAAGTCAACTGGATGAAAATCTGCTGCAGCTTCTCGTTGACATAGTTAATACAAAGCTGCTCAAACGAGTTCTTTTCAAAAATCTCAAACCCGTAGATATCCAGAATTCCGATATTGTTTGTGGCAGCGCTCCTAGCAGTCAAAGAGGAATTGACGCGCTCCACAATCCAGTCGAAAAGGTTGAAATAAATTGCCTTGGACAACGCATCGCGGACAGCAACCGCTTGAGTCGTGTTCAGCGGAACTTCGTAGACAGATCCTCTGCGGCCCCCACGAGCGGTCTCCATTATACGGATGGTCATGGCTTGGTTGACTTGGGCGGGATCAACCTCAAGCAAATAGGCCACAAAATCAACGACCGACTGGTCTTTGATAGCGGCGTTACCGGAGTCATCCTCCTCGAAAACAATGTTTCCTATCCACAGAATAGCAGCCAGCATTCGGAAAACATCGTCTTGCTCTGGCTCCGTCATCCCGATAACGTTCATCGCATTGAGGGTATCATTGAACTCGGCAGCATCATCGACGCCCGGTACATCGAAACATTTCGATCGGCTAGTGTAGACGTACGATTGAGGTTGTTGCAAACCGAACATATCTTAAAGGCATGAGCCAGGAACCTGAACAACATAAAATGGGGCCGTCCTTACCTCTATACTTCTGCGGCGCTGCTTTTGCGAACTGGTAGAAGATATGGAAGTTCCGCTCGTTGGTAATCTGCCCCACAACTCTAGACTTCTCAAGAAGGTAGTTGGTGATGTGAGCACCCACGGGCTCGCCGTTGGCATTGAACTCCAATTCCAGGTATTTTCCGAATCGCGAGGAGTTGTTGTTTCGCAGGGTCTTTGCGTTTCCGAATGACTCGAGCAACGGGTTGGTAGCCAGAACCATGTCCTTGGTATGTTGAATAGATGAATCACTGCCCCCTGAGACACTAGCAATGTATTGCATAATACGCTTTGCAGCCTCGGTTTTTCCAGCACCTGATTCTCCCGAAATGATCACACACTGGTTGTCTTTGTAGGATTTCATGTTATAGTAGGCGGACTCTGCCACCGCGAAGACATGGGGGGGGACTTCGAGTCGATTCTTTCCACGGTATGATTCGAGGACCTGGTCGGTGTAGATGCCCACTAGAAAGACAAGAAAGTCAGCAAACACATAGTGAAATCCACCACTGATGAATCAACTTACAATCTTGAAACGGGTTGACAGACACCAAGACATGCCCGATGTAAGTCTATCATGAGAAAAGTTAGTCCTTGCGTCCTTGCCCGCGCAGAACCCCGCAAGCTCCTTGAGGGGTGATGCCTTACGTAGATCTCGCCATGTTCGAATCGAAGTTTCAGGTTATCGTTAATAGCCTCATTGGAGATTTTACTGAGTAGGGTCAAGTCTGAAACACCAATCTCCTTCTTCTTTGTGCTTTCGAAAACAGCCTTCTTGACTTGGGGCTTTCCCCCCGCTCGTCGCCCATCGCCCACATCCGCATCTGCCTTGGAGCGACCGAAGCGACTCTTCTTCTCCCCGCCTCCATGACGTCGTGATTGTACCTAAATAATAATCGCATATTAGAATAACCCGTTCTAAACAGATGCTCTCTGTAGCGATATTGTGCGGGCAAACTCACCATATTTTTGTCTGTGCCGACTTCCCCGGATCTCGCGCCCAGGCGTCAGGGAATCTGGCCTATCAGAGGGTGGTGTAAGGAGTTATTTAGGAAATCAATGTGAGAGTTGAAGTTCTCATTCCAAGGGCTGTAGCATCCAGCCGAGAACAATTCAGTAAAAGAGGGAACCACCGGTAGGAAAGAGAAGAGAGAGTGAGATAGTAGTTGTTGTCATCGAGGAAGAGGAATGAAGACAGGTACCCTCTCTCTCCTGTACTGTGACATCCGGCCACTAGGCGGCTCTGCGCCACAGCCCACGAGTGGCACCCGTTGCGATCTCCAGGAAAACGCGCAATCAACCGTAGTTCGACCCCCGATTTAATTTGCCTGTTGCAATTTCGGGGGCAAATTCTTCCCACGACTGGTCCCTGGCACTAGCAGAAGAGAGAGCGCATTTGGGCAACAATGCATTGATTATTCAGGCTCGTGGCTGGTGCGTCTCGAATTGCGTCGTAAGAATTCAGGGACGACGTCATTTGGCAGAAACTACTTTTTTTTTATCTTGCTTCTGGCCAGGCAGCACCATTGGACGTGGAGATTTGGCCATAGAGTATTGCTTTTTTCCAAGCATTCGTATGGCCTTCTATTGCATATTTTCATAGTTGCTGATCGTTGGGTCGAGTTTATTCATCTTGAACGTCATTCTAAATATATATTTTTAGCGTGCGTGATGTCTACAAACCACATCATCCACAATCACTTGGCCATATACTAATCCCCTACTCACACACCCCATCGTCCTCCCAGAAACCCACAATTTCGCCCATGATTCTATCCCCAAAGTAATCCTGTAGAACAGCTCGCCCCTCCTGTGTTCGAACAGCCTGACTCATAGCCCCTAGCGATGGAAACAAATCACTCAGCACATTGGTATCGTGCTCAGAAAGTCCACGAGAACCCCCAAATTTTGTTGTCTGGGACAGCAGAGAAACGGAATCAGATAACGTTGGGTTCAGCGATGGGAGTTCGATGATATTGACCATGTAGCTTTCAATGCAGCATAGGAAGCGGGTTGAGTCTGGAACGGGGATTATAGCAATTGGGGTCTTGAGGGATTCGACAATCCTGAAAAAGTCATCGGCCATGCGTTAGTTTCCATGATGATAAAGAAACGAAATGAGGGTTTGTGGATGATAATTAGGAGGAGGTTCTCATACAACACCTGTAGAGTCAACAGCCCGTCCAGTTTACATTTGCCACTCGCACTGCTGAAAGGTTCCTCAGAAAGAAGAAAGACAACAGCGTTGCGTTGAGGGTCTGAAGAGATGGACTTGGAGAACTGCTTCAATCGAGAGATAGTTTCCTGTTCGTTGCGGCTTTCGAGGCATGATGGTGTCAGAAGGAGGACATGTAGATACTGCGAATTCGAGACAAGATGGAAATCGACATCATGACCAGGAAGTTCGCTTTCTATTGGATGAAAGTTAGTAGTGCCATGACGGACGGATGATCGATGGTCAACCTTGAAGCTTCGTTGTCGATGTGAGAATTTGCCCCAGGACTTTCCATACAGAACGATTTCGAAGCGAAGAGGAAAAGGTCCCATGGACCAGGGAAGTATCAACAGACATTTGATTCAGTTTTCAGTTATAGACATGAAAGTTTGTAAGTGCAGTATATATACAGACAGGTTTGTGATATTTTCGATGGATGAAAGTGAGGGGAGAAAGGTTAAGGTCATATCAGGCAACATGTCGCTCTTTGGCACTCCTAACAGACCACCACGCAGCATCTATGCACTGATCAGAACATGTCCAATCGTTCTTCAATAACAGAGAAGGGTATCCCAATAAAAACAACAAAAAAACAACCAAAGAAAATAGAGCGCTCCGAACAATTTCTATCTCGAATATCTGCTTGAAGATGAAAAGCCAAAGAATTAACCTCCATTAGGAGCTTTTCGAGTCCGAGGGACTCTTGCCCTGGCTGACAGGAGGTGAAGCCTGCTGAGGCAATTGAGCATCAGTTGCAGGATTTGGGTCAGTTGCAGGTTGATTCTCCTTGACGGCCTCAGATGGTTTCTCCGTGCTCTCCCCAAAGGAGAAATATGATGTGATGTACGAAAACAATCCCTCTTCTTCGACCTTTTCTTCTTTCTTCTCTCCCTCATCCCATACCTCGCGGGGAAGAATCCGGGGCTGCGACTTCGACAGCAAGCCCTGTTTGGGCTTTTGTTGCAACAGTTCCGTCTCCAAAGCAAGCAAAGCCTTGCGGGCAGCCTTCTCCGACTCTTCCAGCTCTGCAAGTCGTGATTCAACGTCCTCTCTCCGAGTATTTTCCTTTCTTCTTGACCTCCACGACTCGAAAACGATTAAGCCTCCCGCTACAATAAACAAAAAGGCCTCACTTATAAAGGTCGCACCGGACTCGATAGCCTTGGATTCGGATAAGGGTCGAATGTGGGGTTTGGGTGCGGGCTTTGCTGCATCTGATGCTGCAGCTTTGGCTTTTGCGATGGCAGCCTCCTCTGCCTTCGTATCTGCCTCCGACTTGACGGTTGGAGAGGTGGGCCTATGTTTCCTGGCCTCAGCTTCGGCAGCAGCCCGTTTCTGTTGGGCAGCGTTGTCGCGTATATTGCCTAGACGGAGTCGCATGTCGATTTGGTGGAGGGACTGCGCCATGGAAATGCAGAGTCGTCGAAAACGTTCATGTTCACGAGCCTGAGCTTTGATTTGATTCTTTTTGGTTGTTAGCATAGGTGATTTAGAAGTATCAAGGTCGAATCGGTGAGCGTAAGCTTACGGCGATCGGTTTTGAGAACGTGCGGATAGCGAGTGAAGAGAGCTTGAGAGTGAGGGACATGGTGAAGGAGAAGCTCAGTAGGACGGAGGATCAGTGGAAGGGGGTCAATTATGCTTTCTAGGCTGATGCAAATGCCATCAACATATGAATATGGCAGATTGAGATAGTATCTTGAATGATCGAGAATCGTTCGGAAGCTGAATCACAAATGGCGATGCAGGCAGCCAGGCACGTAATTATGCACTGCAGTGTTACATCAGCGACACATGATGACTCATCAATACATTTTATGCAGATGTTGTTCCGTTGTCCGGATCAATGTTTATCGATTACCGCTTTCGGCAATCCGTTTGGCTCTGCTTCACTTCGTCTGCCTTACTTCTTGCTTTTGCTTCCTCGTTCTTCCTGGCATCGTCCGTCCAACCCCCACCTCGTCGTCGTTCCCCTCGATGGTGTCAGCTTGGTTCACAACGGCGTTTCATTGTATACCATTGTCCTTTTTTAATTTTATTTTTTAAGCGTCCTTGTTGTCTTTTTTTTGGTAGGTTTTGTTACTCGTTTGTGTTTATTCGACTCTTGGTTCCGCCAACCGTTGCGGAACCACAATTTTCCCCCTGTGATACTGACTGGGGAGTAGAGATACCAGCACCTCAACGCTACATTATACCCCTTCTAACGTGCTGTCCTTTGATCGAGTTATTTTTTCTCATCATACCTCATGACTGTTACGACCCCTTAGAACATCCTAGACCCCCTTCGCAGCATCGTTGTCGACTGCGATAATTTGATACCCACCTGCAATTAAAGCATCAAAAATCTATCGCATATTCAAAATGGAAGCATTGTCACCGCGGTCGACAAATCAAATGATTAAGCCAAAGGTGGCCATGGAACGAAAAGTGTTGGATAAGAATGCAGCTGCCGCCGCTCAAAAAGCCTCATCCTCGAAAAACCATGCGCCCCCACCACCGTCGATAGTTACAGAACCTGAAGAGGATGGCGAGCGATACTCTACCGGAGCATTTCTTGGAAAGGGAGGGTTTGCGGTTTGCTATGAAGGAGCGCTGTCTCGCAATGGACGTGTATATGCGATGAAAGTGGTCAAGTCTGATATGGGCCAGAAAAAGATGGAGGAAAAGGTATTCATCTAGATCTGGATTGCCCCAAGAGTTCTGATGAAGCGCATACTGACGACATTCTTGCAACAGTTTCGAACCGAGCTTCAGATCCACTCCAAAATGCGACACCCCCACATTGTACAATTCCACCGCGCATTCGCTTTTGAAAGCAGTACCTACGTGATCCTAGAATTGTGCCCCAATGGCTCGGTGATGGACATGGTGCGGAAGAGAAAATGTTTGAGTTTGCCGGAAGTGCGAAGGTTGATGATTCAACTTTGCGGTGCCGTGAAATATCTTCATAAGCGGAACGTGGCTCATCGAGACCTTAAGATGGGGAACCTTTTTCTGGATCGCAACATGGATATGAAAGTGGGAGACTTTGGTTTAGCGGCCATTATCGTATCCGAAAAGGATGAGAAGCGAAGAAGAACACTATGTGGAACGCCCAATTATATTGCGCCCGAGGTTCTGGATCGAAGCAAAGGCGGACATACTCAGAAAGTCGATATTTGGTCATTAGGGGTCATATGCTTTGCCATGCTCACTGGTTATCCCCCATTCCAGTCAAAGACACAAGAGGAGATATACAAGAAGGTTAGGAATCTGACCTACGTCTGGCCCAAAGACCAGGAGTGTGCCAACCATATCCCTGAAGAAGCGAAATGGTTGGTCAGCTCCTGTCTTAATCTATCAGAAAATGAACGCCCCGACCCAGACGACATTGTTGAGCATCCATTTTTCAATATGTACGATGGGTGTATTCCCCGACAATTGGACCCAGCATGCCGGTTTGCCAAACCAGTCTGGCTGAAGTCTACTGAACCCCGTGGTGATCGGATGATACTTGGTTATAGCTTGGATCACGATGAGAGGCTATTGGGTTATATAGACAATGTCGACGATCCCGGTCAGCGTTACCCCTCGTGTAAGGCTGCATTCTACAGCCTCTGTGGCGTGGGAAGGAAGCCGGATGGCACTGCTCGTCGATCTACAGGCAAGAACTGTTCCAAATCCGCGTATGCTGAATGCATTGCCGAGGAAGAGAAAGGGTTACAGCCGGTAATTCCACTGCCTGAAGACTTTGTCTATAAGTACCCCCACTATGTCGACGGAGACTGGAGTGCCCCAGAATCAACCCTGCCAGTCCGTAGAGACGATTCCTCAATAGACAGCAGCGTTCTCTCAGGGAAGCGCAGCGTGTCTCTTCGAAGCAATGCTTCTTCTCTGTCGAGGACACAGGCTGCTCTGGCTGCTGCTCAGCAGAGGCGCAAGGAGTCTCAAAGTCATGCAGCAACACTTCGACAGCAGGCTCTCACGGGTAGAAGCTCTGTTCGAAAAATTACTGCCCTTTGTGACCCCCCTGCTCCTGACGTTCCACCTGTGCCCGAGGCAAAGGAATTCGACGCCGACGTGGCTCCGCTCCCGACTAGAGGTTTAGCAGAACGACCCATCCGTACAAGAAGGGGAGTCGCTGCATCATACTCGGGATCACTACGTGACCTGGATAAGAACATTGCGCCGCAAGTGCCTAAATCGACTACTGCACCTGGCATGTTGACCGTGGGCAAGACACGCTCCCAGTCTCGGAGGCTCGAGGCTGCTAGTCAAGAGAAACTGCATCCAATGCCGGCCGTGGGTGAGCGAGCTTCATCCGCAACATCGACAGAATTGCCGTCTCGAACAAGAGAGCCTTCGCGCCAGTCGTCGAAGATGGAAATCAGGGATGCCCCCAAGAAGAAAGAAGAGGAGCGGGTATTACCGAAAGAAAAGCCCAGAGACGAGACTGTTGAGGAAAATAGACCCGCAAGGCCTGAATCTCGATCGCAGGGGCTAAGCCGGTCAGACAGCAAAACAACATCCTCACCAGGCAGTAAGCCACGGTCAACATTAGGCATACACCCTCTATTTCACAAGCAGGATAAATGCGATGTTCTTCCACGGACATCCGTCGAAGAGGTCAATGCAGATCTCCGTCTCATGCTTGCCAGTCTTGTTCCCAACCCATCCGCTCGCCGTCGGACAACAAGAAGAGCCCCACACGCATACGTCATAAAATGGGTTGACTATACTAACCGATATGGAATTGGGTATGTCCTCGATGATGGCAGTGTGGGATGTGTGTTCAAAGCCGAGAATGGGCAGCCGGCTAGCGGTGTTGTTCTCCGTGATGGAGAACGACACATCCGCCGCAAGGCCCGAACCCTCGAGAAGCCAGAAGAAGGCCGATATGCTTACTCGGAAGCGGACCAACTTGTACCTCGTAACGGCAAATCAGTCGAGTTCTACGAAAACTGCGAGCATGATCCTTCGGGAGGCCGAGCCGCCATTCGACGAGCGTTGATTCAGCCATCAGTTTTTGAAGTGAAGAGTGGTTCCTCCAGCGCAGGTATCAAGGTCCGCACAAACTCCGGCGTGGAATGTGCGCGGGCAGATGCAGAGAAGATCAAGCGGGTCAAACTGGTTGACCAGTTTGGCAAGTATATGATTGGGTCATTGGGCAGACATGGTGATGATGAACTTGCCGAGGATGAGACGGTCACTGATAGCTTCGGCCAATTTATCAAGTTCTACCAGCGCTTGGGTAATGTGGGTGTTTGGGGGTTTGGGGATGGAGCTTTCCAGGTATGCTTCTCTTTTTTTGTTGCTATGCTTTTTTCTAACTATTTCTCCAGTTCAATTTCCCAGACCACACCAAGCTTGTTATCTCGCCAGGTCGCTCGAGGACTTCATCACCGTGGATTGACTTCTACCACCTTTCACCTTCTGCGGCACGCTATCTCACCGCAAAGGGCCGAATGCACCCATCTGGATTTGATACTCGGGCCGTCACGTCGGATGACGCTACCACGTTCATTGCAGTTGCTCATGGGTTGTCTTCTAGCGTGGCCGATGAAAGATTGCGCGATGTTTTGGAGGCCAACTCGTTCTTGCCGAAGGTCAGCTTCATCAAGGACGTGATCAAGGGCTGGATTAAGCAAGGCAGGCTCGGTGGTCGATCATCCCAGCCCAAGTCATCTACTGAGGGAGTCTCTATGTCGCAGGAGATCTTCTGGGAAGGCACCCAAGAGCGGCCGCAGCCTGGAGGAAGTGGAGGGAAGTTTGTTTGGGTCACAGTGGGAGCTCCTGGAGGCGATGGAGAGTATCGATCCGTGTCCTTGAAGGAGAAGAAAATGGAGGTTGACCATGATCGTGAGGTCAATGCGTTGAGGGAGCGATTGCGGGCATTGGGAGGACACCCCTAGTTGCTTTGGATTTGTTTACAGTTGTTTATTGGTTTACTACTTTATGATGACATGAATTGGGGTACTGGTGTTTGGTTTCAGTTTTTGAAGGTTTGAATAAGATGAATCCTATTATAATTCAGTGATTATATGTTCTTTCATAAGGGAAGTAACAAGAAGGCGGGGTTGGAATATGTCAAGGTAGTATTCGGCCAAATGCTCTATATCTTCTCTCGCTCCTCCGCCCTGTTGCACCGCAAGGATGAGGTTATTCTATTGTACAACATACAAATTGATTGCTATCGAATCACCCAATCGATATGGTCAATGCTGTACGATTCCTGTGCGCCACATCGTTATTGTGACACGAGCAGGTGATGTGGTAGAAGATGATGCAACGGGAGCAGCAAAAGCAGGCATCCATCCTGAAGAATTGAGATTATGCATATGATGGTGAAGCTTACTGAGGGGTTGCGAAGGATCCAAGAAGGATTCAAGCTTAAATGGTGAGATTGACAAGGCTGGATTGGGGCTACTGTCAGCCTTGGATGAGATGTATATACCACAGCCTAATGATCCTTCATAGCTCACAGCCCAAGTTGGTATACAAGTTCTCATGTCGTAAATAGAAGTAACGTATACAGAAACACCGGTAATGCCCGGACAATATGGAGGACGTCAGGCGGGGTAATGCCCATCTGAACCAGTATCAACTGGCAACCAAGAACTAATAGATACCCATCCACAACACCACATGCAAAAGAAATATGGAGCCCATACCGATACCTGAAATGCAAAATCCCTCCTGCCTGCTTTACGGACCCGGAGATGCAAGATATGAAGATCGCCCTGTGCCTGAAATCGAAGATCCAACCGATGTGATTATCCAAGTGGCTTATAATGGTGTTTGCGGGAGTGACGTATTTATTTCATATTGAAATTTCCGAAAACCTCAAGGTACATGCGTGCACGAGGCTAACAGTTACGCTCTGGGGACTAGGTACATTTCTGGCTTCATGGCGGCGTCAAGAGTTTCGTCTCTCAATCCGACCCTATCGTCATGGGCCATGAAGCATCAGGAATCATCCACAAAGTCGGCGAGAAAGTAACCACCCTGCAGCCCGGAGACCGCGTCGCCCTGGAACCAGGCTATCCGTGTCGGATCTGTCCGTGCTGTAAAAGGGGACGCTATAACCTCTGTCCGTCGATGATGTTTGCGGCTGTCCCGATGCGCTGTCACGGGACGTTGACGCGGTTCTTCAAGCTGCCTGCGGATTACTGCTACAAGATCCCCGAGGGGACGATGGGGCTGGATGAGGCTGTTTTGCTGGAGCCGTTGGCAGTCGCGGTGCATTCGGTGCGACAGGTGGGGGTTAAGCCTGGGGATAAAGTGGTGGTGTTTGGGGCCGGGACGGTGGGCATACTCTGTGCGGCTGTGGCGAGGGAATTCGGAGCCAGAATGATCGTCTCGGTGGATATAAATGAGGAGAAGCTGGAATTTGCGCGGGGGATAGTTGTTTCTGATTCGACGGGGTATGTTGATTTTCGAGCGTTCAAGCCGGATTCTTTCATGACCTCGGAGGACACGGCTCTACGATTACTGGAAGAACATGATCCTCGAGAAGAAGAGGGGGATATTCCTGGGTTTGATGTCGTCATTGAAGCCACCGGTGCCGCTTCCTGCGTACGGACTGGGATTCATGCTATACGGGTTGGAGGGGTGTTTGTCCAGACGGGCATGGGGAAGAGATGCATGGATTTCCCCATCGGTGCGGTGGCGGAGAAGGAGATTATGCTGCGGGGATGTTTTCGATATGGACCGGGGGATTTCAAACTGGGCTTGCAACTGGTTGTGGCCAAGAAGATCCTTGTTGGACGGTTTATCACCAAGGTGGTGCCGTTTGAGAAGGCAGCAGACGCGTGGGAGACGACCATGAGAGGAGAGGGGATTAAGACAGTGATTAGGGGAATATAGGAAGTGTATATGGATGGGTGGGCTATAATACGAATAAAGACATTAATTCAAAATAAACTAGACTAAACTAATAATAAGGACCGTAAATATTTTGGCCGGTAACCGTCATTCCTCCAACATGGAGCACTCTTTCAAACAATCTTATGCGATATTCATGTCTCAGGCAGTGATGATGAGATCAAAGATGGGGTTTCGAGGTTCATCGACTGGAATGCGTTAGCATATACATAAATGGATCATCAACGCTATACTCACAATTACTCCTTCTTGCCATCGTAGCTGTGGTAAGTTCCATACTCGGTGTACCCAGCAGCATCATCAGTAGATGCCTCATCTCTCTTACCATCGTAGCTGTGGTAGGTTCCGTACTCAGTGTATCCGGCAGCATCATCGGCGGCGGCCTCCTCACGCTTGTAGGAGCCATAGTTGTCGTAGGGGGTGTAGCTGCCATAGTCCTTGGCCTCGTCACGCTTGCCATCATAGCTGTGGTAGGTTCCGTATTCAGTGTATCCGGCAGCGTCATCGGCGGCAGCCTCTTCGCGTTTATAAGAGCCATAGTTGTCGTAGGGGGTGTAGCTACCATAGTCCTTGGCCTCATCTCTCTTGCCATTGTAGCTGTGGTAGGTGCCGTAAGGACTGTATTTACCGTAGTCAGCGGCTTCGTCTCTCTTGTACGAGCCGTAGGTGTCATAGGGAGAGTAGCTGCCGTAGTCCTTCACGGCGGCGTCTTCATCTCTCTTGTAAGAGCCGTAGGTGTCATACGGGCTGTAGCTACCGTAGTCCTTGGTTTCGTCTCTCTTGCCATTGTAGCTGTGGTATGTTCCATAAGGACTGTATTTACCGTATCCGGCGGCCTCATCTCGCTTGCCGTTGTAGCTGTGGTATGTTCCATAAGGACTGTATTTGCCATAATCGGCAGCTTCGTCTCTCTTGCCGTTGTAGCTGTGGTAGGTGCCGTAAGGACTGTATTTACCGTAGTCAGCGGCTTCATCTCTCTTGTACGAGCCGTAGGTGTCGTAGGGAGAGTAGCTGCCATAGTCCTTCACAGCGGCGTCTTCGTCTCTCTTGTAAGAGCCGTAGGTGTCATATGGGCTGTAGCTACCATAGTCCTTGGCTTCATCGCGCTTGCCATTGTAGCTGTGGTAGGTGCCATACGGACTGTATTTACCGTAGTCGGCAGCGGCAGCGTCAGAGGAAGAAGAGGCCTGCTCATCCGGAGTGGGGAGAGCGTTGGCGAGGAGGGGAGCACCCAGGAGAATGAGCTTGGAGAAACGCATGATGCTTGAGAAAGTTGGTGATCAATGAATTGATTGACCGATTGAAGGATCAGATGATTGTCTGACTGATTGAGTTTGTTGTTGTTGATGATTCCCCAAAGCCACAGGATACATGGCCATATTTATACAATAAAGTCGTCGCCTGTACTTGCTTGTCCGAATAGCATCATTTCATATAGAAATAGTACAACTTGACGCGATCAGAGAATCAATATGCAAGTAACTGCAAAGTAACTGCAACAACAGTCAGCTCTAGTCAGCCTGTTCTACACACCGTATTCTCGGTGTTTGTTCGAAGCCATCACGGTACCCTTCAGCCTCTATGGTTCCCAATCGGCGTCATGGCGTGGGTTACCGTTCGATCGAGCCATATCCGTGATTTCCGCTGAGGTGGCGGCCTTGTGCTACCGTCTGCCTGTCACATGGAGGGTAGATGTAACATAACAAATACGTTTGCAGTGAGGTCTTGCAGTCGATGGAAATTGGCTGGACTGAGTCGAGGCGGGGTACTGGCGAAGTGTTGTCGTCGGGTGGCCTGACTGGACAGCTGGCCGTGCACTTACTGTACATGCAGCACAAGCGTTCTTTTTTAGTATGGCAGCCTGGCACGTGAATATCTACATTCACTTTTATTCTCACTTTCGTCACTTTGATTCTTCCTTCTCCATGCTTTACTTTTTCCTCATTCTAACTCTTCCTTGACAATGGCCCCTCTATACCAAAAAGTGTCTGCAGACGCAGAATCAGAATCCCACAAAAGCCTTCTCTCCGAAGACTCACAGCCCTGGACTCGTCCCAAAACACCAAGCAAATGGCATCAAGTAGGAATCTATTTTGCCTACGCCTTCGTAGGTGGTATTCTTGTGTTGCTAGGAGCCATAGCTGGAATTACCTGGCGGGGAGATATCAACCTCGATGGCCTCTGTGCACCACACGTCTCCAACTACTGTAAGAATACTCTACCTCAATTGTATCAATTGAAGACTAATGATGATAGCCCCCGTGATGAAAGAAGTCGGAATCACATACCACGATCAGCTGTATAATGGGTCCCTAATGAAGGAGAACATCTACCGTCAAGACGCATCACCAGAAGTTGACGCCGCCTGGTCAGCACTTGGAATCGACTGTATGCATTTTCACAATGTCCTGAGGAGCTCCTCTAACTGATACAGACCGACCTCTCGTTGTCCCAATGGACCTCGCTGAAAAAACCGGCATCGCGCATGATCAGGTCAAGATCAAGGAGAAATACGGTGGTGGATTTCCGGGGAATGTCGAGGGTCTTCACCATCTGCACTGTTTGGTGAGTATAATCTCGTTATCTCCAAGTGGGTATGGAGCCATATACTGATAATATTAGAATCTCCTCCGTCAAACCCTCTACTACAACTACGATTACTACCATGCCAAAGGCGAAGGCGCATTCTCAAATAACGACTACGTTGTCCGTCGTCACACAAGTGCGTATACATTGAACCTCTTCCTCTGAGAAAACGACTAATATAGTATCTAGCACACTGCCTCGATATCATCCGCCAGCAACTCATGTGCAACGTCGATATTGGCGTTTTGGGCCAGGTGTGGATTTATCCTGACAACCCGGAAGCATTCGTCGATTTTAACACTGTCCACAAATGTCGTGATTATGATGCCGTTCGGCGATTTGCAGAGGCACACCAGGTGCCTGAGAATGTGCCGCACGATTACTTGGAACCCCCTGCTGAGGGGGATAGGATTTATGAAGAGATGCCTTGATTTTAGTAAAGTAGAATATGTCTATAATGAGTTGTGTTAAAAATAATCATGCATTATGTATCTAGTTTATGTTTAAAGAGTAGTGAGTCTATTAATACAGAAAGTCATAGAAAGAGTAGAATCATTTCAATCCTTCTTCATCAGGAATGGTCTCACTGCGAAGACCCTGTTTGCTTTCCAAAGCCTGATTCAAATCATATCTTTCAGTCCAAAAGCTCAGCAAGAATGCAACCCCGGACACAGCGCAGCAGACCGCCCAGACAATCCGGAGACTGTCCGTGTACGCTTCCTTGAGCTGCATCTTCTCAATACCCCACGGCGTAGCCTTGATAATCTGCACTAGACCAGCTGCATCCTGACTGTATGGGTCTGCCATGGGCGCCAGAGTTGGGTACTTGAGCAGGTTGGCGTACATGCGGTTCTGGAATACCACACCGCCAATCGCAACCCCGACAGCCTGGCCTAGAGCACGGAAGAAGCTAAACATAGCCACTGCGATTGCGAGATTGTCATTGGTTGCGGAGGCTTGTACGGCAAAGCCCAATGAGGGGAAAAGAAATCCTAGTCCTAGTCCGGGGACGAGGTTGAGAAATATCCAAGCCGGCACGCTGCTGTCCGGTTTGATCAGACAGATCAACCCCAGCCCTAATGTCGACAAGGCCCAGCCCGCCCAGATGGCCCATCGGTATCGGCCGAATTTCGTGCATAGGAAGCCAACCACCATCGCGCTGGGGGCTACTGTGAGACTCTCAGGGAACAGGGCAACACCGGAAAGGATGGGACTATACTCCTTCACGGCTTGGTAGTACAACGGGAGGTAGTATAGAACACACCAAAGGACCAATCCTTGTAGAAGACTGCCGATGAATGTGACAGTTGCTGTCCGGTTCTGGAATATCTTGGGAGGAATGATGGGATCAGCTGCGATGAAATATTCATAAAGCCCAAAGACAATGAGGCCGACGGCGCCGATAATCAGAGGGACGAGTGTACGCCACGAGTCCCAATCATACAGAACACCACCCCACGTTAGAGGAATCAGGAAGGAAGATATGCTGCCCACGAATAGCGTCGTGCCAACATAATCAATGCGACGGAGTTTCTCTGCCAGAGAGCTTGGGATAATGTTGAGCTTGAGAAAGAGAAGTACAAACACCACCCCAACCCCAATGAAAGGGAAGTTGATATAGAATATCCAACGCTGACATTCTGTATTAGCCCAGCTTTTCCGAAAATGGAGATTAGATTACATACCCAGGTTACATCTTGTGAGAACCCTCCTCCCAGTATAGGTCCAGTCACTGAACCCACACTCCACATGGCAGACAAAATTCCGAAATACTGTCCCCGAAGTCTGAGTGGTACGAGATCCGTGACAATAACTTCACTCAGAGCGAGGATTCCACCACCTCCGACGCCTTGAATTGATCGACCCACGAGCATGTATGTGAAGTTTTTGGATACGGCTGCCACCACGGTGCCCACGAAGAACAGCAAGATAGCCGTCAGAACTAGCGGTCGTCGACCAAAGATGTTGGAGAAAGAAGCAAAACTTGGTTGGAAAACTAAGAATGGTTAGTGTTTTCCAGTAATCTATTTATCTGCTCGTGCCATGCCATACCAGTCGAGGAAAGTAGAAAAGCAGTTCCGCTCCAGAATGCCTCAATTGCCGTTCCTTTTAGCTTTTGTGAGATGATCTGTTCTCATCAGCGTTGTACCATGGATTTGAGAGGCTAATACTCACAGGCAACGCGACGGAAAGCGATGTGCCATCTAAGGCGGCCATCAAAGCGAGGATAGACAGAGTAGAGAAGACCAAGATACCCCGTCTTCCCAAGGCGAACTCTTCAGGAACCGAGTCATTTTTGGTGGATGATGCTGAAGATAGAACAGGATTTTGGTTATCCGTCGGTTGTTGACTTCTGGCCCCTGTTTCTGCCATTTTGTTATAGAGGCTGAACACTGATGAATCTCCAGTGTTGCTCGTTAAACGAGACCCCCATTATATACATGGCGTCTGATGAAATGTGATCTGAATGAATCACACTTTGAATATCAGTATCTCGACAAATCGAAGATGACAGAGGGCCAAAGTTGCTCCATTGATACGAGGTGGTTTTCCAAAAGGGAGACATGTTTGAAGGATCTTCGTATTGCTAGCTTCGAGATCGTCCAAACAGGAAACCGTCGTGCCAAGACTCGGTCCAATTTGAGCCCGACTCAACGGCACGCGGTGCAATTACTCTTTACTACGGGATCAGATAGTGTAATCAGATCTGGTGCTGTGTTTGTCGAGAAGATTGATTCAATCTCCATTTCATATCTACATAAACTGAAGACGCTCTAGATAAGTAGAAAACCACGGCTTGCATTTGTACTCACCATTAAGAATAATTGAATAGGGTTGAAAACTAGCTCAGTATTAATCTACTCTTACTTTGCATCGGAGAATTAATCGTGATTGAAGTAATATAAAAGCATGGACTAGAAAAATGCTTATTTTATTCAACTAGGTTGTTTATATTCCACCCTTTAACTGTAAAATAAGCTACAGTTAAGGTACAATCCAGTGTATCTGCACGAACTATTTCACTCACCGATCTTCCAACGCCCGATTAGGCAATCGGCACGCGGCCCAACGTGACGCCGACTCGACAGTTTTTTGGTGGATCTCGATAAATCCCTCATGCTCACTCTGCTATCACCTGAGTGTCGCCATTGTTGTCATTCTTTCTGAACTGAGGGATTTCACGTTTGCTTGGGTATCAGCAGTTGATCCTCTAATCAGCACCGGTTATTGAAGCTGAATGAATATAATGGCTCGGTGTTATCCCTCGCGCTTCCAGTTTTATCATTTGACTTCTCAACTAATGTAGGGAATTCGACCACAAACCCCGGAAGAATTCAAAGACACTCAAATACCAACACTTAGCACGGCACGCTAGAGGAAGATTGGGCAGCAGATATCTCATATCAGGTTTAACCTATGGCTAGATGCTATAGAAGCTATGATTTGTTGTGGAACTCCAATAATTCTCTATCTACAGATGCAGCTCTGTTGAGCCGCATGGCTGTACAATATGCAATGATACCCAGTCATATCACCAATCCAACCACGCCGGCTTACTGCTTCTGCAGACGCTCATATTCGCTGCGAACGATAGTTGGAAGCTCGCTGACCAGACTAGGCCGAGACGGTTTCCAATCCAAGAGATGGCGAGCACGCTGTGCACGGCCTCTTGAATTCATACCCCAACTGAGAGACTCGAAGCCCGCATATTTCTTTGCATCTTCCAAGTCAATAGTCTCTGCCTTGCCCTGTGGGATGTAACCCAGCTTTGCAGCGGCTTCGGCGGTGGACAGAGCCAAATCTCCCCAGCGATGCTCGCCATTCTCAGTTAGATAATATGCGTTGGCACCCCAAAGCCCGTCGTCATTACGGCCCTGAATTGCAGCATCCACGAGAAGAGAGTACACGTCACTGAGATCGTGAACGTGGACGTTGTTCCAGAGTGATTGCCCGCCGCCGATGATAGGTCCCTTCTTCAATTTCAGAGTCACCGTAGCCATCTCGTAGACCTGGCGACCGCGTTGAGAGCATGGACCACGACCCCGACCTGGCTATGATAAGCATGTGGAATCTTAAAGTCAAGGATAGAAAGAAAAAGATACTTACCATATATGGTTGGTGGGCAGACAAGCGCTGTTTTTACCACATCTGATGTCTTTGCTCCAGTTTCCAGAACTATTTTGTCGACATTCCGGTGAAAGGCATGGTCTGGCAGATTGACAAGCTCGTCCACCTTATCCCAATCATCATACACCTTCTCGCTCTTTTCGCCGTAGACATTTCTGTCCGAATCCTCGAAAGTCAGAATGCCAGTTCCGCCAGTGTGGAGCCAGTATCCTGGCTTTTCCTTGGAGTGGCCGGCTGCGAGTCCTGCAGCGATGGCATTTGCAGCTCCTACATGATCAGAGGCATCCGCAGTGTCTTTTGATGGAACATCAGTTTTCTTTTCTCATTTGACCTCAGCTCATTGAGACTCACGCAAAACAATATCGGCAGTAGCACTTTCTTTCTCCAATAGACTCGAGTCGTCCAGGTCACCTTGGACTATCCGAACAGATGGAAACTTCGCCTTCACTTGTTCTGCCTTCTCTGGGCTACGGACGAGGGCTGCATACGAGAATTCGGGGTGTTTGGCAGTCAGCACAGCCAGTGCATCCCCACCAATATATCCCGTTGCACCAGTACTGGAAATGGTCAGTGCCAAATTAAAAACAATCAAGCCTTCGAGAAAGGCTTACATGAATACCTTGGTCATCGTTGCTGGTTCTTTTATGGATAGCTTCTTTCGAATGTTGAGATTGTTTTTGTCTGATCTTGGCTGAGATTGACAGCTAGCCTACCCCCCACTTCTAGTCGATGATTGATAATCTCGCGGGGACAGATTGACGTCAGACTCCCCGCTTTCCAGTGCAACTTGTTCTCCTTGAGTTGGATAGAATAGCTTTGCGAGCAATAAATGCTTGTTGCTATACCATACAGCTGCGACTGAATATATGGTGAGCTTTTAGTAAGACTGTATTGGCATGCGCTGGACTATTGGAATAATTCTGGGTGAAATGTGCCACGGGTACCGACAACCAAACCTCGAAGCATCTCGACTTGCCAATAGCATTCATCATAGATGCTGCGGTGTTTCTATTTTAAACAACATACTAATATAAGCTAATTATTATAATATCTTCGGATGAAGTAACTAGAAAAGCTAATATAATTTTAACATTATAGAAAGCTTATTTTTTATAAAGTGCTTAACTATTACCTATTTAAATAGTATTTAGGAGGATAATCGATAAAAATTATTAAGCCTAATAGTACCTATAAAGTATATTAAAGAGTATTAATTAGATATTAGATTACTTATATACAGTATAGTCACCCCCTAGGCCGCTTAAAGTTTTAGTTCTAATTGTTAGAATAATGCGGCTTCGTATTTTTGTCGTCTTGTAAGGTGTAGCTATCCAAGAATAAAAGTATGGAATCGTGGTTTTGCTTTAATCCAAACTTTCAGAAAGGATTCTGCCAGAGCAACACGCTTGCTGATGCCATTCTTCGTCTCCACAACCATCAAGCTCACCCAAAAAAGTCTAATAAATGGCCGAGACGCCTTGTTGCCATAGAATAAATGCTCTCCTTTCGAGTCCTTCCAGTCTGCGAGCTTTTCCTTCTTATACAAATGACTGGGGGAAGGTCTGCCATCGATGTCAGATGGTATTGACACAGCCAAGACATCAAATTCGGCACCATCATTCCAACGGGGAATATTATGAATATGCTCCCAATTAACAGTGCCTTCTTGTAGCCATGCTATCATTGTGCCCTTTTTATCGCAAAGCTTGACGTAATCCTGAGGATTCTCGGGTATTTGAATCCGAAGACGCCGCGACTGGGCATAGGCCAGGATGCAACCATCGTAACAAGCTTGTTGGAGATGATATGGAAATCGTAACTCTTGATCATGTGCAGGTAGTACTCCCATAGACATACCATGTGCTTCATCACTTATCTCGCTGAGACAAGACCATCTATCACGCATAATGGTGACATATTGCTCCCATGTGGTCTTGACATTCAGCTCTTCCGGCAGTCGGCCTGGAAAGCATCCTCCTTTCCATGCAATTAACACAGAAAGCAATGCTACTTCCTCTGATATATAAAAGTATCTTATCGTGTCGCGAAGGATGTTCAATGGACTTTGGGTATTCGTCAAGGATGGAATCGCCCATTGCGACAGTGATACCACAATTTGTCCCGGGTAACCTTGTAACTGAGGGTCGACCTCTATTGCATTGTCGATAGAGGACCAAGACCAAGATGGAAAGACCTGTGTTGGACACTGAGGCCTTGGAGGGTATTTCCCATCTGTTGTCTTCCAAAGAATAGCCGAGCTGAATTCATCAAAGGGTAGACCGTAAAAGTGCTGTTGATTGTATCTGGAGTGCAGGATTCCGGAAATTGCATATAGTATATCAGATTTGTGTGAAAGGTCCCTCTGCGTGAATTCTCCTATAAGATGGGTATATTCGCATAATGAGTACGATGGTTTGAAGTTTTGCTGTTGATTTCCGTGATCTTCATTTTTAAATCTGCTCTGACCACGGCATTCATAGAAGGTCCCTTGATCTGATAAAAGGAGCAGTCTGGGGGACATTACTGCTTCTTGGCATGTCCACCCTCGAGTTTGCCATTTCGAGCCTTTAAGAAGCTTATAATACCAAGGTACCTCGAGAAGGTGTAGTCCTTGAGTCTGACCAGTCCACGTTGGGGACCGCTTTCGTTCATTTACCCCGGGAAGACCATAAGTGGCATCATCTCCTGCCATTGCAACCAGTGTGACATATGAGCCGCTGTATATATTACCCATGGCGTCAAGCTGAGCTTTCTTCTGGCCAGAGTCTTGGTCTTGCAGTATGCAAAGTCGATCAACCCAGAGAAATGGGATGTGCAAACTGCAGCAGGCATCAATCGCGTCATTAATTGTGGCAGATTGTAACTTTTCGCTTGATAAAGAGCCTTGCGCGCCAAGGCTGGTGATATTCTTTGTTGTTGCCTGGAGTGAATCGCTTTTATCCCCCCAGACATAGCTCAGAGTTGCATACATGCAGGATTCGGGAGCGAAAACTACACATCTTTTGTCTGTGTCGATGATACGGAATCCCGGAAAGGAGAATTTTTCTGCATGACAAGAAGCTTCGTGGTCTATACCACTATCACAGTCTCGTAGCCAAGTAGAAATGACATTCCAATCGACCCATGGCGATGGTATTGACAAGAACATTAGACTATTCCCCGATTGCCTAGGTGCAGTTCCCAAAAACTCTGTTATTACTAGAGGAGAAGTCAGCTTCATTTCACCTCAATCTAGAAAAGTTCTTCCACAATGGAATCGGGTTAGTCAATAGGAATACCATACGAAAGAAACCACTTATGTTTGGGCGTCTTAAACCACCAGGCCTCAAACTTAATTCAAGCACGAAATCGTAGACTTCATCGGTATGAGCAAACCCCGATGATGTGACTTTCAATTCCACTGCAAACAGCAGTGGAAGCCGTAGATTGTTTGCCATTGCAGTTGCCGTTTCTCCAAATATTTGACATGTCAGGCAATGGGTTGAGCGTTCTTGTAAATCACGGATAGTTCCTAGCTTGAAATGCAAATTTGGATAAAATGAATCACTCCTCACACATTGTATATAATGACCCAGCCTCATATGCCTGCATACCTCGCAACTCTTTAGTATAGATGTCTTCACATTTCAGGCAGCTGTCATGGAATAATAGCTTGTGAGATTCTTGAGATATAGTATAGCTTCCCTTGAATACATCCAAGACGGCTGAATATAGGGTACCCTCTTTGGAGCAGTAGCACAATGAACAAAATTCTTCAACGTGCTCTTTAGGCTCTTTCATTGGTTTGGAATCACTGATAGTGTCCATTTTAGTAGAAATCCAACTGTGTAATGCTGAATATACTCTAACTGAAAACTGGCATTGGAAAATTTTTAAATACCTACTAGTCTACTCATCTGGATATACTTATTATGCCCATCGCAAGCCACATGGCCTTATATGACTGGTAAAACAGGGATAATATATCGGTGGACTCGTTAGGTATCCAAAGTCTACCTAACAAGCGGGGTTTAGATGACCTGATATTTATAACATACTAAACCTCCTTTAGGTTAGCACTTTTCCAAATAGGAATAGCATAACAAAATTCTATACTGCCTTAATTAAAAAGATATAGCAAGCTTATATTATATTAGGGAAACATGAAAGTGGGGAGAGGAAGAAGCCAAGCAGCTTTGGTACATCACCCCAATCTAGAAAGACCTTTCTAGCACGTAAATGATTTGAAGGGAAGGAGCTCAATATCATGAAACTCGTGGAGATCACGAGAACCAGCTAACACAACTACAGCACTTCCCCAAATCTCAGCCCAGGAAACGAGAACAAAGTACCCAAACGTTGAACAAGCGACTAGGTGGATTTGGACTAAAGGATCTCGAGCCAATAAGCAGGAGACAGAGCTTTGCAGGGCCTCGTTCCGTGAGCATCACCAATACTTGCGGATGGAGGGCCGCTTCTATCCCAATCCAGCAATTTCGGCCGACAGTCGGAGTTGAATCGACAACTTCTGATCTGAACCAGTCATTCTTATCTTCATATTCTGTCATTTCTATTGACACGAGCTTATTATCATCGATATAGAGTAAATATCCGCGGAGTATCCTCAAGCAAACATGCAACCCTTTTTTGTATGGCCCCGATGCGCGATGCTCGACCCCGAATACTCCGACAACATATGGATGAATTTTCTTCCCTGGACAAAACGACAGGCGAAAGATGTTATTTTGTCTAATTCACAGACCGAAAAACCTTGGGCTAGAGATCTAATTGAACTCGTATATCGCCGGAACAACTTATATGTTGTCAAATGCAAAATTACCCGAACTCAATGTAGCATGGCCATATCGAAGCATCCTGATGGCTTGAGTCTTTCTCCGCGGCCTCGACAACATCGCAGATAAAGCGGTTGTTTCCGTCTTGCAGGGGCTATCTCTAGACTGTCTCTCTTGGCATTTTTTCTTCGCAAAGCTTTCGGGCGTTTCTGAGTGCTTTCCTGGTTCTGATTGATTAGACAAGATGGTGTCCTTTAGATTGCATACTTGACAGTGAATGCATACCCCGCTCTCCATGGCTTTAAATTTATTTCTCCCTGTTACCACTTCTCCCGGAAGCTTCGCTTCTTGAATGTTATGACACGTCAACACCAGCAACCATGACGACAGAAGGATCTAAGCTTGCCAGTGATGGTATCACGCCCGTGAGAAATATTGAAGCCCAGAGTGCTTTTGCATCCACCCTCATAGGAGACCCCGAGAAGCTTGACACATTAAACGAACCCAGTTCGGGAAAAGGAAACCAACACAAAAATCTCTACGGACTGAATATCGACACACCCGATACCCATGCCGGGGCAGATGCCGTATATGCAGCCAAGGCGCAGCTTTTGAACCAGGCATTGCTTGATCTGGAAATGGGATTATACCAGTGGTTGCTTTTTTTGATTACCAGCGTGGGCTGGTTCCTTGACAGTGTAAGTGAGTCGTACCCTGCAGAGAAGAAGCATGACTGATCGATTCGGATAGTTCTGGTTGATGTCTTTTCTCGTTATTGATCCTTCCGCCGCCAACGAAGCCCAGTTCTTCTATACTGGGGACAATTCTTCCTATCTATTCGTCAGCCTAATGGTTGGATTGACTGTCGGTGCAACAGCATGGCCTATGATGTCTGATGTCCTTGGCCGCAAATGGATCTTTACGAGTACACTGGTTTTGATGGGAATGGGTGGACTGGTCGGAGCTGGAATGCCGTCATTCACGGGGCTTTGTGTTGTTGGCTTCGTCGTGGGCCTTGCAATTGCTGGGAACCAGGCCGTAGACGCCATCATTCTCTTGGAGTCGCTACCAGCGTCGCATCAATTCCTAGTCTCCATGCAGGGTGCTTCCTGGGGTCTTGGTCAATTAGTTTCTGCCGCTGTCGGCTGGTAAGTTACTTCTGGACCCGGAAAGATTCAAATACTGATTAGAATCTACAGGGCATTCATCGCAGAATACACATGTGGCACTGGACCCGATGAAATTTCCACCGCACAGTCAATGTCCAGCCATAAGATCCGTGCAACCGGCCATAGCGGCAGCAGCAGCTCTTCCTGCCACTATGTATCCAACAAAGGCTGGCGGTACGTGTGGTGGACCTTTGGCTGTATCACCCTATTCCTATATCTCTGTCGCTTTGCATTCCCCCTCCGTGAAACGCCGAAATACCTCCTATCCAAACGCCGAGACGCCGAAGCCACCCAGCTTGTCAAGGATATCGCGATGTACAACAAACGCCAAACATGGCTGACTGAAGCCTCATTTGCTCGAATCGATTCGACAGTCGATGCCAGTGCACCGGAGTCTCGAAAGAAGTCAAGGACACAATCCCTTTTGTCATCCCTTGGTCCATTCGGCCTTTTCCTCCTTACGCTCATCTGGGCTACTACCGGTTTGACATTTACACTGCACAGAACGTACATAAGCAACTATCTCACTGCACGCGGTATAGAAGCCATTTCCGCCACTACCGTCACCACGGGCTACCTTTACAGTCGCTATCTCTACATTGCCCTATGTGCGGTTCCTGGACCTATCCTCTCTGGATTCCTCATAGAAGCCAAGGGAGTTGGAAGGAAACGCACAGGAGCGGCTATTGCAGTGTTGACTGGTTTATTCATGTTCCTATCAACGCTTTCACGATCTCATAATGCCGTTCTTGCCTTTGAATGCGTCCTATCGTTCCTTCAGTATGCTGGCCTTGCAGTTATCACCACATACACCGTGGAGGTATTCGCTGCACCAACTCGTGGCTTTGGGTTGGGGATTTTGGGATTCTTCTGGGGGCTATTTGGACTTATAGCCACCATCATCACAACATTCGATGCGTCGGGTGGATCTAAAGGTGGTCCTGTTTGGTTCTGCGGTGCTATCTGGGTAGTAATGGGGGGAATCTGGCTGGCACTACCAGTCGAGACACGGGGAAAAGCTGCCTCATAGAAACACCGTCAAGCGTAGCTCAACTGCATGGTGATATTCTATTGCTGTATCCTGAGTGTTCTCGGGTCATCCTATTGTAGCAGACCAATGCCAGAGGGAGTCTGGTGGCTCTGCATGCTACATAGACTTAAAATCGAGAATTGAGAAATCCAGGACCTGCACTATTCAATATCAATGATAACAACATAAAACCCTCTAGACAAAACGGAATCTATCGTTGGATTGCCTTTTGCCATTCCTCAGCATTCCTATAGACCCAACACGGAGAAAGGTCGCAGGTTGTTTGCGCGAGTTGTCTAGTGGTTTATGACGTCGCACTCGTAAGAAATGCGGAGGTCGGGAGTTCGAATCTCCCTTCGCGCTTTTTTTTGTTTGTTTTGTTTTGTTTTGTTTTTTTTTTTTTCTTTTAGCTTCCGGTTCTCACACACGCAAAACAATATAAAATCACATTGGCATCTCTCAACTCAGCCTCAACAATGTAGTTTTCTTTTTATTTCTGTGGATAGTAATAACCAAATCCCGGACATGCATTAATCTATCTACCCTATTAGCGATGGTTCATGCACTGCAACCTCGGACCAACTCTCCGACCAACTGCTGGCGTCGCTCAATATCCAGACAGCAGACTAAAGGGTGTGATGAGTTGTGAAATTCTTGGAGACTCCGTGGATCCAGAACACCAGCTGCAGTTTCTCAAGCGAAGTGCCAATTACTTCCGTATGCAAAGTATTTTGTTGCCCACAGACTGCTAAAGTGACAATAGCAGTAGCGAAGTACCCCTGTTCCTCCCATCAACCAAACAAAAAACATCCCGAAGAATCTCCAGTTTGATCATGATCTTCTCGAGTCATGGATATGCATAATTGTGGGTAGAGATAGAGCATCGTAACTCGTCAGCTTCTCCCCCCTTTTTCACCAACGACATCATTATTGGGCTCCGGCGGTGCGGGAATGCGATCCCACATGGATGGAGGGTTCATCCGTCAATCCACCATCTTAAGTGGAGAACCACACTCTGTCTCGCGATGATCCCAACTTCCTCGGGCCGTCACGCTGTCTGTTTGTCCAACATCACAGAAGCTATACCTTGCACACGCAGCATTGTGTCCAATGTATTTCCCATCGCAGCCTCGATGAATCCACGCAGGCCAAGGGCTTCCAGACGGGTGTTCCGTGCGGTCCCGTCCGAGGCCCCATCTTTGACCCGGTCTGTTTACTCTCTTTTAGTGTTATCAACAGCTACGCCGATCCGCACTGAATATAGACTCGTTTCTCGCTTCAGGGTCCAGTTGTGTGGGTGCGTAAACACCTCATGCCCATGCTGATTCGCCAACAACTGGTGCGCAGATGAGCCTTTCGCTGTCACCACATTTGAGACAAGTTTTGACTTGTGACGCTTGTGCGTGTTGAGGAAGGATATGGCGTGCATCATGCTGGCTGATTGGACTCAGCTCCCGTATCCGCGATATGAACGGCGAGAGCGTAATTAGAGTGGAGTGGACTGGCTGCTCAGTGCTCACCGTCCCTTTTTTTCTTTTTTTCTGAAGCTCGGACTTGGACTTAAATCGTCGACAGTCCCCGTCTTTCCGCGTGCACGCTCCTGAGTCTTATCCCGCGACAGCAAAAACTTCACAGTCACGACACGTCGAGAATTCAGAGGTCATGTCGAACGGACGCGGACGAAGCTTGATATGGCGCCTGATGGCTGCCTTTGAACCCGAGGAGCCGGACTATCCCCGTCTTTCCTCCCACCCCAACGCCCTGGGTTACCCTCCTATCCCTCATCCGAATGCACAGGAAGAAGACGTTTACCAGCAAAGTTACCCAACCAGTTACCAAAAAAGTCCCGAACAAAGTCGCGATCCAAGCCACAGTGACCCGCGAGCCCACCGCATCAATGTGGCTACAACAAATGCCGGTTCCCTCATTCCACCGGGCGACAAGCTCCTCGTTTTTCGCGCTCTGACAGGAATCGATAGCGTCCCTGCGCTGACAATACCCCACCACAACCCTCGCACTGCAGTCAATGTCGGTATCTACGCCCGCGTCGTGAGCGCCGAGCAAAAGGTCGCGAAGCGATATCGCTTTTTCAGCATCCTCATCAACACATGTCTGGGAATCCAGATCGTGGTCGCCGCCGCATTGACTGCCCTAGGCGCCGCGAGTGGTCCACACTCGGCCGTCACGGCGTTTGGTGCGATAAACACAATCATGGCTGGTATTCTGACCTACCTAAAGGGGTCGGGACTGCCGGATCGTCTTAAGCACTACCAGAACGAATGGCGAAATATCCGAGAATACATCGAGCAGCGAGAACGAGAATTTTGTTTGGACGGATGTCTACTGGACGTGCAGGAGGAAATACAAATCGTCGAGAGCATGTATGAGGGCGTCAAGCGCGAGATCGAAGCTACAAAGAGTGGTGAACATAGCAATAATTCTGGTGGAAGCAATCGACGGGCCTTCTTCCCGACTTCTCACAATGCGCAACCGAATGCTCCTCAACGGGGCGAATCGCACAGCCCAATATCAGTCCCGGAACCGTCGTTAGAAAAGCATTGAATCGAGTGATAAAGTCTGGGATTTGACGCAGAAAGAGAAGGGCACAAAGACTGTTTGGCCTGCTGGATCGGCCTTTCGGTTGGATATAATCAGGTCGTGACTCGCGAAGGTGGTTTACACACCAAAAGCATTACCATGCAGATGATGAGTGAAGTGACATGTATCCCTATCAGAGTACTGTGAGCAGCACCTCTGAGACTTTTTATTAATGTATTTATGACTTGTATAATCGGATAAAGAAAGCGGGGTTCTTAATTGGTTAATGTTTGTCTCCCGAGTTATTGCGGTATTAATATTCCTTTGGTAGAATAGACCGAAAGCACGATTTAAAAAATTTTGAGTATATTAAGCAATAATATATGCAGTATGCCTGTCTATAAGGACAACCTGGCGTCGTGCATCAAGACGATCCCGGCCCGCAAATGCTTCAGATGAAGGTGGCATCATCAGCTGACCGCCCATCATCACCACCACCATAATCTCCAATTCCCCATTTCCCCAACACCAAATTACCCCTCTTCCAAGATACAGCATAGAGACTACCAACCTCAAAACCTTGAACATGACCATCGAAATTCACCCCGCAACCCCCTCTGACGCCCCCGCCCTGGCCGAAGTCTTCCTCTCCACATTCTCCGACAACTTCAACGTCGCCCTCTTCCCCCGCACTCAAGATGTCCGCGACTGGTGGATTAGCAAATTCACATCAGACATCACCAGCTGCACGAGCTCTCCTCCACTAAATATCGTGCTCAAGGCTATAGATACATCGAGTCAGAATGGGGACGGCGAGGCAACGATCGCGGGGTTTGCGAACTGGAAGCTTCCCGGGAACGAGGACACGGACGAGGAGGCGGTTTCGTGGCCTGAAAGCTGTATACCCGAGTTGTGTGAGAGGTTCTTTGGGGTGATGAAGGAGAAGAGGGATAAATATATGGGTGCAAAGAGGCATTATTGTACGTCACACAAAACTGGCTGTGCAATTTTGACAATTCCAATGCACCCCGACTGACGGGTTTCAGACCTCGACATCTTAGGGACGCATCCGGCATATCGCGGTCGGGGAATCGCTTCGCAACTGCTCCAGTGGGGGATCAGTCGGGCGGACCAAGAGGGTGTCGATATCTTCCTTTCCTCCTCGCCGCAGGGGAGACATTTATATGATAAGTATGAGTTTCGGGTTCTGGAGACGGAGAAGATCTTCCCGGATTATGTGCAGAGCTATTTGGTGCGGGCGCCAGGCCAATAATGAAGGTATTCATGCTCGAATTGATGCCTTTTTTTCTTGACGAATGTAATGAAATGGTATATTCATGTCGCATGTCCCTCGGTCGGAGATTTCCCTGAATTATTTCCTTTTCTTATATCATGTTCTTCACCCATTGTCCTCTGTCATTGTCATTTTCCTGTTGATATATCCAATTGCCCCTGCATTGCCCATCATTTGCAATGAACAGCCAATCAAAGAACAGCCTCGGTTTTACAGGCCAATCATATTTCTGGATTTCTTCATTTTCAGGCGTCTATTCCAAACCTGTACTAGAGGGGTGTTCTGATTGGCCACTGATCACGAAGAGGGCGTCCTATCGATAAGAAACCCCCGCGCATTTATAATTCACGATTTTGGGAGCTTCATTTTTGCAACATCCCATCGCGAGAAGTCGCTGTTTCTGCTGCTGAGAAAGACAGAATTGACACCAATCAATCAAATCCAGCATCATGGGTGAAGCTCCAGCTCCGAAAGAGCATCTGCTCATTGTCTTCTTTCGGGATCAGCCAACCGCGCAGCTCGAGTACGTCCAGCGCAAATTCCCAGAGGCCGAAGTGACATTTCACAAGATCAAAATGGGTGCCCCCGTTCCCAAAGGTTTTTTTTTGTGGCAGGTAGTCTACTGCAATTGCTGATATCGGACAGAATTGGCTCAAAAGGCCACTCTCCTCGTGACATTTACCAACCTACCTAACCCAGAAGATGCGCAGAAGTAAGCCAACTGACTAGTAGTGACCGTTCCAAACCATTCGTTCCTTAATTGACCTTTGGATATAGTCTCAAGCTCATTCATACTTTCTCCGCCGGACTCGATCACCTCCTCGGCCACCCAATCCTTCAATCTACGAACATCCCCATCTCCACCAGCTCTGGTATCCATGGTCCTCCTATCGCAGAGTGGGCTGTTATGAACTGGATGGTGGCATCGAGAAAGTTTATCGAGTCATATGAAGCACAAAGGGCACATCGCTGGGCCTCTGTGAATGAATATTTCGATGGCTTGAGCGATCAGGTGGGCAAGAGGGTTGGCATTCTGGGATATGGAAGTATCGGGCGACAAAGTATGATTCCCCAATCCCCTTTTAACTTTATCAAATGCTAATATACAACAATTCCTGTAGTTGCCCGCGTTTCCGCCGCCTTGGGAATGACCGTATATGCCTACACAGCCTCTCCCCGCACTACACCCGAGTCTCGTCGCGATAACGGCTATATTGTCCCCGGAACTGGTGACGCAGACGGTTCGATCCCGGTATCCTGGCACCATGGCACAGATAAAGCCTCCATCCACTCTTTCCTCTCCCTTGGCCTCGACCACCTCGTCATCGCTATCCCTCTAACACCGCAAACAACCAAACTCATCGGTGCCGAAGAATTCGCCCTCCTCTCCGCAAAGAGCACCAACCCTTACACTAAACCATATGTGACCAACATTGCCCGAGGCAAGGTCATCGACCAGGATGCTCTGATTGCATCACTCAAGTCTGGCGAGTTAAGTGGTGCAGCGGTGGATGTGACGGACCCTGAACCACTCCCGGAAGATCATCCATTGTGGGACGCACCGAATGTGCATATCAGTCCGCATGTCAGTTCGCTTGGGCGGGAGTATTTCCCGCGGTCGGTAGATATCTTACGATTGAATGTTGATCGGTTGCGAAAGGGAGAGGAGATGGTTAATGAATATAAGAGGGAGAAGGGATACTGAATGGTATGCGACATCGATGATTGCATTGTATATAACTAGACATATATTGAGTTGCATACCGATTAGATAGACCAGTGGCGGCATTCTTAAGCGTCCGCAAGACTGGTTATTAGATGGTCATGCATCTAACAGTATATATTTCATTCTTCCTCAAATCATCCCACAAATCCCAATCCATTCAACAGACTTACGCCAAATAACACCTCGCAGTCTCCTCCACAAAAACACCAATAAACCCACTCCCCAACACAGCCCAGGTCCACGGATTCGCCAGCTCCGAAACGCTCGGCCAGAAGCTATTCTTCTCGTTGCGCCAGCTCAAAAGCTGCGCGTACTTTTGCGGATCTTCCTTTTCGTACCGCTCTTCTTGGCTGGCTTCGTTCTGCTTGTCGCCTCCCACGAAGCGGAGGTACACGTAGTTTGCGATAGGGCCCAGGAGAACAAGGGGGTTGAATGTGTTGGCGGCGTTGAGGAGAATGAAAGAGAAGTGCACCAGGGAGTCACCCAAGTAGCTAGACATTGTTAGTATATGATTTCCTCGAGAAAAGATGGCGGAAACTCACTTCGGATGCCGGACAATACTCCACACACCATGACGACAGAGATCCGTCCGCTCTCCACGATGCAACTCAAGCTGCGTGTCTGCCATAACCTCCATCGCGAAACCCGCACTGAACAAGCCCACACCCAACGCGCGGATACTCTTGGACACGTCCGGATCAACCGAGATAGCCGAGTGCGTCATGCAGAAAGGCAGGGTAAACGGCAACGAGATGAACGTGAGAAACACTGCCTCGGGAGCGAATAGCTTGAAGAATGCCGTTTTCCAGAATCCCGCGGGGTCCTTGGCTTTTAGTTCATCGTATCGGGGGTCGTCTTTTCCGCGGGCGAGAGTCCTTGACACGATGCGGTAGAAGAGTCGTGTACCCCAAGCTGTCACGCCGCCCAGCAGGACCTTCTCAGTCCATGGGAGACTGCTCCATGCGTCGGTGAATGATATGTTGTTGTAGTACATAGGACGTCCGAGAGCGCTCCACCAGGCGTTGATGACCTGGCTAGACGGCCAGTTCCAATCTTTAATTTCGCCCCTATCTGTCGCTTTTGCGGCGATGAAGCTCGCGACAGACAGACCGGAGTGTAAAGCGAATGAGGGCAGTATGGTCGATCTTAGAATCCCGACATCGCCGGTTCTCAAATGCAGGTCATGGCTATGCGATATGTTGTATGCCCGGTCGACATCGATCACGGGCGATACGCCGTATGCCTCCATATTGTAAATTGAAGGTATTTCACTGATGCGAGTGAAATGACGTTTAACTTGGGCGCGAGATGGGGGATTTTGTAGCAGAGTTGAGTGTTGATGTAAGGATTATGTAACTGTCTTTGCCAGGCTTGGTGAGTTCCACCACAACACTTTAAGAATGAAAACAAGTTATATTGTATGATATCACATGTGGTTAATATATAATACAGGGAATTGGTTGATCGACATGGACTTGATATTTTTTGAATCGCCGTGTTTCTTCGCAAGTAGAAGTGAATATGACGCAGCCGGCTGCATCCAGATTTAGAAACCCCGCAAGGCGACGGAAAGGTCAACAAATATGAGAAATTCGAATGGAAAAGAAAAAGAAACAGGCAAAGCAGACAAATGTATCAGAAAAAAAGGCGGCAGTACATATAACTAATGCTCCTGTATGTATACCAGATGCAATATAAGTGAGAAAGGATGAGATCTATCGAAGATTATTCAGGCTCTAGTCCATTTTGTTGCTCGATCACGGCAGTAAAATTAAAGTTCAAGTTTGGTTCTCGACATTGATCTTTGGTCCTATATTGCTCATTAGTCAAATTTGATAGCCGATGGCTCCAGTATTCGAGAAGATCATCCGAATCTGACGCAGTAAATGCTTCAATATGTGTTCCATCCCGTGTATATAAATCTTCTTTTAACGTATGCTTCATGGTGTTTGAAAGCAGAGGCTCACTTGCCGGTAGCCTCAGACAAAGATCATGAATGTCACAGTCTTCAGATATTTTCTCCAGAGGAAGCTTGCTCGTGTTTGTTCGTCGAGCCTTTAGGCCATTTTTCGAAACGTCACTTTGTTGACGCATAAGATATGCCCTTGGGTCATACGGGTTTAGCCTAGGCCTTGATATCGAGTCTGCCGAAATTGAATGGGGTTGCTCTGTACTATCGTTCAAATCTGAATTCAAAACTGCTCGTGCTGCGAGATATCGACTTTGATGGGGGTTCGAAGAGCTAGGTATCTCATGGCGGTTCCTCTTTTGCTCACGCCGCTGCTGTATAGCCTCTTTCTTTCGGCGCTCAAAGTCAAGGGCGTCCTCTAAATCACTGTTGATCCCCTTTTCCGAATGTTTATGAAGCCTAGCGGCCCACGTTTCAAGCACTGGAAGTTCCCGGCGTTGTTCTGGGATTTCTACAGGTCGACTTCCCAAAGAAGAAGTAATGTTTTCGGGCGGCGATTGTGATACGTTCGAAGTGTTTGGTGTGTTCTCAGGACTTTCACGCTGTGGATATCGGTCTTCGACATCATTTGATGCTGTATCTAGTGATTGTTCTCGTCCAAATCGTTCCCGTGCTAGCTGGGTCAAGGACGGTCCGTCCTCATCCTGCTCAAGTTGATTTCCAGGATTGTTTTGATCAAGAGTAGCCTGAGTGGTCTTGACAAACCAGGTATCGAGAGCTCCATTGCCATATCGCTCCTTGTCACGCTCCCTTGCTGCTCTCTTCGGGTCATTCTGTGCTGGGGTGGTTGGTGATGTTTGGGAAAACTGGAACAAGGGCTGTGAATGGTGAATGTTGGTAGGAGAGGCCGAGTTTGAATTTGAGGTTGAAGGACTTGGTAAGGCTGGGCTGCTTGGCTGTCCACCATCTAGAGCCCTGTGCCTCCGAGGATGCTCTTTGGCCGCATTATGTTTTGGCAAAAGCATCCTATTTTCAACGGCTGAGTTGGATTTTTCCGGTGTTCGAATTGGAACATTCAGCCTTGTCATGGACCATGGGCTCACAATTTCCACATCTTTCGAAGTTGCCTGATTAATGGTCTGTTCTGTTCCAGGTGGCGATGAGCTCTGGAAGTCCCTCCTGCGATAAGTGCTCGGAAGCGGGGATTTAAACTGCGAATAAGTTGTGACAAGCGGCGCTACAATAGGATTATCGTTCACATCTCGGTGCTGTGGGGTGGATTGAACAGAGTCCTTCCGAGCCATCAATAGGTCGAATCCGTTGCTGTTTTGTGCTTTTTCTTTGCCTTTGGCTGGAGCGGCACTTTTCTCAGAAGCACTCAATTCGCCATAAGTGTCTCGAAATAAATCTTCCACAAAGGAAAGTACTTGATCGGCATCTTCGAACAATACATCGTCCTTGGCTGGTTCAATGTTGACATCATACGTGCCTTGGGGACACTGTATATGCAGGCAAATGAAGGGGTCGGTGATATTAGGAGAATGGTCATTGCTAGAACAAGTCGAGCGGAGATAGGATTTATAAACTTTCGTGATCTTGTGTCCAATCCCTCTGGAAGTTGATACTGGCCGTCCGTCGACGATGAAGTACTGGCCTCCGTTATACACCTTTGAAATGTCTACCTTTGTCAGTTAACGGCAGCGACCAGGAACAAGTTCAAATACCAGAATCAGCTTTGGGCAGGAAGGCCACAAGCTTAAAGTTTGATATATCCATCAATTGGTTCTGCTGAATATCCGTAGAATCCTCTTCTGGAGGCCATCGTTTCAGAAGGCAATTGGAGGCAACGTCTTTGCCAGTAATCTTCAGTGCCGCATCAACGAGAGTGGCATTTTGACCCGGTGCATACATCCAATTATTGCTTTCATTCTTGGCTTTGAGAACCCTGAAAGACAACCTTTTGGTGGGCTGGGCCATAGCATAAACATGAAGCATCTTCTTTATCTTTGTCAATGTTTTGCCGGCGCTTTTGAGGGCTGTCTGCTTGCGAACAGGAATGTGCTTTAGAAAGTCCGTCATGCGGATGCTAGTGCCCACTGGATGCGATGCACGATTAATGCTGTATGATAACAGTCAGTATCATAAACAGCAATATAGAGTAAGAGAAGCATATACCTAACGATTTCACCATCCCTTCCATATTTGACGGCTGTCCCAACTAGTTCTGCCTCGGTTCTGGTGACGACAGTCAAGCTGCCGGACATCTCAGCGGCACTGGCTAGAGCCTCACCTCTGAATCCCAGTGAGCTCCCACCAATATTTTTGAGATCCTCGACCGTTTGGATCTTGCTGGTAAAGGTGCGTTTGCAAACGAATCCATGGTCCTGCGAGGGAATACCATGTCCATTGTCTTTGACCTGAATTACATCCAGCGTGTTCTGGGAGATCTCTATTGTCACAGAGCTCGCGCCTGCGTCTAGCGCATTGTCTAGCAGCTCTTTGACAAGGGAACAAGCATCTGAAATGACAGATGTTGAGCCAATTGCCCGAACAGTGGCCGGGGGAAGGGCCACAATCGGCATCCTCGGCTTATATGAAGGAACATACGATCATAGCTGTTCCGGGCATCAAGAAATGTTGATTTTCAAGCCAAAACTGATGGCTCTAGAATATATAGATATTATTCTGATGTTTTATAGGCGATAAGTGCCGTTCTCGATGGATAAACATGGACGTCGTAAACGAAAGCAAAGGTCTTGCGAACCGGGAGATTCTATTTCCACGCACTGCCATCCGGTGTTGTGATCACGTGGGATTAGTCAACAGTACACGTCTCGCGGACTCGAATCGACCAACATGCATCTCCAGTTCTCAATCGCCAATTTCCATATTCGAGGTTTGATATCCTCGAGGAACCCGCTGGCTTTCTCGATAGATATGCAAATTCTCTGATATGGCTCACGGACCTTTCTCTATATCAGAGTTGGCCACACCGGCAGTCTCCACATTGATCGGCTTTCTCGCGTACAGCTCCCAGTACTTTTTTCTGCGGTTTGAGGCAATACCATTCCGGAAAAATGAAATTTGGACAGTCAACATCTTTGCTACATGCATCTGGATATGCTACTATCGAACATGTACTGTAGACCCAGGACGAGTCCCTAAAGACTGGGAACCGGCAGACCGTAAGCAACTGGAAGCTGACCGCGTGAGTGGACGGCAACGATGGTGTCGTAGATGCGAAGCCTACAAGCCACCACGCGCTCACCATTGCAGAACATGCCAGAGGTTAGTCTTGTCACATAATGATCGGGACTGGTGCTGACGATACCAACCAGATGTGTTCCCAAAATGGACCATCACTGTCCCTGGACAAGAAACTGCGTCTCTCACTCGACGTTCCCACACTTTATTCGGTTTCTATTTTATGCGGTGACTGGAATGTCATATTTGGAGTCGCTCTTGTTGGAAAGGGCGTCGCTAATCTGGAGGCACAGAGACCTGCCTAGCGTAAGAGACGTGGCCGTTTCCAGTTCGAGACTTTTTTGCTAACAGTTTTCGCAGTACCTAGGCCCAAGTTTATTCCAAATGGCCCATATTCTCATTTTATTTGTGATAAATAGCTTGACCGTTTTTGCCCTTTTCATTCTTTTGGCGAGGAGTCTTTGGACCCTTGGTTCGAATGTCACCACCATCGAATCTTGGGAGATTGAGAGACACAAAACTCTGCTTCGAAGAGCAAGATATTTCGGGGGGTACTTGGAAGGCCCGGGAGGTATCAAAATACGAATCAAGAAGCAGGAATTTCCGTACGACATTGGGATCCTGGCAAACATCAAGGCGGGTATGGGTGGAAGTATAAATGTTAGTTACCGCTGTCTATTCTTCAGTTCTGTTTGGCTTACGGCTAACTCACATCTTCTAGATCTTGAGCTGGTTTTGGCCACTTGCACAAACCCCTAGCCCTCAGTCAGGCTTGGATTTTGAAGTGAATGGGTTCGAAGGTCAGTAGCAAAACGCTTTATAACGTCTGATATGCATGGCGATTTTAACGCCATATAGAATCAAATGTGTCATGGCCCCCGCCAGATCCGGATCGCATTCCGCTGCCGGCTAAATCATTCAGAAACGATGATGCATTTACGGACCCCCAGACTTATAGCTCCGCCTATGAACAAGTGGAGGCATTCAACCGTCGCAAGGCCGAAGACTTGAAGCGTCAAAAAGCTGGAATGGAAGTCCAGCGTCGAAAACGGTTTGGAAAACGACTTAAGGAGGAGAACAATAGGGACAGTGACTCGGAGGGAACGGATCCTCGCAGTGATAACGAATCCGATGATGGCGAAGAGGGATGGAAGAACTCAGAGGGAGAGCGCCTACGCGACTTTGGGGTGGATGAGGATATCGAGTTCTATGATGAGGAAGATATACCTCTTGGCATTCTCATGCAACAGCGCAGCAAGCGTCAATGAGGGCAATGGTGGTTTGTGCTAGGCCATCAATACTACCTATACAGACATGAATTAGACCCTTTTCGCAATTCCTCTCAACCGGACATATCCCAACCATTGGCTACCATCTTCAATTCTGGTGACGGCGGTCTGGAGCACATCACAGATCTGCTCAATCGCTGCCTCCCGTTTCTCCGGAGGTAGCACGCCGAGCAACTGCGAACCCATGAGTCTGACCCATCCTGCCAGTCCCCCGCCAGCACCAGCAGTTAATTTGGTGGGTCGATATTCTGTTTCGATTTTATCGACCTGGAAGCCGACTTTTTCCAAGGCATCCTTCATCCACACGTCGGAAGGGAAGAACCATGGATTTGCCTCTCTAACCTTCTCCGGCGAAACACCTTGGTACACAAGCGCATAGAACACAGCCGTCATCACTTCTGCTATACATCCGTGACCACCCATCTCAAAAACATACGTTCCACCGGGCTTGACGCTGCTGTATATACCACGAAGGGTGGACATGCGCGTGGACTCATCCCGCAGAATCCAGTGCAATGCTGCATTAGATATACTGTAGAAACATAATTAAGCAATGAACAAACACACTCTTTTCGAGAAATCTTACACCTTATCCCAAGTTCCATCGGCAATAGCCGTCTCTTGTCCCAAAAAGCGGCAATCCACAATACGAAACTCTGCTTTGGGCCCGCCATAATCCCTTGTGGCTGCCTCAATCATCGCAGGTGATGAGTCAATCCCCAGCACTGACTGTACGGCAGGCAGGAAGTTTCCCGTGAAGATGCCATCACCGCAGCCAATGTCTAGGACTTTGTCTGTTGGTTGGGGGTCGAGGTATTTGAGGAGAGTCTGGGTTAATTGGGGCACGAACGACGCAGAGGCTGAGTAGGCCTGGTAGTTAAAGAGCTTAGTTAAGATTCCTTTCGCAATACGTACAATGAGTTCATTACCTCCGGAGTCCATGGATTCTCAGACTGCTGGTTATTGGATGTCATCTTGGATGCGGGGATAACGTCTTGGCGTGGGGAAGCTACTGTGAGTTCAACAACTGGAACAGCCAAGAAATGCGACTGATTCCTGTAAGGCAGATTGAGTAGTGAGCGTGTAATGCGTATCGAGGAATTGGAAATACATCTTTGTAGAGATGACGCCGGGTTTATCTTCCTCAAACGTTCAACCGAGGCGCCGATGTCGGAGCGAGTGTACGTAGAGAGCAGTTACTCAGGCATCTCCACCTTCATTCAAGTATGAGGCAGCATTGGGAAGTTCAATCAGATACTGCATTATAAAAGTTATTTGACCTGTGATAAAGCTAAGTAAGACCTCGATCCTATCACCCCGTCGATTGTCCTCCAAATCCATCGAACCATCAGAAAACATGCATGAAAAGCAATGGAGATATCTAGTCGGAAAAACCATCAATTTCATCATCAAAGGTGCCATCCTCGTCTCTATCATTATCGAATTCTGCAGCGCCACTGAGGCCTGCAATCCGATTGAGGTACCATTGCATCTGCAGGAGCGCATATGATGGGAGTGGATGGGTCATGGGATCAGAGGTCCGGAGCGTTATCACTGTGCCCGAAGTTATTTTCTGACCGGTGGCACAATTGAAAAGCTTCCCATTCTGGTGGATTGAGTCAGGACATGGGATCAGCGATGGACGCTCCAGAATAGAAACTATATCTCCCACTTAGGGGCGCGGCATCCAAAAGTATACCACGTCCATGGACTTGCCATCATCGGATGGCTTGTGAGGAAAGAGTGCAAATCGAGCATTACCCCAGTATCCGTGTGCCTGTCTCGTCATGGTGATCAGGTTTTGGAGGATTTCGGTGCCATTGGGTTCAAGTTCGTCTTTCCAAGCTTCGACCTTATCTTGGGTCCAAAATATGCGCAAGGTTGCCCAGAATCGACGCATTTGGATGTCATTTTTCTGACGCTTGTTCAAATCTTGGGGATAAATATGACACACTTCAAGAAGATCACCGGCACGGGTTATTTGGCACCGACCTTCATCTCGGGCAATGCACTCCAAAAATCAGCTGGTTGCTCAGATTCAAGTACGAGAATACTTACCGCCTCGGAGAGCTTTCTGTCTCTACTGTAACCTTGAGGCTTAGAGGTGGCAGCTTCTGAGCTTGAGCTTTCTGGTATAGACCCTGGCTCGGTTTTCCTACGGTCGTTGGATTCTTCCTCGCTCACTCTGACGGGACGAGCGAGCCCTATGGCAAGTTAGCCATGTCAACATAATAAATTGCTTTCATCAACTCACACAGCCGCAGCACCGAATCAAAGTCTTCGTGAAATTCAAGCGCTCTCTTGGATAGCTCTTGGAAAACAGGTAACAATGATGCGCCTTTAACCAGATGGCGAAGTCGTTCTATGTCTGCGAACCACAGAAACAGCCATAAAGAGGTACTGATGCTATCGATTTCGTAGATTCGACTGATTTCGGAAATCAGACCAGCTCTGTCTGGATGCTCAAGCTCTGGGGCTGCAGACATCTCTTTTCGCAGGAACTTTTCAATGCAATGGTGGTCTGTCACCTTGCCTCTAAGGTTAGATCACTTTTTGGTATGTGGTTGAGTAGAAAGTATGAAGGGGAGACAAGGACGCCAAAGCATAACCATCAGAATAGAGGAAGATAGAGGTCTGTGATGAGATAGATAATTGGAGATGAAATGGTCCAAGAGAAAGGTATAAAAGGCTCATTTTGGAGCGTGAATGGTTCTAGGCAGCAATACTTGAGAAGGTGAATTGAAGCCATCATAATGACCTATACAGGAACTGCAGAAATCATTCATCAACGAGGGAATGAAAACTATCTTATCACTGTATCTTAGTGAAGGTAGAGACAGTGATAGCAGTTAGTATATCAATTCGAAAAGATTAAAAGAATAGAGCGTAATTTGCATACTATCTGATATTCTACGGCCTGAAAATATAGATAAAGTCAAGGGATAAAACTACATTCCATAGAGAAATAAATGGCCTAGAGTAACACAACAAACGCCAGAAGATAGGTACTGCATTTTTAGAATCCAGGAAATCCAAACTGCTGTACAGGGGTACAACGAGTGTTGTATATCCTTCAAGAATGACATCATATGCCATATCAAGGGAACGGAAATGCGCGGTTCCAGTTTCCATTATTTCCACGGTGGATCTATCTGATCCATTATTAATATGGGGCTATATCCACTTGACAAAGTCGCCGAGGTTCAAAGTCGGGGCAATTCACCACAATATATATAGTCCATCACAGTCCCTACGAAGTGCGGTATCAAATAGTTGATCAAAATAAAATCAAGAAAATGCCTTACACCGGCCAGTGCAATTGCGAGAGTATTCGCATTACCCTGCCAGAGAAGCCTGCTAATTGCATGCTATGTCACTGGTATTAGTTTCGAGGAAGTGTGTTATCATGCCAGGCTAACGGATTCTTCCAGCACCAACTGTAAAAGAGCCGGTGGTGGCCGTGAGTATAATCCCACCTCGGACTGACAATGCGATGGCTTATACATCCAGCTTGTTCGCTCAATTACGTCGTGGACCTTGATGATATGTCAGTCGAAGATCCAACAGGGGCTCTGAAAATCTTCAACGACACCAAGTCTCTCAGTGGAAACGTCGCGCAAGTAAGGCGCCATTTCCATCTGCTGTTTTATGTCCACTGTGCTAATATGTCCTGATAGCGACACTTCTGTTCCAACTGTGGAAGGTATGTTTCTTATTCCATTGCGATGCGAGACGGTCGCTCATCAATATGCTCAACAGCCCAGTTGTCACCAAGACCCCTGGCGTTCCTGGAAAGGGTTTCTTGAAGGCTGCTTTGTTTGACAGCATTTCCCCTCCAGGCGGCCATTTCTTCGAGCAAAGCAAACTGGAGTGGTTCAACGCACATTTGTGATTGATGAAGGATGGCTGGGTATGCATACGCTAAGGTGCTAAGGGGGCAGCGTGGAGTTTGGGGTTTGGATCGAGGTGAGGAGAGGCGTTCTGTGGGTTGAAGAAGTGTCAGTTTCGGCGTTGTTTGAGAAGGGGTTTAAGACTTAGCGAGAATACCAGTGTTTTAGACTCCACAGATCGTCAGGCCGTTAATCCTTTCTGCATGTCATCAATTAGTGTGCCCGTATTTGCTGTGTAGACAAGCTGGTCGGTCAACACAACTGGAGGAGACGCGGCGATTTCGTCAAAACAGCCTGCGATGGTGTGATTCTGCCGCAGCCTCTGATTGGCCAATTCCGAATGTCCCTGCAGACTGGCAACAGACCATAAAATAAGCATCGTCAGTCTTCGTTTTCAACTCTCGCCAAGGCCATTGATATCAGAAACCTGGAGAAGATGGAGTCGAATGGTGGAGTTCCCCAGACGGTCGATCGTGGTCGTCGTGGTTCAAGCCCACTCCGGGGATTTCCGACCGTGGACTCTCTTCCGCCCAGCAGCTCCATTGGACGAGTCACAGCCCGCGGATTGCGTCCTCGACCAGCGCAACCTCCCAGCCCAGGAACTCGCAGGACGTGATGACAGTGTCGATTTACCCCTCGTTTGCGATAAAGAATGGTTCATCGGGATGATCATCAGCCGGAATGGGGTTTCGGGCCCCTCTCGAACCCCGTGAGTGGCACGAGACATCGATCGCCCATCCGCAGCAGTCTCAGCGAACCGGATACTCTCGAGCTGCATGAGATCCAAACTCACGAGGAAAACGACGACGAGGAGGTCTCGGGGGCTTCCATCTCCTCGGGGGAATATCGAATCACGACTCGTCGCACAGTGTCTCGTACCAGCCGATGCAGTAGCGAAGAAAGCAAGGGGCTCTGGGGCCGTGTGAAAAGGTTTTGGACGCGGAATGTCGTTCTGACAGTACCGCAGAAGAGCAACCGTGACCACTTTGGTTAGTTACACCGTCCAGGGAAGTGATATTTATGTATCACAACAACGTGGAGGCAGAAAGTCGTGCGACGGTATTCTGACATCATCCAGCGCTGGAACGAACATTTCTCGCCTACATCCGCACCTCGGTGATGATTGCAATGCAGGGAGTTTTAATAGCACTGCTCTTTCGGCTACAACGAAGAACCGCACAGCCGAAAAAGGGACCGGGATTCTACGAGATTGGCATTCCACTTTCAATCGCGTATCACAGTGTGGCCCTACTGGTGGCTTTAATCGGTGCAAATCGCTTTTGGAGACAGCAACATGCAATAGGGCTGGGAAAAGTACATGTGGGCGGTTGGGAGTTGAACGTTATAGGGTTTTTGATAGCGGCAGTGAGTATTCTCTTGGTGTTGATTGCTGTCAACTATATGGTACTAATCTGAACGCAGCTTTTGATATCGACTTTGATTTTGACTGTTTATGCAATAATAAATATCGATAAACGTCCTTTGTGATAACGTGCCGATGTATATTGCGTTCTTTAAAAATATTATTACTTAATTAATAGGTTCTTCGCAGTGATATTCAACCATCTCCCTACAGCAAGATTAGGCTGAACAAGAGACTAGTCGACCAAGACGCATCATCACTATCTGATGTCCCCTTGAATATACTGGGCGCCAGGTAGTTGGCATAGTCCTCGGTAAGAAAGTCAACACCGTGGACTTCAAGTTTGAGGTCACAACCTCACTGGAAGAGAGAAATTCATAGCATGCCCTTCGCCAAAATATTATCATATATATCATGTATCCATCTATATCATACAAAACATCAATCCGCTGCAATATCATCAGCCATTACTCGACATTTGACAGGCCGCAAGAGCAAGCAAGATGACCGCAAAAACAGTCTGCCTCTTCTCCCACTCGCCCATGATCATGCACATCCCTGTGGCTATAATGACGTCGTAAAATCTGGTGAGATGGAGATCACCACTTTGACAAGCCCAGGGATCTTGCTTGGTGTGCGCCGTACGGTCCAGCCCGAATTCATGCAGGAGCTTCGAGATTTCTGAGTCAAACGTGATCAAACTTCCGTATTGCTGTGAGCCGAAGCTGCTTGTATACTGGGCCAAGAGAACCTCTCTTGTTTCTTGATGGCCCTCAACTTCTGACGGTTTGGCATCATATGCAGGTACAACTGGGACCATGGCAACAAGCTTCAAATGCGTCAACGGCAGCAAGTCCCGCAATTTCTTGTCAGCAGGCACATCACTCGTGCCCTTCCATGCAAAATCGATATTTCCAAACCGGAACTGATAGCAGCGCGTATTCACCGAAAAAGGCGACTCCCAGCTCAGATTCACAGCCTGCTCTGCCCGCATCGGGATATGTTCCTCCTCATCCTCCTTCCTCTTCTCAACCTCGCTTTTGTTCAAATTCCTCCTCTTCCGCTTCTCATTCACATCCCGATGATAATACTTCCCCGATTCATACCAAGCTCGCCACGAACGAACTTTATATCCCTTCAGCGCACAATCATCATCGAGCGAATTATCCCGATTACTCCGATTCTCCCACCTCACCACGCCCCTCCGATCCAGCGCCTTCCCAATATCATCCCCAAACTGAATATTCCACCTCTTCCAGAACCAGTCATCATTAATGAGACAGATTGGCTCGCAGCTCTTCGACCCCCCGCGACGGAGGGTTCGTGCGGGGTTGTGGAAGGCCAGAAACGGGACGTGGATGAAGTAGGTGTCTTTGGCGGAGTGAGGGGAGGCGATCTGGTGGATGACGGATCGCGATTTCCGACGTGGTACGTGGACGGGGGAGATGAGGATGTGCTCTTTTACGCCTTCGTGGTAGATTTGGTAGGTGGTGGTGGTTGTTGTGTAGAGAAGGTTTTGGATGGATGGTTTGGGGGCCGTTTCGGGCTGTTTTTCTTTTCGTGAGAATAGCTTCATGGTGTGCTGTTAAATAGTTTAATTGATGTTTGATCAAATAAATGATTCGATTCTGGTGCGTTATCCCCGTTTAAATAAATCGTCACTCTGATCCCTACACTAGATAAAGTCACCTGAAACAAGCGTGGCTGTGTCGGGCGTTGTTTGCGCCCTGCTTGATAGCTTTTGGCCCCCATGGAGGAAATTCGCCTTACTGGTAGGGAAAATGCCCTTCACAGCCCTGTTGATAGATTAAAAATGCCTGAGAATAACTTTTTAGTCTTATTTTAGGTTAATGGTGTGATAAAAGGCTTGTTTTGTGATTTGGGGTCGATGATTGCTATTCGTCGGCTCGGTTATATATCCCCAGCGAAGGAAGAATAAACAATACTGTCTTCAGCTCAGCCACGATTAGGGGAATTTAATTGAGAATTAAGTTATTCAGTGAGTTACTATTTATTTGAATATCTCAGGATTATAGTAAACCGATATAGTCTTGTGCAACGATGCCCAGTCCAGCAACAGCCACAAACAAGGCCAACCCACTATTCAAAGTAAACAATGCACCAGCATTGGAAGTTGGACTGGAAGAACCACTACTCGTACTTGTTGCAGCAGTCACTTGAGTGGCAGTCTATGCATAGCAATTAGCCCCCAAATCCAACCGAACCCAAAGATAGACTCAAGGGATAAAAATAACACCTAAAAGCAGAAGACATACCGAATTCGAGACCCCAGTAGCAGTAGCTACCGCACCCGAGGTAGCAGATGATGCACTCGGCGTGGCATTATCACCACAAGCCTTGGCCGCGGCAGCGACGTCGTCTCCGTAGTATTGCCAGATATTGTATGCCAGAGCGCAGTCGAGACAGTCGGCTAGTTCGGTGGTGTATGTAGAGTTGGAGCAGTAGTTGTTGGTATCGGCGATGACGATGACGCCGCCTATTAGCATTAGATGGGATACAGCTATACAGAGAGTAGGTGACATACCACAGTCTGCATGGCAGTTATACAGGGGACTTCCTTTTGTGATTGTTTCTCTTCTTGATATCGGGAAGGAATCGGGCAATTTCCAGGCAAGTGATGGAGGAAGTGATGCTGCGAGAGTGAGAAGAAGGGTGAGGATTTGCATTTTGGTGATGTTGAGAGAAGGATGGTTGATTATATATTATGAGCAGTAGAAGAGAAGTAGCAGGAATAAATATTTAAACGATGGGGGAACAGTGCTTATAACTACAGCTTGAGCTGTATAGACCATGTGGTACGATCAGCATCGCTTTTATCTCCGAGAGTCCACTCTGACTCGCTTCAAGAAATAAGACATCTACTCCACCGTTCCACGCTATGATATTTACCGAACATATGCCAAGGGTTAATGGGTTGATTCTAGTTGAGACATTGTATTGATGCAGACATACGGTGAGGAGCAGGAAGTAAACGAGGATGGAAAACACCGGCAAAAGTAAATAGATTAATCGCGCACCAGGATGATTGATTGGAGAAGTTTTCAGCCGACTGTAGTCTGGGCTGATTTTGCTCAAAAACACTTTCATTCTACTCTTGATAATATGACATCCTTATACTTTTTTCTCTGTAGCAGTTTGTCCTCCGGCCCACTGTCATTTATCAAGAAGAAAGAGGCATATCCTTCCATACCACCTGGGTTGAGAAAAAGATCTCAAGACCAGCACATTCGGGACAGAGGACCAGATCAGGTCGTTGAAAATCCAAGTGGACTCTCTTTATCAGATCAAAATCCAACAGCCTATCGCTTCCAAACCCATGTTTGATCTCTTTCACATGACGCAAAGACCCCAATTCCCTTGAATTGACAGAAACTTCGGAACCTGCGGCTTCCATTACCGCATTGGGATGTGGATTACTGAATCAACCAATAAACGTGAGAGACAACATCTTATCAATCTAATCTGATCTGACGCCGGCTGAGCTGTTCCGAGTGTTTTTGACGTAAATTAATATGGAAACTGTGGTTTTAATATATTCTGTCTTGGTGTCCTGACAGATGGCTTTTTTTTTCGGGAGGTGCCGACTTTTCATCTATCCTACAGTCGGATATATCGGTAAAGCGGGGCTGTCATCCTCGCTCATAGAGAGTGATATACTTGTATGTTCGTTTATCAGGTAGCAGCTGTAGGGTATATCCGAGTTCTTGTATATAAACCAGCATACAACCAAAATACCAGACATTCTCGTCTACTCTGTACAATTTACTCTACTTTCCTTTGATAACAATATGCCCCCAAGACTACTCACAACTCTCCTCGCCGTGGCCGGCATCCTCACTCCCCACGTCCAAGCCGCAGAGGCTACAGACATGGGCGCTGCTGCTTTCTTATGGCCACCAGATAGAGCATGGGGAGCTGTGCAAGACACCACTGCGCCGTGTGGTTCATCGGCTGGCGTTACGAATCGGACGGAGTTTCCACTGAGTATGTCTACAGGTATCATCCAGTTATAGTTACATGGCTGATCTCTGCATAGCAAACGGCGCCGTCTCTCTAGTCCTCCAGACAGAATCATATACAGTCAATCTAGCAGTCTCCTACGAAGACGGTGAGCCCACCCCCTTCAACCACTATACTAGATAGGTAGCTAATGATAAACAGACCCTACAAGCAACTCCGACTTCACAACGATAGTATCCGGATCCGCCTTCCCCGACCTCGACCCAGGCCACGAATGCTACTCCGTGCCAAACCCGCCATCAAACATCACCTCCGGTGCAAACGCAACTCTGCAGCTGGAGTACGTTTCTGATTTCGACAATGATGGGAATGAGACGTACTATGCCTGCGCGGATATCACATATGTTGATCTGAGCGAGTTCACGACGAGTATTCCGTGTTTTAATGTTACGGAGGATGATACATCGTCGTCGTCGTCGACGTCGGCGTCTACTGCGTCATCAACGGCTACTAGTGATAGTAGCTCGGGTGGATCAAGTCTCTCGAAAGGTGCCATCGCGGGTATCGTGGTGGGAAGTGTCGTCGGTGCAGCGTTGATCGGGGCAGCATTGTTCTTTGGGGGACGGTACTGGCAGAAACGAGTTGATCATGAACATGCCGTGGCGTTGAGGATGATGAATCCGGATTCTGTGCAGAAGACGTGGTCTGCTTCGACGGCTGGGCCGCAGAGGATTTAGTTACTTGATGGGTTGTGATGAGGTTATTGTTCTGAGATCGAATTATTTATACGTGTCTTACCACGCAGGTCATGAATGCTCTATGCAGTGTATTATGATGTGCTATGATCTTGTCTATCTATCATGCATTGGTGTACCAAGTCTACTCCAAAAATGAATGCCCCCCAATAAACAAAAACGGCGAAGGAACCCGAATGCCCCCCTCATACAGCCTCCAAATAATCGGATCAATCCAGACCGGGGTAGCCCACGCTAGAAATGACAACACCCAGACATATCCCAGGATCTGCCTGAGTTTACCCCCAGTCTTTGAGCAGAACTTCTGGAAGATAATCTCGGCGATAATGGCGGGAACCTGGAGGACGAAGAACCACAAACTCCCGGTCTCTTCGAGGGGGACGGTGAAGCCCATGTCCATGAATGCGTGGACGAGACCGGACATGAAGAAGACGAGGAAGAGACGGATGTAGCAGGCTGCGAGGGTCCCTCTGGTTAGACGGAGGAGGGAGAAGAGGAGACAGTCTGTGCTTGCGACAAGGGGTCTGCGGAGGGATTGATGCCATGCAGATCTGATGATGTTAGTTTATACTATATTATAGTGAAGTGTAAAGAATGACTGACCTCCAAAACTGCCGAAGGGAATACGCCTCACTCAACGAACCACTAACAGGCGGCCACGCAGCAGGCGAACAAACACCCAGCGCAACACAAATCACCCCAACAGCGTTATACGGAAGGATAATCGCCGATCTGGTCAAAATCCCAAACGACAGCGTAAACGACGCCTGAACCAAGATACTCTGCAGCGTCGTCGCAGCAGACGGGATCATCACCCGCTTACTCCTCGCAATCTCGGGCATCACCTCCGCCAGTCCAGGAAAGGTGGTTTCGACGGTGAAGAAATGCAGCATCGCGGCTGCTATGCATACTTCCAGTCCGCATTTACCGATAAACGCAAGGCGAGAGGGGATGTAGTTGCGATCATTTTTATCAAATTGAGGCACATACGCGATCTGCCAGGGTGTATGCACGCGACGATAGTTGAAAGCGATGTTGAATGACCAGCCGAATTGTCTGAATATCGACGGTGCAGACTTTTCACTGCCGTTTGATGCTTTTTTCTCCCACTCAATCTGCTCCTGGTAGGACACGCGACTCAACAAAAGCAAATCAATCGCATTAAGCACATTCACCCATCCCATCGCTGCGAGTGGTCCTCCCAATTTCTTGTCTGCGTCTGGGCTGTTGACGGCCGCTTGGACCGACCAGGCCAACGCAACAGCTGCGACCACCGCTGCATGGCGGAGGAGTGAGTGAGGCGAAGTAAAAGAAGCCGTCAATCCGGTGATGGCTTGGATGAGAAGCCATTGAGGCAGTGGAAGAGACCACGAGGGTGAGTCGGCCATGTTGATGATGATGTTGTTGATGTTGTTGAAAAGGGGAAAAGCTCCGTCAGATTAAAAGCAGCAAAAAAAGGTGGCTGGGGATCGACGGTGGAGCACATCACGAACTATTGATTTGAGGTTATTTACTCATAGCTGATACCATCTCTATTTCATCTGGAAGATATTTGAACATTGAACATGGATATTTATTAAAATTGATCCAGCAGCGATGTCGGAAATATCTGTCACCGCCATTCCATCCCACCTTGTAGCACAATGCCACTATCGTCAGGTATCAACCCCATTATGCCATTGTTAATTATATAGCAAAAGTCTTTGATTCAAATCACGATGGATTGTGATAATTACTACAATAATTAACGACGGAAATGATAAGCTTGAAAAACACTGACACCCAAAGTGTGGTTCCCCGCAATTGCGATGAAGTATGGATGACCTCATTTGTCATTTGCCATCGCATCGAGTTCTCGCTGAAAACAGACAATCCCCTCATGATTCAACTCTATTCAGCTCTTCTAGACTATCGAATAAAGTTTGTCTCAGCTTTGGGATGGACATTTAAGCTGCTTCCTTCCCGGCTTCTTCTTCTTCTTCAATCATTCAACTACTCTAATTTCTAACACAACTACAATACAACACCAACAAAATGGTAAAAAACCTGGTAAGTATTCACACTTTTCATGAATACTCTATTATTAACGTCTCAGACCTTCGACATCCGCTACGACAATGAGCTCGCCCACGAGTACTACGGCGATGGCGAGAAACTCACAAAGAAGTACATCTACCCATCTTGTATATCTAACATGAGCTGCACTGACAAAACCAGTTTGGAAAATATCTACCACGACAAGCATGTCCAGTTCCCAAAGGAATACGACTCCACCCAAACCTATCCTCCTATTCATTTCATGAGGTATGTTGTCTTATCTTGATGAATCGTATCCAGCTGACTCTATAGTGTCACCGCCGAGGATGATACTTCGGCTGATGATCTGAGGAAGGTTCAAGTGCCCCATGGATTGAATGTTGAGATTTTGGACTTTGACGAGTAATTTGGAAAGATCAGGTAGTTACTACACATGAATAATTATCAGGATAATTAAATCAAATGGATAATCTCACCGTTTCATCCGGATGATGCTAGTTCTATAATAAGTCGATGCCGTTGAGATGCAGGGTGACAAATCTGGCCAGCTGGAACTGCTGCTTCGTCGAGAAACTGGGATACCTGGTTTATTATCGTATAGCATAATACTGAACTCAATTCACCCTGAGTGCTGCATGAGCTGTGACAGGTCTTATTCATGTTGTGTTGGGATTATCAATTCATCTCCCTATATTGTATGCTCTTATACTTACTCGTTATTGTAATAAGTTTAATATGAATAAACGATATAGACGATGATTATACTAATAGCTAATAAATTTAAACAAGACGATACCGTATCCTATCTGCTCTATGTTAATAGCTCATGCAAGCTGCATAGCACGCCAACTCAATAAATCTCCGAACTCCCCATGAAGTCGGATTGGCGGTCACGTTCACCAGCTGGCGATGCTCGATATTCGTCCATAAAGCCTGCTGATCGCCCATGGTTTCTTCTTCAATCACTCCTCTCCCTGGAAAGCCTCAGCTGGCAGGATCAGATTCAAGATGAAGTCCTTGCGGTGGTCGGCTGTTCTCCTGTCTGTGCTTGCTTTGGCAGATTTCTCCATCTGCTCGACTGAGTCAGATGAGGTTGAGGTTTCGTCGAGCTCGTTGGAGTCCGAGATTCCCTTGACGACGGAGGAGACGGACTTTTCGTCGGTTTGGTCTGACGAGATTCCCACTGCTTCCGTTGAGGGGGATCTTCCATCTACTTCGGAGGAACCGGATGCAGCAGAGTCTGGGGACTCAAAAGTCGCTGAAGAAGCTGAGCTTCCTGAGTTTGGATCGGAGCCGGAGACTCCATCGCTGCCAACTCTTCAGGTATGTCCATCTCAGATGACAAGACATGATGATCATACTGACTGTATAGCCCTTCGACGCCGCTGCCCACTCCGCGTATGGCAAAACACCCACCGGAGAGAGAATTCTGGACATCATCCCCGTCGTCCGTGACGGCCTCACCTGTCCCTCCGGCATGGAGCCCGCAACCTCAAACTCGTGGGATGGCATCCACCAATGCGAATATGGCGTCTACAGCGCCCAGATCCCCAAGCAATACCAATCGAGCGATTGGCAATGCTGCTATAGCGAGCAGGGGTCCTTTGTCCTGTCTGTCCCCGGCGAGCCATCAGAAAGCTATCCCACCTGGGACACGCGGTACATTCTGGACGAAGCGCCGTGCTGTCGGGGATTGAGCGAGCAAGACGCACTGTTCGACGCATCCAGCAAACAATGCCAGTACGGCAAGGCTGTTCTGAACCTCCCCGGCTCCGACTATCTCACCAAGTGCTGCTGGGATGAGGAGCTGAACAACTGGAGCATCCACTTGAAGCAGCACTGGCCGTTCAAGACGATGCCCGTGAACAAGGAGTGGGCGCAGGATGTAGGATTCGGCCATGCAACGCTCATCGTGAAGCACGCCAACATCTACGGGCACCATATCGATCTCGCTGTTCAGGGCGTGTTTGGCGATCTGTTCGATGAAACCCGTACAGTGAGATTGGCGTTCAGCCATAAGTGGACTCGCGTGACGCGGTTCGAGGTCCGGGTGCCGATTCTTTACTCCACGCTGTATATTGATGTCGAGTCGGTGGTTAATGAGGATAACACGGTCTCGTTGAGGATTCACTGGACTGGAACGAAGTTGTTGGTGGGTCTGAATGAGAGTACGTTTGTGTTGCGGTTTGATTCGTCTGACTTTAAGGGGTTGATGGAGACGTATCCGGCTTGTTAAGTATGATGATGTGATGACTGAGGTTATTTTGGTTGTGTTTCTGGTGTGGATTCTCTTCTATGTCCATCTTCGTTTATGAAATAATAGTTTATTGATCCTGAGAATGAATTCAAATGATATATTTTATATGCAATGAATGGTGTTGGTCCAGGCACCCGTGCCAGCAGTGGAAGGCTGCAGTCAACTTTCCTTTCTCCCCACGACTTTTTCCACTCAAAATTCCCAGTTCAACAGATTAGAGCTTTTAACCGTCGAAAATCATGCCTGAATGGTCCTTTGACTTCACAAGCAGGATACGGAAGATTAACAAAAGGCCCATCAAGGTCGAGAAACAACTGAGGGAAGATACCTGTGATAGCTTTGGAGTGCGGCATGTCCTGACGCTGGCACGCTACCTTGACACGGACGAAGAGGTCATGCTGAAGATTCGCTACGAGTAAGTCAATACGCTATAGTGAAATGAAGAGTAATCCTACTGATTACGGCATCCAGTCTGGATCCAAAAACATACGATATCGAAGACGTTGAAGAGAACAGAGAAGAGGTTGAACAAGACTTTTGGAATGAGATTGATGGGGTCAACATTGTCCATGAAATCGGCCATGGACCTGGATATATTGACCATGTCTCACAGCCTGCTGGCCCAAGATTCCCATATCCTAATGGCTGGGTGGACTTCATCGTCATGTCAAGAGTCCCTGGAGAGAACCTGGAGGATATATACCGTGGCCTCTCTCGTGACCAGCTTGAGAGCATTCGAGAACAGCTTGCTTTTATCTTTGAGTAAGTATAGCAAGCCCTGATCAAAACTGAATAATTTCTAACTCACCCCACCAGGCACATGCGGCAGAATTGCGCAGCGCTGGGTATCCAGAACCCGAGGTTCCTCCAATATGACAGACAAAATGATAAGGTGTAAGGTATATTCCTGGCGCGATTGGTCTGCTATTTTAACTTTTCTAGGTACATCGTCGATTTCTCGTCTCTATGCATCATAGATCCGTCGCACCCGAGCTCCAAGCCTATTACCGTTAATGACGCATGGGTGCTTGAATTCGGCATGTGGCCAAAGAGCCATTTCGAGCCTCTTCAGTGACCGGTGCAATAGATACACAGATTGAGCTCAATCTGTCGGTTGAGGAAAATCAGGGAGATGGGGCATCTCATCTACTTGCTCATGTTATATGTCTACGTATGAATAGGTTAATATAGCAGTCCTTGCTTTCTTTTCATTGTCCTACAATGGAAACAGTAACCTATATAAAAACGACCAGTCATAGTTCATCGCCTGAATCTAATAAGAAGGCCTATTATGAGACTAAAAAATGAAAGGGATAGCAGGCGGAAGAGGTTGCATTGAATGTCCACAACTCAGTGTTGGTCCAGACAGGCACCCGGCCAGCCAACTACAGGAAGGTAGGAGGACGTTCTGATGATAGAAAAAAAAGAGTTTGATGCTATTCTAGATACCCTCTATGTTGCTAAAAGGTTGAATCCAATGACAAACATGCTATCGGGTGTGATGGCATGCGAAGCAACGGGGTCTGTGAGCTTCAAGTGGATGAAATCGACGAGATACCCGATACGATGAGACGGATACCGACTGTGAAAAGGTAAGGCAACCTACGACTTGTCATTTGGCCTGTCATACCTCACAGACAGGATCCTGTTTATACAAGCCCTTTCTTTTTTTCCGCAAGTGACTGGATAACGATTAGAATATCAAACACCAAAATAGGGGAACACACTCGAGGATAACAGCCAGCTGCTCAAACGAAAGTTGGTTGTCGCCTTGGACTCTCGATATGACCAACATATCCACGCAACCATCAGGGTAAGGGAACGTCTGTCCTGCGGGTTGAGTCGCATGGTCAATATATTTGGGCCCGTGGTGTATCGCTTGGACAGCTTCAACAGCTTCCACCTCATGGATGAACATCACGTCGGCTTTTTCTCGATTGGCTTTGGGGTCTTCGATGTTGAAGAATGTAGAGTTGACACTGGCATTTCCATCAGCAACACAATGTTCATCAAAGGATGATACTCATAACGTATTTTAAGCATAATATCCTCATTAGTGTCAAGATCGCGAGCAAGACTCAGGACATGGCGCTGCCCAAACCGAATGTTTAAGAACTCAGCCAGTTGCTCTTCAATCTTGACGCCCCTTGGTTGATTTTCCGGAGCCTGTCGGTGAGCCTGTCAGTGAATTCAAAGTCCCAGATCGGCATGATGAACGAGTGATACCGCGTGGTATGGGGCTTGGAAGCTTTGAAGGGAGAGTGGGGGTGTAAGGAGATTGGGGTTGAGTGAACGGGAGTCAATCCCGGTTAATATCGCGGACAAGCTGGGTAAGCCTGACTATTAAGATCGATTATCATGATATTTTCAAAGTACAGATATCGAAAACAAAGTTTTGGTCTTTGTCTAATTTTAGTAAATGCGATACTATGACCAGTCGTGGTTGATCAAACCTAATAATCCAACTGGTGACGTCATCGACACGGATGTAACACTACACCCCAGAAACCACATAAACCACCATCCACCATCTCCCCATCCTCACCTCACTCAAAATAAAATATCCAATTCTACCAAAATGGTCCATCTGAACAAAGTCCAAAAGCGACAGGGTCGTCGACCTCCTCCCAGCCAGACCGACGAAGACACCCTCTCGGGCAATGTCTACGGCACGCGATTCGCAGCCGAGGAACTGCCTCATCATGAGATTGCAGAGAGGGAGATGCCGCCTGAGGTTGCGTATCGGATGATTAAGGATGAGTTGAGTTTGGATGGGAATCCGTTGCTGAAGTATGTTTACGGCTACTTTTCATGGTGATGGTGTTAATATGTGCAGTCTGGCGAGTTTTGTGAATACGTATATGGTACGCCTCATTTATATTTGAAGACACGCAAGCTAAGAAAAACAGGAAGACGAAGTCCAACACCTCATGAACGACGCCATGAGCAAAAACTTCATCGACTACGAAGAATACCCCCAAACCGCAAACATCCAAAACCGCTGCGTGAACATGATCGCCCGTCTCTTCAACGCGCCCACCGACACAACCAACTCCAACCAAGACGCCATCGGCACATCTACCATCGGCTCCTCAGAGGCCATCATGCTCGGAACTCTCGCCATGAAGAAACGCTGGCAAAATCGCCGTAAAGCAGAAGGCAAAGACTGGCACCATCCAAACATCGTCATGAACAGCGCCGTGCAGGTCTGCTGGGAGAAAGCCGCGCGGTATTTCGACGTCGAGGAAAAGTACGTGTATTGCACGGAGCAGCGATACGTGATTGACCCCAAAGAAGCGGTGGATTTGGTCGATGAGAATACGATTGGGATCTGTGCGATCCTGGGCACGACGTATACGGGGCAGTATGAAGATGTCAAGGCGATTAATGATTTGCTGGTGGAGAGGAACATCGACTGTCCGATTCACGTTGATGCGGCCAGTGGGGGGTTTGTGGCGCCGTTTGTGAAGCCGGAGCTGGAGTGGGATTTTCGACTGGAAAAGGTTGTTTCGATTAACGTGTCTGGGCATAAATATGGATTGGTATGTCTTCATATTCATAATGGACATCACACTGACGATCCAGGTCTACCCCGGCGTGGGCTGGGTCTTCTGGCGCGCCCCAGAATATCTCCCGCAAGAACTCATCTTCAACATCAACTATCTCGGTGCCGATCAAGCCAGCTTTACCCTCAACTTCTCCAAAGGCGCATCCCACGTTATCGGCCAGTACTACCAGCTCATCCGACTGGGTAAACACGGCTACCGCTCCATCATGCGCAACATCACCCGGATAGCCGACCATCTCGCCTCCGAACTAACAAAACTAGGCTTCATCATCATGAGCGAGACAAGCGGGAAAGGCTTACCCCTTGTGGCATTCAGACTGAAGAATGACGAGAACAGACTCTTTGATGAATTCGCCATTGCCCACGTCCTCCGTGAACGCGGGTGGGTGATTCCGGCGTATACGATGGCACCGCATAGCAACAAGCTCAAGATGATGAGGGTTGTGCTGAGAGAGGATTTCAGTATGAATCGGTGTGGTGTGTTGATAGAAGATTTCAAGTCTGCACTCAAGACGCTGGAGGAGATGGATAAGACGATGATAGAGAAGTGGACTCTGTATGTTCTTTATTTTACAAATTGATGATATGGAGAGCTAACTGTATAGACATCGGTTGAGCAGAACGAACACGGCCAGGTCGAAGAGACATTCGCATTACAAGAACGAAAAGCATTCATTGCAGGGCAAGACTGGGAAGACTCATGCTGTATGCTAAGTAGTATTTCATAATTAACCATTCAGCATCTCCAAGTCCTCCATCTTTCCATAATCCTTCCGATTCGAGATAATCCGACTCGGATGGAAGATATGAAACACAACACAGCAGACAAACATCAACACTGCATCAAAGATATATAAAAACGCCTCATGGCTCTGAAAGTATCCCGTCGTCCCCTGCACGTACTCAATAACGCGGTATACAGATCTCACCATGATAAGCACACTAACAGCGTACAAAACACCCATATATCTCGCCCAGGGGATATCCATGGTAAGCGACGCCTGCGTAGGCGAAGAGTTCATCCGACGATGAAAGACCACGGACACGATAATGAAGAACCCAAAGAACAATATCTGCACGATAAGTCCGCCGATGATGACGTTATTTCCCAGATTGACTTTATCTTCTGATTTTGCGGTGGCGAGCATTCCACCTCCACCGCTTTGGATGAAGAAGGAGAGGACATCGCCTGTGACGAAGATCTTGGTGAGCCATGATGGTCGGATTAGAGAGCGGGAATCGCCACGAAGGAGTCGAATGATTCGTCCGAGGATCATGTATATCGATGCGGAGAAGAGGGATGGAGCGAGTAGGAGTAGCAAGCTCTGGCCGATGTATGGAGGAGTGGTCCAATTGGGGGTTTGTTTTGCGCTGAAGTAGCGGGATGTGTAGCCAAATGCTTCGACTGGGATGGGTTAGAGATGTTCAATTGATAGATAGATTGGGATTGACATACACATCCCACCGATGACGAAGGGGATAAAGTACCAGGTTCGTCGTTTGAACATTTGGAAGATGTGAAAGGCAGTCGTGGCTCCGAAGATGGCTGCAAAGAGCACTGCCGCGCCAGTGGAGGGGTCATAGTTGTATAGTTTGTAGGAGCTGCTCATTGTGAATAATTGCAGAATGATGGCGTTGAGGATGTCGAGGATGGAGGTAGATATAGAAAAATCTGCTGTCTGTATCCTCCATAATCAACACTGATCTATTATTATGGCCAAAACGGACTAATATAGGCTATTCGTACTTCGTAAACAAATCCTGCGTTGGTCTGAATCTGGACCCATATTTCGTATTCCTTTCCCGATTCGGCCATGGGTACGACATTGTATATCTTCGACTATAGACAATAGTTGTTGGAAACTATTTTAAACTCTCACTTCCCACTTTTATTCCTTTCATACTCATTCAGAACATTCATAATGGAATTCACACTCTACTACTACAGCCCCTCCAGTGCCGCTGCTGGCATCTTTGTCGGCCTGTTTGGCATCAGCACCATACTGCATTTCTACCAGTTCATTCGAACCAGAACATGGTTTATGATTCCATTCTGCATCGGAGGCATCCGTACGTAACATCTAACTGTGTCTACTATCAGCACTAACCCTCTCTAGTTGAAACAATTGGATATGTCGGCCGTCTTCTATCCTCTATTGAAACACCCAACTGGACCACTGGCCCTTATGCCATGCAAAGTTCCTTGATCCTCATTGCCCCCGCTTTCATAGCTGCCAGTATCTATATGGAACTGGGGAGAATCATCTACCTGCTTGATGCGCAAAAGAGTTCCATCATCAGACTTACCTGGCTAACCAAGATCTTTGTGGCTGGCGATGTTATTTCCTTTTTGATGCAGGCATCAGGTACGGTCCCATGTACTCTCACCTTTATAAGATCAGTCCTAATAAAGCATAGGAGCCGGCCTCATGATCCAAGACACCTCCAACCCCTCCACCGGCGAACACATCATCATCGGCGGCCTCTTCGTCCAAATCATCTTCTTCGGCTTCTTCCTCATAACCGCCGTGATCTTCGAAATCCGCCTCGCAAATTACAAAACCCCCAAGTCAATCGACCTCGCACACATCTGGCATCGACACATGCGCGCCCTCTACATGAGCAGCATCCTCGTCCTCATCCGCTCCGTCGTGCGTGTGGTCGAGTACCTCCGGGGCTATGATGGGTATTTGATGAAGAATGAAGTATTTATATATGTGTTTGATGCTCTGTTGATGTTTTTGGCGATGGTGGTGCTGCATGTTACGCATCCGAGTGAGATTAATGCGTTGTTGGGGAGGGGGGTGTGGTTTTTTGAGAGGGGTTTTGTGGTGAGGGGGGTGAGTCCGGTTGTTGTGACGGAGCGGGTTTAGGCTGGCTCTTTTTTTGTGATTTATATCTTGTTATATGGTTGATAATATGATGATATGATATGATATGATACAGCAGGCAGAATTGTTTCTCGTAGTTGAACCGCATTTGGTAAAGTGAACGAATACGAGATCCACTTTGAGTACATACGAAGTACGAATTCGATCGATGGGACCTTGAGGGTTGAAGAGGTTTTTCCGAGTTCTTTCTTTTCTTCTAGAAGCTTGCGGGATTGTTCTAGAATATCTTCTTTTGTTCCTGGTGCTGTCGATCGATTGAGTTTCATTACATAGAGGTGGAAATATATATTGTGTTGTGTGCTACACTGGAAGCTAAGATAAATGTGATATATTGGATATACCACTCTTTGCAATCCTAAATATAAATAAGAGAATACTCTCACCATTTTATCTCCATCCTTCATCTAAAGATATCCCATTTTGTTGATGATAGCATCGTCGATGGAGACTGCGGGGAACGCGGGGATGATGCAAACAAGGCAAAACGCGGAGATAACATTTCGCTTCGTTCGCGATTCGAATTCCTCTTCTTCAATATTTTCTCCCAGATGCTCAATTATCGATATCATCATCCTTTCAATTATATCCGCCTGATGTGATTGATTGCTTCCATCAAGATACATTCAAGCTCACAGCTTATCTGGAATGCTGCCAACCCGAGTCAGCACCGCGTGCGAAAGATGTCGTCGCCACAAAAGTCGAGTATTTCACCCCTCAAGCAGTCCCCGGCACCTTTTTAACCGTCGCAACGGATAGTGTGATCCATTCCGCCCCTGCTCGCTGTGTGTGCGAGCCAATGTAGACTGCCAGCCTCGACAGGCAGACGGATCGCGCAGAGAGGGTGTGCGAAAGTAAGCTGCATCCTTTTATTTCATTTAGCCGGTGAGGTGGATGTTGCTAACGGTGAAGTGGTGAGTGGAATTCAGACGGGCAGGATCGACACGAAGCTTGGGAAGTCGCCCGCGGCCACGATCGCATTCGACGAGAATATCGCCTGAAGAGTCGCTGGAATCGCAGAGTGGGACGCTCAATGATGCAGAAAGCCCGCCCTTATCGCCTCAGAATGTCGAGCATGTAGCAGAAAATGATGGATTCCACCCAACGAGTGATGCGAATAATGTGCGACCGTCGATTGACTATGGAGATGCTGAATCTGCAATGGGAATTGCGAGGAAGGTATGACAACTGCTATACACCACTTATACTGCAGTCCTAAAGTGCGACTTAGATCTGTCAACTTGGTCAACAACATATCGACGAGCGAAGTACCACCGCAATTCCAGGTTATCCCGTCAGCGCCATTGTTCCACCCGCCCGAAAGTCAGCGGCTAGACAACGTGTACCAATCTCGAAAATCCTTGGCCGGCCACTACCTTCGATGGATCGCATGAGAGAATTGTTGGAATACTACTTTGATGCGGTACACTGGTTCTCACTCGCGATCTACGAGCCCAAATTCCGCAGAAAGTTCGATTCTTTAGCTGATGGCTTTGCGAATCCATCCCAGAAACCCTTTTTGGTTTTATTGGCAACTATGCTCGGAATGTCCTCGTGGTATCGATCGCAACGTTCGGGAATTGATTCGGGCGAACAGAAAGAAGAGTGGAAGAAGCTGAGCTCAGGTCTTCTTTCCTTGGCTGAAACACATGTGCTGGAATTGATGGACCACCATTCCATTACAGCAGCCCAGGCCTTTATTCTCCTAGGATCACATAATGTCTATCATGGGCGACCTAACCTAGCATTCTCATTACTGGGTGCGACCATAAAGATCTCGCAAGCATTAGGCTTACACCGGGAACCTCTACGGGGTGAGGTGGAAGATATTGAGGAGCGGAAAAGAGTTTGGTGGACCATCTACACATGGGATCGGTATGCAACGCTTGCTTTGCTGTCAAATTCCCGGCTACTCACAATATCCCAGATTTGCTTCGATTACGTATGGCAGACCACTTGGCATCAATGACAAGGACTGCAATGTCAGTATGCCGCTAGACGTGCTTGAGAATCCGAGTTTCGTTTCCACAGAGACAGAATCTCAAAGCATCTGCTATTCTGCGTATCAGCGAGAGTTGAATGAGCTCTACTTAATTGCATCCCCTGCCTTGGAACCAGTTTTTGGCTCTCGTGCCTCCTCGGAAAAACACTGGTCTGGAGACATGTATGTGAGTCTCATCAAAACGGTCACATCACAACTACACCGCTGGCGACATCGACTCCCTAGGCACCTGGTTTTGGATCTCGAAAAAGACTTCTCTCCGGGAGGTACCTTGAGCTCGAGGGCGCATGTCTTGCAAGCTCTAGCATTGCAACTTACATTCGACAATCTCTGCGTTGTACTTCACAGACCCTTTCTGGCCCAGCAAGTCGATCATCTATCGGCCACCCAGGATACTCCCAGCGACCACGCAGGAGAATCCACTCCAATCAACGTCAACAATACTTCCTCTTCCGAACAGGACCTCCGATCTAAAGCTCTCTCCTCGAGGCTAAATTCAGACCCATGGTGGAGTGCTGCGGTGCGGACAGCTCGTGTGACAGATTTACCCATTCTCGCACAACTCGCTACAGATAGCCATCTGGTCGCATTCCTAGCAATCAACCTCTTCAACGCTGCCATCGTTCTATCTATTATAGCGATCTCGGATCCTCTGTCAGATACAGCTCAGGTGATGAAGAGGACGATCACTCGCATTTTTCGATTACAAGACCTTCTCGGAAAAAGGTCTACCCTGTCCAAGCAGAGCACATCTGTGTTGAAGAACGTGATCAATATGCTTCTCACCCGAGAGTCACAAGCCATGCTCGCTCCAGTTACTGGACCAGAGCCGGACATGTCTGACCAGATTGTGCCTGCTCCAGAGTGCTCTCTGATGTCAGTAGAGGATACTCTACGTCTTCCGCTAGATGTCGCATCGGGTCCCTTCGACACATTGGAGGGAAGCTCAATTCAGCATAACCCGAACAGAAGTACTCGACTCAACGAGGGGCTATCATCGTTTCAAAATGGTATGAATTTGTGATCTGAACTAGGGCGTTGGACTTTGCTAATGAATCCAGTTTTTGCGCCCGCGAACGACCGCTCCTCCTACGGCATACCCCAAGAAAACCGGCTCGAAAGAACCGACAGTGGCAACCTGAACGAAGATCCCTACTACGCATGGCAGATGCCTGCCCAGCAAGACTGGAACGAACCTGATTTCTCTCAAGCGGGTCTTGAAGAAACCTACTTTGACAGTGGTGAAAGTGGATTATATTGGCTGTGGGACATGACTTGGAATGCACCAGAGACCTGACGAACTAGAATATTTGAACAGTTCTATTTTAATGACTACAACTTATGGCACAACTCACAGAGATGGTCGGAGTTGTTCAGTTCGGACAATCCCCGCTCCCATTACTTCTGTGCGCTCTCTAGCCAAAGTCTCATCAACATCCGGCCCGTAGATCACGCTCTTGATCCCATTGCGATTCGCAGCATTATTGAATGCCGTCTCTGCGGATGAAAAAGAGAATTCATGTGTCACCAAACCGTCCAGGTTAATCCGTCGGCTGTTCAACAAGCCAATTGCGGTGTCAAAGTCTCCAGGCCCGTAGCGGAAGCAACCCTTGAATACAATTTCTTTGTCGCAAACCTGGCCAACAGGGAATGAGACAGATGGTTTGCCTAGCCCTGCCTGCACCAGGGTACCACCGTGGGCAAGTGCGTGTATGCTGCAGTTCAGACAGGGCTCTGCTCCAGTTGCATCCACTGCAATATCAGCGCCTTCTTCCAGTCCGGTGGCTTTTAACAACGCTTGTGCATTCACTTCAGGAGGCTCAAAGCTCATCCGATATGTATGGGTGGCTCCGTATTGTTTTGCAACACTGAGTCGACTCTCCACGATATCAACAACAGCAACGGTTGTTGCGCCGAAAGCTCGTGCAACTGCGCCGCATAGTAGTCCGACAGGACCAGCTCCGAACACTACCACTGACTTATTTTGCATGTCACCAGCAAGCCTGCTACAGTGTACAGCCACACTCAAGGGCTCAACGAGACACCCATCTCGGAATGAGATGTGTGATGGCAGTTTATAACAAGATTCTGGGGGCACGCGATAGTATTTCGTGAGGGTACCGTCATACGGAGGTGTCGCGGCAAATCGCATTGACCGACAGAGGTTGTAACGACCACTGCGGCATTTCTTGCATATGTTGCAGGGTATTCCCGGCTCAAGGGCAACACGGTCACCGACTGCCACTCCCTCGACGTCTTTTCCACATGCTACCACGATTCCCGAGGGCTCGTGGCCAAGAGTGATGGGCTTTTCAACAACGTATGGACCTATCCGGCCATGCTTCCAATAGTGGACCTGCAGCATAAACGTCAGTTATGCCATTTATTTCGATACCTTGATCAAATAGAACAAGCCAAATGGATGGAGAGAATGTAGCTTACATCTGAGCCACAAAGGCCAGTTGCCATGATTCTGACAAGCACATCACGGTCGGATTGGAGACTAGGCACTTTTCGTTCCTCGTACGTGAAAGATCCCCCGGGGTGCAAGACAAAGGCCGTATGGGAAGACTAAGTCTTGGTTAGCTGAGGCTAGAGTAGTAACACTGGATTCTTGGACGAACCTCTATTTGGTTGGAGACCGACATTTTTGCGTTATTGATTGATCGGATGAAGTTACTACATCTTCTTCCCGGAATTGCCCGGCTTTTGAATCATTTCTGCTCGGCATCCCACCTGCCAGACTGTCGCTATCCCGCCTTGTATACACGGTTCCGGCGGAAGGAAGAGTCTCGGAGGGCATTCGGTTCCGGTGGGCCCGCTATCCCGAGGCAGGACTAGCGGCTTGGCACATTTCGACTCGGGCCATCGCGAGCAACAACAACTCTTGAATCTGTCAACTCACAACACCACTGCGTGTATGATGAACCCCGCCATGAAGTCACTTCTCCAAGTCTTCAGCTCGACCTGATCCGCAAGATGGCTCCCCGGAATCGCCCAAAGCCGCGAATAACCTGGTGGATGCGCGTCCGCCGGTTCATTTACACATTCGAATCACCACTCCGGCTCCGGGCCAGCCTCACCCGCCTTAGCCATCGACATAAGCACCCCTTTCTTGCTCTGCTCGGTCTCTTTCTGCCACTACCGGCATGGCATTTTCGTGTTCCAGACCAAGTGCCATTCAAATTGCTGCTGAATAATATCCCGCTTCTGCAATCACGAATGACGTCTGCAGACCTAACAAACATGCGATCCGTCCCTGTATGGCGCGCGAGAGACACGCCTATCAGATCACTGTATCGGATCTACGAGGCTATGACTGCGCGAGAGTACTATGCTATAGGACCGGAGGTAGAGTACTTTTGGTACCAAGCGCGCCGCTCATGGGCAGTTCACCGCATCCCCGACCCGCGCGATCCCGACCCTGTTCGGTATGCCATTCTTGCATGTATCGCCGAGGAGCTTGCCAAGGCTTTTAATTGGCGGTTGAGTCTGGGGATGAGACGCGACAGAAGCAAGCATATTTACCGTAAGACGTTGGAGGATGCACTTCCACCGTTCGCCCCTGAGACTGCACCTGTCTGGACTAAGGCCGTGTCTGCAATTGATACCGAGTTGATTGCAGATTTACCAAATGATGTCTTAGATCAATCTGGTAAACTACTTCTTGAAGAAGATGGAAACAGCCCTGTATTTGCAGAAAGGAACGTCATAACTGATACCCGGCATTTTTATACGATTTAGAACGGGCGGATGCACCCATCTGCAAACTAAGAAAAAGGCTCCTCGTTATACCTGTTTCGATAAGCCGCAGCGATCTTATCCATAGTTCCCTGATCAGGCGGCATTTCAATGGAGCATGTGTTCAACGTCCGGATATGCTCCCTCTCTAGTGGAGCTCTATTCTGCTCCCTCATATGCCTCAGCAGCGCAATGGCATCATCTATATCAGCCCCCCATTTGCTCTGCTGCATTTCATTGTGGATTCGTCTCAACTTCCGCTCGAGTGCCCACTCCAATGGGATGGCAAGAACACGCAGATTCGTACCCTCCCAGAGGACAATGTTTTGTTTCTCTGCCTCTTCGTAGAGGTGCTCTCTGGACCTGTCGGGCACAAAAAAAGCCATTTCCTCATTTGCCCAATCCTCGATAAAACCTAGACGTTTGGCTGTCCTTGTCACCGCACTATGCAACGGCCCTTTGACGTCATTATCATGCGCCCACTGGGGTTCCAGGAGATAGTCGAAATCCCCCGTGCTATCCCGGTTTTTGAAGAAGTTGACAGCGAGGAACCCCCCTGCGGAAAGTAGAGTGATGGGCGCGAATGCAATAAGCCATTCATCCTTGCCCATCTCATTGTCCAAAGCCTCGAGGCCTTATTTATACAAAAATACTACTGTTAGAATTGGCATTTCCCTGCTTCAACCGACCACTCCGTACCTTTGTTGAAGTCATCAGCACCAAACCGACTTTTTTCCCCTTCCATGCTTATTTGATTCTGAAGGGATCTATGGTTGAAGTAACAAAGGGATTATCTCTAGAGGAATGGTGACGATGAAACCGAACGTCTGGAGTCAAAGATTTTCCCGTTTGTAGCGGAAGGCCCTGGAAGCATCTACCCCACTACGTCCTACGTCGCTAGCGCCCCCGCGGCTGAGGTCACGAGTACACGCGCTACTGCAGTATGATCACTCATGTCTGTTTTGTAGCCGGGGTTTTCCTGAAGGCCATTAAAGGATATATGTTAGCTTCCCTTGCATTTAGCCGGATGATTGTGAAGTTGCCCACCGAAAAGGTTTCGGTTCCATACCACTTCGGTTCCGGCGGAGACATCGGAGGTCAGTACGGGGCACACGAGAGCCCAAATGTTGGATGCAGCATTCGGGATTAAAGTCAATTTGTTAATTCTCCTAGTGAATCCACAATGATACCCTTCCCTGTCTCCAGGTCTATACCCGCTTCCCCAGACCTCCACACATTGCGGGGTTGTCTAACGACGGCTCCGAAATCTTCCACTAAGGAACAGGAAGCGGTTTTCTATATAAATTGACAATGGCCATCGACATGGGGAATTAGTTTATTGTCTGTCTGCAACAATAGCAGTGACAGATATCAACATGGCCAACGCGGATGAAATAAAGTCTTCATCAGAGGGACGAGAGCAAATCTCCGATCCTAATGACCCAAATTTTGTGGTGCAGCCTCCGGCTGACTCGTGGCTTGAACGTGTATTGAAGCCAAAGACAATGCATGCCCGATATCCATTTGTCGGGAAGCCTCTTCTTTGGATGACATGCGCTTTTGGCAGTCTGGGTGATGGATTGTTTGGTTATGACCAGGGTGGGTCACCTCCGAGACAATCATAATGCTAATGTCTTTTAACATCTGCAACAGGTATCATTGCTGGACTCTTGGTCAATCCTGTCTTTGTATCTCGATTCTTCAAGGACCACGGCGGTGCCAGTGGATCGTCAGATGATGTGAATCCGTCCGTTACAGGCATCATGGTAGCATGCCTTCAAGCATCTGCTATCCTAGGCGCCCTTCTAGCCGGACGACTGGGAGATATTGTCGGACGAAAGAAATGTGTCCGCATCGGCGGCTTCATCTACCTTGCGACAGGCTTCGTGCAAGCCTTTGCTCCCAACCTGACTTGCTTCATGGTCGGTCGAACAGTCCAAGGCCTCGGTGTCGGCTTCCTATCGTCGACGGTGCCTATTATTCAGACGGAAATTGCGTCTCCGCATCGACGAGGTATGCTCGTGGCTATCGAGTACAGTTTCAACATTGCTGGATATTCCCTTTCGACCTGGGTGGACTATGGGTGCAATTTTCTGCTCCCTGCGCATACATCCTGGCAGACTCCGTACTTTGTTCAGATTGGGCTTGCGGCCATTCTATTTTTCATGTCGTTCATTCTGCCCGAGACCCCGCGATGGCTTGCTCGTAATGGGTTTATGAAGGAAGCGCGACAGACGGTGGCAGATCTTCACGCGGATGGTGACATCAACGCTGAGCATGTTCGTGCAGTTTGGGTTGAGATCGAAGAGGCCGTTCGCTATGAGGCATCGCTAGGACAATCGACCTGGGGTGTAAGCAATCTTACCATGATTTGATTGACATGTGCTCACCTATCATTCAGGAGGTCTTCACCCGCTACCGCAAGAGAATCATAGTGGGCATCACAGCACAGATGTTTGCACAGCTAAATGGCATCAACGTCATCTCATTCTATCTCCCTAGCTCACTCGCCAAAGCCGGATTCGACAACCGAAAGTCGCTGTTATACACAGCTGGAAATTCCATTCCATACGTGGCAGCAACAATGCTGGCCTGGGTTCTTGCCGACAAATGGGGCAGGAAGCCTTTGCTGATGCTGGGAGGTGTGTAAACCTTATTTCATGTCTTCGTCGATCTAACCGAGATAGGTATTCTCATGGCCACCGCACTCATCATCGTTTGCGTTTTCAATCAAGCGCCCATGAATACTGTGACACGAGCACAAGGCATATATGCCTTTGTTTTGATATATAACGCCATTTACGGTTTTACATGGGGCCCAATTCCCTGGCTTCTCCCAGCTGAGATATTCCCACTCCGAGTACGAAGCAAGGGCATGGCGCTGTCGACGATGTCGAATTGGACATTCAACTTCATAATCGGAATGTCATCGCCTGATGCGTTCGCCGGTATCAAAGGATACTACTATGTGATCATCGCAGGGTTCTGTCTGTTTTCGACAGGACTGGTTTACTTCTACTACGTGGAGACGGCGAATCATTCCCTTGAAGAGATTGCAGTAGCATTCGGGGATAGGGCTTTTGCGGACGATGACCAGTATGTTATGGAACAGGCTCAAGTACGTGGACCAGATGAGCCAAAATGTGTGGCATAGTCGACTAGGGTTAGGACTAGGAGTTTCGAATCAATTTTCACTTTCATCATCGTTTTTCGTCTACCTTTACCATAATAAAACATCAAGTAAACCCAGTGGTGGCAAGACCAATGAATCATGGGTCAGATAACTAGAATGGGTCCCCAGAATCCAAGTCCGCCATTCTCATTGCTCAACCAAATCTTAGATCGTCCAGGATAGCCCTTCTGAGATAGGTAACCCATGACCTCAACCGACACAGCTAGCACCTGTGGATTCACGGCCGATTCCACAACGCCCCGAATGGTGGTTCACGACGGTAAAGCCCGACAATGCAAGGTTTTCCTGGGACTGAGGATCTATGTTTTCATCGCTGGGGGGGGG